TAGTTCCCTTATATTAAGGTGCACCTAATAACAACACTATCCTTACACTTAATAGTTAAGAGACGTTAAAAGAGTCGTAACCTTTAATAAAGTAGGATGTTATAACTCTTATTAAGGAGTGAACAGAGAATTATAGATAGAAGACTACTTATGTTATAAACATAGAATTAGTAGTTTAAGCGGTTAAGAGTTTGCAGTATTCTTGTATTTAGTTATAGATATATTGTATAATTAGATCTATTAAGATTGTTAAGCTTTTTCTCTTATTTAATAGACTAATTAAATACCTGTAATAACTATAAATTACAGGTGAATTTAGTACCTGCAATACCTTAGCATGCTCTAAGTTTTAACATACCCTACCTATACCTATAATTTATATAGAGCAAAGGAGGGAACAACATATAGTAAGAAGAGATAGATCCTCTCGTTAGATTTAAAACCTTTAGTTAGCTAGATCCTAAGAAGTCTGTATAAGGTTCGACGAAACGCGACAAGCTAGTTAAGACTATTAAGCATCAAAATGTTTAAAGCTTACACTAACTAATAGGCGTCGGAGGTAAGTCTATAAATTAAGCTACCGTTATGTCTTAGTAGGGTCGGACGTCTTACTTCGGCAGTCGGTTAGGTTAATCTTAACTACTATAGGTAGGTAAACTACCTTTGTTCGAAGATATAAGGTTATTTCTACTGTACCGAGGTACACTACGGAAGTAATATCGAACTATATTTATAGCACGGCTATGCGGCGGGATAGAGTACTTAGCATAAGTCTCCTATCTAGATAAAGAGCGGTATAGTTCTTAGTATTTATATATAGATACGAAGTAGATTGTCGTTCTATGCTTCTAGAGCTTTCGCAATTTCTACCTTAGCTAGACGAGGCGTAGAGCTTAGGGTTCGCTAAGAGTATAGTTTGCTAAGAGCATAGAAATAGCTACTATTCTGTAATCTTTTTATAGATCTATAATAATCCTTAGACCTTACGTCTACTTTACTCTATAAATAGCCTACATAGTGCTTTAACTATAGTTAGTAGATACTTCGCGTACTTTTTACACTCTTTAGAGTAGTCGTATTAATAAGTTAAATAGATACTAACAAAGGAAAGCAAATAACTCGAGTAGGTAGAGGTAAGACTCCGCCCTAGAAACTCCTAAATTAGTTACGCGCTAAGGAGTTTTACCGTCGGAAAATGCTTAGTATAATCACTTAAATCTATACTAATGCTATATAAAATCCTTCGTAGTGCTTAGCTTTTTATGGCCGATAAACGTGCTGTCGCTCTAGACCGTTATATTACCTTATTCATTTCGTTAAAATCGGAATCTAGGCCTATAGCGCTAGTAGATAGTATACTAAGGAACTGCCTATTGTTCATCGTCTACGACGTAGATAATATAGTAAGACTAACACTTTACTAGCGAGGTAATTATAGTAAAGAGTAGAGTAAGAGCTACTAAGGAAGCATAGAATCGAGGGTAGCGTCTTATACTATAACCTCCTTCTTACTTATATAGCATATGCAGCATAGTAGGATAAGGATATTTATACGGCTAGGACACGACCATTAATAGGTTTAAACGACCTATAATACTCTAGAGCCGTTGTTAAATTAGATAATCTCGTTTTACCGATTATCGTCTATAATGTCGACTAGGCGCTACGGTTAAAGTCGCTATTAAGCTAACATTAACTAGCGCTATGTTATATACTCCCTTTACGTCTTAGTAGGGTCCGTCGCTTTAGTAGCTTCTATAGTTAGTAGCTTCGGCAGTCGCTCTAGCTAATCTTAATTACTATAGTTAGGTAAGCTAGTGCTATTATTATACTTTATCTATATGTTTCTACTAATTCTTCGAAGATTCTTAAATTAGGACGTTTATGCCGTACTAAGGTGCACTACGACATTATATTAACTTATGCTAATAGTACAGTTATGCGGCAGTAAAGCGTACTTAGTAAGAGCCTCCTATCCTAATAAGAAGGGCGGTATAGTTCTTAATGTTAGTTAAAGCGGATCGTCGAGCTTTAATTGCGCCTTTAATAAGCTTAGGCCGTTAAGCTCTAATCGCGCCTTTAATAAGCTTAGCGATCGTCTAGATGCGAAGGATTCCGAGATCCTATACCTTAAGGTACGTAACATGCTTAGTAACATTACATGTAGCACGATAGATTAAGATTGTTAGATCGCTTAGTAAAGGTTATCGGCCTAGACACATCCATCATTAGGATTAGACGGCCTATAATGCTCTAGAACCTATAGCATTAATACATAAGCCTCTAGTAGCCGCGCGTAAATTATAAAGTTATCGTAACGCGAGAATCTAAAAAGTAGGCTTAAACCGTTAGTATAGTTAGATGCTATAGCTACTATTATATCTCCTATTAATTACCTAGAGCAATTTCAATTAGCTAAATTCTTCGGGGTGCCCGAGCGTATCTCGCTAGTAAGGATATAGCCGTAATTATCTATATAGCATAATAGCTATTATCTTATAAAGTTCTACGCGATAGCGTATTATACGAGATAAGCCTTTCTCTTAGTGCCTTAGACGCCTTCTTTCGCAATTTCCCTTAGAGATATGAATACTAGACTATATATCTATAATTAACTCCTATTATAAGTCTTCTTATTATAGAATAGAATCTAATTCCTCTAGTCTTTATCGGTCCTTAGACCGATTCTCTAGGTTTCGTAAGCTTTTATCTACTCTAGAATTAGCCGTAGTTCTCTCCTATAGCTGTTAGCTTATATAACACAACTAACTAAATCTAATAGGTTTACGAGGTCGCTTGCCTTTAGAGCTTTTTTTTTCTTTTGCTAGGAGATGCACCTTTGCCTAACTATTATAAAGTCTCTTATTCTTACTAGCCTAACGGCATACTTAATCTTTTTAATAGTCTTAGTAAACGCGTGTCTAAATCCTGTTGTCCTCCCTAATAATCCTTTTAAGAATCGGCAACTATACGCTACTCTATATTACGCTACTAAAGTTATAGTAGTAGTTAAAGATATTACGGATCTAGACCTTACTAAAAGGGCTATAATGATTAGAGATATTAGAACCTTTATGTAGATGTTTATATTATTCTTCTAAATTTTAGAGATGATATACTAATTACTTAACTTTATAGTGATTAGAAGGTAGTTATCCCGAGTATAGATGCCATAATTAAAGGCGTTCTATATAAGCATATTATCGGTCTCGTTATCTACAATCTTCTAGGTCGCGACTATAGTAGAGACGCTTCTAGTAGAGAGTATAAAACTAGAGAACTTGCTCGTTATAAGGCTAAGTACATCGACCGTATGTTATATAGGTCTTTAGCTCGACAAGAAATTAGCTAACATCCTAGCTTTCTAGCTCTCTAAGAGATTTTTCTCGCGAATCTAAACACTACTATTACTCTAGCAATAGAGCCTAATTCCCTCCCTAATACGATTACGTCTTTAATCTACCTAAGATGTGCCGCTTTAGTATAGGAATATAAAGATAGTATCGCCTATACGCTTAAACAATTCGATCTTCCGAACGTTGTTTAGTACATTAATGTAGGTAATAGAAACTAGTTAGGATAGGACCCGAATGTTAGTAAGTATTAATCTTCTCTTTATGTTCGTATATGTAGAATCGTCTAGGACTTCGACTCCTAGGATTTCCTACTAATCTCTTAGCTTAGAGCTTATCGCTAATAGTTAACGGCACCTACTACTAAGGTTATCGCCGATGTTTAGAAAGCAGCTAGAAAGCCGAAATCATATAAAGGTATTATAATAAATGTTTTAAACTAGAATGCATAGTCTATAGTTCTAGGAGAATTCGAGAATTTCCCCGATGCATAATATAATAAAGCGTAGGATAAGAAGCGATATATCTACCTTCTTAGCGCGTAGCTTATAGCTAATAGTATGCTAAATTACGCCCTCGTTAATACTAGCCGTAATAGGCGTATAGGGCTACGTACCTATAGTAGCAATTAGTGTAATGTTAAGGGCGCTAGGTTTAGAATTCGCCCTACTAGTAAGATAGATAATGATTTATGCGATGCTTTTGTCTAGGTTAAGCCTAGTAGAGAGAGTAATAGTAGTAGCAATCCTTTACTCCCTAGATACGATCTAACCTACGCTAATTAGGATAGTAGGTGCAAACATGTAATCCTCTACATTATACTTATGCTAATAACTAATATTTTAATTTATAGCCTTTATTCCCTCCCCTTAAGCTAGAGACTAGAACTAGGCTTAATTCGAGTAGCGTAAGTAACCTAGAGCAGATTCTTTCCTTCTCTAGCTTCGTTAGCTCTCTCTAGGAGTAGGCGTTTTAGCTCCTATTAATATGCAAAAGTTGACTTACGTTCTTTTATAGTAGTTAAAAATATTATTCCTAATAAATATATAATAGATGGAAGGTGCTATACTAACATCTTCTACGGATCGTAGGCTAGGGGTTCCTACTATTATAACGGTTAATATAGATTAATGTATAATGCATTAGCTAGCTATACATTAGGCTATACTGCTCTACTAGATTCTAATCTAGACACTACTACTAACGACGATAATGACGACGATAATGACGATAGTTTTAAAAATGGCGCCCTATATAATTATACTATAACGTTCGACAGTCTCGACGATCTTAATATAGCTTCTAATAGGTTACGGGTAGAGTGCCTTATAGCTTATGCCCTAGACACATTAATTACTATGCTCGACACGGTATATAATAACTATACCTTAGTCGATAACGGCTACAATAAAGAGTTCGGGTATTATGTTACATATATTTAAAAGCTAGTACCTAGCGTGCTAGATAAGAGCTTTATGTTTAATAATAAGAAAATTAATAAGGGCTTTCCTTATGTAGGTTTAGGAATGAGCTATAAGTACTATACAATCTTAACTGTCGCTAATATGCCTAATACTAACTACATTCACTAATTAGACTTTAACTGTCGAGTTAATAAAAAAGGTAGCAAAATTATCCTATATACTAATGAAGGTGCGTATTCTTCGGATCCTTACAAAACTATTATAACTCTTAGAGACGAAGATAGCTATAATGTAGCCTTAGGCTATGCTAGACTTACGCCGGACTAGGTCGTACTAGGAGAACACGTAATTAAGAGAACTATAAGTTCGGGTAATGACTATAGTCCTCGGAGTGTCATATACACATATAAATTCTCTAGTTACCTAATCGAGAATTTCGACATGATTATACTAAATCCTAAAGACGTAGTCATAAAAGGTCTTAGTAGCATACTAGAGCTTCGAGAATCTATGTAAGCGACGTACTTAGAGATTGTAACCGGATTTTACATCGGCGGTAACCCTATGGACGCAGTAGAGGCTTTTAGTACGCCCGTCTTCATGTTAATGTAAGTAGTTAATGGTATGGCTTAAGTAAAGGCCCTCGGCGTTAAGGAAGAAAAGGAAGAGGAGGAGGAAGGAAAGCGGCGGAAGAACTTCATCCTCCTTATCGTTAGCGTGGTCCTTATGGTACGTGACGCTTTTCCCATCAATTATCTATGACTCTTACTAACTCCTCGTTCTAGTTCGTTCCCGTTGTAGGTGAGGAGGTTGCATTAGCGGCCGGCCTCGCTACCCTCGGACGCATAATTGCCATTGCTAGCGAGCTTGGTAACGCCGCACTTGCTATCTACGATACTGTGCAAGACCCCAAAGCCGCGGTCGTTAACATCCTGGGCATGCTGATCGGTGTTGGCTCGATTGCCAAAGTTGCACGCACTGGAGAAGGAATTGGCGGCGTCGCTAAGCTAAGGCGTGAAATGACTGCGGCGGACGTCGCGGGGCTTGGGTCTGTCTTCAAGAACAGCGATGACAAGCTGCAGAACATTATCAAAGTTTGCAGGCAGTCTTGAAACGGGGCATACTGGTGTTTGGTACACACAGCTTGTGGACGGGGCTGTCTGTTCGAACCTCACAAAGTTTCCATGAATCCGTCGAAGGAAGTCACTTGGGAGCCTGCATTAGTTTGGGTACCCACAAATCGCATCGAAACGCAGTCGGCTAATTTCTGTTATAACATCTTAAATCGGTTCTTTTTGCATTGCATTGCTCAGCCTGTGCGGTCAAGGTGATGTTCACATGGTGTGTCTCCTGGTTGATGAAGACCAAGGTCGAGACCAACACAAATCGCACCGAAGTGTCGGAAGTTCAAAGCAAAGCTAATCCATACAACTTACAAGATGCACCTAAAGTTCGTTCTCCTTCGATTCTTGTCGTAGTAGTTGGAAGCCAATTTTTCCCAGTGATCCGCCAGCATCAGATCTGGGTCCGATATACAACAAACTAAAGCGAGGAAAAATGAGTTAAGATGTTCTCATTTATTCTGCTGCGCTTTCTGCGTTTCTTCTATGTTTTCTATTCAACAGATGATCAAAACTGTAATCACACCGCCGTGCATCAGCACCTCTCCAACGTCGCGCATGCGTCCACTGAAACACCTTCGAATGTACAGCTGACTGCTTTAGGGCCTCAGCTGGGAGATTGGACTTTTTCCCGCGCGTATTACGTCTTCAATCTCGACCCTGTTTCTTTCGAGTCGCCTCGATTCTCTTCAGGAAGTTGCTGGTACTCTTCCAGATCTTTTATCGTAGCGGCAACAAACTCATCAACCTCAGCTTCTTCGGGTGTCCCCACATGATCGAGTCTTCTTCCCTGGAGAATGGGCTCGATATTCGGCCACAAGACCTGTTCGTCAAAATTGAAGGACTCGAGGAGCAGCTTTACACCCATTCCTGGCCGCTTTCAAAAGATTGTCGCATCAAGCACGACATGCGATACTCCTGCTGACATTTGAGACGATCCTCCTGTATGAATCTGTTTTCCTCCTCCTCCAATTCACGGAGCAATATTGGGAATTTGGTCTTTTACATTGCCTCTGTGCTATCGATCCAGCCTGTGGGATGATCCGGCACCAACCACGATGGCGGATCAAATAAAAACTGATAAGGGCCAGTGCAGGTTCATTCCCAATCAATGATGCCGTTGATCTGAAGCGTGTCCTCGTTTACCAGGACGCTCCCGGGCCGCAAGTCATCACAGATCAGCTTGAGAGGACCAGAGTCGAATTGATCGGACACGAAATGAGGTACCAGGTTCTTGACCTTTTGTCAAAGTATGTACTTGCGTCGCGCGTCGTCAGCATTATCGATTGAATTTCTTTGCTCATACAAATGTGTTATGTTCTGTTGAGCGAGCTGCTGCATGTAATATGTCGTGGTCCCGTAAGGCGCGAGTCTATGACCTGTAGGGAACATGATCAGTGGACGTGAATGATCATGTGCAGCATTCTTCACCATCAACCGTCACGTAACCCCGGTCATCTCTAGTGTCAAGGGTCTGCCAGTGATAGACCAAGTTTCCGTAACGGACTCGAGCCCGTCCACAGACAGGTTCCAATTTTGTCAAAGTCGTGTAACGAGAGCTCCAACAGAATACCAGCCATCTGACGATAGATTGTGTGGAGCTTCTCCTCTTCCAAATCCTCGCGCAACAGTTTGCAGCCTCCACGACACACATTTAAAGTGTAGATTGGTAAGCGAATAGTCAGCTGTCTTCCTGTCCAAATGCTCGGAGATATCGCAAGTGTCCCAAAGTATAGAAATCTGCAAGAATTGTGGGCGGCAAAACAAACGCTGCAAGCGCGCTGATCTATCACACGCTTGGCGGTGAGTCCTCCCAGCTATGTGTCTTCATTTTTCCCTTGCCTGACATTGGCACGAAGCATTCACGGGTCTGTCTTTTCAGTCGTCCATCACACGAGTCGGTCACAACAGATGGCTCGTTGGTCAAGAGCATGGAAGCTTCTCCATGCATTGTTACCAGAAGATACCATCACTCACTGTTCCGACCCATCTGGACGGTCCTGAAGTCGCACGAATTCCGTAGTTGCTGCTTCAGAAAGATCGAGACGGGTGTCGCACTTAACACATATCGATGGTGTGAGAGACTTCACGAATGCTGAATTATGAGAGACGGGTCCTAAGGTACCTACTGCAAGTCGTGTCGTCGTCTCTCGGAGAAAGGTGGCCTTTATTGGATGTGAATCGGAAGGTGGCTCTTCGGGGCACGAGAGATCACGCGCTGGTGGTTGCTTGGGCCAGAACATCGATGTAGAATCAGGATCAGTCTGAGGCAGGGCTGGACCGATGTTGTGTTGATGTGGAAAGATATTTACATCACACACACGTGTATGCAGAGGTGCAGCAGTGAGGGGTGATTCCAAGAACTCTTTTGCTTGTAAGTTGCTTGAGCGCAGTCATGTTTGGAATGCTACCCAAATTGAAATCGTTATTGAAATTCGTGTTGTGTTGTGCGTAAGGTGGTCATCCAGATAAATCATCGAGCGAAAAATAAACTTGCTTCGACGTTCATTCACTCGCCCACGCAAGGTATCAGACATCCAAACTCAGTTATATGTCTGTCTGCACGCGCGGAGTGTCAAACCAAGGATGCCAGGTGCAGAAGACACGTGCGTTTTTCTCCTTCAATTCCCTTTCTCTTCCTCAGACTCATGAACAAAGCTACCACTGGGCCCTCGTGATCGGTCCCGCGAATCCAACTCCCGATTCCACTGGCCGTCGCTTTCGCGCCAAAAACACTCTCCTTCCAAACTCGTCTACCGGGGAGCTAGAGCAGATCTGGATGGCCGAAGAACATGAATGCAGCATGATGACGGAAGACTTTCTGCTTGGACGCATCGTCATCGATACGGTTCACGATTCTGAGGCGTTGGTGGACGTGTTGAGGAAGGTGAATGTGGTGCAAGGAGATTGTGTGCATTGGGTAAGACAGACTTTGAATGTGTTGAAAGGAAAAGAAGGCGTTCTGGAAGACTGTGTGGAAGACTGTGTCTTGGACTGGAATGAAGTCCGGGATGGAGTCATGAGGTTCATGGCGAAAAAGAGGGAATAGAGGAGGTGGGATGGCAGTGCTGGGTTCAATATCACGTGGCCGCCGACTTTTGATTTGGTCAAGGACAAAGAGACGGTTGCCTGAAGTTGTGGTCTAGATCATAAAGAGAATGACAAGATTGTCGACGGCGAGAAAGACAAGTGGAGACCAGATTAGAAGGCAGTAAAAGCTACCATTGAGTTTGCAAAAGCAACAGGCAGGTTGCAACTACGAAGTTGAGGAAGAATCGACTAACAACAAGTGCCTGGGAACCAACTACAATACAACCAAGTTCAGCAACATTGCCTCCAGACAGCGTCCGGCCGATAAGGATGTACGCAACATAGGGAATAGCCCTTATGGAGGAGGCTACCGCCCTGAGAAGGAAGTGAATCCCATAGCTCAAGTCGTGCATGTTATCATCCGCAATGTCAACCGAGGATAAAGACGAATTATCGACGCCGTCGGATCGACCCAAAGAATCGCTCTGATTCATTGCCGACTCATCATCGCTCATGTCCACTCCCTGTTGAGACTGCAAAGGATCCACAGGCTGTCCAACTGGCCTATTACGCTTGGGACGAACAACTCTGGCTTCTATACCGTGGCTCTGAACCAAGTGAAGCCAGAAGCCTTCCACGTGCACCGACAAGTAGTCGCAGTACGGGTGAGGACAGACTAGGGGCCAGTCCTTGACCTTACTTAAGTGCGAATCGATGTGCGCATGCAATGCGTAACAGTCCGCAAACTGGTGGAATCGTCGGCTGAAACCGGTGCCAATCTTACCAAGGCAGAAAACGCATTTTGCAACGACTATTACGACTCCATAGCGAACAATCTGCCCGCAAAATGGGCCCAAAGAGGATAGCTTGGACATATGCGCCTCGCAGTGCGAATCCCAGGAAGTCTTGCTCTCCACCCATTCTCCACACTCGTAGCAAAAGTTGACGTCAGTTGGAAGGGTAACGGCACTGAACAGGCTGTGGCGATCAAGCAAATGCGTTGCAAGAGCTGTCTTGCTGTTGGCAGAGAACTTGCATTCGTTCCACCAACACACGCTATCGCGGCTGCTTTTGATATGCTGCGTGACATGGTCGGCGATACCGGATGCCTTACTAGAGCCGAACGAATAAGTACAGCAAGACCACCTGCAAGCGGCCTTGCCACTCTTGTCAATGGACTCCAAAGGTGGCGTAAGGTCAGAAACCTTGCGCCCCGCTTCGCTCTTCAGAATATTCTGCATGCAAGCGAGGAGATGACGGTTGGCTCTGGCTTTTGGGAGTCTGCGTAAATCCCTCTCACAATGACGACAGCAGCCATCCTCATTCGGATGCGCGCCAGGGTAAAATATGGAAGACGGTGTGGGATCCGCGAGAGTCTGCAAGGGTGCAATGCCTTCTGCAAGAGTTGGTGGATTGTTGGAAGAAAAGTACCTGATGAAGGTGGCTCTTGCTGGCTCGTAACGCATGACTGAGAGCAGATATGGCGATGGGCCGGTTCGCACAACCGTGTAAGGATTAGTCGTGTCTTGCGATCTTGAGGAAGCAGTGTCCTCGCTTCTCAGCGTTTCCTGTTCCTCGACTACATCAGACGCATCATGTTCCTCGAGGTGACCGAGCTCGTCTTGTTCCTCAAAGTGGACAGTCCGCCTACGACGAAGGTTTATCTTGCGCTGAGTTCTCCAAATATCAAACGCCCTCCTTTCCGTCATTGCCTCGGGGTAAAGTACTCTCAAGTTGGTCTCAGGTAAAGGGTCTTGGTCGGGTACTGGGATCGGCTCTCCCGATCTCCGCGCATCGGTCAATCGAGAGCCAGTAGGGCTGGGGCGACAGGGTCATGATGATTGGCCATGGATCGCACGTGATCCATGAGTTCCTGACGGGGCTCCCGACCCAGCATGATCGATTGCGTGTCCACGCCAGAGATGCGTGAGATATAATACTGGAAAGTGTCGTCGCTCTTGTGCCCCATGCGCTGCCTCCTCTGCACAGAGCTGAGCATTTGATCGAGCTTGTTGCCGTGGCCATGTCGGAAAGCATAAGCGGTGAGATTGTCACGGTAACCGGCTCGTTCGCCCAGACCATTCAAGTAGAAATTGAGAGAGTCCGCGCCAAAGACAAGCGTTGGTGAGACGTGACCGGCCTGGTCGAGTCTGCGCAGCACAGACGTATGCTTCACGCTGTCTTTAATGCGCACTGTGGCCCCAGTTTTGACTCTGTTCAAATCCTCAGGCAATCTCAGGTTCTGAAAGGCGCCGTCTGCGAAGGCCAATGCGCAGAAATGCGTCACCGGGCAAAGGTGTGGGTTTCCCGGCTCGTCCGTGAGGATGTGCGTAACGCTTAACCATGGATCAGCACGGCCACACCCAACGAGGATGCCGACTTACTTGTCCCTCTGGTTCCCTCGATGGTTCTTCCGAAGTCTGACCGTAATCTGGAGCACCCAGCGGCGCTTTTCCCCGTGCGAGCCGGGCTGAGCTTGAAGAGCGAAATCCTGGTAGGTGAATCCCTCGTTGAGGCCACGCTGGGAACTACACTCAATGAACTCTCCCGGGCGAAGGCCTTGGTACATCATCACAAGAATCGCGAAGGACAATTGCAGCCTGATCCTTGGGTGCTTGAAGATGTACTCATCGCAGACCCAAAGAAAATGGAGCAAATGCTTGGCTAATTCCACGGAAGCCAGGGGCTTGGCTCGACCGGAGGTAGAAGCGCCTTCCATGTCAGGGAGCTTCTGGATAAACTTCGCGAGTATCAGCGGGATGCCAAATGACCAAAGCTGACGGTATACATGCATTTCTGACATATTTCTTCTCGCTCTTCATGTATGTATGGTTGCATCTCAACAGCGTCAGACGCTGCAGCTCCTGCCACTTCCTGGTGACCGTTGCCGTCGAGATACAGCCATCGGCGCCCTTCCCGCGTCGGACAAGGAAGCGGAGGAATACGTAGATCGTTTTGATGGAGAGCGGTGTGGAGAAAGGCTCATCGTCCGGCTCCGGTGCCTGTCGCAGCACATCATGACAAAACCTTTTACTAGTCAGCACATGTTGCCAACACCCTTGGCAGGGATCGCTGATAGCACTTGCTCTTCCCAATCCCTCTCTAGAGCTTTGAATTTCTTGAATTGGTCTTGACAGACGATATCTTTGATCGGAACCATGCTTAGACCGCAGGAGGGCGCAGGGCGCATGGCTTCCCTCAGGTCTGCGAAGTCGTCGGCCATAGTAACCAGCGATGTTCGGCTGGTGACCGATACAGGGTCGGGTGGAAGGGAGGCGGTAGTATCGAGAGCGATGACGAATCTCAGAGGGGTGCCGTTACACCCTCATTTATAGGCGCCGCAGAAGACATTTGCTTGCTTCGTTCCGTAGCGACACACGCACGAGGCGCAGACTGTCGCCATTGCCGGGGACTCGATCCGCCGCATGATGCGAGCCAAGAATCGACAGGTCGGCGCGGATTGCATGGATGCCGGAAATGAACACACGCGAGGGAGACGAAAGAGCGAGGCAGACGGGTCAAGCGGTCCGGTGCGCGGTATGGTACAGTATCGAAGACGACGACCGTGAAACTGGAGTCCAGGAAGGCGGACGTGCGGGGAATGATTACCAAAATGATCGCTGACTAAGGGCCGCGAAACCGGTCTTCCGGTCACGGGGGCAGACGCCGACAATCAGGTATCGCGAAGTGGCTAAGCGGCGAACCCGCGAACCAGAAACATTCGGGGACGATTTTGGCAGAGGGAAAGTTTGAGAACTGGGCATTCCGTCCGCTCTGCCATACATTAAGCAGTTGAACGGCAGATTAGAACTACGGTGGGTGACCACGTGGGAATCCCTGCTGTTGTACGTTTTGCTCTTTTGACACATCCTTTTGTTAGTGTAATCTCGGTTAATGATGGTGGTGGGTTTGCTGAATGTGATTCTAATGTTCGTCGTTGCTTCGTATCTTGGTCGCGTTTGCGTCTGGCACCTTCTTCATGATGCAAACACGCACAGCTCCGACCAACAGTATTTTGCTCTTTCCAGAAACATCAACACTTTGCGAAAGAAGTTTTAAATGGAAATGCTTTTTTTTTCATTGTGAGATTGAGCGTTTGTGTGGAACGATCTCGCATCGACTTTCAGTCTGCGCCGGTGATACCTAACGATCATAAGTCTTTTATCGATCAGTATTGAGCAAACGCTTTCTCATGCAACACATCCTCACTCCATATCCCGCGCTTCCTAGCCAACAACCAGACACACCCGTTCAAAAACACCTCCAACCCTTCAACACCCAAACTCTCCTCACCTAGATACCTTACATCTTCCACCCGCATCGCTAACGCCTCCACACCCATCATGCATTGACCGATTTCAGTATTCTCTTTCCCTTCACACCCAATGTTTCCCATCGACTTTGTTCCATATATGTTATAACTCCCAGCCAAACACACCACTGTGGATCTTATTCCCAAGGAGTGGCTGCATTTTGCTTTGCCCATTGCTTTTCAGCTTCGCTTCCAAATGGTGGTGCGACAAGACCCTTGACCATCCACAGTCGCCTTTCGGTTTCATCGACGTGAAATTCCCATTCGGCACCCAGAGGTTGTACATTCTTCTTGATCACATCATTGATGTGGGCAGATGTCTTTCGATATACATCATCGGAGTCTTCGAGTGTGACAGCAATATGCTCAATGCTGATGCGGACAAATGGCGTATCGACACAGGTCTTGGCGCCCACATAGGTGTCGCGAACGTCCAGTTTGATGAAGTTCACCACGACATAGAATGCCGGCAGACCGATACCCGTATAGATGCCCGTGATATCTTTTGCAAACTTGGCTCGAGTTTCGTCGTCTTCGAGTATGTTGGAGGGGTGGTAGATGATCCAGAGTGGCATGATGGATGATTTCTTGGTTCCTTTGTTTTACTGTGCGGTGCCGTGTGATTTCTTTTTTGACTTGTTGGATTTGTTCAGGTCAATATTGTTGCTGTGTGCTCATAGATATAATCTGGCGAGATACGCTGTAGACACAAATTGCTTCTGACGATGACGACAACACTTTCGCTCACAAACGTAGGAAGTGACTTCGGGAGCTAGACGGTCATGTCTTTGGAGCAGTATGAGTACGACTTGGCCTCGCTCGGCTCTAAAAACCCTCCGCTTTTGCTCCATCGCCTTCCGTCATTGTAAAAGCGGGGGCGGACAGATCTTCTAACTCTGCCCGGACCGGGTGGTGTTACTAAGACGGTGTCACCGTGTCCGCAATCATGTCCAGGTCACCTCGTGATGGTCGAAGCTTGTCGTCAGTCTGACCGAGTCAAAAGTTATTTAGAAGCAAGATCAATTCCCACAACTCGACTCATCCGACATCACTATCTCCAACTTCACAAGATGACGACCTCTCCTGCAGACTTGATCTTCATCACCGGATCTACCGGATTTATTGGCTCGCAAGTGACTGTTCTAGCCCTCGAAGCCGGCTATCGAGTGCGACTCAGCGTTCGTAAAGAACAGCAGATCCAGAAGCTCAAGCAGCTTTTCCACCAGTTCGTATCGAATATCGACTTCGTGGTGGTCCCTGACATTACGTCTCCCGGAGCTTTCGACAGCGTACTGGATGGTGTCCGCTACGTCTTTCACTTGGCTTCGCCAATGCCGGGAAAGGGCGCGGATTTCCGCAGTGAATACGCTGAACCTGCCGTAAGAGGGACGGAGACGATGTTGTCTTCTGCGGACAGGGCGAATAGCGTGGAGAAGGTCGTTATAATGTCCTCCGTCTTGGCTTTGATGCCATTAGGTGCGCTTGGGGCCAAAGAAGGCATCTTCAATGGTATGGCTTGACTCGGCGAACAATCGTTATATTTCCCTACTCACACAAATTAAACAGAATCTCCCAAAACAGACCTGTCCATAGATCTGGACATGGAATTCCCTGCAGGTCCAGAGGGTTCAGGTGCGATGTATCAAGCATCGAAGATCCTGGCACATCAAGCCACCCACGCTTTTAACAAGACGCACAAGCCCCATTATACCCTCGTCACTCTTCACCCATCATTTGTTCTTGGTCGCAGCCTGGTTCAACACTCTGCTGAGGAAATTGACGGTATCAACGCCTTTCTGTGGCAGTCACTCCAGCTTGAAACTCCTTTCTTCCCACCGGCCTGGGTTCATGTCAAGGATGTCGCAGAGGCCCACTTGAAGATTTTAGAGCTGGATATAGCGACTGGTGAAGAGTTCGTGCTTTCTGGTCACCCTTTTACCTGGGATGATGTCGCTACGTTTGTTAGGGAAAAGTATCCCGAGGTGAACACCAAACTGCAAGGGCCGTTCGACCCAAGCATTACTGTCGATTCGAGCAAAGCACAAAAGACGCTCGGATTCAAGTGGAGAACGATGGAAGATATGCTGGTCGATGTCATTGAACAACAACTTTCTTTCACTAACTAGGGGTAGTCGTGTTAGCAAAGAAAGCTGATGAGAATTCGGGACACGACGTTGTACGGCCAGAAAAGCGATTTGATTGGTCCACGGATTTCGAGATTCGGAGATTTTCCAGAGGTTCGCTGCGGGGGATGACCCTGTCCATATGATTATTACGGCAATAAATGATGATCACCGCTTCCATCATTAATCACTATCATGATAAATTATCATGATATCATCATTTACGATCAATACCTGGCTACACTGCTAGAATCCATTGGTTTGGTGCTTTAGAGCAATTAAGAAGCATGAATCAGTATTCGTTAACATGATTTCGATTAACAGTGGTAGGTACTCCGTACTGTATGCCGAATGTGATTTTAGCATTCGTCGATTCTTCGTATCTTATTCGCGTTTACGTTCGCGTCTAGCACCTCCTTCATGATATAGTTGCGTGCAAGTCCGACCAACAATTTTTCGTTTTTCTCTAAGAACATCAACACTTTGCAAAAGAAGGAGCGACCCATGGCAAACTTCCAAATAAAATAAAATAAGGATGCTTTTCATTATGAGATTAAGCATTTGCATGGAACGATCTCGTGTCAACTTTCAGTCTGCGCCGGGGATAGCAACGATTCTTAGTCCTTTATCCATTAGTATTGAGCAAGCGCTTTCTCATGCAAGAAGTCAGATACTATGGTTGTCAATAATCTGCAGTAAGTACTTGAATGCCGGTCATATGTGGCGAAGCTCACAAACGCAGGTTGACAAACACCATCACTGCAACTATAAGTTTAGCTCACAGGAATCCCGTTGCGCTCTTCTATCAACAGCTTTACTCCAACTAGAACGGCATCTACAAGCTCGATTGATGCTATAACTACTTTGAAGGTATATGAATCGACTGCTGCGTCCGCAGAGGAGATCCGAGTTTACCTGTCAAGAGATCCAGAATATCGCAGACTGGACGAACTGCAGCAGAAGGTAAGTTAGCAAGACCGAGAAAGCCAGGAGCATGACTGACAGCATCCTTTAGGGTTGGAGCAATCCAGCGGGCGACCATTTCTTTGCAGAGAGGCGCTACAAGTCCGACAACGCGAGTAAAGCAGTTCAGAGGAGTCTTCTTGGGATGATGATCAATATTGGACGTGACCTTCAAGGCAAAATTGGCGCTTTTGATCTACCCAGCAACGGCGACCGCCCGGTGATATTGGACCTTTGCATGGCCCCTGGTGGATTAGTCACGTTCGCATTGGAAGTCAACAAGTCTGCAAAAGTGGACGCATTCAGTCTGCCTTCGGTCAAAGGAGGTCACAACGTCATGATCAACTATGGGCCACAAGACGAGCGGGTCAAAGTGAAATTCATGGACATCACCATGTTTGCAGAGGAGTTTGGATCTCCTGTCGACAACAAGCACCATCTGGACTGGACGAGCTTGAGACAAAAGTGGCCATATCATACTCCTCACTACGATCTAGTCATCTGCGATGGCGTTCCTATGCGTGGTCAGAATCTCGACGACAATGCCATCAGTGTACAGCCCATGCGGCTCACCTGTGCTGAGTTGTATCTCGGACTGAAGAAAATCCGACGTGGCGGAACCTTGATCGTGCTTCTACACAGAATCAACAATGTCAGGACATTCCGGATCATCAAAATGCTGCATGGATTCAGCTCCGTTCAGGTCTTCAAACCCACCAAATCTCATGCAATCAGATCTTCGTTCTATCTGGTAGCCAAGAACGTTCAATCTGACTCTTCAGCTTGCCTGAGAGCTATGAATCTGTTCAAAACCGTCTGGGAATATGCTACCTTCGAGAACACCAGCCAAGAGACGTTCAGGTTGTGTACTGAGCTTACTTTAAAGGAGCAGTCATTGTCGACTGAACTTGAGGAGTTTGGCCCATGGTATACCGAGCTGGCTCGTCCGGTCTGGAGGACACAGGCGGATGCTTTGGCTGTTGCGTCTTTCACCCAGAATCACGATGCTGCCTCTTAGTCTGCTATCGCATCTGATGAGACTTGTGAACCCGTCTCGGTTGGTTGACTCGGCTGTACGCACTACTTGACAGGGCTTTGCAGGTTCGACAGCGCTTGCCGCAAGTCTGATAATGTCTTTGGATGAAACAATGGGTGCTTCAAGCCCGCAAGCGGCACCACTATCACAGCTCTCAGACTGTTCTTCTTTTTACACTTCCATCGATAGTTCGTCAGGCAGTAGTCAAAGCATGGAGACAGAATGCAATCCAGAATCCATGGGTTTGGTGCTTCGGAGCAATGAAGTAGCATGAATCCTGTAGCATAATTTGAAGACAACCAACATGCCTTGTTCAGCATGAACTTTCCGATATCTCGTTCGGTAATGATAATCTTGAATTTGCAACCAACGATTGACAAGAATGATTGATGTCATGTTTGAATACAGTACATTCAACGTGTACAAATCCATGTGAGATGCAATCTTGCAATAAAACTGAGTCGAGCACATTCCAAGTTTTGCATGGCGTCAAGTACCGCTATGTTCCCTTAGGTTGTGATTCCGCTTCGTTTCCGGCGCATTGCCTCCCAACGTGGTGACAGATATGATGAGAACATCTGAGGGCGCTGTGTGATGTGAGGCCTAGAAGAAGTCGACACCGAAGATTATAAGTGCGCAGCTTCTGGTCTCGATTGGATACCATATGGCCATTCCTGCCATCATCTTTGGTTCGAATCGGCCTGACGCAGGCGTAACTTTGGCCCCCATCTGTCGATTGTCGTAACTTCGAATTCTTGCTGCCAATCGTATGTGACAATTTCGTCTCCATGTTCCTTGGACAGCTCATGCCCACAAGCTCGAATGGCATCCTTCGCCTCTTGCATAGCTTGGCCAGCAGATTCATACTCGCCTCTCCATGCTTTGAGAATGACCGAGCCGAGTAATTTCTCGTCTATTTGTGGCCAGGCGTCAAAGTTGCCGAGTGACACATCATGACAGAAAGAAATGTGTTTATCGAAATCTTCCGTCCCACTTGTGACATGACCCTCTATACCCATGTGCATTAGCAATGGGTCTTTGTTGCCAGTCATGAGAGCGAACATCCAACTAGCCCAGTCGAAAAGATCGTTCTTCACGCTGCCAGGATCATCAGCGTCTGCTGCCCACGACGATTCTAAAACCATAGGTGGTGATTTACGACCCGGTATCAGAGGTTCGGTACAGCCGGCGGATGTCATATTCGCAATAGCAATGGAGTAGTCTACGCGAAGCCAGAGATTGTTGCCCACATTGTTGAGGAAGATGTTCTTCTGATGCAGATGGTCCAGAGCAGACAGCATTTGTAGTGCCCAGCGCTGGTAGAGAGCCAGAACAACGTCGTTGTGATGAGAATATGGGCACTGTAGATCGAGTCCTATTGAGCTGTGGCTCAGGCGCTCGAGGCGGTAACCGGAGTTCGTTGTGCCTAAGTACTTGACAATGCGCGGGTGGAAGGTGTCATGTCCCGAAAGAATGTCGTAAATTTGGACGACTGCGTCAAGTCTTTCCCGTGGATCGTCATCATCAACTCGTGTTTCTCCGAAAATGACAGTACCGTCCGCTTGCTCTGATAGGAAAGTTGACGGAAATAGGAGGGCCGTATGACCATCATTTGCCGGTAGGATGTAGTACTCTTCGTTAAAGTCGTCTTTGATTTCGCTCAATTCAGGCGTTAGGCTCGCTTCCAGTGGAGCGCGCTTATTGGAAGTGGCACCCTGCACGTTATGAGGCACATCTGTGACCGACGGCCCGGCTTCGATATTTCTAGCAGTTTCGCCGTCGGAGCTCTGGTATAGCGATTCAAAGATGGCGCGGATAATGTGGGACATTGTTGGTGTTTCTCGGACGAAGGATCAACGAGGCCTTTCAATCAACGAGGCCGGCTATCTCCGGCATAATTATAGTCATCTCTCTTTTTTCTGGCGCCTGGTCGTAATGAATTAGTTGATAGTTGCCATTTTTTGGTAGGAAAATATAAGCGCAACTACTTTCGTGCGTCGCTGTGGATGATGAGGATCACCACCGCGTCACGTGTTTGCTTCTAACTCGAGTGCTGCCTCGAGGCCCTACAATCGTTTCACATTTGATCTCACATAAACCTTTTTTCTAACTGTACTGCATAGAATGGACGCCAACAATTGTCGCAGGTCCTATGGCTCCATTGGATAAAGAGGTTGGGCACCTAGAGTTTAGAACATTTTAGCTGTGAGATCGCTTCTTTTGGTGTTCATCGCACTCTCGTGAATCTACGTCTCTACCTATTGAAATGACCCTAGTCCGTAGATTGTTGAGTCAAATACTTAGACCAAAACAGATGTCTGTGCAAAGCTGGAAATGCCCTTGTAGTCATGTTTCAACACGACATTCTACTTTTGGTGTTGAAGAACAATATATTCTGGAATACATTGATAGAGAGAAAGAATCGAATGTTGAATTATTGGAACTGACTACCTTCGGAACGGCGAGCCCGATAGCTCTCGAGGTTCCTGCCAACGGTCATATGCTTCTACTGGAGACCGCCTCGGTTGCTCAGCAAGCTCATAAGACGGCAGGTGAGGAGCGCGAGGCCGCTGATCTGTCTGAGACGAGCGTTCACTCTTCCGATCACCCGAACTATCAGCTAGGTAGTTGGACCTCTCCTCGGCCTTTTGTTTCTTGGATCGATTGTGGTGGCGTCGCCATAAGACAAAGGCTCCAATTAGTAGAGCCGCAACTCCGACACCAATACCGACGCCAACACCGATGACGACTTTACTACTTCCAGAAGAGCCAGAGGGACTGGTCGTTGCTGTGGAGCTAGTGCTTGGTGATTCAATCATTGTACTCGCGGGCGAGACGAGGCTAGTGGTGGAAACAGATCCCGACGTAGATGAGGACGAGGAGGACGAGGAGGACGAGGGAGACGAGGAGGATGAGGAGGAGGATGTGGGGGATGCGGATGTTGTAGGAGATGCTGAACTCGAGGTTTCCGAGGTGACCGCCGCAGTGGAAGTGATGTTCGAAGTGTGTTCGGAGGTGGTTTGGGATGCTAAGCTCGAAGCCGTCGAAGTGGTGGCAGGTGTATCGCGGAGCCAGAATTGTCCTGACCAAAAGCCGCCCAATGCTCGCTGCTCTTCGGTGCCTGTGGCGTTGACCGCATGAAATGTGAAAGGCAGCGAGTTGTTGCCATGATCATCTACAATCCAGACATAGAACTCTTCTGTGGTGTGGACTGCCAAGTATCAGTATGTAGCGAAAGTTTTGAGTCTTGAGTAACAGTACGTGTTGCAATGAACGAATCTGTGTAGTCAGTTCCGAATATGAGGAACAGATTGACGACCTCGTAAGTTGTAGTCCAAGTAACGTTAATTTTATTGGATCCGTAAACAGCCCATCGGTGTACTCTTGTGCTTCAGGTAATGTAGTGGTCTGGCCCTGGACGATGATAGCAAAGAGCAACAACAGCATGAATCTAACACCAGTGTAAAAGCTGGACTGATGCATCGCGAGCTATTCGAAACATGAATGGAGACGTAGAGAGAGGTTTAGGAGTCAAGTAGGAGAGTCACCGTTGGTGATTGATGACCTGATTTATGAGCCACACTTCCTGGCCTGAGCCTTGCCATGCAGTTGACTGGCCCGTATCCAATTGTTCTTCCGATGGTGCCAATATCAGCACGGTGTTGCTGATTTGACGCATTTGCAAGAAACTATGGCCCTAGGTTGCCGAGCAGACAGAATTGAGCGAGCGGCTCTAGGACTAATCTGTATGGCGCGCTTGAACGCATGCTTGCCTTTCTTCGGGCGGCAGCGCCAAACTCCAACACGACAAATCTATGCAGATGTGGTGCACCTGCATCTACATTGAGTCTTCTGCCACAGGATCCAATGTTAGAAGGTACGAAGGGACATGCTTTCAAACCCCTCGGTTACAAAACATGAATGGATCTTCCAAGTGCTGGAAACAGATGGTCTGAGGTTGCAGCTGGGCCGAGATGACGAGATGACGAGGCACGGTCCACAGCGCTTGCGCTTGCTTACTAAGCCGATCGGCTGTCTGATAACGACATGCAAACCCGAGACATCGGTTCGCGACAAGCCTCCGTCAATGTAACTATCATCCTTCCTTGGAAACATGAATATCTGCGGCGGCTTCACAGCCAGTGTGGTTGGCTACATCATCCGCTAGACGCATACGTCTGAACTATAGCCGCTCATGATTCGACAGCGATCAACTGTAGCATGCCTCTATTGTTGGTACACGCTTGGCGTTTGACATCTATTGCAGGCCATCCAAGAGTTTCTGCGCCACTGTGATGGCTATCCGAGCCAGTCTCCTAGCACCATGCCCGTCTCGCACTCACTATCCTGACTGCGCGCTGAGAAGTCGTTGCCTGGATTTCAATCAAGAATGCGAGCACTTGTATCTCTCAGCTTTCAAGCACAATCCTTTCATTTTGATATACAATGCTTTCTATGGGTCATTCAGTAAGGTCTTTGAAGCCTTTCCCGTTCTTTTCACTGCGAAGGTCTCAGGCATACTTCCGTGCGATTTTCCTGTGTATCTTTCTTTTGCTCTTCTGGCTAAATCTTCCTCTGCTCGCCCGCTTGGAGAAACGAATAGTCAGAGATGACTATACGACGGTATTGCCTGGTCCTGCTTGGAACACCCTTCCTGGAGCAAATGACACACTTGTAATTATGAGAACAGGGTCAACGGAGCTGCAAGACAAGTTGCCTATCCACTTGGCTACGACTCTGCTTCGCTATCCCAACAGCCTCGTATTTTCTGATTTTGAGGAAGATTATGAACAGCACCACATCATCGATGCTTTGGAGAGCGTAAGCACACAATTAAGAGAGACAAATTCAGATTTCGACCTGTGGCGACGCCTGAAGCAATCTGGCAGAGCAGTTCTACGACCAGACGAACTTAGCGGAAAAGCAGTTTGGGTGGATCAGGGTACCGGGAAAGCCAAAAACCCTGGCTGGTAAGAATCCAGCTCATAAATATCCCGTGTAAGAAGCTGACCCCTTCCTGTGTCTAGGAAATTAGACAAGTTCAAATTCCTGCCAATGGTCAACCGCACTTTGTTTGAGGTTCCAGACAAGAAATGGTATATATTCGTCGAGCCGGATACATTCATCTTCTGGCAAACTCTACTGGCTTACTTGTCCCACCTCGACTGGACCAAGCCATACTATCTCGGAGGACAGATTAATATCGGCGGTATAGAATTCGGCCAAGGAGGAAATGGCTATGTCATCTCTCGTCCCGCTCTGGAAAAAGTGGTGTCTCATTACCAGACTCATCAGAAAGAGTATGAAGACTTTACAGAAGGCCACTGGGCTGGCGATTGTGTACTGGGTAAAGCTCTCAAAGACTCTGGGATATCACTCACGCGTGCCTGGCCCATCTTCCAGGGCGATGATATTGGAAACATGAACTACAACCACCAAACACAGTGGTGTCAGCCAACCGTGTCTTATCACCACGTCTCCCCGTCAGAAATTCAAGACTTGTTCGATTTTGAGAAAGCCTGGATGACAGACACAGCAAATGTAACATCACCAAAACTCCAAAATCATGACTGTTTTTGCTAACCTATCTTGACAGGACACCACCAGCTTCCTTCGTCACAGAGACGTGTACAGACTATATGCTCTTCCACGCATGACTGCTCCACGGGTAGACTGGGACAATCACAGTAAAGACGACCGAGGCCCGACGGAATCCTTGGAGAGTTGCCGTGTACTCTGTGAGGCAGACAACGCTTGCCTTCAATATACATACAATGCCGAGAGCAGATGTCTGACAACAGCTCGACCCAATGTAGGGCAAGCTGCTTCCAACATAACGTCAGGCTGGATACTCGAGCGGGCACAGAAGTTTTACGATGAAGCGGAAGAGTGTCATGATGTGAATTGGATATCTTGATGCGTTGCGAGTGCTACGATTTTTGAACAAATTAGAGGCATGCTATATCGAAGAATTGTATTTCTCATCTTAACGACGTCCACTAACGTTGAAATATCTCAAACATCTTTCAACCAACCATCATCATGAGAAACACCCATCTCCTCGGATAGTATGATAAGCACATCAAGCTCTAAAACAAGCATCAATTGCCTGAGAAGCCTCCAGGAGTTTTTCGTCATGGTATCGCCTGGCAACAATCTGGACAGCTAGAGGCGCACCATGAACTTTTTCAGCCGAATCTAGAGTTTTTATCAGTCTCTGACGTAAGACCAGGGTTTTTGAAAATACCCACAAGGATGTTCTGGATCTTGAGTCGCCAGGTCTTCCGTGTCAATTGTCTCATCTGCCTTCATGAATGGCACAATAACAGCCGGAAACTGTTGAGAGTTTGTTAACAGGATGAACGGAAGATCTGAAAGGCACGATCTCACCTCAAGAGCATTCCAAGCGGCTGTGTAAGGAACCATGCCAAACGTGTCGTGCGGAGGCGCTGTCGTCTGCGCCCCGAGACACAATACCACGTCGATGTTCAGATTCACGAATACTTCATTCCATCTTCTTTGATAATCTCGTTTACGGACATTCAGATCAAATACATCTGAGCCAGGTGCGTTTCCTCCTCGCATTAGAAGGGCTTGGCTACCCACCAGGGTACGTTTGAGACTTTCAGTCATAGGTTCTCCAGAGACAGCTATGAATTGACCTGCTTGTTGTGTAGGATCCAGAGCATAACTCTCGTAAGCGATGATGAGGCCCTCGTCCAGACTAGGATTTTTAGAATCAAGCTCGATCACCTCATGTCCGGCATCTGCCAACTTACGGGCAGCGGAATCAAGGGCACGTCGTACAGGCGGCCATGCTGGCCATTTCGAGTCTTCCTTGAGCAGACCAACGCGGAGTTTGCTGTTCTTCTCTACACCAGTAGTGTTCCAAGGAACAGCCAGTGCTTGCGCATCTAGATCCCAAGGTCTGGCGTCGATGACAGATTTCATGAGCAGCTCCAGGTCTACCAAAGAATTGGCCAAAGGACCAGCGGCTGCGGGAAAGCCGGGAGATCCCAACCTGCCAGCAGACGTCTGACCACTGTACGGAATACGGTCTGAAGATGGCTTGAAGCCGTAGATGCCATTGCAAAGTGCCGGTATACGAATGGAGCCGCCTATGTCGGTGCCGATGCCGAGGATGCTACCTCGCATGGAGACGCAGGCGCCTTCTCCTCCAGAAGAACCACCGGCACTGAGACAAAGCCTGTGAGGATTGAGAACTCTCCCGAAAATATGGTTGTCGGAATCAGCCGTCCGAATTGCTCAATGTAAGAATCATACTCGTACTCGTTTGATCTGAACCATCAGTACTCACCATGAGTGTTTGGGGAATGTTTGTCTTGACATGTAAGACGGCACCAAGGCTCAGAAGTATATCTACCAAAGGAGAGTTTTTGTCTGCTGGAGCGTGATCAATGAAGGAAACATAGCCAAGAGTACTCTGTACACCGGCAACGTTGAAAGAGTCCTGAGATGGTCAGCCTGCCTGATGGAGGGTCGAAAATCCACTAAAGCTCTCCGCATATCCTACCTTGATACTGATTGGCAGTCCATGAAAAGGTCCTATAGGGTGCCCCTCGTTCTCCATATACTCGTCCAAGAATCTTGCTCTCTCCAAGGCCTGATCGAACATGATCTCAGTAAGACAGCTCGTCAGTTGCTGTGCGATAGCCGCTCGCTTGCAAAAAGCAGTAGCAACATCGAGCGCCGACAGCTTGCCAGTCGCGAGAGCAACAGCTAAGGAAATGGCAGTGTAGTTTTCGGTGATGGCAATTTCTTCCGGCGATAAAATGCCACACTTGGCAGGAATGTCCAGGACACTTTCTGGGCTGGACTCTGTTCCTATGAGAAATTCTTCACGCAGTATGAAGGCTTTCGGGATTCTCGCGTCGACTTGAGCTCGCTTGATAGTGGCCTTTTCTTGCCATGGCTCCGGTGCCGAGATAGACATCGTGGTCTTTGAAGCTTCTTAAAATGTTTGGTTGTGTTGATTGTCAGGAGAAACTCCCAGAATTCGAGATAGAGCTGCGATGTGGGTGTTCTTATAGTGTTTGTTCTCGGCTTGGCATAGTGGACTGCGATTTGAGGACCGAGGTCGATGGCAGTCAAAACGATAAGGAATTGGGAGTCTGGTGAGGAAGGAAGGAAGGCCGACCAATGACATGGCTTTGCGCGAACCCCGCATACCTACGAGATCAAAATAGCAGCAGATGATTACTGGGTATTGTAGCGGTCAGGGCCTTGACGAAGCTTCACGACTCCTGGATCAAGAGAGTAGTTGCTGCTACGTCTTTCAGCTGTTGAATGATACAATGTGTCGACCTCTTTTGCATAGCGATACATAAATCAGTAGACAACTTCATCAGTACCGGTCTTATCACACTGAGTCTTTTGAGGTCATCTTCAGGCTCATGTGGATGATCCCATGTTCCTGTTCTGCTTCAGTCAAAGGTATTGCTCCTCGCCCAACGATCGTTCCCATTCCTGCCTTTGGACGCCTTGGCGATTGATCAAGTACTAGAAGTGTGATAATCTCTCGAGAGACAGATGGTCTGTATATCGTGAAGCATATTGTGCTCTTCAAGACCCATGTCGTAAGTCTTCATCGGACGTTTTCCAGAAGATTGCTCATTCATAAAAAAGCCATATCTGTTGCCAAGCACAGAAGCATGCATGGTTGATAAAAGAAACACATCGCTATCATGAATGGTTTAGTATCATTTTATCAGCCATATCATCAGCTTGCCCTAACTTGTGCGAATCCAAACACGCTTTCGCCGTGGGTAGCGTTCGGCGTTCGGCTGAGAGATATGTCAGATAATGTATCGAATCTTGTAGCCTCCATGCGTAGTAGTATAGTAACTGCTATTGCGCAGATTTCTTGTGCGTAGAATTCTTCCCCAGTGTCAATACCCTTGATTGCAAGGCCTGCAGTGTGCTGTCTCATTGTCGCCCCGATGACGACGCTTGGTCGCAAGGAAAGGAAGACGATGGCTGCGAGGTGCCAAAAGGACGAAATTCAACATCCACGCGGCGCTCGACACGTGCAGTAGATGATTCTGATGACGTTCGGCCTTTGCTTGGTTTTCGAGCAGGTCGAAGAACGTTCCTTGTGGTTGGAAGATGCCGAAGACGGCAAGTACAATCAAGGCGCAAGCGCCGGCCGAGTTCCTTGATTCCCCGCTCTTCTCCCGTCCCTTCAACGACTTCCCGCGCCATCAGTCTCGAAAAGTTTCTATTTTCAACCACTTCAAGCAACAATTGGTCTTGAAAACTGTTGATCAGCTTCAATCTCAAACATACTAAGATTTCGGGACAGCTGTCTGCGCGTGAGCTAGGCTATGCGGCGACTTCGCGTAGGTACCACAATCGTCATGGGATGATCTTATGAACAAAGACAGCCTCGAACTTGCAGTCATAAAATATATTAAGGGACCAGATGAACGTCAGTTGACTTGGCTAATTGGCAGTACTCGAATCAACTACCGCTAGCGGATCTCTTGGTGATGCTGAATGCTCGGTCTCTGCCACTTGAATCCTTGCAATGGTTGCGGTATAACAATCTAATAGGCTCTTGATCTCCACCGAAATTTCTTGAAAGCCAGAACTGACGAGCCGTTCCTCAAGTCTTGCAACCGATGGTCGTGGCTATGGTCGACCTCGACAGAGAGATGACGCTCGTGCAACCAAGAGAATGCTGGCCTTCAACCAAGATGTTCAAGAGTGCGAGACGGGTATAAAGAAAGCATGCCTGTCGTCCAGAAGTTCTGCTTGGATCACTACCATCTCTTCCTTCCATCTACTATCTTCTCTCCAAACATCAAATCTTTCAACATGCTTGCCGCAACTATCATCACAGCCTTCATCGGCAGCTCCATCGTCGCAGCTGCTCCTGCCGATGTATCGGCTCGTCAGCTCACCATCTGCAGCGGAACATACAGCAATGCTCAATGTTGCGCCACCGATGTCCTCGGTCTTGCCGACTTGAACTGCGCAAACCGTGAGTAACAAGTCCACTACCACTACCTCTCAGTTACATATGTTGACTCCAATCTTTGCAGCCCCGACCACTCCTACTAGCCAAGAGGACTTCATCGATATCTGTGCTACCGAGGGCCAGCAGGCTCGTTGCTGCGCGCTGCCAATCGTAAGTCGCATGCGCCTTCACGTGAATCCTAAACACGTCGAGCTAACACATCTTCCAGCTTGGTCAAGCTCTGCTGTGCGGTTCGCCCCTGGGTTGATTGATTCTGAGGCAGAATACAGTAATCTTGAATTGACAAAAGAGAGGCAGGACCTCTTTTGTGGTTACTCGACAGACCAGAGAAGCATGTATTGAAACAATAAATATTGACGTTTTCCTTTTCCACAAATGATTCGCAGATATGTCAAATATTCGAAGTGTGCAACATGGTCTTTTACAACCAAGTTTATCGATCGTGCATGCCTGACTCGGCGTTGCTTTCCAGGTGCCGACATTTCACAAGTCGCTCGCCGCTCTGGACACCTGGTTTCACATGTCTTGCCAAATTGTTGAAAACACAACAACTAACAGGCACTTGCCATGAAATCAGCGAAACGGGTTGCACAGACGGCATATCTAACAAGATATCCCAGCGCTTGGCCAGATTGGTATGCTGTACAAGACCGTCAGCCACGAGGCCCACATGGTGTACGTCTTCTTATCCGCCTCAACATCTCTCAACAACAACAGTCTTATAACCACCACACCACCGCTTCCAGTACAAGTCGCCCAGCCCATCAACCCACACCTCCAAATCATAGGACAGACCACCATCCAGAAAAACACTGGAACGGCAATACTCCATCTAGCCACTCTATCCCCAACAACCAGCGGCACAGTACATCTCCCCCTCTTCTTGTCACCCTCCTGATCCTTCATATCTTGAACATGCATGGTAGTGAAGATGACCAAACTGACCATGGCAGTCCAAGCATACCCTTCTATTTTCACAATCCCTCCAGACCCAATAGCGACTTTCAGACTTCCCAAGTTGTATAAGAAATACGCGACACTGAGATGTAAATTCCGAATCCAGAAGTTAACATCGCCGCCGCGGAGATCGTTGTACATCCAACAGAGCACAAATAGCGTGCAAGTTTCGATATACACACCGAGATAAAAAGACGATATGAGTACAGGGGGAATGACAGCGAGTAAAAGTTTTCTGGCATCGGTTCGGGATATCCTTTTTGCCAGGATAGGTCGCCAAGGTTTGTTGATTGCATCTTCTTGTTCGGCGCCCGGGCTGCTTTGATTGGCCACGTCGAAGACCAGACAAGTCTGGACTGCAAACATCAGGACTTTAGGTATGTTTGAGAGGACGGGAGAAGGTTTTGCCCATGTGAGATCTGACGATGATGAAGTCAAAGTATTAGATCCAGCGGCACAGAGACCAAAGACACAGCTCGGGATGATAAAGGTAGGGATATCTGATTTCAGAAAGAGCCAAACGGTGTATATATGGAACCGGACCGTTTTTATGAAGTGAAAGATGGTTGATGTCAAGACAATTCGACACGTCTTGGATGAAACCAGCTTAGATTCCAAGGGATAAAATTGCGAGATTTGCATGTTTGGTTAGCGAGCTGAGTGCTGTTATCGAGAACTCCAGAAACCAATCGTGCAGTTGAAGCTTGACTATTTGTATTGGATTCAGATGGGTGGCCATTTGTATTGGATTCAGATGGCTGGCCATTTACTGTATGGGGCTGAGGCTACCTGACTGCATGTCAGCCAACCAACCCTATCACTAATGAGGAACTACCAGTGGCTGCATAAATTCCGAAACCAGCGCTACATCCCACTAGTGCTTACTCGAAAACAATCTGAAGTAGACAACATGTCATTCTTTCCGAATCAAATCTGTGCCAACAATATGTTGAACTCCCTCCCAATTGTCGGTTGATAAGAGGAAATTAACCGGATGGTTATATCCTCGAAGCATCTAGTTCTCTCGAAGTTAAGTTCCTCTGTACATGGGCATCTCATGAGCTGATAATGCCTCTCCGATTCCTGCGTCTACAAATCTCGATATCACAGGGGTATGGATCTGTCTCTTTCTGCAATACTGGTCTACGCCAGCGCAATCACATCCTTATGACTAGGATCTTCCAGAAAAGTGGTTGTAGGAAACAAGAATATATAGCACAGTGAAAGTACACCCGAGAGGTAAGCCGATGTAAATTTACTACTACACATCTGTACAACAAAGGATATGGAGAAATCCATCTTGCTCATATATCTCAGCCATCAACAGTTTACATGGTACACACCGAATGAGTACATTCGCAGAAAAGTTGGAAGCGCCTGAGGGTATGATCTTGTGGGCTTGGATCTTCTGATCTTTTGAAGTATAATGTAATGTCTGATTGATACGAATTGTTGAACATCTCCATGAAGTTGGGATGACTGAGTGACATCTCGTATGCTCAGTTGGGACTATGACTGCCGAGATGTGATTAGATGGCAAGAAGTGCGACTAGGCAGAAAGAGACAACACAAAGAAAGTGAATGATGACCGTAATGCTTTTATTATATACCAAGTTTGACAACTTCACCGTCCTTGGCTTCATTATCATGCGAGAGTTTTTATATACAAAATACCCTTCTTCTATCCTTCAACACTGAAGAAAACACTCTAACCATAGTTGAAAGGGTTTCTGCAAAGTGGACAAGTACTCGCGTTACTGGTCTTGAACCACTTGAACAAACAAGAACTGTGGAACAAGTTCTTGCAAGTGCTGCAACGCTTGCTGGGCAATTGTCTGTCGCCAGAGATGATGCTGTAGCAAATAGCACACTCCGATTGTCCCTTGAGAGCGCCGGTGACATTGCGTCGCCATGTGGTCAGACCATCAATGAGATTGCCATTGCTGAATTGAATGACACCTTGGCAATTGCGCAGCCAGGACTGCCATTTGCGTTCGTCGGCAGCGACACGGTTCAAACCTTCAACTCTGGCACTTGCCAAGGGGTAAGTCTCTGGCAAGCGAATGACAATGGACATGGTCTGCTCGTCGACGAGGTATGAGAACTGTACTTCGCGACTGCGAGGCGACACCTTGACGCTCCAGCCTTCATATTCTGGGTCTGTCTTGACATCATCTGCCCATTGGGAGACAGAGTCCAGAGATGCCGAGACTATTAGAGGAGCGATGTATTTGGCTGTCCAAGTCTCGACTGCCAGACCAGTTTGGCGCGACTTGATCGTCAAGTATTCTGCCTTTGTGAGTGAGGGAACGTGCATCAAAGCTTGGTAGTATAGGTGAGCCAGAAGCCAGTGCATACGCTTGTCTGCACTCAAGCCCTCGAGATCGCCTTGCTGATCGAGGTAGTCGTAACGGCGGATATCATACTTGGACACATCGATAGGGCGGCCGCGAACATGACCTAGAAGCTCCCAAGTCAGATCAAGTAGATTACCAAGGTACTCGCCTTCACGCAGGGCCTCAACATAATCTGACTTGACCTGATAGCTGGAGTTGGTAAAGTGGTCAAAGATAAGCTGCCAGCTGTAAAGGTATGCTTGCAGTTCCTGCGGGATGCCCGTACGGAAAGAAGCGTCCGCTAAGCTGTCAAGCGTGGGCGGTGCAAGCAACAGGGACAACAGCTCCTCGGGGAGTTTTGCGGCCTTCTTCTCGAGAGCGGCGTCGAAAGAAACCTGCTCCTGTGCTGCGGGAATGACACGGTGAAGGATGCTGAACGCAGTCCTTTGCAGAGCCTTGGATGGCGTGTAAAGCAGAGGGTACAGCTCAGCTTCATCCTCGACCTCACCAGTTGACCACTTTCCAACTTCGCTGCCCAGAGCCTGGAAAAGTGTCTTCAGGGGTTCATGGTGCTCGTCAGACTGTCCTCGACCCTGTCTGACAAGGTTCATCAAGCCCATGTAGGCAACCTCCGAGCTCTCCTTCCAGGCATCAACAAGGTCATCGTTCGGCTCTTCGCTTGACTTGAGATCACGAAGGGTTGAGAAGAGCTGAAGAGTGGTGCATACCAAGGCCATGCGACTCTCGTCAGCGACTTCATCCCGAACGAAGCCCAAGTCCCATGTGTGAGTCAAAAATGCCAGGATTTGTGACCAATGTTCACCATAGATGTCACTGACTCCTGGCAAGACGAAGAGCAAAGCTTTGCAAGTCTCAGCCTTGATGGGAGTAACAACATCATCATCGTCTAGCCATGGCAATACATGCTTCATGAAGAAGATGAGGCGCTGCTTAGCAACAACACTGTCAGCTCGCTTGCTATCAGGGAATAGTGCGTTCAGCATCACAAGCTGAGTGATGGCTTTCTCTGGATTTTGAGTCGCATCCAAGCCAGTGAGATCGGCAACCAGCTCGTTAGTCTGTCTGTCGAGTTTCTTGCTATCGGATAGAGCCTCTTTCAGACCACTAGCACACGCTGTAAAAGGCACAACATCTTTTGCCTTGTAAAGCTGCAAAGTCTTGTCTTCGTACTCTTGAACCTTGGGGTGACCACCGCCGTGGATGGATTCAAGATCACCAAGTGCGTGGCTTAATGCTTGAGCATGGTAGAAAGCGGATGTACTGCTGCCCATGGAATGCTCAAAGAAGTTATCAAGAGCTGTACCGACGAACACATAAGACGACGTTTCAGACGCATCTTCGTACTGCTGGAAACAGTCACCAACCAACTTGTTTGCTTCGTTCACAAATTCAACCACCTCAGCCTCGGTCTCTGGATTAGGAGAGGCAAGACCACCTTGTGCCGTGAGAGAGATGCTTTCAGTCAGGAGAATGTGAGTGATATAGAAGAGCTGGAACAGTTCTGCTTGTGTTTTTGGTTCCAAAGCTTGGAGTAGGGCGTTGTTGGAGAACACTCTCGAGGTATACATGGCAAATCGCAAAGCTTGTGATAAGCCATCGCCATCTCTGAGGATTGGAGAAGAACCTGACTTGTTCTCAGGATCTACCAGATAAGTCGCACCGCCTAACACACTAGTGATGGCAAGAGCGATAGAGGGTGGAGTCCTGATGAATGGTGCAATGGAGGAGTTCCAAGACTCTAGATCAGGAAGAGCTTGCTGTGCAACTTCCTGCTTCTTTTTCTCGAGATCGCTTTCCTTGATGAGGTTAGCGGCCATGTCAAGAACTTGTGGCATTGGCAGAGAGCTCGGTGAGACGTCCCTCAAGCTTTGATGAACAACGTCGAAGAGGATAGTCTGAGAACCAGATCTGTCTGCATCAGTGACGATGCCCTTGCTGATGGTGGAGGCTTTAGCAGCCAACAATTCGTCAGCAGACTCTTCCAGCAGCAAGAGGTTGGGTAAAAGTTGAGATCCGTTAGGCTTCCTAATATGCTCTTTGACAAGAGTTTTGTTGCTTCTCGTAATCTCTTGCAGACCATCGAGCGCAGAGCCAGCCTTTTCCGAGACAGAAAGCGAAGTAGTGAGGTCTGCCAGCATCCCATCAATGGTCTCCGTAGAGGCGACGCTAGGTGTACCTTTGAGAATACCTGAAACGAAGCTCCATTGAGCTCCTGTATCTAAGCTCGACTTGAATGAACGCTGGAGGAAAGCCTGAATATCACTGTTCTTGGCAGCAAGCTCGGCAGCCGGTTTGACTCTTGGAGAAGCCAGCAGATTACGGAAAGCGTCTAGCTTCTCATCCGAATCTGGGCTATTACCAAGAGCGTTGGCAGCCTTGTTCCATGCCTCGCCAAAGCGAGAGTCGTTCTGGAAGTGATACAGTAGAGAGACAAGTTGCCTTTGAGAGGGTGACGACAGCATTTCTGGTAGGTCCTCAATCACGAAGGTAGCGATGGTATCTTGTGTTTCCTGATCCTTTGCAAGCAGCGTCTTGCAATGGTTCTGCAGCTCATCTACTGCGGCAGCAGCGCCATATGGCTTTCCATTCCTAGATCTGAGCAATTCGAGAGATGCCTTGACGATGTCCTTGGTTGATTGCGAAAAGACACTTTGCAAAGATTCCGGAACCTGATACTCTTCACGAAGGAGCTCTGACTGGAGCAAAGCCCATCGTTCTGCTGCAGAAGCGACATGTGCTTGTGACTTTTCGAAGTCCTTGGACTGCTCAGGAAGTGATGTTCGAATGTCCTCAACCAAGAGTGTGGCATATTCAGGCCACTTCTTTTCCAATACGGAAGGCAAGCGCTTACAGAATGCAGCTTTCGAGACGTTCCAAGCAGGCTTAGCACCAGAGATCAACCAATCAGCAGTGCTAGGGGATGGTCGCAGATACTGCTCAATTGCAGGAATGGCCATCTTGCTCAGCAGAGTTTCATGCTCCTCATCGGACAATGACGCAGAGTCTTGGACCAAATCCAGAATCTTGAAGTAAGCAAACCATGCTGCAGACGCGTTGAAACGGTCGTCCTTTTGGCCAACACCATCATGCACTGCATTCAACAGTTCTTCGGCTTCTGAATACTTCTGTGGTAGAACCTCTGTAGGGAGTTTGCTAAACAGTAGCCAGGCGTTTGTCCAAAACTCGGCAGGTCCAGCCTGAGAACCACGCTTGATACAGCCTCGCAATCTCGTGCTAGCAGGCTTCTTGGATGTATAGCTTGTAGTCCAAGCTTGCGGCAAAGCATCCGTGAGTTCGACCAGTGCCAGCATAAAGTCGTATGAGGAGCCGGTCTGATCGTGTGGGAGGGCTTTGGAGATGTAGGCTTCGCTAATAGTCGAAAGGTTCGCCTCAACAGCGGTTCTCTGTTTGGTCAAACATGTGCGCAAGAAGCGGTGGATAGACCTTCTTACGACCACGTCCTCCTTGTAAGAAGCCAATTCCCAGATCTTGTTTTGAGCAATGATGCTCTCATATGTCTCCTGTTGCTTGGCCACGTCCTCTGAAGCAAGATCGTTGAGCAAATTCGAGATGACAGCAATGCTAGTGGCAACAACTCGCGAGTATGTAGCTTGGGCATCGGCGGGACTAACGCTTCGCTCGTCACTCAAAGTTTGAACAGTCTCGTTCAGGAGGGCGTCTCTACAATGCTCGAGGATGGGTTGTTGGAAAGCCTTTCCAAGATTCTGCAACTTCTCCGGTGTGTTGAAGACCTGCTTCAGCGCATCTTGAGCAGCTCTGGCAGCAGCACGATCACTATCCTGTGCACCTGCAAGCCAAGGACCAGCAATCCTAGACATGTGTTTCACCATTCTCTTTCCACTCTTGGCAGCGATTTGACCAAGGACATTGTGTGCTAATTGGCGAACGCGGCGAGCGCTGTCTATTGAGAGGCGAGGGTATAGTTTTACCTGGCCGAGAAGGTCAGTACGCTGGGTCAAGGTGCAACAAGTCGGAGACGTACCCATGCTTCCAAGACAGCCTCCTCAATCTGCTGTTCCGGCGCAGAGACATATGCCTGCAGTTCCTCGAGCGCCTTTGCTTTTGTGGTACTGTCCTTCTTGGTCAAGTTCTTGAAGGCTACTCCGACATTGGGGTCCGAGATGTTTGAAAGATCCGGCGCTTCACCAATCCACGATAGCGGCGACGAGGATACACCAAAGCCAGTGCCACCGAAACCCCCACCAAAGCCGCTGCCTCCAAAGGAGCGCGCACTGCTTGCTTGAGGCTTGAATGCCTTCTTCATGCTGTTTTACGAGCAACAATCCGGATTAGAGAAGAGTCAGAGGGATTCCGCGGGAAGATGTATATGACTGGCAAGCAGATTGGTGAAAGTTATACGACAAGACTTTGAGTCGCAGATGGTGCTTCTCTTTCGAAAAGTCGCGACTGAGGACCACCGACTCACGCAAAATCAAAGTACGTCACTCGGGAATAGACTACTGGTCCGTGCTTCACATGGGAACTAGCTCCTTTCAGACGCCCTTCGTTCATGTGTTTGGTCAGCCATACAACTGCAGCCTTCATCTTCAGACCTACCTCTCGACCTCTGAGAGCGGTACAGTCCGCCAAGATGAAGTTCATGATTGAGTAACTGCTCTGCGCTCCTCTCCCAGCCTCTGCTGACAATTTCTAGTGATCTCCCTATCCTCTTTCCGTACCCCAGGATCTATCCAGGCAAGTTAATCGGCGGCAAAACAATCATGTCAAAATATACTGACTTTGCGAACAGAACAATATGCGTAAGCTTGAAACTTAGTCTGACTCGCAGGTCGACCGCTAACATGTCCGAAAAGATACATGTGTGATCTCAAACGTACGTATCAAAACTTGCACATGGCAAAAAGACAGAACACTCACATCAAGGACAGGCACACTGGATGCAGGGGGTCACTGTGTCCTGGAGATGCCTTCAGGAACTGGAAAGACCGTCACACTGCTATCTCTGATTGTAGCGTATCAACAACATTACCCGGAACATCGCAAATTGATTTACTGCTCACGTATGTTCTGGCCGTCGAATTTCTAGGCAGCAATATCTGATAAGCACAGGTACCATGTCTGAGATTGAAAAAGCACTCGCAGAATTGAAGGCTTTGATGAAATATCGATCTGAACAACTAGGCTACGTCGAGGACTTCCGAGGATTGGGTCTTACTTCTCGTAAGAACCTCTGCTTGCATCCCTCAGTAAAGAGGGAGAAGAGTGGTACAATCGTTGATGCCAGATGTCGATCACTCACAGCAGGCTTCGTCAAGGAGAAGAAGGAGAAAGGCGAAGATGTGGAACTCTGCGTCTACCACGAGGTGAGAATTCGGGTTGTTCATTTAGCTACATGTGCTAACTTGTCCAGAACCTTGATCTTCTCGAACCACACAATCTGATACCTCCGGGTGTCTTCACGTTCGACGATGTGCTCAAATATGGAGAAGAGCAAAAACAGTGCCCATACTTCACAGTCCGACGAATGGTGAGACTATCAGAATGCTCTGTTCTGAATTCCTCAACTAATCATTCTAGATGCCATTCTGCAACGTCGTCATTTACTCATACCATTATCTTCTGGATCCAAAAATTGCCGAAAGAGTATCAAAGGAACTCTCCAAGGACTGCATTGTCGTATTCGATGAAGCTCATAACATCGACAATGTCTGCATTGAATCACTAAGTATTGACATCACAGAAGATTCACTACGGAAAGCAGGAAGAGGTGCTGCAAATTTGGAGCGAAAGATCAGTGAGATGAAAACCACAGATGCAGCGAAGCTGCAGAACGAGTACGCAAAGCTAGTCCAAGGCCTCCGAGACGCGGACGAAGCCAACGACGAAGGCGCTTTCATGAGAAACCCAGCACTTCCAGACGATCTCCTCAAGGAAGCAGTACCGGGCAACATCAGAAGAGCAGAACATTTCGTCGCTTTCCTCAAACGCTTCGTCGAGTACCTGAAAACTCGCATGAAAGTCCTCCACGTCATTTCAGAAACACCGCCATCGTTCCTGCAACATCTCAAGGAGCTCACATTCATCGAAAGAAAACCTCTACGGTTCTGCGCTGAGCGTTTGACATCCCTCGTCAGAACTCTCGAGCTCACAAACATCGAGGACTACCAACCACTTCAGGAAGTCGCCAGTTTCGCGACTCTAGTCGCAACCTATGATACAGGCTTCCTCCTCATCCTCGAACCCTACGAATCAGAAACCGCCACTGTTCCAAACCCCATCCTCCACTTGACCTGTCTCGACGCCGCCATCGCCATCAAACCCGTCTTTGACCGTTTCTCATCCGTCGTCATCACATCAGGCACAATCTCCCCTCTTGAAATCTATCCCAAGATGCTAGGTTTCAATACCGTGGTGCAAGAATCATACTCCATGACATTAGCGAGAAGAAGTTTCTTGCCAATGATTGTAACCAGAGGAAGCGATCAAGGTGCCATTTCCTCCAGTTTCACCATCCGCAACGATCCCGGTGTCGTACGCAATTACGGAAACCTCCTCATCGAATTCTCCAAAATCACTCCCGATGGCGTAGTAGTATTCTTCCCGTCTTACCTGTACATGGAAAGCATCATCTCCATGTGGCAGGGCATGGGCATCCTCGACCAAGTCTGGAAACACAAACTCATCCTCGTCGAAACCCCCGACTCACAAGAAACCTCTCTAGCCTTGGAAACCTATCGTACAGCATGCAGTAACGGCAGAGGTGCCATTCTACTATGTGTCGCGCGTGGAAAAGTCTCCGAAGGCATAGATTTCGACCACCATTACGGCCGCACCGTGTTGTGCATCGGCGTACCATTCCAGTACACCGAATCCCGCATCCTCAAAGCACGTCTGGAATTCCTCCGCGAAACCTACCGCATCAGGGAGAATGATTTCCTCTCTTTCGACGCCATGCGTCACGCGGCACAATGTTTAGGTCGTGTGTTGCGCGGAAAAGACGATTACGGAATAATGGTTCTCGCGGACCGAAGATTCGGCAAGAAGCGCGTGCAGCTTCCCAAATGGATCAATGCTGCATTGTTGGAGGGGGATTCCAATCTTTCCGTCGATCAGGCCGTCGCTACGGCCAAGAGGTTTTTGAAGCAGATGAGCAAGCCTTTTCCGGCGAGGATGCAGGAAGGTGTTAGTACGTGGAGTATTGAAGATTTGAACAGACACGCTGCAAAAGTGGAAAGGGAGAAAGCTAGAGAGGAGAGGAATGCGGGTGTTGGTGGGGATGCTGTTATGAGGGAAGCCCATCATGCCGCAGAAGATGAATATGGAGGTTTGGACGATGAGGATATCATGCAAATCGATGCTTGATCTGAGCAGGAATGGGATGATACTCGACACAATCACCAGCTATAGAAACATCCATCAAATCATAGCTGCCATACATGTTCGCACGTTTTCTCCCTACTCACTCGAGGAAACCAGCGTAACTTTCAGCAATCATATCCTGTGCAGGAAGACGCTGGTCATCAACGTGTATACCTATTTCGATCACATGTTACATCCGCTTGCTCCGCCTGCTACCTCCCACTAGACCCCCCTGCCGATCCATTCGAGAAATCAAGCTCTTGCATGTTGGCTCGAGTAGTCTAGACGAATTCCAGAAGTGAAGCTATAAAGATCGAAACGAGAGGTGCGGTCAACATAAGATGTGTGGATTGGGGGGGCTGGCTACTGTGGGTGGGCGAGGCGTGAGGATTCTCAGTACGGAGAAAGTGGGAGTGATTGAATAGCTGATGTGCTGGAGGATGGCAAGCAAGTCAGGTGGGATATTGAACACGGAATATTGTCATTTTAGAGTCAGTCTTGCAATGTGATTGAAGTGGGTTTGTTTTTGGAAATTTGTTTGGGATCATAAATTCTTGAATAGAAAGAGGTGTGCCTACCAACGTCAGGAAGCAGAACGGTAGTGTACAACCAGCAGAGAAAGACAGCATAGCAGCCAATAATAATTTTTCTCCCTAGAAAACGCCAATGAAAACGCCGTCGCCATTTTTTGCTTTGCTCTTGACATGCAAAACTCAGCAGCTCCCCTTGCTCTGAGCTCTTCGCTCCCGTGGCGCCAGAATGAAAGATGAAAAATGCAGGTGGAAGTATCGAAAAGGCAGTTGCTCATATGCACCAGCGGTAACTGGCATAACGACCGGCGGTTTCTGACTTTCTGATAATCTTGACGACCTGACCTCTGCGCAGACCGAGGTATTTGGCTACAGGATCTTCGACACGGATACGGGGAAGCTGGGTCTCCTTCAGGCGGTAACGGTCGAGCAGGGCCTTCTTCTCCTCAGGGCTGAGCAGGATGTGCTTGGGAACGAGTTCGTGCTTTGTGATGTTGACGAGCAAGTCGGTTTCCTGGAAGACTTCGATACCGATGGGCAGGTTGGCGGCTTGCTTGAGAGCGGAGGTGGTGACACTGGCACCGGTGATGTAGATTCCAGAGTAGTAGTTCTTGTCGTTCAGGAACTGGGCGAAGTTGCGCAAGTGCTTGATACCGATGGCTGACTCTGTGCTGAATTCGATGAAGATGGTGCCGATTTGAGGCTCGGGGTTGGGGTTTGACTTTGTGGGAAGGGCGGTGTATTTGGTCAACATGGCCTGCGATGGGCGAGCAGAGAAGGACATCTTTGCGCGGCTGTTCTGGTGTTAGAGGATTGCTCGATGCTTGTCGCGCAAGCTGAAGAATCGTACTTAGCGGCGCCGCTACCATCACCGCACTGCTCGCGGAACTGATCGAGAGAAACATCGAGCTCATCTTCAGCCAATTCGTAACCCTGCGACAGGCGCGTTAGTCTTGTGGACCATGATCTTGTTCAGATGGGAAGTCGGACTCTGTCGTAGCACAGCTGCTTAGTGGTCTTCCAGACGCGCCAGAGCTTGGAGGTTTCGCGTCTAGTCTCGTCGTCGGCCATGTTTGTGATTGAGGTGGATGAAAGGATACGGGGCGTACGAGTCGTATTGCGATGGCAGTTCACTTTGCGCAACAAGGATTGGATGCTCTTGCCGGCTTCGAGATAATTCTGCCAATAGGCTTGGCAGGCGGTGAGGCGCAACACCATGTCGAACAGCTCCAGACCATCGTCATCCCCGCTAGCAATGGCCGCTCCTTCCATTCCTAATCTCAACAGCCTCAGAGGCAGGACTGGTCTACGTCGTGGTCGGGGTCGCGGTCTGCCCTTTGATCCAGATGCACCAGAAGAAGACCCTCAACATGCTCGCGACAAAATCATCCGATCAACAGACGGAGATGCTTCCAACTCCCGACTGAGTGCTGTAGCTCTTGGCTATCTGCAGGACGACTATGCAACATGCTTCCTCCAAGGCCAAATCCCCAGAAGATATCCTCTCATCAACCGCGGTACCTATGTCCGTACAACTGCCATCGATCGTCTCGTCGACCAGTTTCTGGCAACAACAATCGACGCCCAAGGCACACACGACTCTGCTGCTCCGGTAGCACAGGTCATCTCACTGGGCGCTGGCTCCGATACTCGCTTCTTTCGCTTGTCGCCTGCTCGTAGACAGGCTCTGCTCTATCATGAACTCGACTTCATCGACAATGTGCAAGCGAAGCTCTCGGCAATCGAGTCTTATCCAGACCTCAAGCACATGATCCCTGGCATGAACATATCACCAGACAAGAACTCCCTGCTCTCGCCCAACTACAACCTGCATGCCATCGACATTCGTCAGTTTGCTGACTCGAATCCTCCTGCCATTCCGAATCTGCGATCAGACCTACCCACCCTACTCCTGAGCGAATGCTGCCTGTGCTACGTGCCTCCTACAACCGCCACTCAGATCCTCTCGTATTTCACCAACGCCATCCCTGCCGCTTCTCTGGCTATAATCATCTACGAGCCTATCCGCCCCTACGACAGCTTCGGTAAGACCATGATCACAAATCTGGCCAGTCGAGGCATCGAATTACAGACTGTCAAGCGCTACTATTCTCTGGCTGCCCAACGAAATCGCTTCAACAAAGCCGGCTTTACAAGCGGTCAAGGCGCGAGAGATGTCGAGCAAATCTACAATGGCGAAGAATGGGTCAGTGCTGTAGAGAGAGACAGGGTCGAAAGACTCGAATGGCTGGACGAGGTCGAGGAGTGGAAACTGCTGGCTAGCCATTACTGCGTCGCCTGGGCCTGGAGAGATCCCTCGGACGCCCCCGTGTTTGGCCATGCCTGGAAGCATGTTGATGGAGCATACACCGACAAGGAGGCTGCCGACGACGACATCATGTAGATACCCCTTCTAATGACCCATGACCATCTCGTTCCACTCTCACCTCATGCTGTTTCTAAGAACCTTTCCGATTGGCCCTTTCCTAGTCTCCATGGCTGTCATGCTTGTAGCATTCTGCTTCAACTCCTACAACCTACACCAGAGAATGTCAGTACCTGGAGTGCTATACAAATCTGACGAAGGCTATTCTGCAAAGACACTGCGCCGGCACCCAGCACCCTGCCTCTCCCAAGGCACTGCCCCCCTTTTCAACCTTCGTCTGCTTGTCATTTTGTCCCATCTCGTCTCATATAGAGAAGCGTCCGGTGATGCGCATTTGGCTGTCCGAGGCTGGCTTCACAAGAGAATTGTTGCTTCCCCGGGAGAAAGTTTAGATTGCTAGTAATGCTGCTGTTGTGCATACGCATCGCTCTATCATAGGGCGATGGATTGTCGTCGTCTGATGTTGATGGGAGGAGGGGGTCGACGCACCCATGGGCCATCGGAATTCAAGATAGTTGTGACGATCAAGTGGTTGTCCAGTGGAAGCGTGTTGAAATGTTGCTCTCTGTGAAAATTCCACCAACATTCTCATCTTGGATTGTGCTAGATCTACATCAATCAGCGCCTGATCAATCAAGAGCCGCAATATCTCCGCCTGTGGTAAACATAACAACCTTACCGAGGAATTTGACAAGTAGAAGCCGCTTTACACCAATTACAACCGTAGTCGTCGATATGAGGGGGGTTTATCTCTGGTCGATGTAAGTTATATCTACCTCTATATCTACCTCTCCATCCCTATAATTGATGCTTCTCTCACGCCTAACGTATCACAACCCTCCATTCGTCTAACCTCCTAACACACGCCCCTAATCATGTCACTGTTCTGCTTCTATGATTTCCTTACTTCCAATCCAGCATCGTGGGATATACGCGTAAACCATATATCACGGAAGATACAAGTTTAGTCAGTCAGTTATTCTACAAACCCAATTTTCGAGTCTCGCTATCTATATTTTTCACTTTCCATATGTGAATTCGAGTCCTTGGGGTGCAAGTGGTGGTCTTTTTCCATCTCTGATGAACCCCTTGACTATTCTACTCTAGTAGTTCATTCTGGGGTTGGCAAAAGTGTGCGTGGTTTGGTGGATGGATGTATCGTTTAGGATCTATTGTTCCGAGAACATGGTTTTGGTCGTTTAAGCAAGATGAGGATGAGAAAGTGAGAAGAGGGAGGGGAGAGGAATCAAGGGTTTAGATTGTTGGTCGTCTTACTGCTTGGAGTTCTCTTGGTTGTGTGCAAGTATACATATGGCGGTTGGAAGAAAGGAGGCAGGCGATATAAAATTCCATGGGTGTGGATTTGTGTGGTTTCTTCCCTCCATCTAACGATGACTTTATTCTCTTATCCTTCATAACTCTCGTGATGGTTTTTCCCTTGTTTCAAGAGTCTCAAAGGCTTCAGTTCGATTTCAACCAAACTCATTGCACTTCCACCTTGATACCCCACCCCTCTTTTCCACCAATCCAATTCTTCTTCTTTCCGGCCTTTTCGACCTTTTCAACTTCCTCCTCCACAATACCTCTCAAACTCTTTCCCTCTTGATCTCCCGTCCTCAACACCAAAACTCTATCTCCCTTCTTCGACACCGAAAATGTTGACGAAAGCGACATTGCTTTTTTACCTCTACCGGATGGATACACAGCTCCCACCAACGCACCCACGCGGCCCAAGTATCTGGCCCACCATGCTTGCTCGGCACCGGCGAGCGATTGCATGGAATGGAAAAAGGCGATATCTGTGGGAGGCAAGTCTTTTAATCCACCCCAGCGTTCACAGAGTAAAAGGGCGAGGGTACATCGTTCGGAGTGGGAGAGTCCGTGTGCGGAAGCGAGGATACCGGTGGTTGTGCTGCGTAAAGCCGCAGCGGCGCGTATGTCCTTTGGATGGGAAGAAAAGTGGCCAGAGAGATTGGCGAAAGCCGTGATGATGGGAGGTGAAAGTGCAGGTGCTGATGCTGATGCTGATGCAGTGGTGTTGGGCTTGGGAATAGCGTTGAGAAGGAGGTCTGCGTAATGAGGGGATCCTGGCGATGCCAGTGATGCTGTTGCAACAACCACTGGCGATTGCTTTCGTATCCCTAATGGCAGTTTGGAAAACAGATAGCCTTCTCTGACGCCGCCTTGACAGAAACGAACTTCTTTGATATGAGGAAGGGCTTCCGAAAGTGCGGTTACCAGAAAAGCGACGGCGGGAACTTGATTGGCTCTGCGTTGGGAGACTCTGAAGATTGCGGAATCTTCATCCGAGTCGACGTCCATGGCTGCCGCTTGGACTGCAGTAGTATCCAAGAACTCGGAGCGTGCGGCGCGGAATCCATTGATGACGGGGATCGGGTAGGGGTTTACTTTGTGCTGGCTCATGAGCACGAAGCCCCAACCTCTGAAACCTCCTCCAGAAAGGTACAGCGCATATCCAACTTCCTTTTTCGCCATCTCTGTGAGTTCATGAGGGACATCCAGACTCTTGAAGGCTTCTGTGATCCTCTGCTTGACTTCCTCAGCCAAGGCCTTTTTCGCACCCTTTCCTTGCTTCTCGGCCTCTTCCAACCGTCTACTCAATGCTGCAGCGCCGAAAGGCATACTAACCGCTCCCTCTCTCGGCATCTTAATCTCACCAGTGTGGGAGTCACTGACCAACCAAGTCAACTGCGTACTACCCCCTCCCAAATCCATAACCAATCCCTTGACCTCTCCCAAAGAAGTAGCAACACCCAACGCACCAACCCTACCTTCATCCTCCTTGGCCAAAAGCTGCACTTCCCAATCCGTTGCCGATTTGATCGCGCTTCTGAATTCTGCACTGTTGACAGCAGTCCTGGTGGCTTCCGTAGCCAAAATTGTGATGTTGGATTCCGGGACGCGGAAATCGGCACAGGTGCGTTTGAAGTGAGTTAATTTGTCGATCACTTTTGCGATGGTCTTTTCGGGGATGGCGATGCGGTCGCCTGAGGTGGAGTATTGAGCATCGTAGAGGGATATCCCCGCGCGGGAGGTGTAGAGGGTGGGTAGGATTCTGGTAGTCGGTGGTGAGAGGTCGGTTATTGAGAAGCGGATACCGTTGCTGTTGGGTTATGTGGTGTTAGTGGGCTTTTTGAAATGCGTGATTTCTTGTTTCTTATGGTTTCGTTTTAATCTCTTGTCTTTGTGTATAGACAGCTTTGTTGAATTCTTCGCACAATATAGTGATATCCTGTTCTTCACTTTCTCTTGTCTATCTCTTCAAAGGATTTGGAAGTGTTTGATGGAAAAGGATGAGGAGATGGAAATGCAGAAAATTGATCTTTACCTTCCCATATCGACCAGACCATGAAGGTGCTCAGGATTGGGCGTGCTGACAGCCATGGTTGATGTTATCGGTCCTTGACTTTTGTGTATGCAAGATGGTGTAGTTGCGATCAAAATCAGTGTTTGCTGAATGATGTTCTTTTTCTACGCGAGAAGATTGTTTCTGCAAGTGCGCACTTGACCGGACGAAGTCGCGAAAACAATCAGTTGAGCCTGCCTTACCAGCCACCAAACTGTTCGTTATGACGTAGCCAGATAGATTGCTTGCATCAAATCATCAAAGTCGAGCATAGAAAAAACATTGTGACAATTGACTTCGCTACGAAGTAAAGTATGCGCCTTGAATTATAATACATTGCGTCCTGTTGATCCTCATTTTCGTGCTTTCGTGCAGACTTCCTCCGTCTCCTATCCGAAAAGCATGTCCGTCGTAACTCATCAGTGTCGTGTGATACCTCCTTACACAGCCAACAAGCTGAAGACGTCGTTTCTCCAGCCTCTGATCTCGGAGCCATCCTCGATTCTTTCCTCGGCGGCCATGGCCTCTTCGTTCCAAAGCTTGACCACACTGCCGGGTGCATACTTGCCCTTGAAGACGCCCTTGCCAGGCTGAGCGACACCAACGCGAGTGTAGAGGTCTGGGTCTTCCTCGGGCGTAAGGCGGGCAGCAACGGCCTTGAAAAATGTGATAAGGTCGTTGGGATCGGCAACACGGGTGGCACGAAGACGCTCACGTGCGTACAACAGCTCGCGGTTGGCTGAATGCAAAGCATCTGCGATGGCGGTGGCAATTTGCTTCTCCATGACCTTGCGTACAATAGGTCTCAAGACAGGCTTAATGAGCCAAGCAAGCCAGGAGAACTTGCTCTTGCGCAGGGTGTAGTCGAGCTTGTGTACATTGACACGAACGGCCTTTAGACTCAGCATCGACTCCATTCTGTCCTTTGCAATCTCAACGTCCAGATGAATGTCCAGACCCTTCTCATCAAGTGCGAAAGATGTGATGCCCTCGTCAGCTAGTCTGAACAGTCCAGAGTGGGCACGCATCCAGAAACCGACCTCCTCGGCACGAGCTGAGATACCATCGATCTTGATAGTAACCATATGAGATGACGTAGAAGTAGTACGGAATCTGGCCTTGCGGATCTCAAAGTCGTTGTATGTCTCGACACGAAGCTTGTAAGGCAGGAATGAGGTGTGATTGACTGTCTTTCCAGGCTCAATGATGAGATTTTCGAGCAAAAGATCGATGTCGGGAGTGCTGATCTCCAGACGAGGAATAGGAACATACTGAACAGCGGCGATCAGTAGAGGAATGAAGATGTTGATGGCATCAGTGATGAGCTCCGGGTTAGTGGCATTGTGAAGAGGCGACAAAATGCGGAAGATCTGAAGACTGTGCTGCATGAGCTTGGTCACGTCTTCATCGTTCAAGACGGAAACCAGAGTGACTTGGAGCTGTCCGAGGAAGTTGTCGATGTCAGTGCGGAGGTCAGATTCTGAACCAACCTTGCGAGATTTCTCACGCAATTCGTCGAACTTCTCACGAGCAGTGTCGAAGAAGTTTGGATCAGTAAGAAGAGTCTGGAGCGAGTTGCCAATGTCCACCATGAGGTTCTCAAATTCGGGATCCTTCTCAGAGTGCGACACAACCTTCTTGAACGTTTGTTCCAGCTTCTTCCACTCCTCACTATCACCAAAGGACGAGAGCAAGGACCAGAAGTTCTTTCCAGCCTTGTCCATCTCGGCGTTCTCGTGGACGTCCTCTTCAAGAGCATTGACAGTCTCCTCAACAGAACGTGAGTAAGCAATGGCGTAGCGCTTGAGCAGCTCGGCGATAGTCGATACAGACTCGTTGTAATCAGGACGCTTTCTGAGCTTTGTGACTGCCTGCTTCAGACGGTTCATCATGACCTGACCTTCATCACCAGAGAGTTTCTCCTCGGCGCTTTGCTCGGCATCTTGTATGACTTGAGCAGCTCCATTCGCCACAACCTTGGAGATGTCTGCGACGTCGTTTCCTATATCCTTGCCCGAAGGTGGAGGTCCAGAGTCGGCACCAACCTTGGTCAGCTTGTCCTGCTCTTCTTGAGATGGCTCAATCTTCTTGCCTGCTTCCTCTGCAACGTTGGACAGGGAGAAGGCAGCATCCTTGAAGACCTCACGACCGACAGTGTTCAGATCTGAAAGGAAAATACGGAAATCGGAGTTTGTGAGAAGGAGGGAACCGACAGTCTGCAGACTGTTGTAAGCTAGGCAGTGTCAGCGTGAAGCAGGTATTTTATGGTTGAATCGAGTGCTCACCAGCAGCAGTCTTAGCTTTGGATTGCGCCTTGGAAGCTCTGTGGGCCAGGTCCTGCACGTCAACACGGACTCTTGATTGGGTCAATGACCAGATGAAGTCCTGAATCTGGTCCTCGCCGTTCTTGTGTACGAGCAATTCGATAAAGTCCTTGAGCCACTGCTTTGAGAATTTGGCCAGGCGCCTTCCTGAATCGCTGAGGTTTGGGTCGTTGGGATTCAAAATATCAGATGAGAGCAAGGATCGGAGATTGATAATCAGCTGTTCATTGGAGGGCATGTATCCATCGGCAAGGGCTCTAATCATCTGATACGAGTGTAGCTTCTGGTGAAGCTCACGCTGGAGGATCGTGTCATCACGGTACTGAGGTAGCAAGGGTTCCGTATCGTCGGACTTTGACTTGCGGAATCCGAGGCAGGACGACATGGTGACTGCAGGAATGACCGGATGAGATGGAGTTACGGTGGGTGAGAAAGTAGAATTAGTTGAGAAGACAGGGTAGAGAAGTGATTGCTATAGTGAGAGGATTCAATGCGAGTACGAGTAGCTGGCAGCTGGCAGGCAGTAACAAACGTGTAAAGCCGTCATGGGATATCGTCATTGCGGGGAAAGCATGTGAGAACAGGGAAAACATGGTGCCTTGCCACAACTTTGTTTACACTTCATAGCGTTGTGAGACAGCAGCTTCGTGACCTTGGCCATGTTCAATGTCGACGACGCCGACGCCGAATACGGTATGACCTTCGGAGATGCAACAAAAGGCGGAAATCAGGGGAAGAAGTCACGGTGACGGGAGGGCATGGGAAGAAGGCCGACGCGACGACCGAACGACTAGTCTGAAAATATCCTGCGCGGAAAAAATCGGAGGGCGTGGGGGTTCCTGTACGGTTGCGCACGGCTTTGCGCTTTTCGGACGACTGATAGCGGCAATTAAGTGCTGGAACAACAGACTTTTCGATTGATCAGAGAGAGCAACACGACAGAAAGTATCTAAAACCATTCTAAAACTTCGATACAAAACGCGTACGAGAATTCAATTGTGCATGGTTGGAGAGCGGATGGGAAGAAGCTCAGCGTGGAGAGACAAGCAACTCGGCGTGTAGGGCAGTCGCGACCGGGCCGAAGATCGGGACCCCACACACCCCAGCTAATGGTATAGTTTTTGGTGGAGCATTGTTGTCTAGAAGGTAACTGCCCGATGCTATGAGGCTCGCATTTTCGTGAGGCCTCATATGCCGAATCAGCCCTCTTCCGACATATGGCGACCTTTTCTCTTTGTTTCATCAGACATTATAAATTGCTGACCGCTGGCTGCTTTAGCCTGAATTCCTTGCTCTATGTCTCTATCCTCTGCTCGTGTGCTCCGTACCCTACTTAAGCGTCCCCTTCCCTCGACCTCTTCCCGACGAGCATCCATCCACATCTCATCCATCATGTCTTCCTCAGCATCAGTCGCTCCTGCTCCCGCAGCAAACATCACCCAAAGCCACCCCCCAGCTGTCTCTTCAAGGCAATCGTGAGTAACCTTCCTGCACTCTGTCACAGCCATTGGGCCACGCCTAACACCCTCGCAGAAGCGCCGACTACGACACTGCATACCCCATCGAGGTCCGCAAGTACCTCCGCACATACGGCCTCACCCCTCCCGCCGTCGAGAGCTTCGAGACACAAGAAAAGAGATGCCTCCAGCTCCTCGAGAACAAGCAAAATCCCATTGACAAGTACCAATACCTCACTCACCTGAGAAACACAAACGTCAACCTCTTCTACCGTCTCTTGTCCGGCAACGTCAAGGAGATCACTCCCGTCATCTACACTCCCACCGTCGGCGAGGCTTGCCAAAGATGGTCAGAACTCTACACTCAACCTGAGGGTATGTCACTTCTGCTCGTCCACCATGACCCTTGCCCTGCTAACACTCTCTCCAGGCATGTACCTCTCCTTCTCCGACAAGGGCAACCTCCACTCCATCATCCAGAACTGGCCCCACAACGTCGAGATCACCGTCGTCACTGATGGCTCTCGCATTCTTGGTCTCGGTGACCTTGGTATTAACGGCATGGGTATTCCTGTCGGCAAGCTCGCTCTCTACACTGCCTGCGCTGGTATCAGACCCGATGCCACCCTTCCCTTGACTCTCGACTTGGGCACCAGCAACGAGCAGCTCCGCAACGACCCTCTCTACTTGGGCAGCAGACGTGACAAGGTCACTGCCGACGAGGAGCGTGAGTTCCTCGACGAGCTCATGGCCGCTCTCACCGAGCGCTGGCCCGGTATCGTCATCCAATACGAGGACTTCAAGAACCCCTTCCCTTCGCTCGAGCGTTACCAGAACACCTACACAATGTTCAACGACGACATTCAGGGTACCGGTGCCGTCATCCTTGGTGGTTTCATCAACGGTGTCAAGCAATCCAAGGTCGCCGCTGCTGACCAGCGTGCCGTCTTCTTCGGTGCTGGCTCTGCCGGTGTCGGTGTTGCCAAGCAGCTCGTTGAGTTCTTCATGAACGAGGGTCTCACCGAGGACCAGGCCAGAAAGTGCTTCTGGCTTGTTGACTCCAAGGGTCTCATCACCAACGACCGTGGTGACAAACTTGCCGAGCACAAGCTCTACTTCTCTCGTGACGACAACGAGGGCAAGCAGTACAAGACCCTCGAGGACGTCATCGAGTACGTCAAGCCCACTATTCTCATGGGTCTCAGTACCATCGGTGGTGCCTTCACTCCTGAGATCATCAAGCGTATGGCCGAGTTGAATAAGATGCCCGTCATCTTCCCCCTGTCCAACCCCAGCAGCAAATCTGAGTGCACCTTCGAGGATGCCATCAAGTACACCGAGGGTCGTGTCCTCTTCGCCTCTGGCTCCCCCTTCCCTGCCCTCGAGTACAACGGCAAGACCCTCGAGCCTGGTCAGGGCAACAACATGTACGTCTTCCCCGGTATCGGTCTCGGCGCCATCTTGTCCAAGGCCGTCAACGTTACCCAGTCCATGATCTACGCCTCTGGAAAAGCTCTCTCGGAGTCTCTTCTCCCCGAGGAGATTGAACAGAACCGGATGTACCCTGACATTCGCCGCATCCGTGAGGTCAGCGTTGTTGTCACTTGTGGTGTCATCCGTGCTGCTCAGAAGGCCGGTGTTGACCGCGAGCTCGGCCTCCGTAACATGGACGACAAGGCCTTGACCGAGTACGTCCAGAAGCGCATGTACGATCCCTTCACCGAGGGTAAGAAGGTCCAGGATGAGGTCAAGGAGCTCGCTTCCCACCTGTCCAAGCTCTAAACGGCTGGCATCATCTCAAAAGTTGTTTGATCTTTGATTACGTTTTCTTCTTCAGCTCTATTTGGACGGATCCTACGAGATCGTTTGCATATACACCGGCCAGGTTAGGCCAAGGTGGTCCGAGATAGACGCCGCTGTTGGAGCGGCCGGTTACAGGCGGAACGTTGTTGTGGACGAACGGGTGTTCGTGGCATGACAGCAGGATAGGACCGAGATGGACGTTTGAGATGATACGATTGTTTTATCTCACGTTGATGTGCAGCACAAAAAAGGGCCGACCCTCGGCGCTGGGGTCTGGCAAGCATTGATTTTCTTACGACAGCGATGGAGTTTGATACTTGTTTTTTTCTCTCTCTTTTGGATGAAGAGTCCAATACCTAATGAATACATTCGATCACTTCTACGTTACCTCCTCTTCTGGTCTGTATGTAATGTTCCCGGATTATGTCTACTGAAGAAGTTTGTTCATCGTTGATGAAAATGACCCTGGCTGAGATTTAGAATTCGTCCCCAAGTCCCGCTGCGTGGGGTGACACCCTGTCTCCAACTTTTGTCCCACCATATTAATCACAGTCACCATTTTATACATACACTGAGAGTTATTCTACAAGTGGTGTGCTGTTCCTAGTGCGTCCCTAACTATGCAAGGTATAGTATATACATCTAGCTCTTCTACATGTTATCTAATGAACATTTCGTGTAGACTTCCAAAATATTCTTGGATCAAAAGTGTCGTTTTCATCATTAGTAGAACATCTCGTTAGTCAAAGATTGCAGTTATGTACGATAGCTATATAGAGCGGTTATAACATTGATGATATAGCTAGATCTTCGACCTACTCGCCTTTACACGTAGTCTTAGATTAGAAGGATAAGATACGGGCCTAGCTATCCGATATCTCAATCGCTATCTTACCTTGTAGGCCTTTTACTATCAGCTAAGTACAAGTATAACTTAATAATACTTGTTTGCCCGTATCACTGTTTATTCTACTACGCTACTAATTCAATCCTACAAAAAACTATGCTTATAAGAGGTGTAAGGGAAAAACGACTATTGAGCACTATCCCCCATTCTACCCTCGAGTGCAAAGATAATTTGACAGTAGAGAACAAAAAGGCGTCTGATGTATACTAGAGTTATCCTTATCTACTGCTTATTTTGGGATACAGAGATTGGAGGTTAAGTGATATTGAAAACTTCAAATGCGAATTGAACCTTTGGATATCAAGAAAAAAAAAAGCGATAAAGCAACAAAACAAGTAATGACAAAAAAGACAGTAAAGCTCATGGCCCTGCTGCCTTGGAATGGGGATGCGCTGTTTCTCCCCTTCTTCATCTTCTTCTTCTTGTTCTTGTTCTTGATGGCAATGACAAAGCTGGCTAGCTTCCGGCAGTGGACGGTTCGAACAGCTCTGCTTTACACAAGACAGGGCTGATTAGTTGTAATCTGCCTCGTCATGCTCCGACTCGCTGACGTGTGGACTCTGCGGTACCTCCTCCTCAGCATATCCATTACCATTACCATTCAATTCCACCTCCTCTTGTTCTTGATTCTCGACATCGCCATCCTCTGCATCAACATCACCTCCGCCAACAGCATCAGCCATCTCCTCATCAATCTGCTGCTCTACACCCACAGAAGGCATGGTCAAATCTCCCTCTTCATCAGACTCTTGCACTTTTTCTTCACTGCGGAAAACACCACCGTTGCTTCTTCTTCCTCCATGGCTGGCTCGGTGTTTGGGTGCCGTGCGCTCGGCCAGCGCGCCGGGTTCGAAGGACGCTTCTAGCCATTCAACCTGTGCTTCCAAGTTACCTCTGAAGTCTTGGAGGTCGGGCACGTTTGCCTTGAGGCGTTTATACACCATTTTTCTGTCTGCGGTTGTCCAAGGGGATCCGGCGTGGAGACGGGTGACGACGGCCCAAAAGGTGTTTTTGCTCGCGAAAGCGCCCATCTGTGCACCGTAGAGTGTTTCGCGTGTCACGTCCAACATGTCGCCGACGGTCATTTCGTCAAAGCGGCGTGCGGCTTCGGCTTTCCAGCGAGTGGTGGTGTGAGGGGATGTCATGCCGTCGTCGAATTCTTCATTGTCCGGTTCGATTTCTCCTCTTTCGATGGCGGCTTCGCGTTCGCGTTGGGCAGCTTCTTCGCGGATGACGCGTTGTTTGATCTTGCGCCATTTCATACTGCACTGGAGACGGTTGCGTGAGCCGTTCATCTTGTTGACGACGACGCCCCAGGCGATGTAGTCGTCTTCGACGGAACGGTCGAGCTTTGCTTCCATGTTGGCTTCGACAGAGCGGAGGCAATCGCGCACGGCGGTGGCGAGGCGGTGTTCTTCGTCTTGGGTCCAGACATCGGTGTGGCGTTGGTCGAGGGAGACGTGGTTGCGCCAGCGGTCGCGACAGTCTTCGGGCATGCGGCCGACACGCTCGCCAATCTTGACCCATTTGTTGGGGTTTTCAGCGTAGGCAGTGCGGAGGAGCTCGTCTTGTTCGTCGGTCCAGCGGCCGCGTTGGAAGTTGTTGTAATGACGGCGGCAGTAGCGTTGCACAGCACGGCGATTGCGGTGGGGCAGCACGTCGGTAGCGAGGTCGACATAGATTTTGCTCATTTCGCGTGATGAATTTTGGATCATGGCTACCAGCTCGTCGCGAGTCTTGCTGTTGTCGCGCATGAACTCGACCAAGTGTTGTTCAATTAGATCGCACTCCACGGGTGTGAAAGGGCCTTGTTCAGGGTAGTCGCCGGCAGCTCCTCGTGGCATCGAAGCTCTCTTGACGCGCTTGACTGATGGTGCAGGTGATCCGTTCTCGGTCGACTGGCGCTTGCGTTTCGTCTTTGGTTTTGCTGATGAGGATTGAGCTTGTTGTTCCTCATTGTCCGAGTCCGGTGGTACTTCGAATTGGCTGATGTCGTTCTCGGTAGCGTCCTCGGGTTCCTCGGGCTCTGCATCTACAGCTCCGGCCTCGGCCTCAGCTTCATCCTCGATAACGTCGTCGCGTGGCTCCTCCGGCTCAGCGGGGTGATCCTCTGGTTGTTCTTCAGGTTGCTCCTCGCTGGGCTCGTCCTGTGTTTCGGGAACTTCGACCTCCTGTTCCTCCTCGGGTTGAATGTCAGACTGCTTCTTCGAGCGACGCTTGCGGGTTTTGGCAGGTTGCTCAGCCACTTGCTCAACAGCGGCTTCGGCCATGGCTTCGTCGGTAGGCGATGCGGCGGCGGCAGCGTCAGCCTTGCGCTTTCGAGTCTTCCTGGCAGCCTTTGCTTGTACCGGAGTCTCGTCGATGGTCTGTGGAATGCTAGGGCGTGCAGGAGTCTGCTGTTCGATCAAATCCTCGGAAGCGGCACGAATGCGTGCGCTGCTTCTCATTGGCTTGGAGGCCGAGCCGCCGCGTTTTGCGTATGTCTTCAGCTTGCCGGCCTTGCTCTTAGCAGTGCCTGGCGTTTGCGAGGCAGAAGTGTTGGCTTGAGGAGATTCCATGTTGAGAGTATGTGTGGGCACTGCGACGCGTCGTTAGTTGACCAGAGCGCGCCAGGGTCAGCAGAAAGAGATTGCGCAAAAAGTACCTCGATCAACGTTTTTCGGTGGACTCAAAGATTGGCTCGGTGATTCGACGGCAGGATTTTGAGTGCCTGGCTGCGACGATGTATTTCCCATGATAAAACATACCAAAAGAAATAATTGCACTGCTTCGCGTTTGCCAAGAGTACTGACTTCCCCAACTCCCTCGGTCCGAATTGCCTTGGAGTTCGAGTTTCGAGTTTCTCTCCACGCTTGCGCTTGCCGTTTCCCGGGATTAGGACATCGAGATCACTCTCGGCAATCAATAACATGCACAATAATAATGTCAACAACAATGCCAGTAATAGATGTGTTCAATGTTATGGTTCCTTCAATTCATCAAAAAGCTATCTAGCCACGCTAATGCACAATCATTAATAAAACATATCAAGCCATAATCCCATGTCTTTGAATCTCTCAAGAAGCCCGACCACTCAATGACTGATGTACTGGAACACAGCACTGACTGCATCCTCTGAACACTCCTGCCTGAGCAACAGATCTTGGATCCTGCCCATGGCACCCTTCTCACCATCGTTGGTAAAATGGTTCCATGTACTGGTATCGCCGTAGAGCATCGCAGGCGCCTTGATGAACTGCTTGCCGTCCTTGCAACGCTTGCATTTGATCGTATCGTGCGTGTCACTTGTCGTGTCGGGTCGGTACTGGAAAAGCTCGCGGAGACTGTCCAGCGAGAAATGTCGTTCCACGTCCTCTGCCGAATCCACGACACACGATGACAGTGACTGCTTGTGAGATTGCCTTTGGAAGATCTTCTCCTCAATCGTTCCTGTTGCAATGAAGCGATACACAAAACAATCCTTCTTCTGTCCATCACGCCAGACACGCGCAAGTGCCTGCTGATCTGCTGCTGGGTTCCAATCAGGGTCGAACAAGACTAGGCGGTTGGCACCAATCAAATTGAGACCACATCCACCAGCCTTGGATGACAACAGGAAGACGAATTCGCTACCCTCGGGGTCGTTGAACTTGTCCACTAGTTTGGCACGCTTGTTGACAGTCATGGTGCCGTCAAGTCGAAGACTGCCATAGTTTCTGGCGCGACAAAGCTTTTCGAAGATGTCGAGTGTTTGCGTGTAGTTCGAGATTAGGACAATCTTGTCATTGGTCTCGGTTCTGATGCGAGCAAGCATACGGTCAAGCACCTGCATCTTGCCTGAATACCATGCCTTAACATCTCTGTCGCGACCACGAGAATCCTTTGGCACAAAGTCGGAAGGGAAAGTATCCTCGCAACCTGGCAGGTCTTCTGGGAGGTTGAGCAGGTCTGGATGATTGCAGAGCTTTTTGAGCAAGCCGATTGCTTTCAAAGGCTGACTGCCCTTGCCACGCAGCAGACTCTTGATATCGGGCGATTTGAGGAAGTGGTTGTAAAGGTCCTTCTGGAAGGGGGCCATGTTGCAGAAGACGACGTGTTCGTACTTGACAGGCAAGTACTTCGACAAAATATCGTTGGTACGGCGGATGATAAACTTGTTGACCAGAGTTAATAGCTCGCTCAGACGCTCGTCACCCTTCTTGCGATCAGCGTCTGAACCACCTGCATCGCGACCACGCAAAATGGGAAGCTCGAACTTCTTGCGGAAGTCCATCCTGGTTCCCAGGTAGTTGGGGTTGGCAAAGTTGAGGAGCGAGAAGTATTCCGAGAGATCGTTCTGGATGGGTGTACCAGACAGGATAACACGCTTCTGTACGTTGAGACCATTCAAGGCCATAAAAGTCTGACTGTCAGCGTTCTTCAACTTGTGGCCTTCGTCACAGAGCAAGAGTCCAATGGGCGTTTCTCTAAACTCGTCCACGTAGAGTCTTAGCGTGTCGTAAGAAACGATGATGACAGGACGAATGATGGCACGGCCTGATGCGATGGACCATTGCCGAATTTGCTGAATCAGTTCATCCTTGGTAGCCTTTCCATCGATAGCGAAGGGATTGATGGCATCTTTGCCCAGCCATTTGACCAGCTCGTTGGCCCAGTTTCGAACTAAACTTGAAGGACAGACGATGATTGCCTTGGTGATTGTCGGCTTACCAGCATCTGGTGATTGCTTTAAAAGAGTCCACATGAGTGCAATGCATTGTAACGTTTTACCAAGACCCATCTCGTCAGCCATGATGCAGCCTTGGGCCTTCTCATCGATCAATCCAGTGGTAGCTCTGTACAGGAACTGTAGCCAGAGGTCAGCTTCCGAGCAGGTAATAGAATTGCGCATAGCATACCTTAACACCCTCAACCTGATGAGGACGCAACACCTTGGCCAGCCGGGGGTCGATGACAACAGGCACTCGAGGGCGCTCCTCAACAACCTTCTTCTTCAAGCCTAGAATATCTGCCAGACTCTTGTGCATTATCGGCTCGTCTACCTTCTCTTTCGATTCTTCTGTATTTTCCTTGGATGCATCTTCTATAGCCCTCACAGGTTTATCGTCGACGGTCGGATCGTAAAGAACAATGGCAAATTCTCCGCTGGGATCGTGAAGTGGTTTGGCGACGAAGACCGCACCTTGTCGCAATCCAAGGAGCGGTGGGGGGCGAGATGAGTTGTACGCGGCAGGATCCTTGTTAAGGAACGGTACTGAGAAGCGTTGACGTATTGATTGGTCCTTGTCCTTGGGCTTGAAAACAGGGAAGCGGTTGACATCTCGAGTAGCAAGGGCAAGTCGATCCTCATTACTATAAGGCTTGTCCGCGTCGTCGACTTCGCCATCGGCTCCGGTATAATTGACCTTTCTTCGCTTGCGTGTTGGTTTCTCTGAAGCTCTCGTTGGCGTTGCGGATCCAGGACATTTGAAAGGCTTCATCAATCGGTCGGCAGTAATTGGGGTGCCTCCATACATGCGAGCACGCTTCTGAGTAGGCAGTGGCGTAGGCGCGACATTCTCCTTCTCAATGACGGCGATCCTATGAAGCACGGTCAGAGTCATTCAATGGACGACCTCGAATGCGAACGACGTACATTGCGATGGTTGTTGTAAAATTTGGTCGTCACTTACCGCCACAAAGAAATGGTCGTGGTTTTGTCTAAAGAATGAGCATCGAGATGCCTAGAGTGGGACGTGTTCGGGGGTGGCGTCGACGCGCGCAACCCCGTGACCCGAGGCAACTTTGCAAATTGACATGGAAGGCGCGACCATCATGATTTCGTTGCAAACATGCCGACACTCTTGAGTAGATAATGAACAAACCAATCGCTGATACCTTTTCTATGATCATCTAACTCTACAACTCGTCGTGACTTTTCTTCTTCTTTTCATTCTCCTCTCTTTGAGCCCTGGCATCTGCCTCCTGCATCTCTGCCTGAATCCCGGCACCACCAGCATGACCGGCAATAGGACTCTTGCCTTCTCCGACCTTACGCTGAGCCAACGCTGCAATCTCATCGTCGTAGATGGTCCACTCTGGTACCTGTCTTCTTGCTCTCTCGAGCTTGGGCTCCTTGGTCTGAGGGTTGTTGCACAGATCGATGGTACGCGCAACTCCTAGAGTCTCATCGCTGCACCAAGTCTCGCACCACAACCATTCCTGAGGCAAGCTGTGAATAGGCAATACGTGCTGCATGTGGTTGGGTAAGTCTTGATCCAGGTTGCTCAGACTGTTGGGATCTGCTGAAAGCTGGTGATATTGCTGTCTCAATCTGTCTCCTGCAGCCATCTGGCGGAAGCGGACGAGATCAACCACATATAGTGCTGAGATATGGTAAGGTAAGCCACGGAGGAAGTTCTTCCAGTAGCCTTGCTTCCAGAAGCGGAACCCCTCCATCTCAGTTCTAGAGTCACACATGGGCGTGAAACCATACGGCGCACCCTGCAGATCGTATTGCACAAGATCGTACATGTCAGTGCGGACAATCTGGTCGGCGTCGACGAAGATGACCTTGTCCAGATCAAGAGGGAAGAGGACGTCCAAAAAGAGAATCTTGTAGCCCCAGATCTCACGTTGCTTTTCTTTTTGACCACGAAGCCAGTGAGGCCACTTGTAGGTGACCATCTCGTACCTGAAGCCATACTCTTCAGCCATGATAGGCAGGAAAGCCTTGAATGAAGGGGACAAGAACTGCTCAATGAACCAGAACTTGACCGTATGCGAGGTATGCTTTGTGACTGAGAGCATCATGATGTTGAGCATACGCTCGTAAAGATGACCGGAGGCGACGGAGAAAATGTTGATGTCGGCATGAGGTAAAGTAGAGAGATCAGTAGACGATCCAGCTGATCCAGTAAGGAAGCCAGCTCCGAACTTCTGTGCTTTGGAAAGAACATCGCTGGATTTGACGCTACCGAGACCGACTTTGGCAAGAATTGAATCAGCCTTGTCAGCAATGTGATCGGCAGTGGTCTTAGCACTCTCGAGAACATCTTCGTCTTCCTTGCCAGGTTTGCGAGAAAGACGAGGGAAGATGGTAGCACCACGGAAGCTGGTGAGAGCGATTTCAGTCAGCTTGTCTCCTGCTTGAGGACTGTACCCAAGAGTTCCTGCGCTGTCGATGTGGAAAATCTCCTCGCTTCTTCCCTTTTGTAGGGTAAGGTTGTAGAAACCGGGGTTCGCTTTGAACTGGAAGTATCCCAAATTTGCCATGATAATGGTATCGGCGAAGTGCTGGTCTTTGTTTGTTCCCAGCACAAGCTGTGCTCCTCTAGGCGCAGTTCCAATGGTGACGTCTCTGGAGTGACCTTCGATGAGAATACTCTCGAGTTCATAAGTTGCCTCGATGTCTCTGCCCTGGGTCGAGCTCAACTTGATGTTGTCAAGATCGTGAACACTGTCTTTAGGTGCCACGAGCCAAGCAGGTGGCATGTCCATGGCCATTGTAAGAAGAGCATCTGCTGGAAGGCCTTCAAAGCGAGCCAGAGTGCCCTGCAGTGAGCCTTTCTCGTCGAACCTAGGCTTGGACTCCAATACGTGTCGGTAGAAGCGTTTGACAGGCAGCTCATCCAATCTCTCCTTAGGATTCAAGTAAAGACGAAGATGGACACCAGAGAGTTCTGACAGGACCTTGAGGATAGGTACCCAACGTTGAGCTGTTTCGGATGCTGGATCCACTGAAGCCACGATTTGAATAGTTGCATGCTCAGCATCACCACGCTCGATGAGAGTGTGCGAACCGGTCCAGCCACTGAACACGTCTGATCGAGCAGGTGGCGATGAGTCAAACATGCCTTCAGGAACATCGGACTTGGATGACAAAGCGATCAGGTTTGAGAGCTTGGAGAAGGACAAGGCAGTGTTGGCTTTGTCCGCAGCGTTGATTCCCTTGATTGCTGCTGCTGCTGGCATCAAGCGCTTCATGCGTTCGTAGGAGAAGAGAGTCTCGAAGTCATCGCTGTCGAACTCTTCGAATGATGGCAGCGGCCCAACGACTCTGCCTGCCAACAAGATACCTTGGTCACCCTTGTTGAAGCCAACATCGTTGAGGAATCTATCAGCGGACGACCAGAAAGCCTGAGCTGCGATAACGTCTGCCTCGGAGGCAGAGACTTTGTCCTGTGACAGGAGCGCCTGTAACGCATCCAAGGACACAATAGGGCCAGCGATCATGTTCTTGAACAGTTCAACCGCAAAGCTCGAAGTCGACAAAGGTTTAGCGGCACTATGAACAAGCAGAATCTCAACCTGGTCGTATTCTTCCTTGCGCAGTTTGATTAGCCCTGAAAGCATACGCTGAGCAGCTTGCGTGTCAAAGTCCGCGATAACAACAAGATGAACAAGGTCGTTCGACACTGTATCTTTGCTGGCAGGCAGACTGGGAATCGAGCCTATGGCTCCTTCAGCCAGGTCAGAGACAGTAGCCAGATTGACTTGACGAACGCTGTTCTCATCTTCAGGAATGACCCAAGGGTTGCGACGGGCAGATGCACGAGCCAAGAAAAGCTCGGGAATATAGCTATCGTCATTGAGTTCATCCTCATAGACCGCCTTCTGTACGCTACGCAGATCAGTGGTCACACGCTGGCTCATTTCCTGAAGCCACTCGTCAGACATCGGAAGAGGAATTCCGTTGACGAAGAAGGGAGGTGTGGCCCCGGATGCACCCAAACGGACGAGGTACTTCTGTGCGGAAGCAACACGTGCACTAAAGTCGTCGCTCTTCAGAACTTCTTGCAGAGGCGATGAGATACGATCTTTGCGAAGCTTGCGACCTTTGGTGGCGCCTTCAAAGATAGACTGCACCGGACCGGCAAGTTTTCGTCCCTGGCTAGAAGAGAGCTAAGATCGTTAGCAAGTTCTGACATGTATGGTTAGAATGCAAGATTACCTTTTGAAGATACTCCAGAGCAACACCGAGACCGTAAGTATCCAGCAGGTGGTACACTGCCTTGGCTTGTTCGGCAGATGCAGTAGACGATGTTTTGGGCACAAGGCCAAATCTAATTGGCACTTTCCTCTTGACGAAGCTTTGCAAGTTTTCGACAATCGTCTCTACATCTTTGTAGTTGGCAAAGTCGACAGGTAGAACAAGATTATGGATTTCTTTGCGCACAGGAGGCAACTGTCCCGGATATGTTCGTTGCAACAACTTTTGATTGTCAGTGGAGTCCAACACTCATCGACGGAGTTACTCACTGCTCTGACTTGAGTAGGGAACTCGGCGTAACGTTTGTCATGTTCGATATCGTTCATCCAGATGATGACCTTACCACCTTCGAGCTCGTCTCTCCAGTCATAACGTTGAGGCTCTTGACCTGAAGAGGCCTCTGAGATCGAAGGATGCGAGAGGAGCTGTATAGCCTCTTTTCCGCTCAGGCCAAGCTCGCGCGCGCTGTTGATCAGCTTACGCTCACGGCGAAGGTGTTCGAGCATAGCATAAGCATCAAAGTCGCGAGCGAGAACCTGGAGACCGTTCACCCACATGACATTGTACCCCGAAGGCAGGAAGACCTCACGGTTGGCCAAATGCTCCTTTCGGAACTCTTCAGAGATGTCGTGGGCAGACATAGCTGCCGAATGCTTTGGAAAGTCTTGAGTGAGTCTCAACAAAGTCTCAAATGGATCAGCGCTGTCCATGACGAAGCTCGATGCTTTCATGTCAAGTCGTATCAACTCCTTCGAAGACAAAGGTTTGAGATCCGCCACATCCTCATCTGTCAACTTTGCAGTAGAAGCATCATTGTTGGTAGAATCCGAGTCTTCAGCTTGGCGGTCGTCAATGACGATATAGTCAGTTCTCTTCAAGGCAAGCTCAATACCATATCCACTGACAGCAAGCGGAGAGCCTGGTCTGCCTACAGAAGGTCTGTATCTCACTCTGTAGGATGTCTTTCCCGATCTGGCAGTCAGACTGACAGTCTTGTGGAATTGGCGGAAAGAGGGGGACATGACATCTGCATAGAGAACAGAAGGGGTCTTGCTCTGCTTGTCACCCATGATGCGATCGAATGGCAAGTCAAGCGCACGTCTGCACAATGTCAGCACCCTGGAGTTTCGCAAGTAGCACCCCCCATGACATACTCCTGATTAACCGGATCTCCTGACGAGCTCGCCAAGTCAGAGTCGCAGTATTGCTGTCCGTTGAAATGCAACCACGTCTCGCAGCCCTTGTCTGTCTGACTCTTGAGTGTAGGTTCTACTGTGGTATTATAGAACTGGTAGTGTGCCTCGATTCTTGGTGCAGCTGCATGGATCGACAATGCATACTCGAAAGAAGAGATGTCCTCTGATTTGGCGAGATGTCCCTCATCTTGTAATGTCTTCTTGAACAGGTTGTATAACTCCTGATCTGTCGAGGCTTGATCGAAGTGGCCTTCAGCAATTCGGTCCAGCAAGGGAAAGTAGGCGGTCGCATTCTCGTCAGCGGCAGTCTCTCTGTCTGACATTAGTCTTGTTCTGACACAATCGAAGACGATGCTCTCACAGTAGTTCTACAAGATAAGGTGCCGAGTTGAATGAAGTTTTGAGCGCTACATTAACCGATGGAGCTGCAGCAGTACACACAGCTTGGAGCACAATGGCTATTGCGGCATTGACTGTCAGGTGCTGGTATCGCACCATCTTCTAGGCTTACGAAACAATCTTGGTGCTGAGTGGCCGTTTAGCTAGAAAGTTTAGTGTTGAGCGAGCTTCTAGAGAGAACGCTCGATATTGCGTCTGCTTCCGAAGCAAATGGTTCAAAGATCAACACAGCCCAGTCGCGAGTGATCAAGATGCCTGGTAAGTCGCAACAAGTTACTGGGACTGCTCGGGACTCGTACAATAACTCGACGAGACTCTAGCCACATGTCATCCAAGACGGTTGTTTGCACTGTTTGCATCTGGGGAAGCTCCTTCCAGAGTTGCGGCCGGTTAGAGTTGCCTCACTAGACTTCTTTCACTGACCACTCCAACTTGCTTCCAATTCCAGCTTGTTAATTATCGCATCCCAAACATTTTACCTATGTGCAGGATTGTATCACTCACTCCATTCAGTGACAATGCCTCGATGTAATCCGGCTGTAACGTTGCCCGATACTCCACAAGATCGATTATGGATGAGCTACTCGATACGCTCTTACGGAACCTGGCTTTGATGTTTGGATGACGGTGCACTTCTATAGCTGATGGTGCGACAGACTTTAGCATATGGAGAGACGACCAAGTATCATTGATGTCTATCTGGTTGCATCTATTGAACATCAACTATCAGCTTTATCGTGCTCCTCATTCAGAATCGACCCTTGAGAAACAACTTCAGCAGAATGCCCCAATGCCGAATGCCTCATCTTCTCCAAACTCGTCTCAAAATCCCTCCTCACCCCAAGCACCTCCTGGATATGACTCAAATGCAACCTCTCAGCTCCAAATCGGGCAAGTGTACTCGCAGTATGAATCGTATTGAAAATCTCGCGTCCATTCAATCTTTCCTTCGACAGCTGCTCGGAGATGTTATCGATATCAAGTTCAGAGTCTTCCTGTTGCAGTTTCTCCAGACTCTGCTTCCAAATCCTACGACGGCCTTCCTTGTCTGGTTCGTAGTAGCCCAATGCAAGATGAACTCTCGACTTCATCGCAGCATCAAACACATGAATACGATTCGTAGTCAGAAACACAATACCAGAAAAATATTCCAAATGCCGAAGGAAAACAGCAACCAGAGCATTGCGATTGGTAGCTTCATGAGAATCATCCCTTCTAGCTTCCAAAAACACATCAGCCTCGTCCAAAAGCACAATCGCTTTCCAAGTCGTAGCGAGGCGTAAAAGTTTGGTAAGTTCGAATTCGAAAAACCAGGGGCTGTCATGTTTGTTGAGCTCGGAGATGGAGGCGCGGATGAGTGCTTTTGCTGTGATTTCGGCAGCGCATTCGGCGGTTAAGGTTTTTCCTGAGCCAGGGGGGCCGTGGAGGAGACATACCAAGCCCTTACCCTTTTGCTGTTCTTCGTCCCTGGCATCGGTGGGGAAGTTGTGAGAAGTGACTAGTGCGCGTACGAGATTCAGTTGACTCTGTGGCAAGATGAGCTCGTTGAAAGCGTTGGTCTTCCAAGGTACCTCTCGCAGGTTTGTGACGTAGTAGCGACACCAATTTTTGCGGCTGCAGGAGTACCCAAGCACGTAAGGTGGACATAACGCAGTATCCAACGACTCAAAGGACCTCTTGCTTATGATCCCGCTGGGGTGGTCCTGCTCAAAGGTTTTCCGGTCGATGATGACTCGTCCAGTTTCTGTGAATGGCATCCAAAGCTGAGGCCATTCATTCTCATCCGGGTGGAAAAACTCAAGAGGTGGTGTCTTCAAGTATTCAGCAGGGCCATCGTACTGGCGGACCAGGATACCAGTGATTGACAAAAACAGCTCTCCTCTTTCACGCAGACGACTTTCCAGATCTTTGTCATCAGGCGCACACTCCCTCGGAAACACCTTCAGATCCAGAATCTTCGAAGGGTGATCGGAGCCAAAGTCTTCTTTCTGATAGATGCGGAACAGATGTTTCGAAACACCATACTTCTCGCCATCGTAATCGGAAAACGAACATTGGATTTCGCAGTACTTTCCTCGCTTCTCGTTTGTCTCATATGCCGTCTTTTCCACTTTCAAAAGCCATGGGTGAGATTTGACATAAGTCACGACTGTGTCGCCTGGGCGGAAGAGAACGCCCAACCTGGCAAACTCGACCAGGCCACTGCGGACCTGGGATAGGTAGTTCTTCCTCGCGGCACCCATATCGAATTCCATGAATTGAAGCAACAAGTCGAGATGCTGATGGGCGGCATCGTCCTTAAGGTCGGAAGTATAATTCTGCAAGTCATCCCAGTGATGAAACAGCATTTCCGACGGGATGGGTATAGACACGCGTGTCGAAAAGTCCGAGGGTATTGTAGGGTGAGATTTGACAACATCTCTGAAAGCGTTCAATATAAAGGGTGAGTTGACATCGAGTGTAGTCGAATCAAGGTTGTGATTCTTGTCCAGCTTTCGAGTCACTACAAGAGCATAGTCGTCGGTAGATGCTTCGACGTGACCAAAGCCCTCGACGGAAGTCTTCTCCGGGGTGCCGTCTTCCTTCTGCGATAGATGCCATGTCTTGACTTCGCATTTGACCTGTGTAGAGAATCCATTGGGAGCCTCGGATACGTCGGGGTGCGTCTTCGACATGGTTGAAGTGTTACAGGGTATGGGATGTGACAGACAGTGGGGGCGGTCATGCCTTATAAAGTCTGGATGCGAATGGGTAAGCGAACAGGTGCCTTACGCTGCAGTCATCCTGAAGAATGGCATGTGATCTCGTTAACCTGCCTGCGTTCTCTGCTGCCTAATGATGATGTGGCTTGCAGGATTGAGTGATGTCTCAATACGCGCGTAGTGGTTATCTCTACACGAGAAAACGACTGACAGCGGCTAAACTTTATTCATTCTATTGGGGATGCAAAGCAAAACGCATCCAATCTGCCATTGGTTGTACAGAGTCTTGACTGTACCTGTCGACCGTGTACTGGATTGAACTCTTTTTGTCTACGCATTGCGATAACACTTTTGTGACAGAAGCATCAGATAGAACCATAGAAAGGAAGGAGGAACAAAAGAAAAAGAGTGCTCCAATTTTAAATGCTCGAGAAAAAAAAGAGAAAGGTAGAAAAGCGTAAACTGTACAATGCAAGCAGGTATACATTAACCTCAGTTGGGTTATCAAAGAGTAATCGCCAGCGACCATATCCATGGCCACGCCCCATCTCGAGTACATGCGGATTGGTTCAGTGGCTGAGTGGTCGCCCATGGTGCCTGCTTGTCATGGCTGCAAGAACCAGCACAGCCTTGGTGTATGCGGCAGGGTATCTTCATGAGTAGAGCGTTTATCGGTAAGGGGCGTCAGCTCTGGCGACGGCAGCCAATTCGGGCTCCCACTTGTCGCCGTTCATCAAAAGCTTCTCCTTGTTGTAAAGCAGCTCCTCACGGGCTACAAAATGGTTAGCCTTGTTCTTTCACAGATGCTCTAGCACAAGACTCACTCTCTGTGGCGTATTCGGCGTTTGGTGACTCGACAATGGCATCAACGGGACAGCTCTCCTGGCAGAAACCGCAGTAGATGCACTTTGTCATGTCGATATCGTAGCGAGTAGTTCTTCTGCTTCCGTCCTCGCGCTCCTCGGCCTCGATAGTAATGGCCTGAGCAGGGCAGATAGCCTCGCAAAGCTTGCAGGCAATACATCTCTCTTCACCGGTAGGGTAGCGGCGCAGGGCGTGCTCGCCACGGAAACGAGGGCTGATAGGACCCTTCTCGAAAGGGTAGTAGATGGTGTAGCTTTCCAGGTTGTCAATAGATGAAGGAGGGTATACGGTATGGCGGGGCGACTCACGGAGGTCTGAAGAACTGCTCGAGAACGACGTACATGCCGCGCATCATCTCGGTAAGCAGGAAGTAGTTGCCGAGTTTGTCGGCGGTGCTCTCCTTCTGCTGGTCCCATCGTACAGGAGCGGGCATACGGAAGCCCTGAGGAGGAGCACCAGTGCCGGAAGCGGGACGGGCAATGGACGTCGAGAACAGAGAGGCGGACGCGGGTGTGAAGAGACGGGGAGAGGCGACGACGGGGCGAGTCGAGTTGCGCAGGACTGCAGCGGCCATGGTCCTTGTGTTTGCCATGATAGCGCGATGTGTGAGTTGGGAGGAGAGAGGCGGGCGTGTATCAGGTGGCAGTGGCGTACAAGGTCGCTGGAGGGTATGCTCGATCTTTGGGTAATGCTCCGGCGTTGTTTTGTCACAGCCAATCAGATGGGCCTGCTTACCCCGGCCTCTCTGAGTGGTTCTTGGCGTCTTCTTCCGCAGCTTCAATCGGTGACGATTTCACATCTACCAGTCCAGCTGCTGCTACCGTCCACGAAACACCTCATCCACACACATTCCGCCCCTCACAATGTTCCGTTTCGCCCTCGCTAGATCCGCAAGATGCCTTGCCCAGGCCGCTCCTAGAGTCCAGGCCCCCATCACCCGCCGCGTCGCTCCCTCATCTTTCTTGCCTTCGACGACCGCCGCTCCCTCGACCTTTGTTTCCGCCGTCAGATGCTACTCGGCGCACGCCGGTCTCTCAAAAGATGAGGTTCAGGGCCGTATCCTCGACCTCCTGAAGAACTTCGACAAGGTGCGCAACTCCAACGAAGCCTTGCATATTTGCCGCATCATGTACTGATCTATTATACCAGGTCTCGGACGCCTCCAAGGTACTATCGATTCAATGACCCCTTCATTCGACGCAATACTCACCATTCGCAACAGCTCTCCGCTCAGTCACACTTCACCAACGACCTCGGTCTTGACTCCCTGGACACCGTCGAGGTCGTCATGGCCATTGAGGAGGTTGGTCACATGCGCCGCGACACACAACTAGTCCACACGCTCACACCTTATTGCAGGAGTTCAGCATTGAGATCCCCGACAAGGAGGCCGATGCTATTCACAGCGGTATGCCGAAACCAGACCAATCCGACTTGCCGGAACGAAACTAACTCGATTGATAGTCAACCAAGCTGTTGAGTACATCCTTAGCCAGCCTGATGGTAAGCCTGCTCGCCTAGAAGATTACCAGACCGATTTCTGACTCGCATACAGCTCACTAGATGCGCCATTGAGATGTGCATGGAAACGGAATATTTTGAAGAAGCCCGACATGCTATACATGCCACGGTAGAGGTATATAGCCATTGGGACCTGCGCCCCTGTACTATGAAATTTTCTTTGGTCGTCACTGCTGGAAATTGAAGCCAACGTTGCGAAATGAAGTGAGATGATATGTCCGTGTCGCGGTGATAACATTAAGGTGCCAAGAAGAAGTGTCCAAGGGAGGAAAGCGCCAGGTGGGGGAGTTGATCCTCCAAACATGCGACAACAATTGGCCTGATTAATTCAACTTGCGGCTGCCTTTCGTGTCCCTTTTGTATTCGACCGCGCCGTCATCCCTGATTCCTCAGCGTCGCTACGTTCCCCCGACTTCGCTAGGAGTAGTACGCTGACGCCCGCCGCGTCTCCCTCCATACAGCTGTGTCCAACGGCCACGAAGCACTCCCGTCGGCGTCTCTGAGACAATAAACACACGACACAATCGCACAACCCCACCATGGCCTCTAGCTCTGGTCTGACAAGAAGAAGAGGAGGCGCTGGTGGCGCCGGAGGACTTGAGAGTGAAGATGGAAGCCGTGTCAGCTCCCCCGCGCCTACCAACAAGCGCAACGAGGAGAACAGAGGCCTCGAGACATCATACGAGAGTGGAGAGAATGGTCACAAGATCGCCTTTGATCCGCGCGACATCAGCGAAAGCGCCGAAAGGAACAAGCAACCCAAGTTGACCCTGATGGAGGAGATTCTGCTCATGGGCCTCAAGGACAAGCAGGTAGCTTTGCGCCCACTAGGCTGCCAAATGTTGGACTGCTTCTAATGGATAAATGCACAGGGTTACCTCTCTTTCTGGAACGACAATATCTCATACGCCCTCCGAGGCTGTATTGTCATCGAATTGGCTTTCCGCGGACGCATCAGCATGCAAAAGGACTCCAACAGAAGACGCTTCCCACTCGCCGACAGAGTCATCGAAGTCATAGATGACTCGTTGACGGGCGAGGTTTTGCTCGATGAGGCACTCAAGATGATGAAGAGCAGCGAGAAGATGAGCGTCAGTTCATGGATTGATCTTATGAGCGGTAATAATGCCCCTAACTCGACAACGACATTTGGAATCGCGCAACTAACACGTCAAAGGTGAAACATGGAACCTTATGAAGATTGGCTACCAGCTCAAGCAAGTAAGAGAGCGTCTGGCAAAGGGTCTGGTTGACAAGGGTATCCTGCGCACGGAAAAGCGTAACTTCTTGTTGTTCGACATGGCCACTCATCCCGTGGCTGATGGTGGTGCAAAAGACGAGATCCGCCGTCGTGTCCGCAACGTCCTTACTAACCGCACTGTGGTACTGCCGCCAACACAATATTTGCCCGAGGAAATGGAATTCAGATATCTGCGAACCATCGCCATGGTCTGCGGAGCATACGCAGCCAACGTACTGGAGAACGCATTGACAACCCTGGGACACGAGGCACGCGAAAGAGCATTCGCTCAGGTGGACGAGCTGTTGGCCGAGTACTCACAATACCCCTTTGCCCGGAGGACAGGAGGACCTGGCTCTATTGGAGCCAATCTTGGCCAGGTGATTATGGATGAAGTCAACACGGCAAAGGACAAGGAGTTGCAACTCGAGGTATGTGAAGAATTCGTGGAGCGATGATGCGAACGACATACTGACAAGAACCCAGGTGGTGGCGGCTTGCTTGAGCGTGTTTACAAGACTGGATTCACTACTCTAAAGGCAGACTCATGGCAGTGACTTGGGAGGGGATGGGATACCAAAGGACATCAAAGTCACATGATTACATTCTGATGAGGCGTTATTATAGCAGCGGGGATTGAAGAAAATGGAAGCGACAAGCATCATGTTCATGAAACAGAGTGTCAAAAAGAAGAAGAAAGCGAGTCGTGATACGTGATGAATGGTTGGCGGAATGGAGATGGAAGAGACGCGGATCGGAAGAAGGGTCCGAGCTTTCTGGCGAGTTGTTACAGACGCGAATGAGCTGCACGCTGTCAGTTGGGAATGCGCATCATTTAGAATAGCGAATTATAACTACCAATCATCGGCGCGCAGTATCAGACGACCTTCCGAGTGCTGACAGGGCGTGAAACAAAGGCCTTGTACTGTCCTTGGAGCTAATCACCGCTTGGCTCTGACCAGGCAGGCACCGTCCCCTTCCGCTCGGCCAGACCAACTGCCCTAGAGGGGCATGTTCGACCAAGGTATGTCATTTCTATCCATCGCTTTTTTGCTTTCCCGGATTCCCTCACTGTCTCCTTTCACTTCCTGTCGAGTTTTGACGCGCCGTCACGCCAACATGGCCTCCCCGTCCACACGCTCCTCTCACTCGACGCGACCACCCACGCGCCTGCTAAATCCCGACACAGTCACCTCACATTAATTCAACCCTAAACCATGCAATCGCCCTCCTCCAACCCCGTCGCTTCACCCTTTCCAAACAGCGGCCAGCCTTTCAATCTCTCGCAACCCCCGCCCGGTCGAAGAAGTGCCGCTCCCCCCTCCAACGCCTCGACCGCACCACCCCCCAACCCACCATCGGATGCCGGCGATGCCATTCGTGACGGAAAACAGCGTGCCAAAGATATTATGGCCGTCTCAGGCATTGACGTGACATCGTCACCTTCGCAATCATCCAATGGAGTCGCCATGTCAAGGAAACGTTCGCGCTCCGGCTCGCGCATTCCCGCGCGTCCTCATTCACCCAGCAACCCTCCTCACGATGAAGTTCTCCTCGAGCGCTATATTCAACGCGATTCGCTGTATGCGGCTGCTATGAATGATCAAGCCGAGAAGTCTCGCAAGCTCCTAAGGCTCAAGGAGCAGGAGAAGGAATGGTATCTCCATGAGGGCAGACAGCAAAGGCAACAACATCCCGGTGCTACATTTGGTTATGGATACGCTGGATATGGCAATGGACGAACCGACGATAGAACGCGGCTCGAATACCCATCTCAGCGCCGCAGAGCTGGAAACAGAAGAACACGCGAACTGCGCGTGCCCAGGAAAGAAGCCGGACAACAAGCTGAATATCTCGAAGAGCTCGTGCCTGTGAGACTTGACCTTGAGCTTGAGAAGCTGAGATTACGCGACACTTTTACATGGAACCTCAATGACCGCCTGGTTTCCCCGCAGCTCTTCGCTGAGAACCTGATCGAGGACCTGAAGATTCCTAATGAACATACCCAATCGCTTGCTCGTCAGGTCCATCAAGAACTGCTTGATCAGCTGAATAACTACTACCCCCACGTTTATCCTGCAGGACAACCTGCAGAGCCCGATCTTGCATACAGCGCTCATAAAAATGATGATATGCGCATCACTGTCAAGCTCAACATCACCATTGGACACATCACACTGGTGGACCAATTCGAATGGGACATCAACAACCCCTTGAACTCTCCCGAGGAATTTGCCAGACAAATGTCCCTGGATTTGTCGCTTTCTGGCGAGTTTACAACAGCCATTGCACATTCTATTCGCGAACAATGTCAGCTTTACACCAAAAGCTTATTCGTAACCAATTACGAATTCGATGGAAGACCGATAGAAGACCCTGATGTTCGTGAGAACATGCTTCCATCACCAGTTCCCAATGTCTTCAGACAACAACAGAGCCAAAAGGACTGGACCCCCTACATGTATGAGCTTACTGAGGGAGAATTGGAGAAGACGGAGTTGTCCATGCTGCGTGAACAGAGAGCTCAGAAGCGCCAACTCAACAGACGCGGTGGGCCTGCTTTGCCGGATCTCAAGGAGCGTCAAAGAACCGTTCGTTCTTTGGTCGTATCGACAGTCATTCCAGGCGCTGCAGAGACGATGGAAGCTAGTGGCATCTACAAGATTCGTCGTACGGCGACTGGAAGAGGTCGTAGGCCTGGAGCTCGTCTCAACGATGGAAGTGATTCTGATGAGTTGGAAGAAGAGGAGTCAGGGGCCGAGTCTCCTGCACCTTCTCAACTTCCCGGTGGAACAGCCCGAACTAGGGGTATGAGAGGCGCCGCCACCGCTGCACAGATTGCCATGCGCCAAACCTACGGCAGATCGGCCACCCCTGACATCGCTATGCTTTCACAGCCGGAAGCAAGACCGTCCAGACGCGCCCCAGAGCCAAGTGAAGATACCGCAGAGCCAACATTGATGAAGCTGATTGTCAAACTTCAAATCAACCCCGAGAAGTTTAAACAGTTCCTGGCACGGAGGAAATTTGGCCGTAGTGCGGCACCACCTCTGTCAGGTTTCCCTACCTCCTTCACAATGCCAGCTGCACGTCCCAATCCTACGCCAGCCAAGCAGGCAACTGGCCCTTCAACACCATCAATGCAGAACAGACCCCTACCTGCAGCTTCTGTCACACCTGCCCGTCAACCTCAACCACAAGCTCCGACCCCAACGACTAAGCTCCCGGCGCCGACACCTACCAAAATTACAAAGGACGTCGAGTACGATTCTCAAGGTCGTGTCGAAGCCGCTACCACTCCCTTACCAGATGGTGCCACAGTAAGTAGATATCGCACCTGAAAGCCACTGACAAACCCCGAGCATCCATAAGTCTCTGACGCCCCACAGCCGGACATACCCTCATGGTTACAAACCGCTCTCCTTGAAATGCACCGCCTTTACCCAACATCTCGCTTCTCCGGTCTGATGCGTTTCAGCGCCGTCGACGCCGAGACCGACGGTCCCGTCCGAATCGACCACACCGCCCTACCAGCCGGCTCACCCCCACCCGAAAACTTCACCAACCCGGCCACCGGCGAAAAGCAAGTCGTCAAATGGATGTGGCAGCCTCGCATCCGGTGTGACGACTGCCCCGGTAAACTGTACACTGCGGTACGCGAAGACACGATTGGCAAATTTGAAATCCACCTCAAGAACCGCAAGCACAAGGCGCAGGTTGATGCCAGGTTGGCCAGAGAAGAATAGTATTCATGGTTGGCGAGGAGGCATAGGCGTACATTCGTCGTCATCACAGGAGTATCAAGAGCATTCTTTTTTTCCTTTCTTTTTCGAAATCATACTTGTTTGCGTTGTTCACTTCCCAATTGTTCTCTTTTATGTTTGTTGATTCGCCCGTGATATTTCTCGTGTACAGTTCTCAATGGCGCTCAATGTGTTATGATGATGAAGAAGAAAGAGAATCGGCCCGCCATCTTATGGGTTTGGCGAGCAGAGGACAACCTACATAACCTCGAGTTGAGAAGGGACGACTAAATTCGTTTGCTTCCCTTGTCAAGAGTAGTTAGCAGAAGAGAAGAAGAAATGGCTGTCGAGAGAAGGAGCGATCTGGCGAAAGGGGAAAGAGACAACCCAGCAAATCGAAGGGAGAGCAAAATGGAAAGATCTATATTCTAGGCAGGGACAGTAGTCCAAGAAAGAGCGATGACTTGAGAAAGGAGGGAGGATCTAGGAAAGGAGCGATGACCCAGACACCAACAATAATCAAGGACAGAGCGACGCCCAGGAAGGAACGATGGAGGAAGCGACATGAGTGAAGAGGGAAGAGCGACCAGCGCTCCTTCCTTCGAAGAATTATTCAAACAATTCAGCAGGAAGCAATCGAAATGGGTATCATAACTCTACATTTCATTCATCTTTAACAGCTATCTATGCAATGTATGTCTCAAACGCCACTGATGCATGCTCATGGCCCAAATTCTTCTTCGATCTCATCGGGATCAACCGTATGCACAAACGCCCGCCTGACGAACGTATACCATGGCTTGTTCTCTCTGCGCGACTTCTTCTTGTGATCCTTCTTGCCCTTCTTCTTGTGCTTCTTCCTGGTAGCATCCACGTCGACTTGTTCTTGGTCGGCGTCAAATGCCTCGTGTCCTTCGATCTCGTCAACCGCATCTGACATCTGCACATCGCTCTTTCTAGGCTTGACCCCTGCAATGCGCTGTGCTAGGCGAAGGTAGCTCCTCGTCGTGAGATCTTTGAGCTTGTAGACCTTGTCGCTGCGAGTATCGTACAAGACCTCATAGGTAAAGTTTGTTGGGTGAGGTTTACGGTCCTCATCGAAGGGCTTTTTGCCATTGTGTTTGCCGTCCTTCCACCGTTGCTGCTCTGCATCGTCTCCGAAGAAGTCGTTGTTGATACGAGTCAAATTGGCGTAGTATTGAACAAATCCCAACAGAGTCAGAGACTGTGGAGAGTATGCTGGTCCAGGAGGGGCGGATTTTGAAGGTGGCTTAGGCACTGTGAATCTGTGCTTCTTGGGCTTCTTCTTTTTCTTCTTGCGTTCAGCTTCCAAATCTCCGTCTTCGGTGATTTCTTCCTCCAGATCCTGTTCGTCGGACTCTTCGAAGCCCTCTTGCGAGCTCATCGCGTACTGGTCCTCAGCGGCATAAGGCAGTTTTCTATCAAGCCCTGTGATGTTGTACTCGTAGACACGGATGGTGGGGAAATAGTTGGGTACAACGCTGGGCGAGACGTGGGAGATGCTGAATCTCTCAGCAAAGCGACCTCCGATTTCTGCTTCGTAGTCATCTGGGTCGTGTTTTCCCTTATGCTTCTTGCCTTTTTTGAGGATCTCTGCACCTTCATGTAGGTACTCCTCAATCAGCTCTGCAATTTCCCAGTCAGGGCGAGCCTCGTCGCTTGAATCGCGTATGCTTTTGAACATTTCCGAAGCCTTGTGGGCCTTGTTCGCCTGAGGCTTTGGCAATTTGGTCCAGCTGTCTCTCAGATCCTTGAGGTAACTGGTGGCAGACTGGATGCCAAACTTTGGCTCGTCAGCGGCGACGACGCCTCTCTTGGAGCTCTGGATAATCTCATATCCATTGGCGACATTGTCATCGACTTCTTCGAAGTCCTGCACGATGAAGTGATCGGTGTTCATGTGGCCGTAAAGAGTGCCGGCTATGACGTCTCTGTACTGGTGCATCCACAAGGTGTATTTCTGCCAGCAGGTCTCGTCCCAGTTGCGCTTATTATCGGTGCGAGCCGGAGGAACGTGGCCAGTAAGAATAGCCTTCATGTTGCGGTCGCGCAAGTATTGGAGCTGGATGCGGAGCCAGTCGAGTTGGCGGTATCCGGGCTCCGATTTGGCGGCACATCCATCGACGGCAGAATTGGAATTGAAGAAGTAGCTGCGGTAATGTGTTAGAAACAGGAGCAAACGAACAGACAAGCAGAGACATACAGCGAATTGAGCGAGACGACGGCAAAGTGGTTGGGAATGACTTCGACATAGAACCAGCCGCCTTGATCAAACGAGTGCTTCTGGACTTCTGGAATGAAGGTACGCCATATGTCTAGATAGCGTCGTGTCCAAGTGTTTGGGCCTCTGTCGAAGATGTTATGGGGCAATATGTCGTTGTTGCCAAATGTGGGAATGACTGGAACGACAAGATCGTTGGTCGGATCGTCGTCAGGCTCTTCTTGGCTCTTGCCAAAGACTTCGTAGAATTTGTCCACGAGCAGTTGATTCAGCTGAACAACCTGCTGTACATTTCTGGGTATCTTCTCGTCGTTGTCATGGCGTGCCGAGTCGCCTGTCCAGATGACAAAGTCGATCGAGTCCTTGAGCTCATGGCGAATCCAGTCGAAGGTCGCATTGATGAGTGAAACAGGCGAGTCACAGTCGGATGTCTCTGCACCATAGTAGCCCGCTGGCCCAGAGCCTCTATGGCATGCGCCATCCTCGGAGATTGACGAGTAGACCTTGTAGAATGGATCCGGATGAAAGTCTGTATCAAGACATGGTCAGTTGGTGACATTCCGAGTGGAGCTGGATATTAACACGCACCCGTCACCTGCAGGAATCGGCCGTGCAATTGCCGTCTTTTCGTGACTGACGCGCCATTGTCGAGTAGAGGCTCCTGTAGTGCCTTCACAGGCCCGAGAGTGGATATAAGCAGTGCCGACAGGACCGAAGCACGCCAGCAGAACATGGTGAATGTTTCTCCTCTTGCACGCCTCGCACACAGGAAATCAATTGCACCAACTCGTCGACCTTCAAGATTGACGAAATTGCTGCTGCAACGGGCCGTCGATCTTCCTCCTACGTCACAAAGCAGAGGATCTGGGGTAAAATCTACGATGAAGAGGACAGGGTTACGGTGATCAGAGCCTCATCCACCTTCTCTTGTCGTGAATCATAAAAGACTCTCTCGTATTTCGAAGGCCGAGAGGACGGTGGTTGGCAGTTGTATGCTGGAAACGAAGGGGATGATTTTGGTGGTACGTGATCTATTCTCTAGGGCCATCAAGGTACGTTGGACGACTTGCGCCAATCACGCGCCAAAGTCCGTCCTCGTGTTCGCATCATCTGCGACATTCATCAATCTCATGACACAGACGCCCACGCGCTATCCGAGCTCGGGGTGCTCAAAGATCTGCTGTTCTGTCTTCGCTCTCTCTAATCCACTGGTCTAGCTGCTGCCTGTTGCGCACGCGAAGGCCAACCTTGAATGGCTTTGGTTCCATCTGCGCGCTTGTCAGTCATGCATCTTCCTGGAACATAATTGGACAAACCTACGGTAAGACTGGTGGGAAGAGCATTCGCATCCAGTGCATCAAGAACTGGACTGTCTCTTGGATCCTTCGGTGACACGAATTGGAACGCCGTGATGAGTCTCAAAAATGCAGTGTACAGCTCGCGATTGCCCAAGTGACTGCCTGCACACATTCGACTGCCAGCTCCGTATCCGAAGTGCTCGATACCTGACATCTCCTTGTCCAGATATCTCTCGGGCTCAAACTTGAAGGGGTTCGTGAAGTGCGATTCGTCGTAGTTGGCCGCGTAAGCGTTCATGTAAAAGGTAGTGCCAGAGGGAATCACGGCGCCTTGCCATTCGATATCCTTGATGCTGACTCGTGGCAGACAGATTGGGATGACGGACCAGAACCTCAGAGTCTCTTTGACTAAGGCTGTGATGTAGGGAACCTTTTCTTCGACCAGACATTTCTCCCATGCGTCGCCGTTCGGATATACCTTGTTGATCTCATCAAGAGCCCGTTTCTGGATCTGTTGACCGTGCTCGGACGAGAGATATGCCAAACACATGACTAGGTTTCCTGGAACGGTATCCAGGCCGGCACTGACCATCGTAAGACAGATGGACATGATCTCGGCATCGTTGAGCTTCGCTTCCGGGTCCTTGAGAATATTGCCAGTAATGCATGGTCGGTCTGTACCGGTTCTAATCTTCTCTTTCAGCATGTTCAGCAATTTCGTCATGTATGCTGTTCTACGCTGCTTGTACTCGAGTGGCTTCTTGTTGTTCGATGGCCAAAGTCTCATCAGCGGGATGTAGTCTTGCCAGTTGTTCGATGTGGACCTGAAGTTACTGATCTCACGCTCAACATGAGTGATTTCTTTGAGCATCTCGTTGTCGATGCTGCCTTCAATTTTGATGCCGTAATTGAGGGTAAGACTCGTGCTCAAAGCGTATCGCTGAAAGTATGGATTGGGGTCGATGTCGATGGTACCATCTTTCGAGTCCGCAAGCATCTCCTTGATCGATCTTGTTGCTTCAAAGTCGATGAAGGGCATGTAGCTTTGCACTGCAGGACGATTGAGAGCGGTTGCTGCTGCCTTCCTTCGTTCCTTGCAGCTTGGGTCCCATGGAGAGGTTCCGATGGTGAATCCGCTCGAGGACGAAACCACGGTGTGGAAGGTATGCAGGGTAGGTCGAGAGATCAATGCTGATTGGTTTGTGACCCACAAGTGCTTGACGGAATCGAAAGTGTTTGCGAACACAATACGCTGTTCCAACTTTCAGCATGTTTATCCGCCGTCACTCTGCCATGGAAGGCTTACCTTGTTTCCTAAGCGGGTCTGGAAAACTGGACCATATTGCTTCGCCCACTTTCGAGCAACGAGAGCATGGTCGGTTCCCAATTGAAGCAAATTGCCAAACAGAGGCACTCCAGGAATCTCAGGAAGATTCTTGATTCTGGGAATGTCGGACGAATTGAGGTATCGAACAACGAGAAATACCACAAGAGCAGCAACACCAATCACCACTGGAGAAGGCATGTTGGTTGAATGAAGTTACAATGCAAAAATTGGTAGGATTGCGATGGCCAACTTTTGCTGCTTCTTACCAAGTCTTATACTCTTACTGGTTCAGCAAAGACCAAGCCCACTGGGCCCCGCTTCCTCGTGTGGAACGTCAAAAGCCAGTTGTCTTGTGATCACTGGTCCCTTCACGGTCATACCATCCGCTATGTCGTTCCCCGCCTTTGTCTTGGTTTGGTAGAAGGTGCTGCGGATGTCGAGCCGGCGCGGAACAGATCCGCACCATCGCGGAACCAGGTGAAAGCACCCTGTTACGTACTTACGTTTCGACCGGCAAGGGATTAGCCGGGCACACTGGGATCAAACTGTCCATCAGGTCATTACAGACGAGGCGGTAGTGTAATTATGTATGAACACACATCATAATGGAATCAGAACTTCATGCTTGGTGACTTGAACGTAGGGTCAACGCAGCCGAGCACTCAGCCTGCTGCAGTGCACGTTCAAACAACCACCAGAAGGCAAGATAATTTCCCAGTAAGCGAGCCATATCAACAAATCACCTTGTGTTTGAATAGCTCGTCGGACAAACTTTCTGTTTACTGAAGGCTAAGATGAACTTATAGACCTGGTGTAATCTTGGTACATTTGCCAACAGTGAAGCAGATGAGAGAGATGTCGGATCTTTCTTGATTCCAGCTAGAGTGCGATGCAGAATATGATGCTGGGCTGCTACGAACACAAGTCTCTGTGCTTAGAGCAGCTAGATAGATACAGCAGGGATGATGTTGCCTTTGCATTCTCCAAAGCCCACTCGCAATCCATCTTCGCCGATACACACTCCCCTGATGGTGACTTCATCACCATCCTCCAAGAAGACACGCTGCTCACCACCTTCAAGCTTGATGACCGTTTTACTGTTTCTGTTTTGCTCGAGAAGACTGCCACGCTCAGATGCTTCTGTCCCTGAGATGGTGCCAGAACCTAGCATATCTCCTATACGCATGGGGCAACCGGTAATAGAGTGGTGGGTGAGCATCTGGTTGAAAGAAAAGAGGAGGTTCCTTCCTGATGTACGAGAGATTGTGGTGGTGGCACCCGAGGAAGCTGTTATTGTACAAAATCAGCATACTGTTTGGCGTCAATTATGTAGCCACTTACTTCTGAGCTCAACTTCCAATTTGATGTCGTAGACATTGTTCTTGCTTTTCTCCTTCAAATAGTCCAAGACTTCCACGTCGTTATCAAGGCCAGATGTGCGATAGGGCTCGAGTGTGTCACTCAGAACGACCCAAGGGCTAATAGAGGATGCAAAATTCTTTGCAGTGAAAGGCCCTAGAGGTACGTACTCCCAGGCCTGGATATCGCGAGCAGACCAGTCGTTGAGCAGCACGACGCCGAAGATGTAGTCTGGGGCCTCGTCGATGGGGATTGGCTCTCCCATGTTGTTGTTTTTGCAGATGAACGCTCCGAGCTCGAGTTCGATGTCGAGCTTTCTGCAGGCGCTCAAGATAGGCTTCTTGATCTCAGCTGTAGGATCCTCAAGTATTTGGCCAAGTGGTCGACGAACTGGCGTGCCAGACACGACAATGCTCGAGGCACGCCCATGGTAACCCACTGGAAGGTGTTTGTAGTTGGGCTGTAGAGCGTTTGAGGCCCCTCGAAACAGTTCACCTACAGTGAATGCATGATTCAAGCCAGCATAGAAGTCTGTGTAATCACCAATCTGCATGGGGACATGGTTCTTGACATCCTTCAGAGGAATCAAACAAGCCTCTTGAACCGATGTATTGTCCTTCAAGATGTCTGGAAATGGCGTCGTTTCCAAGAAGACTGACTGGAGATACTTGCGAACGGCTGTGTGCATGGGTCGTCCTAAGCCGGCGAATGCGTTTAGAGTTGTGTCCGAGAAGACGTGCTGATGGGGTTGGATCACTGACAGAGCTGCGAAACCATTGTGAGTTGAAAACTGATCCAGATCCAAGGCGTAATCTCCAATGGCAATAGCAGGTCTTGGTGTGGGTCTAGTGCGAGTGCTGATGATGCCGAATGGGATGTTGGCCAACGAGAAATGGCAGTCGGCAGCAATGGACAGCCAGCTTTTGAGAGCCATGATTGCAGAAGCGTTGCGTAGAGATCGAATGGTCACTATGGTTAGCTCAACCAAAGATCTAGACAGCTTCAGAGCGGTCGTTGACTATTGTGTTGCGGAACGTTGATAGAGCGGAGCTATTCCGCGGTTGCTCAACTCCAGCCCCTCCACAGCCCCTCCTTCCTAGCTACCCCTCACAAAGGCGCGCCGATTCCGTGTGAAGTTAGACTGCTATGCCGTAGCTCACGATAGGGCGCGGATTGCAGCAGACGATCTTTGAAGCAAGACAGCCTGTCGTGCTGGACCACAGTATTTAACTCACTTTCCTGTCAGAAGCATCTGAGCAATTACAACACACAGTCCCCATAATGCCGACCACGCAATTCAACGTCCAAGAAAAGTACCGATACCAAAATGGCTTCAATAGCTATCACGAGTAAGACGACTACGCCAGGTGAGGGTCATGGACTGAACCACTGACATTTTCCAGAACCGAAGCCGTAGAGGGCGCATTGCCCATAGGAACAAACTCTCCTCAGAAGCCACCATATGGACTCTACGCCGAGAAGTTGTCGGGAACAGCATTTACTGCACCAAGGCATGAAAATCAGCAAACGTGGCTATACAGGATACTTCCGGCGTCAGCACACTCAAATTTTGAACCACGAGAACATGCAACATTCAACACAAACCCGGAAAATCAGCGAGGCCAGAAGATTCACCAGATTCCTAACCAGCTCAGGTGGGATCCTTTTGATCTAGATGAGACGGTAGACTGGATCCATGGCCTTCACTTAGTCGCCGGCGCTGGCGATCCGAGTATGAAGACAGGCGTCGGTATCTACATCTTTGCAGCTGGCAAGGACATGGATCCTCATGAAGCCTTTTACAGCGCAGATGGCGATTTCCTGATAGTGCCTCAGCATGGTGTGCTAGATATCAGGACCGAGCTCGGAAGGCTCCTCGTGCGACCAAATGAAATTTGTGTCATTCCACGCGGAGTAAGATACCGTGTAGATCTGCCAGAAGGTCCTGTTCGAGGTTATATTCTCGAATTGTACCAAGGGCACTTCACGCTCCCGGAACTAGGTCCCATCGGGTCGAACTGCCTAGCCAATGCGCGCGACTTCCAAGCACCCATAGCCGATTTCGACGAGGATACAGACTCCGAGTGGACGCTGACGACCAAGTTTGCTGGTCATCTCTTTGCTGCGAAGCAGAAGCATACGCCCTTTGATGTGGTAGCATGGCACGGCCTGTACTACCCTTACAAATATGACTTGGGACGCTTCTCTACTATCGGTTCAGTCAGTTTCGACCACCCCGATCCGTCTATATTTACAGTCCTTACGGCGCAAAGCGATCATCCAGGTACAGCGGTGGCTGACTTTGTCATATTCCCACCTCGTTGGCTGGTGCAAGAGGTAAGTAAAGTCTACCCCGTCTGCCATGCAAGACTCTTGCGCAGCTATTAAATGGCAGCTAACAGAAATCAGGACACTTTCAGACCCCCTTGGTACCATCGCAATACGATGAGTGAGTTTATGGGCTTAATCCATGGGCAGTACGACGCAAAGACCGGAGGTGGATTCCAACCAGCTGGAGCATCACTCCATAACGTCATGTCGGCCCATGGGCCAGATGCCAGCACTCATGAGAAGGCGTCGAATGCCGAACTGAAGCCCATGAAGGTAGGAGAAGGGTCAATGGCCTTCATGTTTGAAAGCTGTTTCATGGTAGGAGTAACCGAATGGGGCCTCAAGAAGTGCGCCAAAGTGCAGGAAGACTACAACGAAGAGAGCTGGACCCCCCTGAAAGCACATTTCAAACGACCAAAGAAGGATGTTGGTGAAATTAAAAATGGTGGTGAGGTTGAAGAAGGGGCAATTGGAAGTGTAAAACAGGTGCCTCATTGGACTTGATGGACAAGAGCAGCTCAGATAGCGTATCACAATGCAGTAGTCCTAGCTCAGATGGCGTGTCGCAACGTAAAAGTCACATTGCAGCCCAATGATTGTTTTCGGGAGTCGATGAGGAATGAAGAATGGCTCGGGCCTTGAACGGGACACGCGAGGAAGCAGAAGCAGCATGCGTGCGGGTGACAGCGCCAAGCTTCTGTTTCGATTGCAGCACCCAGGATGTGGAGAGCTTCTCCAGCATTGCTTGTCGATAAAAGAGACCAGTCCGCCCGCTCGCGATTCCTCGTCACCATCACAGTTCACTTGTCGCGCGACAACTTCTTGCACTCTCTCAACTCGACACCATCGTCACCTTCATCGCTATCGCACTAGCTTCCGTCTCCGACTTTGCACTTTCGTTGCCTAGAACAGACTGGCAACTGGCCCCAAACCCGACACGAGAAACAATCAAGACAACGCGCCATGCCCGTGGCCTAAATCGCACTTTCACCAATGCGCATCATCACTCCCGAGAACCTGCACTACCCCATCACCGTCACGAAGCTATTTCGTCAGCCGCAGGACCAGATCGATCACAATGCGCCCCTGTTCGCCTACCAGTACACGACAAAGGTGCTCGAGGGCGATGAGGAAACACGCGAGGACGTCTTGGTCGACCGCGTGTGGTACTCGACCTTTGAGAGCACTGCCGAGGGCACCTTGACCGAATGGCACATTTCGAAAGGACGCGTTATAGGCGGGCCCGGGTGAGCTGGTCTTGATCCCCTCCATGCTACCTGATCTAACCCACCATACAGTGCTCCCATCGCCGACGTCGAAGAGGCCTGCAAGCACGAGGTACAGTTCGGAAATCTATGCGCCGATTGCGGCAAGGACATGACAACAGTTTCCTACAACACCGTCACACGCGACACGGACCGAGCAACCGTCAACGCCGTCCACGGCCATACCTCGCTACTCGTCTCGCGCGCAGAGGCTTCCAAATCAGACGAAGAAGCCAAGCGACGTCTTCTGTCGTCGCGTAAACTCTCACTTGTTGTCGACCTCGACCAGACCATCATCCAGGCTACCGTAGATCCTACCGTCGCCGAGTGGCAGAAGGACCCTCAGAACCCAAACTACCCCGCCGTCAAGGACGTTCGCGCCTTCCAGCTCATTGACGACGGCCCTGGTGCAAGAGGTTGCTGGTACTATATCAAGCTGCGGCCCGGCCTGGAAGACTTCTTAGCCACCATCTCCAAATACTATGAGCTGCACATCTACACCATGGGTACTCGCACCTATGCTCAGAACATTGCCAAGATTGTGGATCCCGATCGCAAGATATTTGCCGACCGTATCCTCAGCAGAGATGAGAGCGGAAGTTTGACGGTCAAGAATCTTAAGCGCCTCTTCCCGGTCGACACCAAAATGGTCGTTATTATTGACGATAGAGGCGATGTCTGGCACTGGTGCGACAACCTCGTCAAAGTCACCCCCTACGACTTCTTCGTGGGCATTGGCGATATCAACTCCAGCTTCCTCCCGAAACGGCCTGGATTAGAGCCAAGGCCAGCGAGTCTTGCGAGCGCAGACGCCCCATCTACACCCGACGCAAGTTCAATAAATACTTCTCCGGCAGACTCTCCAACAAGCAAGGTTTCGGCCATTGACCAACTGGTATCCATGGGTGGGGGTAATGATCCTACCAAGCTCAAAGAACAAACGTCGGAGCAGGGTGAGGCCATCGCTGCTCAGCTTACCGACCGACCTTTGTTGCAGAAGCAAAAGGTTTTGGATGCCGCAGAGGAAGACAGCAATGGAACAGCCGAAGCATCCTCTGACAATGATGCAGCTTCTGCGCCAGATGCCCCGGTCGACGCGCATAACAAATACCGCCACAATCTTCTGCAAGACAATGACACCGAACTCCATTACCTACAGCGCAGCCTTCAATCAGTCCACTCTGCCTATTTCGAAGCATTAGATCGAAAAGCTTCCGGTCCTCAAGATGGTCGTGTCGCTGAATTACGACCCGGCTCTGATAACAACCGTAGAACAGACAACCTTAACAGCTTGCCGGATGTTACCAGCATCATGGCGTCGATGAAGCTCAAGGTTCTCAAGGGTGTACACCTAGTTTTCTCTGGAGTCATGCCGCTCGGAGTTCAGGTCCAAAAGTAAGTGTGATGATTTTCCACGTATCGCAGCGCACTGTGACTAATGTTGGCTACAGTCACGATTTCGCAATTTGGGCGAAAAGCTTTGGTGCTACAGTATCAGAAAACATTACGAAGCGTACTTCACATGTAATTTCTTCGCCATTACGAAAGACGGCCAAAGTTAGACAGGCTGCCAAAAAGCCCGACAAGATCAAAATCGTGTCTCAAGATTGGCTGTTTGCCTGTTTGTCGCAATGGCAGAAAGTAGACGAAGCACCATTCCGGTTACACGCCGACCTGGAGAACGAGCTAAACGAGCCAGCCGCCAACGGACAAGGTTCGCCTTTCGATGGTCCAGATCAGAATGCCCAATTGTCCTCATCAGACGAGGAGGCTGCAGTCACTGAAGAAGAAGATTCTGTTGAAACCCCTGGCACCGAGAACGAAACCGATGCGCGGGAGCAAGCAGAACTTGAAAGTTACATGCCCGGAGCACGTCGCGGATTGAATCCCGCAGATATGATTCAGGATTTCGTTGGGTGGGATCAAGAGCTTCAAGAATTCTGTGGCGACATTGATTCGGATGACGATAGCGAACAAGATTCTACTCGTTCAGAGCCAGATGATACAGAATCGCTTCCCAGTGCCAAGAAGAGGAAGAGAGGCGAAGACGGGCAGTCAACCGACGATGAAAGCGACTCAAGTCTGAGCTCCAGTAGACTCGAGCGAAGGAAGAGGAAGGCGCTGGCCAGAACAACAAGCCTTGTCAATATTTCTGCCGTAGATGACTCGCAGAGGGTCGCGGCTGAAGCTCAGAGCGGTGATCAACAGAAGGTCTCGACAAACACCGGAGACGATGTCAATGATGAGGATGAGGACGACTTGGATCTTGAAGCTCAAATGGAGGCAGAGATGCTTAGACAGGCTGAAGAGGAAGGATATGCATGAGTGAGGTCTTCTCTGATGGGGTTGCTCGAACATGATAGGCAGGCATAGCAAGGCGTTTTCGGCGAACATCTTGGAGATGCATAGGAAAGGAACTTTGGCGCATGTAAGATCGTCTTCTCAGCAGAATATCAGTTCACATGAACACCGGTTACCGTACGCGTCTGCATCAAAATTATGGTCACTACTGTATCTAGGTGGATGGCAATCACGATTCACACCGGTAAGGAAAGAGAACCAAAAGGAGATTCAATTTGATAAGGTCACAGAAGAATGAAGTGATTGATAGTATGAATATCTTTGTTTGTGTTCGTAATTCTCTCCGCGTATCTGTCTGGCCCGTCCCATAGACCCGTCCCTCTGTCGGTCGCAGGTATAGCTCGTGGACCATTTAATTTGGCGAGATCGTCTCCAGCAATATTGTCAGCAACGCCATGATCGTCTCCATCATGGATCTCATACCATATCATCGTCTTCGTCTTCGTCCATATAGCTCGCATAGTCTCTGATGGGTATCTTTGGCCTTCTACTGAGCTCATAATCGAGAACGTCGCTTCTGGGCTCGATGTACTGCCTCGGTGCCCAGCTGACTGGCACTGCCGTTACCTCTTCTCTACCATCCGCGTTGGTTAGAGTTGAGCGAAGGAATATGAGCTGGTTGTTGCTGTCTTGGCGGCTGGGGATCTTATCGGAAACTCCAAACGCAATGAGTTTGAGGCTCGAATGTGTAGGCAAAGAAGTGAATGGTGTGAAGAGAAACAGTTGACCAGCTTGCCAGCGAAGCAGCTCAGTGTACATGGACCTGTCGAGGTTGGCCTTGAGAGGTGAGCAGCTCGGGAAAGTACTGATATGCAGAGTTATCAGGTGTGACAAAGAGCGGATGCTGAATTGGTATGTATCCCAGGAGGGACTGTTAGTCCTCAGGATGCTTGTAGGTGGCCATGCGCAACTGATCTGACGCAGTTTCGTAGCACTCGAGCAGAGACGTTGGAAATCGTCATTGGTCCAGACGAGTTCATCGTTCAAGTTCTCCGAAGCGTGGACAAGAAGCACTTCCAAAGTTTTACCGTGTTTGATGATGCTATCGACACTCGGCATAGCTTTCGCACTTGTCAGGTCGATGTAAAGGTCCTCAATGCCTTCGACGAGGCACAAAAAATCGTCGATGGCTGTCAAGGCATCATTGTCCGAATTGTCGTTGTGCTGGATCTCCAGGCAGCGAAGTTTGCGAGGGAGATGAGCACTCTTGCAGAGCAACGAGAGTAAAGCGTCTGCACCAGAACACTTGACAATACGCAACGTCTCGATTTGAGTGAAGTCAACAAGGCGACCGTATGTGTCCGCACAATGCCTGAGGCCAACGTCTACCAAGCGAATGGAACGTAGGTGGACAAAGGGTGGGTCAATGATTTTGTCAAATGGAAGTAGGTGCTGAAACAGAGTTCTGTTCACGAGTCCTGGCCCTGTGGGACTGTCATTGAGCTCTCGTGTCGGGTAGTGCACAGGACCATGCGAAAAGTTGGTGTGCAGAATCAACTCGGTCAGCGTCTTCATGTTCGACAGGAAGAATCGACCAAGCTCCAAAGTTGGCACTGAATCCGGGTAAACAGCAAGTTTTGAGCAGTTCTTGTAAAGGTCTGCGTAGTAAGGTGCTGAGGCCTCGAGTTTATCGACAGCACCCGCTCCGTCGAGTCTGAAGGCAGTCAGCCATTTCAACCTCCTCTGGCGGCTGAGAAGTATCAGGAAAGTTTCTTCATCGAAAGCGAGCCAAGGGGACCACTCAAAGTCTTCAAGAATATTCTCAGGCAAGTGATCGATGAGCATTCGGATCACCGGCTGAGCACGTGAGTTGTCGGCATCGGACAAATCGTTGGTTCGAAACTCGTTCATCTGAATTCTGAGCACTCTGATCCATTTCAATCCAGCATTGGTGGACTTCAGCATTGCACTCAGTGTCAAATCTGATCGTCTGCCTATTTCCAGGCTCACGGTGTAGTAGAGCAGCTTGACCGCGACATCGTACAATCGTTTTGATGTACGACAGAGCGATTTGAGATCTGATTGTCGATAGATCTATGACTGGTCAGACTACTCGCTGCGTGCATCGTAGAATGTACAGTGGACTTACGTGCTTGACGATGTTGGCCTGAATTTCCGGGCAAAGCTCGTTCAGATTGCGTGAACGAGAATCGTCTTGACCGTGTTCAGAGTGGCTGTCTTCAGTCGGTTTGGTGACCTCCGGCTCTGGTGGCGGTGGTGGCGCATCCTGACCAGTCATCTTGTTTGGTGAACAGTGTGTGTTGGTATGGGTAAAGTCGAGAAAGTTATAATACTTGTGTTGGTAATTAAATCCCTTTGCACGAGATCGAGAAGTGAAAGGGTTGTGTGTCGACGACTGACGCGCGCGCTTTGGTTGCGTGGGTGATTCGTTGTTGCAGCCTTGTGTATGCACGAGGCGTTGGCTGCATGAGGTCAATCAAAGCCAGTCGTGCTTTCCCGAGGGCGAGTGAGACGAACGAACCACGGCACTCAGAGTGAACGGTGAATCTGATATGAGCAAACAATGAATCGCATCTGTCGTTTGTCAATGTGTCTGCGATACATCCAAATAAATCTTGTGTCTATTTTCGTTGTTACTGGACCCTCGTCCAGAATCACACCAATGTCGAAAATTGATATCTATACCAGATGCTATTCGTACCTTGGCACGTATTATGGCTGAGTGTACCCGACACCACAATAGTCCATCTCCTGGTCGGAAGGTGTTTCACTGTCACCATTCACTTGCCTTGGAGCCCTGTGGCGCCCTGGTTTACGCTATAGTATCGATCAAGAAGCCAACTCACTGCTGCTGTTTACGCAAGAGCCACGAAGTATCAATATGACCCCACGACAGACATCATGTCGCAGAGATGAAGGGTTTTCATGTGGTTGGCTGAAACGGAAATTGTTCTTCGCTTACAAAAAACACAGTGACAAGGAATCAAGTGGCTTGGTGTGGTTCAGAAGATTCCACACAAACATCAGTACACTGGTATGGGAGATGAGTGCTGGGCAGCAAAGAGCCAATTCCGAAGCCCTGACAAGAATCTTCCAGTTCCAGACACTGTGTTAGTCTAGGGACCTCAGCGTTTGCACCTAGATCTGCACAAGAGACCGGAAGTTTATGAAGTGAGTTGTGACCTGATGAAGTGATTCGGCGACCGGAGACAGCATCGTACGCATGTGGGCTGGGAAAACAGTCCAGCAACAAATTCCAGAAATGACCAGAAACTTTTATTCCAGCCAGACCCATTCCGCCACAGATGCATACTCTGCATCCGGAGAACTCTCAAGCTTCTTTTCAGAAGTCTTGTGATCAAAGTCGCTCTCCAAACGGGTGTCTCGGTTCCATCTTCCTTGCTGAGATAGAGTACGGAATCGGAGCGTGGTCCATGCCATTGACTCTGTTGGTGTCCAGTTTTGGTCCGTGGGAGATATTTCTCCGGTCTCCAGGTCTTGTGCATACGGCCTCGTTTGCTTCCTTCAAAATCATGGCGGTATTCGACGATATCAGCGGCTGCTCTCAATGAATGGGTCTACCAATTTTAAAGATATTGGGCCTTTCGATAGTCCTCTGAAGGAATACGAAGTACATTGGCCTGAGATTCTTGTGCCATCGCAATTGCAACTCGATCCTTGGTGGATACAAAGGAAGTCCTCCGATTGGCTGCACTTCCGAGGCTGGCTGACTAGGGCAAGTTGAGGGATCTTCTGTCGTTTCCTGTGCTTTCTTGTTCATCTTTCCTTGCGTACAAACGGCAACATCAACTGCTGCTGGTATGTTATGGTGTTATGGTGTTGTGGTGTTGGATGATAATGTTGATCATCTGAACTTTGAACGTAAGTCGAGAGGCACGAATGCCGCCACCCGCCTTGGATGTTTCATCGTAAGGGAATGCAAAGCCCCTGTGACAGGCAGGACGGTGCTGCGGCCAGCGTGAGACTGACCTATGAGGAAAGTCAATTGACGCTGCGGTTTCAGCCCCCAGGTGTGAGGGGGGAAATTGGGCTGTAGGTGCAATCTAACAAACCTCACCTACTGGTCGTGTTAAACGGCACCAAAAACGGGCGACTACATGTTGCCAAAACATGGCTATCCTCATAAAGCCAAGTCACACTGCGTGCGATTCAAACAAGTACACATCTATTTTCATCTCTTGTTTCCGTTTCATTCAATCACATTCGTTCAAATACCCCGGACTGCGTTTGCGATCCTCTCGGCGTCTTCTTTACCAGTCACTCCCTTGCATCCACGAGCTCTTAACTTTCTCTAATCTGCGCAAACTCTCTCACACGCATCTCACACTCCTTCTCGTCCAATTCACGAAACACGCTGCCTCTCGTCAAGCATGCTGTCCTCCATGAAGATCGCTGCAGCCATTGCTGCCCTGGCCACTGCTGTCGTTGCCCAGTCTGACACCATCCCAGTTACTGGCAAGAACGGTGATGCTACTATTCAGAGCCACAACCCCGCTGGTGTCGCATACATCGCCAGCCTTACTCCTACCAGCAAGAGCAACATCTCTGGCAATGTGCTCGCCCTTACCAGCTCCGACATGGTCGGTGTCAACTTCCAGATCGCCTTGACCGGTCTGCCTTCCGAGGGCGGTCCCTTCCGTAAGTAGCAAGCACACTCAACCACGCCAAAGATCATTATTGTCTAACCACTTCTTGTTACAGTCTACCATCTCCACGACTACCCTGTCCCTGCCGATGGCAACTGTACTGCTACTGGTGCTCACGTCGACCCTTTCGTGCGCGGCGAGGCTCCCGTGTGCGACCCTGCTTCCCCTGCTACTTGCCAGGTCGGTGATCTCTCCGGCAAGCATGGCAAGCCAACCAACGAGACTTTCTCGGCTACGTAAGTTGTCCAGAATACCCAACCAACCATTGTGCCTCGACTGACCTCAAGCAGCTACGTCGACAAGTACGTCTCTACTGTTCCCGGCGACGGCTCTTTCATGGGCAACCGCAGCATCGTCATTCATTTTGCCAACAAGACCCGCATCGCCTGCGCCAACTTCGTCGACTACACCAATGGCACTGCTGGTGTCAACACCTCGAGCTCTGCCAACGGCTCTTCCTCTGCCACTGGCTCGTCGACTCGCTCCAGCGCCTCGCAGACCGGATCTGCCACTTCCAGCAGCGCTTCCGGCTCTCGTACCAGCGGTTCTGCCAGCTCTTCTTCAGGCGCTGCCGTTAGCACCGGTGCCGCATCTCAGATGCTTGCCGACAGCGCCCTTGTCGCCCTGGTCGGTGGCCTGGCTATGTTTGCCATCTAAGTCTGACCATACCCCTGTCAAGAAGGCAATGATGCCGCTGTGTTTTCTGTAATTCTATATGGCTCGTACAATAAAATGAACAATTGCTTTGATCCATGACATTTCCACCCTCGCCGTGATACGCTCTCGCATAGCTGTGAAAATGCACAGTGTTTTTGAGATACCTCGCTCTGTCCAAAGAGAGCGTTCGTCAGTACCCTCTCACTGGAGGATGCAGTGTGTTTGAAAATCATCTTGCATTTTCACGTGTGGTTTCAAGTAGGGATACGGTTCCTGGAGATTCAGAAAATCGCTAGGACCGTCTTCCTCCGTTGGAGGAAGCGAAGTATTCGAAAATCACCTTGCATTCTTACAGGCACATCTCACAAACGACTCGATCGTGAGAGCATAGTAAATCTGATATCGACGAGAGCCTCTTGCCGCCTTGTGTACCTCTCGACTTCTCGACTTCTCGCAGGCCCGAAACGACTAGTTCCGAGCTTTGCACGTGCAGTGGTTCAACATAAATTGACTATAGCACGTGATGTAAGCGGGAACTTTATCAGATGTATATCGTTCGAAGCCTGGTCCGCGGCCTCGAAGATGCCCCGTGCTATGTTTTTCTCGTGCATTGGTCCCGATGCAAGTGGACGTGTTGAGCATTGGGGACATGACTATTCTCCATGAACCAATGTCGAACAAGCGGACCGGGTATACCAGCGTATCTTGCAGTTCGATCTAGTTCAGTACGTGTTACTGCTCTCATGCCTTACGATCGTGACAACTCAGCATACTCGGCCACGGAGAAGATTGTACAATCTGAGAGGCCCGGCTTACACGCCGGATGGATGATCCGGATACTCAAGCGAGTAACGACGCTCTACCAGCACCGACGTGGTTTAATACGCTAGTGCGTTGCCTCCGGGTCCTGGATTTACCAGTGTTCGACAAACGAAACAACGTGATTAATGATCGAGTGTCGTGACCTGTGTTATCATTCGACTGCCGTCGGGCATTGGAATCTTCGTGGGGGAGGCTTCGGCAGCAGAGCCCTTTGTGGTATCTTATTCGTGCACTTTAAGAACATGAAAGTTGTTGGTCAACACTTGACCGCAGAACAGGTTTGGATGCTTTGATTATTCACATGCATTCTCTTCACTCAACCGTTCCACTCTATTGCACATTCTCCACCTTCCAGACCTTGACAGCAGCATCGGCTCCAGAGCTGATGACCTTTGAGTCTTCTGTCCAGGCAATACCGCCAACGCCGTCCTTGTGGGCATTCATAGCCTTTACCCGCTTACCTGGGTCAGCGAGACTCCAGACGAAAATGTTGGTATCAAGACCACCACTGGCAGCCTTCTCGCCATCTGGCGACCAGGTAATACAGGTGACACGAGCAGTATGGGCAGACCAACGGTTAGTTGTCAGCGCCCATTCTGACGGCGATGAGGATGTGTAGACGTATATTTTTCCGTTGCTTAGACCGACAGCGAGACGGTTTGCAGACGACGACGAGAAAGACAGGGTCGAGACGGCAGAAGTGGCATCACGGAGCTCCGCGGCGGGAGACAAGGCGTTGCCCGAGAGTGTGTAAATTCGGACGACCTTGTCTTCTGCGCCGACGGCAACGATGTCACCCTTGGCGGCAATGCTGGTAGGTGTGAAAGAGACAGCCTGAGATCCAACTTGCTCGCCATCCTTGTAGAGAGTGAGGGCGGAGTTGGTGGCCACCAAAGTTACAGGCTTCGAACCTGAAGATGCGACCGCAACGCTCTTGGGCTGACCTTCGGTCTTGCTCGAGGAACCAGTGAAAGAATGTGTCGATGAGTCGATGGTTCTCAGCGTGTCGTCCCAGGAAACGGAGTAGATACGGCCATCGCTTTCCGACGATCCAAAAGCGCTGACATAGTTCTTAGGAGATTCGCCATCGACGCTCTTAGCCTCAGCGGTTGAAAGGTCCCAAGCACGTACGCGACCATCGTAGCTTCCAGTCCACAAAGTCTTGTCCTTGGGGGTATATCCAGCGGCGGTGATGGCCTTCTGGTGGCCGTGAACGACGCGTACAGGCTTGTCTTTGCCTTCTTGGAAGTAATTTAGGTTGCCGTCCAGATCAACACTGATTATAAGGCCATCGCTACGGCCGCCGGGCCAAGTGACACCAACCTGCTGGTGGGGAATACTTACGACACCCTCTTCACCCATGCGCCATGTCTGGACACATTTACCAGCCTCAACATCCCAGATCTTGACAGTCTGATCAGCACTGGCGGTGACAATCTTCTTTGAATCCTGGGACCACGAAACACCAAAGATGCTACCCTTGTGCTCTCCTTCACCGATCTGGTTCTTGGCCTCGCCCGTCTTGCCATCGTACAGCCAGATACGTCTGTCACTACCGACACTGACAAGAGTGCTGCCGTCGGGGCTGAAAGCGGTGCCGTAGATAAACTTGTCGTGCTTTCCACGTAGACTGGTGTTAAATTTGAAGGGCGCTCCATGGTAGAAGACCAGGCTGGTATCGTCTGAGCCAGTGGCAGCACGCAGAGGACGCTGCTGACGGATTGACACGGAGTTGATCTGCGAGCTGTGACCAGAAATCTCACCAACGCTGTTGCCGCTGTCGGCAGTGATGCAGTGGCCGAAGCGCTCTTTGCCGTCTCCGACGGCGATGATACGCTGCGAGTCGCCGTCCCAGGCAATGTCGTTGATACGACCAGCAATGATGTGGTATTCTCCCTTGGTGGCACCCTCACCCTTGCAGTCCCATACGCGTACGGTACCTGAAACATCACCACTCGCTACGTAGAAGCCGCTGGGCGAGAAGCGAGCGACAGTGGTCTGGGTAACATGATCGGTGTATTGTCTTGCGATGCTCGGGTCGTCGATGTTGCGGACAAAGATGGACTTGTTGGCTGCGTAGGCTATCGACTGGCCATCCGAGCTGGAACTAAGGGGTGTTGACTGGCCTCGAGTCGTCGAGGGGGACGCTGCCCAAATGCCGTCTGTCGGCTTCTTTGTTAGTTGTCTGTAGCCTGAAGTTCCTCTACGGCACAACGCTCACCTGCTTTGATCGACATTTTCTCTATACTGTAGAAAGATTGCTGAGGGAGGTCTGTTTACACCATAGCTTATTGTGGTTACCTACTCCATGGCGGTGAAACACCGTCATCGCTTGGCATCCCACCACGCCCGTGGGGTCTGGTCGAGGAGTATGGACCTCGATGACTTTCAAACACGCATACAAGTTTGTTCAGCTGTTCCTCACGTCCTGAAAACGTCAATCCATTGTATCTCCCAGCTGTGCAGCTTTTGAATAGATCCTGATATCTTATCAGTCGTTCAGACTGGACAGAGGCTGGCCATCCCACGGTTTTAGCTGTGGTTGTGACCAAGTTATCGACTCGCGAGTTCAATCGACGTTCACGCCCCCAAGTAGCTTCCACATACACAAAACGCACTGGGATACATTGAGCGGATGTATTCTGTCATTTTGCTACTTTCTGAGTCCCATAACCTTGGTATGTGGCACTACAAGATATTATGACCTTAGGAGCAGGGTTATGGCTGCAGCATCCAGTCTCGGCTATCTCAAAGATCGGCATCAAGCATGCATGTGGCTTTCATGCGGCACACTCGTGTCCGATCTCCAGCCGGCAACAACATCCATTTCAACAATTAAGGGCAGAATGTCTGCTCTGGAAGACCAGTTTGAATAAGTATTGAAAGCCTAGTCACTCTTCGATCTCGTGAACCTCGTGCATTCTGATAGTGATGGTTCGCGGTAGACGTGGTCTCTGGAGACGCGTGTGCTTGGTAGCCTGATCAGTGCTGGCCGACAGCATCTCGTCTCGAGTGCTCAACATTCCCACCATAAAAAGCCAAGGTACGGAGGCAAAAGCAGGTAAGTTACTGTACCTGCACGTCGTTCACCCGGGCCCCGCGAGCTCAACCACCGCCGCCGCCGCCATCGACGTCAAACTCTAAATGTCCGCCCGCCCAACGCGCGTCCCCCTTGCCCAGACCAGTCTCGATACTCAGCTGTTGTTCCTGGCTGCCATGCTGTCATTAGCGTGTTCCTCTGGCATGGATAGAGAAGATGATTGGAGCAGTGGCTTTGTACTGCCAAAATGGGCATGGCTATGCTGATCTAAACACGAGCAGCGGGATCTTTTTTTCGTTGTGTGGATGAACAGATCGGTGGGAAAGTATTTGCAGGATCGCTCCTTCTCGTCTTGCAGCATTTAATCAAGTCCTCCTCATCTCGTCTGTGAACATCTGCTCTTTCATCCTTCCTACTACAAACATCATCCTATCAAATCACATTCAAAATGCAGTTCAAGTCCCTCGCTGTCGTCGCCCTCTCTGCTGGAGCCCTCGCTGCTCCTGAGAAGAGACAGGCCACTGATGCCAACCTGTAAGAGTCGCCAAATCTCACACGCTGCCTGATTCCATGTGCTGACCTGTCCAGTGCTTCCATCTACCAAGTTCTCCAGACTGCTGTCCCTACCTCGATCGCCTTGGAATTCCTGACCAACTCTGCTGGTGTTTACTCGTCCGTCGCATCTGAGTTGGCCGTCAGCTCAACCCCATCCTGGATCGCCGCTCTCCCTAGCGATGTTCAGTCATACCTCATCGGCGTTGCTCAGACTCCCTCAGCAGCCAGCTCTGCTATCGCAAACGCTACTGCTGCAGTCGCAAACTCCACCTCTGCCGCAGCTGGCGGTCTCATCACTTCGGCCCCAGTCATTGTCAACGGCACCACTGTCGTCAACGGCACTTCTCCTGCTGTCATCGCAGGAAACGGCACCGCCCTTGTGAACGGAACCATTCCTGCTACCATCAGCAATGGAACCGCCATCATCAACGGAACTGCTCTTGCCAACGGCACCATCGTCTCCGCAACTGGAGTTTCGACCCGCTCTGGCTCTACCACCGGTGGCTCGTCAGCATCTGCCACTCGCTCCGGTTCTGGTTCTGGTTCTTCAGGCTCCTCTGGCTCTTCGGGTGCATCAGGCGCCGGTGCCTCGGGATCATCTGCCACTTCCACTGGTGGTGCTGCTTTCCCTACCGCATTCGGTATGGGTATTGCTGGAGCCGTCGGTCTTGTCGGTGTCTTCGTTCTCTAGATCGATTATCCTTCTTGTATGATCTGGGCATATGATTCTCACGGTCCCCGTTAATGGCGCAAGGCGCAAATCAAGACTTTCGCACGGGTGATTGTATCAAAAGTTTAGACTATGCCTCTTGTAATGTCACATCCTAAATGTTATCGTGTTCCTGGAACGCTTTTGGATTCGACTAGTGAAACGTGATGGTTGACCGGTGTTGTAGATGCCTGCTTTCTTCATCATCATGTAATTTCTTGTGAAAACATGCAGAGGCAGCAGAAGTGCCCGTCGTCATATTCCTGCCGGAAGAGAATACGTAGAAGTGCGGCTCATCATCGTCAAGGATGTTGATGCGGTCGAAAGTCATCTCACGTTCATCTTTGGTTACCGAGGTCCATTGACGTCACCTACTTTGTTCTTACCACTACGCAGTAGCAACCTCTCCAACAACATTGATGAACCTCCATCCTTTCCCAACTCTATCAACGACCATCTCATCGAACCAGCATGATGTCGAAACTACCAAAGAGCGTCTCAATTGCTACCACGCGTCTAGCGCAGGTATCGCAGCAATTCTCGTCTCAAGCCCCGCTCAGACAACAGCAAGCCAGAATGGCCCATAGAAGTACGATGCACCAGTTAAACACCGGGTAAGTGCTTATATATGCTTGTCAAAAATATGCCAGTGTGAAATATAAGACGAGCTTGATTGCTAATATTATTACAGAGCCAAGATTCCCGCATTGGGCTTTGGTACATGGCAGGACAAAGATGCACAAGAACCTGCAGTGGTCGCTGCGCTACAAGCTGGTGTACGCCACATCGATACCGCAGCTGTTTACGGTACCGAGCCTGCTGTCGGCTCTGCTATCAAGAAGTCCGGTGTCCCTAGATCTGAAATCTTCCTGGTCACCAAGATCTGGAACAACGATCATGCTCCCGAAGATGTTGAGGCCGCCCTCGATACATCTCTCAAGAATCTCGGAACCGATTATGTCGATCTCTGGCTGATGCATTGGCCATCTGCATTTGCCAGTGGTTCGTCGCTCTTTCCCAAGGACTCGAACGGAAAGGTCAAGGCTGGCAACAGTGATTTCGTCGAGACTTACAAGGCTATGGAGAAGGTTTACAAGTCTGGCAAGGCCAGAGCGATCGGAGTCTCTAACTTCAGCAAAGCTGAGATGGAAAGACTGATCAAGGAGACAAGTGTGGTTCCCGCAGCTCACCAGCTTGAATGCCATCCATACCTGCAGCAGCACGAGTTTGCCGAATGGCACAAATCTCAAGGCATCCACGTCACCCAATACTCGCCCTTTGGAAACAGCAATGAAGTTGTAAGTTTCTGAGAAACAGGAGGGCCATGAGCTGGTTCTGCAGACAGTGATGTCCTAGAACCAGTCCTAGCAGCTCCGATGTACTTGCGAAGCAGGATCAAGCTAATCATGCCCTTCAGTACTCCAAGGGTCAAAACCTGAGCAAGCTAATCGAAGACCCAACCTTGGTCGAAGTGGGCCAGAAGTATAACAAGTCTGGTGCCCAGGTCGCCTTAGCCTGGGGTATCGCACACGGTCGAAGTGTCATCCCCAAGAGCAAAACTCCGGAGAGAATCAGACAGAATGTTGAGGGCGACTTCGAGCTGTCGGCAGAGGATGTGAAGAAGGTCGACGCAATTGATAGGAAGCTGCGTTTCAATGACCCGAGTGCGAACTTTGGATGGAACTTTTATACGGATCTTGAAGGAAAAGAGGCTTGAGTTGTTGATGTTTACGAAACGTTTAGACAATTCTTACTTGTTATGGGGACGGACCAGGGATTATATTGCGATTGGCAGACCCTTAGAATCTCGAGTCGTGCTGGCGCATTGTCCGTGGTTTAGTTCATATGCCAGGTACAACATGGAATGAAGTTCATATAACCTGTCCAACGTGGCTGCTGCGAACCGCTTATAGCGAGTAATGAACTGCATATTGCTGTTGATACTCATTTAGAAGCAAGAATGTATGACACGACAAAGAGCTTGCTCTGCATGCTCTCGAAGTAGTCTACTGCAAGGGCAGTAACGCAGAACGATTGGCCGGTAACAGACGGTGCGTGAAACCCGAGAAAGCTCATGTCCATGGTCCATTTTGGGGAGGCTTCACGTTCCTTCCAGGGCCGATCGTTCGGACGCGTTTTCTGTGGTCCCGGTTGGGGCAGTCGGTCTCGAAAGGCCTCCTAGTCAGGGGTAAAGACAGAGCCAGCCAATGACGAATAGCGTCCCTGGGTGCGGGCCGGAAATTCATGGCGGCTCCATCGTGGATCATGGGTGGACGCGCTCATGGTGATCATTGCAGCTCTTGATGTCGGATCGCTTGTGCCATTTGGCGCTGGAGAACATGGGTGGTCGGCAGAGAAAAACTCGCTCTTTCTTTGCACTACTGTGCTCGAGTGAAAACCGACGATAGAGGCAATTGATCTCACAGCCGGTTCATCCTTCAATCGACTTCCAAGTTCCAACCTCCCCACGCCCTTGCCGAAACCTAATCAATCTTTCCCCCTGGAACCGTTAGCGACACGCTCGCCGACCAGAGTCTCGTATTTTTGCATCAGACAATTTGCAGGCTTTCGGCTCCCTTGCGATGCGAATGGGAGAGGGTTAGCTGAACACAATGGCAGATGATGGTTGGCATTCCCCGGACGGCGCAGATGAGACACAGCAATCTCACGGTCGGTCAAAGCTGCGGGATCAGTTGTCTTTGATTGAGCCCGTCAGCGTGCCCTCCTTTTCATCATTCAGGAAGCGAACCTCGCAGATTCCACTGTCGATAGCCTCGTCGCCTGTAAGGAGGAAGCCCGTGCCAGATAAACCTTCGCCTAGAGCCGTTTCCTTCTCCTACATACCCTCGCCGTCCCAACCCCATGATGCCGCTCTGCGAACGAGGCCTTCCTCTGTAGACCATTCGCTGCTGCTGCAGGAAACGGCTTTAACGGACGTTACCGCGCCCCCTCGCGCGTCAGAACAACAGAGCCACCAAGCTTCAGACTTGCCAAAGTATGTCACGGACCGTTGGATAGGGGATAACACCTGCGTTATGTCGCGTGCATGGCTGACTCTTTGTTAAAGGGATACCAGCAGTCCTGGACATCTCCCACCCGTTTCGTCTCTCGCTCCCTCTCCCTCCGGTGCACAACGTCGCAGCATAATCGACAGTCGTTTGCCGGTACCGTTAAGATATGATAAGACAACCGCTCCCGGCCACCACTCAAATTCCAGCCTGTCGAGTCAGACGTCAGTCCCAGCCTCTCCAGAGAGAGGTCGCTCTTCTACCATGAGTGTCCCCGTCCACGCACCTGCCATGACCGTGCAGCTCGACGGCATACCCAGATCATTCACAGACGAGTCCACCGAGTCGTTCGCCTCGTCGTCATCCCCAAGGCGATCAAAGTCTCCTGGCCGCAAGCTCGGCTCCTTCTTTGGCTGGAAGTCGTCCTCTCCCAATCTCGAAGCACACTCGCCAGCAACATCCTTCTCCGACGTCTCTGCGTCGCCAGCCCACTCTCGAAGCACCAGTCACTTCGATGCCACACCCACCAACATGGGCCTTACTCCACCTGCACTTGACCTCCACCACCACAATGCCGGCAGCCAACCACATTACTTCGACATGCCCAACACTCACCCACTCTCGACCTCGTCGACCATGAATGCTCATGTTGAAGAATTGGAGCGCGAGCTCCAGCAAGTGAGCTCCGAACTCGCTGGTTCCATCCGACGAGAGATGGAGCTCGAAGACGAGATTGACCGTTTCCGCAGCGAGATGCCTACTGGCTCACATGAACTTGGCCGAAGAACAAGCGACTACTTCTCGGATTCCGGCACCAGCTCTCTCAGATATCCCCTTGGTGACAGTGAAGCCAAGATCGACGAGCTAGAACGTCTCAAAAGAAAGGTAGAACAAGAAAAGGCACAGTTGCAAGTCGACTACGCCCAGAAGCTCTCCGACGAGCTGAAGTTAAGAAAGAGCTTGGAGACACAAATACAACAGCTCGAGGAGCAAATGCACCTCAACAAAGACGGTGCACCGGTAGAGGAAGGCCACAAGGACGAACGCGTCCGCGAGCTTGAAGTCTTCCTTGATGAGACTCGCCGTCGCCTCAGCCAGGAGCGTCAATCAAAAGATAACTTCGAAGATCTGTTTGCTGCTCTGAGAGATGAAAGTGAGAAGCATCGCAATGAACGAGACAATCTTCGCGACGAAGTTGTTCCAGAACTCAAGGCCAGAGTCGAAGGACTCGAAGCTGAAGCCTCCGAGATGCAGTCGCTCCGTTACGAGAACGCTAGCATGCAACAACAGCTGCAAGCTCTCCGCTCAGAGGTTCAGATGCTCCAAGAAGCACAGGACAGCACCAATCCTGAGTTCAGCGAGGATGTCTTCGCGCCGCCTCGATGGCCCAAGTCAGGCTTGTCGCGATCAAACTCTTTGGCTAGAGCCTCTTCCAATGGTAATCTTCGCCGCAGTAACTCTCTGGCAAGATCTGGTTCAGTCAGAGAGCGTAGTGAAACTCGTCAAAGATCCGACTCGGTGTCCGGCGACCGCCACAAAGACATCGAGGACCAACGCGATGCTCTACACCAGGCTCTCAAGAATCTCCTGTGCAGATACGAAGGCGAAAAGCGCGAGCACGCAAAGACAGTCCGTAAGCTCGCCGCCGACCGCGACCGCGCTAGAAAAGAAACCACTGGCAGAACCCCCTTCACACGTGAAGTTAACCTTGTCCGCTACGAGATTGGAGAGCTTAGAAAGCGCGCCGATGATGCTCTCGAGCAGAAATGGCAATGCGAGAGCAACATCGGTGGTGTCAAAATGGCGCTGGACAGAGCACAACAAGAGACTCAATCTATGCGCGAGTACCTCAATGGACGCACTATCAGTGGATCTTCCCGCAAGTCAACTTTCGAAGGACTCGGTATCGAGATTGCCGACGAAAATGTCGAACTTGGTGAAGAAGATCGTAAGACTATGATCAAAGTCCTCAGACAGAGCATTGCTCTGGCCGAGACCGAGCGTGATGCCGCGCTCCGTGAGGCAGAGGAATACCGTCAAAAGGCATACATGCTTCAACAATCTGAGGACGAGCACATCGACACGCAAAACGATCTTGCACACCAACTTCTCGAAGCTGCAACACGCATGGAACAGCTAGCATCACAAGTCCAGGAACATTTGCAAGCCAACATGGCGTTGCGCGAGCGTCTCAGTCATGCAGTTGGTAAGGGAGAGCAATCACAGAGTGAGTCAACCGCCCTCATTGTGGGCATGCAATCCCGCCTCAAGATGATGGAGGACAACGTGGTCGCCGCGCAGCAACTGTCTGAACTGGCTCTTGTTGATCATGAAGAGGAAGCAAAGCAGATCGACGATGCCAACAGCCCGAAGTTGCAGCGTCTCAACGTGACAGGAAAGACTGCAGCATCATCACTGCAGGCATCACCTCTGTTCGGAGCCAAAAGCCCCAGGATTGGTACCACCAGCGGGAGCATGGCCGAGAATCTATTCGAAGCCAGCAAAACAGCCACGCTTGAACGCAGAGTGAAGGAGCTGGAAGCAGCCCTAGTGGATGCAGACTCGCAAATGCAGTCGGTGGTCCAGAGAATTAACAGTTCCCAATTCGAGATCGCCGAACTTCAGGGCGAAAGGTACGTACCCGCAAATGTGATACACTGAACCAACATTAACTGGTTGAACAGGGACGAAGCACAACGACAGATGCGCCGCCTGCAGGCCTCGATCTCAGCCGAGAAGCAGAAGGCACAGGCGCTGTTGATGGCATAGAAAGCCACCAAGACGACGATTCATTTTGACCGGTGTCACGACACCGAAGTTTCTTGTTCACATTCTTCATACGAGACCAGGTTTTTGGCATAAATCTTTTTATTGGTTTATTTTTGTTTGTTTTGGATATTATACCCTTTGGCAGGCGGGGAGAGTTGTTTGAGGAATGTTCCTATGATCCGATTGGATCCTAGTATGCATAGCGTAGCATTTAGACAGAGAAGGAGTAGAAGCTGCTGCAGACTAGAGTCGCACAAGCGCGTGGAATGAAAGGAGTTGTTTATCGTACTGCGTGGGTACAACGTGGTGGATGTTTCATCCCCAGACTCTAGCGCGGCTGCAAGAGCACAACCAACAACAAAGTTTCGACCTGAAGAAGACGAAACTACCATGAAGTCTGTAGGAAAAGGCATGCGTATCGACGTGAGTGACTTGAACAAGGTGAAGGAATTACTAGATGACTTGTCGAGAGGCGGGCAAATGCAACAAGAATAGAAGACGGGCTCAACTAGTAGCAGTAGCTCTACCCCTGTGTGTCGCAAGTTTGTGGAGAGGCTAGAGGGGGCGGCGGACTGGGCTTGCTTCAGGCTGTGAATGTCGTGGAATCGGCCAGCTTTTCCCTTGTCCAGAGTCGAAGGCATCGAATTCGGGCGGTCCTGTAGCTACGAGGCTGTGTTGTAATTGATTGACCGCTCTCGGCACTTTTCGTGCGTGCTTTCGTGCTTTCATCTACATACCACACCGACTCGGACTTTCTTTCGCAGCTCATCCATCTATCCTCTGCTGCCCCCCTACAACCCGTGCCTTCCTCACGGCCTGTCCCGCGTCGACCAAGTTGTCTGTCGCTCGATAGTCAAGTCTGAGACCACCTGCCGCTGAGCAGTCGACAGTGCGTTTGACTCCTGCTCCCCCACTCAGCAGCATACACAGCTGCGCTCCCCGCCGTCTTGATCAACACTAACACGAGCGTGCCAACAGCAGCAAGCATGAACCCCAACAACCAGCAGCAGTCGAACCGACTGCAACTGAACTTCGGTTTCCAGGGAGCTCAGAACTTCGGCGGCGCTGAGCAGGGCCGCGCCTATCCCACCACCCCCTCGACCTTCCCTCAGCCGTTTCCCAACACCCAAGGACAGCAAGAGGTCTGGGGCACCGCCCAGCCTGGTATGAACTCTGGCTTCACCAACCAAGGCTACTTTGCAAACAACCCCTATACCTCGGCCGTCCAGCAACAGCAGGCCAACCTGCACGCCCAGCAAGGCTACCGACCCCAGCCGCAGCAAGCACAGCAGCAACAACAACAACAAGCACAACAAGCACAACAGCAGCAACAACAGCAGCAGCAGCAGCAGCAGCAACAGCAATACCACGATGCTGCAACCAATGGCCTGGTGCACCAGTTCTCCAACCAGAACCTTGGCGGTCCACCTCGCGCCCAGAGTCCTTATGGCCGTCAAGTTTCACCCAACCCCAATCGTCCACGAACCGCCAATTCGACCCACCAACAACAGCAACACTACTCCGGTCCGTCTTTGACAGATGAAGAGGCACCGCCAAAGAATTCGGAGCGCTTCTCGACAAGCATAGGCAACCGAGCAAAGCTGCAAACCGAACTGGTCAGCACCTTTTTCCGTGACAGTGTAGAACGAGCTCGTGACCGAAATGCCCGGTATGTACCCAAACCGTGTCCGCTTGATGAGCACAGCTGATCATTTACCCAGTGCCCAAGAGCTCGAGACAATCATGAAGGACCAAACTGTGTCGGACGCACGCAAACAGCAGAAGACGACTAGCATGCGTCGCTCTGAAGCAAACTTCCTCCGCTTCCTCCGTACCAGCGAGAGACCCCAGAATTACACGACCCTTAAGATTATTGGAAAAGGTGCCTTTGGTGAGGTCAAGCTTGTGCAACGCAAGCACGATGGCAAGATCTACGCCCTCAAGTCTCTTGTCAAGGCCGAAATGGTATGTTTGAGCTCGTCCGAGCAAGCTCTGACAGACACTGGTACTTACACGGTTGTGCAGTTCAAGAAGGATCAACTCGCCCACGTCCGCGCCGAGCGTGATATCCTCGCCAACGCCGACAGTCCCTGGCTGGTAAAGCTACATACCTCGTTCCAAGATTCGACCTTCCTTTACATGCTCATGGAGTTCCTGCCGGGTGGTGATTTGATGACCATGTTGATCAAGTACGAGATCTTCTCCGAGGACATTACCCGTTTCTACATGGCCGAAATCACACTTGCTTTGGAGGCAGTGCACAAACTGGGCTTCATTCATCGGTACGTTGGCTATGCTCCACTTTTACAATGTACGCAGCTGACGACGCTTCAGTGACATCAAACCCGACAACATTCTGCTAGACCGCGGCGGCCACATTAAGCTCACAGATTTCGGTCTCTCCACCGGCTTCCACAAGGAACACAATGCTTCATATTACCAGCAGCTCATGTCGAATGCCCGCTCGCGAGCCACTGCTGCCAACCGCCAATCAGTCTCCCTCGACCAGATCCAGTTGACTGTCAGCAACCGCCATCAAGTCAACACCTGGCGCAAATCGCGTCGTCAGCTCGCCTACTCGACCGTCGGTACTCCCGACTATATTGCTCCCGAGATCTTCAGCGGCAAGGGCTACGACTACCGCTGTGATTGGTGGAGCGTTGGCACCATCATGTTCGAGTGCTTGATTGGTTGGCCCCCGTTCTGTGCAGAGGAACCCCACGACACATACCGCAAGATTGTAGACTGGCCCAGAAACTTGCACTTCCCTCCAGACCAACAAATTGGCCCCGAGGCAGAGCACTTTATTCGCAGGTAAGTTGCCCTGACCCGATCTGAAAGCACGATTTGTTCTGACTTTAACAGCTTGATTTGCGACGCCGACAACCGTCTGGGTCGCCTTGGAGGTGGCACAGAGATCAAGCAGCACCCCTTCTTCCGCGGAGTTGTCTGGGACCAGCTCCGTCGCATTCGTGCTCCCTTTGAGCCCAAGCTCTCTTCTGCTGTCGATACACAGAACTTCCCCATCGACGAGATCCCGCAGACGGACAACAGTGCTGCTCTACGCGCCCAGAACGAGGCTATGGGCGGCGAGGAAGCCAGCATGAGCTTGCCATTCATTGGCTACACGTACAAACGCTTCGATGCATTCCGTGGAAGCTGAGCGATGGCCGAACGAGTCGAGGAAGCGACTTTCATCGCACATTTGTTTCATCATCTGTCCTATTTCATGACAGTCTGGAGGGGTTGAAGAGCTCAATGGTGAGGAGGACACAGCATAGTGCAGCAGGACCGTCGGAGTACGGAAGCGAGAAATTTGATGGCTTTTTCGTCCTCGTCTTGTCATGTCGGTCATGGCAGACATTCTGATGCGGGTAAATGGGATGGTCAGGCGTTTCTTTAACTTTTCAAGAACAAGAAGATTTAGCGCTGGAACCGCACAATGGTCTTTCAAAACCCTTTCCTCAGGATTATACAGATCAGGACTGAGTCAGGTCAAAAACAAATCACGGATAACCAAACATGAGCAGAAGGATAGCTGCTTTGTGCATGATGTGTTTTCCCTTTTAGGTGGTGAGAGCAAGCTCGGAGGTGTGAAATGGAAATCATCTGTGATTGGCCGGCGCGTCGAAGCTTCTCCGCTCAGGGCATCGGCAAGGGTCTAGATATCGCGCTCTTGCTCGGTAGTATGATAGTGCTAAGATAGTCGCTCATAGGCGATTCTAAGACTCAACAGACGGATCACCCAAGTAGAAAGACCCAAGATGCCGCCGATACTGCTGATGAAGCGAACGCTGGATGACTTGGACAACTTGGACGACTTTGACGACTATGACGAAAGCGAAGAAGAAGAAATAGAGGAACCTCAGCCGAAACGCCTACGAAACGAGTCCCCCAAGGCAAAAGAGGAGGAAACGAGGCAGAAAAATGATCAGGTCAAAGAAAAGGACGTAGCGGACAGAGTGGTCGAGCTTCTCGTGCCTCGTCTGGAAACACAGATGCAGCAACTAGTCAATGGCGCAGCTATGCGTATGTTGGACGTCTTGGGCCAGAAACTGGCCAGACTGGAGTCGCGCATAGACGAGATGCATAGCGAGTGGAAGAAGAGTGCCGCCAACTCCCTTCCCAATGCGACGCGACAAGATGTTAGAAAGCAACAACTGGCGGGGCAGCAATATCAATTCGGCAACCGCCATCAGTCGGCCGTGCAGCAATACTATGGACGCACCCAAGTACCACCGTCCACCGCTTCAGCTGCTCCGCACACGGATGCCTCTTCACGACCTGATGACGCATTGCAGAGTTTCTTCCAAGAAGCGGCCCAAGCAGCAGACAACCCTGCCATTGTCTGTCCACCGAACAACCGTCGCGCTCCCTTCATGGCTCGTCGCCCAAAACCTCTGGCAACCCCAGAATTCCTACCTACAATACAGCCAAATCGAGCCGTCAACTTCCCTCATGGCACCGCAGATCTAGCACACGAAGACGCACCACAGTATCGCTTGCAACGAGGCTCCGAAAGCGTCATGGAGCTATGGCACGAGTTCTTCGTCGGCTCTGCTGAGAAACCTGCAATCAACGAGTTGGATCATAAATATGGCAGTGCATGGCGCTGGAAGGACAGCAAGGAAGGTGTCTACTACAGCATGCGCCGCGTCGTCATAGACGAAATACAAGCGCGAGTCGAAGCACGTTGTCCCAATGCTACCGGAGCCACTGGCGATGTCTGGCTTGCCGTATGCGAGGAGATGGATTGTGAAAGAATCTCGAAGCAATTCTCCCTCAACCAATTCATCTTCGAGCTGAAGCGTCGAGATCGTACTGTCCCAGCCCCTACGCCAAAGGTCTATAACCCACTCGATCCCTACCCACCGCCCGCTCCTGTGTTGTCACGCACAACGCCCTCTGTTCAAAAGCTCTGGACCGAGTGGTTTGTTGGAAAATCGAGCTACAACGGGTACGCGACATTCCCATCTATCATAGAGGTGAATCGACGATATGGAAACTCCTGGCGTCAATTCACCACTTCCGAGTATAACATCTACCTCAAGCGCCGCTGCATCATCGATATCGCACTCCGCCGCATCGTTGAATTGGGTGGCGACAAAACCGAGACGACCAAGAAGGTCCTCAAATCCATGGATGCAGAAAGAGTAGCCCAAAGCCTAAGTCTGGTACAATATCACGCCTGGGCGAGAGAGAAATACGGCTATCACGCCTCGACTCGGACCCATCTCCCAAAACACGTTGCGGACTTGGGAGAGGCACCCGAGGAGGCTGTTGAGCTAGAAGCGAGGACTAGGGTCCAACAAGATGATGAAGATGGCATGTTCAGGGAGAACAGCGCCGATATTGATACTGCTATCTTGGACCATGAGCGGGAGAGTGAAAGCTCTGGGCGCCCGATGACAGATGGACATGATCAAAATAGCTCTGTCCCACCATCGCCAGCATCACTTGGATAGATGAGATAGATCGTGACATATATCATGACATCCCTCAGCAGCGGCTTTTTCGGAGCTCGCCTCCACGGCCGAGACACAGTCATTTAACATCTTAAATTCTCGATTGTCCAATGCATGTGAAAATTTGTTAGCGAGAGCTTGTATGTTGATGTGATATCCAAGCTAGACATCAAGTGCGCGCGTCCGTACTCTTCTACAGCGAATGCTGTGCTCTTCGAATATAATTGAATAGACCTAAGCAGCGCCACCTCCCATAATGTTCTTTCCCTTGATGCTCTTCCACTCAACAAACAAGCTAACAAAGAACGCGATGCCACTGGTCGCAATAGGCACCACAAATGCAGATGTCACCGCATTACTGTACGCACTCAGCACACCTGGCAATTGTTCCGCGGAGACCACCTCTCTGACATGTGTGGCACCAGCGGATATGACAGCTGCTGGGTCAAGGCCAGGGACATTCTTGATGATATCTTTGACCAGCGTGTTGGCGAAAATGTTCTGAGCAATCGAGATGGAGACCGCACCTCCCAAGCTGTTGAAGAAAATGGCAATGGCATTTCCCGAAGGCATGTCTTTCTCATCCAGTACGACCTGTACGGCAATGAAGGGAATTTGGATCCCGGCTCCTGCACCGATGCCTGCAAGAAGTTGATAGCCGATCCATTTGCTGGCGGGAGAGTGGACTTCGAGTGTATAGAGCATGCCGGCGCCGACGGTGAAAATGGCAGCTCCGAACCACATGAAGAAGAAGTAATATCCAATGACTGTGATCGTGCCACCGACGATAATAGATGCGATCGTGTTAGAGACCAGATATGCGATACACCGGATGCCTGAGCCCTCGGCTGAAGTGTTCTTGACGGCTTGGAAGTAGAACGGCAGATAGAAAATATGACTATGATGGTGTTAGGACGATGGCTTGCTCTGTGGCTACTGATACACTTACGTGTACATCCCCATAGCCAGGAAGGTCGAATAAGCGGCAGAAGACAAGACAGTACGCTGCTTGACCAGAATACGTGGAGGTAGTGTAGCTCGATCTCCTAGCTTGATCTGGAGCGCAATGAAGATTAAAATAATCAAGCCAAAACCGAGAAGACATCCCCAGACTTTCGAGTTGCTCCAAGGGTATGTCGTACCTCCCCACTGCAAGGCAAGAAGGAGACAGACAATGGCGCAGATCAAGAGGAAGGCACCCAGCAAGTCAATCTGTCTGATCTTTTCCTTGAAAGTCATGTTCGTGTGTCTTCTTTCTGGGTTGGTGAAAAAGAAGAATACTGCGACAAGTCCAATTCCACCGAAGGGAAGGTTGATCCAGAAGCACTAGCAGTACGTTAGTCTAGCCAAGGTGATGATTACAGGACGTTTCGAACCCATCTCCATGTTGCTGATAAAGCGTTAGCCGAGTACTCAGATATTCAAGCTCTGAGATGAACTTACCGTGATCCGTGAAGACCCCGCCTAATAGAGGTCCAACCACACTGGCAATTCCAAACATACTGGACAATGAAGCGATATAGATCGCACGCTTACGTAGAGGAGCGATGAAACCAATGATGGTCATTCCTCCAGAGAATAGTGCGGCGGCTCCAACACCAGCAACAGCTCTACCCACGATAAGCATTGTCGAGCTGGTGGCAGCAGCGCATATGACCGAGCCGACCTCGAAGATGACCAGAGCCGATAGGTAGGTCCATTTGACGTCGAAGTATGTGTAAACTTTGCCGAAGGAAGGTTGCAAGGAGGTCGTGGTCAACAGGTATGAACTTCCAATCCAGCCAACATCGTTCAGAGCGTCAGGCCATTCCGTCGTAATCTTGGGGACTGCTAAGATTAGTCCGCGAAACATATATGAGCACTGTATAGCTTACTAGCAGTCGCGATGACTAGCACAGGAATTATAATTAGTATACTTTCAACGCAAAACAATAATTTGACACCACGAAGTCGTACGACCGAGTGCGAAATAGCATCTGAGGTGACTCGTGATGTCTCCTTCTCGAATCCACTTACTACTGTTGTCGAGTGCGACGACCCAAATCGTAAGGCAAAGACCAAGGACAAGCAGCCAAAGTTTTGGTCCAGTCGGATACTTTGATTCATCTTCGGCTACCCGAGTAGTCGCACTGGCATCTCCTTCTGTTTTAGAAGGTGCATCTTTGTCGACTGAAGCTTCTCTGACATCTGTCACTGCCTCCACCTTGCTCGTCAGATCCTCCCCGCCTTTGTGGTGCTCCTCGAGCGCCACCATGTTCGGCTCTACAGCCGCACCCTTGCGGGAGCGAAAAAGACCCATTGCTGATTGAGCTTCAACACTATGATGTGTATGCGAAACGACGAAGCGTGAACGGTAGTTCCCTCCCTTCCATTATGTATGTTTCCGGCTCCTCATTTTGTTTTGCAGGAGCCGATCAACGCCTGTTCGTGGAAGTTCTCGACCTCCAGCCAATCGATACACGCGCAACGGGATTATACGGTGTACGAAAGTATAACCAGCCTAAGCGAGCTCCCTCTGCCTACTTGGAAGGCTTGCGCCCGTAAGATCATCTGATAGAGTGTGTACAATCAAGTGTAGAGTTTGTGTTGTCGCATCTTGACCGGCCGGTTGGGCGAAATGCAATGCCCTCATGCGCCAAGTCAGCACACGCGCATCCTACAAAAATCGCAGAGGAGGACCTTATGAATGTGAGATGAATGTGGATACATTAGCAGTATTATGTACAAAGCCGTGGAACCTATGAACTCGTCTTCTGGTTCTTTCTCGTCCTGTCGTAGGAAATCATTTATGCACCTCCCTCGCGCTTAGCGTACTCCTCCTGTAAATACGTCAGCACTTGTGATCACAATGTAGCAATCGTCACAATCACTCACCTCCATTCTCTCTTCATAGAGCTTCTCAGCAGCTCTCTCTGCGTCACCTTCAGTGCCGCCGATAGCACCTCCAGCCAATTCGGATGTATTTGTGGCGCCGATTGAGCTGTTCTGAGTGCTGATGTTGGCGGCGGGGGTGGAGTCGGTCATGTTCTCTGCGGTCTCGGAAGTCGAGGGCTTCTCAATGGGAGTGGTTGTTTGTTGAGGGAGACCCATTTTGGCGGTTGTGAATATCTTCTTTGTGTTTTTTAGAAAGTGTAGTGAGATGTTGTGGTCGTGTGTAGAAGGCTGCCTGGTGGGTTTTATTGAAAGCATCAAAGACGTGTCAACGCCACTTTCATGACGCACGTGGAGGACGCGATGTGGCGGTGCAAGAATTTCTCTATCACGTGGCGTGGTAACTCGTTCTATCGTCTTCTGTCTGAGTTTCATCGCATCCATTGGCGACTATAGACGTCTACTGACGGCGAGACACTCTTCCTTATATGACCTAGACATTCTTGAGCGGGTATGTGTTCGCATTGAGCCCGACTTCTGTTCCGCGTCGAACGCTGATACATGGCCGTCTGAAGACGTGATGCCGTTGAGATCAGCAAGTCACAGGAATCCAGTGGTACGAGCGACTCTCACTCGAATCAATGCGCTTTCTCTGGCAAGTCACTAACGTCACATGAAAGTCACGCCTGTCTGTCGTGACAGCTTGAAAATGGACCGTGAAAATCTGGGTCCTGCAGAGTATCGTTTTCCCGGTTCAGCCAACTCCCAATGAAATGCCGCATCTGCAGTATATCTTGATACCTCAACGATAAGATGATGCTTCAGATGAGTTTGAGGTAGCCAGGCAATCATCCTGTCTCTGATGGTTCTCAAAGTTCCTTCTTTGATAAGGCTGAGAGCTGACTCGGGTTAAGTGTTACCCCAGATTGATAGTTAAAAGGAGAAAAAAGCTTGTTGATCGGGCGGTTCGATGTTCCGTGACGCCTCCTTCTGTCATGGTGTGTTTCAGCACGAGAGCAGCTCGCTTTGGATCGCGAGTATCTGAGTAATGAGATTAGAAGCACAATTTGTTGGGGTCCAAAACAGACAAGCAGCAACTGCCGAATGGATGAAGAGAAAGGCCGTTGAAGAGGCGTCGTGATTCGAGCCATTTAGCTTTTGACCAGGATGGTTAGGGTGTCAGGGTTCAGTGAAAAAAGGGAGCTCTTTCCAAACAAACTTGACGTAGGTGGTTGCTTATCGAGACAAAATACAGCCATGAGCTGCTGTCATTCCTCGTCTGACACGCAGCGAAGCTCCACCGAGGTCGAAAAACAAAGAGTAGCAGCATCGTAGAATATCCCATTGCTCCCCATTTATCAAAGCAGCAAAATTTGACGAGCTTTGTCGTAATCACCAGGTTTTAGGAGGCCAGGCAGTCAAGGATTGCCGTGACAGCCGCTTCCCTTTACCGTTGGGCCCACTCTAGCAGCTTCTCTGCCCCGTGCTCAAGCATTTCATCTCATTTATTGATCTGGATACCGCTGTCTGTTGCTGCTTCTGGTTTTCTTCCTGCTTCTCTCCATACACCTAATACTCTCCTGTGGACCCTGAGACTGGCCTTCTATCCAGCATGAACGCGCAAGACAGGGTGATGGCCAACAATGAGCGCGATGCTTCACCCGAGAGATTTGGTCCCATTGAACGCCATGAGTCCCACGAATCGCCAATAATCACAAGACGTTCCTCTACATCATCGCATGACGGAAGCTCGGTCAGGTTACAAGAGATGGGTAGGAGCATTTCAAGAGTCGAGACACAACACGAGAATGAGGCAGACCTTGAAAGACATCCAACTGCACTGAGCAGAATCCAGACTGGCAGAAGTCAACACAGCGCTACCGTTGGAGCGAGCGGTGCAGACAGCACAGGCTTTGGTGTTTTCCGCACGAGATCCTCAAAGGCTAGCAAACCTTTGCCTGCCTTTGGTGGTGGCAAGCCCTACCCTCCACCATTGCCAGAAAGAGAAGAATATGTAGTAGAATTCGATGGTCCAAACGATCCAATGCACGCTCAAAACTGGCCTTTCAAGAAGAAGTGAGTACCACCTAGTACACATCGCGTCAGAACTATATACTGACCTGTTTCCAGGCTTCCTGTTGCCGCTTCGCTGGGATTCGTAACATTGACTGCTGCCTTTGGTTCTTCTATATTCTCCTCCGCTACCGGTGCTGTTGCCTCCGAATACAACGTCTCAAGAGAGGTCGGCATTCTTGGTATCTCTCTCTACGTGCTCGGGTTTGCTACTGGCCCTATGTAAGTGGTATCTGTGAATGAAGCAATGCGCTTCTGCTGACACATTTCACAGCCTCTGGGCTCCGATGAGTGAACTTTACGGACGCCGTCTACCTCTTCTTATCAGCTCTTTCGGTTTCTCTATCTTCTGTATCGCCGTGGCCGTTGGAAAGGACTTGCAGACAATCCTCATCTGCAGATTCTTCGGTGGTTTCATGGGCGCTTGTCCACTTACTGTCGTCGGAGCTGTATTTGCCGATATGTTCAACAACGCTCAAAGAGGTGTTGCCGTTACTGTCTTCAGTATTGCGGTCTTCTCTGGACCTCTGCTTGCACCTTTCATTGGTGGCTTCATCACGACTTCTTACCTTGGTTGGCGCTGGTGCGAATACATCACCGCTATCATGGGATTCACTGGCCTTGCTCTTTTGATCTTCCTCCTCGAAGAGACCTATCCTCCTGTCATCTTGGTCAATAAGGCTGCCGAATTGAGACGCAGAACCAAGAACTGGGGTATTCACGCAAAGCAGGAGGAGATTGAGATCAACCTTCGCGAGCTGGTCGAGAAGAACTTGGGCCGACCTATGCGCATGCTCTTCACGGAGCCAATTGTCCTCCTCCTCTCCATTTAGTAAGTCATGGATGTGTATATGGCAATGACAAGAATGGCGCTAACAGTCCTCAGCATGGCCTTTGTCTACGGTTTACTCTACTTGTTCCTGACTTTCTACCCGATCGTTTTCCAACAAGTACACGGAATGTCTCCTGGTGTAGGTGGATTGCCCTACTTCGGAATGATTCTGGGCGAAGTCTTTGCTGGTGTATACATCGTCATTGATGTCCCATCATACAATCGCAAGCTGAAGGCAAACAACAACATTCCGATTCCTGAATGGCGCCTTCCTCCAGTCATCATTGGCGGTGTGCTCTTCGGTATTGGTTTACTCTGGTTCGGTTGGTAAGTCAAACTAATGGTACAGATGATGTGAGCCATCCAAGCAGTTTGTACTGTTCTTTTGGAATTCTACTATCCGAGATTTGTATATCCAAACACCATTCCGGACGACATTCCTTAGAACAGAACTTGCGCAGGGCTCATGTTTCAATACCAAGCATCTTAGCAAGAATGCTGCTGACCACACTCTCCTATAGGACTGGTTACAGAGCGGACATTCACTGGATCGCGCCAACTTTGTCAGGTTTCTTCACTGGTTTTGGTACGTCGAGACATCTCGCACGTTTCAACAGTACGCTAACAATCCTCACAGGCATCATGTCTATCTTCTTGCAATGCCTCAACTACCTTATCGACAGCTATCTCATGTTCGCCGCCTCCGCCATCGCAGCCAACACTTTCCTCAGATCCCTCTGTGGAGCAGGATGTACGTAAGCTGAAGGTACAAACTCAGCGAGTTGGTATTGCATAATTGACTAGCATTGATGAGACGGGGTCTAGATCGCTGTCTCGTTGATGTCGAACTCGGTTTGTGAGCTGGCTTGTTGAACGAGTACCGCATCTCAATTTCTCCACAGGACTTTGCTAATTGTACCTTCACCAGTTCCATTATTCGCTACATATATGATCGAGGGAATGGGTATCCAGTGGGCCGGCACTTTGCTCGGGTTGTTCGCATTCTGCCTTGTACCTCTGCCCATCTGGTTCTACCTGAGGGGAGCACAGATCAGAAGCAAGAGTAGCTTTGCACCTACCTTCCCCGTCGCCAACAAAGCATCGGCCAACCCCGACGACGAACCCGAGTCTCGAAGCATCAGTGCCCCACAGGATCTTGAGAAGCAGGCATAAGCAGCACTATGCTTCACTCTAGTACATGTGTTTTCGTATTTTTCTTCGTATACCCCTGTTTTCTTGCAGCTGGATTTGGAAAGCATAGCGTTAGGAGCAAGTTGGTTATTGTCCTGTTCTGAGAATCGTACATAGCTTTTTAATCACATCTATTTACTCACGCTCTCACGGGAGATGAGTTGTCCACAGTAACGTTGCTATCTGCTGGCCACCAGCACTCGCTCAAGCATGCTCAGAATCTTCTTGTTGCCGTATCGCTTGTCTCCAGCCACGCCCACCGCCTTGACGACCAGCGGATAGAGCAATTCCAAATGTGCCTTTTGACTCGTCCCACTTACGCCATCCCTCTCAGCCATGGCCTCTGGAGCACAGCGCAGCTTTTCGATCTCAGTCAAGCAGAAGAGCAGCTCTTCGACCTGCGAAAGTGGCTGTGGCATTGAACCACGAAGAGGCTGATCGGCAATATACGCCTTGATGGGTAGAGCGAAGCGCAACACCAAATGAGCAGCTGCGGCCTGTGAGAGTTTGACTTGACTTGGGTCAGACTCGGCAACCAATAAGATGAGCTCGTTGAAACATAGATATGCCATATCTTCCCTCAAACTTGGCTCCGGATCACGGACTCGTCCAAGACGCAACGAATGTAGATTTTGCAATCGATCGCCATCTCGGGGCACATCACCGCGCTCAACGGAGTGGATGAGTGATGCATCAAAGAGTGAGGACGTGTACAGCTGTCGTACTTCGTCAGGGATTTCGGGAGAGCCCAGTGCTTGTGTCATCACGGCCTTAAGTCGCTTCGTGCTCTCGCAGTCGAATACTTCGTCTTTCTCGACGGTCTCGGGTGTAGGCTGTGGCGAAGCCTCCTCGATATCTGCGTGCATGATAGCATGAGCAATATTGACGATAGCGGACCAAATACGAGTCTTCGTCTCCTTCGCCATGTTAAGCTCTTCCATCTGCTTTAATGTCTTCTCAATGATGGCTAGCGATGCAGTAGTGGCTTTTTGCCATGGAGCTGGTGCTTTGCCGGATTGCGTCCAGCGGTACTTCAGCCTCATAGGGGTCACCAAGTCTTCCAAAGCCTCTGCTACTGCTCCTGAATGAAACATGTCGGACTTTGCTAGAGACGTAGTGGTCAACTCGACCAACCAATCCATGCTAGATTTGGATAAAGCAACGAATGTGAGATTGCTTTTGGTCTTGTGCTGCGATGCATCGAAAGGCAGTGATACGAGCTGAGAGGCAGCATATACCAATGTTGATGAGACAAGCTCAATGTTGCCGTGTAGCGCTCGAAGATGCTCAAGAACTTTTTGCTGGAGCGCAGTAGATAAGTTCACGTCAGTACTGTAAGCTCCGCCAGTTGATGACTTGACGCAGTTGACCATGTTTTGAACCAGTTTATCGAGGCGCTCAGCTGTGGTGCTCTTCTTCACCAGATCATATATGCTTCTTCCACAGTTGACGTAGGCAATGTATTGATCCTGTGCAGCAGTCTGTCCCTTCACATCTGCGGAGCAGTCTGGTATATCAGATGACCACAGAGATTCTGTGCGCGCGACTGCCTGGTCCAAGTTGTGTTTGTCAGACCTGAAAGCGACTAGTAGAGTGCTGAGGGCGTTGTATATAGCTGCGTTAATGACAGAAGAACGGAAGGATGATAGCGTCTCAAATATTTCCATGAGGTCTGACCATAGTCTGTCAAAGGAATCAAGTGATGCCATCTGGTCAAACTGGCCAACCAGAAGAGTAGCAATGTCACCAATGATCTCGCGCGAAGTCGAGTCGAGGCCAATGATAGCATCGATCGATGCTTTGCCAGATCGAAGACTCTTCTGCTGTTCGGCATTCTCTCGTAGGATCTTGAATAACAGGGTCTCAATAGCTAGTTGCCATGCCGGGTTCGAGAAATCAGTACTATGGTTCTTGAATATTCGTAAGAGTGTTTGGAAAGCACTGTTCCTAACTTCGGAGCGCTCGTCGGCAATGATGTCGGTCAGTCGATACATGAGTAAGACCCACTGAGCAGGTCGAGACTCTTTGCTCTTTGTGACGATACGTTCGTGACCTAGGACCAGTCGTTCCTCGGCAATGCCGCTGGTAAGCTCGTTGAGTCCAGATACCACTTCTTGCTTTACGAGAAAATCCGAGACGTCCCAAAATAGCGTGATAGCCTGGAAAGTATCAGCACGTCGTCTATTCAGCTGAACTGAATACTTACCGTGAGTGAGATGTTCAGATCAGAGGTCTGAGAAGCAAAGTGAAACAGTATCTCGACCAGCGGGCTGAGACATGCCTGTGGAAGAGGCGCCAGGAAGTCTGAGCATACAAGCTGCATTACACCAAATGCCGATCGACCCAGATAAGGAGCCATGAAACTACTTGACAACCTCAACCAACCCTCTTTGTCGATCCTTTGGTTAGTCTCGTGCTTCTCAGCGTCTTCGGAGTCAAAGACACTGCCTATTATGGCAAGAATAATATCCCATCCAGCAGAAAGTGCCTCCCCAGACTTTTCAAGTACAGCTCTGACCGAGTCAAGGACCTTGTTGTGGATCTCAATATCGATGTTCGCAAGGTCGTGGCCCTGCTCATATAACTGATAGACAAGCGAGTTCAGCGAAGACAAGACCATCTTCTGGGCCACCGCAGCATCATCCGATTCCTCAGATGTGCTCGCTTCAGCAACAGCAACAGAACAACGTGCCAAGATGTCGGTTGCGAGACGTCGAGCATCATCGGGAATGTTTGTAGCGATAGTCAAATCTATGATACGATTCACCAAGATTGCCCACCCACTTTCGGAGGAGGCATAACTTGCGAATCGCGCAACATTGTGTTCTGCAAGGTCCTTGATTCTTGTCAAAACGAAAAGATAATCTTGCGTAGAAAGAGCAATATCGGTTGTGATCCCAGGCAGGCTCGATATCCTGCGTGTGACGGGTGGGGGTTTCGCTTGAACTGGTGACGAGGGCAAACCTTCAGTTCTCCCGTCAAGTAATTTGCAAAGGGTGGTGAGTACGTGGAGGAAAGAGTCGTTCGGATAGTCCGCTGTGCTTTCTAAAAGTCGTAAGACTGCGCCTTCTACAGCTGAGATCTCAGGGCCAATTCCTGTGGATTTTGCTTGCGAGGCATTGAGGACGACGCCAGCTTGGAGCAATGTTTCAAAGACGATGTTGAATGAGGACTCCAACGTTGGACCGATAGCGATGGCAACATTTAGAAGTGCTCTCAAACAGAGGAGATTACGTGTCGACAATGTAGGCCTCGACGCCGGATCATATGATGCTCGTCCTGACCTGTCATTCCCTGATACTTGCGTGGCAAAGCTTTCCACGCTGAGTAATCCCTTGCCATTGGAGTATACGCCAGAAGGTTCAGTTGTTGGAGATGAGACTGCGGACATGCTAGATGTTACTATACTCGGAGGTACCGCAGCTTTCCCAAGCGTGGTCAAGAAGGCATCTCGTGCGGTGGACAATCTGAGAAGACCGGAGACCTGGACAAATCTTTGATACGACCTGATCAACGCCCGATAGTAATCGTTGTCCAAGGATGCGTTGAGGAACGTGGAATACGTTGCAAGTAATGCAGGCCAGCACTCTTCAACAAGCCTTGCAATTGCTCTGATACGAACAGCTTCGGTACTCTCGTCTGTTGAAAGCGGGTTGAGTGGTACCGTTCGCGATCGGTAAGACTGCGACCTCTTTTTTCTATTCCTAGTCCTTTGTGGACTTGTAGTGTGTTCTTCACTGTCGTCAGCTTCATCATCCGAAATCTGTTCTGGGCCTTTCCTGTGCCGTGAACCATCATGCTGCACTGTCAGAGGGAGCACAACCTTAGCAAGGTTCTCAGATAGGCCGTTCAGACACTCAAGTACAAGACTATAGATATATGTCTCTGGCAAGGCTGGAGGATCGGTTTTATCAAGTTGGTCCATGCATTGAGTCTTCGGTACGCTCCATCGCGTACTAATGCCTGGGACGTTGGTTTCTCCAGAGTTTGATGTGGGGACGATGACACCAGCAACGCCGCCAGCAGCTTCCATCGCAACTTGTTCAGCTATCGTATCTCTTGCCTGGTCCGTAGGAACGGTTGAGTGTTGACCCAGCCCAATCACAGAAGGCTTCTCGGTCGAGATTTTGACGAAGGATGCAATGTTGTCTCGTACAATCGAGCGTTTGCCCTCTTTGGCATCGTACTGTAGATAGATTTGCACAGCCAGGCTTGGCTCAGTGTAAACAAGACGGAAGACTTCCATGCACATCGCGCGTTTCCAGGATGTCGCTTCCGAATCTATCATGTGGGTCAAAAGACCTAGGACAACCTCACACTCGTCAGGCATGGCCTGAAGATGACGACGTATGATGAACGACGCGACCCGTAGGGCACGCAGTGTGACACTGAATGCTTGACGTTCTGAGATGACGCGAATTAGATGCGGCATGACCACTGTTCGTAGGATGTTCGTCTGCTCGGGATGAGATGCAAATATCTTGGGATGACTACCAAGGCACGCACCCATGAGCTCCAGGCCCGAGGCGGCAGAGAGGCTAGAGAATCGTACGAATCGTGTGTTTTGGCCCTCGGTAGCGAAGCAAATATCCAGAAATACGCGGTAAGCATCGTAAGCAGCTTCTTTCAGGGCGATCGGACCATCTCCACCAGATATTCGAGTGACAATGGGGACTTTATCACCAGCTTCATCTTCGACAGCAACTCTATCAAACACGGATACGACAAGTTGTTGAAGGGTGGCAGCAGCTACACCACTGACTGTAGCAGCTTTGACGTTCTGCAAAGCTGCACATACTTGCAAGGCGGCGGCCAGATGATCACCTTTCAGATCGTCCGCATAGTTCTGGGCAAGAGCCGGAAGAGCCTGGAGAACCTTGAGCTGAATATCAAGGCCGAGTGAGGTACAAGCGTTGAAGGCATCCAGCACATCTTTCAGGCGCGACTTCGGTAGACCTCGAATGATGACAAGGCGTTGGAGACAGACTGCAGCACTACCAGCATACTTGGCATTTCTTGTATTGCAAGCGAGTAGAAAAGGATCGATGAAAGTTGGTCGACGACTTAGATCTCTTCTTCGTCAGCAATTTGGAGAATGAAGATGACATAAACACATCTCACCAGCAGCCAGTTGTTGTTCTGACGTTGATGGGAGAGACTTGAGATCTTGTAAGGATTTCTCTGCGGCCTATATCAACGTCAGTATTCACACATATAACAATAAGTTAGAAGCGATAGCATACAGTGCGTATCTCTGGATTCTTTCTCTTAGCCTCTTGAGCCAGGCTCGTTAATTCGGCCTGGAGAGCTTGTCCACTCATAACTCTCTCTAATTTTTCAGACAATGGCAAGCATTCTATCCTCAAAAGGTATGGTGAATTGGAGCAACAGTAATTTGAAGTGAAACAAGAAGATCAATCAACAAGTCAATGGAAGTGGTAAATTGACCATCCAAAGGGGGAGCGAGGAACGGAGGACACGGATGATGTTGGAGTTTGCCAAGCTGGCAAACATGTGGGTGGGCAATGGCAGGGCATGCGACCGAGGACGTGGGTCGAGCTTGCTGATTGTGACGCTCATGACAAGCGTGTTTATCCCCGTCTTGTAAATAGAAGCCCATCTTTCTACACTTTTGCTTCACTCTTCGATCTGTTCAAGAGATAGCGTCGGCCTACCACTCGGCTGCCTGTCCTCACCAACAAACTCCAAACAACATGGCCAAAGTTCCCCGCAACTTCCGTCTGCTAGAAGAGCTCGAGAAGGGCGAGAAGGGCCTCGGTGCTGGTATGGCCAAGCCGTATGAGTGAATATAGGACAGGATGGTGACTAACGCTGTCGTAGAGGCATGTTCTTACGGTCTCGATGACGGCGACGATCTTCTCATGACCAACTGGAACGGCACCATCCTTGGACCTCCTCACGTACACGACCCCGTCCTCACCTCTCAACCTCGATCAGAACAGCCATTGACTTAGTGTCCGACAGAGTGTGCACGAGAACCGTATTTACAGTCTGAAGATCCGCTGCGGCGAGAACTACCCCGACACCCCTCCCGAGGTTACCTTCATCTCCAAGGTCAACCTGCCCTGCGTCGACCAGAGAAACGGCAAGGTATGTCTTGCCCGGAATATATACTTGATGTCAGCTTGACCAACATCAAATACAACAGGTCGATCTCTCCAAGCTCCCCAGCCTGAGCCAATGGAAGCGTGACTTTACCATGGAGACCATCCTGATTGAAATTAGAAGGCAAGTTGAACACCAACTAAGCCATGGCAGAAGCATCACGCTGACTCCTCTGTAGATTTATGGCTGCCCCTGCACACAAGAAGCTGCCCCAGCCCCCGGAGGGCACAAACTTCTAGATGACTATCCCCCATTTCTTGTTCCACAGCTCCTTACGAAATGAAGAACTCGTCGCTTAACCGTACCCAAGCGACGACATGACGCTCAACATGACCCACTCTTCTGTCCCATACTTTCACTGGCATAGCATTGGCGCCCGGCGCATCGAGAGAAAGAGAAAGGGCCCGATACCGTTCTCAGTATAAAACTTTCATCTCAATATTTACATCTACTTCTATGTCGCGACGAAACATGGAGGTATACGGCGGCCGTCCCCTGGAGATGCCATCTGGAACGACCGCTCGCCATGAACAGTGTGCCTCCCAATGCCCTATAATCTATTCCTGAACTCCAAATCCATATCTTGTATTATGTAGTCGTACATGGCATGATTTAGTCATCGCTCGAGTACAGTCTGGCCATGTTCTTTGCACCTCTGGGCTCGATGAACAGAGCCTCGGCCTCGACCAAATGCTCGCCCTCTTCGACGCCCTCGCCCAAGAGCTCGATCCAACCCTTGACCCAGGCCTTTCTGCCATCGACCTTTGTTGTCTCGGCTCTGAGAACAACGAAGCTGTTTGCCGGGCAAGGCTTCTTGTAGGTAATGTTCAAACTTGCGGTAACACCGACCTTATTGGGAAGAGCAGGGAAACAGGCACGAGCCAGACCTTCGTCCAGAAGAGTTGCGAGAAGACCTCCGTGGATGATGGTAGGGTGACCGCACAACTTCTCACCAAGGTGAGCAATTTGAACGATGGCAGGCAACTCAGCCTTCGTTTTGGCAAAGGTGAGCGGTGGGGACGCGATTTTGTCGTCTCCTTGCAATGTGCCCGCTGTCAAGTTGTGCGATCTCATGTTTTCGGGGATCTTCATGTGCGGCCTGGACTCGATCCATTCCGGGTCTGCGCGCAGAGACTCGGAGAGAGGGTTTGAGATGATGCGCTTGTTGATTTCCTCGGCCTCTGCGCTGGCAGGCACGAACAAGGAGAGAGTCTCGGCATTGGTGGGAGGCTGGAGGAAGCCATTGGCCGTCTCGATGGCGGGAGCCACAGACATTGCTAGACCGGCGGCTGTTGCGACTATGAAAAGAGCGGTTGCACCGAGGACGCGGGAGGTTCGGGAGCGAGGAGGAGGGAGTGTCGGGTTTGAGAGAGTCTCGATCGTAGGTGTGGTATGCGGTGCTTTTGATAACAAGGTAAGCAAGAGGTCAAAGCAAAGGACAGCCCACAGACACTCACTAGATTGGGTGGTTTGGAAACGCTTCTGGATTGCGGGCTGGCGGGCTCTATATATACAACGACTCCGGGCACCCAAGAGAGTCTTCCGAACTAGTGCCGCTCCTGAAACTGTGGCCATCGATACTTTGGCTTGTGACGAATGCCAACAGCTCCTTGAATATCCAAAGCCGAGTCGGTATCGTTTGAGAAATCGCCTATTGCTCTGAAATTGTTCGAGGCCAAGGCCAGTCGTCCGAGGTCCAACGCTCTTCCGCTGCCGTAAGTTGAACACGCCGACGTCCCGACCCTGCCCAATTGGGTAATACTTGCGAAGTGACAAAAGAGCGAGCAAGAGCGAGATACAGTCTGTGATGGATGACAAGACTTGAGTGCTTGGTAACACGTATGATCATGTCAAGGGATAATCCTACAGCACGAGTTTGAGTAGTCGCTTTTGAGGAACGATGTAGCAGTACAAGGTGACCATTTTTTCAAATGAGAAAACACAAGCCAAACACTCAAACGAAGGTGTCCTGCTGTCAATCAATCATGATTCAAGCAAAGAGAGAAAACAGTGCAAATAACAAGAGAGATCTAAACGTGAAGAGCAAGAGCGGTCATTGCAAAGAGGGCTACAGTATACCTTTTCACGACCATGTCAGCGCTTGAAAGGGAAGAGGTTATGAGCATACGACTATTGATGCGTTTAACGGCACGACTTGACACGGAGAGAATCATATTTGTAGACACGAGAAATTGGGTTTGTAGTCATCCAGATCTGGATCTTCGAAATTTTGATTTTGACCACGCAGTTGAAATGCGGGTTCCATCCTTCTAAAAAGGGTTGAATGGTGATGTGAGAGATATGAGAAAAACGCCAGACACCATCGCCTTTGGGTTCGGTCCCTTCTTGCTAGCCGTTGAGGACCAAGAAAGAGAATAAAGTCGAGTTTGGTTCCATCACATCGCCCCTTTTTGTATTGCCCCGCCTGGTATCATTGCACATGTTGAATCATTAGCACCCTCTTTTTGCTGCCATAAAAAGCTGTAGAAAAACAAAAGAATATCAGGGAGAACTGTATGACAACAGCCTCCATGCTATGCAGAAAGTGAAACGGGAAATGCTGGAGAGAAGAGAAACAGCAAGATATCTAGTATCTGTACATGTCGCTCTTGAAGGGACCCTCGACGGGGAGACCAAGGTAGTCGGCCTGGACGTCAGTGAGGGTGGAGAGCTCGGCGTTGACGTGCTCGAGGTGGAGAAGAGCGACCTGCTCGTCGAGGATCTTGGGGAGGACGTAGACACCGACGGGCATGACACCGTTCTTGAGGTCACCGACACCCTCACCCTCGTTGGCGCGGGCGAACTCGACGTACTTCTTGCCGAAAGCCTCGTCACCGGCCTTGTACAGCATGATCTGGGCAAGGACCTGATTGGCGAAGGAGCAGGACATGACGAAGGAAGAGTGACCGGTGGCACAGCCAAGGTTGACAAGACGACCCTCGGCGAGGAGGATGATGTGACGGCCGGAAGGCATGAGGAAACGGTCAACCTGGGGCTTGATGTTCTGGACCGAGGTGGCGTTCTTCTTCAACCAGGCAACGTCGATCTCAATGTCGAAGTGGCCGATGTTGCAGACAATGGCGTTCTCGGGCATGGCCTCGAAGTGCTTGCCAACAAGGATGTCACGGCAGCCAGTGGTGGTGACGAAGATCTGACCGACGGAAGCGGCCTTCTCCATGGTGGTGACCTGGTAGCCGGAGACGGCAGCCTGGAGGGCGTTGATGGGGTCGATCTCAGTAACGAGGACGCGAGCACCCATGGCGTGGAGAGCCTGGGCGCAACCCTTACCGACATCACCGAAACCAGCGACAACGGCAACCTTACCGGCAATCATGACATCGGTGGCACGCTTGATACCGTCGACGAGCGACTCACGGCAGCCGTAAAGGTTGTCGAACTTGCTCTTGGTGACGGAGTCGTTGACGTTGATGGCGGGAACGAGGAGACCCTTGTTCTTGAGCATCTTGTAGAGGTGGTGGACACCAGTGGTGGTCTCCTCAGAGACACCGTAGCAGTCCTTGAGCATCTCGGGGTACTTCTTGTGGACAAGGGCAGTAAGGTCACCACCGTCGTCGAGGATCAAGTTGAGAGACTTGCCCGAGGGGAAAGACTTGAGCTGCTGCTCGAGGCACCATTCGTACTCCTCCTCGGTCTCACCCTTCCAGGCGAAGACGGGGGTACCGCCAGCGGCGATAGCAGCAGCGGCGTGGTCCTGGGTGGAGAAGATGTTGCAGGAAGACCAGGTGAGCTCGGCACCGAGGGCCTTGAGGGTCTCGATGAGGACAGCAGTCTGGATGGCTGTGACGGACAAGTCAGCTTCAATTCAGCTTTCCCATGGTAAAGCTCTAGGGACTTACTCATGTGCAAGCAACCGGCGATACGGGCACCAGCAAGAGGCTGCTCAGCGGCGTACTTCTCTCTGGTGGCCATGAGACCGGGCATCTCGTGCTCGGCGAGCTCGATCTCGCGACGACCGAAAGCGGCCAAGCTGAGGTCGGCGACCTTGAACTTCTGGGCGGGGGCACTCATATTGATGGTATAGAAAAGAGGGGTGGGAGGTGGAGGGAAAGAGAGATGTGTGAAGGAGAAAGGAAGGAAGGGGAGCAGCAAGTAAGTAGTCGCTCTGAATGCGCGCCAGAAAGCAGCCAACAAAAATGGGCCCACACCCCTCACTCAATCTCTCCAATTGCCGTAAATTGTTGGATCTTCACCGCCTCCAATCTTTCTGCCCCCAGCTCGACAAAGGGTCTTCAGCTAAAGCACGTTGCGTAGGGAGGTCGGTGCTCGTATTGTTCACGCCTCATCTTTCCAGAATGGGTGAGTAGAGAGGTTTGGACCGTCCGACTTTTTCACAAACGTCTCAACGACAGCGAGCTTCCACAGTGGGGCAAGCTCCTTCGTCCGTCGTGGACCAGCCATTCATCTGCGTGGTCTTGACGTCTTCCATTCATCTTTAATTCTTCAACCTTTCTTTTTCTTCGCAACCGTGTCCTCATTGTGATGAACTGTTTGACGTGTAAGAAGATCAATGTCCAGCTATCCAAACATTTTCCCCCGAGGTTTTGATGGCTAGCACATGGGTTTCCATCAAGGTCATACGCAGTAGACAGGCAGAAATTGGTCCGGTCGTTCAGAGGATTGGGGTGTATCTGATCGATTTGACATGCAATTCTCGAGTTAGGTGGCTGTATAATGCACAAATTGAAACAGCTAGGCACAAGCACGACCGGAGCGCTTGTATTGCCGTTGATTTTGAGCTCCTGATGGATCGCTGCGGCGCAACGCCGGATCGAAGCAGTTTGGAATTGCTATCAACTATCTCTTCCTATGACAACCCATCTCTTGAGGTGCGACTGTTGCTGCCTTCGAGGGACGCGTTTGTGCGACGTGCTGCCTGAAGTTTAGCGCAGGGATGATGCTTGGGGCGACACTGGCTAGGAAACTGGGGCTCTGCAAGGCTTCAACTGTCGGTATAACTGTTCGTGGTGTACCAGGAAAACGGACATCATCAAATCATCGGATAGCAGCACAGATGTCTGAAAATCACTTACTTGAAGCTTTTGCGTCTGCTCTAGGAGAATCTGACAGCAAGAGCACCTTTGCCTGTGGCGGAACTATACCAATCATACTCAACACGTCGAGCCCTTCTGAGCATACTAGCAGCAATATGCCAACTCAAGCGTTCAACCAGACCATCAGGACTAAGCCAGTCACCATACGCTATGGACCATCGGGCCGTGGTCAGATTTTGAGCCTACCAACAGAGACTACCAGCGATCCGGCCTTTCTCAACCTGATCAGTACTTGCGAGCCTGCCTCATTTGGCTTTGAAGGCAGAGATGTATTCGATGAGCAGTACCGTAAAGCGACTAAACTTGACATCACTGAGTTTTGCTCAAGCTTTTGTCCTTATGAGACGGGAATCATCGACATTGTTACTCAGCTCCTCATGCCTTCAGTCAAACATGAGATAGCCAAAAGGCCGGCCCATGGTACGGAGGTTCTGTCTGCACAGCTCGCAGAAGATGTTAGAGCTCTGTTTGTTGCAACCGAGAACTACACGGGTGTGGACACAATGACACTGACAAAGATCATAACTTCTCGCTCGAATGAGGATCTCCTCACCATCATGCGTGCTTATGAGCAGAGATACCAGCGCGAGCTTGGTCGGGTTCTGCAACAGAAACTTCAACGCGACGACATGTTCATGTTGGACATACTCGCACAAGTCTTGATTGAAGATCGTGCCAAGCAGCGCGAGATAGAACGCAAGATCAAAAGTACTACTGGTATGGGCATCAGAGCCGAACTCTATAAGCTCAATGTCTACAGTGGACCCTCGGGCAGATTCAGAGCCCATGTCGATACTCCTAGAAGCGAGACGCAGATTGGCAGCCTTGTTGTCTGCCTGCCTTCTGAGTTTGAAGGCGGCGTCTTGTCAGTTTCGCACCAGGGTAACACTGTCCAGTTCGACTGGTCAGCTTCTTCCCCGGGAGGTCAGCAACCTTCAATCCAATGGGCAGCTTTCTACTCTGACTGTATGTATTCCCCAGTGTCGCATCTCATGATTAGAGGCTGTCGAAAAGCACAGTACGTTCCAGGACAAGAGCTCATGCATGCTGACCCACCTCCTGCACCCTAGGTTCACATGAAGTACAAGAAGTCACCGCCGGCCACCGCATCACTCTAACCTACAATCTCTACGCCTCACGTGGCAGCGGACTCCTTGCTGGAACAAAACACAGCCTGGATGCTATCAATCTACCCATATTTCGACCTCTGATGAATCTGCCCGGATCGCGTTCGTTCATGCCATCAGGTGGCAGAATGGCAATTGGTCTCGCCCACGCTTATCCATACACCCACGATACCTTACACCGTAGTATGCCCGAAACTCTCAAAGGAGCAGACATGATGCTCTACGAAGCATTACTGGCATCAGGTCTCGGATTCGAATTTATACGCATCATGGACTTTAGCGACGAGCTGGACAATTTTGAGGAATATTCTGACGGCAAGGACATGGATGACAGCGAAGAGGATCCATTCGAAAAGAACGTCTTCTATCGATCTGGATTTGAGTCGATGCAGGTCTTGGACAGCATGATAGAGCGCAGCGATATAAACCAGGGACTGCCTGGATGGACGCGCCTTGGACACGTCAAGTGGATCAGGCGCCCTAGAGACTTGCAATTGGAGATGGCGTATTTGGCAGTAAGTTTCTGATGCATTTCCTTGCTTGAAGAATAACTGACGTATTGGCAGTATGGGAACGAGGCAAACATGACGACCAAGTACAGCAGCGCCGCCATCATCGTAAATGTGCCTTCTTTGCAGCACAGGTTGCAAGTTCTCGATGGCTAGACTGTTGTAGAACTCGGTTTTGCTTCAACGAACGTCTCACAAACGGTAGGGTCACTCATTCAGGTTGCTACAATGCAGTATGTTCATCATTTCAGTCTTTGCCTGTTGCACGCTTGGATCTTTGCGCCCACTCGACACGCCCTCTTCCTGTCTACAGTCATTCCATCTCTTTGTGATCCGGAGGTTGCAGCTGTCAAAATACATGAAATTTTCCGAAGTTGCAGGCGTGGCCACCAAGAGGGACCAAAGCAGCTGCTTTCCTTGATCGATACTGGCAACTCAAAGGCCTCCGTGGATATCGGAGAGTAAGTAGTATTGTCAAGCTTCAGCACATGCGGAGGGAGGAGAACTAATCGAATTAAGAATTACCCATTGATCATTGGTTGACTATCTGGCTGGCTGCGGGCTTTCTTATGGTGAACAACTATAAGAATACAACGCAAATGCTGGAAAGAGTCTGCGGTAACCACAATTCCTCCTTTCCTCCTGAGTGTCGATGAACCCAAGGGAGAGTGAGCATCCTGAAAGAGAATAAATACCGCGGTAGCCTTTTGGCCTTTCCGGGAGAATAAGAATATGTCATGTAGTCGTAAAGATCGTGTTGGGTCTCCATCTGATTTTGCTATGTTTTGATCATGCTGTCGGGTACTTATCCCAAGATGATCTCTGAGCCTATCCAGTGGTTTGAGTGTCATCGGCAATGGCGGGCATGCTGGCGTCAACGTTCCAGAAGATGAAGGGGCCTGAGTACTCGGGTCCGTCGTCGAAGGTAGGGCTCCACCAGCGTCCGAGCATGACCATACCTCCAGGCAAGACAACACCCTCGTATGCCCACAGAGAGTCGAGATCTGGCTGACCGCTAGACTCATCAATGTAGTATTTCATCATGGTCATACGGTGCCATCCAGGAATCCCGTGCTGAGGCGGCAAGGGATTGAACCAACCTGATGCCTGGAACTTCTCGCTGGCGTCCTCGCCGCCACCTTTGAAACAGAACGAGACAGGTTCACCTTCGGGTAGGGCGTCAGGGCCAGTGGCGCGTTTCTGAGCGCGCGTGGTGGGTGTGCGGTACTCGATCTTGGCGCGAGACTTGAGAATGTGTTCAAAGATGTCCGGCCAGAACTCGAGCTGACCTTTGGGAAAACCGAGGCGGAGGTCCTGCAAGGGTTAGATGTTGACGGACAACGAAGCGGTCAGTCAAAGGACTTACCTGGAAGGTTTCGGCAGTATCCTCACCACACATGTGGTCTTGAACTGGATAATCTTCGTGAAAGCCAGACCGTATCTGAGCAATCTCGTCGTGATCAACGTATGCGTAAGTGCCTTTCCAGTGCTTGCCTAGCTTCAGCGGACTGGTCGACAGTGGCTTAGTCCAGCCTTGTGGACGCTCAAATCTGTCTAGGTTCTCATAGTGTATGTGAGTGGGCTCCTGCTTGCTCAGCAGGTAGTTTCTGAAGAAGCTGGCAACATGCAGTGTCCAATCAATGTCAACCTCCTGACAGGTAGGTCCTTTGAAAATGGGGCGACTCGAGTTCGGCAAATACACCACGGCCTGCGTATCGGGGAAGCCCCAGACTTTAGCCATCTTCGAGCTCAATGGGGCAGTCAAGGATAGGTGGGTGAGGATGAGCTGTATGGCGAGAAGGACAGGGTTTGTTGGAGACTTGTTGGCTCGAGTGGTAGGTCGGCGGAGGACGCAGTCTAGCAGGCCCTTGGCTTTGGCGATTCTTTCGATACGATCCATGTTCGGAGAGTGAACAGACTGCTTCTTTGCCTTGCAGACGCTAGTGTTGAAGGTGTCTGGTTGAAATATCAGTAACATGGTCGGTATGTCCATTCTTTCACACGCACCGATGAGCAGATCCTTGAACAAGACGAGACAGTTGGCCTCCTCTTCACTGTTTCCACTGTCGAAAACGAATTTCTGGCCCTCGGCTCGCTTGCGAGATTGGTATTGCTGTTTGAACCATTCGTTGACGGTGGAACGATATCCTTCTGGCACGCTCTCGGGAGGGTCGTAGGAGTTCAGAAATTGTGTGCGCCAGAATGAGCCTTCGTCTTCATCGATAGAATAGTTGGTTGATTTGCAAATGAGTCTGTAGGATGCCACATCTTTGTCGTCTTCGAAATGGTCTGCGATGAGTTGCCTGATCTGTGGGATTTATTCAGCATGTGACATTGAACAATACGATAGAATAACGCACCTCGACGGGCAGGATCTCGAAAGTACGGGCGTAGCGATGAGCAGATGTACGAGTGTGAGCATGAGCATGAATCTTCGTTTGGGGCTGCATCTTAGGTTTGGGTTGCAACCGAGATCTGCCCGTTGTAGACCTGAGACTTCGTGGCATTGTGAGTAAGAACGACCAAGGTGATGGGCGATATCCAAAAGTAAATGCAAGAGTGTAAACAGTACGATGGATGAGAGAGGGAAAGAAACAATCGAGGGATAGAAAGAGAGAGAGGGAAGGAAGCGATTGGGAGAGGTGTTTATAAGAGGAGGGTAAGGGAGATCGGGGAAAGTGTGAGTGAAGAGTGAAGCTTGGAAGAGGAGTGAAGTGTACCTTCCTTGAATCACTTGACTTCTGGAAACAAAATCACCACCAGTGTGAATATGATAGAGTTTGACGACGATGACGAGGACAACGAGTTGTGTTGAAGACGATATCAACGAAGTGCAGCATGGCACGATGGTGCTTTTGTAGCAAGTTCGATGTCAATTCGCAGCATTTGTCGATGAAAGTTGCCTTTAAGAAGTGAAGCTTGTCGTGTATGCAATTACTTGTCAGATGCGTAGTGCCCAACAAGTTCTCATCTATGTTTGGAGCGAGACGCAATGTGTTCGACTAGAGCTCGAGGTGAAATTGAGATTGAAGTCAATACAATAATGCTGATGTTGAGAAAGGAAAACACTGCTGGGTATTTGAGGCAAGCCTCCGAAGGGGTACATAGCAACACATGAAAAATATACCCACACTCATTTGCTGAGCTTCTCGAGCAGAATCTTTGCGCCTGCGTTGCCCTTCGGCCCCTCGCTTGTCTTCTTCTTCTTCTTATTTTGTGAATCATCGGTCTCCACGGGTGCCTTCTTGGAGGCAGCGTTCTCGCCCTTGGCCGCCTTCTCCAGCGTCTTCTTGCCCTTGGCTAGTTCCTCGCGAACAGCCTTCTTGTTTGCGGCGCTGACATCCTCGCTCTCGAGCATTTGTAAAACAACAAAACTTGAAGGACTTGTGGCCCAGTCGACGAACTTGCCCTTGAGTGTCTTGAACAGCAAATCGCCGAAACCAAGGCGGGGCTCGACCAATTTGACTGTCTTGGACTCAAAATCGAACTTGCCGCCGCTGACTAGCGCTCTCAGCATCTTGCCACCAGCTGCGCTCTGTGCAATGTGACCTTCAGAAGTCACATCACCCTCGGCGAGGGCTACGACAGCCTCAGAAGCTGCCTTCTTGTCTCCCTGGGCTTCCAGGAGGACCTCACTGATGTATTGGCAACCAAAACCAACACTGGCGAGGTCAGCGGCGCGGGATTCAATGATGGGTAGTAGATACGGCGACATGTATGCGATCAATTCTTGGCGACGGATTTCGGGGTTCTTCTTGGAGGTGACCTCACGCACGGAGTGCACTTCGGCGATAATGGTCTTTTGAACGTCGGAAACCAGCCACTTGGCTTGTCCAGCAAGAGGGTAAAGTAGCGGGATACGGGCAGTCAAATGAGAGATGAGGTCAACAAGGCGGTTCTCACGTTCGGCCTCGTCCTTGATGTTCTCGCCCAACAGCTCAGGGAAGAGAGCCTTGGCGGTCATCTTCGTGTCGTCGACAGTGTCCATAGCAGCAAGCAAGACAGTGTGTGCGTTAGGGTCGAGAGCCATCATTTCCACGGCATCCTTGTAAACACGAAGAATAAGCTTGCGGTCCTTTGCAGTTCCGTAACCAAGAGCCAGGCATACGACACGACTGCCGTTCTTTGTGAAAGCCAAGTTTTTGAGGAGATCGCCACCATTCTCTTCGTCCAGATCCGATTTGAGCAGCTCGAGGAACTCAGAAGCCTCGGGAGTGCCAGGAGTTGTGTTGAGGAAGTACTGAAGCATAGCGTCGTGCAACATGGTAAAGCCAGTCATCTTCTTCTGGACCAGCTGGTTGATGAGTTGCTGGAGGTATTGCATCATGGGCTTCTTCTTCTCGGGGCTCTCTTCCAAAATAGTCTTGAGGTCGGCTGTGACTTTCTCTTCGGTCTGACCTTGAGCGGCCTTGGTCTTGCCGAAGATGGCATATTCGGCGCCGTACCATTCGCGGAGCATAAGAGCTTTTTGTGAAGAGGTTGCGACCTGTCGGTAAATGTCGTCGACGATCCAGGCGGCTTCGGGGTGGTTGATCAGACGACGAACGTGACCGTAAAACTGAGGAACGACCATGTTGCGAATCTCAGCATCACTGCGAGATCGTGTTAGCTGAGAAAGACTGGGATGGAGAGGACTGTGACTCACCCTTCGACAACCATCTTGGCGACCAAGAACTTGCCGTACTTGCTCTCGGCCAGCTCGCGCATGTCGGTGCGCAATTCGGTGACGATTTGCTTTCTTTGTTGCATGTTGGCGTACTTGAGGGCGCATTGGATGACACGCACACTGTCGTGCTTGAAGACAAAGTCGCGCACTCTTCCAGTGATGATCTCGAACAGCTCGCCGACCAGAGCCTTGCGCTCTTCGGTAGGCACATGTGACTTTCTGCGCAGTCTCTCCCAAATCTTCTTGCTACGGCCGATGATGTCTGCGTTCGGTTTGGCGGCTTTGCGCTCCTTTGCTAGAACGCGCTGGGCGGCATGTGCTTCTGCTGACGATTGTCCAGCTACATTGCATGTCAGCCAAGTCCTTGGTTATGTTTGTCTGTTACGCACTCCTGATCTTCTTGTCGTCTGAATCGCCGTTTCCACCATTTAGCTCTACACCAGACATGGCGTCTTCCTCCTCATCCAGTTCGTCCTCGTCTTCATCCTCGCTTGTTTCTGATTCGGGGGTGGGCTCCATGACTGGGGCAGCCTTCTTCTTGGAAGAGCCCGTCGAGGCCAGCTTTTGCTTCTTCTCTGATCCAGATCGGACGGCAGCGACGGCCTTGGGTGCTTCCTTGCGTTTGATTCCGGCCATTTTGTTGAATTGTGTACTGTGCAAATGTCCTGCGTGAGCGTCTCAAGCCTGGCAAAAAAGCGCATGGCTTGGATTATTATCTAGACCGCCTTTTTCTGCCACGGAGATTAGCTCCACATCTCCGCATTACCCTTTTCTTCATCACCTCTTCCAATTTGCTCACCCAATATTCGAACTTTTCTCACCTTGGGTCTCGAATGCGTCATACTGGGAGAGCTTATTGATCCTCGATATCTACTGCTATTCTATCTGAAGACCGCCTTGTTCAACCATCTGCCGTGCCTTCCATAAACCTCCATTTCCGTCTCTTATGCGCTATCAACGTGCACTCCATTCGCAAGTGCCTCGATCCGGTTGTTTTCTCTTGCTGATACATCTAGCGGGGCATCTGCTGCGACTCTTTGAGACGCAGGAACTCGAGCTGGACCTGGTTCTCAATAGAGAGACGCTCAAGGACACGCTGTCTAAGAATGAACGTGCGGTCCTCGTCCAAACCATACTCGACATCTTCAGGCTCACACTTGCCGAGAAGTTCCTTGGTGAGCTGGTAGAACATGATCTCCAGTCTCAGCTTGCTCGCCATTCCACACTCGTCCACTAGACGCTGCGCCTCGGTCAGAGAGCTCTATGCGACATTAGTCATGAACACGATATGGTTGCTCTCGAAACCTTACCAGTCGCTCTTCCATCTCACAAATCTGGGCACGAGTCTCATCCATCTGGATCAGAAGTCTCTCGGTATCGTTGGCACTCGAGTCACCGCTCTTGGGGTTCTCAGCACCGATGCGCTTGTGGCTGATGTCCTTGGTCAGGTGGTCGATTTGTGATTGCATCTGAATGATAGCAGCTGAAGTCGGGTGCATCTTGAACAAGCCATTCTCGACCTGTTGCTGACCACTGGACTTGGAACTGCCGCTTTCGAGGACCTCGATCTTGGACTCAAGGATGTTGATCTTGCCGTTGGCTACGTCGATGCCGGTCTGGTGGGCAACGAGAGCTTCGCCGACAGTCTTGAGGTACTTCTCGTGTGTTCCATGGGCCTGCTCGAGCTTGTTGATGGGGCTGTCCGCCTGAGGGACTACGAGTCGTCAGCAGTGACCATCGTAAACATTACACGGTGACTTACATTGAAGGGCGGTACCGTTGGTCTGAGGCTTGGAGCCGTCATAGCCCTTCGAGATGACCGTGTCGCCAGTCTTCTGTTCGGCTCCAGCAAGACACTTGTCGTTGAACTGAAGCTGGGCAATGTGCTGCTTGATCTGAGAGGTCACAGAGGACTCAGAAGTGCGCACAATGCTCTCGACTCTGTTGATGCGCGTCTCTTGGTGTTGGAATCTCGGCTCCATCATGCTAGCGATTGTCTCCAGACGTTGGTCGAGCTCGCGTGCATGTCTGGCGCGTTCGTCGGCGAGTCTCTTGCAGATCTCAAGCTTGTCATGGTGAGATCTGATCTGGCCCTTCAAATTGACAACTTCGCTACGCAGGTCCTTGTTGATCTCGTCACTCTCAGCTTGCTTCTTTTCGGTTGCTGCGCGCTGAGACATCAGCTCGCCAACCTGGGCTTCCAGACGTAGAAGCTTGCTGTGCATCATGAGATCGCTGTGCGCCTGACGCTCGGCGCGTGCAAGTTTGAGGAACTCTTGATCCTACGAAAAGTCAGCAAGAGCTATGATATCCACCATGGGCATTTGCTTGCATCATAGCCTGTGTTGGACTCAAACTTGACCAGTGAGAGATTGTCGCGAGGGCTGCTCACAGTGTCGGAGGCTGGGACAGTGGCTGGCACGAAATTGGTGCGCAAGCTGCCAAATACAGTTGCGAGATCTGCGCCATTGCTGCTGCCACTGGCAGGTGCGTGGAACTTGTAGTGGGGTGCGCGAGGGTTCATGTTGAGAGTCTAGCTCTAAGATGAAGCCAAGCAAGATCGACTGGGTTGAAAAGGCTGCTTGTAAAACAAGGAAAGAAGACGAGGAAGGAAGCAAGTAAGTCTGCGTTCGTGGGTTTTGTATGGCAGTCACGACCGGCTCGACGACTAAGCGACGACAGAACCTTCCGAACCACTGGAAACCATCCCGCAAACTGCACTCAAACGAGACAAACGATTCGTCGAGGCGATCGAACTTTCCGACAGTGATATGCACGCATCACTTAAGATAATGTGTGATTAGAAGTACGCATCCATCGAGGTAGGTAGGCTTCGACCAGGATTATGTCGTGATCCGTACTTTCCAATTACTTCAGATTCGTGAAAGCTTCCTTCCTCACATGAATCCTATCTTATTGCAAAGTACAGAGAATCCTAGAAGGGTCTGGATCCATTGAGTCTGATGGCCGTCACAACTTCAGAGACGAATCGCGTAGCTCGTGAGTGTGTATTATTATGGTATTTTATCGAATCGCCGCCTCAGGGAAAACGGTAGTTATGAGCTCATCTAGCAATGTGAACACTAAATGCGTACTATTTGTTGTCAGCAAATATCTTGAAAACTAGACAAGAAGGCTTACTTCAGACGTTGATTGTTCAACATGGCAAACACCTTTCGACTCGCTGCTTGGGCATTTTGCCTACCCACTACACTACCAGCTAAGTCCGGTACCAATGTCGCAAGCAAAAGTCCTGCTTCTTTCTGGCTTTGCGCCTTTTGTGCAGCTGTGCGCGGCACTCCTCCCTGCTTCATCTGACCTTCGGGCCACATGATGTTCTTGACTAGATCAATGTATCGTATCACTGAATCTTCTTGACCAAATCCTTTCGCTGCATCTCTAACCTTTCGTTCGATTGTGCCACCCAGAAGCTGATGCAGAACAACTACTACAGCACGTCCTCGTAACCAGCTGGTACCTTTTTGCAGCTCAAAAATCTCCAAGAAGATATCACAGATCGGTTTGACAAACGGCTCGGCTTCTCTGTCCTCGAAAGCATTGATTTCCGCTTCGGCTTCTGCTGCAGACGCAGGGTCCGATGAGAATTCGGGAGCATTGGGGTTCAATGGCACCCCACTCATCTGAGCAGTTGCTGCCGAGATCAGATTCTGACCAGCGACAGATAGCTGATCGAGTACTGGAATGTTGCCCAAGAACTCTTCCATGCCATCTGTGACCGAGTTGTAAATTCTTGTCACAAAGTCTTTCTCGTCAATCTGGCTGCCATTAGCGCCGGATGTGATCCTTGACTGTGACAAGAAAGCACGGAGTTCTCGACTACGGCAGATAGCCGGAATCAAGAGCAGAGCCTGCAGATGGTCAGCGTCGTCTAGGATATGTTTGTCCACGCTGGTCTACATACCTTGAGATACTTCTCTAGGATCACCCGTCGCTTCTGCAAAAAATCTTTTTGCAACGTGAAGAGTGTCTGCCGGCGAGGAAACTCGAGGTTTCTAACAGCAGGGAATCTCGCTCTCAAACGCTTGTTTAGCTCATGGAATTCGCTGTATCGTCTCGTCACCATCCAGACGGCAGCAGGCATTTGATCGCCTGCTTGACGTCGGACTTCTATGACATCTTTCTCTCGTTAGTGTTAACCCCTCTTCCTATGGAAGATGTACTTACAAAGTGCGAATTCATGACCATCTTCCTCTCTCCCAACCATGATTGATTTGATGTTGACTGCTGCTCTCCCGTACAGGCTGTTATCGCTTTCCTGGATTGTGTACTGCTGTTTTTGCATCTCTTTGCGATGTATCTCTCGCGCCAGACTTTGCTTGGATTTACGGAGGATTCTCAACTCAGCTGCGTTATTGGTCAACTCGGCCTTCTTCGTCAGAGAATCAAGAATGGCATCTTGAGCAGTCAAGCGATCGATGTCAGCATTGAGAGTGTCAATGGCTTCAGTAAGTCCGAGATCACCAGGTGCAGCTTCGTGGATATCATCGTCAAGTCCCTTGTCTGCCAGATCAGAATCCTCTTTCTCGTCTTCGGCGAACTTCTCCTCTTCTCCAAACAAATCGTCAGCGAAGACTCCTTTGCTTGATGGAGCTCCCACCAATCCGAGAGAGGCTATACTAGGCTTTGACCTCGTTTGAACCAAGGTAGGCCTTGTTAAGTCCAAGGAAGCTCGCGGCGAATCATTATTTGCTGCGGTATTCTCGGCAGAGAAGATGGAACTGTTGTCTGGCTCATCCATGATTTGGTTAAGAGCGGCTTGCATAGCATCCACTACCTGAGCAGAGTCATCCACGGTATGATCTACGTCGTTCTCTAGATCCATGCTACTGAGAGCAGATACAGATCGAGTCATACGCTCATCCTCAACATCGTCATCAAAGAGAGGCCGTGGTCTCGAACCGTCCATAGACTGTCGCACCGGGCTAGCAATAACGCTTGGCTTGATAAAACTCTTCAGATCACTGGATGACATAGCCGGTCTTCTGAGCTCAGGGGCACGAGGCGACTTGGGGGAAAGTACAGCTACCGATCGGGCTTCCCGGTGAGACGGTCGATCTCTTTCGCCGCCAACTGACAGTGATCTTGACAGCTCGGGATATCCTTCCGAGGTAGCAGACATGATTGAACTTTCTTCCGTGGCGAGCCACTTGTAGAACAAGTCTGACTTTCTGAAGCTATCGAAGTGCTGATCCTTCATCTCTTCAAATGCAGAGGTTTGCGCTCGGAGCACAGCACGCCGGGCAGAAACGTAGAGTCGAGCATCTGCCGAACTGCCAGCTCTCAAAAAGTCTCTCACAGCCTGTCTGTCGTGGTCGGGAACACCGAGCTCAGGTTTAGTGAGATAAGCTTCATACATTTGCTCGAGATCCATTCTGTCCGAGGCACTCCAGGGAGTATCGTGCGGAAGCTCTTGCTCTGGTTCATCGTTGTCAGCTTCCAGAGGGTTGCGAAAGCCATCAACGACAATCCAGAATTGTACCAAACGCATACTGCTCTTCCTGTCCATGTATTCCATAAAATAGGAAAGGCCCGAAGCACTGTGCAGTACTTCGCCTAGAGAAGCTTGGCTCAACTTGGAAGAATGCTCAACACTAGAGGCAGATGCTTTCACTGTCAATTTCGGCCTTGAGGTACCATTCGCAGTAAAGTGTGCGATCTTCTGATCCAGTATACGTCGTCCAGTTTCCAATCGGCGAAGATAAACAGGGTCTTGATCAGAACCTGAGGTAGCTTTTCGAACTTGGCTAGTGATCTCGCTTCGAAAACGCCTAGCATCTGATAGGGTGGCACAATTTCGAGTTGCGCGAATAAATCTTTCGAATTGCCTCTCATTGTCGCCCGGTCTGAGACGTGGAAATTGTACTGACTTGGGATGCTGGGGGGCTGGTACAGCATGTTCATCTAGAGCAGCTCTAAGTTTGCGAACCGATTTGCGATCTTGCAGCATGGTACGTCCAGAATTCTCGATGAGTTGGTTGAAGAAGTCCGGATCAGAGAGCATCAATACCACAGGGGTCAAAACAGCACATGCAACAATTTCTTTGACCAGAGCGGACACAGCGGCACTACTCTTCATATAATCGGGCATGACAAGCGGCAGTATCTTTGCGACTATACGTCGCAGGTGCGTCTGCTGCAGGAGCTTCGTGTCGGAGAAGGCCAGAGCGGCAGCAGGGTGAAGCTTGCCGTCTCTGAATTTGGCGGCGATAGCGAGATCCAGCTCTTCTGACTCGGTCATGTCGCGAGACAGGTTCTTGCCTCTAACCAGACGCTCAGCGTTGTAGAAATCGCGCATGTGGTTGGTCAAGATAGGGACGATCCTTGCGACAGCAAGTTCGACCATGTCCAGTTGTGCAGTCCTCTTACGAACGTTATCCAGAACCTGCCTGATGGCGCGATCCACCTCATTTTGAAACAGCGGGCGTGGGCTGATATTCTTGTACCACACGGTGATGAAGTCCCGAAGAACAAAGTCCAGCAGACCGTCGATGCTTAGGGAGACCTTTGCCGAGGAGGGATAGATGGGTGTCTTGTCGTATCGTGAACGCGTCTTCAAGGCGGCTTTCTCTTGGTTCCATAGTGCTGGAGTAATAAACGCCGGGGGTACGAGGGTAGTCGCATGGTTGTAACGATGATTCGAGCCCTTGGAGGCAGTCAAGACGAGCAATACGAGGGCGATGAGGGTTGCGAGACAGCCCGCAACAAAGGCGTAGGGAATCCAGCGAAACGACGGCACCCAGTGCGTGAGCAGCAACCACGAGACGAGCGCCGCAAATCCGGCCGTGATCACATCCTTCTTCTCCAGGCCCATGTCGCTACCGATTCATGCTGTGTAGGCCGTCAGTTGTCCACTGTTGACAACCCGCACTTGCCCAAATCATTGAACACCCAAGGCCTCCGAATCCCCGGATCTGCAACGTGCGCCGCCGCACTCCTCCCGTCCAAGCCGTCGTCATGGCGCAGCGTGCGCCAAAGTCTATTTGTCTATATCATCCCGCTCGTCTTTAGGCACAGCACGGGCACAGCTGGGAGCCATTGTTTGATGACATCGATTATGCCTTCTGAGACAGGCAGTATAATGGTATAAACAATCCTACGTCTACATATCCTCGTCGTCTGCACCCAGCAACTTGGCATAATCGTCCATCGATGCGAATGTCGGCAGGTGCTTGAGCTTTCTCTTCTTTTTCTTCTTGTTGTCCGCTTCGTCTTTCTTCGTGTCCTCTTCTTCCTTATCATCTCCCAGACCCTCGAAGTCGGATGGTAGATCCTCGTCGTCGCCAAGCATGGCGTCTTCGTCTCCACTCTCCAACCCTTCGAAGCCATCGTCTTCCAAATCCTCGTCCATGTCTTCTCCCAGATCTGCCTCGTCCATGTCGTCTTCGGCGAACTCGCCAATCTCGACACCATCATCACCTTCACTGTCCGAGTAACCTTCCTCAAGGTCTTCCATGTCAAGGTCATCATCGTCGTCGTCATCGTCTCCCTCGATCTCGGGCCTCGATTCAACGAGAGCCTTCCAGATCTCGTCTTCGTCGGCATCGCTTTCTGCATCGCTGTCGGCGGCATCCTTCTGCTTCTTCTTATCCTTCTTAGTGGGCTTGGCATTGTTGACCTTGGTGAAGTAATCGTGGAAGAAGACCTCGTCAGCTGCGATGTCCTCGACCTTCTTCTTCCAGAAGGCGTCCGAGTTGAGAGGGATGCGGTGAGTGGGGTCCGCGCGGTCCTTGATGAGCACGTCAGCAGCATTTGATCCTGACATAGGCTGCATGATGGACGCTCCACGCGTCGTTGTGGATCCCTTGGTTTTGGCATTGCGGTAGACGAACCGGTCCAGGAAGTGCATCAACGTATGCTTGGTGGGGTCTGGCTTGGGCGGCAGTGTTGTCTGGTTTACTAATGCTTCGGCGAAGATTGCTACAGAGGGGTGGAAATGAGAAAGCAGAGGCAACACCTCCCAGAGTGCGCTGCGATCGGCATTGCTGTGTTCCGGATTTCTCTTTCGTGCATCGTATCGAACTGCGGGGGTCGCGGCTTCTTTTGTCGATTCCTCAGGTCTGGACTCGCCGTCTTCTGGCGCATCGACAAAGTGTTCCTCCTCGTCCTCGGGATCGGCTTCGGGCTCGCGAATCATGTTCCTGATGGTAGGGAATGTAGCCTCAAGCTCGCTAACCAGATACAGGACACCACACACGAAAGGTGCTTCGTGCAGGGTGATGGTCTGTAACAAGCGCTTTACGAAAGCCTGTACACGCTTGACGTTGACGTCTGACTTGAGCGACTTGTAGAGAAGGTTGAGGTACATGATCTGCTTGGAAGAAGTGATGAGACGGGGATCGAGGAGCGATTCGTAAAGGGTGCGGTAGAATCTGTCGGCGGAGAAGTGCTTGGTGGCAGAGATTTGTTGAATGAGCATCAGAGCCTGGATACTGGTGTTGAAGTTGGAAGAGTGTGTGACACGGAAGATGGTGTCGAGATGCTGTTCGAAGGTAGGGTCATCTGTTTTGGCGAAGGGGAAGGCGCGGTTGACACCAGTCAAGACTGCTGTAACCATCTTCTCGTTGAGCTCGCTGTCAGCAGCATCGGCCTGTTCCAAAGCCTTTGCCTTCTTTGCCGCCATCTTACCACCCTTTCCACCACCACCTTGGACCTTTTGGGCCTTGGCCTTAGCATGCGATCTAGGCTTCAAGAATTGAATGAAAAGTCCGAAGTAGATATCGAGGAGCTTGTTAGCAACTTCCGGTTCCTTGACACTCAAGATTGTCTGGTTCAAAGTGATGATGGAGTAGTACTTTGCGTGAGCGGCTTGTCCAGGACGGAAGAGCGATTCGGTTTCGATGGCGTTCACGATAATCCCCTTCATGGCCGGGTGTGTGTTCTCCAGTTGAAGCAAGAGATATGATGTGCGAGACGCGATCTTCTTGTCCTTGTCTCCGAGCTTGTTGACCAACAACCTCAAAAGGTTCTCCTCTTGTTCAGGCTTGTCCCTCAACAGCTCCCAGACGTATGTGATTGCTCTGCTTCTTGCGTATTCAACCTCATCACCACACCAACTCTCCAGAATCTTGAGAAGTTCGAAGTACTGCTTCTTCAACCAGTCCTCGAAGGCCCAGTAGATGAGATGAGTCTTTTCGAGGCCATTGGGCAAGGGGCTTCCAACTCTCCAGACAGTGTGATGCTCCTCTACAATCTTGGCCAAAGCTGGCTGTTTCGTGAAAGCGCGCAGCTTGCGGTCTCCAGGGAGGACGTCACCCTGGCCGAGCAAATCCTTGATGGCAGCAACAGCCATAAGGGCCTGATTTCTGCTCTTCTTCTTTGCCAGACCAAGCAATGTCTCGAAAGCCTTTGTGTTGTGCAGCGGCGACTCCTGGACCAGCAGGGTCAAGGCTGAGATTTTATCCTCGAGAGTACCGGAAGCCATGATTGTCGACAAAAACTTGTGCGAGGACGAGGCTGAGTTGTTGTTTGCAGCATAGCTTGTGTTCTCGGATTCGAGCAGGGTGTATGCGTAGTCGTGGATTTCTTCGACCAGTCTCTGCGACGGCGGTTGGGCGGATGTGGACACGGGCAATTCGGACAAAGCAGTTGCATACCAGTCTGGTCTAGGATCGAAAATCTGGGTGTTGATTAGAAACGATGGTCCGAAAAGCAGCTTTGCAGGTCGCATACCAAAGCGGTCTTCTTTGCCTTTTGTTCACCACCTTCTTTCTTGGGATACTCCTTCTTCGGGTAGGACTTCTCCGGGCGCGCATTGCCGCCTCGGGCCTCTGAGGCAGAGCGCTTCCTAGTAACACCCATCTTTGTATGCTTCGCCGAAAAATGTTATGTTTTTCTGCAAGGAAAAACACGATGGACTCTCACGTCTCTCACATGCGCCGACCAAGAAAATTTCCCCGTCAAACTCCGCGTCTTATCCCCGACGTCCGGGGAGTCTTCCATCTCCATTCACCATCATCCTCTGACAACATCAATCATTTCCCTCGTCAAACATACATCCTGTAGCAGCTGCGGATGTACTCTCACGCTCAGATTGTGAGATGCGCGCCTCTGCTTAGGGTTGCTGGTCGCGAAAATAACCTCCTCTCTCGCCATGCTCTCCAACGGTCATTGAAACCATTACATGGACTCAGACACTCATCAAGCAGTGTACAACGATTGTCTCGCTTCTGGATTCCTACCGTTGGTGCAGAGCGAGCTCGAGATGCCAAAGACGAATCTCATGAGTTGCTCATCAGGGCTGGCTATGTGCGACAAGCCCACGCGGGCATCTTCCACATGCTGCCACTAGGCAATCGCGTACAGCAAAAGCTTGAAGGCCTGATTGATAAACACATGGAAACTATAGGTATGGAAATGGCTGTTTTACGAGAGGTAGGTGCGATTGGCTGAGACACATGTAGGTGCTGCTAAAGTGTCACTTTCTACCATATCATCGGAAGAGCTTTGGAAGAAGACTGGCAGATTTGTAGGCCATGGCGGCGAAGTAAGTGTAATGTCCTATCTCTCGTTCCTACCTTTATGCTCTTCCTTGCACCTCTAGACGACCAGATTGCTCACCGTTTCAAGTTGTTCGGCTTCCACGACAGAAAAGATGCAAAGTTCTTGCTTTCACCAACCCACGAGGAAGAAATTACATCTCTAGTTGCCAGTACAGTACAGTCCTACAAAGACCTCCCGCTTCGCTTGTATCAGATTGGTCGTAAATTCAGAGACGAGGCACGTCCACGACAGGGTCTTCTCCGCGGTCGAGAGTTTACCATGAAAGACCTTTACACATTCGACATCACTGAGCAACAAGCCAGAGAAACGTACGAAGAAGTTCGCCTAGCATACAGAGCATTCCTGGATGAACTCAGATTGCCATACCTTGTGGCCGAAGCAGACTCTGGAAACATTGGTGGCACTCTGAGCCACGAATACCATTTCGTCTCGGCAAAGGGCGAAGACAACGTTATTAGCTGCGGCTCATGTGACTACACGATCAACGACGAACTTGCCATTACATCAGTAGATCAATCGGAGCAAGTATCCGTTGAGCACAAGAAGCATCTGCAACGCTGGATCGGAATCACCAAGGACAGAAAGAACCTGGTCATGGCATGGTTCCCCAACACTTCCCAACAGCCCTCAGGGGACGAAGTTAAAAATGAGGTCAACCCGAACGTCATCAAAGCTTTGGTTCCAGACATCGACCTGTCTGTAGAGAACCCAATCGAGATCTGGGACAAAACCAACCCGAGGCAAGAAGACGGCTCTCGCCCTGACGCTCAGATCATTGAAATCAATGACGAACGCCTACCTTTGGGCGGCGATGCGGGAGCCAAGAGAGCAGAGATACAGCAAAAGTTGATGCCTCGCGAAGTACTCAAAGCCGGCGGCGCATTCAGCAGCATACAATTTCAGCTCCGACCAAGAAAGGACAACAAGACCATGCAGCTCACGCGCACACTGACAGGCGACCCATGTCAAAAGTGCGGTGATGGTAAGGTCAAGGTCGACCGTGCCATTGAAGTCGGACATACATTCCACCTGGGCACACGATACAGCAAGCCACTCGAGGCAACATTTGTCGACAGCAACGACCGTCGTGTGACGATTGAGATGGGTTGTCACGGCATCGGTGTATCGCGTCTTGTTGGAGCGATTGCGTCAATGTTGTCGGATACCAAGGGTTTGAACTGGCCTGCAGCAATCGCACCCTTCCAGGCCGTTGTGATCCCTGGCAAAGGCAACGAGTCGGATGCGGAGGATGTGGCACGAAAGCTCAACTCCGTGGCCGACACAGTCATCGACGACCGCCAGAAATCAATTGGCTGGAAGCTGAACGATGCTGATCTAGTCGGCTACCCCCTCATCGTCGTGCTGGGTCGTTCTTGGAAGGCCGAAGGCAAGGCCGAGGTACAATGCCGCAGACTGGGCATCAAAGAGGAAGTTCAATGCAGTCTTGAAGCCTCAAGCACCCTGGAGCAGAAGATTCAAAAGTTGCTGCAGCAGCTGTAGAAGGTGTTGTAATACAAGATCGGGTATAGTGTAGTAGTAGTGTCCACTTTGTACAAACATCATGCGCATCCAAACTCTTTTGAGATTCTCTACTCCATGCCATCCATCAATTCTACACGATCCAACATCATGCCACGGAGGCCACAGAACTCCTTGAGATAATCCCATTCCTCGCCTTCTTCCTCTCCCCATTTGTCTTTGCTAGCGAAACCCCAAGCTTGTGAAATCTTGTCGATGGCACCGCGCTCCTCTTCACGAACCCAGCGTTCCCACAACGGTACACCCATGGACCAGGTGACTCTAACCATTTGGTCGTTGGCTGTGGTCAGAGCAACATAACCAACAGTGCCAACAGCCATGGTATACGTCATGATGCCAGCCATGGCGATATTCGTAGCCATTGCAGGATCCATAGTGCTCTGATAGTCACTGAAACGGGTTGCGAGCGTGTAAGCAGCAGGCGGTGTCAACAAGAAACCAGTCAAAGGGAAAAGAGCACTGCGCAAAAACTTGGAACGCTTGTAGGCAGTTGTGCAATATGTTGCGTCAATAGTGCCTAGGGCGAGGCTCAGATCGCGGCTCTCAATTGCAGCATCGATGGCCAAGTCAGCCACTGCTGGAGGCACGGAGGCAGACACTTTGTTAGGGTTGGTCTCATCAAAAGCAATGACACCAGACTTTGATGGGCGCGGTACAGGCTTCTCGCGGTATAGCGTGAAGACGGCGGGGAAGGACTCTGGACGTTGTAGGAGGCATTGCAGTTCGACGTAGGATTTGAGGATAGCGGGGGTGATGAAGACGGGGCGGTAGATGAGCATGTCGAAAGCTTTTGTGGTGAGGGCTTCGATGACACGAAGCCTTGTGATTGAGGACTTGTCAGGAGAGTTGAGATTGCTGAGCAGAGCAGAGGTAGCCGTATTTTCTGCTTGCGATGTTGTCGGTTTCTGTGGCGAGTCTTTGGCATCGACGAGCTTTCGGGCTATGGACAGATATTCCCTCAGAGCTCGTTGGACAGCGTCCTCGTCTGGTACGGCGGGGTGATCAAGGACATGTCTGGCAAGCTCGTCGATGCGTGTATTGAAGTCGGATAGCTCTTTTTGCGACAATTGAGATGCAGGGAGAGCTGCATCTGCTACTGGGGCGAGACTGGAAGCGGTTGCCAGCCATCTGCGTGGTTGTTGACTTGAGCCAGGAGTGGATTGCGTATGTCTAGGACGGTTTTGGTTGTGTGTAAAGTTGGAGGAAAGGGTACGAGATTGTTGCGCCAGGCGATTTATCGTGAACCATGGTGCTGCTACTTGTCGCGTGCTTGATTGACTACAGACTTGACATGCGAATGCAGTACGCGACGGGGTGAAGGCTTTCATTTTTGCTTGTATCGTCATGGCAATCAATGGCCCAGAGAGGACGATGGAGAGTCTACCTTACCTAGTGTGTCAGGCAGGTGAAGAATCTTATCTAATCCATCGTTCCAGTCGGCTCGATCAGCCGGGAGCCTTTGTCGAGTGACGACGCCGGCGGGCTTCAAGGTTGCTCAGCCATCATCGACACATTTCCACCTTCTACCAAACCCCAACTCGACTATATCTCAACCTCTCACTATCAGGCACATTGACGCCTCTCTCCAATCGTCTACATAACTACCACAACTCGCTTCCATTTGCTACTGGACTCTGATCTCGCCGGCGCGACTTCTTACCCGCTGCCTCCCGTCACGCGCCCGTCCACTCTGTCAACTCCAGGTGCCTAGGACCGCTACAATGCCGCCCCCTCCTCCACCGCCTCCTCCGCCCCCTCCAATGCCGGGATTCTCGGGAGGTAAACATATCGACTTCTAGAAGATACTCCCAGGACTTGTGCTGATCCATTGCTCAGGGCCACCACCTCCTCCCCCTCCTGGCGGAATGCCGAACAGGCCACCTGCAGCCGTCGCCCAAGGCAGAGTATGTCTTGCTGTCCACGTTACAAGCTGCAAAAGCTGATCATATCTCAGGGTGCCCTGTTAGGAGATATCACAAAGGGTGCGAAGCTCAAGAAAGTCACCCAGATCAACGATCGTTCTGCACCTATTGTGGGAAATGAGAAGAAGTCGTCTGGCCCTGCCGCCATGGGCGCTCCTCCGGTGCCAGGAATGATGAAGCCTCCGGGAGGTGCTGCTCCTCCTCCCCCGCCTGGCGCAAACAGAGACCGTGCTTCGAGCGACGTGGGAACTGCACCACCTCAACTAGGAGGCCTCTTCGCTGGAGGCATGCCCAAGCTGCGGAAATCTGGTGGTGTCAAAACAGGTGCGGATACGGATTCATCATACATGGGTGCCTCAGAAGCCCCCTCTCGTCCTGTTTCTGCTGCTCCTAGACCACCTGGCGCTCCCCCTCGTCCAAGTGGTTCGGCCCCTCCAGTCCCTCCGTCTGCGCCACCTTCAGCGCCGCTTGCCAATCCTGCCGTGTCAGCCATCAAGAATGGCCTGCGACCTGCTCCACAAACAAGTAGCTCTTCGCCTGCTATTCCTTCAAAGCCAAAACCGCCTCCAATCGGCAAGAAGCCACCAATGCCTCCTCCATCCTCGCGCAAACCCTCAGGCAACATACCACCCCTTCCTCCATCATCCGCTTCGCCCGTCCCTCCATCTGCCCCTCCAATGCCACCTTCCTCGGCTCCTCGACCGCCACCCCCACCTCCTTCAATGAGCGCTCCGCTACCGCCTATGAACAGCTCTCCTTCCTTGGCCGAAACAGCCGCGCGCAACGCTTTTGGTCGAGCTTCACCTGCTGCACCTCCCCCGCCAGCGCCAGCTATGACACCTCCGAGATCGCCTGCGCCAGCACCACCTTTGCCGCCAGCAGCTGCACCCTCACCACCTAGACCGCCAATTGCGGCCCCAAGCCCTCCGCCAGCGGCAGCACCGTCTCCACCTCCTTCGGTAGCCCCCTCGAGACCACACGCAGGCTCGATCTCGCGATCGACTATGGATGCCTCAGCGTACACATTAAGCAACGGAGCATCTCTCAAGTCTCCAAGTCAGTCATATCAAGGAGCAAGCGGAAGCAGAGGTGGTGGCGGGCGTATCACGATCGACGACACACGCTTCAAATTCCAACCAGATGAGACGCTTCCCAAGCCACGAGAGTTTTCGGGCGTGACCAAAATGTACCGAGCGGGTAGAGGCAGCACGGTACCCTTGGATTTGTCGGCTTTCGAATAGTTTGGTAAACATGCATCGCGAAAGAGAGGTAAACTGGAAGTGACCGCAAGTGAAGGGGAACTTGTGCATAGAGGGTATCGTACGAAAAGAGAGGAAATTCCAAATAAAGATTTCAGAGATGGAGGCCTTCTTCCTCCTGGTCTTCATGACTATGCTGAGCCAGTCTAGCTTGAAGCTGCGACCTGAGCTCGTCGTCGGTCAAGTGTCCACTCTGGGATTGTGTCGGTTGTGTTTGTGTTGTAGAGTCCCCGTTGACCATTCTTTCGCTAATCTGGCGATCCTCAACTTCTGCTTCTGACCATCTCATGCCTCTCTTTTCGACTTCGGCTCGAAGCAATTCGATGCGCTCGTTCATGCGGTTGATGACAATGAGATTCTCGTACATGGCATCCTTGCAGTCTTGGAATGTGTCAGGCCTCGCCTTTAGGAATGAAGAATGTTCAACCGTACCTTGATCGCCTTCATCGGCGAACGGCACCATCTGCTCGTTTGAAGATCTGAGGTGGTTCATGTTGTTTCGCAGCTCGGCAACTTTGGAGTGCAGCGCGTCGAGGGGCAGCGACTCGAGTGCCTCTGCAAATCTCACCCGATCGATAGGCAGTGCTTCGTGTGACATGTTGGTTTCTGAGGGAGTCCTGGATGGTGAGGAAAGAAAGATTAGAAAAGATGGCAGTGGTGCATCACTTGCACGATCGTGGACAGGCAAACGACCATGACGCCGATCTGTGTGGTCCGAGCACCACCGAAACTCCGCAACTCATCATGGTCCATTCGTCGACGACGACATTATTTTTATACCTCGACTGTTTCAAAACTTGCCATTGTCTGTACCTCTGGCCCTTCTGCTTGACCATTGAGGGCTAGTAGACAACCATGAATCATGCACGCCCGGTTGTGATGCGGGCATCATGTTGCGCATACACATCACCTTTTGCGCCATCTCTTCTGGCTTCTGTTCTTGGCCATACCGAAGCTCAAAACCTCTCTAACTCTCTTCTGCGAGGTCGATTTGCTGTTGTCACTGGTCTCCGCTCTTTCTCGGCTTGTTCAAAGCTCTCGGCCCGGAGTCGCTTCATTTCAAAGTCACCTCCTACAGTGCAAAGGACAGGTCGAGACACAACCCGGGACGGCTCACGGGGCACTCGAAGACGTCGAGATAATGCTCTTCACGCTCCTACATGGCGAGACTACGATCCAGCGGTCGGTATTCCTTTATTATCAGGAGAACTTGATCAAACCACGATCACCACAATCTTTGGCCCTGATATGCATTGTGATGATGGAAACCATATTCTGAGGTTGATGCATTACCGCAGACTGTCTGGCAGTCTCATCGATGTTGGTGTCGACTTTCCGAAGGAATCGGGCATCTCCTCTGAAATGGCCAAGAAGGCTCTAGACTACATCAGAACCCAGGACCCATCTTTTGACGAGAACGAGGCTGGAGCAATCTGGGCAGAGTCAGAGATCATGAGAGTCGAGGAGGAATATATGGCTCGCGCCGAGAAATTGGGCATCTACAAACGTACCGACAATGAGCAGGCACCGGACACTCAGTCGAGCGCCAGCACTTCCGACATCTACGGAGAGAGTGCCTTGGACAAACTGAGGAAGGCAAATAAGGCAAGATGGATGGAGGAAGACCGGAAGAAGGAAGAAGCAAAGAAGCAGCAAAAGGCTGAACGAGTAGCTGCTCTCAAAGCTGAAGCCAGAGATGAGAACTCGACAGCTGACACGAAAGATGAGCCCGGAAAGATCTTCAGTCCATTTGACGAGATCGCACTTGCACAACCCGCCCAGAAAGCATGGCTGGAGCCTGTGGAGCGTAAGCCGTGGGTGAAGTACTACGAAGAGCAAGCGACTATAATTAAGGACAACAAGATCCCTAACCTGTCTACTCTTCGACGATTGGGCCCCTCTGCTTTGGTTCTACTCGCTGTGCTTGGTGGCTGCTGGATGCTGACTGAAACGTACACCCCTCCTCCGCGTTCTGCGAGAATGTTCCCAGATGTACCACCTGCCGTTGCTACTCTCGGAGCCATCACTGCCATCAACTTCGCCGTCTTCGTTGCCTGGAGAATCCCCCCTCTGTGGAGGACAATGAACAAGACCTTCCAGGTCACCGCAGCGTATCCGTTCGCTATTGGAACTCTCGGCGCACAGTTCAGTCACCAGAGCATTCGTCACTTGTTCATAAACACTGTTATGCTTTGGCCTTTCGGCTGGATTTGTAAGTCCTGGAATGTGCGTCTCGATCGCCAAATCAGGCTAGCTAACTGGTACGCAGTGCATGATGATGTTGGAAGAGGAACTTTCCTAGCTGTCTACCTCGCTTGCGGTACTGTGGGCACGTATGGCTCTCTGGCCTTCAATGTGCTTGCTAAGCGCTGGATGAACTACAGTTTCGGTTCATCTACTGCCGTCATTGGCACTATGGCTGCAGCCTGTTTGATAAGGGCAAAGTAAGCGACTACCTAACCCTCTCTTCATCTCGATAGTCCCACTAACAGCCGGTGCCACAGCAACAATGTGACTGTCCTCGGCTATGAGATCCCCGACATTACCGGCCTGACCGTCCTGGGTATTATCGCAGGTTTCGAAATCCTCAGAGCTTGGAGGGGCAAGAACACCAGAACGGACTATCCTGGCCATCTTTCGGGCCTGGCAGCAGGTGTGCTTGCTGGCTTCTATATCCGCTACCAGACTACTGCAAGTCAGATGACTCGGAAAGAGTTCACACCTCTGCAGTCTGAACAGTCGACCGACTGAGAAACATGCTTGTATACCAATGTAACAATATGTAAGAATAATATGCGAAGTTGTGTAGGAGATCATCTCAGGGGACGTCCCAGTGGTTGGCTTCTTCTGCCTGGGCAGCAAAGATGAATGGAATCTCAGCCTCATCGGCTACCTTCCGCAGTTGTGCACGTGGACTTCACACCTGCCGAACTAAGGGTTGTGGAAGTTTCGTCTCGCGCCGGTGAGTTCCTAATCCTGCATCAAAGCGTGCAGAGGAACCTTGACGGGGTCTGTCATCTGGAACTGGCATGCCTTTCTCGTCAACGTCTTGGCATTAATCGATCAAGATAGAAGTATGGCTTTGCTTGGGCTTCACACTACCTCAACAATCAGGCGCGGTATCGGAGCCGGAACAAATATTTCTAGTGAGTATGTTTATGCTCATCATATTGCGAACGAGTGAAATGGAAGACTTCGCTCTTTAAGAACTTTCGCATCATCGACATCCGTGTTTTGTGCGACTGTACCTTGGACTTGGCATTCGTAGAAGTTTGATAGCGTCAAAAAATTGGCACGCCGTCAGATCGGCCATTGCCCCACACGAATCATCAATCAACAACCGGGGGCCTGTGCGCCACCATTTCATCACCTCTCGACTTGGAAAAGGATAATCCTCGAAGGATAAATACAGAGCGGACGCTTCCTTCCACCGGGCATTAGACATGCTTCGGCCACCCACTCCATTACTGGACAATCTCTTCTTTTGACGCTTTATACAGGGCGTATTGATCTTCTAGTTCTCTGCATTGTTGGTTACTACATTTCGGCCAAAGAGAAAAACAAAACAGTCAATCTTAACCCTCCTTTCTTTTTGCTCAAGACATTCTACCTCGGCAAACACAATCTATCAGCACATTGAAGATCTCGTTATAGAGGTTATCAGAAGCGTAGTTGTTGACATATTCGCCACATCTGGACTGGTACCCAGATCAGCAAGACCACAACTTCGGCCATGGATGCTAAACAAGACCCGTACACCTGGGAAGGTGCAACCGGATGGAGACGCTATCGTATGCTGAGACCAGGTCGTGGCATGTATCACGACGTCAAAAGACGACTGCCGTATTACTGGAGCGACATCAGAGATGCATTCACCTATAGAGCATTTGCCGCCACGGTCCGCATGTACTTTGTAAAGTGGGTGTCAAGCATCTATTATCGATTGACAGAGACTAACAAGAAGTTTGCAGTCTTTTGCCGGCTCTAGCATTCTTGTTGGATATGGAACGACACACAGATGGCTTTTTTGGTGTCAATGAGGCGCTCTTCTCTTCAGCCCTTGCAGCAATTGTCTTCAGTACTCTGGCTGCTCAACCATTGACCATCGTGGGAATTACCGGATTGATATCCCTCTTCAACTACACAATCTACGATATTGCTGTAAGGCAAGGCATTGGCAATCTATACCCAGAATTTCTGGCATGGGTTTCCATCTGGGCCGCTATCACGCATTGGATCACTTCTTTTGGAAACTTATGCGATTACATGCGGTTCATCACCGATTTCTCAAGCAATGCCTTCGGCATGTACGTTGGTATCATCTACATGAGTGAGTGGCACCATTATCCATCAGACACAACTGCCAGATGCTTACTCTCCTCTAGTCAAGGGTGTGCAGGAACTCATTGCACAGTTCAGCCAAAGCACACATGAGGCAGGCTTCTTGAGTATCGTCGTGGCATTATGCTACTGGGCTACGGTTTATGCTTTGGAGATGTTGCCTCACACGGTAGTGTTTACTCCAGTCACCCGCAAACTGCTCTCTGACTATGCATATCCTGTAAGTGGTTCCATCAACATGACCTTAATGGAGACTGACAGAAATGTTCAGATTGCCACCTTGTTCTGGACTGGATTTGTCCACATCCCAGGAACCATCAAGCAAGCAGACGTGCTCACGTTACCTCGTACCAGAGCATTCTACCCGACAGTAGACCGTAGCTGGTTGATTCATTTCTGGACTTTGCCCGTGAAATGGGTTTTTGTCGCCCTTCCGATCGGTATTCTCGTGACATTGTTGTTCTACTATGACCACGTAAGTTGAAGCACAGTGTATCATATATGAGACCAAGCTGACGATGTAAATAGAATGTCAGCAGTATTGGAGCTCAAGCAAGACAGTACCCCCTGAAGAAACCTGCTGGCTTCCATTGGGACTTTGCCCTCCTCGGAGCCACTTGCTTCATTGCTGGCATTATCGGCATTCCTCTTCCAAACGGTCTGGTGCCCCAGGCTCCTGTGCACACTGACTCGTTGACCGAGTACAAGGACAAACTTGTCATCAGCCACGAAACTGAAGATGAAAATGGCCAGCCTATGGAGCGTAGACGCAAAGTCTTCGAAGCCGAGAGCGTCGTCGAGCAGCGCATCAGCCATTTTCTCATGGGACTCGCCATTGTCGGCACAATGACTGGCCCACTACTCGTTGTATTGGGCACCATTCCTCGTTGTCTATTTTGTGGTGTCTTCTTCGTCGTCGGCTGGGGTTCCATTGAGGGCAACGGCATGACACAAAAGGTGATATTCTTGATCAAAGAGCGCCGCTTCATCGATCCTGCAGAACCACTCCTACAGGTTCCGAGAACGAAGATCATGCTCTTCCTACTTTTCCAGATCCTTGGTGTCGGATTCAGTGTCGCCATCTCGCAGACTATTGGCGCGATCGGCTTCCCTGTCATCATCATCTCACTTATCCCTCTCCGTTGGTCTGTCATGCCACATCTTTTCACACGCCAACAGTTGGAAGTCATGGATGCCTTGACTGCAGACTCGGACGTTGTGCTGTGCAGTTTGGGTGGAAAACCAATCATGCCAGAAGTCGCACTCGAGAGACGGAAGAAGGGCATCACTTCCGTTGAAGAGGGCGACAGTGGCAACATGAGTGACAAGGAGAAGGACAACTCGACGGGAGAGAACGAATCCGAGGAGATGAGAAGACGTTTAGATATGGAGCAATCGGGACGGACTACTGGGCCGTATCATTCGGGCAAGCATGACTAGGGAAGTAAAAGTAATTAATACAGTATATATATGTGTTGTAAATACATGGGTTCATAGATCATGACAACTTTGATAACACAACACCCAACACCCAACACCTGCAGTGGCTAATGTATGATTGCGCTCGTCAGTCTGTCAATACTTGACCTTGAAAGTTGTCAACACTGAGTAGCTGGTCCAACAAGGGCCATAAATTAACCTCTAGGCATATACTCAGAGTCATTATCGACTTCACGTTATACTTGGGAGGGCTAAAATATCGAGGATTGAGCTGATTGAAGAGCTTGATGGCGAGTCTTATCGATTCGAGGTGAACCGTAGAGGGCTTTGGACCTCATCGACTGATGAGAGTAATGTTTTCATAAGCGGCTGTCCTGGCCACCCTGACCAAGAAACTGCATCATGCGAAAATAGCGACGATCTTGTGCATTTGGTCCTTTCTCCAGCACACGATACTTGTCAATGGTCTCCTGATCGAAGTAGGGAGGCAGCTGTCTCGCGAGTGAGTGGAAAGTGTCAGATGCATACGCACTGTTACGCCACATGACCATATCGACAACCACATCCACGCTTACTTCTATCCCTCGTGGTTCCAGGACGTTTGCAAGTAGGTCTGGATCCCACTGGGCCAAGACCAGACGATCGACTTGTCCGACGAGAATTTTGAGGATTTGGAGCGAAGGCGTGCAGATTTGTCGATGATCAAAGAGGTCCATCATAGTGCTGAGAATCGCTTCGTCTCCGTACACGGGCGAGTTACCGGGGCAATCCTCCTCAGGAAAGTCGAAGCCGTCTAGGTTTATCCAAAGATTGATCAGCGTTCTGGGTAGCGTTGCTTTCAGGTCTCTCGTTGCGGTACGGTCGCCTAACAATACTTGCAACGGAACATGCAATGTGCTGAGCCTTGGAAAGTCATGAAAGGACATGTGGCCGATTGTATGCTCCCAGTACTCATTCCAAGATCCAGAAGCCCAATGGTATTTCTCTATATGCAGATGGAAGGTCTCGAGTGTTGTTTTGACAGGAAGGAGTGCTTGTGGAAGTGCTGACAGCCGCACGATAGCTTCTTCTGTTTCTGTTACCTCGCCATCTTTGACAGTGGTCCAGAGATCGTACTTCAGACTGCGTAATCTTGGACAAGTCTTGAGTACATGGGGCAAGTCGTGTTCGTCTAAGAAGGTAAAAGCGAGCTCGAGCGAGGTCAGATATATATTCACAGGCGGTGAAGTCATGTCTGGCCAAACAAACTTGCGACCCTCAAGTGGTTTCGGTATATTCAGCGAAAGACGGCGAACGTTTGGTAAGTGGAACAAGGTGAGAGATGAGAGACTCTCAGATCGTGCCTCGGGCGTTCGGCCTGGTCCCATGAAGACCTCGTCCTGAAAAGCACCAATCGAAGCCGTGGTGAATTGGGTGAGACTTTTCTGAGTGTAAGGTCCGAGAAACGAAAACAATTGTTGGAAGCCCGCGCCCATCTCGACCGCCTCGAGGTTTTTCAGGTTCACCAGCAAAAGAGCGGCAAATGCACTTGGAGAGCCTCTATCAAGCTCTCCGATCCACTTTGCCTCTGAGCATTTAGTCCGTACACTTTCTCGCAGTATGCATCGTATTTGATTACTGTCTTGGTTTGAGAGTCCAGTCTGTTGAGGCTCGGTCCACACCGATCGAGGTACCGCACCGACGAGACGAAGACAGCGTACGAGACCTGCGTGCTCAGGGGAAGATATCAGCGTTCTCACCAAGAGATACAGTGAAGGGTAAGTCCTGTTTTGACAAGAAACCGTTGTCAGACACGAGCACCACCCACGCTTCCCAAACGTTTCTTCTGGATGGTATTCTGGTTTGCATGGTGCTTGTTCTTCGCAAGAGCAAGGTCCGCCATGTCTCTTGCACCAGAGTCTACGACCCAGGGTTTCACGACAGAGATACTGTGTGCGACGCCACACGAGTTCTATGTTCCTGTACAGTATCGGCGTCACAGACATATACCAGGATTTCGAAACCAGTGAGAGTAGAGGCAGACTTTCCCTTGGAGTATAGCATAGTATTTGCTGGAACACCTCCTCAGGAACGGTCAGACGTCCGACGATGGGCATGCCCGGTCGACAGATGAGATGATTTCCCACGAAAGAAGAAGTTTGATCTCCTCAGATGGAAACCCAGGCATAACACACAAACATACCTCAACACGCTTGGGATGGTCGATATCACTGTGCGTGCCAGCGAGTCATAATTGATTGCACTGTGCGCACAGCGACAACTTTGGTTGCAGTAGATGGGTGGCCTGAGGATGGACCCAGATCTCTGGAGGAGGCAGTGCTGGTTGTTATGCACGAGATGTTGGCCAGATAGGACTCGTTAGACAAACTAGAATTCGGATGAATGTTCTTAATGAAAGATCAAAAAATGGCTTCTGCTGTCTGTTCAATTGCAAAAAGATCACGAAGCAAAACGTACAGCAGCAGGGATTCCCACGTGGTCACCCACCGTAGTACTAATCTGCCGTTCAACTGCTTATGTATGGCAGAGCGGACGGGATGCCCAGTTTTCAGCTGACTGTGGCCGTACGTGACAGAATCTTTGTTTGAAGGGTATATCACCCACCCTTACAAGCAAGTAGATGTAAGTGGGAGCGCAGGACATCGAGGTTCTAGCCCAGTGTCATCGCATGCTCGAGAAGTTTGGAACGCGTGGGCCATCGGTAAGCGTCCTGGCGTTGGAGTCGATTATGTCGGTGCTACGCTCCTTCTCGACGATCTTAAAGGTTGGGTCGATGGTGAGCAGAGAATGAAGAACGTATTCGCAATCGAGACGTCAAGCACGGAATGAACAAAGAAACAACCCCGGCCAACGCCAAGCCAACCTCCCCAACTTCACTCTGTATCTTCGAGCATCTGATCAGCCCTCTTTCTCGATCTACTCCAGAACAACAGTTCAAAGTTCCTATTAAAATCGCGACCAAAATGTCTGGAAAGTTTGAGCCGAAACAGAAGGTCGACCTTGACCCGCCAAAGGACGATCCGATTAGCTTGGATTACCTATCTAAGTGCGATGGTTGGTCGGACGTCATGGACACTCGGAAAACATCACTGACTTCTACAAAGGAACACATGAGGGATATCCAACATACGTGGCTATCAAGGTATCGCATCACGAACACAAGGTGATGATGTTGATTTCATCCAAAGCTCATATGTGACAGGGAACTGTTTTTGATGTGACGGGAAATAAAGCATATGAACCCGGTGCTTCATACTCTGGTAGTCTTTGAATTTGAAAGATAGAGATGACCATGAGCTGACTTCTCGTTGCAGTCTTCGCCGGCAAAGACGCATCCAGAGCTCTAGCACAATCTTCGTTGAAGAAGGAGGAATGCCGCCCTGAGTGGGAAGACCTCAAACCAGAGCACAAGAAGGTGCTTGATGATTGGTTCACCTTCTTCAGCAAGCGTTACAACATCAAGGGCAAGGTTGCCACTGGTAATTCGAACTTGTGATCTGCTGATGACAACCCAACATGATAGCCCATAACAATATACCCAAGACATCGATTCCTCCATCCTAAAAGGTGACCAAATCAATTGCCACAACATTGTTGATAAACCCTGGGCTCCTTTGGAAGAAATTGAAAATCAAGCCTCCCGATAAACCCGTAATACGTCCGCCTAAACCATCCTATCATTCGCAGAGTCAGCATGAAATCCGATTCACTCGGAGAGAAGCGATTGTCTTACCTTCAACACTGACGGCACCAGGCCGCAACCCGTCCGGAGCAGTTCGGGCAACTTCTTCTCATTCTGAGGTGTGTTCCGATGCGCCAGATTCTCTTGCATTCGGCGTATGCAGCCCATCTGCAAGCGTGATCCAGCTTCTTTGCATCATGGCCACAGCTGTAGTGGAGTGCATTCCAGGTACACATCTCGTGGATCCTTGCTCTTAGAAAGCTTCGATCGAGTGGTTGTAATTCGTCGAAAGAATCTGCTTCGCTTCTGGTGTTTGACGATATGTGGCGATTGTTTGTTTCTGATTCTGAGTTGTGGAAATGGTAGGGGGTGGACGAGGTCTTATACTCGAGAGACAGAAAGGAGTGGGAATATTTCTGGCAGACGACACCAATCTTATCGGTAATTCAAGTTCTACACCTCGCAGGTAACGTTACAAGCTGCTACAAGCCGGGACATTGACAACGAACAGTTCACGAGCAGATTTGATCATCGGCCATGCGGGTGTAACAATATATTGAAGAACCTTGCAATACAGCACAAGCGGTTGAAAAGACGTACAACGCATGACTTTTCCAATGCAGCCAGAGTTTCCAGACTTCAAGCTCGAATACCATTCGCGCTCTACAACGTCAGGATCTGTAATCCTTGAACCAAACGCCTGAACCACGAGACCTTTTCCTATCGACCAACCGGGTTCTTTCCCTATTCACCTTTTGCGCCTTGTTTTCCCAGAACCAATAAATAAACAGTGTCCGTGGGGACTTCCTTATCTCAAACTGGTTGGACCGGTCGCTCAGCGGCCGTGACCGAAAGTTCGCTGTCTAGCATAGTATGCGCAGTTGCGACAGTACTCTGTAGGGTTGGACCACTCTCTCTTGACGGACCAAGCACCAAAGCATTGATGGTTGGGATCGTTGCGAGCGAAGTGGCAGTGCTTGATGAGACGACGAACGGCATGACCGCAGCCGTAGTGGATGTTCTCGTACTGGCACATGGCTTTGCTTCCGACTGCAGATTTGCATTCAGTATATTGAAGAGAATTGGGAGCAATATATAGGTATTGCAGCTTACCTGAAATCGAAGTGTAGAGAGGTAGTACCGGTCGAGGGACGGAAATGCTGTGGACTTGCGGGAGTGTCGTGAGTACCGGGAGAAGTCGTGGATTACTGAGCTCGAAGCATGTAACAGCGGGATGTCAAGCAGGGTATAAGCAGAGAGATGATTATCTGGCAGTTCAATGGAGAGTAAATGTGGTCGGATTGATCCGGCCACCAGGGAGCACTCTTCACATGGTATATATATACAGACAAGTCTTCTGCATTCCTCAAGACATGAGGCTCTGATCTGTTTACTCAACCACACGCTTCTTCTTGCTCGATTGTGAATACTCATGACGCGCATGTGAGAGACCTGTCATTGCAAAAAGTGACGGACGGGGACCTGTGCACAAGACAGATGGTCATGCACGTAATGGCAATGACTTGCAGCGACGAAGAGGTTGGAAGGGAGCATGCCGATGGTGTTGACAGACAGCAGCCGGTAAGGCTATCGACATTGTATGCAGGGTCGCCGGGCTACGACAGAAAGGAAAATCTCCGAAGAGTGACAAGTCCAATGGATGGAGCTTCTGATAAGGAACCTATGCTCCTGAACACAAGGAACCAAAATGTTTGCTTGGAAAATAAGAAAATGTGGACCCCTGGTGGAAAGATCGTTCCTGCTTCCCGTGCGCTGTATACACTTCCTAATTGGGAAGAGATCACATTTATGCTCGATCTGTCCACTACCAATCCGACATCGGTGCAAGGGCGACTCTCACATTTTCCACACGCGCATGCCGCACGACATGTCAGATGGTTGGAAGAAAAAGGTTCGAGGCTTCGAGAACACAAAGACCCGTGACGATGGGTGACTACCGAGCGGCAGTGACAACCCGGTGGTGACACCGAGGCATAGTCGGGTCCACAACAAAACCAGGTTCTCTTTTTGCACATCGCCGTGCTTGTGAACCTGGTTGAATAAGATCTGAGCTCTCTCCAGACAAGCACTCAACAATATGGATGCTTGCAGCTTGTTGAAGCTTTCTGGCGACACGAGCTCGAAACATTTTCTGTGTGATGGACGAAGAGTATTTGCGAATAGGTATGCTCTGCAAAAGACTTCGAAGAATATGGCGCCACTGTAACGAAGCAGAAAGTGGACGAAGAATGCTCGCTTTGATTATGAAGAAGGAGAATATACGAAATAATAGCCCATTGGCTCTTGATGGCATCGACTCAATGAACGCCTATGCAGTCCTGTCCCACTGCTGTTTCCTCCTATCAACTGAATGCACTTCAACACCGCGTATGACAGCCTACTCCTTTGACCGAGCGCTCAGCATAGACCCGATAGACAAAGACTCGCGAGTCGCACAGATTCATGCCGTGTGGACGGGTAAACATCGATATCCTTAGGCACCCTGCTTGCGAGCACGACGAGCCATACGCTTCTTCTGAATGATTTGCTGACGCTTGGCCAACTTTTCATCGGCAGGAGCCTTCTTGTTCTTCTCCTCATCAACAGGAGCCTCATCCTTTCCATCTCGCTTGCGCTTGCGGTCGAACTTGCCTCCTTTGCCGCGGTCACCCGCTCCAAACTTGGTGTCACGACCCGAAGACGGTCTCTTGCCGTCGGCAGTGGGTGCGGTGGCCGCGAAAGAGCGCTCGCGAGACTTTTCTTCAATCTCCTTTCTACGCTTGACGACCTGGGCGTTCTCGATGGCGAACTCAACGATCAGGCGCTTCTTGCGTTCGGCAAGCATTTCTTGCGACATCTTGCCCTTGCCCTTCTGTTCTTGTGCTTGGTATCCGATGGCGTGACCGTTCAACCAACGCAGACCCATCAGGGCCGAACGATGTGTGTAATACTCGATGAAACCGTATCCACGACTACGGCCTGCACCACTCTTCTCGTCCACTTTGGCGCCCTCGCGACCTTCGAAGACGATCTTTGCTTGCTTGACAATACCCTTGGCGCGCTTCTTGCGGTCGGCCTCGGCCTTTGCATCCTCCTCGCCACCTCTGCTGAGCTCCTCTCTGTTGAGGCGTCCGCGCTTGCCCTCCTTGACATCGGTGGCGAAACCAACGACGGCCTCTCTGGCAAGTTGCTTGAGGTCCTTTGATGTGATGGATCTAGGGATGTTACGGACCGAAAGACGTGTCAGACTCAAATGCAGAGAAGGATTACTCTCAATCAGAGTCTTTCTCTGCTTGGCACTGGCTTCTCTCATGGTTCTCTCAGACGGAGGAAGTTGCTCGTAAAGAGGTGAGTTTGAGGGGATGGTTCCCTCAGAAAGCAAGTATAGGCGTCTTCTGTCAGTGTCACGCTTGAAACGGTTGGCGGCACCCTCCTCGGTGAGACGATTGGCTTCGTTCTTGTTGACAGCACGGGAAACCTGCAGGACACGTCCATCCAGAGTGAACTTTCCAGTGGGGTCGGCGTCTTCGTTTTGCAGGACTGAGTGGGTCATTTGGATGGAGCCATCCTTGGCTTTGGGGTCGTTCAAACGGGGAGGCTGGTGTCTGGGGGCGTTCTTGAGAACGTTGTCGGCATCATCCAGTTCGTAGAAGCAGACAAACCCGGTACCTCTGGGGCGCTCGGTTTCTTGATCAACAACAATTCTTGCGTAGCGGACTGAGCCAAATTGGGTGAAGTGATCCTCGAGATCCTCGTCTGTGCATGAGAAGGGCAAGTTGCGGATGAACAGGGTCGAAGAGTTGTCCTCTGTTCTCGGCTTCATGTCCTCGTCTTCATCGTCCATGTCATCCATGTCCACGTCCTCGTCGTCCTCATCAGAGCCCGACTCGTCATCGTCCTCGTCCATGATATGTTCGCTGGCGCCGTCAACGGCGTCTTCATCTGTGGCATCTCCATTGGCAGTTTCCTTCTCTTTGGTCTCCTCCTGGGGAGTGTTGTCCCAGGTCTCCTTGTCAACAGCCCAATCAACTGCCAATTGTCTTCCGTCAATCTCCTTTCCGTTCACACCCTCGATAGCCTTCTCAGCATTGGGTCTGCCACGCATGATGACGAAACCGAAACCACGGAGGAGGCCAGTCTTGCCCTTGGGAAGGACAGTGTGCTTGACCTTTCCGTAGCTTTGGAACAGCTTGGCCAGTTGGTCCGGGTACTTGATACTCCAGGGAAGGTTGCGAACAATGAGTCTCGGGACTTGAGCGGCAGCGCGCTCCTTGGCTTGAGATTCCTTGAACTTCTCGCCAGCCGAGGGAACAGCAGCGGCGCCCTTCTCACGGTGTCTGGGCTCGGCGACCTCGCAGCGCAACTTCTTGCCATCAACAGCGAATCCATTGAATTCTTCCTTTGCCTTTTGGCAGTCCTCGGCGTCGGCGAAGGTGACGAAACCATAACCCTTGCACTTCTTTGATTCCTTGTCGGTGACGGCGACGGCGTGCTTGATGGGGAACGAAGCGGAAAAGATCTCGGTCAAAGACTCGGAGGTTGCAGAGTCGGGCAGCGAGCGGACGAACAAAGAGCGGCGCTGGGCGGCGGCTTCGAGCTCGCTTTCCTTGGATGCGTCCTTGGTGACAGCATTGCTCTCGACGGCTGCCTCGGTTGCGTTTTCAACAGCGGCCTTGACTTCTGCGGCGTCCAGAGACAAACGTTGCTTCTTGCGTGGGGGTGTCATGATTGTCTATGTTGTTGTATGGAATAGTTATTTCAGATTTCAAAAAAAAAGTGCAGCAGCAGCAAACAGGGCCCAACTGAGACTTTCTTTCCGAGGCAAGTCTGTGCTGCTTTCCACTCCCGCCTCCACACCGCCTTCTGCCATTCGACCCATCACCCCAATCTACAGATTGCAATCTTCCAAGTTTATGAATTCTCAAAGAGCAACATGTCGAAGGAACATCTTCAATCCAGCTGTAAATGATATAATAGGTGTTATGGTCAAGCCACCTCAACTTTGGTAGAACTCGATAGCTACGTCAATCTGGACGCGAGTACCTTCCCCTTTGAGCATGTCCAGCCGAAACTGCTTGCGATAGCCGAACATTAATCGACCTCTGTCACCACTTTGTATGGCTATCTAACTTGTGCTACTAAGTCTTTATATATTCCCTCGTGCGAGCCAAAGGTCTGGTTCTACCACCCATTGTTGCCTCTTTCTCCACAATGCTTTCCACACTCTCAATCTTACTACTTGCTTCGGCTGCTGCTGGACGGGACATTGCTTTCCCACCTGTGGCAGCATATCAATCTCCCATGATGCACAGCTTTGGGCATGAAGAGATTGATATCACTGGAGCCAAGTTCGCAGGACTCACGACGTTTGCGAATCTGCCTTACGTGCATTGTCTCGACAAGGATGGCTTCGAGAAATATGACATTGCCATCCTGGGAGCTCCATTCGACACTGGTGTGACTGCGAGACCGGGTGCCCGATTCGGACCAAATGGCATCAGAACAGGATCTCGTCGCATTCATCCGGACTCGGCATGGAGCATCTACAGTGGAAACAATCTATTCAAGGAATGGGCCACCATTGTCGACTGTGGGGATGCTCCCCTGACCGTGCTGGACAACACTGTGGCTTTGAAGCAGCTCGACACAGCCCACAGAATCATCTCGAGCCGACCAACCAACTCGACGGACTACACTGTACCGAGAATTGTAACCCTTGGCGGCGACCATACAACGACTCTATCTGCTTTGAGGTCTACGATCAAGCATTGGGGCCCAGTAAGTGTCATCCACTTCGACAGCCACATCGACACATGGGATCCCGAAGTGCTCGGAGGAGGCGTCTCGCACTATGCGGGCGTCAACCATGGCACTTTTCTGCACATTGCACACGAAGAAGGCCTGGTCAGAAACACCTCAATCCATGCAGGAATCAGAGCGCCAGTCATGAACAAGAAGCATGATGTAAGGAACGACCGACGCTGCGGGTTTGAGATGATCAAGGCCAGGGATATCGATAGACTCACACCCCAAGGAGTCATTGACAAGCTGAAGCGCCGCGTCGCTGGGACGAAGGTTTACATATCTGTTGACATTGATGTTCTTGACCCTGCATTCGCGCCAGCAACGGGCACAGCAGAAGTCGGAGGTTGGACTACGAGAGAACTTCTCACAATCCTTGATGGATTATCAAGTCTGCATGTCGTTGGAGGCGATGTTGTCGAAGTGGCACCCATCTATGATAATCCTGGAGAGCCGACCACTTTGGCAGCATCGGAGGTCGTCATGTCTTTGCTGCAGTTGATGGTGGACAATCCAGTTAGAGCGGATTCAGGCCCGTTGTGAATTGTACGGTAACCAAGCAGATAATCGGCCATCGTGCTCGGGTGTTTACGCTCAGAGAACCATCACTAAAACCCAACTGATTGAATTTTGCCGCGAGTCGTTGTGTCCTGATGTCATGTTCTCAACCTCTATTTTGCAGAGCTGTCTGGCTGGAATGTCCCTTCCAGATACTATGCTGAACGTCACTAGCAAGAATGTGATTTAGAAAACAGGCCGTTGGATACTAGTAAAAGAAGCTTTCGATTTGTGCTTGAGGGTGATGGTCTTCGATATCTTGAAATATCAGATCAACGTTGTAAAATGACCGTGCTTGTTCCATTGTGTTCGCTATGTATATCAAGATCGCAAAAGTGAAGCAGGGGTATACGATGTGTAAGCTTTAAGGCTTCTTGCCAGTCAACAAAGCCTCGGCTTCCTTGTCCCTGACATTGGTGCTTCCAGATCTTTCGCTGGCCTGGAGCTCTTTCGGAGCATCAGCGGACTCGGCCGTCACGCTCTTACGAGCAGCTTCTTTCAGGCGGGCAGTGTCAGACTCTCTGGTATCCTTGGTCTTGGTCTCCTTCTCGTCATCGCTGTCACCCAGACTAAAGGGGTCGTTCTCTTCGGACTCAGGATTGGGAGCAATCGAAGTCAAAGGCTGCCACTTGGCTGACTTGGAGGCACCACTAGGAGAGGGTTGACGTTGGTTCCTTCGGTCTATGGCGTCAACCTCGTCTACCGGACCGGATTGAGGTGGGGCGACATTGGCCTTGAAAAGGTCAGGGTTGGCGAGAGGGCGATTGCGCGAGGACGAAGCACGCGAAGGAGCCTCATCGTCGCGAAGTTCTAGAGCAGTAAAATCGTCGTCCAAGACGCGGTTGTCCAAGTCGTAGCGATCCTTGTCTGTGCTCTTTCTGCTCACATCGGCCGATCTGCGGATACCATAGAGCTGCTCGGACTGCGAGGGACCATAGTTCTGCCTGCGAGGTGGGCTATCCTGCCTGGTCGGACCGGCATACGGGTCGTCGTTGTCCTCTCCGTCCAGCTTCTTTCTGAAGTCAGTGATCCATCTGTTGACCTTTGTTTGCGTCTCCAAGAAGCCCTTGCGCACGTTCTCTTTGATCTGGGGTAGGTCATCTTCGAGAAAGTCAGCTATGTTCATCAGACATGGTTCTCGGCAGTGGTCTGAATCATACCATCAAAGAAGCTGTACTCTCGGTCATCCTCAGCAAGGCCTGGACGCTGCTGCTGTCTAGGGCGGTTGGGCAGAGGCGGGCCGCGATCATCCTCGTCTCTCATAGCACGCTGAGGACGAGATTCAGACTGGAAGTGTTGAGCGAGCTGACGAGCGTATTGCTCGTCGGCATCAAGCTGTCGCTGAGCCTGAGTAGGTCTCGGGGGACGCGGTGGGGGAGCCTCCTCGGGTTTGAAGTCTGGGTCGGACATGGCTGGCGAACAGTCAGAGTAGGTTCGTAAGCAGGGTTCAAAGGGAGAGCTTGCCTAGAAGAGCGTTGAAAGCAGGTTCGACATTGCCACCGCTTGCTATCAAGACGGCGCGGATGACCTTGGCGTCGATTGTGGGAAAGGCCTCCTTGAGGGTCTTCTCGTTCTGAGATTGGGGACTCAGAGGGCGGGCGGGCTTTGATGGAGCATCTTCGTCCTCGACCTCAACGAAGCTGACCTGCTTGGGCGTAGGGCTTTTGATGGGTCGGCTCTCGTCGTGGTCATCGTCGAAATCGAGCTCGCGAGCCGTGGTCGGTGATTCGGCGCCGGCTTTCTGTTTCCCAGTCGTGTCAGCCTATATCGGATGGCTTGATGCATGTTACCTACAGGCTTCTCTGAATGTGAGCCGTCAGACATGTTGGCGTGTTCACTGTGTTTGATGTGTATTGCAAGTGTCGAGATGGGCTCCAGCCTGCTGTTGTGGAGGGGGAGCTCGTTGGACCCTGTTTCAAATCACCCACAATTTTACGATGTCATTGAATCATTCGCTGCCCATCCGTCATCAACATCAATAATTCCCGTCACAAGCCATGATTGTCTGATCAAATACACGACATCATGGGCGACTTTGATCTGTCCAGGGAATTCATTCCCGCCCTTCACAAACCTTCCTCCTTGCTGCCCATCGCCCGTCATCGCAAAAGCCTTCTTTACCTGGTAGAGACATATCCTGTGGTCATTGTCGTTGGCCAGACTGGATCCGGTAAAACAACTCAGATTCCTCAGTTTTTGCATGAGGCAGGATGGTGCGGAAACGGCAAAATGATTGCTGTCACTCAGGTGGGTGAGTACATGTATTTTGCTATTATCCTCCATGACACATACTCACAGGAAAATTAGCCCCGTAGGGTTGCTGCAACTACTGTGGCCGCAAGAGTCGCCGAAGAGATGAGATGCAATCTTGGCCAAGAGGTATCAATCGTCTCTCTTATTTGTGCTGACTAGAGACTGACCACTCTTTACAGGTTGGATACTCGATTCGGTTTGAGGATGTGACCTCAGCGGCCACAAAAATCAAGTTCCTGACAGATGGTCTCTTACTAAGAGAGGCTCTTGTAGACCCTCTACTATCGCGCTATTCTGTCATCATGGTGGACGAAGCCCATGAGCGTTCCCTCAGCTCGGACATCCTACTCGGCGTCTTGAAAAAGATCAGGAAACGCCGACCAGACTTGAGAATAGTTGTCAGTAGTGCAACCCTGCAAGCCGAAGATTTCCTGGACTTTTTCGTTCGCGACGAAAGTGTCCCAGAGGATGCAGCCAAGACTGATGAACCTGGTGGTGATATTGGTCGCATCGTCAACCTTGAAGGCCGCATGTTCCCCGTTGACATCCATTATCTGACCGCTCCTGCTGAGGACTATGTGGAACGCGCCGTACAGACTGTATTCGACATCCACACACAAGAGGGTGAAGGAGACATACTGATCTTCCTTACTGGTCGCGAGGAGATCGACACATGCATGTCCATGATCGCTGACCGCATCCCTTCACTACCGAAGGGATCACAGGCGCTTCAGCCGCTACCGCTGTACGCCGGTCTGTCGACCGAACAGCAAATGTATGTTTTTGAGCCCGCGGCAGAAGAAACTAGAAAGGTTATCGTCGCTACAAATATCGCAGAAGCTTCAGTCACCATATCTGGAATCGTCTTCGTCATCGACTCTGGTTTTGTCAAGCTAAGAGCTTTCAACCCTCAAACTGGCATCGAGACTCTAACAGCGACTGCGGTGTCCAAAGCCGCAGCGACTCAGAGAGCTGGTCGAGCTGGTCGTACAAAACCTGGAAAATGCTATCGCCTGTACACGGAGGCTGCATACAACTCTCTGGAAGATGCTTCTGTACCCGAGATCCAAAGAAGCAATCTTGCGCCTGTCATCTTGCAACTGAAATGCTTGGGTATTGACAACATCGTCCGCTTCGATTATTTAACGCCACCGCCATCCGAACTTGTTGTCAGAGCTCTGGAAATGCTATACTCTCTTGGATCGTTGGATGACTACGCAAGACTGACAAAACCACTGGGCACTCGTATGGCAGAGCTGGCTGTGGAACCCATGATGGCAAAGGTTCTACTTTCGGCACCAGACTTTGGCTGTCTCAGTGAGATGTTGACAATCGCTGCTATGACGACTTTGCAGGGTGCAGTGTGGTTCACACACGATGGCGAGAAGAAAGCAATGGAGTCCTCAAGGTGGAAATTCGCTGTTGCAGAAGGCGATCATCTGACAATGCTCAACGTGTATCAGGCCTTTGTCACAAAAGGTAAAAAGGAAGCATCATGGTGTCGCAACCACCATCTCAACTTCAAGAGTATGACAAAAGCTGTCAGCGTCAGAAACCAGCTCAAGCGATACATGGAACGATTCGGCGTCAACGTGGATGAGAGCTTGAGCTCGAAAAGCGTATTGACGGTAGGAGGACCAGATAAAGCAGAGCAGATTCGACGATGCTTGACATCAGGTTACTTTGTGCATGCTGCAAGAATGCAGGCGGACGGAACGTTTCAGACAGTTGATGGTAGTATGACACTCCATGCCCATCCTAGCTCTTTGATGTTTGTAAGTGCCAGAGTCATGAATTGCGCCTTTGGTCCACCACATTGCTAACCTATTCGACAGAACCGCAAGGCAGATTGGGTCATCTTCCACGAAGTGATGCAAACAGGAGACAAGACATTCATCAGAGACATTACGAAGATTGAAAAAGATTGGCTCACAGAGTATGCGCCGATGTATTACCAGATACGCAAGTAGCAGATTGAATTGCGGAGCAACACTTAGCGTCGTGTATTATACCCTCTTCAAACTGCCTCCTGTTGTCCTGGGTCCAAGTGATTACATGCCATTTCCACCTCCTCCAGCACCTCCCAGACGACTGCCCACCTCACCTCTAACTCCAGAGACCATCTTGTGGTCGCTCGGATTTGCGGCAGCCTCATACATGAAGTTTATAGGCTCACGGTTGAGAGCCATCCACTCGCCCTTGAAGCCCAGATATGATATACGCGTCTCGTCCTCATCGCCTCTTCCCCAATTATCCTCGAAGAACAGGTCGAGTGAGCGGACAGTGTTGAACAGGGCACGTTTGACAGGGACTTCTTGGATATCGTTGGTCTGCGACAGCGACAGCGTCTGTGTAGGTTGAACCTCTGAAGCGGTTCCGAAATCGAGGTCGTCGCGGTTGATGAAGAGCTTAAGCGTGAGCGGCGCGGAGTCGGTCTGCGATGTGCGAATTATGACTGAATGAAGACGGATCTGGGCAGTGAATCTTGTTCGATATATCGTCAATGTTTGTCTCACAAAGAGTTGGCGACGGGTGTGGCATACGGGATGTGCATCAATAGTTGTTCATCGGCATCGCTGCAGAGCTCGGGCTCGGGATTCAGTCGCTCGTCCCAAGTCTTTTTGCAGATTTTGCTTCCGGAGCCTGAGGAGCTTTCGTTCAATGTGTTGATGGCGTCGAAGTCGATCTGTTTGTAGAGGCTGTTCTGCAGGGCTGGTGTGACGTCGTCTGAGTGGTCGTGGGCGCCGTGTGAATGGCCGTGTCCGTGGCCGTGGCCTTCATGTTCGTCGTGGCAGTGTGACATGGTGCTTGTGTTGTTTTGATGCACTGGGGGTGGATTGCTTCACATGTTCGCGGTTGGAGTTGGCTCCAAGTTTCAAAGTCGGAGCTCGCCCATTCATGTCATTGGTATGCACGTCCGTGCGTCATAGCCAACAAGGTGATTACAAGATCAAGAGAGTCATGCATGAAGGAAAAAACAGACTATTGGGTATTGAACATATGTAAAACCAACAAAACCACCGTTATGCAATCATTGCGTGTCTCATGCCTCATGTCTTATGCAAGTATAGGCTCGGCGCCATTCTCCGTCTCTCGCTCTCTTGCTCGCCTTGCCGCTCTTTCTTTCGTCGTCTCTTTGGGCGCGTCCGTGGGAGCATTCGGCATGGGTGCAATAACACCCTCTTCTGCTGCACTCGGCATCCTCTGCTTGTTTGCTTCTGCTGCCAGGGCCTCGAGCTCGTCTTCGACCTCGTCCTCCTCTTGGTTAGTCATTCTCGTGCCGAGCATGTCATTGATCTCCTGTCAAGCGGTCAGCCCATATGCACGGCTGATGAGAAAGAAGCGACTTGCGTTCTGGTATGCCTGTGCCTCTTCGTTCTCGCCCAAGATGAGCTCGACACGTTCGAGACCTCCCATCTCCTTGTGGATCTCTTTCAGAACCTTTGTACCTTGCTGCAAGCCAAAGACGACATCTTTCTGAACTAGGGCGAATTCGACGTCACTGGTGAGAGTCTCGAGTTGGGCCAATTGCTGGTCTGTCTTTGCGAGCAACGACTCCTGGTACTTCTTCTTCCTCAAGGCCAGGAGAGCGCGTTTCTTGTCGCCATTCCGCAAGCACTCCTTGGCTATCTCTTTCTCTCTGTTGGTAATGATGGTAATGCGCTTCTGGTACTGGTGTAGCTTATCGCGTTGGTTCTTCATGTCAAGGATAGCCCTTGGGCGGGGTCAGAAGAGCAGTCGGGCGTAGGCAGGGACATGGTGGCTAACCTATCCTGGGCGGATATCTTGGGCGTACTCGATGAATTCCCCATGGTTCGAGAGAGATGCGTGTTTCGACGGAGGCTGCTCCCAACCGAGTAAACAGGCGTGTGCCCCTCGAAGCGCCTCTGTTTGGCATGTGAATGTTGATGTCATTCGGACAATCTTCGGTCCAAAGAGGCTCTTTCTCGATGGGAAAATCATCTGGCTGGCTGGCCCAAGGTCGGTCTACCGTAGCGTGCCGCGTGCGATGCTGCCTGATTGATGAAAGAGAAAACATAACAATTACCTAAGAAACCATCTCAAGTGACAGCGCACGAGTAGAATATAGCTCTAGTGATGCACAGTTTTGGACTCGGATGTCAGCATTTCCACTGAGACCCCGAAAACACTTGGGTGCTTCGACGATCCGCAGCCCCACATCTGAGCTGCTTCCTGAAAAAAGTTCCGTCAACGAGAGCAACCACCCAAACTGTCGCAGTCGCTCCAATCCTCGCCAGCCAACCATGCCTGGACGGCCGTCCTCTCGCCTTCGCCAAGGCCTCGACAACGAAGTCTATCAGGCTGTGACTCACTTGCTGCAAGATTCCACAAACAGACCAGACGTGCGCAGTCTATATCAAGCCATCCAGCGCTCCAACTCGAGTCTGAAACGCAAGCCGAAGCGAGCCCTCGAAGACAGTCTCGAGCGCATTCTGGACACCTTGGAAGACGACGCTCAGGAAGACGAAGAGGCCGAAGCCGACAGACTCGCAATCAAAGAAGAGGAACCAAACATCATGAATAAGAGCATTACTGGTTCGTGGAAGATTGCCCCGGTCACTGCTCCGGGCACCCCTGCTGCCAACGGCACTACCACTACAGAGATCAAAAGAAGGGAAGCAAATGGGGAACCCGTCAAGAAGCGTATCAAGCGTGAAAAGAACGACGAAATCGACCGCTCTCCACCCACTGGCATCGCTCTCGAGGACTTGGGTGGTGTCAACGATGTCAAGCGTCAGCTCATGAACCTCCTAACTCTCCCTCTTCTCCGCCCTCAACGCTATGCCGATCTCAACGTCCCTCTTCCTCGTGGTATTCTTCTTCACGGCCCTCCTGGATGTGGTAAATCCATGCTGGCAAGAGCAAGTGCTGCAAAACTCGGCGTTCCATTCATCGAGATTGCCGGTCCGTCCGTCGTCTCAGGCATGTCAGGAGAGTCCGAAAAGCAAATCCGCGATCGCTTTGACGAGGCTCGCAAACACGCTCCCTGCCTCATCTTCATCGACGAGATCGACGTTATCGCCCCAAAGCGTGAAAGCTCGCAGAGTCAGATGGAGAAGCGTATTGTTGCCCAACTCTTGATCAGTATGGACAGCTTGGCTCTCGACAACAAGGAAAACAACGGCAAGCCCGTGATTGTGCTTGCAGCAACCAACAGACCCGATACTATCGATTCTGCTCTACGACGAGGTGGTCGCTTCGATACTGAAATCAACATGGGTGTGCCTAACGAGCCTATGAGAGAGAAGATCTTGCGCACTCAGACGAGAAATACACCTATCTCTGACGACGTTGACTTTCCTAGACTCGCAAAAATGACGCCTGGTTTCGTGGGTGCCGATCTGAGGGATCTGGTGGGTAAAGCCGCTACTTGGGCCATGGACCGATACCAAGACGCCTTGATTAGACAGGTGGAAGCAATTGACGAAGACATGGAGCTCGATGATAATCAGGAGCCTAACGTCGATGAACTCTGGGACCGCCTGGTCATTCGCGCGAGAAATACCGAGATGGAAGAGCCCGAGGGCTTTGAAAAGACCATCATTCCCATGGAAGCGTTCCTGACCGTACTACCTACCATCACCCCCTCTTCCAAGCGTGAAGGTTTCGCGACGATACCGGACACTACATGGGAAGATATTGGTGCGCTCACAAGTGTTAGAGAGGAGCTTCAAACGGCCATCGTAGAGCCTATCAAATCTCCAGATTTGTATGCTGCTGTCGGTATCTCAGCACCTACTGGTGTATTGCTCTGGGGTCCTCCTGGTTGTGGTAAGACATTGCTTGCCAAGGCAGTCGCAGCCGAGTCTAAGGCCAATTTCATAAGCGTCAAGGGACCGGAGCTGCTCAACAAGGTAAGACCGCTTCCTACACCTGAGTCAATAAGTATCCTGTCGCAAGGCACAAATTATTCGTGGCGAAGGCTTTGTCCAGTGAGAGCTGTCGATTGCTCTTGGATCTGCCTGCTCTCAGTGGACCTCTCTTTGATGCGAGCCAGTTTCTGCCTTGCGACAGGAGATTTATTGGCAGTATTCGACTGGGAATTCGATATCTTCACATTCACGCGTTATTTGATTTCGTCAGCTGACTGTTATATATAGTACGTCGGAGAATCAGAGCGTGCAGTGCGTACGCTCTTCAACCGTGCTCGCTCCTCTGCACCTTGCGTCATCTTCTTCGATGAACTTGACGCGCTTGTGCCACGCCGTGATGACTCGCTGTCAGAAGCTTCTGCACGTGTCGTCAACACCCTGCTTACAGAGCTGGACGGCCTGTCTCACCGTGCTGGTATCTACGTTATTGCAGCTACCAACAGGCCCGACATCATCGACGAGGCCATGATGCGCCCTGGTCGTCTCGAAACCAAGATCTACGTCGGTCTTCCTGGCACGGAAGAGCGCGTGGAGATCCTGAAGGCACTGATCCAATCCAGAGCCAAGGATGGCAGAGCTGGTGTCTGGCCCGCAGGTATCGAAGAAATTGCTCGCAACGAGAAGTGCAATGGTTACTCTGGTGCCGATCTCGAGTCACTGCTGCGTCAAGCTGGCCAGCACTGCCTGAAGCGCAAGGACAACAAGGTTGCCTTGGTTGACTTCGAGTACGCTATCAGTGTCGTGCATAAGAGTGTCGGAAGCATCGAGAAGTACGAGAAGCTGAAGAAGAAGTTCGCTAGTGGCTTCTAGGACTGTATGATGTACTCGAGTAGTTGATTTTACGTATACCCCAGTAGTGCTTTGAGATTTCTCACTTCAATGATAGAATGCTTACCTTTTCGATAGCAATTGCAGCATCGCGCGTCTACAGCTGTATCGTTCCTTACAATACTCCATTTGAGGGCTTTGAACATTCTGACTGAGGCATACTCCGTATTAACAGGTGGCTCTTGGCGCTGAATCCTTCGCCATGGATTTTCCTCGTTCCTTCCTTAATGAAAGATCGACGCGCATATTGGCTTCTAGGCCGGTGCCAGCCAATTGTTCCGTGTATCTCTCTCCACTCTGGATTGTTTTGATCTCAAATCGTGCCGCTACTGCACACAGACGCACCCGTGCTGTGAATTGGAGCAGTCTAATTATGGCTTCAAGATTTGCTGTTGGAGCTTTGGAGCTTCCTCTCTCCCCTTTTTCGTCCCAGTGCGCTCTCCACTCTCTGATTGTGGCAGCCTAAACCAAGTGCAGTGCGACAGGAAATACGGAGGCTTGATACATCACCCAATCCCTCGGTTGCAGGATGCTGTCGTCGATGTCGTCGCCCCGAGGTCATGCGACCGTACGATGGCAGTACATTTCGAGTGGATACAGCACGTACTGGTATGTGAAATCTGTGCTTCGCTGGATGTCCGTCGTCGCCGGTCTCGCCGCCTTGATCATCATCGGCGTCTTGTGCGGTAGTCATGCAGCTGCTTCGGGCACTTCATTGCTTGACATTGATCCAATACTATTGATCGTTGCCGTAAGATAATAGCCTCAAACTATCCGGTCTCAACCAATTTGCTTACTGTTCTGATAGCCACTATTATCATTTATCACCAGTGTCTTTGCAACCACGCTATTGTTCAGACAACGAAGGAACAGTCTAATCAATCCTGGCTGGTTACTGGCTGGAGACCTCTTCAATGCTTTGTTCCTCTTAGTGATCCTAGCTTTGAACAGGTCGGGCGATTCTTACTACTGGTCATATTCTGACTTCAGTGGCTCCGGCATTGCAGCACTGATGGATGCTCCGTGGGGACTCAATCTTGCACTCGCCATCTTGCACGGCATTCTGTTTTTGCTTGACACATGGGAGGTCAACATATACCGAAGAATGATGAGGGAACAGTGTGAGGATGCCGACGTAGAGGACCTAGAAACCGGACCCTCTGCTTCCAAATCTGGCTTCGTTGAGCCCCATGCTGTGTCTGAAGATATCGAGCTACAGTCGACTACTTCAGCACATTCTCCGAGAGACGAATTACCGCCCTCGACTCCCCCAGTCCAAAGCCCGGATGCAATGGTTGGAGTCCCAGGCACATTGCGGGTCGAATTACCCGACGGACGCATCCTGGAGTTGCCTGAAGGATGCCGTGTAGAGCTGCCTGCTGAGCACCGAGTCGAGATGCCCAACAATTCTTTGAGGATCAACACACGGCCGTTTGAGCTGGATGCGACATCAACGGCGTCGACTCAGTGGTATAACAGTCCATCTATCGCTCCGTCGTACAAGACGCGAGACTGGAATGCTAGTTAGGTCTAATTAACGGACACTATGCTTCGATCTCAAATTATGAATACTCCTGAGAACGCTCGCCTTACGCTTGTGTCGATATCTTCCCGGTTCTGATAGATTTTGTGAGGTATGATATCGTCCATGTCAATGAGTGACCCTGGCCGTGTGGTTTTCACCATAGCCGTGAAATGGTTTGAACGTCAGCAAGTTCAAATAAACAAACTGGACTCGACCGAGCACATTGATGCGTCATCATAACGACGTGATATTCAGAATAGTGCCTGCGTGATGCAGATAAACGAGAGCATCGTTGGTGCCGGGAATCCATCGACAGCTCAATGTCTGCAAGTCAAACTCCAAGCAGAATTGCCTCTGTGTGCGATCTTACATTGGTATCCAAAATCCTTCTGAGCCTACATAATACCAGTGTACGCTTATTACCAACGTTAATGGACTTCAAAGCTCGCGTAAGAGACTTTACGTCGTCACAAACACATATGTGACGTGTGCTGACAGGGCAACCCTGATCGTGTGGTTTGCGACAACCGATCAGACCCAAAAGATCAACGTGTTGAACAGCGTGTTACTTGGAGCAGCTGTGTCATGCAGGAACACCACACAATTCAAGCTATTAATAGAGCACGAACAAAGAAGTGCGGGAGAGGAAAGGATCAGGAAATAGTTTTGACATTAGAAAAAGAGAAAAATAGACACAAGAAAGATATCTAATGGTTAGATGGCAGGTACCACGGACCCTTCTTGTCCCTGAAGACCTCTTGCTCTGTTCCTCCACAGACATCTTCATATCTCCACCAGAATCTGGTTTCGTTTCTGGCACCGCCCTTCCAGTCCTCTGCGCTCCACCATTGGCGGCGAGATGCAGCATCGTAGCCGGAGATGGCAACAGGACCAATGGGCGATTGGACGTGCACGTCGAACATCTTGCGACCGTACTTCTGGTACCAAATGTTGGACCACCATGATTCGCGCAGGGAGTCGGTCTTGTAGTTGTTGATGTCGTGCTGAATGATGGCTGGGGTGACTCCGGTCCAGACGTTGGTGAGGAGAGAGACATTGGTCCAGGGTGTAGAGCGAGAAGGAAGGGTCTCGTGACTGTAGGTCCAGAAGGGAGGCAGAGATGCACCAACGTCGGGGCCAATGTTGCTGATGCGGCTATCACTGATGCCGTGCTTCGCATTGGCTGCGTGTACCGAAGCCGAATCGCCAAACTTGACCCATTCCATGTCTCCGTCAGCATGGGCGGCTTCAAATGCAAGTCCGCTGGCATAGTCAAGACCAATTCCGAATTCTCGTGAGAGGTCAGTTTCCTTCAGCTGCTGTGCCTGTCTATCTGCTACAGCGCTCGGGCTCTCCCAGAAAGAGGATAGCCATGCGGAGAGGCCTTGGAAAGCTGAACCAGGCTTCGCCTTGTGCGATTCTCTGGCCATCTCTTGCTCTGCAAAGATCTGTCCAAGCACCTTGCCACCCTCTTGAAGGTGCTCATCACCCATAGCGCGCTTCGCAGCTTCGGCGTAGAGCTTGCGCATGGCTCCTAGAGGGCCAATTGCAAAGCCAGGGCTGATGTAACGTGGGCGGTGCTTCGTGAAGCGATCTTGCTTCTCGCCAGCTTCAACATCGGTCAAGGGTCCGTAGATATCCTTGGGAAGAGATGACTCAGGAACGACAGAGCAGGCAGGATCCTCTGCATTCCATGGTGAGCAGTCCCGCTGAGCACCGAAGATGATGGTCTGGTGAATCTTCAAGGTATCGGCCATGATTCCGAGTTCCTTTCTGATACGTGCATCTGCATTTCTGTTTGATTCGAAATAACGGTCAAGCAGTGTCTGAGGGCGCAATTGAAACCAAGTGTTCAAACCATCAGCAATGACAACCAGATCCTCATCACGGGTTGCGGAAATATTCCTGAGATGCTTGTCGATGCCAAGAATACTGGTCTTTTGTGAAATGCGCTCGGCCAAGTCCAGAGTGGAGTCGGTGTTCTCGTGTTTGTTCTTGCCCTCGAATCCTATCAACATGGGTTCAGGATAATTTAGGATGGCACCGCTAAGAATAATTTTGCAGAAGTTGGCGTCAGCTTGCCTCGCCGGATAGACCATCCGGAGATAAGCTGGAGGCAATGTCTCTTTGAGTGAGACTGCAGGTTTGGTAGATTTACGCCCCTATCTTGTTAGATTGTCGTGACCGAAGGGAAAGGATTCGAAGTCAGTCACATACCGAAGTCAGAAATAGAAAGATCGTCAGCAAGAACGCAAGAGTTATGATCACCGGTTTGGCATGTCGTGAAGATCGCTTGTTGGTGTGTTCCTTCTCGAATCCATCCTCGAGGTCAACACGCTCGTAATCCGGACCATTGCCTTGCCACAGGCTTCGCTTGAGCTTACTCATGACACCTTGTGAAGACATGTTGATCCACTCGGTTGGAAGAAGGCCTGCAAGATGCAAAAGAAAAGACCAGCCACAGCGGAGAAAAAGAACGAAACTCCCAAAGAGAAGACGGAAAAATCACAGAGCCCCTGGGGGCAGTTTTAATGTACAGAAGAGCAAGAGCACTCGCGAATTCCAGCGCGCGCGCGCATGTGGGAGACTGACTCCCTAAGTAGATCGTGTAGAGTGCTAGCAACGGCGCCCGGGCGAGCCACGCAGCCCACGCTCCTGCGAGTGTGAGCCGCTGCGTCTGTGCCAAAAAATGAAATATCAAGGTGCCTGTCCACGAGCCTGCCCACTGGTTGGGAGCCCCTTAAAAAAAGGTTCTCGCCATGTTCGCTAAAATTGCGAGACCCCGTTTCCCCCGATTATGCATGATTACAAGTCTATGCCTGTATCCAAGCTGAAAAGCCACTTTTTTGATAGGAAGGCCGTTCCGCAGCCCCAATAGTGGCGGGATTCAGATAGACATCGGAAGAGGGGCCATCCATGTCCGCAAAAAATATGGCCGTCTCGTACGTAAAGCTTAAACTAGGTCTGCGACCTCGAATTCTATGTAATGGGATGAAAAAGTGGTATTAAATTTTATGAAAAACAATATGACAAGACAGAAGCCCTTCAAGGGTGACGGTGAGGTCCCTTCTTCTTGATTGTTTTCCGAGGGAAGATCTGGTCCTCATAGGTCTTGCAAAGACTGGTCCATGAGTGCCATCCGCCATTGTCAGCCCACGCTCCTCCTTTTCCTGCCTCTGGGTCCTCAGACTCGATCTTGTACCACATCTTGCCTGCAATAGGCTCTTCGCTGATGGGTCGATCCGGCATCTTCAAGCTGGCCTTGCGGAGCTCCTCGCCATCTTCATAGAACCATAGCTTGTCCCACCACAACTCGCGCAACGCCTTCTCGCCGGTGAAATGCAGAGTCACAGGAGCCAAGTCGGTGACAGTGTTGACACAAAGGCTGACATCCTCCCACGACTTTGGGTATTCCACTGATGCGTTAGAGATGGATGTTGGTGGAGACGCCTCGAACGCAGCAAATGGTGTCAGCGACTTTGATATGTCTTCAGCCACCTTGAACCCGTATCTTTCTTGAGTCACATCGCCGTTCTCGTCTTCTTTGGTAGCCCAAGAGTCGCTGGGGCGGATCCAAGCCAGGAACTGTTTGTAAAAAGCCAGAGTTTGGAACATGGCCGAGAAGTAGTCGATGCCAATGTGGTACTCGGTTCTCTGACCAACGTCGAATTCGGGAATCTGGCGTGGAGGATCTTCTTCGACATGGAACTCTTCTCTGTATCTCTCCTTGCTCTGGTTTTCGAGCAGTTCACCGTCCAGAGACAAGCGTGCATATTCTTGGTCGCCAAAGACATTGGCAAAGTAGAATTGATCGGAATCGGTCGTGTGGTTGTAGTGAATCAGGTCAAGAGTAGCCTGGAAGACGTCAATCATGTCTTGGATGGGACCCATGATGGTTCCCGAGTTCAGCCATCTGGGTTCGTTGTGTGTCTCGCGCTCATCATTCTCTTCTGGGCCGAAAGCAGTCGGAGAAAGGCCGGTGTGAGGTACGGCCCAGCAGGCCGGGCGGCTGAAGTCGATGGGCCAACAAATCTTATCGGGACCGAAGATGACAGTGGTACGGTGATCGCCCCTGTCAAAAGCATCCTGACCATACGCTTGGATGGTCCTCTGATCGAGGTTGGCATTCATCTCGAAGTATCGCTTGAGCAAGACATCTGGTCGCAACTGGAACCAGACGTCGTATCCGTCCAAGATGAGGACCAAGTCATCCTCCTTGCTAATGGGCTTCAGCCTCTTGAGATAAGCCAGAAGAGTCTCGACCTTGGCAAGATGTTGCTTGTAGGGGTTGGCTTCTTCATGTGCGCCCCAGTTGATCAAGACGGGAGTGGGATAGTCGAGAATGGTGGAAGAGAGGAGCAGCTTGCAGAAGTCTCTGTTGCTACTCGTCGCCGGGATGAGGTAGTGGAGACCAGCCTTGCCGCTGCTGCTTGACGATTTCGAGGACGTGGAGGATGTAGAGGATGCAGGTTTCTGGTTGCATGGTTAGCAGACGAAAGTAGGCTGAGGTCAGGATGACACGTACTGTGCTGCTAATAGAAGAGACCAGGCCACTGACAGAGTGGGATGTCGTGTGTGTAAACAGCGTAATTAGAGTTACGAGGACGACAGCAAAACCAAAGATCCACCTCGGCTTCAGGATAGAACGACCAAAGTCATTGACCGACAAGTCAGACCTTGACAGGGCCGGGATAGCCATGGTGACGACGAGAAGAGAAAAAAAGGTCGCGCGCTCTCACAGGCGCATAGATTCGAGAAGAGTATGGGTAAATGCAAGCAAGGGATCACGGCGGATTGTGGATAAGCGACAGAAGACAGAACGGGGGCCCCTGGCGGAAGCAACAGGAACTGCTTTCCCGAACAAAGTCAAGAAATCAGAAGATCGAGTCGAAGAAGCTTGCAGGGGCTCCCTTATCGCACGGCTACATTGCACTTAACTTGATTACTAGTAGCGGTCGAGCTGGCAGCGCCGACACTGACAAGGCCGCACAGCTGACGGCGTCTTGCGATCCATCTGCACGCTGGAAATAAAAGGAGCCACGGACGCGCGTGGCGTTATGCCCAGCACATGCCAAGTTGCTTGTCGACAAGGGCAAGATGTTGTTGTTTGCCGGGGTCCAGCTTGGAAGGGCTTACGAGTCATTCAGCACGCCATCAAAAAACTTTATGGCGACTGCCATGAGTTGGCGACTTTGTTTCCGACACGGTCAAGATTCAGCCTTTCCCGCCAAGGTTGCAGGATACGAGCATATCATGATTCTGCTTTGCTGTATATGAATCTCATCTGATGAGATAATGCCATTCGGTCACACAGTGCCGCAAATCGCTGATCGAGGCGTCGCATCATGGCAGACGGGCAAAGAATGCACTTTCACCCTGAAGCGTTTCGCTCGCCCGCCAGCTGAGAAGGTCAACTGGTCTTGACAAGCCCAGAGTCCCCTTTCCCGGCGTCAAGCATTGGTCAATTCCAAAACCCGGCTCTTTGTACAGAAGGAATCTTGTCCCGCGGCGGGGGCTACACAGACCGTCTCCCACTGGAGCCTCTCTTGTACAGGGCGAGTAGGCCGATCACAAACGGGCCCCCCTGGTTCCAAGTTTCTCCGTCTGCAGCCTGTCCTCGGCCCTGCAGCCATGGGCCAAGGCGGCGCGTCCCTCGCTTCAAGGAGACATCTCCCTATCGGTTTCCTGTTAGTGCTGCCCATATTGCCCAAGGATACTTAGTCTTTTTCGTCGTGCTTGAAACATTCTCTCCTTCATCACTCTCACTTCTTGTCTTTTCACATTCTTTCCATTCCAGCGTTAACACTCTACACGATGGCTCCTGTAAAAAGCGTTTGCTTTATTGGCGCCGGCTTCGTCGTAAGTTAATCTTGCTTGAATACGAGCTGCCACGAGGCGATCTACCGAGCATGGCTGACATGCTCCTTTAAATGCAGGGCGGCCCCAGTGGTGCTGTACTCGCTCTCAAGAACCCCGACGTCGAGGTCAGCGTTGTCGACCTGAGCGAAACCCGCATTGCAGCATGGAACTCCGACGCCCTCCCCATCTACGAGCCCGGTCTCCTCCCTGTCGTCAAGGAGGCGCGTGACGCCGAGGTCCGCCCTCAGAACCTCTTCTTCACAACCGACGTCAAGGGAACCATTAAGCGCGCAGACATCGTCTTCATCTGTGTCAACACCCCCACCAAGACTGCCGGTATTGGCGCTGGAAAGGCCCCCAACATGGCCTACTTCGAGTCTGCCACCCGTATGATCGCCGCTGAAGCCGAGAGCGACACCATCATTGTCGAGAAGAGTACCGTGCCCTGCAGAACCGCCGCCAACATGAGAGAGATTCTGAAGGCTGTTGGCAAGCCTGGCGTCAACTTTGAGATTCTGTCGAACCCTGAGTTCTTGGCTGAAGGTACCGCCGTCGCCGATCTCATGAAGCCCGACCGTATCTTGATCGGTTCCATGCAGACCCCTAGCGGCCTCGAGGCAGCAGAGGTCCTCGCTAACCTTTACGGTAGCTGGGTACCCAAGGAGAACATCCTGAAGACAAACATCTGGTCCTCCGAGCTTGCCAAGCTCGCTGCCAACGCGCTGCTGGCTCAGCGTATCAGCAGTATCAATGCCCTGAGCGCAATCTGCGAGGCCACTGGTGCCGATGTTGGCGAGATTGCCTACGCCGCAGGTTTGGACAGCAGAATTGGCTCCCGCATGCTCCAGGCTTCGGTCGGCTTCGGAGGTTCGTGTTTCCGTAAGGACGTGCTCAACCTTTCCTACATGGCCGAGACTTTGCACCTTCCCGAGGTCGCCGCCTACTGGCAATCTGTTGTCGCTATCAACGAATGGCAGAAGTCTCGCTTCACCAAGCGTGTCATCTCAACTCTATATGGAACTCTTACCGGCAAGAAGATTGCCGTCTACGGTTTCTCCTACAAGAAGAACACTGCCGACACTCGTGAGAGTGCCGCTATCTCCGTTGTCAAGGATCTTATCGCCGAGCAGGCCAAGGTTTGCATCTACGACCCTCAAGTCACCAAGGCACAGATCTGGGAGGAGCTCGATATCAATGGATGCCATCTCGCAGACGTCGAGAAGTTCGTCACCATTGCACAAAACCCTTACGACTGTGCCTCCGAGTCGCACGCTGTCATCGTCTTGACTGAGTGGGACGAGTTCTCCAACAAGGATGTCGTTCCTGCCAAGAAGAATGCCGGCGAGAACCCCCAGCAATTGCTGCCCAGCCCGGTCGCTTCTGAACACAACTCTGACAACGAGATGGACATGACTCCCGCCGACAAGTCTGCACGCGAACGCTACAACCCAAAGACTGCAGTCAAGCACGCCGAGGCACAAAACGCCAAGGTCGACTGGGAACAGATCTTCGACATCATGGAACGTCCGGCATTCGTTTTTGACGGCCGTAGAGTGATTGACGCCGGCAAGTTGCAACGGCTAGGATTCCGCGTCGAGTGCATCGGCAGAGGCAACCCATTCTAAACTCGCAAGGATTCTGGTATTCCTTTTCTATTTATTACTTCTTTTGGGCATGATCATGGCATGATTCAAAAACTAGAGGGCGCATCTGGGAATGTGGTTGGGTGGGTTTCATGTCTATACATACGTTCTTGTAATTACCATATTCAACTAATCGGCGCCATGCGCTTGAAGTCATTGAGATATACTTCCCAACATCTGCTATCGTCTACCATCGTACACGATACGTGGTTACGGTGATGCAGCCCAAGAACCCGAGATCCATGCTCATGCCGCGTACCGAGAAGCGGGTGTGGTCGGACATTTGCGTCCGTGACTGATGGATCCCGAGTGGTTTGAGGTGACCCGTTAGCTCTCGGGGTGGATGCCAGCCATGAGCGCCAACAAGCCGTGGCGTCTGCTTGTTCATGCAGCCTACAGTGAAAATAGGGCTGTCAATTCTCCGGCCTCGGCGCCAGAGGATCGGACTTCCGACTGCATACGTGGACTCGCATACTATTTCTTTGTTTCAAGTAGTAGATGTGCGATCAGCTCCCAGTGTGTGGTTGGTACTCGATAATCACGTTCCGATATATTGATAGTCGAGTAGAATTCTGGGACACGTGAATTTGCCGATCGTGGAGCTTGTTTCCTCCGCTTCCCGAAAAGTCAACTGCTTTGCGAGAAACCCTTGCAATCTCCACAGACCCCACCATGATAGGCGATATGTCAAGACATTTTCCGTGCGCAGATCCTTCACGTCTTGGCCACCGTGATGTTCATGGTCTTGTGTCGTGAGCCAACTCCTTTCAAACGGACAATAACAGACAGCTGAGATGGGACACAACGGTCAGGATTTGTCGAAACGGTCTGTCCTTGAGGTCGCAGGACGTTGCACTAAACCGTCTGTTTTCGCAATTTGACCACACTCGAGAGATGAATCCTAATTACCCCCTTGTCAACCGTCGTCTTTAGGCTGGGTGAGAGGCCTTGTTCTCAGCATGTTCGGTCGCGATTACATGCTAGGCGCACACTTGGCACCGCACGCATTTAGAGAGGGGCGGCTGCATGCGGGCCCCTTCCCTGCAACATGACTACGTAGGTCTGTGGCCGCCGTGGGAGCTTATCTGTTGATATATTAGCTAGGGTGGGCTGCCGGAGGCTTGAGCGATAGTTTTGTATTACATCGTCCTCTCTACCGGCCTCGTATTCTTCTTTCCTCTCCAATCCATTCGTCCATTCCTTTTGGCTTTGCACATACCTTGCTACCATCTGACATTCGTGGCCGGCCCCCCCTTTACAACCACAGGCATGGCTTCATTATCCGAGAAGCAACCGCAACTATCCATGGACGAGTCCGAGTATGGCGACATGCACGCAGAGCAGCGCCAGAAGCTGCTGGGTGACGACGACGTCGAGAAGCAGTCAGCCGTCGAGGAACAAACACAGGCGAAAAGCGCACAAGAGGGCGCCGAATACCTCGTATCGACCCGAGTCAAGATGATCTGTCTCGGACTCTACTTCGCCATGAACCTGGGCCTCACACTATACAACAAAGCCGTGCTCTCCAAGTTCGCTTTCCCATGGCTGATGACCACACTGCACGCCACCTGCGCGGCCATTGGATGCTATGCTCTTCTACTTGCCGGCCAGATCAAGCTGTCATACCTCACAAGGCAGGACAACTATGTCCTGGTGGCATTCTCTGTCCTGTTCACCATCAATATTGCCATCTCGAATGTATCGCTGGAGATGGTCTCTGTTCCTTTCCACCAAATCGCCCGCTCAACTTGCCCCGTCGCAACCATCTTGATCTACCGCTGGTTCTATGGCCGTTCCTACGCGAAGGCTACATACATGGCTCTGATCCCCATCGTTCTCGGTGTTGGACTCAGCACATACGGCGACTACTACTTCTCTCTTGTCGGCGCATCTCTTACTTTCCTCGGTGTCTTCCTCGCTGCCATCAAGGTAAGGACCTGAATCCATCCACGTATCTTTTCACTTTCACTGACAATTCACACAGACTGTCGCAACCAACCGCCTCCTGACTGGCAGCCTGAAGCTGCCCGCCCTCGAACTGCTACTTCGCATGTCTCCTCTTGCCGCCGCACAATCCCTCGTGTACGCGTACTGCACTGGAGAGGTCACTCGCTTTTCCCAATTCGCCTCAGAAGGTGGCCTCACCTCGAACGTTGTCCTTGCTCTGCTCGGAAACGGTATCCTCGCATTCATGCTCAACGTCACATCTTTCCAAACAAACAAGCTTGCCGGTGCCCTGACCCTGAGCGTCTGCGGTAATCTCAAGCAATGCCTTACCATTCTCCTCGGTATTGTTCTCTTCAACGTCCGTGTTGGACCCGAGAACGGTGCTGGCATGTTGGTCACTCTTCTCGGCGCTGCCTGGTACAGCAAAGTCGAGTTGAGTGTCAAGAAGCCCGCCCCGAGATCATGATTAATTCGTCCTTCTTTCCTTTGTCATCAAACAATATCACTGCATACACGAATGGCGTCTTTCTGGATCATCAAAACCTTTTCACCACACGCTTGAGAACCACCAAGCTACTTTTCAAGTTAATGTATATAACTCTTCACTTCTTTCAATCTCTTCGGCACAAATATACCGAACAAAATCTCAATTCTTGTCAGACTTTTCCAACAATGCATCAACGTGAGAATAATGAAAACACACGAGACTTGTAAGAATTCCTATTGAGAGCTTTACTAGAATACTCTTCTCTCTGATACCTCATCACCGTTATGCGTTCCCATAGCCTGCTAGCTAACCATGGTGACCACAATTATGGCGAACCTCAGCATACCGGGTAAGATGCTCCACGCGCGCAGGTAGGTATCACTCCCCATCGAACTCAGTCGTATGGACGCATCGTCTCATTGGCCTCCACCATCTCAGCAAAGCCCTCTATCTTGGTCGTGTGTGACCATGGCTTGACCTTGCTTTCCTTTCTGACAGTCGCAGCAAAGCATCCAGTCCAACCATCTCTTGGGTAAGCCTTGACAACATTCTCAATCGTCTCCTTGTGGACCAGCTCAGGATTAGCACCTGCATTGTCAAGCAAAGTTGCAAAATGGATGACGGCAGTCAGAGTGGATATGTTTCCGGTCTCTCCCACATCTTGGTGTCTGATGATGGTCTCACACACTGATTCAGCGGCAGACTGCGGAGCTCCGTTCTGGGTCAGGAGGTTCAGGGCTTGAATTCCACCTTGGAATTCGAAACTCAATTGCGTGTTTTTCATGTTGTCCTCGGTGGTGCCAATGTCGTGCAGCAAGCTAGCTAGCAAGTAGGTCTCTGGACTGTATCGCCATTCGGGAAAGTGCTGCATGGCGATGGCTTGGCCTGTAACATGTCATGTGTCAGTGATGATGTAGGTTTGCGTGACGTGGAGATCAAGGCATCAACATACCAAAGTAGAAGACGCGCATGCTGTGGCTGAAGGTTTGCTCGGGCAAGTGGTCCTTTGCATGTTTCATGATGCTGTCTACGATGGGGCTGGACGGCAGTGGCAGATCCGAGACTTGTAGGGGTGTGGCCTTGGACTTGGGGTTCTTGCGATTGGCGAGGAGCTTCTCAAGGCTTCTTGGGACTGCAGTCCAGCCATTGTCCTCGACGGTTCTTTGACATGATGGATTTGTGGTTGAAGGCGGTGAATTCACGTTTGATGCTCGGTGGCTTGGAAGGCTGTTGCTTGCAGGTGGATGAGTGAAGGAGCTGTGTTGGATGCTTGAGTAATTGAGGCTGCTGCTCTTATAGGTCTCGAGGGTCAGATGGGAAAGTTCGTCAGTACGAGACGATTCGTAATCTCTGTGCAACTGTTATGGTCTTTGACAGGGCGCGGATTTCGTCAGATGCCATCATGCCGAAAGCTACCCCACGTTAAGCTTTCACCCCGCCAGATGTTCCAGATGTTTCAGATTTCAGCCGCCCAGACGAGCGTGCCTCAGGGACAATCCTCGACTGTGCTACGGTCCCAGTACTGACTGCTGTCGATGATGGCTCCTCTTCTCCATACGCGCTTACGTTTAGCCAGACTGCAAAGACAATCAATGTATTCTTCTTGTCTAGCTCATCACTTGTACAACTTTGCTGATGTTCGAGTATCTACTCGACCTGTTCTCCGATACGCATTACGTGAGGCAGCCCTACATTCAACTGCGTGAGAAACCTAGACATAGAATAAAACTAAGAACACCATTGATAGAGTGGCTGTGAGAGTTCAACGCAACTTCTGGGCCATCGAGGATCATCAGATTTCGGTCGAAGACCGTAACGAGGACTTCTTGCAGGCAATGACAAAACCTTTCAGGCTAGCTGAATTGGGTCAGAGGTCACGAGTTTCGAGCAAACCCAGAAGACCTCTCGAGTGCAGCGATAGCGTATGTCTGGTTCCTGTCAAGAGAATTCTCTTCAATGAAATAAACTGCTTCATGAAGTCCTTGATATGATGTACATGATGCTATGGAATGATGCTCGATGGCAGACTATCGTTGAGTGACTTGAAAGCCCTTCTTAAGCTGATATCTCCCAGATTGCCAGGTTCTTGCCGGCCTTGTTCTTTTTCTCCCGCTTGCTTTGGTTCATCTCGTTCAGTTTCAACATGGTTTCGCTGGATTGAGCGAACGCAATGACTAGCTCACGCATGCGACCTGACTCCATGAAGCACTCTGCCAGGCCAGTCTTGTCGTTGGCGACGTCATTTGCCAACTCCATGCTTCTCAGCAGGTGGTCGCGGCTGATCATGTGTGCAGCGGCGCAGAGCACTGCGTTGTAAGCAAGTACGATCTCTGGAAGATACCAGTTGCGGATCTTGATCAGGTCGGCGGCTTCATCATCTGCTTTCACATCAGTTCAGAGCTACATCGTAGGTAGATGTGGATCCTGCGTACCATCTTTGGCGTGCAGGAGAATACCGCTCAAGACGGGCTCAATAGCAGCACATGTGTTCTCAAAGGCTGCCTTGACCTTTGCAGGTAAGGAGCTGGGCCGCGGGACCTTGCTAAAGCAGCAGTCAGTATATGGTTTATGGTCAAAGAATTCATCGATACTAACGTGGCATAGTCATGCTCCACCCTCCTCCAGACATTCAGAGCATCCACAGCTTTCACAAGCAGGCTAAGCTCGTAATACCCTCTGCACTGCTTCTGGAGGACGCGGAGCTTTGCGACATGCTCCACATCTTGTAGAAGCAACGAAGTCTCCTCGCGGTCCATCACATTCACGGATGTGCCCAGGATGGATCTGGATTTCGCACCGCACAGCATGTCGAAGGAGAGTTGATCAACAAGGTGAGATGCTTCTTGGAAGCATCCGCTTACTGTCAAGAGTGTTAGCATGTCGTAGAGATGAGTAGTGGCATCGTAGACTTACGCAGCAACTTTCTACAAGCATAGGCAAGAGTCTGGAATGTGATATCCCATTGGCCTTCGATGAGGTGGAAGACACCAAGATGGTCGGCAATGCCTTCGCCGCCTTGACCATCCTCGACGAAATCCAACTTGACTCTTTGACCAGGGTAGATATCCTCTTTGGAATTCTCAATGATTTTGAGGTTGCGCTGCCCGTTGGACTTGATAGGCAAGACTTCTTCCATGAGGTACTTGGTCTGTTCAATCAGTACAGCGACTGTATCAATGCCATACATAGCCATCAGCTTAGTAAAGTGCATCTTCTCCTGAGGTGTCTGTACATCGGTCATGGTCTGCGCAAGCGATTTGGTTCCACGAACAGGAGACATTCGGGCCGCGTAGACTGGCGTGAGATCCCATTTACCAGCCGCACGCAGTAGCTGAATATAGGCAGCGATGATGTTGTCGAGGGCTTGGGGATCGGTCTTGGTATCTGAAAGAGGTTCGTGGAACTCGCGAAGCATCAGAACCATGTGAGTGACGATTCTCAGAGAATCATAGTCGTTGAAAATGACGCTTTCCCGCTGGGTGTCTGGAGAGACAGCTGTACGCAGAGGGGCAATGGTTGTTGATGTGGTTTGGTACCAGGCAGCATCAGAAATGGCGGTTGCTAGATTCTTGCACAAGTCGCTGAACGTGTCAGCGATGAGGCTGCCTTGAAGCAACTTAAGGGGCTGTTGAGCCTCCTGCGAGGTAGAGGATTGCTCCATGAGCCGCCTAATCAGATTTTGAGCAACATCCTTCTGGTCGCCATGGTGCCTCAGGGAATCGAATAGAGCGAATCTGTTGGTAATGCCAGATGAGAATCTCTCCGGGAAGCTTTTCTGTAGATACTCCTCGAGCTGACCGATCAACAACGAGTTGTAGTGGGCAAAAATGCAGTCGTCCCAGCTCTGACAAACCCGCTTGACCGAGTCCAGGTCGCCGCTGAGTACACCGTAGACAGCTGCTTCATACTCATCTGTGCTTCCCCCTTGCACAAGACTGTAGCACATGCGACGCCATAATGAACCAGCGGAGGCTCCGGGAAGAGCAATGTTTGCATCCGAGTCGGAAGAAGCAGCCATGCTCACAGCACGCCAGCTCTGGTTGCGTTCAGAGCACCATTGGCAAATATCGAACCATGAATGACCACGTCTTAGCATTTCCCAGCAAGTCATCCAGAGGGCCCTTTCCGAGTATTCGTCAGCCTTTTCCAAAACACGGTATTGACGAGTGGGGGCGTCTGGGTCCAGCGAAGATACCAAAGGCTCGTTGCTGTGGGTGCGCTTTACGTCCAGGGATTCCGGCGAGGCGGTCGAATAAACGCGCATTCTCTTTGTGCCCTTGATTCTCTCGCGAGTCTCCATCCAGCCGTTGAACCAAATGCCAGTGCCTCTCCCAGACTTCTTCTCCAGCTCATCGGCAATGGCTTCGATGTCACTTTCGCCATGATTGGCAGCGGCTTGAAGCCATTTCACGACCAGATGTCGCTCTCTCGCCGAATCGTTGTCCAGTGTGAAACGTTCCCAAAGCTCGGCGTCGGATGTGTATGTGTTCTGTGTTCCTAGTTCTGCCAATCTTGCTTCCTTCTCTTGTTGACGGAGCTGTTTCTTTGGTGAATATCGTAGGTCGAGCATGATGCGGAACAAGTCCCAGGTGTCGAGTTCAGCCTGCCATTGTCTGAGGGTATCGAGCGAGGTTTGTGCGGGCATGTCGTCGTCGCCATCGTTGTGTGTCACAGGGCCTACAATGGCCGTAACACTGGAGCTTCGTATGGGAGATTGAGTGACTCTCTTGCCAAAGTCGTTCTTCATCTCATTGACGCGCTGAGCATCGTGACGTTTCTTGAGCTTCTTGACCATGCCACTTGCAAAGTCTCTGTATCCTTGGGTCAAGTCGATAGCGGCGTCGTAGGCATCCTGGCCGTGTAGGCGGTCATTGAACTTGTCGAGCGTCTCTGCGAAGTGGTCGACTTCACGGCCAACGCGATCGGCCATGTCGCGCAAAGGGTTGATTTGATCGGCAAGCTGGTTGATAGGTACTAGTGCACTTCGATTTGTGTCGCCGTTCTGCCGTGGCCGAGTTAGTGGTTTGATCGAGGTCTCAGTCGCGACGAGGAAAAGGCACCTGGGAAATGGAGTAGCCGTTGGTGCGCGCAATATCGGCAAAGGAGTTCGTGTTGGTCTGAGAGGTCTGTACAACACAAAGCGCGTCAGCTTGAATACTTGTAGCAGTACAGACTTGGTAGCTTCGATAGATGGTTACCTTGCGGTGGACGGGCTTGAATGCGCCAGAGCTGGCAGTCTTCCTCGTCACGGGTGCCATTGTTTATGCCCACAGTCAAAGTTCGAGTAGAATCAGACGCCCTGGGTATTGATATGAAATAGCGCGTCGAGACAGCTGTTTTGGCGAAGGATTGACATGTGGATTAATTGCTTGACGTCTTCGCAAACATTCACTTCGCGTTTCCATCCTGCCAAGACACCATCAACAAGCCCGACAAGACAGACAGCTCAAGCTTGCTTCAACTTCTACTCGAGTAACTTCTTGACATCAATAACATCAAAGCTATGTTTCATAATGACTAAAAGTATGCAATCTGTACAAAAATGTGGTATAAACAAAAGGAAAGCTGCCAGCTCACAGAATCATCTTTCAACATGCCTACTGCATGAACTTCTTCTTCCAGCCACTTAGTTTTCCGCGGAGTCCACTACTCTTCCTCTGTGGGATTGGGGGACGACTCTCTTGCATCGGCTGTTGCTGTCCGTTTTCTTGAGGAGCAGCAGCTGCTTCAGCACCTGGAGCAGGTTCCGACTGTTCTTCGACTGCTTCACTGGTGGTGGCAGGAGCTGTGTCTCCAGCATAGACTCTGTTGCCTCCCACAGCAATTGTGAACAGAGCAGGTGCGCCGTCGTTCACCTTGCCAGACTGATCCGCTCCACCCTCGGGCTGCACATCATCGTATGCGAATCCATATCCCTTCTTGTCGAGATTGCGCTCGTGTACGATGCGACAATAATGGTTTGTAGGATCGGTCAAGTAATAAGTGGAAGGATCCGAGGGCTGTTGAGTTTGGGTCACCAATGTGGTGCGGATGAATCCAGCGGCCAGACGAGGAATGATCGCATTGCGAGTGCCGTTAGGTCCAGTGGTAAAAGGACCACTGTTGCAGCCGAAAATGTCCGCCGTGTTTGGCTTTTGGAACGCCTCTTCACCGATGACTAGCTGGTTGTTGACAACCTTTCCTTGCAGCTTTCCTGGGCCAGCTTGCGTATCGAGGGTAAATGCCCTGTTGTCTGAGCTGTAGTATTGCCAGACTTGGTCGACGTATGGTTCGTAGTAGCCAGCGAAGTTTGCTCCAACAGCATCTCCATGGGAAGGATTGAGTACACGGAAGTTTTGTCCATTTTCCTGAACGATCAGTTTGTCCCATGGCTTTCCGTCCTTCTGTGCTTGAGCCTTGAGATCATCGCACACCTTGTTGAGTCCATCTGCTTGCATACCAGACACGTGCTGAATTGCGCCAGCTGAGTTTTGAAGGGTGATAGCAATGGGAACATTTGACACGAAATCGACGTAGCTAATGTTGGCGTACAATTGAGCATCATTGAGCGTGAACTCACAGAAGCCAAAGTTGACCTTTGCATTCGGGTCACTCGGATTGAGCACAGAAGGCTCGACGAGAGCTGGCCCAGGGTTGAGCAAGAAATTGAGCTTGCTGTCAATTGAGAACCAGACACGCCCACCGGCAATTTGAGGGACAGTGGCAGTGACAGAGTTTCCCGGCTTGCCGAGTGGGATGGCACAGTCTTTTGCCAGAGGTGATCCAATGGCAGGTGGGTTCTCCGGATAGTATGGTGTCTTGCCATCTGCTTGTAACAGTACACGTCTACCATCAGCAATGTTGATACCTGTTACATATGCCCAGACATTGCTCGAGTTGCTATTGTTGACAAGCTTGAAAGGTAGAGAAGCGACCATAATGAAGTGATCGGTCGCGTCAGAGAAGAAAAGCCCAATGAAGATAAAATGCTTATGAGTATTGAAGAGCCTACTCGTACTTAAATATGTACAGCTTCTTCGTCTATTGTCTCGTGGAAAATGAAATGCAGACTCACAAAAAAGCTGAGACGAAACCGCAACAGCAAGTGCTTGGGAGTGACGTCTTCATGCCAACTTTCTGCAGCCAATCTCAAGCCAGAGAAGCACTTTTTAATTTACTTTACAACAATCGTTGTAGCCGCCATGGATCCGACTGAAAACGCATTGTGTGTGTGCTAGCAGTATTCAGTTTGGTGTACATGGTCGTTGGAACTGTGTTGCAGACTGAGGCGTGAAGCCCCGAAGAAGTACACAAGGCTGCAGGTCATGTGGCAATGTCAGACTACACATTTTCGACTGTTAGATCTCCGCCTACTCTGGCTTAGAGAATTGGCGCTCTGTCTATATGCAAGTCTCCGTGTCCACTTGAATAACAATGACATGTGCCACAAGCCTGCTGATTGACACTTGCCAACCACGAGACTCAGATGCAAGACAGCAGTAAGAGTCCATTATGGTGAGTAGGGCTAAGCTGCTGAAAGCTATGAATGTAATTGTCATACAACATCTGACCGTACATTATGAGTGAATGCGTGGCTGATGGTGGATGAAGTGGCCGCACGTTGCTTCTCGAACACAGCAACAGAAAAAGCTCCGACGCATCGATGCCCATCACATCATCGTGAACGCCTTCGACTGGAATCACAAATAGGGCTGGAGGTGTTTAGGATGTGCCGGTGAGGACAGCTGGAGTGAAATTCTTGTAGACACCGGTAATATATAGTAATCATGATGCTCCGAACAAAGTCAGGGTCACATGCGCGGCAGCAAAACTGTTCAACATCGCCAGGTGAAATTCAAGAAGTGATTGGGCCGATGACTAGAGAAGTTGAATTGGTACATGATCAATTGGAATTCGCTGCAAGAAGTATGTGATGCTAATGGAGGACGCTAGTAATGCAATGAACAACCAAAATATCTCCCTTCAGTCTACCCTTGCCCTCTTCTCTGTATGGACATCTTCTTCATCCGCTTCATCCGAGTGCTTACGCTTGACACCCTTGTCTTCGGCAACCGTAGTGTCATCAAGATCGAACGTGTTGGCGTCCGGATCATGCAGCGCGTTCACAATCTTCCTTGTCCCCATATCATCACCCTCTACTGTCTCGTTCAACTCTGCATCCACCCATCCTTCTGTGTAACTGCCTCCGAAATCGATGATCCAGAGTTTTTCGTCCTTGTCTACCATGAAATTATCCGCTTTGGCATCGCCCCATACTAGATTGTGCTTATGGAGAGTATTCACCATCTCTTCAGACTCAGAAGCCCAGCGATCGCGTTTAGATTGTGGCACATCCGAATCGAGAAGATGAGTCAATGGCTCGGCGCCTGGGATGTGTGTTTGGAGGAACCCCATCATCTCAGTCTTGCCATCTGTGAAGGATACCAGACCTTGAACTTGGGGTACTCGTATCACTTTTTGCAAGCCGAGTCTCTCGATGTCTTTCATGATCTTGAGCTCACGCTTCGTAGGACCGGGTTGAGTGGGATCAACGACCTTGAGGAAGTGGTGGTCATCATTGTGGCGGACTAGTGTGGGTACGGGGCCGGAGTCTTCGACAACTTCCAAATCTGATGCTTTGAACCAGGGGACGTCGAGGTTGAGGATATACTTTGGCAGGGTGACGGCTGGTAGGAGGTCTTGCATTCTGTTTTCGAGCTCCGTAGTCGCTTCCAGTTCGGTGGGTGTTACTTTGCCGTCATTGCATTGCAAAGAATAGAAGTGTGTTGACGGGTGGTACCAATCGTGAGCGTTGGTGACTTGCATTTCGCTCCTTGATGGAGCATGTTTCTCGACTTCAGCTTCCAGGTGCGACAATATCCAGGCTTGTAGTGCATCCTCAGGATCGTCTTCTGCCTTGTCGTGATCTTCGAGCACGATGCCGCTGTCCCTAGAAGCAGCAGTAGGACTTCGGTTGCCCTTTTCACATTGAGGACATGTGTATTCGTCGATCGAGGCTCCTTCTTCTTGGGTTATGCCGACGCAGTCGCCATGGTACCATTCCTCGCAGCTGTCGCAGCCGATCATGAAACCTCTATCGGGTCCCCGGCAGATGCAGTATGTATCTTGTGTATCTTCCTTTTTTTGATCTTCCTCTGCGTAGTCCGCTTCCGGATCCTTGGACAATTGGCGAGATCCTTGAGACTGATGTCTGGCCTTGTCGCTCAACGCGTTGAGCAATCTTGAGTATTCTTCTAGTGCCTTGCTGTCTTGGTCTGTGGAGGACTGGAGTTGTTTCGATTCGACGATTACATGGAACCTGACTCCGTTGGACAGAACAGTCAATGCGGAATCATTGTTCTTGTCCTGAAAGAAGTTGAGAACGTGTGTCTGCTTCATTCTGTGTCCTGCTGAAGCCGACATTGTGTCTGAAATAGAAAAATTGAATGAGAAAGGTAGAACAATGGAGAGGACCTACAGGGATGAGGGCAGTATGGAAGACGCGATCTCTTAAGAAGAAACCACTTTACGCGCTGACCTACCGTGGACTTCTCGCGCTCGTCATTGATGTCAAAACATATCAAAGGCGTCATGGTTCCTAGATCTGCGAGCGGCTCTCAATTTGATTTCCAGATCGGGCGCACTAATGAGATTAGGTTTCAATCTTGGCGAGATCTGATCTCATGAACGCACAAGACGCATCGTTTTCCAGCCACGCGATGATGCGTTTCTTGTTCTTTCACACATACCAGCAGAACAGAGAATACTAATGTTCATTACTCAGCCTGAGACCACCGGTTCGCGGGACTCATCATACTGAGAAGAAGAAGATGTAAGCAAGATCTTTGAGGCATTAGATGCCTTGGATGTCAGGAAACGAGAATGATAGTGGATCTTTCGGGTGAGTCAGCAATCACGTGATTCCAATACCAGCCCAGCTGGCTCATCTTCATTGGTCTAGTGGTCATGATTTCCGCTTGTCATGAGAGTTCCTCTTGTCAAGCGCGGGAGACCGGGGTTCGATTCCCCGATGGAGAGCTTTTCGTTTTGTCGTGCATGTCTCAACAGAGGCATGCACTTCTTTTGCTCAAGGATGTCTTTGGTTCGATTGTGCTTGTTGTTGTGGAATAAGTCAGGCTTGCTGAATTTGTCGTATTGATGCCAACGCGTTGACTTTGATAGTCAAGAAGGATTCCGCGGAACCTCATGATCGCTGATCTCTGCTCATGAATCCTTCGATCAGGCAGCCAGGTCAAGGTATAGTAAAATCAAATCACCTTGCCATCCCTCTTTTCTCAGCAACCAACACAATGCTTCTTATTCCTACTTTCTTTACCCGTACAACCTTCCGCATCCTCCTCTTACAATCTTTCCTAGCCTGGCTATGGATCCACCTCGTTCAAGCCCCTCTTCCACTCATCCTCAGTATCACCATTGGGACCACAATCGGTGCATCAATCAACACACTCAAGATCACGTTGGACAATTCTTTCGGCTTTCCTTTACCTTGGGAAACACCTTATTTTCTACCTTCACTGTTAGACGAATACATCCTCGCTACTATGCCCGATTTGGCTATTTTGTTAGGAGAACCGCCATGTTCGACAAGGATAGCGAGACTGCACCCTGAGACAAAAACCTGTGAGCAGAGGTCGGCATATGCTTGCGAACAACATGCAGTAGGCTTTGAAGGAGGAACATTGGAGTTGACGTTTTTGAGGGCTTGTTATGAAGACTACGGTGTCTCTAATGCGAAGACTCAAAAACATCATAAGAGATGCCACTCGAATACCGAAATTCTACCCGAGTTGAGCATACTAGCTTGCACAAGAGCGAAACAACAAATTGAAAAGAGCACGGGAGTGTGCTTTTACATACCGCCCATAATCGACTGCACGATTCAGTACTCCAAATGGGATCTTTTACAACCAATGATCAAGTCTGCTGGTTTCAGTGGCAAGGAGCACCTGGAGATGGGTGCCTGTGAACGGCGGATATTTGGGGACAAGTATATTGTGGACAGGTTCAGATGGTTGAAGTTTGATTGATACAAGAGCATCCATTCCAGACACTGTTTTTGTCGAATGAACGTCACTCACTCTACATGCTTCGAGGGTTTGTATGCAAGTCCAGGTCCACGTAGTACCGGAATGTGTATCGCAGAGGATAGATGCAGTCATCTCTCGTGAAGGAGCTGGTCTGCTCTTGTCATTCCCTCAATCCCTCCTCAGAGCAGTCTTGATCCTCCTAAACTCACCTCCCTCCCTCGTCCTCGCAGTCTTCCAGACGGCAACTCCTCCTACTACCACGAATAGCACAGACTCCCAGCCTGCACCCCTTAGATACACTATGATGAGGAACAGAGCGAAAATGGAGAGAACCAAGCGGATGTCGGTCGTGTGTGCGGTAGAGGATGTGCGTGTAACGTGGGTGAAGAGAGGGATGTGCCACGGTTCGTTGGTCGATGAGGATTGCGATTGCGATGAAGAGGCTTCTGGATCCATTGGAAGCTCGAGTATGGTGTTCGCTTAGGCTGAGGTATATGTCGTTGCTACTCGAAGCAGACAAAGTCGTAGGAGAAAGAGCGAGTTGATGGGAAGAGTCGTGGTCGTGAAGAAGGCGCATTGGAATAATAAACGCCGCCTAACCCCGCTCTTCCTCCTCCACCAACCGGATCACCCCTCCATCCGAAGCAGACATCGGCCATCTCGAAATAAACAATTCTCCGAAAAGACATGTATCTAGAAGAAGCCTCTTTGACTTTCAACAAGTCACATCCTATTCATCGACCTTCCTACAAAATCATTCTAGACATAGACCGGGCGACATTCACATCTACAGAATCATGGTCCTAGAAGCCGGATACCCGAACACAACAGGTTTCCGCAAAGTCGTCAAAGCAACAATTCTGGTCAAGAAGAAGCCAGGTCTTAGTGATGCAGATTTTATATCACATTACAATACCAAACATGCAGAGATGGCCAAGGAAGTGCTGTTGAAACATGGGTGTATAACGTATAGTCTTGTAAGCTCTGCCCTCTTATCCTCTCGACACTCCGACTCCGGACAGCATTCCGCTGATACCAGAGGTTGGTCTAGACATATCACCTTCAACGCGACAGAAACATAATGCAAGACATGCTAAAGGGCAAAGCAAATCTTCTTCCATACGACGCCATCTGCACATTTGTGTTTCCTGATTATATGGCTTTTGCGAGGTTCATGTATGATCCGGCGAGTAAAGCATTGACGGGCGACCATGACAACTTCATGGTTGAGGAAGAGATGAAGATGATGGTGGGTGATGAGTTTATGGTCATCGAGGGTGGGAAGCTTGTATGAGGCGACAATGGGTTGACTGAAAGTGGGATATAGCATGACAGGGCATGACGAGCATATGGAGCGTTTCTTCTTTTTGTGTATAATGGGTTCGCAAACTCGGGCTTTCTACTGCGAATTCTTTACAAGTAACCTGTACAAAGCATGTCAGCAAGTGTCTTGTCGTTAAGGATAGTAGCAGCATCTCACCCTTGCGACCGGTCTGGAAGAACATTCTCACAATGAAGACCTGAAGACCAGCCATGCCGACCATCATCAAGCTCTCGATGATGGAGAAGTTGAAGATTCTCTGCTCGGTACTCCTGACGGTTGAGAAATTCCTGTTCTCACGGGTTCTGAAGTACTTTTGCTGACGGGTGATTGTGCTGAGCTGGCCACTGAGCTTGAGCACCGAGTTCTCGAGGGCCGAGGTCTGCTCGACGTTGGCACCCTGCTTGGAGGGGATGCTGGCGGCGCGGGGCTCGTTCTCGATGGAGATTTCAAAGTCGATCATCTTGTCGGCGAAGGTGCTGATGCTGTTGTCGAAGCAGAAACGGTATTCACCAGCCTCGTTGGCGGTGAAGACAAAGTCGCCCTGGCGTTCCTTTGTGCCATCGAGGATAACTCTTTCTTTGCCAGGCTCTGCCGTGGGTCCATGGACTGAGTAGTCGACTGTGATTGCGTGTTAGACTGAGGGATGAGGATAGGAAAGGTAACTTGTTGATGTACCATCGAAGGAGCCGCCTGATTGGACCTGTGTGTCGCATTAGCCAAGCACCACGAGTCCAGTATGTAAGAAACGTACAGCAAAGTAAAAGGCGACCTTTGCGCCCTTTTGCTCAATGTGCGAGTAGAAGCACTCCTTTCCGTTAGGAGGGAGCTTGTATGTCAAGGCTGTCGCTGAGACGAAGGACGTCAAGAAGCCCAAAAGGCTGAGCAGGGCGAATAGAGGTGCCATGTCGAACAAGACTGCGACAAATTCTTGCGGGCTGCGACAGAAAGAAGTTGTTGTTCAATTGTTGCTCCCGTGAGCTTTACGGACACGCTTCACCCTGAAGGGACGCCATGAGCACAGACCCCCTGTAGAGAACCTGTAGAGAAGTCCGGGGTATATAATCTTTTGTTTCCACCCGCGAAAAACAATCCACTCTTCTCCGATCCTCTTCCCGCCCATCACTCGTATTGCAACTTTGCCCTCATCGTCAGATACTCTCCCGCCTTGATCGGCTCATACTTCGGAGGTCCGGTCAAACTCTTGCATTCATCCATGCACTGCACTACCGTATCCATGTCTGGCGTCAAGAAATACGGAATTGAATATCTTTCTCGCGTCAACCTCTCCTCACCCTCGAACCTGTCGGATAATCGTGGCAGTGTCACTCGATGTAATGTCGACTTGAGGTAGTCTAGTGCTCGCATCAGACGCTTTATGCCCTCTGTAACGCCGAAATACTTCACCTACCATTGCTCCACCTCATCAGCATATCTCCTACATTCATCATGAGCCCGTTCTTGATTGGTGTAGCATCAGTGAATTTGCCCTTCTCGTTTGGGTCCTCAACTTGGAGACCACCGCAGTCATCTTGAAAGAGGAGTGTGATGGAGCCCCAATCTGTGTGAGCTGGCATTCTTGCCGACGTCTGTTTCTCTAGCTCTTCCGCTCTGATGGCCGGATAATGGAGTAGACGCAACTGATTGTAATTACCAGAGTGCACCTTTGTCAACGCGTCTGCGCTGTCAAGCTCCAATCCTATGGCTAAGGCAGTGAGAATCGTTTGAGCCACTGCATTGCATCTCCAGTAGAAGGACAAGCCGAACTCGCCGAAGCCAGGGAGAGTGTCTTCAGGAAGCCATACATTTGGCATGAAAGCGTTGTTTTCGCTCCCGATCTCGTAGCTTTCCTGAACGAGTTTGAGTTCACGGTAGTTTCCATGAGCGTTGTTACTTACTTTGCAGTCCTTGACTTCTCTCAAAGCTTTGCTGATATTCTCATCATCTGCATCTCTTCCATACACTTGAGACACTTTTTCGAGACCCGGATATGAGTATCCTCGATGCACATCCGGCCCAGGAGCATGTGGTGCAAGCATTTTCTGGTCGTGAGGCAGGTCAAATAACTTCTTGGTCCAGTCGAAAGCTTCGTCCATGACCGCCTCTGGGATGCCATGATTGATGATGTACACGAACCCAACATCATGACATGCGATGACAAGATCTTGGGCTATCTGCCGACGCCGATGCTCATCGTTCCAGCCTGCAAAGTTCACGATAGGGATACCGGATTCTATCGAGATTGAGGAAGACATCGTCGAGAATCAGACCGAGCCTACAGCAAATCGAACGACGGTTCAGGTGGAGAAGATTGTGGTCATGGAAGGTCTGAAGGGCTGATCATTCTGGCAGGAGCACAGGAGTACTGAGTGCGGGGTCGTGGAATACGGATCGCTGTCACCAAAGCTCTTCTTCCACACTATTGATCTACCTGTTAGCGATCCATACCTGATCTCTTCATGTAAATGTGGTGGTCTATCTTCTAATTTCCTTCCAGAACACAAAATGGCGCAGATCTGCCTCGGACTTCGCTCATCGCTGAAAAGCACCCCGAGCTGCCTCCGCAATTCTCGCAGACCTCGAAAATCCACCCACGACATTCTGCATATCCCCATGCCTGATCGTCTGGCTGGACGATTGCTGTAAACAAAGTCACCCATGTCTGTGACGGTCTCACGGCTAGAGCGGCCATGCAGCGTCTGTATGGAAAAATCGCGCGGCCCTGGCGTTGCTCGGCAGCGGAGACAACGATGGGAAGGATCTTGGTGGACACATTGCTCAAAGGATACTTCCGAAGACCGATGATAGAACAATGCCTTAAAAACGGTGTGTGATCAGCAGCTCCGCTCTGGCGACTCGCAATAGATACAGAAGGCCGATCTGCCCACCTCAAGCCATATCTTCAAGCATCTAGAAAACGGTACTATCTTGTGGTCTCAACATTAAGATGCTATCGGTCATCTGCCTTCTCCTGGGTCTAGATCTTGTTTCCTCCACGCCTCTCGCTTCGAAACATGCACGGAGCTCTACCGTGCACCTTGACTATGCTACCTATCAGGGTGCTGCATTAGACACCGGTGTCACTCAGTATCTTGGGATGCGATATGCATCATCACCCACGGGAGAGCTCCGTTGGCGCGCACCTCAGGATCCTCCCACAATTCACCGCGTCCAGAATGCTACGCAAGTATGTCAATGCTGTATCTCGCACTTGCATCATCCCTGACATGCCTCAGTTCGGAGCTCTGTGTGTCGGCATTGGAGAGAGTGTGAACATCAATCGCACGGAAGATTGTCTGTTTATCAATGTGTATACTCCCAACAACGCGACCAGGTCATCTAAGCTACCGGTGTGGGTATACATTCCCGGTGGTGGATACGCAAAAGAAACGAACAGCAACTACAACGCAACAGAGGTCATCAGAGCTTCTGGCCAGGATATTGTGTTCGTGAATTTCAACTACCGCGTCTCGGCATATGGATTTCTAGCCAGCAAGAAAGTGAGAGAGGACGGCGATCTCAATGTGGGCTTATTGGATCAGAGAAAAGCTCTTTACTGGGTGAAGAAATACATTGCTCAGGTAAGTCGAGCTGCTTCCACGTCGAACGAGCTCCACTGAGAACTCTAGTTCGGCGGCGATCCAAATCACGTCGTGATTCACGGTGTGTCTGCTGGCGCTGGTTCGGTTGGAACACATCTCACTGCATACGGTGGCCGAGATGACAAGCTATTCGTCGGCGCCATAGGACAAGCTCCATTCTTTCCATGTCAGAATGATATCTCACAATCGGAATGGCAATTCGACCGCTTCGCTTCTGCAGTTGGTTGTTCGAATGTATCGAATCAGTTGGCTTGCCTTCGAGCACAAAATCTAAGCACTCTCCAAGCAGCCAACATACCATCGCCCTTTCCCGGTCAGACTATCACTCCACTTTTCTACTATCTTCCTGTCATCGACGGTGATTTGATACAGGAAGCCCCGATCCTTCAATTCGAGAGAGGCAAACATATCAAAGTGCCTCTCTTGGTTGGCGATACGACGAACGAAGGATCAGCCTTCGCCGCAAATGTATCGACACCTGCCGAAGTCTCCTCCTTCTTGGCGGCCAACTGTCCTCGTCTCCCTGCATCTGCTCTGGAAGAGGCAAACAAGCTCTACCCCCTGATGAGTCCTTTACCTCGTCATGCAGTCTACTTTCCCTCTGCTTCTGCCGCCACCGGAGAATCTACATTCATTTGCCCTGGACTGTTGATGTCTGAATCTCTATCTCGCGGTCAGCGTAGCAAAGTCTGGAATTACCGCTTCGATATTTCCACCGTGGAAGAGACAGCCGCTGGATTAGGTGTGCCACATACCTTTGATACACCAGCGATTTTTGGTCCATATTATCAAGGTCCTGCAGTAGCGGCATCTCTCTCAGTACAACCATTTACGACATATAATGCACCCATCGTGCCCATCGAGATGAATTACTATATCTCCTTCGTCCGCACCCTGAATCCGAACACCTTCAGAGCTAAAGATGCACCTATCTGGGAGCCTTTCGAGGGAAAGAATGGACAGCAGAGATTATTATTTGAGATCAACGGGACTACGATGGAAGCTGTTCCTAAGGCACAGCAGGAGCGGTGTGACTTCTGGTACTCTCTGGCGGAGATTGACGGAGAGTAAATGAGATTGCCTCGGTGAAAGACTGTCGTTACAGGCGAATAACTCACTTCGCTCCTTTATATTCTGGTTTACCACGCGAAGACTGTATGATATGGGGATATGTACCACTGGAAATATCAGAGCTACCCCTCATCAATATCATGGTTTTGTTCGAGGATATTATCGCCGACATGTGTTCACTCAACTCGTGACACGCTTCGACACATGTGTTTGATATGATTGAACATGATAGACATTACTGCCTTGCGACTCGTGACGCAAATGACGTAAAGTACAGAGTGGAGTAGCTTGAGGAAGGGACTGTTGTGCCGTAACTTCCTGGCGTACTCATTAGAGCTTCATCTCGTTTGCTCTTGCTTCTGCTTGCTTGGGCCCGTTTGAAACGTGACCAACCGACGCGATTACAGAGTGTAAATAAACTCAGGATTTTCCTTATCCGTCAAGTCCAAAAATTCTTGGTTCTCAAGTTTCACATACTGCATTCATCATCAGCAAATAGATTTACATCTTGATCTGGAGCGACCACTTACGCCGGGTTGACTTCTGATCTGAGCCTTGAGCTTGTTCTGGTATCGACAGTAGAAGTAGATTGCGTAAACAAGGAATGCCGCAATGCCCCAGCAAACAATGATGGTGACTTCGGCGGGCACGTATTTGGGTGCGTCTTTAGCTTGGAAAGTCTGAGGACCGATGATGTTGCCAACCTGAAGTTGTTGTCAGCCTATTAATCTTGATGTAGCGTGGAGAATGATATCGACTTACACAATATCCAATCAGATACATAGCAGCCACTGTCGTCTTCTTCGTGTAACCAGCCACATTGGAAGAAATGAGTGACAGCAAAGCCACAAAACAGGTCGCAGCACTACCAGTGAGATAGTAACCAATCAGCTTGCCTACATTCATAGTATCAGGCAAACAGACAATGAGCAAGACACCCAAGATGGAAAGCCAGAGACAGGAAGTTGAGACCAGAAGACGCGAGCCCACGCGATCGCCCAGCCAGCCACAGGCAATCAACGAGACCACCTCTACTGCACCAGCGGGTGTGCCGTAGAGTAGTGACTGCTCAGCTGTATAGCCAAATGACTCAATAAGCAAGGAAAAGAAGTTAGTGAGTCCACCGTTAGGTAAGTCGGCGATCAAAGCATAGAAGAAAAACATCCATGCCAATGGGTCTGTAAGTGCTTCCTTGACCTGATACATCTTGAAATGCTTATTGCCGATGCCTTGCTGATTTATGCGTACGCGTTCGACAGCCAAAAGCCTCTCATCAGGCGTGAGGAAGCGAGCATTAAGCTGGTTATCAGGCATGAAGAAATAGAACAGAATTCCGACGACCACGGTAAGGAGTCCAGTAACTAGAAAAACGATCTTCCAAGGTTCGATGGAGGCTTCGTGAGCATCAGTACCTCGAGCAATGCCATAGGCGACTAGACCACCCAAAATTTGTGCCCAACCATTGAACGAAAACCAAATTCCTGTTCGCAAGCCTTGCTCTTTCGCCGTGTACCACTGACTAGTGAAAAGTGCAAAGCCAGGTGTGACTGCAGCTTCGAACAAGCCCAAGAAGAATCTCACCGCAAGTGCACCTTGAAAGCTTGCGACGGTGGAGAAGCAGGTCAATGTTACACCCCAAGCGATGACATTAAAGGACGAGTATTTGCCCAGAGGTAGGCGTTGAAGAAGGCGATTGGTAGGATATTCCCAGATCAGGTAACCGAAGTAAAACATACTGCCTAGCCATGAGTATTGTTGTCCATGTAGACCGAGATCTTTCTTCAGACCCATGACAGAGGCGTAAGAGATGCAGGTTTTGTCGAGGAAGTTCAACATGTATACCACGCAGAGCAGCTTTGATAAGGTCAGTAACCTTGGTAGCGACGGTATTGCGTATGGCATACGACTCACGGGCATGATGTTCCAGTCAATCTTTCGGAGAAGTCTTTTATTGGTTTCTTCGTCCAATTCAATCACTTCGCCAACTGCGGCAAACGCTTTCATCGCATCATCAGCGTCGTTAGAGTGCTGGAGTATCTTTTCCGACACTCCATTCTTGCCATCGACAGGACGAGGAAGCTCCTGTACAGCTTCGGGGTCGTGAGTCTGCTTCTCATCGGACATGGTGAAGGTAATTGGTGCCACCAAAAGTGTGGATGAGGAGAAACACTAAAGTCTTAAGTACCAGCGATTGAGGATGTTAACAATTGACGCAACACTTATACCTTCTCCATTAGTGCATGGTCACACTAGCCTCTGTAAAACACGATAGGTCAGTATGAAGTATATGCATGTACTACCCCAGCATATCGGCCTATCTTATCATGCATGCGGAGATAGGCTGAGCCGCGGCCAGGTGCGCCAATGGCATGGTGATTTTCTGCCAGAAACATACGACTCGGGGTTAGTGTATGTACCGGATTGGCTAGAGACAAGGAAGTACCAAGTGCTTAGTAGCAGATAAGAATGAAAAAGTGCTTGATAACTGGAACAAGCTCCACTACCTTCTTATCTCCGATATCCGGCGAACCTACGAGTACCCAAGAGCCGAGATCCCAACTCGACAACACTGCAGTACCTGGAACATCTGCTCACACGTTTTTTGGTCCCTCAGCAGTCAGAAAGTCGAAATCACAGCCCAACTCTGCTTGATTGACACAACGCTCATACAAGCCTCGATAACCTCTCGCGACCTTCCTCGCACGTCCGACACTGCGGCACTCAGTACTCTTACTCTTGCTGTTGATACGCCGAGCAATCTCGTCATCCCAGACTCGAAGATTGAGGCTTCTCGTCTCTAGGTTGAAGTCAATCATATCTCCATCTTCCACAACCCCGAATACAGACTCAGCGACAGCGGACTCAGGTGAGACATGCAGTATGATAGTGCCTCCCGCCGTTCCACTCATCCTACCATCAGAGATACGAAGCATGTCCTGCACACCCTGTGCTGCAAGCTTCCGAGGAATAGGAATGACACCGGCTTCGGGCATTCCAGGGTTACCGATTGGCCCCACCCCTTTGAGAACGAGGACCGAGCGTTCTGTAACATCCAAGTGTGGGTCATCTATCCTTTTTGCCATGTCTACAGTGTTCTCGAACACCACAGCGGGTCCGGAGTGAATTAGCAGACGGCGGTCTTTGGATGCGGCTGCCTTCAGGATAGCACCATTAGGCGCAAGGTTTCCCATTACGACTGCAAGGGCTGAATGAGGATACAGAGGTTGTTCTAAAGGGCGTATGATCTCGTAGGTATAAGGGAAGGGCGTGAAACATGCCGAATCGAGCTCTTCTCCCAGTGTTTTGCCAGTGACTGTCTTAGCGTCAAGGTGCAGGAGCGGACGTAGAGCTGTCAATAGAGCGGCCATACCACCTGCGTTGTGGAAATCAGTCATGTAGTTGGCCCCGCTCGGTTTTAAATCAACGAGCAGCGGTGTCGTGCGCCCAATCTGGTCGAAAGTATCGAGGGTCATTGTTCCAGCCACGTCTGGGTGACGGTTGATAATTGCCATCAGATGCACTACCGCATTGGTGGAGCCCCCAATAGCTTGTAGCACAATCATAGCGTTCAGAAATGATTCCCGAGATAGCACAGTCTGTGGACGACTTTTTTCCTTCATCAGCGAGGCTGCAACCGCATTCTTTCCTGTTTGTTCCGCGACCCGAAGTCGAGCAGCCGACACGGCAGGGGCTGATGCGCCTTGTAGAGGCATCATACCCAGAGCAGCCGTAATGCAGGCCATGGTACTAGCTGTCCCCATCACGCCGCAAGTTCCAGCCTGGAAACACTGTCAGCTTGTGTTGAGATGCATATGGGAGATCTTGGCTCACAGTCGGAGCCAACTCTTCATTGACGGACGAGATATCCTCGATATCAACGGCACCAGCCCGAAAAGCTGCCCAGTTGCTTCGACAATCTGTGCATGCTCCGATACGCACGCCTTTGTTTGAGCCGGGCATCATCGGGCCCGCGACCAAAGGGAGTACTGGCTTATTGGAAGAGATACCACCCATCAATTGTGCCGGGACTGTTTTATCACAGCCGCCAATCATAACGCAAGCATCCAAAGGCTGTGCTCTGATCATTTCTTCGGTATCCATGCTCATAAGGTTTCTGAGGAACATACTCGTGGGAGTGGAGAAAGACTCATGTAAGCTGATAGTTGGGAAGTCAATGGGAAGTCCTCCGCTTAGCATGACGCCTCTCTTCACAGCCTCTATGAGTTGTGGGACCTGAGCATGACATGGGTTGAAGCCGGAATGCGTGTTGATGATGCCAATCACCGGACGGGATAAGGCATCGTCGCTATAGCCAGCAGCTTTGATGAAGACCTTTCGGAGAAAAAGAGAAAAATGCGCATCTCCGTAAGATGTCAGGCCCTGTCGAAGGCCTTGACCATCGTCGATGCTAGAAGACAGGTCGTAATCGGAATTGGTGGAAGCATTCAACTCGGTCATGATTGATGCGCATGTACTGATCTATTTCGTAGATGGTTAACAGCCCGCCGAGTATATGTACTGCATGCTGAACCATTACCTCCGTCAGGGGCGGAAATTCCGGTTGACCCTGCACAACTGTTCTAGTAGTGACGGAAGCATTGCCGAGGTAGTTCAAGCGCGATACCTATTCTACGGCAACATAGTCGGGACCTCCTTGATTGGTTTCACCCACGGACGCATTTCGGAAATCGCGTTGTAGTGCATTTTCTTTGCTGACGCTTCGTTCTCGCCTGAAGTCTTGACACTAGAACGACATGGGAGCCAGTCCATCAAAGAGGTCTTGAAGGAACATGTCGGTATTCATGTCTCCTGTCCAGAGACCGGTATTTGGATCTGAGACTTGATCCAAGCTCGGTGGCAGGAGATCAAGCCCTGGTGTCCAGTTGCGACTGTATTGTTGCATCAAGGCCTCGAGTTCATTGGTTTGTAGGTGCGCCGACGTATCGCCAGTGGGCTGTAAGCCGGTGAGCGTGTTCTCATTGAGGTCACTCCACGAGATATCTCCATTCCGCGCTGGAACAACGTTTTGGTTCTCACCATTGTCACGATTCTTGCGATCCATCATCCAACTGATCGTTCTGTGAGAGAGCTCATCTAGGATGTCGCGGCTCCTCTTCGCTCCGGGCCAGTGCTCACCAGTGGCGCTGAGTATGTTCGATGCAGCGCGTAAATCTGAAACTAGTTCGTCAAGGACTGTATCTTGTGCAACAGCGGGACAGGTCCAGATGCAAAAGAATGCTGTGACCGAGCTCATCATAATTGAATGATAACAAGCCCAACTGAACACCAGCGAGTTCTCGATATATAACTCGTGATAGAGCCGAACTGCAGATATGGCGCTTTTGTAACACCCCCTCAAATCATCTGAGCTTGGTTGTGGTATACCAGGACTCGGTCGCAGGAGCAGAGTCTTCAAAACGTGGTAGCGTACTTCGCAGAGCTTAACGGCATAATCTCGTGTGCTTCTGTTCGGTGTATCAGCTGCCCATTGGTCGAGACGACTTGCCATATCTCTTTGCCAAGTGTTCATACAGCGAATCGCAGGATAGGCATACGCAGGGGTGTCTCTAGAGATACTGTGGAGAATGTACTTCATCTCCGAGTTTAGCTTGGCTAGCTTGAACATGTGTATGCCGTATGTCATGTGGTTTGGAGGCTCGTCTTCTGGTCTTCGTTTGATACTGTCTCGAGCCAAGTCACGGTCGTCGACATCTGCCGGAAGCTAGGCGACGGAGCACATTAGTATGCGTGGCCTCTGTTCTCGACGAAACTTGGAACTTACTCTTAAGTCACATGCCTCATCTCTCAGACCTATTGGCCGACCCATCATAGTACAGAGGGATCTGTCCAGGCTATACACAACCCAGAATATTCTTGTCCTCATCTCTTGATCGATCGGTGAAATTGCTAAAGTAGCGGTGACATCGCGTTGCAGACCAAGATCTACGACCATGGCGATACACTGATAGTTCAAGTACCAGACGTTGAGCTTTGTGGACGGACTATGCATGCCCCATATGTAAAGAAGCAGAAGGCATTGTAACCCTCGAGTTGAGCTCTCCAAGGGAACTTTTTCGAAGTATGAGATGGCCATGGTATACCAACCTTCGCTAGGAAGAACAATCCTATCTCGACGCGAAAGAGTGACAGATGCAATTGCGAGTACCATATAAACCTGGAATGCGACAACCGGATCAGGCTCATGCATAGTGTACATCTCTTCAATCAATTTCATGTGCGTTGGCTCATGTAGGAAGGGCGAATGCTGGTGGACGGTCTTGAAGTACGTCTTGGTGAGCTCTTGCGTTGTTTCCTTGCTCGATGGAAGAGGGGTTTGAATGTCGCGGAGTAATCTCTCAGTGAGAGCACTATCTCGTTGCAGAGTAGCATTGTTCACACCAAGACGCATTGGATTCGCAGTCTTAGTGTGGGCACTGACCGTACAAACAAGCTGGGTAAAGAAGTGACCACTCGATGGCCCAATGTAACGCGGATCATCGCCATTAGGAAGTGACACGAGTCCAATTTGGTGGGCCATGCTTGAGTCCGCATCGTTTGAATCACCCCGGGAAGTCTCAATGTTGTTATCCCTGGAATTTTCTGTGATCGGTGGCGGATCCTGTGCGATATTCGATACGTCTATATCCGCAACAGGCGCGTGATGGACATCAGGTACATGGTCCCGTTCGGCACTTTGGTCATTGAAGGTTGACATCGAAGCATCATTGTTGTCGTCAAACTCAGCTCCAATGTCCTGCAACAAGTCTACATCAGGACATCTATCTTTCACAATACACTCCAGCCAGCGCACTCGCTGCTCCAGAAGCTGTGTGTATCGACTAGTCTGTCTCAGCTGGGTTCAGATATGTGAAACTTTGACATACGCTCGTGCCTGATTGTCAACAGTGTTGCCGTCTTGATACTCGCAATTCTTCTTGGACTTGCTGCAGGAAGCGCATGTCGGTAATGTTCCATCACACTTGATGTCTGGTCAGCACGAAGACGAGCGGCGGAAAACGGTGATGTCTTTACGCGTATCTTGCGTTGTTGACACCGCAGACAGGCTGTGCGGATACGCTGCGACCTGCGAGACTGTCGTCGTACTGCTCTGTTCGTCCCTTCCGAGCTCACGGTCTCCGCCATTGTCACTGATGTGGATTGCGAGATGGACACAGGACATGACGGAGACTCCGTTGTTGAAGCTTCAACGAAGCGAGAGGAGAAAGGCTTGGACCGGAACAACCCGGAAGCGGGTCGGCATTGTGGTGAGGCTCTCGTTCACGCTGACCAGGCAGAGGATTTCACAGGACTGCTAGAGTAGATCCGCAAATAGAAAACAATTGCTCAAACATAATTTTAGAATTGGGAATGGCGAGGAAGCTTGCACAGACTCGAAGAATAACAATTGGATGTGTTTGCATTGTTTGACACTCGGGCCGGAAGGCCTCCAACGCCTTAGCCAGCCATTCGATCCTTCCCAAATCACGCAGCCGGTCCAGGGTAAATCGATGCCATCCCTCAGACGTGTGTGAAAGTGTGTCATGTCGCTCAGTTCTTGATTCTTAGCTGTGCAAAAGCAACTGAAAGGGCGCTCGTTGACTCGTTCCTTGTCAATTGATCTTCGACGCGACAAGAGGCAGAAACCCGAGAAGATGTTCATCCGCCTCATCAACCTCGAAGTCATACCTCATCAAGTCTTCTTTATAAGGAAACATGTAGGTGCTCGTAACACTAAACGATTGTCAAAAGAATTCGGCCGCACTTGGATGTAACTCACTGATGATGTTCGTCTGATTTTTGGTATTCCTCAAGCGCCGCTCGGTCCTCGTGGAAGCTCAGAAGTGCGAATTGAAAGCCTTTGCTTCTTTCGATGGGATCGGTTATTGATGGCCCCCCAACAACGAGTCGTTGCTCTTTCACACATGGTAATGATTTGAGCTTCTTCAGCTCTGTCACGAATTTCTGCTTGTGCTCATCTGTCACCTCCGGACGGAACTTGAAGAGGACTGACAGAGATTAGCATTGCGTTGCTGACATGAAGGCTGTAGATACGCACCGATATGTACGATTGTCATGGCACTGACTTTTCTGATGTCAAGTTTGGTTTGCCTGGCTCACACTCACAGATGTACCCGCCATATATGCAGACCCTGTCGGAAATCCCGCCCCTCCGGCTGCGTTGGAAGTCTTAACGTCTCAGGACCAGGAATCGACGGCAATTCCGAGCGACAAGATATACAGTAGTCACGAATCAAAAGAAAGCCGATACTCATCATGCTGACCAGGCCATCCTCCTCTATTCAACAATCACCGCGAATCATGCACGACCTCACTGGCAAAGTAGTCTTGATCACCGGACTCGGACAGTCGCAAGGAGATGGGTGGGGAATTGGTGCGGCGACTGCAGTCCTTTTGGCACGACAAGGTGCCATAATATTCGGAGGAAACCGTACAGTCGCCTCGACCCTCTGGACACAAGATACCATCAGATCTGAAGGTGGTTCTTGCGACATCGTTGCGTGCGACGTCACCGATTCAACGTCCGTCAAGGCTCTCGTGGACGCTTGCATGCAGAAACATGGCAAAATCGATATTCTGGTCAACAACGTCGGCAAATCCGAGCCTGGATGTCCCGCAGCGATGTCAGAAGACGTTTGGGATTCCCAGATGGATATCAACTTGAAAAGTGTCTATCTCTTATGCCACCACGTCCTACCGATCATGGAGAGTCAAGGCAGCGGTGCTGTCGCCAGTATCTCAAGCATTGCTGGACTGCGCTACATCGGCAAACCTCAAGTCGCGTACTCTGCCACCAAAGCTGCTGTGATGCAGTTCATGAAAGCCACTGCGATCATCTATGCTCCCAACGGAGTTCGCTTGAACACTGTTGTGCCTGGCTTGATGGAGACACCTTATACACAAGCCCTCTCGACAAAATATGGAGGAGCAGGCGCCGATCAGGAAAGCTATCTCCGCAAGCGGGACGCTCAAGTGCCAATGGGGAAAATGGGAGATGCTTGGGATGTTGCCAATACTGTTCTGTTTCTAGTTTCGGATGAAGCGAGGTATATCACGGGGCAGAAGATTGTGGTTGATGGAGGCATAACTTCGTCCACTGGTCGTGTTTGAACTTGATTACTAAGAAGCTCAGGGTTCATCATCAACCACATTTTTGAACTTCGTCACACTGTGCTTGCCGACATCACCAAATACATATAAGCTGATCACTTCAGATGTGCCTTCTTTTTCGACCACTAAAGTGATAAAGCTCGTTGGTTTCATCCAATCTTCAAGTTCTCGAAGCGTCAGTGATGTAGGTCATTGGGGGAACCCTGGCAGAAGATTCCATAATTGAACAAACGTGATCAGCCACGTGAATGGCGGCCATGGGATTCAAGGAGAACCCGCGGCTGACTGACTTGAACGCAACTGCTTATGGTGCAGATCAACCAAAGTCAGGATCGGAGATCGTGCCTGCTCGAGTTCGATGGAAATGTGGAAAGCGGAATCTCCGTGCCGGCTTCGAAGCCGAAAGACAATGACTCTGTAGCACATAAACTATCAATCTTCCTGCTTGTTCACGGAGTACCTTGAACAAAACAGCTTCAAACATTCGGATCATCGAATACGGACCTTTAGATTTCCAGCAACCACCGATACCCGTCTCAACTCAGCAAGGCGACATCAAAGCGACATGGCCGACTCCGAAGCCTCCTCCAAAATCTTGGTCTCACACGCCAACGCCCATACCTATGTCAAATCCGTGCTGCAAGCCAATGGCGTTTCTGATCCCCACGCAGCAACAGTAGCAGACTGCCTTGTCGCTGCCGATCTCCGCGGCGTCGACACTCACGGCGTCAACCGCATTCCTTCCTACCTCGCCCGCATCCGCCAAGGCGTCCTGGACCCCACCGCCGAACCAACCATCAAAGATATCACTCCCGTTGTCGCCCAAGTCGATGCCAAAAATGCCTTTGGCTTCGTCGCCGCCAAGATGGCAATGGCAAGGGCAATTGGAATGGCAGTTGCTTTCGGCATCGGTATGGTCAGTGTAAAGCACAGTAATCATTTCGGCATGAGTGCTTGGTTGGTCCAGCAAGCTCTTGATGCTGGGATGATGAGTTTGGTCTTTACTAATTCGTCGCCTGCACTGCCTGTTTGGGGTGGTAAGGAGAAATTGATGGGGGTGTCGCCGATTGCTTGTGGTGCTCCTGGTGTCGAGCATGATTTCATCTTGGATATGGCGCCTTCGGTCGCAGCGAGAGGCAAGATTTATAAGGCCAAACGTAGGGGTGAGAAGATACCCGAGGACTGGGCGTTGGACAAAGATGGTAATAGGACTGATGATCCGGCTGCTGCATTGGAAGGTGTAATGCTTCCAATGGGTGGGCCAAAAGGATCGGCCTTGTCGATTATGATGGATGTGTTTTCGGGGGTGCTGTCTGGATCTGCTTTTGCTGGCCATGTTACCAATCCTTATGATCCGTCCAAGCCGGCGGATGTGGGACACTTCCTGATCGCCTTGAAGCCTGATCTTTTCCTTAGTTCAGAGGAGTTCAAGGAGAGAATGGAATATCTTTACAACAGAGTAAGTCGACTGACAGCAGGTGTCTGACATAAGTGCTAACACAACCACAGGTCATCAATTGCGAGAAGATGGCAGGTGTCGATAGAATCTACTTCCCCGGCGAAATCGAACAGTTGACGGAAGCGGAAAGAAGAAATTCCGGTATACCGTACGTCGAAGCAGAGATTGAAGCTCTGAACGCCGAGGCAAGGCGAGTGGGCGCTCCGGATCTAGTTGTATCATGAAGAGAACAAGAGGAGCGAAGAAGGAAAGTGATGAATTTGACGAAGATTACTATTATAAAGACGACCAGCCAGAAAGAACGCCCGAAGTAAAACCAAAGACTACATAGAGAAAATCACTGAAGCATTCACCCTTCGACTCACTCGAAAGACACCAGCTTGCTCTTCTTGAGAATCAACTTTGCAAGCTCCATCAGACTGGGACTTGTCAGCAACTCCAAGACTTGAACGTTCGCGTCTGCCTCTCTCGCAATCCAGTTGCGAACCTCGATGGCAGCCAGTGAGTCCAAACTGTAGGAAGCAACAGCGGCGGATGGCTCCATCTCCTCAACCGACAACATCAGGACAGCAGCCAGCTTGGTGACAAGAGCCGTGTACAAAACTTCTAGTGCCTTGTCACTACTACCAGCAGTCTTCAACGCTTGGGGAAGAGGCACGTTTGCATTTCCGCCGTCTTGAGATGTCTGCGACACAGCTGCGGCGAGCAGGTTGCTGAATTTGGCATCGTGAGACCAGAACGGCTCCGAGCCAGGTTGAATCTTGAGACCAGTGATGACGTGATTGTTGCTTGCGGTGATTTTGCCAGTCACAGCAGCAGTGAGCAAACCAAGAATCTCGCTTTCTTCAATGGTTTCGCCGCCGAGGTTGCGGAGAACATCGGCCGCTCTTTCGCTGTTGTCGGCGAGGTAGCCAACATCCGAGACTGCAGTCAAGTCGAGAGATGTACCGGGAAGACCTTGAGCATTGCGGTGAGCCATGAAAGTGTCCAGGAACACGTTGGCGGCTGCATAGGCAGCTTGACCACGGTTGCCAACAACACCAGCGACGGAAGAAAGGGCGATGAAGAAGTCAAGTTTGGAAGATCCGAGAGTGTTGTGCAGGTTGAGTGTACCAGTAACCTTAGGATTTACGACTGCGTTGAAGTCATCTGTGGTCATCTGCTCGTATAGAACATCCTTGAGTACCATAGCACCTTGGATGACACCACGAACGGAAGCTTCTTTCTGGAGGCTCTGTATCAGCGTCTCTACAGAGCGAAGGTTTGCTACATCGCAAGCACGGATTAGAATTCTTGTTCCTTGCTGAGCGAGGTCACTGATGAGCTCTTCAAGTCTAGGCGTGATGTTCGCTCTTCTGGATGACAAGCAGATAAGCTTGGCACCACGAGATGCCATCCATCGAGCGATACTGCATCCGAGGCCTCCCGTACCTCCAACAATCAAGTAGGAGGCATCTTTCTTGAACAAACTTGCAGTCTTCTTTGGTGAGATGGCTTGGACAAGATCGCCAGGCTGAGGAGTGATGACCAACTTGCCCATGCTCTTGCCGCTTTGAAGACTGCGGAAGGCAGCCTCGACTTCGTTGATGCCATAGCTTGTAACGGGACCCACCGGTCTGATGCTACCATTGCTCATGAGCTTCTCGACATCGTTCAAGAGCCTCTTCATAAGCTGAGGACGGTACGCAGCCACCTTGGTCAAGTCGACAGAAGCAAACGACACGTTGTACTCAAATTGAGCCATCTCGAGTCTACTGTTCTTGGTGATATCAGCCTTGCCGATCTCGATGAAGCGGCCGAAGGGAGCCAGGCAGTCCCAACTTTCACGAAGGAAGTCGCCTCCGAGAGAGTTAAGCACAATATCGACACCTTGTCCTCCAGTGGCTTGGCGAATAGCAGGACCGAAAGTTGTGTCACGGCTGTAGAAGATGTGGTCTTCAGCAATACCATATTCTGTCATTATGTGTTGTTTCTTGTCAATGCTTCCAACAGTAGCAAAGATCTCAGCGCCGCGTGTCTGTGCGAGCATGATTGCGGCTTGACCAACACCGCCAGCAGCGGCATGGATGAGCACGCTTTCGCCTTCAGTGAGACGTCCAAGATCGAACAGGCCGTAGTAAGCGGTACAGAAAACGACAGGAATAGTCGAAGCAGCGGTGAAGTCCATTCTCTCAGGCAAGGGAGCGACGCTGGTCGACAAGCAACGGGCGTATGTGCTATAAGCACCTTCAGTCATCGCCATAACAGATTGCCCAATCTTGACATCGGTGACATTCTTGCCGACCGCTGCAATGACACCAGCACACTCAACACCGATGTAAGGTTGATTGAGTTGTCCCATGGAGACGACCACATCCTTGAAATTCATACCAGTAGCCTTGACCTCAATCTCAACTTCATTGTCACCAAGTGGCTTAGGTTCGTCATCCACGAAATAGAAAGAATCAAGAGAGCCGAGTGTGGCAATGACCATCTTCAAACGACGATCCGGCTGTACGAAGGGCTGCTGATACACGACTGAATCCTGTGACTCCTGATGAAGTCTTGTGTTCAACTCGTCATCGTCGACCACTCTCGGAATCATCAAATTGTCGCCCTTGAGGATAAACTCTTTGTCGTCTTTGAAAGCCGAAGTAGAGTCAGAACCAGTCTTGGAGAGAACAGCAAAGATGTTGTCACCGATGGCCTTGTTAGTGGCATCCTGTAGACCCAGAGTGATGATGTCCGCAGAAGTCTCCGAACGAATAGCTCGGGTGAAACCAACGACCATGCTTCCTTCGACGTCAGCATCGTTTGGACCCTCTTTGTAAACCCACAGGACTTTGCCAGCAGAGAGAAGCATCTGACGCAAGGAGTCAAAAGTCGGCGCATCGATGTTGCCAAGAAGATTCTTGCATGTAGATACAAAGATGACTTTCTTATCAGTGACCGAAGCCTTGGAAAGCGCGACGAGTGCAGCTTGAGTACCAGAAGTCTTCCAGATAGAATCGGCGATCTCACTTGCGAAGTCTTTCTCACCAGCCTCGTTATAGACAACGCAAACAGCCTCATCTCTCATGAAAGGCGTGCTGACAAGAGAATCGGTCTTAATTGGAGTATCAGAGATGTCTGATGTAGAATTATCCAGTGCGGCCTCTTCCTCTGACACGACTTGCCAGTCGATCTTGTAGCAAAGCTCGCGAGCTTGTGGGCCAGAGCTGGTGCTCGACTCACGCAGGGGAGTCATAGTGAGACCGTCGAACTGCATGAGAGGCTCATGAGCGCTGGCAGGATCAACAACGAAGAAGCCAAACTTGGTAGGCTCAGGCGCTTCTCTGTTTGGTATTCCTGAGCCGAAGACCTCGAGTTGACTACCAGGTACAGCAGAGAAGTTACGAGATATGCTGAAGTTCTTGACGAAAGTGGGCATATAAAGTGTGTCCAGTCCCTGGCGGCCAGCGCCAAAGATGGGCCAAACAATCTGAATGATCTGGTCGAGCAATGCAGGGTGGACAATGAGATCAGTCTCATAGCCCTTTGGCATGAGCGATTTAGTCTCAGGGACGATAAGCTGAGCGTGAGCTGTCCTGTCACTTGCTTGGCAAGGCTTCAGACCAGTGAAAACAGGTCCATATTCGGCACCGATAGCGGTGAGAGTCTCGTACATGGCTTCGGTGTTGACAGCATCGGTGGAGGCACTGATGATATCTGACATGCGGAGTTCGAACGCCTTGGCAGCACTTTCGGCCTTGTGGGCATCAACACCGTTAGTAGCTGGTGAAGTGCGAACACCGACAAGACCGTGACAGTGTTGGAGCCAACCACGCTTGGAATCCCAAGAGCAGATCTTGAACTCGTCCCACAGGTCAGATACAGCACCCCGGAGCCCCTCACTGTAAGGCTTGAGTGTGATTGTCATCTCGACATCAGTGTCTTCGTTGAGAACCAAGGCACTGCTCACGACGAATTCACGAATCTCGAAACGATCGAATTGAACTCCACGAGCACTTGCACGTCTAGTAGCAGCTTCAAGAGCCATGCCCATGTAACCTGCCATTGGGAACACAGGCATAGATTGCATCTTGTGACCACGAAGGAACGGCAAATCATCCAAGCGAACAATATTTCTCCAAGTGGGTTCCAGATCATTGGACCAGTCGGCAAGTGTTCCTAGGATGTCGTTACGACCGCCTTCTTTGAAGCAATGCTTCTGTGACAGGCGAGATTCGTGCCAGTATCTGGTGTCGTGGTTGAATGGATATCTCGGGAGATCGGTGATTAGCTTTTGGTTGACACTTTTCGTGCGTGGGAAGTTGATCTCGCCAAAGGTCAAGGGCAGACCTTTCATGTAGAGGACACCAGCCATACGTAGAGCACATTCGGAGGCATTCTGATTTCTTGCAAGGACAGAGACATATTGCAACTTCCCCTTTGCTGCATCAATGGTAGCAAGGGTGTCTCTGATTGGACCTTGAAGTGCCGAGTGAGGTCCAAGCTCGACAAGGTGATCAATCACCTTGGAGCCAGTCTCCTTGGCCATTGCACTCAGAGCATCGGAAAATCTGACGGGGGAAGTAAGATTCTGCACCCAGTAGTCTGGTGTGAGCTCTGAAGGTGCAGCAACTCGTCCGAGCAGAGATGAGTAGAAGGTGGCTGTGGCTGTAGCAGACGGATGGACGTTCTTGATCAAGTCGAGGTATTCTCCAGCAACAGGCTCGAGATGGGCGGAGTGATAAGCGACACCAACCTTGAGCTGTCTGTTAAAGATGCTCTTCTCAGTCAAGATTGGCTGGAGCTCTTCGACAGCCTCGACATCGCCCGAAAGAGTTACCGAGGAGGGACTGTTGATACAAGCAATGGTGACATAGCCTTTAGTAACAGTGTCGAGATACTGGCGAACGTTCTCAGCACTGGTGCCAACGGCCATCATCGTGCCTTGAGGTCGGCCAGCTGCTTTCTTCTTCAGACTGAGCATACATTGACCCCTGTAGTATGCGATTTTCATCGCATCTTCGAGACCAATAATGCCAGCGGCGAAGGCACAGCCAATTTCACCAGAAGAATGTCCGACGACTGCAGCAGGATGGATACCCCAGGAGCTCAGAAGCATGGTGAGAGCAACTTGTAGCGCAGTGCAGGCGGGCTGACTAATGTGGGCAGCGTTGATGAGTGATTGCTCTGCAGGTTTCATCATCTCCTCTGTTTTCTTGTCAGTCCTAGTATCATCGAGAGTGAGTGTGCATCGAACCTTTCAATGAGAAGTCTGCTCCTAGTCCTCTCAAGGTATCATCAGCTTTGTCTAGGGCAGCTTCAAAGATTGGGTAGTCGCGAGCGAGCTCAGCACCCATAGCAGCCCATTGTGCTCCTTGACCAGTGAAGACAAATCCAAGAGTAGGTTCATTGCGAGCTCTGAAGGTAGGGACTTTCGTAGTTGCGAGACTCTGTCCTAGTTCGTCGGATGAGACTGCAGCAATCGCGATTCGACAAGGTAGATGGGAGCGTCTTTCGCCGAGTGTGTAGGCTACATTGCCGGCAAGTAGTTTCTCAAAGACCTCCGGCCGTTGCTCAAGGAAAATACCGAGATCTGTGATCTTCTTTTGTAGAGCCTGTGAATCATGGGCGGAAAGAACGAAGAGCTTGCACAGCGGGTCTCTTGGTGCTTCATCAAGGGAGGCTACAGTGGTCATAGTGGTCTTGAGGCCCTTGGGCGCGGCACCCAAGACGACATGAGCATTTGCACCCCCGAATCCATAGTTGGAAACAGAGACGTACTTCTTGCCTCGTGGCCAAGGTCTGGTGGATGTTGGGACCTAAGTTGTTAGCTTTCTGATGATTATGACGTTTATGATGGCCATGGCCATCATGATCATTACGATAAGCACGACGATCGTGACGATCATGGCGATCAAGACGTTGCGTACCTTCATATTGTACTCGTTGAGAGGGATGTTAGGATTTGCCGTCTCGAAATTCGCATTGGGTAAAAGCATGCCTTTCTCCAACATCATCGCGGCTTTGATAACCGAGACAATACCGCTGGCACCCTCGAGATGACCGACGTTACTCTTTACGGAGCCGATGAAAAGTGGACTTCTAGGGCTGCGACCAGCGCCTAGCGCTTCGTGAATACCAGCGACTTCGATCGGGTCACCTACCTTAGTGCCGGTTCCATGACACTCACTGAAGCCGCACTCGGCTGGATCCAATCCTGCCTTGGCGTAAACCTGTTTGATCAGATCCGATTGAGCACGTCCGTTTGGTACAGTGATCCCGTTCGTCTTGCCGTCTTGGTTCACACCAGAGTTGTGGATGACAGCTCGTATAACATCACCATCGCGGATGGCGGCATTGAGTGGCTTCAAGACTATTGAGCCTGCGCCTTCGCCGCGAGCGAATCCAGAGATCGCGCGATGATCGAAAGCAAAGGTTTTACCAGCATCGTTGAGCAATCTGTAAGATGTCAGGCTAATTTGGTCCCTCGAGTTCAACAAACTTACTGTGTGTTGGACATGGTGACGAAGAAATCGGGCGTCAAATTGAGGTGAGCAGCGGCAACGACCGCGGATGAAGACTCGCCATTGCGAAGACTCTGCATAGCACTGTGAAGTGCTACCAATGATGACGAACATGCTGTGTCAACAGTCATACTAGGACCTCGAAGATCAAAGTAGTACGACAGCCGGTTGGACTGCATGGCCGGAGCACAACCAGTAGCTTGATATGTGGGAGCAGTATCGATATCTCTAGTGTTGTTGACCTCATAGTCTGCAAAAGAGCCACCGACGAAGACGCCAATGTCTTTACCAGCGACACCCTCCTTGGTCATACCCGAGCTCTCAAAAGCTTCGAACGTACATTCAAGGAGGAGACGTTGTTGCGGATCAAGGGCGGTGGCTTCTTGGACTGTCATGTTGAAGAAGGGGGCATCAAACCGAGCGGGGTCTTCGTGAAGGAAATAGCCACCTTCTGTGTTGATGCATCCATGTTTTCCAGGTGCTGGATGGTAATATGCATCTTTGGAGTAGCGTGTTGAAGGTGTAGGTCCCCAGCCCGTACGGCCCCTGGAGCACAGCTCCCAAAGATCCTCTGGAGATGAGACGTCGCCAGGGAGTTTGCAAGCGTATCCTACGATGGCGATCGGTTCGAGCGTAGCTGATGCCATTGTGATGTGGTAGCAATGTGTAGGTAATGATTAAGTATTAGTCTTGTATGATGAATGGAGAGAAAGAATAGTTGAAAGGCCGAGTGGCACGAGGGGCTCTCGACTTTATCACCTCTCGACTGTCGTCTGTCTTCTTGTGTCGCCATCGAGCCGACATGATCTTCATTGAGCGATTTCCACAACTTCGAGCGTTGGGTCAACACAGAAGACCTGAGAAACTCGTGTCGACAGTGCTATCACAGTACGGCCGTTCGCGTTGGGACGCCTCAAGGCATTTGATCCACAAGGATCATTACTGCTATCGACCAACTGCCATTAGATGCTGACTCGAGTAACGGACTTGTTGTTCCTCTTGATTGTCGTCTCTAATCCTCATACCGGAAGCGGACGCAATACCGACTAATCTTGGACCAATAGGGTTTGTCCTGAGGGCACAGGCTGCATTCTCAACGTTGATACGGAGCTATTTCGTAAGAAGTGGTCAAAAGTCCGTGACTATACCAGCGCGGTATTATCGCCTCCAGTCCTCTCGGCCGAATCCTTGGTCCTCGATGTTCGATCAAGACCTCCAAACGACGACAACGAGGCCGCTAGACCAAGGGATTGTGTGTCGGAATAGCGGTGTTAGGCTGGAAGGGTCTACAAGCTTTCGCTTTAGTAAACAACCTGCATGGACACGAATTGCCGTTCTGTTGATCGTCCACAAAGGGTCGCTGATCACTTCCGACTAACGAGGAAGAGGCATTTGACATGTGGAAAGAAGACAGGGACAACAACGCTCGAAGGATTGGGAAGGAAAGTGCAAGCCGGAGAAACAACGGCGCTCGACGAACAGACCACCTCTTGTACAGTGCGCCTCCAGTTTTCGGATCTATCCACATCTCCCACCAATCGGCAGCACAAGCCATTCTGCGAACTAACTTTCTCTCTTCTCGCCTACATGGAAGCTATGTACGGGCGTAAAAGGGACCGACTCGATTAGAACATACTTCATGCAAGACATCATTGATAGACACAGCTCTGAATGATCTTATCTGCCTTTCTCAACCACGACCTATGTCAAAGTGGAGTCTTGCCGATCACCCATGTGTCTCATCCTTTTCTCCTATGTGATTGATAACGGGCGGAAGGAATAGGTCTGAACGGTTTGAAGAGGGACCTTCAATGAGCCCTGGGATTCTTCGAGTCAGTGGTGGATTCTTTTGTCTTTCCAGATTCTGTATTTCCAATCCATCATCCTACTCAACACACCAGAACATAGCTCAACATGAAGTTTTTATGCTTACACGGCGCCTATGGCAACATCCCGGTAGGTCAGGTACGGTCAAACATCAATGTGTTTACTGACCAGGAATAAAACAGGCTGCGAAAGTCCAGCTAGGACCGATGATAGATATCCTTGAGGCTGATGGAGCGGCATCCTTTGATTTCATCCAAGGCCGTGTACCAGTGACACCACCTCCAGGTAAGAAATCTTGACCACCCGCACTGAACGAGACTAACATGGTATCAGGCTTCGAGTCGTATTTTGGACCGGGACCACACTTTCGTTTCTTGAGAGACCGAGGTGAAGCTGAGGCTTCGGCAGTCGAGGGCATCAGAGTGTTCCCAGAAGCTGACACCCCTGAGGATGCTCTACGTGCTCTCATGCCAGCGGGAGAAGCGAAGATCGGATTTGCTGGAGCTAGAGAAGCTGCCTTGGAGCAACTCTATGAGGCACTCGACGCTGACCCTGAAATTTGCGGAGTTGTTGGCTACAGTGAGGGTGCATCTGCAGCAGCAACCTTGATCTACGACGAGCAAGAACGAATGAGATCCGAAGGGTACGTTCCCAGGATCAAAGCTGCCATTTTCTTCATGGGATGGCCTGCCTTGACAAGCGAGAGTGTACCGGCATTGTCGGACGAGATTGAAGACCTGCTTGAGGTTCACTCTTTGCACATTATCGGGGCGAACGGTATGTCCAGCAATCAGAGCAATTGTTGATAGTCATGAGCTGACTCTTGTAGATCCGTACAAAGATGGCGCACTTGCCTTGTATAACCTGTTCGACGATAACATGGCTATCTTCTTCGATAGTGCAGGCGGTCATACCATTCCTCGTCATGGCAAATTGTTACAAGAGCTGGCCGAAGCGGTAAAAGGGCTGATTGTCAACGTGCATGAAGATGACTCTGTACAACTCCCAGAGCCAGTGAAGGTAGCCAAGCGTTTGGATTCGGCTGTCAACATTCCTGACTTGAGTGCGCTCAAGCTCTCCCATCCGTGATGGAGCAGCTCCAGGAAGAGGTTAGGAATGAATTAGCTCCGAGCAGCTCGAACCACCATCACAATGTTATACCAGATTCAACGTCCACGAAGTACTGAGAAAGCGCTGGCTGTAAGACCTGTAGCTAGCACTTGAGTTCCCTACGCGTCAGATGCAATTTCGCCAGGTTCCCTCGAACATAGTGAAGCCTTCTGAGGTGCGCGTAGTTGGTAACGCGGGACAAGACTCGTCACAAGCTCTGGCGTTTCGTGTGAGGAGATTGGTACACGCACTGGCCGACTGAACATCGGCATCGTGAGGGTTGTTTGGACGCGCGAGAAAAGAGGAAAGTGTCAATGGTGCGCCAGCCCATATTGGCAGTTTATGATTGTGGCGATCGTGATAGCAGATAGAAGCGCGCGCCTAAAACCGACTAGTCTTAGTTTGGTACCCATCATTGGAATGTCCATCGTGTGTTTGACCATCCAAGGCGGAAGGAATGTATTTCGGACAGAGAAGATTGTTGTATATTCATCCCGAGCATATTCCTCGCCACGCACGAGGTTTTGTGTATGGGAGAGCAGAACTTGTTTGTTGGCATCATGCTTGGTTTGGTGTTGGAGCTAGCCTCACTGGGCACTGATCGAGGTGGCGCGAAATCCTCGCGTGACAGTCGCGTCACCACCTACATCGCCGCTGCACCACTTTGCTCATGAGATACAATCTTGACAGGGGAACCATCTGCCAATCCTCAATTGCTTTGACATAGTTATCGTCATGGCTTATACGACACTCTTGTCTCTCGGCCCAGAGATTCACAGTATTATTGCCTCACAGTTGAGCTCCCACGACTTTGGCCATCTCCGCTCAACCTGTAAAGAGCTGTGCAATCGACTTGGGGCACAGTTCGCGGAGCAATGTTTTGCGGAAAGGCGATTTCTCTTTACGCAGGATAGTCTGCAAGGTCTGGTTGATCTCACTGCTCATAAAGTGTTTGCACCTCACATCAAGAAAATCCTCTTTGGCTCTGGAAGGCTTTCTATCTATCCAAGCTGTCCACACTGGATCACCGAAGACGAAATGGACGCGGAAGCCCTGCGTCTGCGTCAGCTCTACGTGGCGGCGGCAAAGAAGCAAGAGGCGTTCATCGCCTCCAAGCAGCACATTAGAATGATGCACGCCGCTTTGAGAAATCTCAAGAAATATATTGGCAAGAAGAAGTACAACAACCGGGTCACTCTTGGTATCTTTGACGTGGCTGGAGAGATTGCTACATCCAAAGGATCTCACTATTGCCACCACAGTGTTACATACTTCAGAACTGCTTACGGCTTCGACAAATTCTTGGGCGAGCTATCTGAGTTTCAAAAATGGGGCGAAGCGGGCCTGGATCCGGTAGAAGAATGGTATCTGAACCCTCTCGACACGACAAGGGATATCCGGCAGGCTTGCAACAAGGCAAACTTCGAATGGAACAGCATGGAACTTGATTGTATCTGGCACCAAAGCTTTCCGTTCGCCTCTACCAATGGATGGTTTACTGTGGATGATGGCTGTAGCTCACAAGCTCATGTCCACCTGGCTATCGGTATGCTGGATCACGAGGAATATGGAGATGCAGATCTCTGCGTCAAAGTGTCGAGAGGCTACGAGTCTGAGCTGCGGATCATGACAAAGAACAGACGTCTGGAGTTTCGAGTCAAAGCTGGCGACACAAAAGACGAGCCAGCCTTCAGGGGCGTCAGCGAAGAGTATGGGAAAATTTCCAAGGACTTTGGAAAAGATGTTTTCCAGGAACTGCGACTGCAAGATTGCGTGGTCGGGCTTCGCCGCCTGTGCAATTTCTTCGTTGCACATGCAAAGACGTTGCGCAGAGTCGAGCTTGTCAATGTCAGACTGGATGTCACAGACCGATGGGCCACCGAAGATTGCGCTTCAGGCACACCACTTACGCTGTTGAAGTGCATCAGAGAGAAGCTCAAGCTAGACAGTCTGATCTGCAATAACCTGCGTTGCAATACTAGCGAAGGAATCTTTCCAAGTAACGAATATGCAACATTCATCAAAGGGCCTGCTGAATGGGACGGTACAAGGTATATCACGGAGACAATGAATGTTTTGATTGGGTCCGATAACAAGGATTGGAAAGAGGAGGCGACTGGATGGGATCAGGTTGAGGTCGATGAAGAGTATCACCTGGACGATTACAGTCTTGACTTTGAGGACTTTCCAAGACATCGCAGAGGGTCATGAACCATCAGCCTTCCCAATGTCGCAGAGTTACTCTTTAGAGCAAGAACAATGGCCGTCAGCTAAAAGCACCACAAAGGAGCAGCAATCAAACATGACGGAGTATTTAATGCGAGATTCCAACTTATGAAGCCAATTCACTCCCATCATCGACCGCCAACCCACAGTCAACATCCGCAGGAAGCATTGCCGCTCCAATGGACATTGACCTCAGCTCTCCCAAATACTACAGTGATGGTGAAGGCGACCAACCTCCCGATGATCTGCTCCCCCACTCCAAAAGAGCACCCGACGATATCTTCCTCACACACCTGAACGAAGTCTACAACCGCTACGTCGACAGAGGTTCTTTTCCCCCATTCCTCACCAATTTCTCAGTCGCTAATCCCAAACCTTTTTCCCTACAGACCAACACTTGATCTCCCTCCCCAAAGGCTACACAATGTACTACTGCAATCTCGTGATTCATGGCATTCGTCAAAGCGATGGCTTTCGCTCTACCCACATCTTCGGCCATCCCAAGGGTTCTTATAGGTGTTGGAAACAATTCGCTGTGCATGTTGCTAGTATTGTCAAGGGCGATTTGGAGAATTGTGCATGTTCGCTTTGTGTAGAGAGGGAGCCACCTGACTTGTTGAAAAAGGGGGAAAAGGAAGTCAAGATTAAGAAGGAAGAATTGAGTGATTGATTGTTGTGGGAGGGCGCGTTTGGGGATGATGTGGAGAGGGTGTTATTTTGCCGGTGCTGGTAGGTTCACGAGAACTAAAGGGTTAAGGAGAAGCTTTCCTGACAAAGGCCTCGTCGGACCAAGGGATCGCAGAGCGGAGGATAGAGACGAGAGGAGATGTCCGTTTACTGCGATCACATACATGGAACCTCAGAACTGAATGGACGTCGATAACCCAAAAGTGAAGGAGGCAACAAGCAACGAAACACAATAGAAAGTGAACAATGGAACCAAACAACACAAACTAGACTAAACGAACCGAGCATAACAGTGCCGAACAGACGTGTATCCACATTATCCTCCACGATCCACCGTCGGCCAATCAACCAAGTCGTCGACTCGTCCACGACACATCGCCTTCCATCATCCATCAACCAAATCGACAACCCGTCAAGATGACAAACGCACCTAACAATCCTCGTTCCGCCCCGGCGCTCGCTCCGCGCACCGCCAAAAACACGTTCATCGTCGACGATCTCCCAACCCGCAGTATCGATCTCAGCGCCCCTCAATACCGCAGCGATGGCGACTTGATCAACATCGCCGGATATCCACCAAGACAATCTGATGAGATCTTCCTCTCTCTTCTCACCAAAATCTTCAACGACAATCCCAGGCTGGTCAAAAAACTAGGTCAGTGATTCCTAACCTTCACCTTTCCCATCACCTTGCCATGTTCGGAACACACAAACTTACACCATCACGCGCAGGCTACCATCCCACCTTCACCTCCGCCCCACCCACAGGATTCTTCCTCGTCAACTTTTCCAAAATCGACAAGTTGCAATTTCCTGCCGAGTACTTGAGCGAGTCTTCAAAGCGGGGAATGATGCAAGTGGTGGGTCATCCAAGCGACATGGCGTATTCGAGACTGGAAGATTTTGCTGTGCATGTCTTTTGGATCGTGGTTGGAAAGGTTGGCTATTGTGATTGTGTTTTGTGTGTAAAGGGTAATGGGTTTGATTGAGAGGGATGAGACAATGAGATATTTGGATGCCTGAGATCCGAGATCCGAGGTTTCTCAGGGTTTGAGAAAGGAAGGTAACAGAGGAATTGAATGAGACACGAACAAAGATGCTGCGGCTTGCATATTCTACAGCAAGGGTATCGAAACTGGACAGAGACAAAAGAGGCAGGAGTTCCGAGACAAAAACTCATGTCTTCTTCCCAATCAGGGGATCGACATGGCTAGTAGTCCATGTCTCTGCCACCGCCACTCCTCCTCTTATCTCCTCTCCTCTGCTTCTTATCCGGACAATCCTTCTGCAAATGTCCCTTTTGACCACATACATGACAAGCCATATTCGCCATAGCAGCCTGTTTACCTCTGATGGCGGCATTCGAGATTCCTCCTACTTTGTTGAGGTTGATGTCTCTGCTTCTTCGTCGCTCGGCCATTTGTTTTGTCCGTGCTTCTTCTGCTTTTCGTTGTTGTTTGCGTTCGGCGCGAAGTTTGGCTGCTGCTTCTTTGCGTTCGGCTTTGATCAGGAGGTCGGCTTCGGATAGGTCTTCGTCATCTTCTGAGGATTCTGATTCTTCGTCGTCTTCGTCGTCTTCGGATTCTGAGGATGAGAGGTCGGGGTTGTGTTGGCGCTGGAGGTTGTCAGTATGCGCAATGTCGGACTCGGGGTATGAAGTGCTTACCTCGACAGCCTTGTTGAACTTTCCAAAACTCCTTCTTCCTGCCATGCCTGCGCTTTGTTCCTCCTCTTCATCGTCACTCTCAGGTATCGGTGCGCCCGAGTCAATGGCGCCGTATCCAGCTTCTACAATGCGCAATGAAGATGCAGTGTTTTGTGGTTTGTCGTCGCTCACACTGAGCACCCATTTTGTCTCTCCAGCTTCGGCGGCGGCGCGTTCGATGAAGGCGTTCTTCTTCGCTTCCTCGGCGGCTGCGGCTTCTTGGAATGCGCGGACATCGGGGTCGACTGCTGCTTCTGTTCTTTGACGCTTGGAAGGTCTTGTGCCGTCTGGAGTCGTGGGTGTAGTTGGTGTTGATGCTGATGCGCGTTGCATGAACTGAATGTCTTGATTAGTTTGGAGATGTAGTGGTAAGCGACGGGACTGCGAACCTTCATGTTCAGCAAACGCGACGACATGTTTTTGCCCGACATGGTTGATGAGTGGGTGGACTGTTTTCAAGATGTTGTTTTGTTGCTTGTCGCAAACATGTCTTTGCCCGAAAGATTTCTTGAATCTTGATCTCGAAGGGAAGCTGTGACGCGGATGAATGTCGGAGACCGGCGAGAACGACGGGAGGCTCGGCCCGCTGCCTTCGGAATCTTTTCCGCTACGCTACCTGGTCTTGAGGTCCTTGGTTCTTCTACGGTGACACTCCAGTAATCTTCACTCTCTTCTAGCCATGTTCAATTATCACTTGCGGAGGTGTTCTCGACAGGGACTGCTCTTCTAACATCAATCCTGGGATCGACAAGTGTCTCTGAAAGGTCGACGTCGAGTTTACTGGGAAGAGCTGCTGAAAGTCATGCTCTAGAGAGGACTGTCGTCTCAAGCAGGCGACCAGATTTCGACCACTGGCTCTTCTGAAGATAAGAGCCGTCTGTAGAGCTTCCAAACTTACTAAAGTGGCCGGCAAGAGACATCTCAGATGGGTATAAGAAAGAGGTAGAGAAGGGTGTGGTGAATGAGATATATTGACATGCTTCTTCGCAGAAAGCTTGAAGTTGAGAAAACGGGAAACGATAACAAGGAAGAAAAGACCATCAACGCCGACTCCTCTCCATGCTGTAATGCAAAATCCAGGCGTACGTGATTTGTAAATGTCGTCATTTCCATTCTTATTCCAAGCTCGTGTAGGCGTCCATCTCTTGTCCATTGCGTCTTCTCTTCTCGATAGGGTCTGTTCGCATCTCGACTCCAGGTCCAACTCGTCTGTGCGAGGGGAAGATCTATCACTGTCAGTATCTTGTCTTTGATATCCTCTCTTCCATATCTGACCTTTGTGTTTGACCAGCCAAAGCGGAAGGCAAGCTCATTGGCGAACAGCTCGCCGAAGCCCAGCATGAGGCCGTTGACGAAAGGGAGGAGGAGGTTGATGGCGGCGCCCCGCGCCAGACCCCAGAAGGTAGGTGGGGAGTAGAGAATCAAGGGTGATGCTGAGTCTGAGGAAGGCGATGAAGGCGATGAGATGTCGGGCTGATCGTATGTCTCGCTGTCTGACTGCATCGTCATGGAGTCGTAGATGTCGCGCTGGTCGGCTGCCATGATGTCGACTTGTGGATGTCTGGTAGTGTTTCCAAGCAGGTGAAGCAGGTGCTCGGTCGGCGGTGATGTGGTAGAAGGCTCGATGTAGAGGGGCAAGGCTCGTATGCAAGATGCTCCTGTCAAGTCCGTCAATGTCGTTGGTTGTCTGTTGCGTCTGTCGCAAGATGGCTCTCGTCTGGCCGTCGACTGTCTTCCCCGGTGCCCGCAATCCGAGGATGTTCCGTTCGGTCTTGGCGTTGTCATGACGCGCTCCTCTCGGTGGTCGATCCGACGCTTCTGCACTCGTAGACAGCATGAAGTCGTGCAAGTCGAATGCTTACGATCTGGAGAAGCTACGATGAAGCTCTTCGAAATACGAAGCTCTCAGCCATGCAGTTGGATCAGGGCGTCGTGGAAGTGGCGTCTCTTGTGGCAGCCGTGCCTGACTAAATGCGAATCAGGCCTCCGATCATAAGTACGGTAGTCTTCATCAATCATCAGAGGCAAGTCTGTTTTTACACTCATCAACTACATCAGCATGAAATTCTCCCCTGACCACTTTTATCCCCTGTTCGTGACCGCCGATGTGTCGCTCACTGTAAGTGCCCACGATCTAACCTCCAACAAACCACCTCTTCTCATGCACAAAGGCGATCAATCATGTTGGAAAGCGCCCTCAACGAGGGATTCTCTCCCGGTTACTTCTGGGGAAGTGACTGGTTCCTGATCGAACATCCTGATCAGCACGACTTCTCGGGTCCGACGATGCCTCTCCGCGAGCACCTTGATAATGGCTCTCTTAATGCCTCAAATGATGAGCTCCAACAATTTATCAATGTCAAACTTCTCGGTCATGCTCGAGCAATGTACAGTGCCGTGTCGCTTTACGGCGTCATCGACCAACACACTGCCGAAGACAACACCGTCTCTGCGCTTTTGAAATGTTGACGAACTCTGTCTTCAAGAAGGACATGTTCGACGAACATGGGATTGGAAGATCCATCCTTCGCCAGTAGCATCTCTACTTGTTTCACGCCTTGACGGCCACAATCTGATGTCTGGATCAGATCACGGCGCTTATCTGAATGCCTTATTCTAAATTTAGAGACTTGCATGGAAGCTGCATTTCCCCGCTCTCTTATCTGTACTCGACCTCCCCATCCTCGTTCATTCCAAACTTTCCACTGTTGCGTAGATCTCACGAGGTTCTAGCCTGGTGCTACCGTCATGGCTAGCTCACAGCAACGCGAGACTCCCTCCCCTGACGATGGTCAAGCAGAAATCAATCGCGCCGACCAGTATACCATCGGCTGGATCTGCGCCTTGCCGATCGAGCTGGCAGCAGCTGTAAAGATGCTGGACCAAGAACATCAACGTCTGCCGCTACCTTCCAGCGATGATAACTCCTACCGTTTCGGATGCATCGGTGACCACAACATCGTTATTGGTTGTCTTCCATCGGGTCGTACTGGTCTCGTTTCTGCCTCCAGTGTTGCTGTACAGATGATGTCCGCGTTTCGTCAAATTCGCGTGGGTCTGATGGTTGGTATAGGAGGGGGTGTACCCAGTGAAGACAATGATATTCGCTTGGGCGATATCGTTGTGAGCCATCCTAATGGCCAACATGGTGGAGTGGCCCAATACGACTTTGGCAAGGCTCGTCCTGATGGAATCTTCGAGCGTACAGGATCTTTGAACGCTCCACCAAATGCCCTCCTCACTGCTCTCACCGATGTTAGAGCCGCCGAAGAGATGGACGAGCTCAAGATAGTCGACTACCTTTCGCGACTGACTGACCGACTCCCACCATACGCGTACCCGTCGAAGCTTACTGACTGCCTGTTTCAACCACAGTACTCGCACGTTGGCGGGAGGAACTGCTTTGGATGCGGCTCTGAGAACTCGGTGGATCGCGAAGAGAGAGACACCAAAGAACCGAGAATCCATTATGGCACCATCGCTTCTGGTAATAGGGTCATGAAAGATGCAATTGAGAGGGACAAAATCAGCCAAGATTTGGGTGGCGTTCTCTGCTTTGAGATGGAAGCCGCAGGCTTGATGAACAATTTTCCATGTCTGGTCATCCGCGGTATTTCGGATTACTCCGACTCTCACAAAAATGATGGCTGGCAACGTTACGCATCCGCTACTGCCGCCGCGTTTGCTAAGGACCTTCTATATCATCTTGCTTCTACCAGGATCAATCAGATTGAGCCCATTAGCCAAGCTATGAATCAGATGGCTTCGATGCTGACCAGGAATTTCGAGATGGTTGAACGAACGAACCAAGAGATTGGCAGTACGTTATAGCTTAGTTATTGTCGGACCGCTACTCACGTCTCTTGAAGGAGCCAACGAACGGGAGATTTTAGAGTGGTTGTCACCCTCGCTGAAGCTTTCAAGAATTCAAAATGTCACCCGAGATTGTCGAGTACATGAAACCGGAAACTGGTTCATACAAGACTCTAGGTATTCTACATGGTTCCAAGCCGGTGGCCTGGTCTGGTTGCATGGTGTTGGTGAGTTTATCTGGACGATTTCGTCCGAGACAAAGCTGACACACTCCAGCGGGTTGTGGAAAAACCGTGCTGAGGCATGTATCTTTCTATACCCTTTCCAAGCTTGCGTCTAACAAGATTCAGCTCCAGAATCATCGATGATCTCAAAGAACGATGTATATCACTATCAAACACTCGGATTGCGTACTGGTACTTCCAATTCAGCGATTCATCAACACAGGACATATCTTATATGCTTCGTTCCATTCTCAGACAGCTGGCTTCCTCCCCTTTGCCAGGTCGACTTCGTCGCCTTTGGAGCCAGCATTGCCAGAACCAGAGTGAACCTTCCCGCGCTGAACTGCTCGACGTGATCTCAGACATTGTGAATCGCCATGAAGTAGTTTGCCTGGTGCTCGACGCGCTAGACGAATATCCAGCCGATAAGTCTCCCGGAAGGCTCACTCTACTAGAGACCATCCAACAATTGATGATCTTGTGTGCCCCGTCTTTACGTTGTTTAGTCACCAGCAGAAGGGAACCCGATATCTGGAAGTCACTCCAGAGTGTCGCTTCCTGTGTCATCGATATTGAACCGGCCATCAAGGAAGATGTCGCGAAACTTGTAGCCTTTGCCCTCCAGCAATACTCAATTCGACGATGGGGCGATACAATTCTCGACTTGATTGCCACGAAGCTACTCGACGCAGAAGAAAGGTAGGGACAATCGGTGGTTTTGTGGTCGACTCTGGCTAATAAACTGAACAGGAGATTCAGGTGGACAGATCTTCAGATCAGGCGACTTTGTGCCTGTCCAACAGAAGATGACTTATTGACTGCTCTCGACACGATTCCAGAATCTTTGGAGGAAGCCTATCATCAAGCATTGGCAACGATACCGAGCACCCTGCAGGAGCGAGTCAGGAAAATCCTGATCTGGTTAGCATCGTCTTTTCGAGAGATGACATCTCGTGAGATCGCCGCGGTTGTCTCGTTCCCCTTTGTCGACGATGTTCTGAAAATCTGCACAAGCCTTCTGGTCACGGTGATAGATGGGGATACCCATGAGACGATCAAACTCGCCCACTTTACTGTGAAAGAGTTCTTGATAGTTCAACAAATCTACGATGAGAGCCTTTACTGGTACAAGTTTACAGCTCAGCTAGCACATCGCTGCATCACCGACCAAATCATCCACTACGTCTTCCCATCTTCGATATCATTTCCCAAGGCTCTCCGTCCTTACGCAGAAGGATTCTGGTTGGCTCATGCTAGACAAAACGACGCAACCACGGATTGGGCCGAGACTCAGCTTCTGGTCGATTGCATCCTCAAACATGACAACATCTTGTTCAGAGATTGGCTGAGGGCCAATCATCCTGCGGAGGCCTGTGCGCAATCGCCGCTCTACTATGCATCCTTGCTCGGCCTTGAGGTAAGCGTCATGAATCTCTGGCGAGAGCTACTCCCCGGCAGAAACGAGAACGAGATCCTTGGAAGTACAGTCACCACTGCCGCTAGAATGGGTCATGTGAAAATCGTCCGGTGGCTAGTCGGGCAAAGTCAGGATGTCACCAGCTACATAGACCTCCCTCGCATCGTGGAATGTCTGCGGGTCAACATTCACGAAACACTGTGCGACCTTTTGCAAAAGAGGCCAAAGATATCGCTTTCGGCTGGAGCGATTTATGCTGCTACTAAGAATACTTCAGGTGAAGTCATCTTGGAAGTGCTTCTTGACCAAGAGCTGGTCACACTAGCAATCACTGAAGACATCATCGAAGCAGCTGCACACAATCACTGGAACCGTAAAATCTTGGATATGCTTGTGTGGAGGCGAGTCAGAGAATTTCCCGTCACTCTTCGAGCATTACTAGCTGTCGCTAAAACTTCTTTACTGGCGCTAGAGATGCTCATGGATCATCGCAGAGATGACATAAGCTTCAGGGACCACGACTACTCAGCCCTCGCCTTGGAGCAATCGGTTTATACACTTCAAAAATTGCTCTCTCAAGGAGTCAATGTTCCTATCACCCCAGCACTGATAAAGTCGGTGGCTCGATCGCCTTGCGGATCTGAGATGCTGGAACTCCTTCTCGATCATTGCGCGCCAACACATTCACTCTCGAAACGCGAAGTATATGCAGTAGCAGCATGCTTCGATCTCAAGATTCTCATCAGGTTGATGGCTTTCCAGTGGGATGAGGACGTCAATCTCAATGACCTTTCTCAATGCATAGCTTACAGCTGCTACATTGAACCCCCAAAGCGGACCAGGCTGTCCGAACGTGCTTTTGATCGTTTCGGCAAGGTCCATAGAGACTACCGCCCGACACTGAGGCGCCCGAGTCCAGATGTTAAGAACACTGCTCTGAGATTGCTGTTGGTGAAAGCTGGGTCCACGTTACGCTTCACTAAGGAATTCTTTAGCCTTGTCGCAACCCGTTTTGCAATTATGCTAGACCATTCTGTAGGCGAGCCTATCTTTGCTGACGCCACTGGCCACTCAAAGATGCTTAATCCGTCCGACTTCTTAGTATGCATCAATCGACAAGCTTCCGAACATCGTATCCCTGAGGAACTTCTGTGTTACCTGCAATCTATGTGGAAGTTCGATATATCATCTGACTCTTCCAGCACCCAACCCGATCCGCATTCATCGAAACAAGGAGACTCGGTGAGCATATTTGTCGAATCGTATCCAGCCTTGCTTCAACACCATATATATTCTGACGCGGATTATGATTCGCAGTTCACCGTCTTCCTTCCATCAGTATCAATTTCAAAGGAGTCGGACCACATAACTGCTGTAGATGACCCTGATCTGATAGAACCGGAGGGTCATGCGCTCAAGACTTCTGATCTGTATGTGCCTGTTTGTGAGCCATATCAGTGCCAAATGGCGCAATGCGCTGAGCTTCCAAGCTTCATATACTCTTTTGATCTGCTTCGCCATCAACGCGAAGTTCACGGTATGCATGGCGGCCCTGAAGAGCAGCTCTTCTGTCCTGTCGAGCACTGTAAGCGACACACCGCGCAGGGATTCACGCGTCGTGAGAACCTGGAGGAGCATCTTCGCCGGGTGCATAAGCTTCGATAGTACAGGGGCTGCTGCGCAAGACATTTGCATATCTGGTCTAACCCCACCTGATCACGATTTTGAAGATTTATTCCAAGCGAATTAACACAAGCGCCTGAGATTTGGGAGTCACAGTGAGGCTCAGGGTAAATACAGATGTCCTGATAGAGATGCTTTTCGTGGGTCTGCTACATGTACCAAGTGCTCTTCGCCTCAGAATAGTGCATGGTATCTTGGGCCCAACAATGAGGTCCTTTGCAAAGCCTGTGTTTGGGATCTGGAGCTTCACGAGCATCTATCGCTACTTGCGTGGCATGGGCAGCCGTGGTGACACGACGGAAGAGGAACGGCTAGGTATAGCGCCAAGAATGTCTCCATCTCCTGATCTCGCTGTCAAGATCGCCATGGGCTTGAAGTTAAGACTCGCCGCCATGCTGCATATAGGCGCGATTCAAAGGTGGAAACGTCTCAAGTCTAGGAGAAAGTGCTTGGTTGGATGGGACAATTGCAGGAGTTCATGGAGACCTTGATACCGCATCCTATAAATGGAATACAGGTCCTGCCAAGGAAGAATCTATTTCAAAGGCCTCTGAATTGGTGTTCACTCTGCTATCTCATCATTGATTTTGGTAGCAGGCCCAGTGAACTGTGGGTTACCAACTCAGAGGACGTGGAGCAACATCAAGAAGGTTCTAGACGAGGACGCGAATTCGCATAGTCTTGCTGCGAGGTTTTGTGCTAGCTTCTGGTATCTTCAAACATCTACATCATTCTCGCTGGTTCTGATCGTGATTTTGCGGCTCTCCTTCGTGACAGACCACTCCTGTCCTACAAATCCAGACAGAGGACCTTGGGCAATATCCCACCCTTGACCTGCACAACGGTATTCGCTCTCGTCTCATTCGCCAACGCTCTGTTGATAACAAATGTTCCCGAAGTGCCCACCGGCGCATTAATGACAGCATTGATCTTCGCACCCTCGACATTCCATCTCACCTTCAACACACCAAACGGCGTCTGTACCTGTGCACTCGCCGAGGTCAATCCAAACCCAGTATACGCCGGCGCAATAACCCAAGTCTTGTATCCAAATGTTACCGGTCTGATGCCCGCAACATATTCAGTAAGAATATAAGTCGGTGCACCTCCCCATGGGTGAGATAGACTAGTATAGTGGGAAAGTCCCGGTTGCAGATTCGTATCCACGTATTCCCAGGACGCGCCGCAGTGTGTGGTATCGTTTGCTATCATGGCAGCCCAAAGGTTTTCGAAAAGATATTTCATCTCGGACGTGCGATTTGTTTGCATGAGAGCGGAGAGAAGGAAGCCGTTTGTATTTGGTGAGATTTTGGCGACGGTGTCGGAAGAGACGGCAGTTGAGTCTTTGTAGCCGGGAGACAGTGTTAGAGCGGCTAAAGCGTTCATGCAGGAGTTTGCTTGAGAGATTGTTGCGACGCCTGACGTTACTACGAACGAGAGACCTTGGACGGAGATCTTTGACTTGTTTTGAGGCGTGTCGCTGAAGTAACCCAGACTTGGTTGCCAGAATGTTGATTGGATTGTGGCATCTACTTGGCTAGCAATTGCATTCCAGGAACTGGCTGAAGCAGTGTCACCGATGGCTGTAGCGACAAGGGCAAGTTCTCGGAAAGCTTGTACAGAGGCAGCATTGACAGCTAGGCCGGCATCGTCTCCAAAGAAGGTGAAGCCTAGCGACACAAGACCTGTAGAGTTATCTATCTTTCCGATTAGATAGTTGACAGCGAGTTTCCACTGCGGCCAGTTTTGTGAAGCAAAAGCAATGTCGTTATGGTAGCGCATGTGAGAGCCGAAAGCAAGCAGGCCTAGAATATGATAGTCTTGCAGAGCATAAGAGTAGCCATCAGGTGTCAATTCGGCGAAGCTGAGAGTTGCAGAGCCAGGGTAACCAAGCGATGTGTCAAGTGGAAGCTGACCAGAGGGCAATTGCCAATCAAGGAAGTTCTTGAGCGTACCGGAAGAGTAGTCCTGACGAGAAGTCGACGTGGCAATGATTCCAGCTGTATGGTAGAAATCACCAAGCCAGACGAGACGATCACGTTTTGCACCATCCAAGCAGAGATCAGCAGTGTTTGACTGTACGCCATATTCCGGCAATACGGCTGAAGCGTTGGTCATTGAGTTTGTGTAGATGACAGTGCCGTTGCTTGAGGCAACCTTGACATCCTTGAAATATGCAGCCTGATCTTGCCAACCACCAAAGCCGAACGAGCCAGTAGTCGTGGCACCAGATGCTCCAGTATAGTAGTCATTCAGTGTAACATTGAAAACTTTGATTCCGTTGATCGAGACAGCAAGGAAGTTGCCTTCGTACATCTTTGCAGAGATGGAGTACCAGTGTCCTTCTTTGACGTCGAAGGGAACTTTGAAACTGTCGAGGTAGTATGATTCGAGTGTAGTCTGATTTACCAGGCTGAAACCATAACCGAGGACGATGGTATTGGGTGGAAGAAGTGTCTTGTTCACGTTGGCATAAGTAGTTGCCTCGGGGTAGTTTCCAACGAGATTGAGTTGAACGCCTCCAACTCTACTGCTGACAGGATAGGCCATGGTCCATCCGAGTCCACCACGCTTGATGTTGGCAGAAAATGTGAGGTTGTAATTGGAGAAGGTGTTGCCCTTGATAGAAAGACCAGCACGAGAACCTCTGACGAATGCGCCACTGTTAGGAGATACATCCCAGATCGACTTGTATGCACCCGCACTGAAGCATGAAGCACCAGCTGCTCTGGCGCCGAGTTTCCAGATCTCGTTGTACAATTGATTCGACGAACTGAATTGTCCAGGTAGCTTGTCGTAATCCAGTGCATCAATTGTTGCTGTAAAGCCAACATTCTTGAACGTGACAGTGCCAGAAGTGAGCAAGCGAATGGTTTGCCATCTTTGGCCACCTTGAGCAAGATACGAGTTCAGTTGGCCTATTGAGGTGATCTCGATCGTCTCAACTCTGTATGTGTTCGTCAGACCTTGACCAAAGGTGAAGGGGCCATCAGAATAAGGTAGATCTATGTCGCCCAAATCTTCTGTGTATCTGCAAGCAGAAGGTCAACTAGTGCTGTAATCACGGCCATGAGACTACTCACCTTGTCTCAATCTGCACTTTGCCAGTGAGACTGGCAACCGAGAAGAACGGATATCCAGCAACCTCATAGCCATAATCTAGAGTTGCTACGGGAGATTTCGAGTTGAGTGTGAAAGCTGCAAAGTGTTGTGTCTTCTCTTGTGTTGTGCTTCCGAGAGCAATACCACGAGGGTAGAATTTGTCGCCGCTGTTTTGTGTCAACAGCTTGCGGTGAGATATTGATTTACGAAGGAGCGGTTCTGATTACCTTGTTACCGGGACAGCGAACACCTGCGATACAACGCCGAATAAGAGGCCAATGGTGATTCTCATCTTGGGTGTGGTATAGTGAGACACTGTTTCTTTGGCGTTGAAGGTCAACCCTCGTTTATGTACGATGCCGAATGTTAGGTTGTATGAACTCGGCCGTTCGCCCTGAAGATACACCGATAAAACGTCGGCTCCACATATTACAGTCAGCAGATTGACACCTTTCTGATGCCATAATGCCCATGCTTCCCAAGCTGCATATCGCATGTGGGAGCGTCGAACTCTATCTCCACACCTGGAATCTCCGTGTTCTCATTCCAGTGCAACTCTATGTAGAAGGCTAGGAGTCTGACCATCGGTAGATTGTTGAGCGCTCACGAATCACCCGACGTCTTGGTGTCTTGGCACCAAGGGTTATCTATGAAGAGTATGCTTCATTTTGCAAGAAACCGGTCGTTGGATTAAGCGGGCAAGATGACCCGAGTCGATCTAGTTTGCGGGGTAGGGTGAAGTGGCGGGGTAGGTATGGCCTCCGGTAGTTGACTTTCGTCAACACGGTTGGAGGAGCTCCGGCGTGATACAATACGATTTTACGTATATACTGAGGTTCGGCGATGCCCCGTTCGTCATCAAAAAAGACTTGACGCGAGAGGAACGCGTTCAGCGAATGCACCAACTGAGTCCTTATAAACATTTCTCAATTGTGCGTCAATGCAGCCTGAGCACATGACTGCCTGCTGTGGTTATGCCGAGTTGATTGAGAGGTTTCGAAAGTTTTCTTGCAGTATTTGCACTTGTTGTAACCAGCTTTCTGGAAAGCTCTTCGAATGGTCTCAGCACAGCACTCTGGCAGGGATGCAGCGAATTCGCTGTGAAGTTCATCCCAAGTTGCCGTACTACCTCCATCATTTCGGAAGGAGTACAGTATCATGGAGTCAAGCACGTCTTTCGGGATCTTTTGAGGACGTCCTGTACGTCGAGTGCCTTTCGTTCTGGTCGTGCGGTCCCAGCCAGGCACTTTGTCTGCTCGTTGCTTCTCCCAGAATCGGCCGGTTCGCGTTGGTACGCCTTCCAGGTTGAAGCAGTCGTTTTTCGACAGACCAAGCCTTACGCGATGATCCAGAAGCGCGAAGACGCGATGCTTCTTAGGCGTGTCAAACTCCTGGCCCGGCTTACGCTGTCTGGCATCCGTTTCGGGCGTGCTCTGTCTCAGTGCTTCCGATATCATCGCGAGTCTGACGTTTTGTGAAGGTAGTTCACAAGTAATCTAACCCCAATTTTGCAGACGCGATGTTGCGTGACCAGAATTGATGCCTGAGGACGAAGTCGTTGAGGCTGAAAATCTCGTGTGGAGCTCACCCCGCATGATGTAATTGATATTTACATGAAATTCTTGAGCCTCATCTCCTCAGGCTTGAGAGAGCGATCGAGCACAACCAACAACAAATTTCTCGATTGATCAAGAAGGTTCTTGTCGATGCCATAGAAGCACCGAAAACATCATGCATCGATGATCGCGTGTCTTGGCTGTCAGGAACAGAAGAGCTGTTGAGCTAAGATGTGATGATGCAAAGACAGCGTCATCTGCAGAAAGGTACATGCTCCACCTTGAGCTCTCTGTTTTTATATTCTTCCCTGCAAACATTTGAAGCTCTTTTCTCTCTTTCTTCATCAGCATCTGTTCATTGACTTTTCAAACACACTTCTACTACACACAACCCCCACCAACCACACACACACATATCAACATGCCTCGCTCTATGGCCCCTCCTCCTTCCGGCGAGTTCCTCGTCAGACTCCAGAAGCCTTTCTCTGGCACTCCCACCCACACCATCGATATCACTGGCGAGCCCAACCGCTCTGCCAACATCAAGCAGACCTTCCACCACGGCACCACTATTGAGGAGAAGGTTGGCACCATGTCCTCGTATGTTGTCCCTCGCCTATCATGTTCAGAGCATTCAAAGGACTAACACTACCACAGTGACGACGTGCAAGAACTCCTCCGCCTCGTTTCTCAGCTCCGCGGTTTCCCCTCTCACGAGACCAAGGATGTCTTCGGCCTCGACCAGGTCCTTGAGCTCCACACTCTCGAGATCAACTGGTGCAACCAGGAGGCCGACCCTGCCGCCAACGAGGTCTCAGACCTCTCCGCCGAGTCGAAGCAGACCTTCAAGGATGTCGTCGACAGCATCTCTGCTGCCGCTCGCCAGTTTGCCAAGGCCGACAACCCTCTTTAAATTTAACGATTGATGGTCAATAATGTCATGAACAAAAGGAATTTATGTCTGTAATATAGAATTCAAATGATACGTAATGAGCTGTATCAAGTCTATCCTATAACCCCAAACTTATTATGCTTGTGTGAGCCGTGGCGTGCAATACTCAATATCTCAGATGGCGCAATCGTGTCTCGTCTGATAGCGAGAATTTTTGAGATTTCCCTCCATGCCTGCAAGACCACCTCTATTCTTGTGGCCCGCATTGGTCAGACTCAACCTGAGGCACACGAATAGCCATGCTTGAGTGCAAATGTGTTGTCGTGTTCATTGATGAACCCGTGGAACGGTGACGGACTCAGTCAGGGCGAAGTAACACCTGGACATCACGTCCAGAAAACATGATGTTTGCCACGTTTGGGATTAGATTTTCAAACAGCACGATCATTGATCATTGATCAAGACAGGCAGAGAACCCTTTACCATGCAGCATCCTAGATTCCAGGATTAGGCTGTCTCTTTGTGTCGCCGCGTCGAGGAGAAACTCTGTGCCAGGGTTGTACAACCAGCGAAGCTGACTTGGTCACATCGCGGAGAAACATTGGCCGGATATAGTAGAACTCTAATTAGGTAGTTCGTCGAACAACTTCGCTATCTTCGTTATATCTTCCTAGTCTTAGGCGGAATGGGTTGAAATTGATGGGCGGATAATGTCTAAATCGTTCTTGTGTAAATGTCATGAATGCATCGACGTGGCCAGTCAGATGATCAAGAGTGTAAGATTTCCCTAGATTGTCGGCTGGATTGTGATCCGCACTGAAACCCCTCTCCTGAATAGCAGACACTGAGATAGGTGGCAGCAGTTCTGTGATATCGGCTTTCGGGATGATCTCGTCCATATTTAACTCCGGAACGTCTGGTCATTCAAAGCTCAGCACTGATTTGCTATCAAAACCTGATGAACTCATGCGGGATAGGTGTTGTAAGTGACGCAATATGCTTTGGCTACTGTGCGAATAGTTTGTCGTGCTCTTGTGCCATCTCGACTCATCGATAGCCAAGTTGTAAGAGCATCGTTTAATTGTGGAAGGGTTAATCGAGTACGCATCGGACTATCGTCTTCGCAGCTACCATTTCCCAGACATTGACTGGCGTGAGAAAGAGAGCTGGCGCTTCTGGATAGTTATTTGTCGTGGTCTCCGTCTATACGCATGACAAGTCTATCGAAAGCGGCGTTTTGTCAAAGACAGCTGTCAAAATGCGGGATGAAAGGCCATGAAGCCTCCGAGAAAAGCAGCGCCAAAGACAACTTATCAATAGTCGAATTGCACTTGGTTCAGGTTACGGGCGTAGAAGTACAAGGTAGCGACAAAATAGGTAGTTGTTTTGATCGTACGGAAGAATGTTTGGGAAGGAGTCAACGGCGTGAGAAGGATTTCGTCGGGCTCGCCGAAGCCGAAACGAGGACCTCCCCTCTTGGCGACCTTTCTTCCTGCTTTCTCCCCATCTTCATCCAACTCATCACAACATGACCCATCCAACAAGCATCACAAAATGAGCGCGACATAACAGTAGGTGAGGTTGATGCTGAAGGTTTCTTGTGACAGAAGCTTAGAATGGCTGTCAACCTAATCCCCAGTAACGATCGCTCCAAGCCGACGGTTGAGATGTCAACTGCCACTACCATATAGGTGTCACATCCCTTACACTAAGCCCTGTATTGCTTAACGGAGACTATTGCCTACCCCCTACAGGTGACAGGAGAAGCTCGGAGAATATGTTCGGGGGTGACATGGCCGTTACAGCTTTGAAGGCGAGTTAAAATATAAGCATACTCGGCCGCACTTCACCTATGTACCTGCAGATTTGTCTCGCCCAGCAGAAGAAATTATGTTTTCTAGAACGAAGATCGCACATCTTTGGAGCCTTCTGGCCATCATGGCTATCACTGTCTCGGCATTGCCATACTCTCAGCTTGATGTTGCCGATTCTGACCTGGACTTCGACTGCGAAGAATGGGATGCTGTAGATGATGCCACCTCAAGTCAGATCACCACATTCACCTCAGCTTCCGCTATATCATCGTCGACAGCACTGGCCTCGCCATACTCAAACCCAAGCTCGTCCCCGGCAACGTTCATCACTTCTGTGCGCATAGCCCAGGCATCATCAGTCACCCCTCCTTCTCAAACCTCCGCTTTCATCGCGCCCGTCAACTCGTTCATCCCGGTCACACCACCCAGCTATGCTTTCTATCTTCAAACTAGCAGCAGTGCCAATTCCAATGGCCTTTACGCTACTGTAAACGCTGGTGCTGGTCAAGCAATCAGCCTCGTGGCAGACAAGACACTAGCGACCAAGTTCACTATCGACTCTTCTGGCGACTTGGTTGAACAGAGCCCTTCTCAAGGATATGTTGCGAACATGAAGTCCAATACCGACATTCAGCCAGTGGCATTCTACCCACTAGGAACTAGCGGCAACTATGGAAAGCTCAATTGCCAGAGGCAAAGTGGAAGTCTTGGCTGCAATGTCAATGGAGTGTCATATTATGCTGCCACTTGTGGAGGCGATGGAAACTTGTACTTTGGAAAGACGATACCGCCGAGCTGTGCTGGAGTTGCGCTTGTGCCAATCTTCCCTTGATTGTTACAATGGAAGATGAGTGCTGGCAGAGGTACCATAACTTTACGACTTAATGAATATCAATATTTCCTACCAAATAATGTGGCTGAGTGTGGCGGTGCAAGTCATCAAGGTGGAACGTCAACCCCGCAAAAGCCGAAACATGAACGCGTCAACATTTGGCAAACGACATGTCGTTCCTTTCTCTTGCTTCAACTTCCTCAATCTTCTTGAATCTCGTACTAACGACAGACTCAATACAAGAGGATCAAAATGTTCTCCCCGATTGTCAGTTCGACACTGCAAGCGACCGCCATCGCTGCTGCATCCAATGTCATCGCCCAGCTCCTCGAACAGCGTAGCAAACAAGTCTGTTTGCCATGTCAATGTGTATTTCCAAAACTCAATGACTGACACAATCTACAGCAGGCTCCAACGACCGTCTCTGCGGCAGACTTCCTTCGCTTCGTCATCTTTACGCTATTGACAGCGCCCCCGAACTACCTCTGGCAGCATGCTCTCGAACGCGTATTCCCCGGTCGCAAGCCGATTGACTCTACAAAAACAGTGTTGCCCCGCTACGAGATTCGCGAGCACGACGAGCTGCTTGGAGAAGATGTCTTGCAACTAGAGGAGGAGATTGAAACAAAGCTGGACTGGAAGAACACCATGATAAAGTGGTTCGTCGATTGCATGACGTTGGGTGCTTTGTTGAACACGGCTGCCTTTCTCATCCTCATGGGTATCATGAAAGGAAGGTCGCCTGGTGAGATAGAAACAGCGCTACGTACGGTATGTTTTCCCGTCTCTTTTGTTACTTGACTGCTGTGCATCAACTGCGCAGTGGCGTATCCTTTCCTGCTGTGATTTGGGCTACAACAAACTTCTCTTCGCAGGACATCTTCCCCATCATCTATGCTAGTTACAAGATCTGGCCGTTGGCGTCAATCGTCAACTTTGCATTGATTCCAGTGGAGAAGCGGATTGTGTTCCTCAGTGCAGTCGGTCTTGTCTGGGGCGTTTTTCTCAGCTTGACTGCTGCGAAGCAGTGATGTCCTTGTTCTTGAATCAGGTCAACATCAACCGTCCGCCAAGTTTCAATCACAGAGGCACCAAGCTCTTCTCTCATAACAATACCAACCAACGCAACAAAACTCCGCACTTTCACTTCACGCGTACATTGCACTTCGAACCAAAACACATCATCCAAATTCATGTCCAACTGTAGCACACACAAAACCAACATCATGACGGCGCCCAACAAGCACGAGGACCCCCCTGCTATGACTCTGTCCGCAGCTAAGACCAACTCAGCAACTATGACCGACGCAAAAGCTACGATCTACTCACCAGTTGCAACCAACTCAATACCTACCAGCAACTCAACAACTGTGACGGACTCGAAGGCTGCCACGCACTCACCGGCTACGGTCAACTCCGCAATGATGGCCGACGCACAATCTACGAGCTTCTCAGCAACTTCAACCCACTCAGCAGCCACGGCCAACACAACCCTACCTTCAAGCACTCTTCCTAGTTTGCCTGTCGAGGTTCGTGAAAAGATCGCCAGCCACAGCCAGCTGCCAGACCTTGCCAACATGCGCCTCACCTGCAAATCACTTTGCATCGCCTCTACGCCCGAGTTTGCACGCACATTCCCCTCTGAGAGACGCTTTGTCCTCACGGTCGAGAGCCTGGAGGGTCTTATGAAGATGACCGCCCATCCAATTATCGGCCCTCGACTCACCAAAATCAGCTTCAGCATCCACCGCATAGCAGATAACGACCCTCAAGATACTCGTGGCGCATTCGAACAACACAAAGCTATGCTCACCCAAGCTCTTATCAATCTTCAGAAGTGCAAGAACGTCGAAGCCACCCTGGGTATCTTTGACGAGGCCAAGACCAACGGGCCAGACGCTCAGCAAAGCCTCAGGCTGGGCCATGGCTACAGCAAGTCTTACGGGACTTCAGCCCCAAACATTGAAGACTCGAAGCGCTCTCTCTCCTTGATCTTTGAAGCAGCTGCAGCCAGCAACTATCCTTTCTTTGCTCTCGAGATCGACTTCATCTCCGAAAAGTTGTTCGCTGACCGAGCCGTTCTCCCTTTCATCACTTATGGTTCGGAAGTACCGGCTGAAGTGTCGCCAACGATCTTCAGGCCAGAGCGCAACATCTGTTTGAAGCATACTGTGGTATCAAACAACCCGATCGAATCAACACTCCGCTTCGATCCTGGCTGCGGTCTCATGCACCTCACTGGCTCGGTCTTGATCCAGACCCGCGGTCTCCTTGTAGCCCTGATTTTCACACCATTCCGGACACTCGTTCTGCGAGAAATGTTTTTCGACTCGATGGCCCTTTTGTACATCACACAATGCGGACCGGCATTCGAGACCCTCGAAGTAATGCATGTTACTGTAGAATCGTCCTACGAGTTTCTTCATGTCTGCAGACGTGCTACCTTCCTTCAGCGATTGGTACTACATCGTGTGGTACTCGAAGACAGGGGGGATTATCGCCCTGTCCTTGCGAGTCGCTATGTGAAGTGGGAGGGACAGCAGGCTATTCAAGCAGGTCTGAGAGACTTCATCTGGAAGTATGAGAATGGCTACACCGATATCGACGAGGACGCATAGCTAAGTTTGGTCATCCAGAAATCAGGAGATTGGTGGTTTGGATGGTGGGAAGCCGCGAGGGTAATGAGATGAACGTATTTGGTGCGACTTTTGCAGTGCAACGTCTTCCATGACCAGGTATTGATGAGTCGCCATCAGGGAACGTTCCAATCAAGCAGTAGGTAGAATCGATATCGTTCAATACTTGCTTTTTCCACATGATTCACTGCAGACCATTTTTGTGATCAGAGCAAGTGAAACAGCCTGACCTCATTGAAGATCTTCTTGCAAACACAGAAGGCACGAGCAGCTTCCTTGCAACGCGCTTTCTGAGCTTTTCCTGTTGTTTGCGCATTCTACGGCCGACGCGCTTTCCCAACTCTTTGTTTCCCACCCTTCACAACGCATCGCAACTGCATCGCACAACCATGGCGCCCGACTCCGAAATGTCCGACGCTGCAGTCCCATCCGCTGCCATCCTAGAAAAGACACTGCGCGACATCGTGCGCACCGCCGAAGTCAACCCCATAACCATCAAGACACTGCGCGCCACCGCCGAAGAACGTCTCGGTCTAGCTGCCGGCTTCTTCAAGAACAGCGCCGAGTGGTCCACAAAGAGCAAGGACATCATAGAAGACGAATTCGTAAGCCTCAACATCTAACACCTTTTGTGGCATGTACTGATTTGTCCAAGAAGGAGCCTTCTCAGATCCTATCCTTACCCGGATCTCACCTTCATACCGCAAACCAGCAACCTCCAACATCTACCATGGCGAGCCATGCGCCTTCCGACATCATCGCCACGCTTCCGAGTGAAGTCCTCGGCATTATTGTCCATCACTGTGACGATGGAGATCTCGGCAATCTACGCCTGAGCTGCAAGACCCTCGGCACCGCCGCCACTCAGCCCTTCGGTCGCCGCTGTCTCGCGGAGCGCCGTTTTGTCTTCGCCGAGTACAGCATGCAAGGCTTGGTTGACCTCACCGTACATCCCGTATTTTCACCATGTGTGCGCAGTCTTAGTTTCGGAATCTGTAGACTCGAAATGCCCAAGTATGAACCTGCAAGTACAGATGCCAGCCGCCAAAAGTTGAGCGAGTTAGTCGACAAGAACAACGACTTTGTCCACTCAGGCACTCACATGCTCATGCTAGTGCAAGCTCTACAGAATCTGAAAGCTCATGGAAACCTTCAGGTCAGTCTAGGTATCTTTGACGATACAAACAAGCACCATTACGGCGAGCCGCTCTACAAAGGTTATGGTCACGATGCTGCGTACACCACATTCTCCCCTACGTCGTGTGAGGGCAGGAACACACTGGTCGCCGTGATCAATGCTACGGTCATGAGCAACTACCGTCCCGTGGGTTTGCAAATCAAGTTAACCATCGATGCGGACATTTTACCCGAGCTCATGGAGGACCCAGTCGTCTATGAATACCTCACCACATCCAGTGGTAGCCTGAACCCAAAGATGGACATTTGCATAGACACCAGAAAAGGCGGGGACGAGCGCCGCCTTTACGTTGCCACGAAAGCATCTCGCCTCGAAGTGGCACATCACAATCTCGAAGATTGGGACGAAAGGTGGACTATGCTTGGAGAATATACCTATGGACGCTTCTATCACGCCTTGAAGCAAACCGCCATCATATCTGTAAACATCAAAGACTCCGATACCAGCATGCCTGGCTTCTCCGATTCACTCCGAGGATGGGAATCGAGTCTGCGCCACCTTATCCTTTCGAACTTGCAGGTATACGACATTTCTGACGGCAATCATAAGCTTACGTCTGCTCTTGCATTCTTCCGCTACATCAGAGACAACTTGAGACTCAACATCTTAGAGATGGAACAGGTCTCAATAGAAACCGAAACACGTACAACAGAGATTCCGATTCTTCAAGAAACTATCTCATGGTCAGGCCGAGATGAAATTCGTGAGGGACTGGACTCCATCATTGCTTACTTGGTGGCAATGACTCAGTCAGATGCAGATGAGGAGGAATGAGTAGTATTATGCTAAGCTTCAAAAAGCTGGAGCAAAGCTCAAGCTGATGTTGCTTGGGGGAGATAGATCAAAAGTACTTCGTACAAATCGATCAACCTCCATAGAGAGCAATGTAATAATAGCGACACGTTTTTTCATGTTAGTTTTGTGGAGATACTCAACGGTCTTCGAGACTTATGAGAGTGAAGTGAATAAGAAGATGTCTCCAAAACAGCTGACTTGGTAGAGCTTTGAATCAGCTGAGTGAGTGAGAAGAGGTCTTACTTGCTTTGAGTCTCACTCACTGACCACACTACTCCTCTCTACCTCTCTTTAAACCACAAACACCGCTGAGCAGATCCTTCCTGCTCGTTTTCGCTCGACATCAGCCTCATTTCATATCCTCTCAGAGAATAAACCATTTGAAGTTTCAGCATTGAGCACAAAAGCTGCACTTGACAATGTCGCCGCTTCTGGAAGACAGCCAGACCTCTGAGATCTCAACCGCTCCAGCCGCTCAATCTAATCACACCTCCTCATCCGGGAGTGCTTCACTGCCAACCGCTACTGTGTCTCCGGGCTCAGCAGGATCCATGAACACCCCTACATTCCCGATCCTTACCCTATCTACCGAAATACTCGTCAAGATCTCCGAGGAATGTGAGGACTCTGATCTTCCGAACATGCGCTTAGTCTGCAGAGAGTTTTGCAACAGCTCGACAAAGGCATTCGGCCAAGTCTACTTCGCGGATCTCCATGTCTTACTGGTTGAACCCAGTTTGGATATTTTGGTTGAGATCACTGCCCATCCAATCTACGGCCGCTGTGTCAAGACAATTGTGTGTGGAACAGCTCGTACAATCAAGCCAGTGATGGAGTATGAAGAAGAAGAAGGAGAGCCAATTCCCACACTGTCACCCGAATTCGAGAGATCTGAAGGACACATTGCTAAGCTTGTCACCGCGTTGAACAACCTCAAACACCATGGAAACCTGGAGGTCGCTCTCGGCATCCACAGCGACGAGGCATGGACAAAAGGAAATGGGTTCAGACTGCTCGGCGGTCCGATTACCTATGATGGCTACGTAGTCAAGGACTTTGACGCTTCCGGCACCCTCGGATCACTTTTGGAAGCTACATCTGCTACCAATTTTCCGATAAACAAGAAGTGCTTTCGCTTCCTCGAGGAATTGGAGCTGGATCGAATGATAAAGAACGACACAATGTTTTCCTCTATGTTTTCCGCTGCTGGCACCTTCAACACCAATACAAGCATCAGAATGGACTTTGTACAGGGGGGAACGTCTGGACCGAGTTCCATAATGATCGGTATCAGCGACTCCAACCAGCTCGACCTGACCAACGTCCTCTTGGCGGGCGAAATCTCGGCCGTACTGGGCAGTCCATACTACACCAGCTCCTACATCCGTATCTTGAAATTGGCGTTGGACCTCACCAAGTTCGAGCACTTGATCCTTACAGACATGACCATGGACACGAGTGTTTTCCAGACAGTGTTCGCAAAGTCAGAAGGATCCATCAAACATCTCAAACTCTCCAACGTCATCACCAGCGAGTCTGACCCTGGCCAGGGTGAACCTACTGAGGTCTTGTGCTATCTCAAGGACCAACTTCAGCTCGAGAGCCTCACGCTCAATAAGATCGAGATCACAAAGCAGATCGATAATGGCCTGCAGAGTACCAACATCAGCATTGATCATCTGATCGAAGGCGAAAAGGTTTTCGATGGACACACTGAGGTCCAAGAGGCTCTGGAGATACTGATTTCTAGAGCCAATAGTTGGTTTTGAGAGAGACGCTGATGTGCTGGTCTGCCACAACTGTCCTGGGCCTCCTGGAACGAGACTGGCTTTCTGAAAACCTCTGTGCCTTGGATCAGCTCAAGCATTGATAGACAGAGTCGGGGAGAGACTATACAGAATTACGGGGAAGTGCACTGAGGTTAGCTATATTAAGCAACACCAAGTCTCCGAGAAGGTAGGAATCCAAGACCGTGTCAAGTTCGTGGAAGACCCAAGCACGAAAGGGACCAGAAAGAAAGTAAGAGAGCCGCTTTGCTTATCTCCTATTCCTTCAATGTACAATGTGATCGATCTCTGACTTCCACTTTCCACGGTAATACATTGCCAAAACTATGCTCACGGTGATTGTCAGAACGTCAAGGCTGTGGTTGTGACACCATTTGCTCATCCGTCCAAAGCTTTCACCTTTCGTCCTGCAACTTTTCTCGGTAAACCATCAGGTCCTTCACTCACCTACCTGCCTCTTTCTTCTCCCAACTCCGCCGCTTCGATACCTAGTTGCGCGGTTATGAGACTCAAGCTCAAGCTCAAGGCTTGACTTGACTCTCACATCTCTTTGCTTCAATTCAGCTGCTCCTTTTGTACCTCCGGTGACGTCTGCAAACTTCAATATCACACTGACGCCGACGATCTGCGGCAGCCACTCTACGCGGCAGTCCTCACAGTTCTGCAGTCGCTGCTACCCTCCTTCGGTTGCATTACAGCAGCGAACCTCATCAATTACAACAACTCTCTCCATCGCAATTACCCGTCATCACCGCTCGTCACAAAGATCAAGCTCAGTCACTGGCCAGAGGAAGGAACACCCCTCACAAGCTTTCCGTTACTCCTTGTCCGGTGGAACCGTCATCACTAGTCCCCGACCGCATCTCATTTCGATCCACCAGTCCTCGAGTATCACCGCTTGCGCATCGCAGCCATCTCCTACTCACCACCACTATTTTCGGAGAACAGTCGTCGATTGCGGCCCAACAATACTCAGCTACTCTCAGGCTTCTCTTTGAGCATATGCTACACCAACCTCAAAACGTCCAGCCATGGTCTCCGACAGCGCTCCCAGCAGCGCAGGTCCATCGGTCCGCAACAACAAGGATGACATCGACCCAAGCAAAAGTTACATCCTCACTCTACCCACAGAGCTTCTCACCATGACTGTTGAGAACCTCACACAGGAAGATTTAGGCATGGTTCGTCGCACTTGCAAGACACTATGTGGTATAGCGACAGTCATTTTTGCTCGCAAGATAGCCACAACTCTCCGACTGGACTTTTCGAAGGAAGACATGGATCGTCTAGTTGGTCTGACCGGACATCCTGTCTTTGGTCCGATGCTGAAGAGTATCAGCTTCAGCACGGCTCAATACAACGAGATCAGGCACCCATATTTGAAAGACGAGTATCCATCTAAGCATGGTTCGGAAAATGCTCCCACATTCGTTCGAGATGTGCGTCAGCACAATGTTCGTGCGAAAAGGCACAGGAGGTATCTCCACAGCGGAACTCACATAGCTCAACTGACACAAGCTCTGCACAACCTGACAGCATGTCATAACAAACTGATCAATGTGGGGTTTCACGACATCGATTACATACTGAAAGCCGAAAGTCTGTGGCCCTTTGGAATCTCTACCATCCCGGTAGAAGAAAGTTACTCGGCTACCATGGAAGCTATCGGCAACGCAGTCGAGCTGAGTCGCTTCGAAGTCAGACGTGTCAACATCTACCTCGAGACCCATCATAAAGATCACGAGGAGATCTTCACAAGCAACAAGTTCTGGCGGACCATACAGTCAGCCGCAGAGCTTTGTATTGATACTGACTGCTGCTTTGACTGGTCTACTACAGAAGTGACCTCGAACAGGTCCAAACTTACGATGACCGGTCACAGTCTGGAGACCAACAGAAAGACTACTTGTTACGTCAAACCGCACTATCTGAGCAAGAGGTACTCTCAGATATGGGACATCATATACCAAGACAAATACCGAGAAATTTGCTTGAAGAACTGCGATGCACACTACTGCGTTCTCAGCGAATTCATCGGCACCACTATGTCAAAAGTTAAGCATCTCGAGCTTCACAGAATCAATATTTTGCAGTCTCCATATCCACAAGAGAATGGAATGCCCAAAGCCACTGGTATTACATTCTGTCAATGTCTACAGAAGCTGCAGAACCTGGAAAGTCTGAAACTCTACGAAATTAAGAATCGAGCCATTGGCTCCATCCAATCTGAGCAAGTGCACTGGGAAGGTCAAGAGCAGATCCAGGCTGGTCTGAATGATCTCATTGGAAAGATGACGACGTGGGAGTGGAACCAGTAGTTAAAAAGCCCTGCACAACTACTCATCATCGAGCGCTCTAGAAAGGCTCACTCCGAAGATGGCGGGCTCACATTGCGAGGCTAGATGCCACTGCCCACGCCGCACGATTTCCAAGAGGAGCGGAAGCAAAAGCAGTGTGGTCAGTGATTGATAATGATTGATAATGGTCAGATTATCAATCAATCACCAGGAGTGGGAGTATTAATTAATCATTATCGTGATAATCAGTTATTATCATGATATATCAGTTCAAATTTCAAACGTAGTTACAATACAACAAGTCCAGCATGTATCCATAATCTTAAACACTCTATAGCTTCGGCGAGGTCTCCCTATGTACGTAGGCGGTCGTAGCTAAGTACTCGTCCTCCTCTTAAGAATTCTCTCTTACATTTAGATGACATTGCCGGGGCAGCAAGTAGGTCAAAAGCCATATAAGATAACTAAGGGTATTTAGGCTCATGTATCTGCCACCAGATAAGAGGATTAGTAATAGATTTAACTAGTGCAGCGAGGAAACGCTTAAGTTCATCCATTTTCTTGTCGTTATCTAGGAGAATCTAGTTATATTGCTTAAATGAGGATAGTTCCTTAGGAGGTAAGGCATTAGGAAGCATTGTAGAGTGTTTCTTATACCCCTGCCACATCTTAGTAACCTCACATAGAGCCTCTATAACCTAGGTAGGGTGGATATCTTCCTAGTGTTTTTTGAACTACGCCAGTTTTAGGCTAGGATGAAGAGCTATAGCAGCTCTATAAGCAGGTACTTAATCACTTAGTTGATAGTACTTCTTAAGCTTCTTCTAGCCTAGTGTAACACTAGTTTTGAAGAAGGACTTATCCTCATACTTAAGTTATTCCTTTCTCTTCTTAAAATGAGTAAGAGACATATTAACTAAAGATAGCCATTCCTATAGGGCACCATGTGTTCCATCTACAGCATTGCCTTGTTGACGAGTAGAAAGAGTCTTTATAGGTGCTAATAGGTCCTTAAAATCAGCCAGATCCTACCAGTCCTTATAGGTAAGAGTATCTTCTTTTAAATCATCTAATATTAGGTTCTAGCGGTAGGTATATATATCTACAGGTACCCGGAGCTTAAGTAGTCTTTCCATCATGTCATATTTAGCATTCTAGCGTATGCTACCATCCCGTATAAGTTAGTAGATGAAGTCTAGATCTAGTTCCCTTTAAATTGTTCGAAATTCCTCTTCTCTTTAAGTAGAGGCGGTGACATAGTAACAGAAGTTATAGCTCTTGCCAATATAGGCCTTTTTCCGCTAATACTTAAGTCTCTTTTGTTCATTAGTAAGCTTAACTATAGCCTAGAACTAAGCTACACTCTTATCAATCTCTTCAGCAGATTTCTCTTCTATATTAAAGCAGTCCTTATCTGCACCTAGCATTACTGCCTGCGAGGTAAGATTAAAGATATGTCTAAGACAGCGTAGCCTATGTGTAGTAGGATTGATGGAAGGTATAGCCTTAGAAAGAACAGAGAGAGCGGTGTCGTTTAATGAAGCGTTATTATATATAAAGAATCCTAGGTTCTCTTTTAAACTATAGTCTTCTATAGTTAATAGAAGGTGACTAGCAATGTTGACACCTAAATGGCGGCCCCTAACTTTAGGTAGGGCAAGGAGGAGGACCTAGAGTTAATAGTGTTCGTTAATATAATAGCAACAAATTCCTAGGAGGGGAAGCTTATTTCCTACTATCTAGAGATTAAAGGAGAGGGTAACCTTACTCCTAGACCTTAATATATGTCCTCTAATTGTGCCCTTGCTCTTTTAGTATGTCTTAATACCCTTAGCTCTTAAGGTGTTGTAAGAAGTAAGGGTAAGGTTTTCTATATCCGGATTAACGAATTTTAGAAGCTCATTGTGTGCTTCTAGGCTAGCCCTTCTAAGAGAGACTTAGTCCATTATCTGCCACTTAAGAAGTGCTTAATTAAAGGTAGAGGAGGTAATAGGAGGACGAGGAGGAGAGGGAGTACGTTTTTGTTTTAGGCAAAAGGAATCGAAAGCGGAGGATCGGGACGACGGCGGCGGCGGCGGTGTATAGACACCTTTAGTATTAATGTTATAGTGTTTAAGAAGGTGTGTTCTTGCCCCTGTTATTGATTCTGCAGGTATAATCTTATAGATACACCTAGGAAGGCGATAGTAGCAAAGGCAAAGAAAGTGACGCTTCTTTTAAGATTCTAAGTAGATAGATAAGCCATTCTCAGGTAGCTAAACATAAGAAGGACTTTTTCTCTTATTAGAGAGGGCAGGGGTATAGCTAGCAAGCATAGGGGACTACTTAATGCTATATGTAAAGAAGCGGGATTAGTGGATGAAATCCGGGAGGTTAGATTAACGGTGTAGCTCCGTTAAGTCATCTCTTTTAGTAAGTGAAGAGGTAGAAGTAGCCTATAAGGCCACCTCATCTTAAGATAAATCAATTAGCCTAGCCATAATATTAGTTGTTAAGAATTAAGCGAAAAGGAAGAAGAAACAATGAAAATTAATAAGGATTTCGGGACACGACGTTAAGCGGCCAGCGAGCGATCCGATTGGTCAACCCCGGATTTCAAAGATTTTCAGGGGTTCGCTGCGGGGGTGACCCTGTCCAAGTGATTATCATGAGAATAAATGATTATTACGGCCTCTTCTATTAATCACTCAACTCGTCGAAAATAAAATATCAATCAGTATCACGATAATTTATCATGATATTATCATTTACTATCAGTCACTGACCACACTGAGCAAAAGTATGACGAGGAATGCGACATGAAACCGCAGAAGAACGCAGTCGAAACTCTTCGACAAAGATCGAGAAGCTTCACAACAGAAACTCTTCGACAGAGATCGAAAAGCTCCCGCGACAGACACAGACACAGACATGACTTCTACGCTTCTCCATAGCATGCATATCCAATTTCTCTTCCTTTGCATCACATTGAACCTCATCTCTAGACTAGTAGACTTGCTGAATGCTTCCTCAATCTTCTGCATAGCTCGAATGAAGTAATTGACTTGATCGCCCGTAGAAAAGCACCCTTACGCTTCCTTACCACGAAATCTAGCTACATGATTAAAGAAAAACCATAGAAGAGAAGCCCCCGTAAGCGAATCTAGCGGCCTTTCAGAAAAACCACGAAGCATAGCAAAGCTTAAATGTCTAGAAGAGAAGAGGGTGATTTGTTTAGTATCGAACGCAGTGAGAGTGGCTAGAAAGGCCCGCATATCAATCTTCACCCGTAGAGAAGTATCCTCACGCTTTCACCACAAGAAGAGAAATTACCGGAGATAAGACATCTCACAAAAATCCCGGGGTCCTCTCGAGCAATCATGAAGCACAGTAAAGATCAATTGAAAAGGAGAGAAGAGGGTCGTATGTTAAGTATTACATGCAGCAAAGGTGGCTAAAAGGCCCGCATATCAATCTGGACCGAGTTCTCCTCGGAGGCCTATGCCTCATCCCCCGGACCCTTTCTGTCTCGGTCTTTTCTATCCCGTAACTCAAAATTTGTCCCAGGCAACTTTTGCGGGAGCTTTGGAGGTCTAGCCTTAGGACTTGCCCAGCTTTCTGCTTGCAGCATCATCGTTCGCGGTGGTGTGCGTGGAGTAGTGAGTGGAGTAGCTGGCCGAGCGGGAAATCGATGATTTTAAGACACTCGGTAACGCTAGACATCTCCCGCTCTTTCTGGCTGATAGCAGCGCTAAACTCCTGCTCGATAGTCTCTTTCTGGCTTTTGAGAGTCTCCAGCTTGTGCTGGAGTTCCTTTCTCAACTCCTCGGTCTCGGCGGAGTTCCAACCAGCGCAAGGTGCCTTGTCACCGTCGACGTCGACCTTCTGCCTCTTGCGGGTGTGTTCTTCGGTTTCGTCGGTAGAGGTAGCTGTAACGTGGTCAGAGATCGTAGTGACTGTGTTGTCGAGACCTCCCGTACCTGTTTCGAGTCTTGGAAGCACCTTTCTTCCCAATGCCTCCTCGATTTTCCTTCTGTTTGCGGCTTTGCGACGCTCAATATGAGCTGTCGCTCTCATCTGCCACGTTGTCTCGATGCGAGAGGGTCCATCGACGCTTGCAGTGTTCGATGCGGTCAATTGCTCCTTGGCGACCTCCAGAGCTGCGGTAGGCTGGTGCTGCGAGGTAGGTTGGGTGATTTGGACGTCGCTTTCTGCGATCTCGGTGCGGATCTTGTCGATATGATCATTGTCGTCGCGGGTGTTGGGGTCAAAATCGATGAGTTCACTGTTGTTCTATCGATATATCAGTAACAAGAAAGTGCATGCCTCTACTGGGTGTCACACCTTGAAATTCATGACGACTGTTGTGTCTAGTCGATGTTGTAGAATCAAGTCTCCAAGATAACAAGAGCAGGGGAAAGTGTGGTGTGCATGGGTAAAGGATAGGATATATGGAGAAACAATCAATCTCGAGGTTGTTCGCAATGATAGTGAAAGAGTTTCAGATGGCAAGTGAAGACGTCTCTTGAATCACGTAGTAACCAAGTGTCTCAGACTTCGATGCAAATCGATGTCGGTGGAATTGACAAGTGACGCAGTTGATTTCCTGGACATTCACATCCAGGTGAAGTACAAAGAGCGGTCACAAGACCTTCTATCTCTTCTCGAGCTTCTGGCTCGGTCACAATCGACATTCACTAGCGAAACTCGTCTGTCCTCTTTTCATACCTTTCGGACGTCGCAGATTCTCCCACAGACATCCACAACTTCCCACCGCATCTCCTTCCAACATTCTCAACACCAACAACATAGTACTGCCATCCCCTCGTCACCCCATTCCGGACGACACACCGAACCACCAAGGATCGAAGTGCTGTCGTCGCCAGAAAGCGCAAAACACACCCCAGTTCGGAGACCTCACAGCGAAAGAGCGACAAACACCCCAAAAGCGGTGCCACCAACATGACACCCCGTGATGCACTCCAAAGAAAGCACGGTTGGTCCCCGGATGATAAGCTCTGGGAGATAATCGAGCCGATCTATCCTCGCCCGCCGAGCAAGGGAACCACCACAGATTGGCAAGTCTGCACGTACTTCCAGTATTTTCGCTGGGTGTTCCGGAGAGGGTTTCTATTCATCGGAGAACAGGACCGTGCCGGACTACCGGCGCCGGTCTGGTACAAGTGCACAACCAACGAAAGTGGCAAAGTGGTCGGCTCTTGCTATAACCTTGCTGACGAGGGCGCACCCAGAAGCAATCACAATGTGGGTGAAGTCACCCGCTGGTGGGGGCCCCTGGAGCGACTTTTGCAAGCCCCGAAGCTCCTCGATACCGATGAACTCGACCGCTACCTCAAGGAGTTGTGGCATCTGGTACGGGCCTTTCCTTGCATGCAGGGTGATTTCATCAACAGCATTGAGGTGATGATGATTCCCGCGGGACCCTGGAAACTTCCGATGTCTGCGATTGAACGTACACTTGGCATAGAGCTACCAGAGTCACTCAAGACCCACGACGATGACGGCACAATCCTTTACGCCGAGGACATGCTCCCGGAAGAGGCAACCAAATGCGGGCTCTCTTTGAAGCCAAACCCCAACAGATACATTACCGACGATGATTCATCTATTGACGCCCGCAACTCCGACAGAGCAGACGTGTTGGTATATGGGTCTTCACCAAGGTCGGCAACCAAGACTATCATCTCTCTTCCTCGCGCGGCCGATGAACATACAGAAGTCACCGGACTGGCTGAAAGACCTCAATTCTCGGAATCTGAAGCGCAACAGGAGACTCACAGCATCATGGATACGAATGGAAGAACACTAGCCCGTCTTACTCGTAGCCAGTTCAAGCAACTGGAAATGGTGTTGTTGGCCCCTCCTGGTGTATTCGACGGTGCGATGTCTGTAATCCACGCCAGATACCCCGAACTCAAGCCCCGTTCGGCGTAACCGATCAGAGCAGAAGGAGAAGTGGGCCTAGATGGCGCAGCACAAAGCGAACGATAGTCGAGATTCCACCCGGGTTCTCGAGGGACATGAAACACCAGCAACAGCAGCTGCCAGAGGTTTTCCGGGTTTTCCCTCATATTGGCAGATGCTTTCTTCTCTTTTCTCTTTCTCCTTTTCGTTTTTCTCTTTTCTCTCTTTCACGAGCTCAGTGGTAGATAATGGAATGCAAAATGAATCAAAACAACTTTCTATAAGCAGTCTGTGACAACCACGAGTACGATCAAGGCTGCCACCAGCGAACCGATACATCACCCTACACTGACCATGGCAATACATATGAATCTCGAGTCGATCAGTCGTAACCACCCGCAAGCCAAATCGAAGTAGAATCGTACCTCTTTGCGAGTGTAACTTGTATGTAAGCATCAGTGAGATAATCATAAACCAGGTACGACTATATCTCCTTTTTGCCTCTGCCAAAATCGATAGCAAATGTCTGCTGTTTCCATCTACTTGTCTTGCGCTGCCTTGACTCTTGAGCTTGTGTCCACCGGGGACCTCGGCGCCTTGTTCGTCTCGTCCTACGACTTTAGCCCTGGACATATTGTGGACCTAGCCCTACTCCATTCGGACACAGACGAGAGTGATGATCAAAAATACTTGGACAGATTTAGCGAGGGCAGACTATGGCGGAGAGTGAGATGAATGCACTGAGAGGGAGTGATATCCACCCGCAGTCGATTGTAGAAGGTCTGAAAGCTCAAAGAAGGCAAGAAAGATCCCTTCTCCGATACATAGTACCAAGAGCCCCCGGATAAATCCTATATCCAAGCATGATACTCACCGATCATGACACCAATCGCACCGCACAGTTCACAAGAGGGCGAGCCGAGTTATTCGCACTCCATGGCTTAGCCATCCACGAAAGACTTCACCAATTTGTGACCGAACAGGTACTTGAGATCAGATACTGGCAGTCGAGACCGGACAAGTTCGGACAATTCCTGCCCAGAAACATCAAAAGGCTCCTGGCTGTCAATCCTCAGGATCGGTGCCACTTGGACACAATGGCAAGAGTGATAGTAGCCAACATCCGCAACCGAAAAATACCGACTGTCGACATGGATGGTATTTGCCTATGAGGTCTATTTCCCCGCTTGTCCTTCTGGATCAATCTATCCACCGCAACTTTGTATAAAAAGATATGTTGGTCTTACAAGCAATGACGAAGAGACCCGCGATTGGCCCAGAGGATGGATTCATACCATTGGCACATTGACGCGGATGCTCAACACAGACTCAAACGAAAGAACGGTATTCGTGCATCTGTCGGGACGGCCCTTTCCAGCCAGCATCACGATACTCGACTGGAGGAATTATAGCTATCTTGTATGAGCTTGCTGCTTCTGATTTTGCTGACAGTGTGATGGCGGCAATCCACGTCAAATGCCCCGAACTTAAGCCCAGTTCGCCGTAACGGACCAAGGCAGAAGCAGAAGCGGGCCCAGATGGCACAGTCACACCATGCTTCCTCATGATCAAGTGACAACTATGTAGTACGTGGTAGATAAATGAAATGGACCGGCAATCTTCCATACCCATTTGCTTCTCCCTGAAGATTGTGTTGATCATGCGATCATTCTTGTGACTTCAGGCGTATCGAATGACATCCTCGTATGACATCCCAATGCCGAATTGCGGGAGTGCATGACTTGGTGCCACTATAGTACGCATGATTGGTTCCCTGAGTTGAACGAGAGATCGGTCACTGGTATATTCACTTTGAGAAAATTAAACTGCATTCGAAGATGTTTTGTTTGAACATCCCGTAAAGACTACCTGTCGCCTCCGGTTACCACGTCTATTCGGAATCGGGTTTGGGCAAGATCATGCGGTATGGATTGTCTGGGAGACGGTACTTCTCCTCCTCCAAGACGGCTGCGATGGCATCGATCAAAACCAAGGTCGGTTCAGGGTCTGCGGTAATGACCTCGTCGGCGAAGCGGTCCACGATGTTTCTGACGTTTTGGATCGATTCTTCGATAATCTTGGGTACTTTCTCCTTGACAGAATGCTCCCACACGGCTTTGGTGGCGGTCTTAATCCATGTCAGCACCTAGTCTCGGGTCAAAGGGACTATTTGAACAAACCTCCATGTAGTCGGCATAACCGTTGTAATTGTTGACCTCAACGAAGTAGTCGATGAACTGACGCGTCTTGTAATCAGGAGCATCGGAGTCCATCGGGGTATCGTAGTGATTTCTCACGAACGCCTTGGCGGCGTCAAGTCTGCGCTCCTGCTGGATCTGAGCCAGCTTCTGTTTCATGCCGGCGATCTCGTCTTTGAGCTCCTTGCTGCGGATCTTGGCTTTGGCGATCTTCTCGCGCAATTCGGCCTTGCCGTTGTCGAGATCGGTCTGTACGTAGTTAGCAGCGAACGAGTGAGTGGACTTGACAAAATATGCACCTGAGGCGACATCATAACTTCTGGATCTTTTGTGACAGCAGTGATGGGAGTGGATGCTTCAGGCCTGGGGCCCACGAGCAGCTTGATCTATCATACCAGTTAGTCGGTGCAACAAGGACAAAGGTTGAACATGACAGACCCTCATGTTGTGTGATTGAGGTGATGAGTCGCGAAGGGGTGAGTGAAAAACAAGGCTGGAGTGTGATTAAAGCTGCTGTCATCGGAAATCGGGAGTATGGATCATTGGCATGTGAAACTTGGTAGTTCGGCTCCTCACTCGCTCTCGTCTCAATGTTGCAGCTTTCGCATTTGCAGAGAACATCCGACCTCCGGCCTTTTACCTTCACTGTCCGACTCCCAGATGTTACTGATCCCTTGACACATCTTCAAACGTATCTCTGGAAGAGAGACTCCGACCTCGGTTCCAGCAGACACAATCAACATCTTCTACGCGTCTTTCATAAAAGGCCCTGTCCGATAAAACCTTACCCCCCCAATCGCCAAATTGGAGCAAGCCTGGCAACGAAAAGGCTCAAATAAAAATCTGCTCCCATTTCTCTTCCCCAACTTTTGCAGTAAGTGAAGAGCCCAAGTGCTTCGAGATATCGGGACCTCAAGTCGGGCAGTTGTTTCACACTAACATGGGGCAGATCGTTCGACATAATTTCAACTATCTTCTCGTCCAATCACCATCTTTCCACTACAAGCTCAGAAAGTACCAACAACATGTCAGCTCCTTCTGTTGTCGACGGTCAAACAGGAAACCCCACGCCTCCCATACTTACACTCCCAGTGGAGATTCTGAGTATGATCTTCCGGGAGGGCGATGACGATTGGGAGAATTTGCCAGATCTGCCGAACATTCGTGGAACCTGCAAATTTTTTGACTCAATTGTGGCTCCTATGCTAGCTGCTGAGTGGTCCGGTTGCCTGCGTATTTATTTGAGCAGACCAAGCGTCAAAGGACTAGGAACCATGAGCTCAACATTCGCATCTCAAGTCAAGACCATTCGTCTCTATACTCTCAGATACAACAGTGTCCCCAAGCCAGATCTGTTTGCCAGGGGTAGAGAGCATAACAAGCGCAGGCAAGATATCTGCACGGAGGAGAGATGGTCAGCTAGTACCTGCAACTCGCCCAGAAAAAAGCTACTCGAAGACATTGATAATCACAATGAACGAGTGGCCAGGCAGAATCAGTATCTTGTGGCTGGAGGTCCGCTAGCAGATTTGCTGCAAGCTCTGCACAGTCTGAAAGCTTGCAACAACGCCGATGTCAGCTTCGAAGTCTTCGACAGCCCCAGACTGTACAGATCCGGGGTTGTAGAGAGCATGACTATCTTCGGAATCGACGCTTCACCTCAGACACATGACACTTCAAGTATCGTCAAAATTCTTGCGCACGCAATCAATCTCAGCCAGTACCCTGTCAAAGCAATTACGCTCGAAACTTCTTACGGAATTCGTCCAACCAATAAGATTCAGCTGGAAGACATGTTTTGGAACAGACTTCCATCAGTGCCTGAAGTGTATATCAAGATGCAGAAAAGAAAGAGCGAGGCAGTTCCTAGGGAGCCTTCCCACCCAAACTTCAAGGTCATCAGTATCTCATCCGAGAGAAATCATCTCACGATGACGGATCAGAGCTTTAGACTGGACTACACCGGACGCTATGATCCTCAGTTCAGCAGACCAAACTATGGAGCTTTCTACGACTTCATTCGAGGCAAGCAGTTTCAGAAGGTTACCCTGAATAATGCCCATGCTCATCATGACTTCATGGGTTCAGGATTGAATTTGCGTTCAGAAAACCTTGTGTGTCTCGAAATCTGCGGTGTCTCTCTCACGAAGTCCTTCGACGAGAATGGTCGACTAGGAACCGCACTCGTCTTTTTAGGTCACTTGAAGAGCATGAGCACACTCCAGAGCCTCACACTTAGTGGAATCGTGGACGGTGATCACGGTGATATTCAACAAGATGAGGTAATTTGGAACGGACAGGAAGAGATTCAAATGGGTCTCGATGTTCTCATCCGCAAGGTCAAGATCTGGTACATCTGAGTAAAATGGAATGCAAACAGAAATACCATCATGAAGGAGGTCGTCGTGGCTTTGCTATACGGCAGCGACCTGTTCTGACGAACCAGGTTTCAGATCCGAATCAAAGGAACAAGGGATGAAGATAAGCTTAAACAGAGCTCCAGAACGGAGAGCACCAGGAGTTCATATCGGAGAAAGCATAACCAGTAGCCAGAAACAGATCAGCAGAAACGAATAAAAATCTTTGGCGGTTATCATCGGACTCCGAATAGGCATGCAGGTTGTAGTGATGACCGAGATTAGCAGGAAACCTCGAGATGACCGGAAAGATAGAGGTCAATGTATCCTCGTAACACAAAGGTGGTCTTCGAGATGAACGAGCACCAGTGTGTTGATCACGGAAGGTTTGGCGTCTGCTCTTGTCCGATAACATCATATTTGCACCGGAGTACATCGAAGAAATAGAGACCAACCTGATCACCGAATACAGATAGACCCATCTCCGAAGCAAATCGATCTCCGAAGGCCGAAGTAAGTCGATCTCCGAAGGTAGTCGATCTCCGAAGAAGGTCGATCGGTCGAATTGATCTCGAAGAAGCCCTGCAGGTGCAGAAGAGACTGCTAAAATGAGATCTAAGCTTTTCCTCTGTCAGCGAAGCATCACCGAAGATGAGACATTCGATCTTCTCCGGGAGACGATGAGTGACTAGAGAAAGTCAAGGTAGAAGTGACGGACACAACTGCATAAACGAATAGTCTTTCGACCTCATCACCGCTTCCCAGAAAACGCGTCTCCGAAAGAAACTGCAGAGAGACGCAACGGGACGTCTGACAAGATGATCTCTATCTCCGAAGAGATCTAAAGCTCCCGTACGGTCTCTGTAGGCTAGTGCAACAAGGGGACATCAAAATGGCCCGTACCTTCTGTGTTGTGATAGAGTGCGAACGTTGCCTCTTTACTGTGTCGACATGTAACACCGTTTCATCTAGCTTGTTAGTGAAGTGTCACCGAGATTCAAAGCATCGATCATCTTCGCGGTGTATTTAACTTATATAGATCTTGCAGACTGAGCCACAACACTCTGGAGTGGAAAGCAAGGCACATGTTCAGTGCGATATTTGTTCCACAGAAGACAAATGTGGCAAAGGAGAAGAAGGGGAAAGAAATTTACAGAAAAAGGGGTTGATTGTCACAAACAGGATGGCATTGATGGCAAAACAAAGACGGAGTTCTGATGACTGTTTGTTGCTTCTATGGTTTTCGCTACTGTGGTTCCCATTGTTCGAGTCTTGTGTTCTTTCTTCGCTCCCGCGGAACTATGAGGAGCTCCTCCGAGCTCGTCTGCAGGCGCTTTATGATCGCAGAGTCACATCTGATCAGAGCATAAAGAAGAACATCTGCTCCTTCCGCAACGTCTGTTTCACCCTCCATTGTCGTCGCGCTGGTGCAGAGCTGTAGTACTGCGCCTCGTTCTCCAGATTGCGCGCGCCTCCGATGATGATATCCTGGTTCGTGGTCTCAGCGCACTTTGCTGGTCGTTCAAAATGCAAGTTGCTTTGTAATGGGCTCCGGCTTGATGAGGTCTATGCTGTGCTCATCAATATGACCATCCGGTCACTCCCTCGATCAGCTTGTCAAGTCCGTTCTGGATTTCCTCCTGCCCATGCCACTCTACCTTGCTTTCCTGAACGAAGCCGCCCTGCAACCAAACATCCTCCAGTCTCTCTAAGGTCAGATGTTCAAGGGTGGATATCTTCTTCAGACTGCGGCCAAAGTCTGCGGCTGTGGCAATTCCATGGCGAGATGCGTCCAGAGCCGTAAACTCAACATTAGACATGCGGAGGTCAGTGAGCTCAGCTGTCTCAAAGAGTGACGTGAACACATCGTAAGGCCCTCGAACGTCAATCAGATCAAGACTGCGAAAGGGCGTCTCTCTCAGCCAGAAGCGGAATCGGTCGTAGTATTGATCCTCCAAGCCGGTGTACTCGCAATCGAACCACTCGTGATCCATGTCTTGGCGGATCAGCGTAAGATGAGACTTGTCTGGCGAAACTTTGATAACTCCTGCTGTCGCTTCCTTGTTGCCTGGGCCTTCCATGCGAATGCAGACTTCGGCTTCGGCCTCGTCCCAAAACACTTCTTCTTGGTCGATTACCTGACCGTCGAATGCGATAAGGTCAAGTTGCAGTCGTTTCAAGGGGAATTTACTGACTCTGACCGCGTTGCGTAGTGAATCCAAGGTACTGAAGGTGTCGTTTTCTGTAGGTACGCAGTCGCCATAACTCACCATGGCTCCATAGCCAGCATGTTCCAACTTGCGGCAATCGACATAGTCCAAGTCATGATAGAATAGATAGCTGTTGATGTCGTGATACACGCCGAAAGTAACATCAGTATTGCTCTGAGACTGCAAATTCATCATAGCCTCAATTATTCCTGCGACGTGGCAGCCACTCCGAACGAATTGGGCCTGTGTCTCCGTGCGAGCGTTGTGGTCGATCAAGATTGCAGCCTCCACGTCTTCAAGCGGAACGTCTGATTCGGAGGGCGGGTCCTTTTTCTCAAGACGATGAGTACCGAATTTGATGCTCTTCAGGAGAGGGGCGAGAGTCGGATGAGCAGTGAGACCGACCAGAGCTGCCATACTCAGTTCGGAGAAGATGAATTTGCGATCGGAGGCGAAGTTGCGCTTGAAAGCGGGAGCAACGACGTTTCCGAGCTCCTGGCAGACCAGTCGAAGCCGATTCACATCCTCTTTTGCGCAGTACGAGAGGGTGATCTCAAAGAGCTCTTGTGGCAAGGTGAAGAGCGGCGAATGTGTAGGCGCCGACTGGACAGGGGGCCCCACGAGGTTTGACATGGCGATCGAGGTCGTTGAGATGTAGCGGCGGGCTGATACGGTGCGTTGCTGGATATTGGAGGTTGGCGGTCGGCGCAGGATATCGGGGAGCGAAAGAGGTTGATACAGAAGATCTGGAGTTGGCAGGCGACCAGAGTTCTCGCGTTGACGAAAGACACGCGCGCGTGTTTGCGAAGAGTGATTACCGAATTGGACTCGAGTATGGAGGCAGGTAGGCGAGAAAGTAAACAAACAGTTTTGTCGACAAGCTCGTGCTGTGAAAGTGAATACAACCGAAGAGCAAGAAAACTTCACTGATCGATCGTCTGACGCCGCTGTCCACTAAGCGATTGGGAAAACCCAATTGTTTTGACACACAGCCGCGACGGAGTTCAGGGATATGGTCTTGATTTACCGCTGAGGATTTGCTTGCTTTACGCCAGCTGCAGTCGTTTTACGAGTTCTGTGGATTCAGCGAGATTGTTCTTTCTGGTTGCGATCTCAGGCAATGTGGTCGACAGCAAAACAAGAGGGAAGTTTAGAGAATGTATGGACGCAAATTACATAGCTCTTTATTGCAGTTGTACGTGTTACCATGTTCGAACGATAGATTGAATGGTTCATGGGGCAGGAGTGTACGGTTTTAAAAACTTATTATGCTACCTGTTCGTTAAAAGAGAAACCTTTAACATCTGATCTTCTTGCTGGTTTTTTAATAACGAGAATGAGGAAACAATGAACGAGGCTCTGTGATTTGAGGAGAACAATTTCTCCTATATCCAGCCCAAGACTTCATCATCTCCGAAACCATTCCATCTTCCATACGGGATCAACACCGTCCATTCCATGTCTTGGTCATCATTTTCTTGCTTGACTGGTTGATCATGAATATCTCCGACTTCAGATGAAGGCTCGCCGCTGTTGGTAGAGGTTGTCATGTCTTCGACGGAATGCATGTGTGGAGTGCTACCAGTCGTCGGGGCATCGTGGTCTCCAAGCTCATCAGATTTTCCCCTAGGGTTGCGGTCGTCGTCTTCCTCCAAGGCTGGATTAAGATTTTGCGAGCTGGTGGTGTTCGGATGAAATTCCAGCATGTCTACGTCCTCTGGAGTGTCGTTCAATGGGCTCGGACGTGGGTCTCCATGCTCGACTTCAACGGTTTCGGTGATTGGCGCAGACGAGACCTCCGTGATCCCACCGCTTTCGCCTTCGGGCTCTGCCATCTCTTGGTCGCTGTTGATAGTCTGAGCACTAGGCTGGATATGACCAACCTCATTATCTTCGGTTACCAGTGGTATGGAGTAGGCTTCTTCATTCCCGGAGAATATCGTATGATCGGGAAGAGTCTCGGCGGTGTTGATGGGATCACTCATCGAGTCATCGGATGCAGCTGCCATATCCTGGTCCTCGCCAGTCAGAGATGGTGGCGAATGATTTTCGTAGTTCTGGTCCTCAATCTCTTGTCGCCCCTGTTGACTGTTGGCAGGACGCAGGTCTTCGTCAAGTTCAGGGTGATATCCGATCATGCACTTCTTCTTGAACTCCCCCACCGCAAGAGAAAGACGGTCCATACGGTCATACCATAAATCGCACGCAGATGCGGTTGTGCCATCCCAGAAAGTTGAGATAGATGAATCAGGCTCATGAATTCGATGTGCTAGCGAATTGATTTCCCTAGGAAGGCTTAGCCAACGGAGACACAATCCCTGTACGGTGAATCGCCAAAATCCACCATATGAATTGTCTGAGCCACGAATGAATTCGAAAGCTGTAGCGTCATGGGTCCCGTTGATGTAAGGGGTCCAATCCGTCAAGAAGAGATCGCACATCTTCTTTATCGCAGCACGGCGACCATCCGCGAGGACTCCCCCACTTCTCGTTGACCCAGCTGTATCAGCAGTAGGGTAGTCCATGGCCTTCCATAGCTCAACCGCAGAGGGCTTTCTCTTGTCACGAAGAAGGTGTGGCAGTGGATGGATTGGCAGGAAGATCACGGCGTCGCCAAACGTCCAGTCAGGGTTTGTGATACGATCGCCGTGCTGAGGGCCAGAGTCCTCGAGTTGCTTGACGCTCATGTACAGACACTCATGGACTGATGCTTCTTCGGACATCGAGATCAGGGCGTGTAACTTTGTACGCTCTTCGGTCATGTGTTTCCACGGTACCAGGTCCCATCTTTTCGCCCAGAGCATGAACAAGTGAAACCTTATGGCGATGAACATCTCAGTTGACAGCGGAGGCGCGTTGACTGTGAGGCCCATCAGAATAATCCAACGCCAGACATCTGCCTTGGTTGCAGATTGGATGCCAATATCCGGGATTGGCATTGCAGGGGCGTCGATGAGGCGTCTGATCTTGTGTTTTGTGGCCGTGTTTATGTTAGACTCGTGATTGGTAGGACACTTCTCGAGCAGCTTGTTGTCCTCGGTCTCTTTCCTCGACTTCTTTGCAGGTGGTGGTAACTCGGGGGCCGGTTTCTTTTCATGTTCTGGTGACCTTTCGAGATGTTCTTCGGCAGCGTCGAAATACATCAGCTCATTGGGCGACTTGCCGCGACTGGAGGTTTCCATCCCGGTCATAGTCTGAGCAGAAAACAAGACTGAATCCTTGTATCGGTTGCACTCGTAGACCATGACGCGGTCGTGGTCTGCACGACGGTGGTATCTTTTTGGAACTTTGTCGAGATATCCTTGTCGGTTGTCGCCGCGTCTGATCATACCTCTCCCACGAATCACAGTTTCGTCCGATGTCATCGGTGTCGTGAAACCTCCGCCAGCTATGCTGGTTCGTCCGATACTCAAGAGTTGTATGACTTTGATATCGGAATCCCGGGTTTGGTGAGGTCTCATTGATCGGAGAGCCGCGGCGATGTACTCCTGCAGCTCGACGTCTTCCGCTCTCAAGTACGTTCCGTCCAGTCTGGCGCCATTGGAGAGATGCTCGTCAATCATATCAGCTGCATCCTGCCAACGCGACGGACTATGCGCTTCGGGTGTTTGCAGCATATTGGAAACAACAATGCGGTTATGGGTAATAGCATCCGGTCCATGTCCGAGAGGTCTGAGGTTGGTGTAGTTGGGCGTGGACCCCATGGCGGCGAAAGGTGAAGTGGATGGTCTACCAAAGCGATTAGTACAGGGTATAAGCGAAAGACAAGCAAGCAAACTACCAGTGCGAAGACGTGATTGGCGTAACGGCAGATCCTGGTGCGAAGTGGAGCACCAAGAGCGGGACGAAGCAACTCGAGATGATGTGATGTAGCAGGTGTTGTAAGGGGCACCCTGATGGTGTTTGAGAATCACTTGCCGATGCGGAGCGAAGTGAGCGGCGTGTCAGCTGATAGCAGACAAGTGAAGAGCGAAGGGGGGTGTGCTTCAACACGACGAATGAGTAACCTTGCCGCTTTCTGAAGTATCACCTTATGTAACAAAGAACTTCTCCCTTAACGACTGGAGTACGCTTCCTATCAAACCAAAGTATCGGTAGTCTCGGGTTGAGGTCACCAAATTCAAGAGATTCGGAAACGAATATCGGAGTGATCCATTGAACGCGAAAGAATATCCACTTTCATTCACACGTCTCACTTCATCCTTCTTCCAATTTCTCTCATCTTCTTCTCGTTCCTCAAACAACACTTTCCTCAAACAACACTTCCAAGTTTTAATCCACCTTCGGAGCTTGCCTCTTGTCTTTCAACCCTCGAGCGACCCAACAGCGCACGAACAACAATGAGGTCTTTCAGCTACGATCCGCATGAGAGATGGAAGATGGTGCAAAATGATCCAAAGTTGATCGCGGCTCGAGAGGGTAAGTGATGACAGTTTGGCGGTCCTCTTTTCCCACAGCTAACCTATGTGCAGGGATGGCTGCCAAGAGGGCTGAATTGAAGGCGCAGATGGCTGAATTGAAGGCGAGGCGATCCAGCGCCAAGAAGGTAAACATGACTGGATCGGTCTTATGGAAGACGGGATCTGACACCAGCTCTCCAGGTCACCAATGGATCAAAGAGCGAACTCCTGCAGCAACTCTCCCAGCAGCAGGCCGAGATCAAGGAGGTTGACAAACGCATCTCCGAAATCAAGGCAAAATATCAGAATGAAGGTCGCCTCAAGAACGGCGATTATTCCAGCAAGTCCATGACCGAAGCGCTTGACAAGCTGGAACTGTCTGTTTTCAAGAATGTCTGCACAACAGACATCAACTGGATCCTCAACACCAGCCGAACCTACATGATTATGGCCGCCACTTCCCATCAAGCTCACCTGATCACACAATCTCATGACGCATTCACCGCTGCTGGAGAACGCGCCGACCGTCTGGCTACGCTGAAGGATGGGATGTTGTCCGAAACCGAGGGAGATGATGAGCAAATGGCTGGGATGACTGCACCTGCAGGTCACACGGTAAGTGCCCTATTCCCTCCACTCAATCAGTCCCCCATACTCCCACTCGACCTATACTGACATACTGCGACAGTACGATTTCAAGGCCATGTCCCCGGCCAACAGCGACGAGGACATCAACACAGAACTGACCAGCGTGGGCGCAATGCTCGAGCAAAAGAAGAGCGAATTGCGACAGCTCGAGAGCGCAGAGCCATATTCGCAAGAAAAGCACCAAGGCGCTCTCCTCGCAGAGCTCCGCACGATGCTCGACCCTCGGGATGTCATTCAAACCGATATCACCAACAGACTTGCTGACTTGAACAACATGAGCGAGTACATACAGACCGGAACACAGAGAATAAAAGAGCTAGACCGGGACTCGCAAATAAAGTACAGCAACACCATTTACACAGAGCTCCGCAAGATGCTCAAGCCTACAAAGACCGTCCAAAAACTCAACACGGGCGCAATCAAGCTCCACTGGTTCATCCACCAAGCCAGTCTCAACTACGTTGCCAGATGCCATATGGTGAGCGTGCATGCTCTTTGTTCATCTTCTGAGTTTGGCTGACAGCCCGAAGCACTTCATGCTCGCCGCAATCCCGGTAGTCAACATCTCGTCCATCAGCCCTACCGATCCTAAGTGGAGATGGACAGAACTGCTTCCTGATGGTAGCTGGACAATCAAACCCTGGCAGTTCGAAGCAAGCCAGACGTCGGTCGAAACGATAGTGAAGTGCAACAAGACCATGGCAAAGACGTTGGCCAGTGCCTATGGACATCCTCACGTTCTCTACGGAGCAATGGAGAAGCTCCTACTCGACTGCGACACTTTGTTGTACAGCAAATTCCGACTGTTCGACATGGCATTGCCTGCCAACGTCCGCCAACCCAACGACATCGACGATTGCATAACGCCCCGAGTTGTGTACAAGCCAGAGCAGATGTGATGCCTCGCCATAGCGGGCATCCTTATCATCGGTATCACTGAGGACCCGAGACATCGGAGATGATCAAGACAACGAACAAGTCGGAAACGCCGGAGACATCGAAGGACGGAGGGCATGGAAAAGACTGACAGCAACGGCAATAGGCAGTCATAGCATGGATGGTAGATAACAACCCAAATGAATGCGGCGTCTCAGAGCATAAGGACAACTATTCTGACATGGATTGTCCATCAGCTATTGTCGCCCGGAGTGATACAACGTTGACCTTCAGATCATGGTCAACTCGGAGATGGGGTTATCGTCACAATAGTGTCTTTGATCCCTTGGGTTGATCGTTCATCGCGATTAATCACGAGTTTGGACATCCAGACTAAATCAGAGGGTTGATATCATGTTCTGTCTCGGCCTGACTCCGTTGCTTACGGCGGCGGTTCAAGCTAGTGTTATCCTCAAAATCTCAATCTACGAAAGGCCAAACTGAGGAGCAATGTCCGATCGGTGGATGATCCTATCTCCCAAGAGTCAAGACATGAGTCGATCTCCGAAAAGTCACGATATGAGTCGATCTCCGAAATGTCAAGATATGAGCCGATCTCCGATGATTGAACCATATTATGCCAAAAGGCCAAACTGCCAACTCATCTTACATTCTCTGATCGCTCATTCTCAAAAAGCGCGTGGTAATCCTCTAAGCATAGCGAGATCAGTAGCAGGGGATCAAACTAATTATATATGGTCACTCGAGTAGAGCAGCTAGGGGATGGGCAACTCAGGGATGATTCAATTGGATTCACTTTCGGTTTCTACGTGGTTGTAGAAGCTGTGGACATGGTTAGGCTGTGAACTAAACGTCAATCATCGATGACTCGATGTTCGGAACCACCTCGATAAGGGGAGGCTCATGGGTAACAGACCACGATCAATTAGTCAAGTGCTCTTCTTAATGCTCCCCTGTCCTCGACACCGGTCTCAGAGATAAGCTCGTCATTTCCTTTTTCCTGGCCAACCTCCTTGCCTCCCCTAGACGCCTTACCTAAGGCGGGGTTCTCGTGCTTCTAAGTGGTAGGCTTGGCCTTAGTGGATCAGCGAGTGAATTAGATGAGTTACGACGTGGTACGGGGACCTCTGTAAGCCTATGGTCGTCTAAGCCATACTACCCGCAGTTCAACTTGGAGACGACACATAACTTGATGCTATGAGACGCCGCATTCAATTTGGAGATTATCTGCTACCTAGGTAGGTTCTAGCTTCCTGTCCCCTGTGTCTCCGTCGTCCAATGTCTCCGGCGCCTCCAATGTATTCATCGTTCATCATTTTTGGGTCTCCTTGAAGTACGACTGATGAGGAATGTCCGAATAATGTGCATCTCTCGCCACAAACTTCTCCTGATACGGGATGTCCGAATGTTATGCATTTCGTGCCGTGAAAATCTCCTAATGAAGTCTTAAACACTCGCGTCATCCCCCGAATTAATCTCTGTCTGACATTTCGGAGATGATGCGAATTCCCAAGACCTCATGCACCCTCTCCAGTCTAGCAAAGTAACCGCAATGTGCCGGTTTGCGTCAATCTTAGTACAACAGAAGCATCGATGAGTGAGACAACTTAAATTGGTAAAAAGGTTTAGACAATTGTGATTCATCATGTCCACAATAATTACTTCACTTCAACTCATTGGAAGTGAAGAACAATCTGCCATTGAATCGTACCAACGCCGAAAATAGTTGTTACTAATCCTAAAAGGGTAACATCCAATGGATATGACTGGATATTCCTGGATCTCTAGTCCACCTGGTTATCCGATGGCCCGTAAATATCGAATGGATATTGTGTGGATACGGAGGTCCCTGAATATGGACTAGACCGGATATCAATCCAGTCCCATCCTTGCTGCGCTCCAGTGAAGCAGCACTTATACATACTGCGCACGTCATCACAGATCAGTTTCCAAGTGAACCACATGTCATCACTCAATCGAATGTCCGACCTCAGTAGAACCAAGTGGAGCTGCGTTTTAGTGGGCTCGTCAATCGTTTTGCAGCACTAAACTTGCTATAGAAGATCATGCATTGAGAGTGAAGGTGGATCTTCGTAGCTCCGCTGATGTCCATTGTCGTTCATACATTCGCACCTTCACTTCTACAATACCAATCTTCCAAATTCCGCCTTCGTCTTCTCATTCCTCAACAACACTTCCGTTCCACCTTTACAGTTTGCACTTTCTTCTCTTGTCTTTCAATCATCCAGCAATTCAACACACTAACAACAACATGGCGACACCAAGCGGTTCGTCGTGGCTTGACAAAGTAATGGAAAAGGGCTCGAATCTACACCAGGCCAGGAAGGAATACAGTACGTGATAACAGTTTGACGGTCTTCTTTGCCCACAGCTAATCTTGATGCAGTAATGGAGGCTTTGCAGCTCGAGCCAAAATTGTCGAAGCACGATACCGAGAGACAAGAGACATCAGATGATGGTGAGGACTCTGAAACCACCAAAGTAAGCATGACCGGACCAGTCTTACGGATGATCAGATCTGACACCAGCTCTCCAGGTCGCTGATAGATCGAAGAGCGACCTCGACTCGGACACCCCACCTACAAGGTCAAGCGCCCCAAGTTCTTCTCATGCCCTCGATCACCGTCCACTGCCACCGCCGTCTTCGCCTCGTGGCACCAAGAGGGATCTCGACGACGAACCGGGCATGGCCTATTCGAAGGAGAAGCACATGAAGAGATTGTCTTCGCTGTGTGAATGGGTTCCTAGCAAGAGATTGATGGAGACGGTGGAAAAGATCTACCCCGAGCCCGGCCCATCGGAGACAGGCCTTACAGATCCTCGGATATGTGTGTATTTCCAACACTACCGCTGGATCTTCTTAAATGACTATCTCTTCATCGGACGCTGGAACATTTGCTACATACCGCAGGACGTGTGGTACAAGCGTAGCACAATCAACGGGGTCCTTGAGGGTAGGTTCTACCTTGATTCAGGCGACGACGCAGAACCCAGGGTCTTGGACCCGCTGCGTCTGGACAAATATTTCGAATGCGTCCAACACCTGCTGGAACCATCGTCTTTCGAAAGCAGAGTTCCCTTCGAGCTCTATCTCCAAAACCTCTGGTGCTTGGTTCGCGCATTCCCTTGCACGCATGCAAAGCAGGGTCGGCTTCCTGGAGAGATCTTCAGACGGCCCGGTCCGTGGAAGTTCCCCATGTGGGCACTTGAGCATTTCTTGGATCTCCCTGACTATGCCCAGACCGTTGATCAAAGGGCTCTCACATTATATCTCGGAGATATAACCCAAGATGTGGCAAGAAAGGTTGGATTTCGTCTCCGCCGCGCTCCCTTGACAGCGCCAGCTGTCGTCGATGCCAGGCATACTGAGAAGCCATGGGTGACCAGATACTTCGAGGAGATGTCAACAACGGAGAGAGCCGAAATATATCGGGAGAATACCACCATGACCGGCCATCAGACACGCGACCGTGAACACAACAAATTCTGGTCCAAGGTAGGAAAACTCGCAAGTCATGACGAGCTTGCATCGTTCAAGACCCACGCGGATACCAACTTCCCCAACAAGTTCTAAGATGAGGAGAAAGATTCATACGTAGATAATGGGATGCCATTGCGTGTAACACTGCTTGATAACCGAAATGCAATTCTCAACTCCACAAGCTTCACATCTCCATCTTCGTGGACGTCATGTACTGATTAATCAGAAGGCCATTGTCCTCGTGCATCTCTGGAAAATGAACATGCATGTAAGATCACCGAGTTCCCCTACTTAGAGTTGAAGGCCGAAAACATGATCCTACCATTGCCGATTGGAACCTCAGAACCCCATGCAGTTGGCATGGAAGAAGACGATAGGCATAGATACGTTGGACATTGGTCCTCAGAACCTTAAGTGCAGTCACTATCTTCTAACTCGGAGACCTCGATGCTATAACTACATCGCCCTATACAGTACCTTGATCTTTGGTTAAGGACTGCCTGTCTCCGACATAGACGGACGTAAAAACCGAGGCAGGTGTTTTACAAAGGCAGCAACTCTCCATACCTTCAATGGCAGTTCAATAAAGTCTCAAAACGACCCTGCCCTTGTGATGAGTACGCAAGATGCACACCTCGGAGAGCCGAGAGCTTGTGTTCAATCTAAAATAGGCGGCCCCCTCAGTGTGGCCAGCGAGCGATCGTTAATGATAATTATCATGATAATTATCAGATGAGCTGATTGATACAAGGCCTCAATTTCGATCAAGTGATCGCTCTAACACCGTGAGATTATCATGAGTGTATCATGATAATTTGAGGGCAGGGTTATCCCCTCAGCGAACCCCCAGATATCTATGGCTGGCAGGGTCGCACCTACAGAATCAGATAAGATGCGCAGATCTTATAGATACGGTTAGTCTAGCGGGATCTTGGCAGTAAATGAGCGATCATGATCGATCACGATTATCACGAGCGTGAGCGAGTGAGAGGGTAATTCCTGCCGAGCGATTGTGACGAGACCAATTATCAGCTCATTATCGCTCGCTGACCACACTGGGCCCCCTGAAAGAGAAGCCCCTGAGGAGCCTGGAGTAGTGATTCTACAGGCTCTCTTTTGACAATTGAATCAACATAAAAGACATATTGCGTTTATGTTGCGTTTTGATGAATACTAAAGATGCACACCTTGCGATCTGAAAGCTCATGTTTGATGCAAATGTGCGGCTCCCTAGGAAAGGAGCCCCTGATCAGCAGAAATTCTACGCGCTCTCGTGGGATATTTCAACCAATATGTAAAAACATCTTGTATCTTGACAGACACTGGACAAGGAGTATCTCGATCAGCTGAGAGGACGGCATTAATGTACAGCGAAAGAAGAGTAATATGAAACAGGGTATCTAGAATATATAGAAAAGAAAAGTATGTCGATAGAGAAAGACAAAAACAAGAATACTTGCCAACAAAAAAGGCCAAGCAGGAAAATTCGAAACAAAACAAATATCAAAGTGTGCTCCAAGGAAGTGGAGAATTTAGTATCAATCATACCTCTCGATATCTTCACCTTCAAGCACTCTCCTCGCTTCATCGAGTCGTCTTCTCAACGATCTTCTTCTTTCCTCACCTCCGGCACCTGACTGCAATTCTCCGACGAATTCTCTCAAGCTCTCTACCAGAGTGTAGACTAGAGCTTCATCTTTGCTGCCAAGACCTTTGCCTTTAGTAGGGTCCAAAAGAGCAGAGACGGCCATTGTGGTAGCAGATGGAGAGATAGATATGTATTGCTGTCCTTGTTGTGTTGAAGCTGGTGTGTAAGTTGGTGGGATAGAAGGGCTAGGAAGGCCGGTTTGAGTGGATGGATGAGATCTGGATGGCTTTGGAGGAGAGGCAGGGTTGTGGATTGAAGAGGCTGAAGTGCTTCTGCTCAGCCATTGAGCAATAGAAGCTTGATGTCCTTCTTCTGCTGTCTCGAATGTCGCAATGGTGGCGAGAGATTCTGCTGACAGGCCTCGGCGATGCTGCATGCGCGCGGGTAGCTTGACTTCTTCAATGTGTCGGAGAGCTTCTGGAGTCTCTGGTGTAGGAGGTGGTTGTAACTCTTCTTCCTCTTCAGCTCCACTCGTAACATGGCCAGAGTTGACAGGGTAAGCACGAGCGGTCAAGCAAGAGTCGGAAGAACTGAGAGAAGTGCTACGAGCATGGCGGGTAGGCGTGTTGGGCTCGAAACTGCCTGTTGCAGAGTGCAAGAAGAATTTGGAGTAGTCAAAGGCGTCATCGCGGTCTTCGTGACGAGGACCGGATACTTGTGGAGATGATTCAGGAGCATCTTCGTAGATGCTTCGTGGGTTTGAATGCTGAGTCGTCGCAGTAGTAGGCGTAGAGGTGCGATCTGTGCTTCCCGAACCAGAATTGGGCAGGGTGTAGTTGTCGTCATCATCCTCCTCTTCCTCAAAATGTTCCTCTCCATCTTCATCGTCGTGGTCGTCGATTGTCTCAGCAGAGACCCAGGCGCCTGGCACCTTGCTTGCCCTCGTGATGCGAGCAAGTCTAGGTCTAGGCGAACCTGAAGCTCCAGACACAGTATCGGCATCGTTCAAGGGGCAAGTCTCTCGAAGGTTATTTGTGCTTCTTCTCCTCAAGTTCTCCTCTTGTGCTCTCTCTTTCAAAGTAGATATTCTGCCTCTCAATTGCATCATCTGCTCACGCAAGTTATGCGCCGACGTCTGATTTCGTACACTCTGCTCTTCGGAGACAGTGTCTAGTTGAGGATCGGGACTCAATGGGCTGCGGGGATGTCGTAGCAACTCAGAGCTGCGAGTTGTGCGGACTGGGTTCGATGTCCATGAGGGAGTCGAGTTGACGTTCAAGGACATGTAGCGACGTTCATCGGGCTGGATTTCGGAGTCGCTGAGCACACGCATGTGCTGCGTGTTTGACGTGTGCTGGTTGTGCGGTAGGTAGCGAGGGCGAGAGAAGGATGTATTGCGGACGGGTCCTGTGGTGAGAGATGTGGCACGCTTGAGATTGGCAGCAGTCAAGGGTGTGACGATTTCGCGAGCGCCCCGTAGGTTCTGGTCCATGAGCTGGGAAGTGTTAGCTTGGCCTCTCTGGCTGCATTGTCACCGTCTCGACGTACATTCAGTCGCTTCTTTGCATTGGCAAGAATGAGTTCTGCGCGCATGAGGGTCACGTTGGACTGCTCGGACTTCAAGACATCGCCATAGGACAATTCGCTAGGCGTGTCAATGTCAAAGTCGTCCTCATCCAGCGTCTCGGTATCAGAGTCCAGACTCGACTCGAACCTGGGAATCTGCATGTTCTCCAGGTCCTCGGTAAGGATACTGCTGGCAGCATAACTCAATCTTCGGTCGTCCCATGCTGGGCTTTCAACATTGAGGGTAGGCGACGAAGCATAAGCATGCGCAGGTGATTGAGAGGGAGCGCGAAGGTTGGGTCGGGACTTTCGCTTGTTGCCGAGTTTCTTTGTCGCTTGGGCCTGGAGGTATGAAGGTGATGGTGGTCGTTGGGCCTCGTGGACATCCAGCACGAAGGCGTTCGGTAGCACCATGTCCGGGTTGGTGAGAGTAGGCGACGGCGGTGCCGGTAGAGGTTTGTTGTCGAGTGTTTGTAGACGCATTGTTGATTTGTTTGCGTGGGAATACATCGGAGTCATGCATATGCAGCTGCAACTGCGGAACTTGTCACTCGCTGACGCCGGCCATGCAGAATAGCGGAACAGGAAGCAAGACGGCTTTTGTTCAAACGCTTCTGCATCAAAGTCCAAGGGAACCCGGTCGCTGGTCGCATGATGGGCAGCGCAAAACCGCAGAGCGCTCCTCGTTGCCAACGACTGCCCGCTCCTGCCGCCCGCACGTCCATGCCCAGACCCACCCATGAAACTTTCCTGGAGAAAGCTTCGAGACATGAATGATCGTCGTGCTCAATCTCCGGAATCTAATTCCATTCCCCTGCCAATCGTGCATACCGTACTCTTTGATGACCAGGTGTCAATCTTGAGAGTTATTTGTCGCCTTCTTTCTCATAAGCTGAAGCCTACACATTCTACTCCAATTCTGAATCCGGATAGCTCTTCCTGTAGACCACCGTTACATGTACACGAAGAACCCTCAACGGCCTGTTCGCATACACTTTATTGACGAATCCCTCCGGCCTTTCTTTTCATATACGTTCTTGAACTGACCATGTCCACTCCAAACGGTTTCAGATCCACATCCTCGTACTGCTTTTCTTCGAATCCGAACTTCTTATACAGTCTGGCACCCTCAGGAGACGCTTGGAGATACATGTCAAGTCCCGCTTCGTCGGCCTTCTTCGTGCCTCGTTCGAGCAGCATGTGCGCTGCTCCACGCCTTCGATGTTGTGGAAGTGTTGCGAGATATGCGAGATCTTTTGCAATCAATTGTTAATATTCTGACTCTGCGTCTTCGACAAAATCAAACACGTACGCGCATGCGGTCTACCCGCGTAATTCTGTCTCGCGAACTCATTTGAAACCTTGTTGATTTGTCCAAAGAACTCAAGCAGTCTTTTCGGAGGAGGTGCTTCGCCTTCTACAGGTGTGTCTTGATAGGCTTCACCTTCGTGGTACTGGAAGGTGAATTTGGCGACCGAAATCATCTTGTCTGTGTCTGTGTCGACAACTTTCCAGAAACTCTGCGAGTTGTGCTCCATGCCCATCGAGATGAATCTCATGAACGAGTACGTGATGTCGTCACCCTCTTCTTCTTGTATCTTCCAGATTGCTCTGGTGATACCGACGTCTGCCATGATGAGTTGGTCCATCTTGGCGATGTCGGCAATGTCGCTCCTTTCCACTTGTCGCACTTCCAGAGGCATTTTGATCGCTGTTGATGTTGTGATACTTGAGAAGTGTACTTCGTGGGATGTCCTGCTTTATAAGCTATACCGCTCATGACCCACAGTCTCGCGTTGCTGCCTAATTGATTGGCTGGCTCGTAACTTGATCCTGTCGGTTAAACAAGCGTGAGCGACCTCATGAGCCCGCATCTTCTCAATTGATACCCTGAGTGCCCTTTGAAGCTGGTCTAGGTGAGAAAAGAAGATGAAGAAGCACAATGACCGTCCCATGTGCAGTGCGACTTGGCTTCTCGATAGTTGCACCACTCTCGGAGACATCACCGTTGACCTGGATGTTCTGATCGATCCATGTGCATAATGAACATGCACGTCTGATTTGGTGGCTGGGAGAGCTTTGGACGACGGCCATCTCCGCGAGATTGATCCTTCCGCAAGCTCAGCCTCGCCAGCGATTCTGTCAAGCTTCAATCTGGAACAATTTCTTTCCAAGAGCCGTCGCATTTGCACTCGCCAGACGCGTTTATATACTTTTGTCCAAAGTGTCAATGATAGAGGGGAACGATTGTTGCACGTCAAGAGTAGCCCTGCAGAATCATGACGTTCGAGACTGACCCATGTCCACTCGGGTTCCCCATGATTTTCTAATCATGTCCGTCTTTCTGCAGCCACTCTGACAGGGCATGCTTGTATCTTGCATCATGTACTCGCCCGCATCACATCTCGTGGCAGAGTCGTCTATTCTTTCGTGCGCAAGCTGCTTAGTAGAAGACGATAAGAATGGCCATGACGCTCTGCTGGTCTTCAAATACTCCTGCGGCTACCCATCGTAGGTTTGCACTTTCTCATTCTCTTGTTCCAGTGCCCAGATCAGGTTTGTTCAAACCCACCGTGCGGCTCGATCTCCACAGACAAGTCTTCAAGGATTGCTTGGGTTAGCGTACCTCATTGGCAATACATAAGATGCAAGACGTGGGCCATCAACCACGACGACTGTCGAAACGCCATTTACCTTCGTTCTTCAGGAGTGGAAATCGACCAAAGTCACCCGGAGTGGAGTCGACATTCAGTGCATCCAACATTCTGCCACGAAACGCGCAACAATACTCGAACGTCGCTTCCGCATTCGAGCGACCACCCGAAGTTCCAACTATGCCGTCAACACGCGCGGGTTCGATCTCGCCAGTCGAGCCATCAATCTTTGATCCTGTACAAGAGGAAGTCCAAGACGATTATCATACAGAACCTACGACAGCACCACACTCTGGATCCGGCGACGAGCACGAGTATTACGATCTCAAACCTCCTCCACCCTCCGTCACCCATTCGAATATGGAACACCTAAGCATGCGCTTCTTCTCTGCCGACCACCTGAATATCATTCTCCGTGACTATCAACTGTCTGCCCGATTTCACCGATTCCTTACCCAGTACAAACCGTACATTCTCCCCGCATTCGATAGCTATGTCGACACGCAAAAAGCGGTTGCAGCGATAGAATACGCAAACTCGCTAGCGAACAGCCTTCCCTCGTTGACCGGCGACACTCCCAGACCTGCAGCTGTCATGGATGAGAGCTTCCAAGAGAGATCGAAGATGGTGGTGCAAGAGCTGGTTGACGATGCTCTACCAGCATACATCACACATCGACTCGTGACAGTCGTGACAGACAGCCTTGTCAAAGAGATTACTGGCAACAATGCTCCAATCATGCGAGAGTTGATTCCATCTTTGGCAGAAGTCTACTGCATAACTGACCCCTCGATACCTGACAATCCGATTGTCTACGCCTCTGAAGGTACGTTTGCAATGACCCCATCTCTCTTTCCTGCATGCTGATCGAGAACAGGATTCTACGACATAAGTGGTTACCAGAAAGACTTCGTGATTGGTCGAAACTGTCGCTTCTTGCAAGGTCCAAAGACGTCCTCATCAAGTGTGCACCGTTTGATAGAGGCAATCAGGGCCGGGCAGGAAGTCACCGAGACTATGTTGAACTAGTAATGTGGATCATCTCTCCCGCAAATACTGTCGCTGACTCAATCATAGTCGAAGAGATGGCATCCCCTTCATGAATCTTCTCATGATTGCACCATTGTACGATAACAAAGGCAATGTGCGATACTACCTTGGTGCTCAAATCGATGTCACGCACCTTATCGAAGGAGGCAAGGGTCTCGAATCATTCGAAAAACTTCTGGCCAACGACCGCACTGAGGAGCGATACCGTGGTAGAAGCAGCCGTAAACCGACTCAAGTACTGGGAGAGCTGGGAGCGATGATGAACAAAGACGAACTGGATGCCGTTAATACGCGACAACGTAGCGAGTCCCGTGAATCAACATCAGCAGCTGGTTCTGCCCGCAACGTTACTCCTGCTCGACCAGCTCGGAGAGTCTTGGGTATGGATGACTCGCTCGAACGTACCCTTTGGCCACATCCTTCTCTTGGTCCGTCAGGTCGTCTACCCGGAGTTTACCAGAATGTGAGTCCTTTCATCTCTGAATCTCTCGTTGTACATGCTCACAGTTAGTACAGTACCTACTCGTCCGCCCTTACCCATCACTACGAATCACTTTTACATCACCAGCTCTGCGTATTCCTGGCTTGCTACAGACCAAACTCATGGACCGTTTGGGCGGGCCTCAAGACGTACGCGACGGTGTTCTCGACAGCCTCGCACACGGTACTGCTGTCACAGCCAAGATATCTTGGCTTTCCACCCCCACGACCATCAACACTTCCCACCGTACCTCCATAGAAGGAAAGCCACGCTGGATCCATTGTACACCCATGCTGGGATCTGACGAGAAAGTCGGCGTCTGGATGATCGTCATGGTCGAACAAGAGACGGTGACTGGAAGTCTTAGACGTCCTTCCGAAGTCATCAACACCTTCCCATCGCCACCAGCAAACGTTATCGGCGGCAGAGAATCACTGGATATACCCGTTAGAGGCGGTGAAGGAGCCAGGAGTCCGAGGTTCAAAGCAGAGACTGGAAAATTGTATGCAGAATATTTGCGGCGTGAAGGAAAGAGCCCACCGAGGGATGGTGGAGCAGGAGGTACGCCATCCAGAGGAAGTAGTATGAGGGAGGCGAGACCGTTCCAGGAATTTTGATTGACCTGTGAGAGGGACGGAAGGATTTGTATGGGAGTTCTTGGTTGACCTGGGACTTTCTGCTTGTCCAGGCTCGTCTAGAATGGTTTGTAATGTGGTATTCCTGAGTGTTTTACCTATGAGAGTGGATGTAATTGTACCGTACACGGAACTTATACGATTGTTGTGCAGTGCGCACATCACTTCTAGAAATGAGAACGAGTATGACTTTTCGAGCTAGTTCACATCCTGCTTATGTTTCTTTACATGATGGTGAGAGGGTGGATGGATATTAATCGTCCATACGAATGATACTGCTGGACAAAGGCTGGTGAGTCAGGTATAAGGAGAGGGATGGTGGTGAGGGAAAACAGACAGGGTTACGAGTCTAGCATGAATTCAGGGGGTTCATCATAGATCGCTAGCAAGGTCGTGGACCAGAGATATAGGCGCCGATGTGTAGTTCTTCTTTAATTCAGGTTTCATAGTCGTTAAATCACCTTGTGTTGCAATTGTCGGGGCAAATCGCAGAGTGATACGGTTTGCGGAACGTCCACAATGTATTGTCCGCTTCTTCTCTCCAAACTGCAGTCACGGTGAGCAGAAAAGAAGTTGTGTGAGCTAAGGTACTGGTCCGTTTTGATCTACGTTGTAAAGTCTTTGGAAATAGCTTTTCGATCTGTTCTCTTGTAGCTATACTCTTCCTATGCCGTTCCTCAAGCCTGTCGAGCATCCTCCTTCGTCATGGAGCAATATGGCATCTACGCACCCTCGTGGCAGTTTAAATCGACCCAGAAGACATAAGATCGTCCTCGTCCGACGATTCCGGCTCATCCTCGTACATCACCTCAACCTCCACGATCAACTCTTCCAGCCCCTTGATGACATCCTCACGTCCCTCGAAGACGACCTTTCCAAACTCCGGAAGCACAATGCCTTGTCCTACAGTCAAGCCTTCCAGCGCGAGACTCTCCAACCACAAGTCGTCCTTCAGGAACCGAAGTAGTCTCACAGCCTGTTCTGTTGGCGATGAATTGAAACAGACCATGTGGACGTTACGAAGCACAAGGTTATCCAGTGACTCTGCCTGACCCTCGAGGAACTCGGTCAATGAGCCATACTCGACGTCCGACTTTTCAATGAGGATGTCTTGGAGCGGGCTTTGTTCGATTGCTCGCCAGATGAGTCCGTAGTTGTACTCGCAATATCTGAGGTACGGTTTGCCGTCCGCACTGACTTCGAATGAGTGGCAAGAGAGCTCAAGACGAGTGCCGGCGGAGAGAATTCTCATCTTCGCATAAGTTGTATCAATGCGTATACCGATGTGAAAATCCATGTCTGGGTTGAGTGCAGGTCCATCGGTTTCATCGTGGAAGATCTGCAACAAGTCTTCGCTATTTTCAAGCAAGGCGAAAAGGTGCTTCTGCGAGACGAAGAGTTTTATCGCTTGGATTGGGTATTGACTGTGGCCGCTGGCAGCAAAGATCGCATCCAATGTCTCGACTCCATTAAACTTCGTTGGGATGAACTTTCCATAAGCGTCATCAAAACCATATGCCCGACGCTTTACAACATAGCGTAACGAGTCATCATGGGCTCCAAGGATAACGCCGTGATTCGAACAGGCTTGCAGGTTTTTCAAGGCGAGCGTCAGCATTTCGATATGTCCACCTTTCTGAACAAAGGCTTTGTGCTCCAATTCCTTGATCTGGAATGAAGCTTGACTAACATCATCCATGTGAATGTTGTATTGGAGAGACGAATCAATTGCCTCATCTTCGCCATAGTCGTAATCCCTCAAACAACACGTTCCAAATGTGATGACTCGAAGACAAGGACCAAAGACCGGATGCGCGGTGATATTGAGTAACCCTTGCATACTCTTGCGAGTAAAAATAAACCGCCGACGAGAGAAGGCCTTGCGGCCAAAAGCTGGACTTGCGATATTGCACATGAACTTGGACGTCAGGCGTAGATTTTTGAGATCATCCGGGTCGCATACTGAAGCTATTAGACCGATTATCTCGTTTGGAACCTTGAAAAGGCGAGATTGCTCAACCTTGGTTGTCTCGAGCAGTGTTCCATCGCTAGGTACGTCGTTCATCGATGCCATTGTTTCAGTATGGATTTTCGTGATGATCAGAATTAAGAGATGAACAACTGTGAGCGCAATGTGCGGGTATATGTTGGGACCGGAAAGAGGAGGTCCTGCAAGACACAGGGGACTAATCTGGCAATGCAATGGCGACTGGCAAAGTACGGCGCTTAGAAAGCAGGCCGAAACGTCAAATCGCAAGCTTGAAAACTAAAAGGATGAATTGAACGTCGATTCCGGATCGAGTCCCCTGAGTGTCGATTGACAACCGAGATGAAGTTGCAGATGGTCTTCCGATGGACAATTCGGATATCTGCGTGGTGGTGGTTGCGGATGAGATATGTATTGTGAAAAGCCAAGTCGAGAAGAAATTATGGCTGCGTCAATGGACTGAGTTTTGCGAGTCGAGCTTCCTGGTGAAGAATGTGATCAGAAATAAGTGTAGGAACTGCCAAAATTGTGGCTGGGCTCTTCAATGCTGTTATAGGCAAGAGCTAAGAAGTTGTGGACATTGCTTCCAAGGCTCCCACGCTAAACGTGGGGGGAATTCGACGCGTTTGGATCCTTCAGATTAGGCTGAAGAGCAGGCAGCAATCACTGTCTGGAGAGCTTTACCTGAAGTTGCGTTTCGCTCACGATAAGCACATCCTCGCAAAGAGGGTTGGAAGAACAAAATCTATTCTTCTACCACTTGAAATCTTGAAAAGCTACGAAACTGACAAAACATGACATGACCCAGAATCCCACCTTTCATGCAACCATGTCGTAAACCCACGCCCTGATACCATAGAAAATCCACTAATGCAAAATGACCTCCGTCAGTGAAAACATATCTAGAGCTTGGAACCCAGGTCTTCAAACTCGGCCAAATCCTTGACGGGTCTCATGGCCTCAGACAGAGGCATGCTGGCCTTGAAGCTTCTGACATCCTCGATTTTGATGGCAGTGCCGACCTCCTTCTTCTGTTCCTCGACTCTGCGTTCGGAGCTCGTTGCGCTGGAAGTCTCATCTCTGACGCCTTGAGGCTCGGCGGTCTGGTCTGATGGAGACTTGATGCTGTCCGCGTCCGAGGACTTTGCCTGGGCGAGCAGATGAGTGGCAATCTTGGCGCGCGTCTTGGAAGCAGGATCGATGTGAGTGTTGAAGAAGTCAACCATGTCTTGCTTGGTAATGGGCTCGATGTGCTCGACATCGCGGTACACTGTTGATGCGGTCAGTAATTATGGATGAGGTAAATGGAAGGGAGGCATACCAAGTTCGAAGTCAAAGGCCTCACTGGTGACGTGGTGCCAGAAACGGCCACTCTCCTGGTTGAGGTTCTTCATCTTCTCCAAGCGCTTGTTGATGAGAGCTGTCTTGTGAGACTCGAACTCTTCGTCCTTCATGCTGTTCTTCAAGTTGTCGCCGAATGTGTTCAAAAAGACGTCAATGCGCTTCTCCAGGTATTCGGGGGATCTCTCAGACTGGATCAGCACGCGCCAACCGGAGACAGCAGTAAGCATCAGCGGCACAGATTGAACGACATAGCCAAGCTGTTCCTTGGAGCGAAGAGTGTCGAAGCAGGCCTCTTCAGACATTTGAGCAAAGAGGAGGAGCTTGGCACGATTGGCGCGGTCAGTAAGCAAACCGGTAAACAGTTGGTAGTCGATACAGTGGTTGACGTTCTCGGGATCCTTGAGCGTACGCTCGTAGACGAAGTTGCTGCCCTGAGGTGGGATGATGGAACGACGGAGAGGCCACTGGCCAGCGGGTAGTTGCTTGGGCTTCAGAATAGACTCGACCAAATCGGTCATCTTGAGAGCATCTTCGCGATAAAGGTTGCCATGAGCGAGAACCTCAATATGCATCTGGTGAAGGACTTGAGGATAGAACTTGCGGATGTCGTCGGCGGTGACCTGATCAAGCTCCTCAAGCAATTGGTCAACAATGAAACCCTTTTCGGCAACCAGCCATCTGCTGTAGGTACCAATCTGGTGGAATGGCTGTTGGTAGCCAAAGTTGCGCCAGCCTCTGAGAGTACGGTCCTTGACGATCTCGAAGCGGTCATCCTTGACATCAAGATCGCGCATGCCAATCAAGACCTTTTCAAGAAGGACAGCCATCTTGTCGTTGTAACCACTGATAGTGACATCGAAGCCTTGAGCGTGGTTTTGAAGATCGTACTCGAGACCAGCAAGCTCGGCATCGTAAGAGTACTCGGTCAGCGAATCCTCGACCAGATCCTTGTACAGCTGGGTAGTGACAGCAGTGAGAGCAGACATGCTAACTAGAGGTGATCTGAAAAAGACCTTGACATTTGCCTTGGGTGCCCAAAACTGGTCATCCTTCTTCCACCATGTACGGACATTGGCATCGTTGCGAATCAGCTTGGGCGTAAGTGCGGGCTTATCCACTTCCTTGACCTCTACATCGAGACGCGAAGGCACAAACTCGTTCTTGGCGGGCATGTGCAGTTCCGAAGGACGCTGTGATGATGTGGCTTTGCTGGCAGTCTCCAAATCCTTCATGAACTCGGCAGGCATCTTCTCGTACTTGTATTCAGTACCGTACCATTTCTCCTTCTGATCCCAGTTTCCAGGATAGTCTTGAGAAACAAGGGTGATACGGAAATTGTCGGGTCGGAGGAAGTCGATACCGCGCTTGATGGCATCCGAGTCGAACTTCCAGATCAACGACTGAGCGCTCAACAACTTGTCGCGCGGGAAAGACTTTTGCATGACACCACTCAAAGCGCTGACAGTGCGACTCGCGGGGATCTTTTGACGGAAACGGAAGTCGACCTCTGCAAGCTTGGCCATCTCATCGACAATCCACTCTTGCGGTGGGTGCTCCTTGACCATGGAAAGATATTGGAAGACAGCCTTGATGACTTCTTGGTAGTTCTTGAGACCGTCTTCGGTAAGACGGATGGAGATGGAGAAGTGGGAAGTGCCAGGGCAGATGTTCATGGGGCCAGCGCCGAGACCGTTGGCCCAACCCTTTGCCTTGATATAAGCTAGAATGGAGCCGGGACCTTCGTGGCCGATGAGATGGCTCAGATACTTGGCAGGCTGAGACTCCCACAATTCCTCCTCGTCGGCGTAGACAAAGTGCATGTCAAGCAGACGCATGTCCATAACAGGCTTCACGAAGATCTGTGTGCCCAATTCGGCCTCTGTCATGGCAGGTACATCATCCCAGCGTAGCTTGGGCAGATTTTGGTTGGGTACATCCGAGAAGAGTTCAGTGACCCATGACTCGAGCTCGTCGAGGTTCTCACGACCCAGGACAGCAAGCTTCATGCGGTTTGCCGAGTAGTTTGCGCGGTAGAAGTTGATGAAAGAGTCGCGGATCTTGACACCACGGGCGATAGGGTCATCGTGCAAGACCTTGTAGTTGCCGGTAGAAAACTTGTTGAAAGGGTGTTTCTTGTTGGACAGACTCTTGTTCAATTGGTGTAGGCGCCAGTTGTCGGCCTGCAGGTTCTTCTTGTTCTCCGAGTCGACGGCACGCAGCTCACGGTCTAGCGTGTCTTCTAAGAATAGCGGATGGATGAAGAATTGGGCAAAGCGATCGAGGGCGCCGAAGAGCGGGGCTTGCGACTTCTCAATGGGGAGGTTCTCCTTGCTGCTGAGCGACGACTGCTGGCTGGTCGACGTGGCCGAAGCCGAAAGCTCAAAGTAGTAGTTTGTGTCGCATGAGGCGGTAAAAGCGTTCGAGTAACCTCCATAGCGTTGCAGGTACTGGTTGTATTCGTTCTCGACGGGAAACTGCAGTCACGGTTGTCTCAGCCCACGTCTCACTCTCTCGCAGCTCATTGTACTTGTTGACGCACCTTTTCAGTTCCCATGAAGAGCAAATGCTCGACGGCGTGCGCCATACCAGGCATGTCGTCGGCATCACTGAAACTGCCAATGTTGACATCCATAGCCGCACTCGCCTTGTCCGTGTCCGGGTCGTGGATCAACAGCGCCTCGAGGTCGTTCGGTAGTCGCACCACACGGTATGTGCGGTTATCCAGTAATGGCTTCTCCATACCGTCGGTCAATACGCTGGCTCTGGTCGATGCTGATCGCTCTGGCAGCGACATGTTGGCGGCGCTTGTTCCGACCATGGCGCTGTGTTGGAAGAAGAGGGGGCTGCGAGAGTGTTGGTGATGAGATTGATCCCGTTTGTGCAATTGTCTTGTCTTGTGCTTGGATAGAGTCGTCAAAGATATGGAGAATTGTCTTACTCTTGTCCAAGACTGCACATGCTCAGAGCAAGTGAAACGTTGAAGGCGAAGTGCTCCAGCATTCTTCGCCCCGACCTGGCACAATAGCATCCGCTAGAGACCCACTACAAGAAGGCAAGGGGGAGACGATCTGTCACAAATGACAAATCCGCTGCAATTATATCGTCTATCAAGCCTCTATTGCTCTGTATACTATCCGTCAAAGAGTGTCCCTCTCATTCCATCAGCATTCATATCGACCGCCGCTCGAGCTTCCTCGATTCGTCATCATTGATTGCAGCCCTTGCCAAGAATCTCTCCCCCGATCCTGCCGCATATCGGACTTTGTTCCCGTCAGCACAAAGTTATACTACGTGTATGCAACTCTTGTGTACTTGCTTAATCATGTTTGCATTCTCTCATGTCTACTTATTCGTGTCTTTCATCAACACGACCATCAAGGTTGTCACTGTATCCTTTTCCTTGCGCTAACCTTTGGCAGGAAGCCGAAAGCCTGGTTGTCTCTGTCAAACCAAGCAATCTAACTTCTCCAATCATAGCTGCTGTTCGTGTACCACCCTTCTGCACACATTCGTGCTTGTTGCATTTCCCTCATGGGACTGCATGCTTACAATGCTGGCCTTGGAAACTCCTGTACCTCAATTCTTCTTCATCTATCGGATGTTCAAGCTCTCGTACTTGAGCCATGCATTGCGCGCCTTGTTGACGTGATCCAGGCCGAGCTGGTCGCCGTCGCCGAACATTTCCGAGAGGATGTCATCTGTAGATAGAGTCAGCGAATACTCACAATCCCGAAATGTTCATGACTCACCATCTTCAATGGGTCTAGGTCTTGAGTAGCTCCCGCTTGGGATGACTGCAAACTTGATCTTCTCAAATTGCTTGCCCTTGATGCCTGTGCGCTTCGATAGTCTTTCCTTGGTCTCCTTGAATATCTCGCCCTGTTTGTCCTTGTCAGCTTCTACATTCTCATACCGCTACACCTTTATCACAACTCACATCCTTGACGTTGAAGATGAAAGGCACACCGTGCGGCTTGGCAGGCTCTTTGTCGTAATGGAAGCATCCGATCAGAGAAAGTGTGTCCTTCTCGGCCTCTCGTTCTTCCTCTGGTAGACGCTCTGCGTAGACTTGCATGAACTCATTCAGTGTTGAAACAGGTGTTTCCAAGCCGAGGTTCTTATACACTTTGCCAGAATGGGCTTCATAGAAGCGAATCTGTTCGATAATCTCGTCTGGTAGCTTTGCCTTTCTCTGCAGAACAGGAAGAACGTCTTCGAAGAGTCCGATCTTCGGGACAAGACAGTCGTAAGTCTCCTCCTTGGTAACACCTTCGGGCAGCCATGTAACCTTGACAGTCTTGCGTTGTTCGAGGTCCGATAAGCTCATCTCCAGAACTTCATAGTACAAGGTATCGGGGGACTGGTTGCTGTAACCGTAGCCATTGCCATATCCGCCGGCACCAACTCCAGCGAGGATGGTGTGGACTGTGGTTGTGGGAGTACGCTTGACCGGACCACGAGGCTTGCCACTTTGTGCGTTGACAGTAGTGAATCGAAGATGGGTTGGGTCGACTTCGGTCTTCGATATCGCAGAAAGGTGTTGGGCTGTCTTGGCTGCCAATGTGTCGTAGCTATCCTTTCTTGAGAGGAAGACCTCAAACTCTTCTGATCCCTGTTCAAGAGGAATGCTCTGTGGTGCTCCGGGACGGGGTCCGAAGAATACGCGAATGCGGTTCAAGAGATAGTCGTAGAAGGAGATGGCGTCAATGTAAGCAGAGGGATGGTTCTGTTGGAAAGCTTGCAACTCCTCTGGGGACATGACCTTCTGGAAGCAGACAATGTCACCGTCTTGAATCTCAGACTGCCCTAAAGTCTGCTTGGGCTTCATGACGTCGATGAAGTTCTGCTTAATCTCTTCGAAGAGCTTCAGTGATGTGCCAGCTTCCCATCCCATGAGCTTCAGAATCGGTTCTGCAAGATCTTGAACCTTCTGACTTTGGAGCATGTAAGTATGGCCTACACCCTTGAGGGTCTGAGTTTCGTGGTCGAATTGCTTGAGGAATACAATGATAGGCTTCTGCTCCTGAGCGGGAGGTGATGATGGTGTGACGTTGGTATCCCAAACAGGCTTTCCATCCTCGCCACGAGTGGTCTGTTCGATGAAGAGACGGAATGATGCTGCTCTGGTAGAGAACTTTGCATTGGCTTCTTCAAGTGTCATGGTTGCGTAGTTAAGAGGGTGGTCAGGTCTGACAGTACCATTCTGACGGTTTACCATGACCCAGGGACGGATGAGATCAGCATCAGTTCCAATCTCACCTGCAACCTGTTCGTTGAATTCGCTGAGGGTCATAGCCTTCTTGCATCGCATGACTTTGGGAGCAACAGCCTCTTCCTGATCTGTCGATTTCCAGTCAACCAGATCAAAGCCTTGGTATGAGCGGAAATTGCTTTCTGTTGCGACTTGGACATTCATGTATAGGTGGGCTTCTTCGCGCTCCTTACGCTTACGTTCCAGTGCAGCGCGCTCTTCGGCAAGGCGGCCGGGTAGATGAGTTGGGGGTTGAATGCTATCGCTATCTCCCAGGATTTGGTCAATGCGGCTTTCACGGATGTAGACAAGCATGTAAGCGCTCATGGAACGCTTGGTCGACCATTGACGAGTGAAGGGGTTCTGCATCTTTGTGGCGCCGTTAGGTCCAGTAGGAGCGTAATCGCCACCAAAGTTCTCATCCATGGCTTCTCTGGGTGTAGCACGAGTGACGCGATCGTCATCGAACTTGAAGAATGGGCTGTCCTTCGTGGGCTTCAGGAAAGCATAGTAATGGCCAGCGTTCATGTCACCACTGTGTACGAGCACGCCATGGAGACGGTAGATGTAAGGCTCTGAGCGGTCGGCTGTTTCGGAAAGATAAGGCGAAGCGTCCCAAATCTCGGGGAACTCGTAGCGATCGTTGACCTTAACCATGGCGTCTCTCACAAAGTCGTACTCAAAGCGCTTGAGTTGGAGATGCAGGACTTGTGGGAAGCTCTCGAAGATGACGCCCTTCTTTGCGTCTTGCAATCCATAGCCTTCAGCTGCGTACTTGTTGTCACCCTCCAGGGTCTCGACCTGAATGTAATCGCGGAAACTGTCGTCGAGAGTTTTGCAGCCGCTGACGTTGAGTTGTAGATCCCAGAAGTCTTCGACACGAGAACTCTCGTAGTCGACGTCGATGCAGCGGAGATAAGTCTTCATCTTGCCGACGAACATGTCGGCAAGCACGTTTGCAGCTTCGGTACCCTTCATCTTCTCTTCCAACTTGTCCATCAGAATGCGAGAAAGTTCTTGGACATCCTGCTGCTCGAAGACCTGGCGAGACTCCCAACCGAAAGACTGGGTGAGCTCCATGGTTGAGACTGCCACAGGATCTGTTTGTAGCTTGTAGAACAGACGTTGCAGGGCCCATGCGCTGCTATTCCGTGCGTCTGTTTCGTTCTCGGTGGGTATTTGGTATACAGCCTAGACGATCTATCAACACACGATCTCAGTATGTACCACAGTTGACATACCTTGCGGAAAGCATTTGTAAAGAAGAGAGATTGTAGCAATGAGTTCAAATAGCAAGTGGCGCCCTGGTTGCGTAGACCCACCATGCCGGTCTCTTTCTTGGAATCGTAGCTAGGATACGGTCAGCAGGCTGAACATAGATGAAGTAACGCAACTCTGATGCGGAAAGTAGGAGATCGTGCCGGTGAAAAAACGAGAATGCAAAATATTTCTCAAGCCAATGACAGAGATCGTTGAACAAGCAGGTCGCTGGCTGGGCTTGTATGAATGTGCGCATCTCATAGTCTGTCGGGCGGCTGCATGCGGCTGGAAAGACGGTTGTTGAGATAGAGTTGAGAGATCGTGGAAGGTCAAAGAAGATGTGACGCTGGGCAAGGAAAACAACGATAGAGGGGACGAAGCTGAACTCACTTGACAAAGTTGTGCCAGAGGACTCCGGTCGGATCTTTGAGCACTCGTACATAGGCCGTCAATTTTGCAGAATCGTTTTCCACCAAAGGGCGGTCCTTGTCGTCAAAACGGGTAGCAAACACTCTGTTCTTCTCGGCGAAGCGTGTAAAGCCCCAATCACCCTCCTCTTGGTTGAAGCGATGTTGTGCCTCGTGGTGTAGGTAGATGGAAGGGTCGTTCGGGTTCCACAAGACCAGCATGAAGCGAGCGCAGGCATACCAGTCTGTCGGGGGCTTGTCCTCTTCGCTGTAGCCTTGTTCGAGGTAGAAGCTGACTGACTCGTTTGCGTTGTTGCCGGCAGGGAAGAAGAGGACTTTCCAGGGGTGATCGCCAGTGTAGAAGGTCGGGCTGTGGTTTCTGCGCGCCATTGTACGCCAATCTTTAATGTCCCATGTGAAGGTTGTTTCGGATTCGATTTCGAGGTCGGGGTCCTCAGGCATGAAGCGAGCGCGCATGGCAGCATAGTCGTCGGCACGAGGCTCCTGAACGGCAGGCTCCTCCATCGAGTCGTCTTCGGGTGAGATGATTGCTACATCTTGCTGCTTCTCGTCATAGTCCGAGTCGACCAGCATGTCATGGCCGAGCTGTTGGCGAATGGTCAGTGATTTGTGACTGAACACCGAGTCTTTCCGTGGAGGAGGGGATGACATGATGAATGCAATCAAGGAGGTGAGCTTCTGCTATGCAACAGACGCAAGCTGTGCTACTGAAGTGGAATGAATTGAGACAAGGGACGGGCGCGGGATGGTTGCATGTGGTTTCGCATGTGTTGAAATTCTGTGACTTACATCCATGATTGTTTAGTAGCTGCGCTGAGCACTGTAAGGGAAGGTGCGATGCGGTGAGATTCACTGGCGGTAATAGGAATGTGCGTCCTTGAGAAGGTCCAGGTGCTGCCTCTGCTGCTGGACTTGGAAGCTGGCGTTTCGCAAGCAGAATAATACGAGTTCGGAGCGCCGGGGTGTAGAAGATGCTCTGCGGAATTAGGATACGGCTCAGTATGCGCCTATTGATATGCCAGCACAATCTCTCGCCTTCGTCAGGTGGTGGAGTTATTGTTCGGCAGGCCGGAAAGAACGAGTAGCAAGATCAAAGCACGCGCCAAGGCCCTGACGTACTCAGTTCAGTTTGCTCGTGGGGCAAAGTGCTGCAGCTCGTGTTGTCACAACCGCTCCGCTTGTTCCACTTCTCTGCCGCTTCACATGCAATTATGCCTCGATGATATACATGTCTCGCCGTGTTGTGTTGTTCACCAGGTAGGCATTGCAGACAACACCTCATTGTTCAGAACGCTGAACGAGTGTTCGACTACTCATCTTCAGCTCCTGTGACCTCATCAACTGAGCTGTCACTTTCACCCCAACCCCCTCGCTTTCACACCGTAAGCTGTCCTACTTTTGTCAATCTCTCAATTCTATCTTCATGTTATACTCGAAGACCACACACCTTTTCCTACTCCACGCGCAACATCTCCCTTCTTGTGTTGAACCAACATGGGCGGCCACGCTTTCCCGGATCTGAATGTTCCGCGCATGGAACCACAAATTTACGAAAAGGTCAAGCATGCAGCTCTCAAGGTCTTGTCCAGGCGCTATCCCAATGTCGTCCCCATGTCCGAAGCCCCTGAAAAGGCGGATTATGGAGACGTCGACCTCCTTATCGAACTGCCCTCTTCGACTCCTTTTCCCGCTCAGCAAGTAGCCATTGATCTAGGAGCAGAACGCTGCAAAGAAAACAACCCAACATACTGCTTCGCCATCCCGCTAAACGATGCGACAACAAGGTCCAAGGTCTTCGCTCAGGTTGATGTGCAGCGCTGTCTCCCCGGCGATCTTCAATGGACACTTTTCCTGCTTGGCCATGGGGATCTTAGTTCTATCCTCGGCACATTCAACTACGGCTACGGTTTCACGATGAAGAATGACGGTTTCTTTGTACGTATCAAAGAACAAGAAGCTCGAAACTGGTCTGCCAGCCAGGTGTTCCTGAGCAAGGACCTCGCTCTTGTCGTGCAATTCATGGAGCTCGACAAGCACAAGTTTGACCAAGGATTCGACTCTGTGCAAGGACTCTTCGAATGGGCAACAAAATCGAGACTGTTCAATCGCAAGCTGGTCGAGAAGAGAAAAGATAGCTCGGAGATGCGAGGCCGCATGGAGAAACGCCCAATGTTTCGCCGATTCGTCTTGGAGTATTTGCCCAGTCTCCCTGACGTTGACGACGATAAAATCGAAACCAGAGACTCTCTCACTCGGGCGGCCTTAGCCTTCTTCGGCAAGGAAGACGAGTTCAACACACGTCGCGCGAAGGTTCTCCTCGACAATGCAGACGATCACGCTTGGGACATCATCAGAACCACGGTCCTCATGCCGCTCGCCCAGCTCGAAGCAAAGAGATTGAACGAGGTTGTCAGAGCTCTTAAGAGGTTCGTGGCTTTCAAGGATGGTAGGCCCTACATGTGCGACGAGCCGGAGATGAATGACGAGAATCAAGCCCGTTTTGCCCAAGCTATCAACGAAGCTGATGAGGTAAAGCCCTCGGTGCGTGAATGGATTTTGAGCAACTGGGAGGAGGTGAAGGCTCGGGAACGACAAAGGGCCAAAGCAAGCAGAAGAGCGGCAGGCCAGGCAGGATGACTACCCATCACTGCTCGAACGGACTGTAAATGCGTCGCAGCCCTCATGCGCTGACACTGCCTGCACCACGCGAGAAATCCAAGATCGACAGGCACGTAAATGATTCTCCATTAGCCCACATTTGCCCTGCATCTTTCGGAAATTCGAAAAATGCAAACATGTTCATCGGAGGAGCTCGTCATGACAGTCCCGAGTCCTTGGCTGGGGAAACGAGAAGGTCCGTTCGCTGTAGCTTGTCTCCACGTCTTGATAAGACAAGCAAGCAAGAAGAGACGTGGCCAAGCGCTTCTTGATCATTTGCAGGGTTTACTTACTACAGTAAAGACATATACAGCGCTTATACGTAGCTCCAGAATATCACGAACGCCGTTCGCACTTGTCATTTCCTCAAGCATGGTGAGAAACGTCTGACTCTGTACCACAGTCTTGGCACTCGTAGACTCTCCAAAAACCTGGAGAGAGGCGGAGCAGTTCGCAAGATAAGATTCGTTCTAGTGCGGTCTCGACGCGTTGAGAACTCGAAAAACAACTCCCACTTCGGCTTCTCACGTTTACCTCGGTTTGCAAGTGCGGTCACCGGCGGGTTGAAACCTTGTTGCGGCAATTGATTTGGAGGGAAAAAAGCCTTGTCACCTTGTCCTCAGACCTCTCAAGCCTCTTTATCTCACCATTGGACTGCGCCCGTGAAGGTCAACCTTCTTTCCAATTGCTATCGTCTTGATATCTTTCCCAAGCCTTGGTAAACTTGGCGAGTCATTCCAGGCCGGTTTTCTTGATAATTACAACACTTCTCCTCCCTGCATCATTCCCATCGTTCCATGGAGTTTGTGCCTGAGTTTTTCTGCCTACTCCTCAAACAAATCCATTAAACGCCCCAAGGGTTCAGAGCCTTACAAGCCACCAGCCACCAAATATCGAGCGGACATCTGTCGAAGGACATCCGGAATTAAGTCCGTTTTCAGCTGAAAGGATGAGGTCCTCTACGTCGCACGACGCGATCCACTCGTCCAGCATCGAACCTACAGGCAGTAGCGACACCGTCAAAGTCCGCCATTCCTCGAAAGCAGGCGTCGAAACATACAATGAAACGATCAGCTTGCCCGAATATGGAGGAGAATCCGGAGGATCCGTGGACTCGATCTCACTGGCCAAAGATGGAACCCACCGTCGCTTAAAGTCGCGTCACATCCAGCTTATCGGCATTGGAGGTAATGGATGTTCCCATCTCTCATCGACAAAGAACGAGTGAGGCTGACTACTTACGAAAAGGTACCATTGGTACTGCTCTTTACGTCTCCATCGGAAACGGTCTGCTCAATGGCGGACCTGCCAGTCTTTTCCTGGCATTCAGTATCTGGTAAGTCCGAATCAACTCCCTGTAACTAATTTCAAAAATGCGAAGCATGGCTGTTCAGCAACGACTTTAGCCTTTGCAAGTCAAATCATGTACAGTCAAGAATTGATTTAATACGAAATGCAGGTGCTCGTTCATCCTTGCAGTCACCATAAGTACGAATTCTTCCATCCCTGCTCTGTCCAGCTTGTGCAGTTTTGTCATGTCTCGGCATACCCTAGCGACACCTACCGGCCCAACGCAGCATGCCAAAGCGCCAATTATGTACCGTTGCTGATCTCGTGACTCCAGGCACTGCTGAAATGGTCACCTATCTACCCATCTCTTCTCCATTCATCAGATTCGCCAGTCGGTACATGGATGAAGCCATGGGATTCGCCGCTGGCTGGAACTTCTTTGTCTTCGAGGCGATTTTGGCATGTAGAACGGCAAGACTCTTCTCGAGCATTGGTCTAATGTCTTTCAGGTACCATTCGAAGTTACTGCTTGCAATGTTGTCATCCACTATTGGAGTGATATTGTCCCAGCTGGAGGCATCATTGCTATTGTGATCGTGCTCTACGCGTAGGTGTATCCAATGATAAGTACACAGTCAGCAGCTAATGACAGGACAGTCTGATCAACGTTCTCACTGTCGAGTGGTATGGCGAGACAGAGTTCTGGGCAGCACTCGGAAAGGTCTTGCTGATCATTGGTTAGTTTTCATCTTGCAGCATTCTTGCTGGACATTTCCTAACAGCACCATTAGGTCTCATCATTTTCACGTTCATCGTCATGCTGGGCGGTAACCCACTCGGCGACAGGTTTGGTTTCAGATACTGGAACAACCCTGTATGTAAACCCCGCATTGATCATAAGTTCTTGACAGAGATTTGCTAACCATGCCTCTTCTCCAGGGCGCTTTCGCACCACTCTACTACGGCGGCAATCTTGGCTACTTCCTCGGCTTCCTTCAATGTCTGATCCAAGCCTCTTTCACCATCGCTGGACCCGATTACGTCAGTATGGCTGCTGGTGAAGCCGAGAATCCTCGTGTTGTCATGCCCAAGGCTTTCAAGGCTGTATTCTACCGTCTGACCACTTTCTTCATGCTCGGCTCTCTCTGCGTTGGTATCTTGGTCCCTTACAACGACAAGGAGCTCATCGCAGCAACGACTGCCGGCCTTCCTGGTGCAGCAGCCTCGCCTTACGTGGTGGCCATGGACCGTCTTCGCATCAGTGTCCTTCCTCACATCGTTAACGCCATGGTCCTGGCTAGTGCCTTTTCAGCTGGTAACAGTTATGTCTACTGCGCCTCTCGTTCGCTCTATGGACTTGCGCTTGAGGGTAAAGCACCCAAGATTCTCACTCGCACCACTCGCCGTGGTGTCCCCATCTACTGCACCATTGTTGTGCTCTGTATCGCTTTGCTTGCTTTCTTGCAGGTCAGCTCGAACGCCGCTACAGTGCTCAAGTGGTTCATCAACCTGGTTACCGCTTCTCAATTGATCAACTACGCCGTCATGTGTATGACTTTCATCTGCTGGAAGCGTGCTTGCGACGCCCAAGGCTTTGACCGCAACACCCTTCCTTTCAAGGGTTGGGGTCAACCTTACCTCGCTTGGTATGGCTTTGTCGGTTGCACGGTCATGGCCTTCGTCGGCGGATACACCGTTTTCCTGCCTGGCAAGTGGGATGTTCCTACCTTCATCTTCAGTTACTTCATGATTGGCCTCTTCCCTGTCTTGTTCGTCGGATGGAAGTTTATCAAGAAGACAAAGTGGACCCCTGCCACGCAGGTCGATCTTCGAGGTGAAGTCGAAGAGATTGAAGAGTACCAGGCTTCTTTCGTGCCCTCAACTGCACAAGAGTAAGTGCATTGTCTATTGCCTTTGGAGGAGACGCTAACACATTTTCCGCAGCACCTACTTCGAGAAGGCCTTGGACAAACTTTTCGGATAATCGTCTTTCCAAGATCAGACCTCGATCTATCAATCGCAAGCTATCTCAAGAGGTTGCAGAGGCTACAGGACTCCGATCGATACTTTGCGAAATTAGTCAGCCAAATGTATGTTCGAATTTGGACTCGTTTCGGTGTTTCAGCAGTGTATTTAGTCATGGTTATCAGATCTTAAAGTCACATATATCTTATGTACATTTTCGATCCCCGAACATGATCGCCAACTCTTACTGTCATGGCATAGCCCTCAAGCTTAATCACCACAGCGTTACTGGTTAGATTGAGCGTTGCTAACGTGTCGTTGCTAACACCATGCTGTTTGGGCCACCCTGCTCCTACATCTGCTTGTATCAAGGTTCCATGATACACTTGTTATGTTACACTTGACACATATTGCAGACTAAAGAGATATTCTCTTGTGTGGTTTAAGGATGTTCTGGTCCAGATATTCGCAGGGTTCAGATCTGTCAACATGACGGCAATGATGGAGGCCTGCAATCAATTCGGTCAGCACAACACGACTCACGCCCGAATGCACACGCTTCGCATAAAAACATACCAATGACGTATCTACACCTGCACCAACGTCGAGTTCCCAAGCCGGATTGTTGCGAATCCTAGCAGTCACTCCTGGCGCCTCTTCTCCAGGAATCTTACGCGCCTCTACGATTTTCTGACCATTCAGGGAGATATCGTAAGTTGTATGTCGGACAGTCCTCGCTCGCACTTCTAGGACAACGCGTTCAACATTAGACGACGCCATGTTATCCATCGTGATGTCAAAATTGGACCACCCCTTCCACTTCATAGCCAATGAGAATTGGGGAGAGTGGGATTGGTCACTGACATCCTCAGGAAACTCGAGACACCATTGTTCCTTGAAGTTGAAATATCGCCTGCGAAGCTCAAATAGAGGCGTGTCTGTGGCAGAGTCCACGAGTTTGCGTCGACGACTGCTGCTTTTTCGGTCTCCGATGATCTCAAACAAGACACTCGGTCCGCGCGAAAGCAGGTAAAGTCGCTCTCGGAGCCTTGGAAGTGTTGTTTGACGATCAGCATGGTCGGCTCTGGAGTTATGTGCGCCGGACATATCGCGACTGCGCGATTACTGGACTGCATTGTGGTGTGTAATTGTGGCCGAATGTGATAAATTCGCAACGATCCTGATGGACAGACGATGAAAGCACTGCTATTGACCACCGAAAGATTGTGGGCGTGTTAAGACGTAGATTCCGACACACCAAAGCTTCTTTACGCAAGAGCCAAACTCATCTGGCTTCGTTAAGGGTTCCACAACTCCTTTGATGTCACGCCTTAACGATGCTGAAGGATTCATACTCGAATTTCTGAATCGGTGAAGGTTATCAAACCCACCTTTTCGATGACAACAGTCATCGACTATACATACTCGACGCGTGTCGCCGTAGAGCTCCATGGCTGGAATTGTTCTTGGTTGACCATGAGGTTTGAAGCAGGTCAAACATCGATTCAGCTGAAGGAAGGACTTGAAGTATGAGCCGCCGCTGTCTGAAGAAGCTCGAGTCACGTGATCAACAGACGGATGAGGGGCAGATTAACAAGTTCATCCTCGAACATCATCGATGCCAGGACCAAATTGCTGTGGCTTCCTTCAAGTACTGTGCCGCATGTTTCGGCCGTATGAGATTCAAGGTACTGACTCGGTTTCAGATCGGATCTCGGGACAGCATTGGACTCTGAACACGTCGCGTCGCGTCTGTTGTGCTCTTCAGCGACATCAGAGCATATCGATCCTCGGTGTGTAGTGAATGAGTACATCCAGAGACCGGGCCGCGTTGAACATCGAGACGACATGCCGTTGACATAAATTCCGGCTCCACACTAGGAAGGATGCCTTGATCTGACGGCATCTACTTCTTGGGACCAAGACACGAGTAAACACGGAGGTCTGGGCACAGACAGCATCCTTCTATTTTCAATCTTGATGTTCATCCACTTTCTCCTTGTCCTTTCCACCCAATGCTCCTGTGATTCACCTATCGAAAGGTATAATTCCTTTCGAGAACAGCGGGTGTCAAAACTCCACCATGTCGTTGAAAGCAGCCATCATGGCGTTGGGCCTGGCCACGGCTACAGTGTTTACTCAAGACAGCTCGCCCACGGAGCCATGTGCTCGACTTAGTGCCATAGCGACCGACAAGAATACCACATTCTTCCCAGCCGATCTAACGCTTGCATGCTTACGCTCAGTACCGCTTGCGAAGGCTGGCAATCTACTTCAACTATCTGGCCTGCGAGTCTTCCTTGAATTCCAAAGCGATCTCGAGTACCTCAAAGATCCCGTCGTCGGTCGCATATATCCTGGGGTCGATCTGCTAGCCGGCGTGGATAAACTTACATCCTTGCTTGAAGATGATTCTTATGATAATGAGTTCGACTTCCAGATGGATGTCTTCAAGCTCTTCTCATCGGCATATGATGGTCATCTGGCGTACGTGCCCGACATTCTGGACGTCTTTGTGTTCAGCAGGGTGCAGAGCGAGGAGTTGAGGGATGAGGTTGCAGATTATTTCTCATTGATATCGGTGGGTCGGGTCCCAGTCTTGATGACCTCGAATCGGGAGTATGGGGATTGCAGCTAACCCATTGTTCACCCAGGTCACGACCGATAACAACGATCTTCCTGACGTCTATGCATACAGCGACGTAGCTGCTCTGGTCAATCTCGACCAGTTCGATTACACTCCTTCACCTCTTACACAGATCAATGGCGAAGACGTCCTGAGCTGGCTGAACAGCTATGCGTCCCAGAATGGCCGATCTCAAGACCCTGATGCAAACTACAATGCATTGTTTTTGAACGTCCCAACCCTAGCATATCAGGGTGTCGAGACAAGCCACTTTGCTGTGTCTAGGTTCTTCCAAGGCAACAAAACTAACCTCGCCTTCGCCAACAACACCAATCGGGACGTGATGACTAGAGCACAGTTTCTGGCTAACAAGACACTGGAGGGACTGACTGATGGTGCAAGTTTCTTTGATAGATTTTGCACTCAGAACCTTACGGAGACGGTTTTGACTCAGACAGCCACACTAGTCAACGAAACACAGGAAGTACCCTCTGACCCGTCATCGCCAGCCGACAATTCACCACCTCATCCAGCCTATCCAAACCTTGTTATCAACTCCTCCGATAATAGTGTTGCGGGCTACTTCTCTGAGACATACGATTACCTTGCGATTCTCGCTATATCGAGTTTCTCGACAACTTCTGAGACGGAGTTTGAGGATGTTGTACGTGACTTCTTGGAGATGGCCAGTAACGACGATCGAACAAGCCTTGTTATTGATCTTCGTGGTAACGGTGGTGGTTCCATCTTTCTGGCTTACGACCTGTTCCGCCAACTGTTTCCACGAGAGGCCCCGTATGGTGCAGGCAATTACCGCGCAAACGAGTTGCACGATTTTACTGGACGGCTTGCAAGCGACAATATAGCCCAGCTCCGTGCTGCTTACCCAGATCTGGCCAAATCTGGTGCTGACGGTGTGGTCCTGAACAGTTTCAACTATCGCGAGCCTTTGACTGTAGAGAATGAGGCATTCACCTCCTGGCAAGACTTTTTCGGTCCACATGAAAATTACGGAGGAAACTTTACATCTCTCAATCGCTTCAATCTAACGGACATATCTGCAACAACAATACCTATATCCGGCTACGCAGAGAACGGATCAGCCACCTCACAATCCCAACCTTTCATGGGCGAAAGCATAGTCCTCTTACACGACGGTACATGCGCATCGACCTGCGCCATATTCAGCGAATTCATGTCCTCTCAGATGGGTATCTGGTCCGTGGTAGCAGGAGGAAGACCACAAGCCGGACCCATGCAGGGCGTCGGCGGCGTCAAGGGCAGCCAAGTCCAAGGCATGTTCGTCTTATACAGTATCATCACGACCATCATCTCCACCGCTCCACTCACAGACCAACTCGGCTTCATCGCCAAATTCGGCAACAACGTTATCGAATCAACCACACAAGCACTTTCCCGCGCTGCTGCTGGAAGCTCGCTGTTCGTCCAAGCCAGTTTGAATTTCCGAAATAACATCCGCGAAGGAGATGAATCAGAAACACCGTTGCAACATATTTACGAAGCAGCGGATTGTAGGTTCTTCTATACGGCTGGGATGTATGTCGATCAATCTGCTGTTTGGGACAAAGCGTACGATGCTACTTGGGGGAGTATGGAATGTGTTGGTGGGTCCACCGAGCATCCATCTTCTGTCACTGGAGGTAGAAACATCACTGCTGGGCCACCAGATGTAGCGAGGAACTTCTTTGGAGGTAATGGGACTATGTATATGGGTGAGATATTCAACTCCACCACATCCCAAGGAAATAACACTAGTTCTGGAGGGGACGGAGATGGCGGTGATGGAAACAACGAGGATTCCAAAGATAAGAATGGAAGCATTATGCTTTCTACACCTTGGCTACTGACTTTAGCGGTGACTCTGCTCACCAGCTTGCTTGTCCTCTGATCTCATTCTCTGATTTCAGCACTATCCAAACAGCCAAACTACAAAACCTCAATCCTATCCCGTACACATGCTCAAAACCACTTCCCTTACCCAGAATATTGGAAACCCTCTTTGACACCCGCATCCCTTCTCAACCGCGCTTTATACCCGTCACTAGTAGTCCCACTCCAATGGCCTTGTGGTTGAGATGCGTCATCGGGCTCATAGCGAGTTTTTGGGTTTGAAGTGTGTATCATGAGAGTCAAGAGAACACAGTAGCGCCAATGTGTTGTGCTGCTGGGGTAGATTTTGGATGGAGCGAGATATCGATTCTTCTTACTAATGGTGCTGTCTTCTGGTTGCCGTAGTTGGTTTGATTGGGTATTTGACATGACGGTAGAGTAAAACCGAGATATAGAAAAACAAGAGAGCTGTACGCGTATGGGAAAGGGAGCGCGGGCTGTACTCGTTATTTTGGAGACTATAACGTATAGGCAAGAGTTATGTGTGTTTTGCGTCATTGGAGTTGAAGATCGCTTCTTTCGCGAGATTATTGGTTTGATTATACCGCAAGGGCATCGATACACAAGAGTTTTGGATGCGGTTCTTGGTATTCATGGAAGCTCGTCATGACAAGTCTTACACGGTGCTTGTGGTGACTCTCGAAAGGTAGTAGGAGGGGCCTGGCATTATAGTCTGAGGACCAAAGTCATCCAGAGGAGAAACGTACAAAAGAAGAGCCTAGCGTGAGAAGTGAACACTAGAGTAATGTAAGAAATACAAGCAAATCTAGCATGGTGGATTTGTGCAGAGTGTGAGAGGTCACCTGCAACATATCTGAGTCGAACAGGAGTGGTTCAGCAAAGACGCGATATAGAAGGGGAGACATCTGATTACAAGCTACATGTTTACAGGTCTCTCTTCTCTCTTTAACGTGACCTCAAGGGTCGTCGAAAACAAATCAACCTTGTTTCCCAATCCTTCACTGAACGTCCAACGACGACAAGATTTTCGTCCCTTGCCTCCGATTTCCTCGCCCAACGAGATTTCCTCCTTTCTTTCTTCAAACTCTGATTCGTCTCTGAGGAGCCAATCGCCTTCTGATGCCCTGTTCGACCAACTTCAATAGCTGACGCAAGAGGTTCAAGCGCCTTTGCCATAGCAGCAATTGCTGGAAAACGTCTGGTGCTCTGAAGATTGAGAGACACGTTGATTGGAAGATGAAGCTTTGAAGACAGTTGAGTTGGTTCAAGTCAAGCGTGCGAGCAGCTTCTTCTTGATGGAAGAGAGCTCTTGACGAACACTGTGACTATGTCAGTAGACCATGGGTGTAGGTTGACTAGTGGTACTTACAGGCTGGTGATACCGGTCTTCTTCTTCTTGACGGCAGGCAGATAGACGATGTGAGGAGGGTGCGAGGTCAGAGCAGCAGGGAAAGGATGGATGGTAGGCTGAGGCATTCCGATGACGATGTTTCTGGCAGCAGCGTTCTGAGCTCTCTGAGCGCGGATCTGTCTAGCCAAAAACGATCTTGGAGTGGGGCCCATGGCGGCTTCAGCGGCGATCAGCTCAGCCTGAGCGTTGACGAAGCGCTCTTCCTTTGACAGCCAGAGATCACCTCCTGAAAGAGTTCTGACGCGTTCGCCAACAGCGAAGAACATGGCGACGAGAACGGAGCCATCCATCAGTTCACCGTCAAGAGCCATGTCCTTGAAGGTTTGGTTAGCGATCAGGGTCTCGATCTGCTCGGTGCACATCTTGATGGTGAGTTCCTGAAGGTAAGGATCGGCCATGACAGGGGCATCGGGTCCAAGAATCTTCTGCAAGGCCATAGGGAAATAGGCTTTGTCTGCGAGTGGGGTGGCTTCGAGGAAGAAGTTCTGAGCAGCAGCCCTGCGGAGGGAAGGGATGTCGTACTGCTCGCCCAACATGTACATGTCGAGATGGAAGTCGAGGCCCATCGATTCGCGTGCATGGATGGTGGTGTAGGGGGTTCCGTGGAGGAAACGGAGCATAGCATAAACATGTCTGCGGTTGTCTTCATCGCCAAGGTCGACCACATCAGCGGTGGCGATCTGGAGGTCAATATGTTAGTAATTGAGCCAGACCGACAAGAGAGGAGCAGCAAGGAGAACATGGCAGAGGATGAAGGGAAAGATCGGGTTGGACGATGACAGGAAATGCAATGGCGACTCACAGGGAAAGCGCCATCGAATGCGCGTCTGAAGAAGCCAGACTTCTCGCTGAGGGTGGCCTTCACGGAATAGAATTCGAAGCGACGACCGCCAAAGCGGACGACGATGTCAGAATCAACGGCATTGGTGCAGTTGTAGACTCTGGGACGGAACTGTTGCGCAAGATTAGTTATGCGCAGTTGAGTCACTAGTGCAGATAGACTTGACTTACACCATGACCATGCCAGCCAGGCTGCATACCCCAGGACTCGACACCATCGTTGATGGAAACAGCCTCCATATCGTCAAGAGATTCGAATGACGACGTGATTGACTGGTTGGCGTAGAAGTCCGAGTCTGAGTGGTTGGCCCAGTGGCGGCGCATGTCACTGGCATCCGGACCGGACCATGAGCGCGAGCGACTCATAGTGCTGTAGACACCCCGGCCCATCGTGCGACGTGATTCGTCGATGGACATGATTCGCCGATGAGGTGAAGTGAGAGGTAATGTTGTGTTTCGAAAAGTGTAGTGCAAAAGTGTTGTGATCAAGCAATTGAGACAGCGCAGAAATTCGGTCTATAAGACAAACACCAAACAATCCGAATCCATTCAATCAAGGCGCCTTGACCACCTCGTCTCGTCAAGAGCACCAACAATAACACCTGATCTGGCGATAGTCACATGAGCTGCTTCACTTTTGTTCGTTCCTCGCAGCTTGGAGCCCTCACATTCGAGGACAGGCCTGGGACATGTCTCTACGACTCCATGAACTTCCAACGGGAGTTTCCTTTTTACGGGGACGTGAATCAGACACAAGGAAGAAGACGAGAAATGCAGGGACGATTTATTGGGGTGAAAGGCAGAGGGCTATATGAACAGAGAATTAAACGAACCTCCAGAGGGTAATTGAGGGCCTTCCAGCATCGATACGCGGTTGCCAACCTTTGGTTAATGATGCTCTCAGATGGACCTTCGATCATATCAAGATTTCCTCGAGGCTGGTGGGACATTTTGACACTTGCGGTTCGGCGCCGAGCTCTACGCAGCAACTTGTGCCGTCTCCTGCTGCTTCTTGCAGCCTGCAATATTGTCAGGAATATCCGGCATATCAACTAGAGTTGGATGTTGTTGCCAGCTTAAATCTGAAGACTCCAGGGGTGAGTCTCGTCACCGTATTGGATGCCTTCGATCCAGTCCTTCATACGCTGGGCGATGGGGCCAGCCTCCTTGTCGGCCTCGAGACCACAGTTGATCATCGAGTTCTTCCAGCCAATGTTGCGAACAGGACTGACAACAGCAGCGGTACCAGCACCAAAGACTTCGAGCATGCGTCCCTCCTTGTCAGCCTCGGCAAGCTCTCTCACAGAGAATCTACGCTCGTTGACCTCCCAGCCCTCGGGAACAAGACGCTCACGGGCAAGCTCGAGGATAGAGTCGCGGGTAACACCCTCAAGGATGGTTCCATCAAGGGGAGCGGTCATCAACTCCTTCTTACCGTCCTTGTTGACGATGGCAGCAAACAAGTTCATGGTTCCGACCTCAGTGACCCACTCTTCACCACCCTCCTCGAACAACCACAAGTTCTGGTGGAAGCCACGAGAGGCGGCTTCCATCTGAGGAACGATGCAGGGAGCGTAGTTTGCACCGAGCTTGCTGTTTCCGACACCACCGGGCCATGCACGAACAGCGTATGTGGTTGCTTCTAATGAGACGGCCTTGAAGCCAGTAGGATAGTAAGGACCGACGGGAGAGGCGATGACGTAGAGAAGGGCAGAGCCTGGCGGGCCAACACCGAGAGTGCGTTGTGTGCCGATCATGGTAGGACGAAGGTAGAGGGAGTAGCCACGGGCACTTCACGGGTGTTAGTCAGGAGTAGACGTTGACAGTAGGTTGCTACCAACTCACGCAGGAATGAAGCGCTCATCGGTCTTGACAAACTGAGAGATGAGATCAATCATGGCCTTCTGATCGAACTTGGGTAGAGCAATGCGGGATGATGATCTGTTCAAGCGGGCCATGTTCTTGTCGGGACGGAACAGACGAATGTTGCCCTTCTCATCCTTGTATGCCTTCATACCCTCGAAGCACTCAAAGGCGTAGTGGAAGACGCAGGTGGCCGGGTCGAGCGAGAGGTTCTGGTAGGGAGTGATGCGAGGAGCCTGCCAGCCGTCGGTCGCCGTCCACTCGAGAGAGAGCATGTGGTCGGTGAAGTGCTTGCCAAAGACCAGCTCATCATTGGGGATCAATTCCTTGGGAGTCGTCGTCTTGGTGATGGTCAATTTGGAGTTGTCAATCGTCGTCAACTTGGGGTTCGACACGTCGTGTGCGGCCATGGCGTAGCATCGCGTTTGGGAGCCATTGACCAGGCGGAAGCTACGGGACGCCGCCCGTGTTGACCGAAATCCGCAAGAAGACAGCATTGTGGGTATGAGGAAGGAACGAAGGGCAACAGAGACAGAGTTATACCTATCCAATCGCAATGAGTCAAGATAATTTCCCCGGTCCTGACGGCATGCGGGCAAGGGCGCGGGAGAGTGACCGGACATCCATCGGCGCCGTCATCGGAGCCGTATCCTTATACAGAGCTCGGGCCTCCTGAACCCTGAAATAGGTGCGAGGCTTCCTTGCGTATTGTCATCGTATATATCGAATTGCCCTCCTGTTCCTGCTCCTGCCTTGCTGTCAAGCTGTTCGCTCCTTCCCTGTCGCGTCTCGCTTTTGAGCCTTCACCCTCATCAACCACTTTCCTATGGAACCCTGAATCTCCCTCCAACAGTCGCCATGTTTTTGTCAGCGCTCAAGTCATTCACGTCCAACATTGGATCCAACTACAGCATTGCTCCCCAACCTAGCTCGACGTCTGGACCATGGAAAATATTCGATGCCAAGAAGAAGTCGACAGGCAAGGCCGCCTCGGTCTTCATCTTCGACAAAAAATCCCTCGAGCCTTCAGCCAGTTCCCTTGGGGGTGGTCGCGGTAATTCATCGTCGGTCAAGCGAGCTCAAGAGGAGGTCATCGATCGCTTGAAAAAGGAGGCAAGCTCTCTGGCACGTCTGAGGCATCCTAGCGTCCTGGAACTAGCCGAGCCTATTGAAGAGACCCGCAGCGGTGGTCTTATGTTTGCGACAGAACAGGTCACAGTCTCGCTGGCTGCACTATTGGCAGAGAAGGACGAGCAAGAAAGAGCTGGGAGAGGCGCTGGTAGAAACAGCCGTTATGTTGTCCGAGGAAACGATGGCCAAGATGAGATTCGTGAACTCGAATTGGACGAGTTGGAAATACAAAAGGGTCTCCTGCAAATCGCAAAGGGGCTGGAGTTTCTTCATCAAAGTGCCAAACTGGTACACGCCAACTTGACACCGGAGGCCATATTCGTCAATGCAAAATCAGACTGGAAGATTTCGGGACTGGCTTTCTCGACTCCGTTCTCTGACTCTGCATCTTCTCCGTCTTTATCACTATCCGAAGTGCTGAATCACGATCCTCGACTTCCGCCAACAGTTCAGCTCAATCTCGACTATACTTCTCCTGATTTTGTCATCGACAACAACATCAACCCCTCAGCCGACATGTTCTCCCTGGGTCTTCTCATCATCGCCCTCTACAACTCACCGCATCGCAGTCCTATCGAGACACACGAGAGTCTTTCAGCTTATCGTCGAACCTTTTCATCATCCTCTTCCGTGCCTAATCAGACCAACAACTACCTATCCTCTGTACCACTGCCCAAGAACCTCTCGTCTGAGCTTTTACCACGCTTAATTACCCGTCGTCCAGCACAACGTCTCAACGCCATGGAGTTTCAACAAGCTCAATACTTTGACAACATCCTAGTATCTACTATCCGCTTCTTAGATGACTTGCCGGCCAAGACGCCCACTGAGAAAGCTCAATTCATGCGAGGGCTTGCCAAAATTATGCCACAGTTCCCCAAGTCTGTTCTCGAACGAAAACTGCTACCTGCTCTACTTGAGGAGATGAAAGACCGCGAATTGCTGGCTCCCATTTTACTGAACGTCTTTGCTATCATCAAAGCTTCACCGTCGGGTAAACGTGCGTTTACTGACAAGGTCATCCCAAGATTGAGAGACATTTTCCTCACTCAGGGAAATGCAAAGACCACTGCCGAGCGAGACCCTACTAAGGAGGCCGGTCTGATGATTGTGCTTGAGAACATGAAGGTCGTGGCGGACAACTGTTCTGGCAAAGAGTTTAGAGATGGTGAGCTCAGTGGACAATTGATGCCAAACTCGGTACAATATGCTAACTACTATAGACATCCTCCCAATCATCGCTCTGGGTCTGAGCTCTCCAACTCATGCTGTCGTTGACGCTGCTCTCTCGACCTTACCCGCCGTATTGCCTGCACTAGATTACAGTACCATCAAGAATGAGTTGTTCCCAGTGATCGCAGGTGTCTTCGCGCACACAAACTCTCTTGGCATCAAGATTCGCGGTCTTGAAGCCTTCTACACCTTGTGTGGTGGTACGGCTGAGAAAGACTCCATCAGTGACGGGCTTGATGGTGTCAGCATCTCTCAAGACTCTTCTAAGCTCAGCAGCAGCCAGGTGCTCGACAAGTATACTATCCAAGAAAAGGTTGTGCCAATGATGAAGGGTATCAAGACCAAAGAGCCTGGTGTTATGATGGCTGCACTCAAGGTATTCAGACAGATTGGTCAAGTTGTTGATTCTGACTTCCTCGCCATGGAAGCCTTGCCTATTCTCTGGAGTTTCAGTCTTGGTCCACTTCTGGACCTTGAACAATTCCAAGAATTCATGACTTTGATCAAATCACTCTCATCCCGGATCGAACGAGAACATACGCGCAAACTCCAAGAGCTCTCTTCAAGCAATGGTGGAGGCTCGACAAGATCAGGGGCCAAACAGCCAACTGCGTTCCAAACTAGCACAAACACCAATGGAGGTGATGTCGACTTTGCAAGCTTGGTTAGTGGTAGGAAGGGCAATGCTACTCCAGACATCATGAACGACTGGGGCCCACCAGCTGCCAAACCTGCTTCGTCACAATTCTCGGCTACCATCTCTCCGTCACCCGCAGGTTCAAACTTCACATCATGGTCGAGTGCTGCGCCATCACAACCACCACGTCAAAATAACTCACTTAGTTCTTTGCAAGCTTCCGCCAATCAGAGGACAGTCACGCCAGATCAAAGTCAAAACCTCAACAGCTCGTTTGCCGCTCTCACACCTGCATCGCCCTACAATGCGCCACTGCAGCCTACGACACGTCAACCTTCCAGTCTAAACTCGAGCTTCACATCACCGCCTCTCAACCCCACGGTCCCCAGCAACAACTCATCCTCGATCAACTGGACCGCAGCCACCATGCCGCCAAGCTCTTCTACGTGGTCATCTCAGCAGCGACCAATGAATGGCGGCATTCTCCCTCCACCAACGCAAAGAACGTCCTCATTCACAATACCTCCACCTCCTGCCTCCACATCACAAACACCAGTGAGCTCAAACTCGTATTCAGCGTTCTCAATGCCAGTCATGCAACCACAACAGCAACAGAGACAGGCACTACAACAACAGACACAACAACAACAAGCTGCTCAAACAAGTGGTCTAGACAAATATCAAAGCTTGATTTAGAAGTTACGGTATCATATAGTCAGCCAAAAAAAATACTCATAGATTCAATGCACGAAGCGATAGTACACAATGTAAAATCCATAACGAAGAAGACAGTGACGTGCGCGTATAGTATCTCCGTATTCTGTAACTGATCACTTTCGGCCATCTCCGCCGACCGCGACATAGTCCATCCAGACTGCCGGGATGCACGATGTTCTTGACCTTGATAAACTCTCTCGTAGAGAAGCTCTACTTACCTAGCTTCCAGTGGAGTATATCTCTAACATGGCACAAATCGTGCACCGCTACAATTACACGCGCGATGGAGATCTACATATTTGGAGGAGACGCGACCGCGAAGATTGACGTTGGAAGCAAGCAAACACTCGTTGGCACCTGTGGGCGAGTTGGTTTCGCTGCGTACGTCAAAGACTCGCGATGTCTTCAGATACCTACAGTACATGCAGTTGAGTAGATTTGGACTTGCTCTATCTGTATGGTCGTATATACATTATCTCTATAGCTCTATCATATATCTTCGTCATCAATGTCCTCACCTCTCCTTTGTGCCAAGTAAACGCGACCGCTCTCGTAGACACCGAGGTAAAGACCAGATCCTATCAATGTCCAGACCGCTCTCAAAGCACCACCACGGAAGAGTCCTTTGACAACACCTTGATCGGCGATGATCTCTCTTGCAATTTGTATGCTTCCTTTTCTCGACACAGGTTTCGCGACATTTTGGATGGCGTCTTTGAGACCTTCTTTGCTGTTTTGGATTGCGCCTTTTAGACCTGCTCCATTGCTTTGGACTGAGCGACCCATTGCGTCGACTGGGCCGCTAGACTTTGATTTGGCATTGTTTCCTTGGTCTTCGGCTGCGCTGGAGGCTGCTGCTAACATGATGCGTGTCTTGACCACATCGACTGGGGTGGTCACGACAGCGGCGAAAGCACCCGCTGATCCTGCACTGGCGGCTGTGATCAGACCGTTCTCCAGTAGAGTATTCGTCCTCGTTCCTCTATCTTCTCTATGCTTTTTGATTCCTTCCTTGAGTTTTTCAAATATAGGGAACTGCAATGCTGTGAAGGGCAGATTACGGCCTGCCAGGGCGGTGTATCCTCTCCATAATGCCAGTGGGTTTGATCTGAACTTTGCGATTGTCTGGAGTGTCGCGTTGGCTTTGTCGCCTTTTGCTGTATCGACCATTTGTGCATTTTGCTTGATCACTTCGGCGGGTGTGAGGATGGCGCAAGAGACCAGTTCTGCTATCGAGGATGCGGCGGAGTGGATGAGAGGTTGTGGTAGTAATGGTGAGGAGCCGGAGAAGGTGGGGTTGTATCTGGTGAATGTGGACTTGACGCCCTCGTAGGTGGTGAAGAATGCTCCTGCTAGATATAGTCAGATTGACTGCATTCGTCGATTGAGGCGTACTGCATACAAGAGGGTAGAGTGGCTATGATGACACTGCCAACGCCTTGGTATAGACCTCGAAAGAGGACTTGCTTGTTGACAGCATTGGTGGCTTTGTCGAGATACAATCGGTTGTAATCAGGCGATTGAAATCTAGTCTTGAGTGTATCAAGAGGGTAGACAAGAAGATCGACCGTGAAAGCAGCAAACGCGCCGGCCTGGAAATGGTTGTTAGATGGACCTTGCACCTATGCAATGTTTCGCGAAGCCTCACAATCAGGATATCGGTCGAGTTGTTTCCAGCCATATTTCTAGAAAGCTGCCGAGACGTGCAGCAAGTACCTATACAAAGTTGGATAGGTTTGCCAATGTTGAGTGGGTGCTCAAGTATCGGAGTATTTTCCAGAGGCGCATGCATCATGCCGTCATCGGTTTGCTGTTTTGCGGAGACATGCCTTTTGGCTTCAACCTCACCTCTTTCATCCCACCCTTGTCTTTGAAACAATTGGCCCAAAGGAACGCGTCTTCTTCGTCCGGACTTGTGGTTAAATGTAGAGCTACTATTGCTGCACAACGATCATTGCTTGACACCGGTCCGGGAGGCTTCGATGTCGCGTCGTTGGATATCGCGATGCGCTCCTAATATTAGCTATATGCTTGCCCTCTGAGGAGTCATGTGGACAGCCTGGGTTGGGAAACCTCGGGGGCGTGATCCGTGACTGAATTGGTTGCAGCAGGCCTCACACAGAACGGTAAGAATGCTTGGATGGTAAGAAGCCAACATGGTGATCATCAAGCTCCTTGTCGCGCTCCTGAAAGGAAACATGAAGGAATAGATGGAGAGGCAGGTGAGGGTGGTCCAAATCCCGCGTAATTGACCAAGCATGCTCCTGCCTCTTTGGTCAGAAGTTGCTGGACATCTTCAAGGTCTTTCCGGGTCCCTAACACACATCTACCTTTCGTGGTCTCGGATCTTGTCCTTGTAGTGACTATAACCTTCATCACACCTCGGCCTCAGTCGTCAATATCGTCCTTACTCACTTAGTTTGAGCTCGGTAGCAAGAGCGTACCTTCCTCTTTCGTCAATAACCTTCGCAAACTGCGTGAGCTTGCTCCATCGCCGTCTCTTTCACCCCGTGCATTGCTTGGACCGCATCGTCGCAGCAAGCGCGAGTTGATTGTCACCCGTCAACATTTAACTTACCTTCTTCCACAGCATCTCAACCCACTCCTCATCCCGTCCATCATGGCTTCCCACGGCGGACAACTCACCTTTGCTCAGAAGAGAATGATGGCAATGCAGGCCAACGCTAGGAACTCGAGTCTGGCATCCTCGCAGTACTCCGCCAGTCTGCACCCTACACCTACATCTGTGCCTTTCCCCGGCGATGTCGAGATGCACGATGTTTCGGCAGCAACAAGCACTGACGGCAGCCCTCTCAATGATCCTGTAAGTACTTTTCCAAAATTCACTCGAACTCAACTGACCTTGGACTTCCTGCCTCTTAGTCCCACCCACGCGTCAACTCGATCTTCTCGGCCTCAGCAAAGCCATTCACTCCTCCTTCCACCATGATTGTCTCCTCCAGCATGGCTCCCTCTTCTGCCTTGCCCATCACCTCTACCATGGCCCCTCCCATCACTCCTGCTAAGAGGGCCCCTCCTCACCGCGCTTTGAAGGGACAGACTCCTCAAACTCCTCTGGTCCCCGTCAACACTCCCATCGTTGCCACCAAGCCGGAAACTCCTATCACTCATATTTTGAGTGACCACAGTGCCGCACCTTCTCCCAAGCGTCGCGCTGGCCCTCACTCAAAGCTGGGCCCTCACGCTCAAAAGGCTCGCTCGAGTGTCCCGGCCACCAGTGTCGACTCCAGTTCGCCTGTTCAAGTCTCGGTCGCTTCTAAGGCTACCACGCCTGCCAAGGATGTATGGGTCGATGTCCAGCAGGCGAAGCCCGAGCCTGAAACTTGGGTCGAGGTTCAGGATGCCCAGATCGTTGACGTTGAACAGTCTGAGCCTGAGCAAGTAGAGATGGATATTGAGCAGTCTTCCATCCAGGCCACTCTGGGTTCCTCGGCCCAGGATTGGGGCACTCCTGCTATTGTCCAGTCCTCTCCAGTCGCCGAGACTCAAGAGTGGGGCATACCTGCTGCCGTCAAGGTTGAACAGTCGTCCCCTCAGCCCAAGCCCCTCCAGCAGACGGCTGCACCTGAAGTCGTTCCCGACCCACCCACTCCTAAGGCTGCTCACCCCGCGCATCAGCAGCAAGCCAAGGTCAAGACCGAGTCCACCGAGGTTGCTTCGTCGAAGGAAGTAAGTTTTGATCATGGTATCTCAAACTTCATGCTTACTGACTGGGTTCGACAGATGAGCACCGAATCCACCACCACTCGTCGTTACGGTCGCCATGAGTACTTGTCCATGTTGCTCGACATGAATGACACTGCCAAGGGCCGAGAGCTTATCCGTGCTTTCGCTGATCACATCCATGCTGGTGGCAATACTAGTATGAATGATGTGGCTGCCCCTGACGCTGAGCAGGAAATCTTTATGGAGGTTTCTAGCGGCAGCCGTCTTGGAGCCACCGTTCCTCAGAACACCGCTCTAGGCAATGTCATCAAGCAGGTCGCCAAGATGGCTCATGTTGATGAATCTGAGGTCTGTGTCATTCTGAAGGTCGGCGACAAGGGTTCCGCCTAGACAGCCAACTTGTTAGCATGATCTTGAAAGTCTCGTCTGGGCTTGGGTCAGCGACCACTGCTTCTGATGGACAACTACCTACAGATCAATATGAGCATCTTGCTTTTCGATGAATTGATCAAGGTGCAACCACCCCAAAGCAAAAAGGAAGGAAGGTTTGGGCGAGGAGGACACGTCAAATATGGAGGAAGCTGCTGTCTACCAGGGATGTTCAAGGCGCAAGAGCGCGAACACCACAGATAAATAATTGCTTCAATCAAAAGTTTTGCACCGTGTCGCATCCATGTCAATCTTGGTGAGGATAATCTTCGCGGCGCACGCTGGCGTGTGCGTAAGTCGAATTCTAGGATTCGACAAATCACGCCTCTCAGCTGTTTGTTACGACGAAGCCACTCGACATCTCAACGTCCCGAAATCGTAACATCGCCAACAACATCGCCAAGTGGCGTATCATAACGGACATTGATAAGCAGCATTCCTTATCATGTCGTCACGCTCGAAGTAAGCAACTGTTCACTTTCCTGCGTGGTCTGTCTTGTCTGAATCGATTTATAGCGCCAACGGAAAGCGCACTGCCATCTCGAGTGACAAAGACACTAATGCGCGAGTTCCTCAACTCCGTCGTCCACGTCAGCCTGGAGATCCTCTGACCTCCAATCATGCCTCGCCTTTTAGCCCTGGCCAGCAGCAAACCCTCGGAGACATGGATAGCGCATTCCAGACCTTGTCAGTCGGTCTTCAAGGTGTCAAACAGTATGTGGCTCACTTGGAGGAGCTCCTGTTGGAGCTTCATAGCCCTCAATCGATTCAATACCATGTTGCTCGCTTGAAGGCTAGAGATAGCGTTGCTGAGCGTCAATCTGCCCGCGGTCGCCAGAGAACTGATCTTGACTCACCTCAGCATAACGCTGCTGGGGAAAGTGATTCTGAGACCTTGTTCATCCCTGAGCGCGGTGTTAGCAGCAGAAAGCGCATGCAAAGCGTTGAAGCCGAATTGTCTTCCAAGAAGGCGCGCGTTGGTTCTTCGACCTGTTCAGGAGATCCTACTGACCTGGGCAAAAGCCTTCTGAGCCGTCCCGGCCGCCTTAACAGTAGCTCGTCTGATACTATCTCACCAAAGACTGCTCGTAAGCCATCAACAAGCATCCAACAGACCGCTACGGCTCAGAGGGCTGCTGAGACTCGTCAAACCACTACGACTCAACAAGCCGTCACGGCCCAGCCCACCACCTTCCAGATGGCAAAACGTCTATCGATGGACCATTCAGTCAAGCTGCAGGAGATTGCCAAAGGCTTGGCTAAAGACAAATCATCAAAGCACCCGTTCTATCCAGCTTGCCGTTGGAATGAACGACCTACCTCGAACTTCCAAGCTGCACCAAAGCCAGCCCCAGCCGAGACTACCTCCCAGAACGCACAGTCTTCGGTCTCGATGGTCAAGACTCCTCAACTTCGATTGCCTAGAAGAGATTCGTTGCAGTCTGATGGTGTTTCGCAGATAAACAACAAGAGCAAGACACCGCTGCCAATCAGAGCTGATGCCGACGGTCATTCAGCACCACCTGCACCCAGATCTGATTTGGCTGCTCGTCCCAGAGACCCTGCGCTCAGACCTGCCACTGATGCTCGTTCGGATCGACCTACACCTAAACCTCTTGCTGGTGCTCGCTCGGGTCCACCTACACCAAAAGCTGCTGCTGATGTCCGTTCGGCACTCTCATCAAGACCCCCTTCTGATGCCCGTCCCGGCACACCTGCAACCAAACGTGATACTACTGTTCGCTCGGGCTCATCTGCATCCACAAATGCTTCTGATACCCGTCCTGCCCCACCTACACCCAGATCCGTCCCTTCTCGCCCACCACCAATCTCTACGACTGGTAGAAACCCACTTTACAGCATCGATGCGGCTCGCAGTGCTCTCAAGCCTGCTGGCTCAATACCGAACACGTCTATATCCTCAAACAATGCTGGAACTTCGTCGTCGGTAAAGGCTTCTCCTGCAGTGGGACACAAGCTTCCTGCACGTCCTCAGCAGTCGGGCTTCCAGAACAGACCTCCTCGTTTCTAATTGGGCTGTACATTGTGGTAGCTGTGTTTGTCGGATGAGCAGGAGTTTTGGGAAAGCATGGGTTGTTGCATGCGTTGAGTCCGCGGTATCGGATGACTTTCAATCAAGGACGCGTGTGTAGCGCAGGCGTCACGCAACCGGTTGGTCAGTTGAACTGTGCCGGATGAACGAGACATGGAAGACTATCAAGGAACGAGCTACGAGAAGGATGAGAAGGATGAGAAGGATGAGAAGGATGAGAAGATCGAGAACATGGATGAGAATGATGAGAAAGGACACGACAAGGGCACGGGCAAGAGCACAATGTTTTTTTGAAGTTTGAAAGAGTAGTTATTTTTCTTTTGTTTACTACAGACCCTGTCTGCCATACCAGTCACAGAAGGACTGCCATAGCATATCATAAACCCCCCAACTAATAATCTTGACTCCCAAATGCATGCATGCAAGCTGCTATGCCCTTTTCTCTTGTGTGATTACATTTTTGGAAAGCAAAAACTCCCATGCATCCCATCCCATACCGTATTCCCAGCATTAACGTTAACGTAACTTTATTGTCGGCGTGAAAAGAAGAAGAAAAAGGAAAAAAAGTGTTTGTTACAATCAGTCAAGCAACCCACCACTTTACATGAAAGCGGCAAAGAAAGCACCGGCGGCGATGAGAGCGCCAGCGCCAACCTTGACATTACCAGCAGCTCCGGTAGAAGAAGCAGCGGCACCGGAGCCAGAAGCAGAAGCGCTGGAGCCCGAAGAGCGAGAAGCAGTACTGGAGGAACCACGAGATGAGGATCCGCTGGAGCCAGAGGCGGAAGAACCTGATGAGCCTGAGGCGGCGGCGCCTGATCCGCTGGCGGAAGAGCCTGAACCAGTGGCTGCGACGACGGCGGCACTCAGGACCTGAGTGGTGGAAGTGCCAATGGTGACGACGATGGAGGTGGCGTTACCGGCGGTCACGTTGCCGTAGATGAGGGTGGTGACGGTGCCGGGTGCGATACCAGCGGGGATGAGCTGGACAGCGATGGATGAGACAGCAGCGTTGGTTGCAGCGACACCGACGGAGGTTGCGGGCAGAGGCTGACCGGTCACGACACCAAGCGAGTTTGTCTGGGTGAGGAAAGAGGTGAAACCGTTGGTGTAAGGGACGCTGGAGGAGATGGGGATGGTGCTGAGGACGGACTGCGAAATTATTAGATATTTGCGGTTGTGAGGTTAAGAATATGAGAAACACTTACGGTCTCGTTGGTAGAGGCACTCTGAGCAGCGGCCATGGCCACGAGGGGAGCGGCGAAGAAGGTGGAAGCGCGCATCTTGATAGTGTTGTTTTTTGGTGGTGTTGTGATTAAAAGTACCGTGATGGGTAACGACCGATATTTATTGGTATTAGGTAGTCGAGGTGAGCGAGAGAAAAAGCGACAGAGATGTTTGCGAGGAAACGATTATGCTTTGTACTGGTGATGTATAGGGAGAGAGAGAAAGAGAGAGTTACGCGGCCATACCAGCACGTTTATATATCTCTCAAAACTTTCCTTACTCGGCGGATGGCTGGTAAACATGGCTGTCTCGAGGTTTCCATGGGGTCGACGGGGCGCCATCGCCAACTTGATTGGTTGGCCCGGTCGTCGTCGCCCGTTCTAGTCTGCAGCAACTCGGCTGCTTTCCTGCGTGCGCCACCCCTTGGCTTGCAGTAGCTTTGGTGGAGATCTGTTTCCTACTTTCTCGAGTCGGCGATGGCCTGCGGTGTGGTCGTCTCTATTTTTGACTTTTCCCACGGCAACTGCGCCTCGGTTCTGGCTTTTTGCTGGAGACCTTGCAAGGGAGTTGCGAACAAAGCAGACATCTCCTGGTCAACCATGAACTCCCCTACATCATAGCATCTTGCGCGATGGAGGTTTCTTGGATGGAGGTGGTAGGCATGGTGTGAACTCAAGAACTGGCAAGTACTATACACGGTCCAGATTGCCGAGTGTAGGAAGCTACCCGCCTACTTTTTGGCTGTTGCTTACGTGCTCTCCACGCAGCTATCGAACCCCGCGGGAAAATCGCGACTTCGTTCAAAGGTCATTCGGCCGATGGTGAGATATCTCGTAACGATGGTGTGGTTTACGCGTCCTTTGTCTTTGCTTGTCCCTGTGCTTCGCTGTCTGGGTCGTCTTTTCTCTTTCTGCGGCTGCACCGTTGTTGCTTAGAATAGATGCGGGCACACAGAACGTTGTCAACATTCACGTTTTCATGCAGATGGATGAGCTTTGTCTTTTGATTCTTTTCATTCGATCTTCTCATCCGGGAAGCAGTTCATCGCAATTGCAAGCAGAAAGACAGATAGATGAATCATCTCGTCATCGCCATCATCTCCAAGTATGGAACAAGCTCACAAGAAACTCGATGGCTGCCAGGGAAAAAAGTCAAAATAGTCTATGGCCTGCCCGGTCAACAGTTCCCGTTGTCAACAGTGGCGCATGTGAAAGCACTCCACACTCGTTCTTCCGCGCTCTCTCTCTCCACAATCACGAAATCGGGAATCCCGCTCCTACAGCAACGGCCATAACACCCCCAGTGCTCAGCCGCAGAAAGCGTGCAGACGTATGCACTATGGCACGGTCTTTCTCGGACGGGATGAGTACGTTTTGCTCTTTTGGGAGGAAGCGATGACTTGCTGTGTTCATGACGTGATGACTTTGGGCAAGTCTCGTTTACGGCTCCAGGTAGAGAGATGCGGATGTGGGCGTCGTGTGCCGATAGATTGATCCCAGAGACATGGGACCTTGAATCAGAAACACGACTCAGGAAACATGACTTGTCACGTCTCTCCCACGACGATCTCGGAACAACACTTGAATTAGAAAGAGGCGGTCTATCGGATGAAACGTGCATTTGTATCGGTATACCCCAGTTCGCTATACAAGTAGAAAGTGAAAGAAAAGCACCTAGACAGTCGCCAGAAAATGTCCAGGAAAAGAAAACAAGAACAACAGGATTAGATGTGCAGTAACGGTCGGTATTTAAACACATGAAACAGACCGTAAGAGAAAAGAGTCAGGTACGCCTGTGTGCGTGGCGGCTCTATTTCTCAAAGGAATATCTGAGCCATTCACCGACTGCTCTCAAACTCTCCCAGCGCACGGATTCATCACTGTGTTGCATGAGCTCCATAACGCGAGACTTCAAACCAAGTCTCTCCATCTGTTGTCTCTTTTCGGGTACCTCCTTGACCAGGCAGGCGACGTCGTTGCAGCCGATGGCCAGCACTTGCTTGTCATTGTCCCAAGACTTTGACAAAATCTCGGCGAGCTTCTTGGCCAATTCACCCTTGTTATCCTCAAGAATCTTGCGAGCGTTCTCACTCCAGAAAGCTTGGTTGCGATGAGGAGGCGACCAGCGGAGGTGACCAGAGTTGACCTCTGCAGCGTACTCTGAGAAGGTGGTTTGTGTCTTTTGGAATTCTTCGACCATGGATTGGAGAGCCTTCAAGTCTTCGAGGAGATCGGCATCGTTGAGGTGACGGCCTTGGAGATTCTGGAGAATGGCGGGAAGGCGAGCGGGAATGACGGCGGGCATGAGAGTATCGCGATTGGTTGACAAAAGGTTTGTGAGGGTTGCAAGAAGGAGTCTGGTGGTCTTCTCCTTGGGGGAGATACGGAGGAGGGCAGCATAAAGGACGATGATGTCGTGCTCCCTATATCATTGTCAGCGCATGCTTGTGTTTAATGTGCTCGGTGTAGACATACTCGTCCAAACCGCGGCCAACAAGCTCGCCCTCGAAACTCAGCTGCCAGATGACGAGCAAGACGTGGTATAAGAGTTGCAGACCAACGTTGTTGATGATCTGAGAATCGGCAATACTGCGAATGCTGCCACCGCTGATCAGGGTCGAGTCGGTGTCTCTGACAGCACCTCCAGTAGCGTTGGTCAAAATGTCAAATAGAGGAGTGACAGTGTCCTTTCTTTGCTCCCAGAACAATTGACGCGACTTCGCAGTGCGCAACAGAGCCGAGTATTCCTGAACAGCAATGTCTTGCAGGTTGTTGTCCGACTTCTTTGCGAGGGTTGAGATGTACGAGTACAGCTTGGGCAGGGCCTTGTCGATCTGCTCAGCCTGGGGGCCACTCTTCATAAGGCCGTGTGAGATAAGAGCTGACAAGACACATGATGCGAGTAGCGGGATGGGGTCTTCGGGGTTTGCGGTCTGCTTAAGAAGCGGCACGAAGGGAGCGTAAGGGTCGGCGTGGTCGAGCAGCTTGGCTACGAATGATGGGATGTCTGCTTGACCAGTCAGCAACTTGCGCACTGGATTCGTTGAGTCTTGGAGAGTATCCTACCCTCGATAAGGTCGCCAGTCAAGACCAGCATGTACTGGACAATGTCGGAGCGCTTGGCGGCAGATTGGAAGATGCTGGCGCTGTCGTCGGAGCCCAGAACGAGGGCAGCATAGCTTTCAGGATCCGACTCGACTGTCTGTCTGCGTTGCTCCTTGCGGACCTTGTCTATCGATTTGATCTTCTTGAGGTCCTGTTCGGTGATGGTCTTTGCTCGTACAGCTCCTTCCCATGAGATTGGTCGCGCCCGAATGTTGTTCTGGAGCGACAGAATGTATGCCGGCGGGTCGAGCGACATGTTGATGTGCTGTCTGTGATGTCTTTGTCTGTAGTGTATTTCCTTGTCTCAAGCTCGTCAATTGCGCTTGAACGACACTCGGTACTTTATCGCCAGGAGCAGCTCGAGTGACGTTGTTGGGCAAGTCCACCTGCCGCCTCAATTCCGGGGTTCAACCGGCGCAACTTCCCAATCTTTGTCCGATTGCCGTCATAGTTAGACATTTTTTGATACCATCACATCTTCGACGACGAAATACAAACCTGCCGTCAACTCATCATGACTAGTTTGAAACGTTCATACGCGGCCGACAGCGCCGCCCCGAACTTGTCGAGCAAGGTCTACATTCGCTCCACCAAGAGTGGCAAGGTTCAGAAAATTGTTCGCGAGCTATACTTGCGCGAAGATATTCCTTGCTCGTCAAGGTTATGTGCTCACTGCCTCGAGATTGCTCCTACCGACTATCACAATAAGAGTATGCCTTATGCTGAGATAATTCTGATCAAAACTGACATCTCCAGCCGCTCCGTTTGTGCTTTCTGAGACTCCCGCTGGAACAAAATCATTTCCCAATGGCCATTACATAATCCCGGATACGAATGCTTTCCTCACTGGAATGGATCTTTTTGAGCTCGAAACCGCGTTCCATGATGTAATTGTTCTACAGACTGTTCTGGAGGAAGTCAAGAACCGCTCGCTTCCTCTCTATCACCGCCTCATTAGCTTGACCAAGAACGACGGCAAGCGATTTTACGTTTTCTTCAACGACTTCAGACTTCAGACCTATGTTGTTCGCGAGGACAAGGAGACCATCAACGACAGAAACGACCGTGCTGTTCGCCGCGCCGTGAAGTGGTATGCCGAACATCTGGAAGAAGCTGTCAGCAAGCGCAAATCCGTCAGATGCCCTTCTGTAGTGATGCTTAGCGACGACCGTGACAACTTGCGAAAGGCGAAGCTTGATGGTATTACCGGTATCTCATTGCGCGAATACGTTTCTGGTCTGGACGATGCAGAACGTTTGTTGGATATGGTCAGCACTGGACACGAACAGAGAGTTGGCAAGCAGACCAAGGGCGAGCTTCTTTATCCCGATTACCTTTCGGTCTCCAAGATGATCACTGGTGTCAAGGCTGGTACCATGCACCAAGGAACCTTCAACGTATCACCCTACAACTATCTGGAAGGATCTGTCTTCGTCCCGGCATTCGACAAGCCTCTGCTCATCATTGGTAGAGAAAACAGCAACAGAGCCATCTCTGGAGATATTGTGGTGGTCGAGGTTCTGCCCAAGGATCAGTGGAAGGCTCCCTCATCAAAGATTCTGGAAGAAGAGGTCGTGAACAAGAACGACAATGCTGATGCAGATGAGGGTGAGGCTGTCATCACACAACAGGAGAAGCGTGCGCTGCAAGAAGAGGTCAAGAAGACACACGGAAAGAGTGCTGAAGGCAGACCACAGCCCACTGCTCGCGTAGTCGGCATTATCAAACGCAATTGGCGCCAATACGTTGGTCATGTTGACAAGGACTCGGTCAAGTCATCAACGAAGCAGAGTCGTGCACAGCAGACCGTCTTCCTAATTCCCATGGACAAGCGCATCCCGAAGATCCGCATTCGTACCCGCCAGGCTGGAGATCTTCTTGGCAAGCGTCTGTTGGTGACCATCGACGCTTGGGACAGAGAGTCGAGATATCCTGTCGGACATTTCGTTCGTTCGCTGGGAGAGCTCGAGACCAAGGGTGCCGAGACCGAGGCACTACTGCTGGAATGGGACGTACAGTACCGACCCTTCCCCAAGACCGTTCTGGACTGTTTGCCCTCTGAGGGCCACGACTGGAAAGTGCCCGATAGCATGTCCGACCCTGGTTGGAACAAGAGAAGAGATCTGCGTGATCTCCTGATCTGCAGTATCGACCCTCCTGGTTGTGTTGATATCGATGATGCTCTCCACGCTAGAACACTACCAAACGGCAACATTGAAGTCGGTGTCCACATTGCTGATGTTTCCAACTTTGTCAAACCAAACAACGCCATGGACCAAGAAGCCAGTCTGCGTGGTACAACAGTATACCTCGTCGACAAGCGTATTGACATGTTGCCTATGCTGCTCGGAACCGACTTGTGCTCACTAAAGCCCTACGTCGAGCGTTACGCCTTCTCCGTACTTTGGGAGCTCACACCTGACGCCGATATCGTACGCGCTGACTACACCAAGTCTGTCATCAAGTCGAGAGAGGCTTTCGCCTATGAACAAGCTCAGATTCGTGTCGACGACCAATCACAACAAGATGACCTCACCAACGGCATCCGTATGCTCATGATGCTGTCAAAGAAGCTGAAGAAGAAGCGTATGGATGCTGGTGCCTTAAACCTGGCCAGTCCCGAAGTGCGTGTTCAGACTGAGTCAGAGACCGCCGATCCTGCCGATGTGCAGACGAAACAGCACCTCGACACCATGTCTTTGGTTGAAGAGTTCATGCTTCTCGCCAACACTAGTGTCGCTGCTCGCATCTACGAAGCCTACCCTCAAACCGCACTGCTACGTCGCCACGCCGCTCCTCCCAAGACAAACTTCGAAGAGCTTTCCAACCAACTCCGCGTCAAGCGCGGAATGGAGCTACGAACAGACAGCTCTAAGGCTCTCGCAGACTCACTAGACACCTGCGTCGATCCCGCAGAACCCTTCTTCAACACCCTCGTCCGCATCATGGCCACCCGCTGCATGATGTCCGCCGAGTACTTCTGCTCCGGCACCCAAGCATACCCCGAGTTCCGTCATTACGGTCTCGCCTCCGAAATCTACACTCATTTCACCTCCCCCATCCGCCGTTATGCCGATCTCGAAGCTCATCGTCAGCTCGCCGCCGCCATCGACTACGAACCCCTCGACGCTTCTCTGCTTTCCAAGGCCAAGCTCGAAGGCGTGTGCAAGAACATCAACGTCCGTCACCGTAATGCACAGATGGCCGGTCGTGCCAGTGTAGAGTACTATGTCGGACAAGCACTCAAGGGCCGCATTGTAGATGAAGACGGCTTCATCATGCGTGTCTTCTCCAACGGCTTTGTCGTCTTCGTGCCTCGCTTCGGTATCGAGGGTCTCATCCGTCTGCGCGATCTCGCCACCCCTGAACCAGAGTCGGAATTCGACACTGAGAATTACGTGCTCAAGATCAAGGGTGAGGGCATTGATAAGAGTGTTGAGCTCTTTGAGAAGGTCAAGGTTAGAATTTGTGACGAGGCTGAGGAGAGTACTGGAAAGAGAAAGGTCAAGCTTTCACTTTTGTAGAGCATGCGTTTGCGGGAACGCTGCAAGAAGGTAGCATGATCTTGGTTCCGAATTTTGGTAACCAAAGCAATAAATTGAGGTTTCATCACGTTCACCGAACGAAATCTATACAAAGACCTGTTCGTGACTTGCGTGGAGAAAAAAGACATGACGAGAAGATGTTCATTTTGGGAAAATCCAAATGCTCTGTAACGGAAAGGGTCAAACTGGATATGTTTGAGATTACTACGAGCATCCGAAGATGTTATGACCTGCTTGAGCAAACCAACAGATGCAGTACCATGCTAGCTCCTTGTGCATTACGATAGACTCCTCGGAACAATCAGAGCCGTCTTGGGAGTGGTGGTCAACTTCATGAGGAAGCGATCCATATAAACACGGTTACACTGAATAGAAGAGAATCAGAGATACAAAGTAGGACCTTTGAAGACATGCAACACAATGATGGTGAATCACGAAGAATGAAGCAGTGCGACCTTGTTGCAGCGGAAAGAACCACGGAATCGTAAGAAAGAAAAGGCGAGAATGGGATTTTGAATGGTAATCAGAGTCCCCGTGTATCATGCGCCCTTGATTAAGTATGTATGTTTCCCTTTTGCCAATCCCAAAGATGATTGATCCTGCCCATGTTTGAACTCCGTGAAGCCGACGAGATAAACCTGTTTTGGTTGTTATGCTTGCAGAATAACCACCAGGAGAGGGTGAAGTTGAGAAACCCTTCACGCTTCTATGCCGAATTGATGGAGGAAAGATGCCTTAGAACGGCCAGCCCGCACCATATGCTTCCCTGGAATTTCCCTCTCTCCAAATGCCACATGCGAATCCCTTCCTCCAGAAAATTTCCCTTTTTGATGCCATGTCGCCTATCTAGTCATTAGATGCAGGTAGAGTAGCTGGGGTCAGCGGTGCGATGTTCCACTGTCCAGTCTTCGGGCCAGGCGTCGCCGTCAATGGCTCCTCAGTGAGATTTGTGTGTTTGATTCTCCAGCCAGCACGCTTGGCCAGTTCGGCTACGACATCATCGCAGTAGCCCAGGAGGGTGATGTCGAAGTTGATGTGATCGGCCGGCTCGCGTGAGATGTAGATCTGAGGCACTTTTTCGTCAACGAAGTTGGGACTGTTAAGGTTTGTAATTAGTTGCTGGAACGTGAAGTAGAGGGAGAGAATGGACGTACATCTCGGAGACAGGAGCGACCTTCATGGAAGTACCGATGACGACAATCAAATCGACCATTGCGACATCGTGCTCAGTAAGTCTGTCGAAGAAGCGGCTGGGGAGCTTTTCGCCGAAGAAGGTGATGTTGGGCTAGAAAGTCAGTCTCGAGTCTGGTGACTGTCATAAGTAGGATGGAGCTCACCTTCATGACACCAGGTTGTGGAACATCATACCGGCCATCATCTTCCGAGTCAGAGTGGCTGCTTCTTGACTTCGACTTTCCGTTGGATGTGCGCTTGCGCTTGCGGGGCTGCTTCTCGATGATGTCCAGACAGGTCTTACATAACGAGACTTTGTGTTGCCTGACGTCCTCAAAGATGGCATCACCCTTGACTTCGGTATGACATTTGCGACAGCTCGCTGTGGCCCATGAACCGTGGCATTGAATCAAACGCTCGGGATCGATGCCCGCATATTCCTCGATGTTGTCGATGTTTTGGGTGTAATTCGTGAGTAGCTTTTGCTTGTCTTGGAGGAGCTTGATGAAAGCGTGAGTCGGCGAACACCTATCTGTAACCGGCAAGATATCATGTGCCAACTCGTAGAAGTGACTAGATAACAGTCAGTGATTGCAACTCGACCCCTGAGTATTCGTGCTTACGTGGGGTCTTCATCGAAGTTTCCGATATCGAAGACATCTTCTGGACTGTCGAAACCGCGAGCGAGAAGTTTTGAGTAGAAGCCAGTGTTCTTGGAGCGGAAGTCAGGGATGCCGAGACTTGTAGAAATGCCAGCTCCAGTGATGACCATGATGTTCTTGGATTTCTGAAGAAGCGATACAGCGTCGTCGACGGTGTTGTACTCAGTGAGCTTTTGTCTTCTTCTGAGCTCACGCTGGATACATTGACCCAGGATCTGGTAGTACCATCTGGTTCCATAAGGAAGATCAGGCCGTACGCCGAACGCTGTGACGAGTTTCCTAACGCCAACGACTCCAGAAGTGATGGTCTGCTCTATGAATCGATTGGGTCCAAGTCGGCGTAGTTTGTCTCGGATGTCCTTTCCCTCGGCAGGTGTATATGAGATCGGTCCAGGATCTTGTACGATCGTCAGCTATGGTAAAACCCGGGGATAAGGTTCACTATTATGCAGGCATTGAAACTTACCATCGTCAGTGTATGGCTCAAATTCTGCGCGTTCCAGTTCATCGGTCAGAGCAGATTCGAAAATGTCGCTGTCGTCAGATTCAGATTCGGAATCCTCGAGGTCGTCGGTATCGTCCTCGAGATCGTCTGGCTCAACAAGCTGGGGAAGCGTCGCTGAGTTGACCGGGTCTTGAACACGGGCAACAGATTCTAATTGCTTTTCGGGCTGTGATGATGTTAGATCGACTAAGTTATCACCCATCATTTTGAACGAGATGAATTCTGATAATAATCGAAAAATTATGCGCGATCCTTGTCGTGCGTAAAGGGAAGTTAGGTCCAAGTTGAGATGCGCGGATTGGGAGATGTTCTGGATGGCGCTAGCGATACATGGAGAATCATTCAAGAACGCTGCACATATGTATACAGAACGTCTCAAGGTCATTGGCAACCCTCTCGCGCCCTTGGTCAATCTTGGAGAGGCGATACGAACATTACATTCTACACAGCTAATTAGGCATCGGCATACAGCTAACCAAGATGAATCGAGAAGCTGTATAGAAAGCAATAGTTGGTCTTCTAGAAGTACTGTTGATCGAGAAGAGCGCCGTTCAAAGCAGCAGTCTTGATGTAATGTCTTCAATTTCTTGTAGCAAACGTACAAGGGTCAGCCCTGTTGCGCTGATTAGTTTGTTCAGCCAACCGTCATCTTTTCGAGTAGAGCTATCATGGTCATTATTAAGTGAGCTGTTTGGGTAGGCAGTGAGACATCATTACGTTCTAAACAAAGTCCTGTGCGTTCGAAAATCTCTCCCAGTATGTTATTAAGACCTATACTGTCGCTCAATCTGGACTAGTCTTGAGCAAGGGTTGCATCAGGAGACTTTCTTTCTTCTACATTTCAAGTTATGGTGAGTCGTTGCAAGTTGACAATTCGTTGTCAGTCAGCTTGATCATCTCGCCTTGAGACCAAGAAATGAGGAGGAACGCTTCCTTTTTCAATTCAACCCAGCTTCGTCAGAAAACACTTGCCAATGAAGCAACCTGGTTTTAGTTGTTCAGCATCCTCTACCACTAAATTGATAGCTTGAGTTTCTGCAAGTATCACGCCGTGACAGAAGGACGTACGAGAGACCAGATAATGGAGCGAAGTAGAGTGGTATATGGTCCCTTAGTCGAAAAGCGTGCAGCTTTGAGGCCTGAGCCAGTTACAAAGTGCCGAAACCAAGGGAGAATGGCTACAGAGCGTGAAACATGGCTCGAGATTGGATGTAATGCTGCTTCACGAGGCCAATCTCTTGAATCTTGACTCGAGTGTGGCCGAGAAGCAAGTCGTTCGTTATGCGAAGGGGGATATTTCGTGAGTAGTGGCTTGTGCAGCTGGTCCAGGGAGAACATGCCGGTTGAGATCAGGGTAAGGTCGTCAGGTATGGACTGTTCCTGGTAGCAAGTGAAGGAAGCCTACCATATCCTGAGGCAGGTCGCTACTGGTGTGGAGAGAAGCATGGATGGCGATGTCAATGTGAACAGTCTCATCTCCAGCCGCCGACTCTGCCTTCATCCCAGCGCTCTTTGCGTTCGTTGCGCAAAAAGGCAACTCTTTTGGCTTCTCTCAAACGACGAACAAAGTCCTGGACTTCTCTATCCGGAGCAAGGCCGCCTTCGTCCAAGAAGCTATCCTCGATTCCCTTTACCAGAGCGTCCTGTTCCTGAGCACTAGCGTTGAGGCGCTGATACAAAGCCATGGGGCTGAAGCCCTTCAAAGTGTCTTCAGTCTCGACAATTTTAGACTTGTGCTGTTGCTCGAGGGCACGAAGGGCGATTAGGCGGGACTGAGTAGCAGCGCGTTGATGAGACAATCGAGACTCGACTTGCTGTAGCGAGGAGGCTGTTTGGATGTTTGAGTCAAGTATACGACGTAGTGTTTCCTGGGAGGCAGGAATGGATGGATGCGTGTTCTCCGGGTCGTTCAACAAAGCGGCTTGTAATTCTGGGTCCTCCAGTAGACGTCTAAGGTCGTTCGTGGATAAGTCGTGAACTTTTGAGGGAAGCCAGCCTGGTTCTGGAAGCGGGGTTTGATTCGTGGGTAGATTGCTATAGCCATTCTGCGAGTTCATGTGTCCTTGAGCTGGAGGGGGAGGGGGCAGTGGGGGTCCTCTGGATGGCGTCTCTCTGCCGCTCAAAGGTTTCGGCGGAGGAGGAGGCGGCGTTGATGAATCATACTGCTGGTAGTGCGAGAGTCGAGGCGACTGGGTGTATTGCGATGAGCCCTCAGCAAAAGACATGGCGACTGTTCAACCTAGATGGGCTGTCAAATGACGATGATGCCTTTGAGTTTCACATGCTAAAGCGACCTCCGCGTCGTTTTGGCCCAAGCTCCCGAGAAGCCGGATTTCAACCGGCCGCGGCTTCCTCAAAGTCTGCAATTTTCTTCGACCTTCAGACTTCTTTTCTCGCATCACAACAAACAAACCATCGCCAATCATCATCTCTGCGCGTACTCTCGAGCTGTGACTTGAGCTCTCTGCTCGCCTTGCTTCTGTCGATCAAATGCGCATGCGCAGACAAGGCGGGCAGATCTCTTTCCAAAGGTAAGCTTTTACTCCACCACCCAATCCATCACACCCATCACAGAGATGAAACAACAAACACGAACAATCCAACTCCTATAGCATCGTGAAGGATTACAATTACTCTAGAATTACACTGAGACTGATCCACATCAACACCTCTTCTGTCAATCTTTTTGCATCATCATGCTAACAAAAGTCTGAACAGTCCTTCCTTCGAGTCGTTATTCCGCTTGTCAACACACGCTGGCCGTGTCGAGGGTGTGCCAGTCATCGACGCACCCTCTCAATATTCAAAAGGTTGGTCACCCCACAACTCTTGCACACTGCACACACTTTCCCCTGGCTTGGGTGATGATATACCGACTCCGGAAAGGCATTCCTCGACCTGAATATACAATGTCGAATCTGTCTAAAATCAAGTTTCAGCCTTGTCTGACTATCTTGCCACGAATTATCTTTTGCACTTCATTACTTTGCTCTGCTGAACAGCCAAGCTAACTCGATTTGCATCAGGTATCTACTCACCACCATCACCCATCGACCATGTTCCCCCTTTCAATATGAAGAAGATTTGAACGAACGGGCGGACAGATTGCGCTTTCGACCTCCATCCGCTGAAACAAGAGCGTACAAACTCTTGGGATGGTTGGTCGGGAGTTGCTTGTTGAGATTATCGTCAGCTGATTTTTTGCGCCCATGCACATTTTTTGCACTCATTTTTTCCATCAAAACATGTACTAAGACTGGTTGTGTTTAGGTATGCAACTTGAATTCAGCCCTTGGTCAGCTTCAACATCTCTTGCATGGGCATTCACAATGATGAACATTTTATTCACACTGTTTGATCCTTCCTAAGCCTATATTGTGCTGGTCGGACATGAACACAAAACACTGAAAATTCTGAGAATATTGAATGGTAACGCTCATCTCGTCTTGTCCATCATTAACCGTGTGCTAACTGTCTCTCTAGCCCATCGCACTTGATGCGTGTCGATCATTGCAATCATGACCCTCGAGTCCCTTGCTAACAGTCTTGTTCGCTAGGTATGCAGTTTGTCTTCCAATACAACATCACATTTTCGCCATTGCATGATGAACAATATTCACACTGTGAACGGTTTGCCCGTAACGAAGGCTTATCCGTTGTGGACATTTATAATGATTTAATGGTATGTGCTTGGTGATGCTGTCATCGTGATGAACTCATTCTGACTCCAAACAGAGCCTGACTGCAATCACATACCCTACCTTGTTCGAAAACAACATGGAAGGCCATTACTGATTGCCCTGGCATAGGTCAAGTATCTCTTCAACGCTACATGATCAACGTTGTATCAAGCTGTAAGTCCTTCCCTTCTCATACTTCTTATCCACCCCCTCGCATAATGATGAACAAAAATGATATTTCGCTGTGTTCTTACTGAGACACGTCTTTGAAGATACCATCACCTTGGAGAACTGACCTTTGCCCTTCCACAATCACCTTTTGTCACTCAACACATTCGTGGAACATGTTGCTGACTAGTAACAGATCTTTTCAACCAAGCTAGTTATAATACTTAATACAAATACCTATTTTGAACTCAAGACTATCTCTTCGTAATCTCCATATCACCGTGCCTCGTCCCATTGTTTCCACAAGTCGCTGGTGACGTCTTGATATGCTGCTGCAGCGAGGTAGCTCACCCCTCGACTACCTCTGTCCGGCCACCTTGGTCTTCGCCCATCACAAACGTTCGACTCTTCCTCTGTCTCTTCTCGATTCGTCGCTGGCTGGATTCTAGACCAAGAGATCGCTCCGTTCACTGCGTTGAGTTCCGTTCACGCATATTGTCAACTATCAGCGACGAGTCCTGAAGCAGTTCTTCACCTTCACTCCAGCGAAGCCAGTGTCACAACATCACTCCTCGATTTTCCAAATTGGAGACCTCTCTCGCCTGCTCTTCAATCTTCTCTCTCCTTCACAGAGACTCCGTTGATTCGAACGTTGGTGCGCATCATCTTTCCTGGTACATTACTCTAGACCAGGACGTGTCAAACAACAACTATGGCACCTACCACCCCTAAGACCCCAAAGAAGGCCACGCCTGCTAAGAAACTGTAAGTGGTTCGGTGCCTGCTTTCACTGGCTCCAACTGACACTTCGAGCCTCAGTGCCACTCCAACCACTCCTGGCAGTCCAAGTCCACGTATTCGCAAGTCCCAGAGGGAGGCACCTGAGTGAGCAATACGCTTCACTTCCCTCATTCCATCACACTAACGAAACATCCAAGTCTCGGAACCGAGTTGACCTTCATCTTGCTTGGCGATGGCCCAAAGGCTTCCCGCAAGACCTTTGTTGTTCACAAGAACCTCCTCATGACCGTGTCCGGCTTCTTCGCCATGGGCCTCACTTCTTCATTCAAAGAAGCCGATACTGGCATCTTCGAGATGGAAGAGGAAGATCCCGATGTTTTCTCCATCTTCGTTCACTGGATCTACTTCAACCGCCTGTTCACAGTGAAGACCTCTCCTTCCTCAGCCACCGATGAGGACTCGGAAGAGTGGGACTGCCTTCCTCGCCTCTACACTCTCGGTGAACGCCTCGATGCCCCTAGATTCAAGGACGCCGTCATCTCTGCCACCATTGAGAAAGTGAAGGAATCTCAGGTCATGCCTGATAACTGGGCAACTTACGTGTACCAGAACACGGTCGCCCCTTGTGGAATGCGTCGCCTCATCGTTGACTTTCATGTCTTTGCCCATCAGGGAAAGTTGCTCAAGAAGGGAGCTTGTCCTGATGCTGATGAGCCTGAGGGCGACTTCTTGCAAGACGCTATGGCTAGAATGGTAGATGCTGGACAGAGTGTCTTCACTACGGCTGCTCAGATGCCTTGGGCTAATCCTTGTGATTACCATGAGCATGGAGATTCTGTCTGCCACTTGCTCGAAGAAGGAGGAGTCGCACCTCCTTCCTCTCCTGACATCCTCGGTACTGAAAACGGCCACTTGACGCCTGTCAGACGCAGCACCAGGTCAGCAGTCCTCACCAACGGTCCACAGGTCATCTTCACAAGTTCTCCTAGTGTTAACGGTATCCCTGTAGGCGCACTCGACATGGACCAGACTTTTGAAGTAAACCAGCCTCGACCTCTCGGCATCAAGCTCTCTTTCAACCGCGCCTATACTCAGTTGTTCTGGCAGCCTTACAATCATCACTTTGCCCCATTCGATTGGGCTTCTGCTGTTCATGTGCTGGCCGCCAACAACTGGAGACAACGCATGATCCGCAGCAACAAGGACAACCTAGGCATCCCACGTATTCATAGAACCTGAGACGCTTTCGATACAGATGTGACAACGAGACGGGCGAAGACAAAGTGTTTGAATTGATAGTGAAAATCTGATGAAGAGATAGAGACGTAGTCGTAGGGATGAGCGAGAGAAGTTTGGCAACAATAGGGGCATCAATGTGACCGAGAAACATGAGATACGAGAAGACGGAATGTAAAACGAAAAGGGGCAACATGGATGGTACTCGGATGAAAAGACGTCTGTATTTTCTTTCTTCATTATTTCTGCTGGCAGAAGGCTGGTTTGTGCAATTCGGAGGGAGCAATTCAATGAGAGTAAAGGCAACGGACATGGTATATATCTACTCAACGAAGATAAATGCGACCTTGCATCATTAATTCTTGTTCACGGCACTATCTCTCTCAGCCTTCCTCTTCTTCCTCTCTTCATTCTTCACCCTCTGCCTCTCCTTCCGCTCCACCTCGGCCAATTCCTTCTCCCTATCAATGATCCCCACCATCCTCTTAGCCATCTCCTTATTCTTCACCCCCTCATCCTCAATAGCCTTATACGTCTGCCCCAAAGCCTCATAAATTGCGGCCGTCCATGTCGTCCTCTTCTGCCTACGCCCGAATTCATCTACTTCATTTCCTGATTCCTCTTTGATCCCCCGAGCGAAGAGTATCCTATCCCACTCATCTTCCGCTTTTGCGATTTCCATGTCGGTTTCGAGTTTGAGTTTGAGGTCTAGACGTTTTTGTCGCAGGACGAGGCGGGATCTGATGTATTGGGATAGGATGGCTGGTTGAGGTTTGGTGAAGCGGAGGATGGGGATCTTGTTTGCGTTTACCAGAACGGGAATGCGACGGCGTGAGGGGAGGGAGAAGGCCGGGCGAGGTCGAAGGGAGAGTGTTGATCCTACCACTGCTGCTTGTTTTGTCGACGGTGGTGGTGGTGGTTTGGGTGGTGGAGTGGTGGTTTTGAGATTGCTGGGGAGGCGGTAGAGTAGACTGTTTAAGTGGGAGACGCTGGTATTGTCGCCGGTGATGCTGGCGGTCAAGTGGTCGAGGGCCTTGTGCACTTCAATCAGCACATAGTCTTCTAGCTCGAGCATGCGACTGAGCTGTGGTATACCTCATAGCCGCCAGCAAAGGCGCCTTGCAGGACATATTTGCTCGTCACATGTCTATTCTTTGCGAAGCTCTTTTTGACAACAGCTTCCAATGCAGACCTATCAAGGGACGGCGGTGCCGAACGGCATTTTGTGAGTAGCGCGCGGTAGAGAGCGATTGCTACATTCTGTCCGTCAATGTCTTGTTCGCCGGCAGTCTCTCCAGAGGAAAGAGATGGACCTACCTGTCACACGATGTGCGCCTGACTTGTGAGGCACGAGAAACGCTGGCATACCATTCTACCGTTCTATCTTTGGAAGGAACGAAGCACCGAAGGATGAAAGAAGCATAGGATGACGTCTGGTGGGGAAAGAAAAGAGTGCTCGTGCTTGATCGAACGTGTTTCATCGGAAGCTTCTACGTTCCTTCCATTGCACGTGCTCTGCTATACGAGTAGGCCCTGTATAAGCATTACACCCGAGTTCTTGTGTGATGGACTTGACATTTCAAAGCAGGCTGAGCATGTTTTTCTTGCTTGGAAAGAATATCGTCGCGGACTTTGGATACAGATACTTTGCGTAGATGGGAAATCACGATTCGTACAAACGAAATATCAAAGGGAAAAGGTAACCTAAGAAACGAAAAGAAAAAGAAGCCCAACATATCCGTGTGTGTATCCACCATTCCCGCAAGAATCTGACGCCCGCTGAAAATGCACCAAATGCCCTCCCTAGCCCTTGAACCCAAAGAAAGTAATTGCGAAGAGAGGCTGAACGGCTCGATCAACCAAAGACCAAAGCATTCAGGATGTGTCCCTCCTTCCAGTTCGTCTCGCCAAGAGGCTTGTGCTCTTCAAGGATTTTACCCATGTAGGCAAACTTGATCTTTTGCTCGATGCCAGCCTTCTCCTGTACCTTCTTAACAAGAAGCGACACCTTTTGGTTGGTGCCCATCTCGACAACGACATCGGTACCACGATCGCTGAGTCGTGCTCTGACCGACACCAAGTCACCAATCTTCTCTTCGCACACAACGCCCTTCTCGGCATCAATCTCGTCTTCCGACTCTTCATTGATTTCCTTGCCTTCAATCTGGGGCTCCGCGACGAGGTCTTCGGGGTCTGCGACAACCCAGCCTGGGATTTCATAAAGCAGACCCTTGTCGTCATAGACACCTCCCTTCTTCTGACCACCTCTTCTCCTTTCAACACAGAATCTACCTGTGGGGCAGGTAGCACCGGTTGCGTCAAGGATTGTCTGCGCGGCCTTCAAGTCTCCCGATCTTAACAACTCCGACACCTGTTTCAAAGCTGCCCACATCTCGGGTCTTCCACTGACTCTGGTCTCGAAAAAGGCTTCACGCTGTCTGGCAAGCTCCGAGGGGCTCCATGGTGTGAGGGCGAGTTGTGGTGGCGAGTGCTTGACTGTAGGAGCGGCGCGCAAAGGTTGGTTGGGTCGATCGACTAATTCGGTAGGGGTGTTTGAGGAACTCGTGCGCGAGGGTGCGGCGCGAGCAGTAGAGGGGTCGGCATTCGCATGGCGAGCGCCTTCATTGTCGTCCGTGGCCGCAGCCCGGGATTCGCGAGACAAGCCACAGCCCTGTATGAATCCAAGTCAGTCTTCTCGTCGCTTGCCAGGTGAGCGGGGAAGTTGATTTGTCCGGCGCATACCATTGTGTTTCTCACGATCTCATGCTTCGCTCAAATAGACTTCCTGGTATGATTCTTCGTCTTTGCCCGACCGAGACAAGGTTGAGCGAAAGTCGGTAGTGGTCGAAAAAGCGTTGTGCTTTGTTGTTGAGACTACCGTGCTAGATTGCGGTAGAAAAATATAGGCGTTTTCGGTCGGCAGTCGGATGCGTTGAATGGAAAAGAGACGGCAGAGAAGAAGGGTTCCGAGAGACACAAAAGGGCAAAGTCGGGTGTTCGAAGGAAGAGGCAAGGCCAAGTACTTGACTTGCTGGGCCGGGAATTAATTAGTTTGGTAGAGAATATGGTTTAAAGGGGCGCCGGAGAGGGTTGAGCTAGAGCAGACTCTCCGCGCAACATCGAGGATGCATTTCTCTGCAAAAGTCACCAAACAGCAGAAAGCACAGCAGGAAAAACGGTTGGAGCCTCATCAGACTCGTGCTCATCCTACTAAAAATGGCAAGCGTACACAAGTCGTCATGATCATTCATGACTTCAGTCTTGTGCCGTGGACCCGCCCGTTGCCGAAGCCTTGTCCGACCGTCCTTGACTTCACTTCGTCCAGTCTTCAGTTGCTCTACAGCAGGGCACAAGATTCCACCCTTACACGCGACTATTGAGCTCCGCGATACTGCCAGATGGATCATGCTGTCTACTCGTCTTGCACCACCCATGGCCACGGTCCCGGGTTCTCGTTCGCGTAAGGAACACGCCACCCACCTTCAGCCCTTCGTCACCAGCGTCCGAGCCGCACCACAATTTGAGACATTCCCGTCACCTAACCATGACACAAGGCACAACAGGATTTTGAGAACAAGGACAAACTTTCTATTTGAAAATTGATTATTAGTTGCAGAGCGAGCTTAAGCCCTAGTACTTCCCCTCTCCTCCCCTTTCGTTATCAAGTAAAGTGGACAGGGTATCACGGGGTATTTCGCGATTAAAACACAGTACCAAACGATGAACAGACTCGCAGGAAAACCAAGAAAATCGACAAAGCAAAACGACATAACAAAAAACCAATGCGATAGACATGTCCGACAACACAAGACGCAGCTTTTTCTGGTGGAGATCAACAAAATCTTCCTCGAAAACAACAAAAAGTGAAGGGCATGAGTTGGGTATTAAGCAATGAGAGCGCTTCGTGGCCAGGAAAATCCAACGTTGCGCAAAATCTCATGTCTGAAACAAAACAAGCAGAGTAAGAGGGGGTATCTGTATGTCAAAAGAAATAACACATCAAACCAGTTGCAGCGATCGACGCACTCGCAACGGTGAAGATGGGTCTTCAGTGTAATCACTGGCCCACCAAATAGTCCTTCGAGGCAGGCTACGCAGCGGCGGACACGGTGGGGTTGGCAGGAGTGTGCTGGCTCTCGGTGACGGGAGCGGCAGACTCGACGGCGGACTCCTCAACTTTGGGCTCAGCGACGGCGGGGGTGTCGACGACGGTGGACTCGGTGGTGGCAGCCTCGGTGGCGGGAATGGCAGGGACGGGCTCGGTAGGAGCGACGTTCTCCTTCTTGACGGGGCGAGCAGCCTGGGACTTGGTGCGGAAAAGACCAGTCACCTTGCCGAGCATCGACTTGTCCTCTTGAGGGCTTTCGACGTCAGTCTTCTCCTTCTTGGCACCACCGAAACCACCGAAGTACGACTTGCGGCGGCTCTCCTTGGGAGTGGCAGTCTTAGGAGTCTCGATCTTGGTCTCAGTGGAAGGAACAATGGTCTCCTCGACGGGCTTCTCGGCAGCGACCTCGGTGGTAGCAGCAGGGGCCTCGACAACAGGAGCAGCGGCGACAACCTCATCATCCTTAGGAGGGACTGCAGGAGCCTCAGTCGAAGCACCAGGAGCGGGGCTCTTGGATCTGGCCTTCTTGGCCAAGCTGCCGAAGAAGCTTTGCTTGCGCTCGGTGTTGGGGGTGAGAAGAGGAGTCTCAACCTTGTTAGACTCAAGTTCGACCTCCTTGGGAGCCTCAGTGACGGGTTCGGCAACAGCAGGAGCGGCGGCGGTCTCGACGGCGGAGGGGTCGAGGTTGAAGTTCTCAGTGGTGGGCTCAGCGAGAACAGGAGGCTCAGCCGAGACGACGGTCTCCTTGGCGGGGACGACGGGAGCGACCTCGCTCTCCTTCTTCTCGGTAGCAGGGCTGCGGACCTTATCGAAGAAGGCACCGAACAAACTGCTGCGCTTGTTGGTCTTGGGTCTCTCCTCGGTCTTCTTCTTCTCCTCGATAGGCTTGGATGAAACGCTGTTGACAATGGGCTTCTCCTCGGTGGCGACAGCAGCCTCGAGCGGCTTCTCCTCAGCAGCAAGGGCAGCAGCCTCGACAAGGGCAGCAGACTCAGCAACGGGAACCTCCTCAACGTTGGCAGGGACCTCGGTGGCGGCAACCTCGGCAACAGGCTCGACGGGCTTCTCCTCGGCGACCTTGGCCTCCTCGATAGGTGCGTCGATAACACGGGCAGCTACGAGAATCAGTATCAAATTTGGACAATGTAAGTCAAGTGAACGTACCAATGGCCTCAGCCTCGAGAGGAGCAACGGTCTCGGCGGCGACGGGCTCCTCAACAGCCTCGGTGGCGGGCTTGTCAGCCTCAATGGCCTTCTCCTCGGCCTTCTCCTCCTTCTTCTCTTCCTTCTCGGCGTCGTGCTCGGCCTTCTTGCCCATGATACCGCCGAAGATGCTGTGACGCTTGCCGCTACGGGAGGCAGAGCGGCTCTTCTTGGCCTTCTTTGCGGCGGCCTCGGCGTCAGATGAGGATGAGCTGGAGCTGGAAGTGGCGCGAGGTCTGGAGGCGTCCATACTCTTGCGGCCAGCAGCGGCGTGAGGAGTGTGGGACTTGACGAGACCGGCGAGGGACTCCTTGTATGACTCGCTGGAAGTGATGGTGTCCTTGTTGGCCTTGGCCTCAGTCATGGCCTTCTCGACGGCGACGAACCAGGCATCGCGCTCGGCGTCGTTAGCGGCTTTGAAGGCGTGCTTGTGGTGGTGGATCTTGAAGGTGAACTCATGACCGGTGGCCTTCTCGAGGTCAGTGGCCTCGGACAGGTTCAGGACACCCTGGGGGTGCTTCTTCTCATCGGCGTGCTTGACGAAGTAGAGGAGGCCCTTGCCGGTGTGGCTCGACCAAGCAGCGGTAGCGTTACCGGTCTCGGGCTTCTCACCACGAAGGTAGGTGCTGAGGTTCTCGACTGAGACGGGCTCCTCACCCAGCCAGAAGGTTCTCTTAGAGAACTTCAAGCTCCTGCACATTGTTAGTAATCGTCATTCAGGTAAGTTCACTCATTCGATATAGAGCTTACTTGATCAGACCGGGAGCCTTGTAGCCGAGGACGCCAGACTCGATAGCCTTGGATTCCTCAGCGGTGGCAGTAGCGGGCTTCTCCTCTGCGGCGAGAGCAGCAGCCTCGACGGCGGGTGCGGACTCGGCGACGGGAACCTCCTCAACGGCAGCGGGTGCCTCAGTTGCGACGGCCTCGGTGGTGGTAGGCTCGGTGGCAGCGACTGCAGGAGTCTCTGTGACAGCGGCAGTCTCGGGCTTTGCGGCCTCCTCAACGGGGTCGACAATGGTCTCTGCGGGCTTGACGACAACGGGCTCGGCAAGAATGGGAGCGTCTGCCGGTGCGGCAGTGGTGTTGTGGACGTCAGACATTATGGATGGTGAAGGAAAGGGTATGAGGTCGTAAAGCTGTACGGAAGGAAACAGAGAAATGTCAGCTTGAATTCTCTGATGGTGTTATCCAGCTCGCAGGGTGGATGGGTCACGCGCGCAGGCCGTGGGTGGATGGCGAGATCGGAGGCGTATCAGATCGCAGCTTCCTTTGGATACACACCTTGTATTAATTAGATGTAGCTGACAAGAAACAAATCAAGGGTCTCCGGCTCGAGCTTCCGCCGTTCTGCAGCGATAAGCAATAAAGCTCTGTATGGAGGAGAGGAGGTGAGAGGCTGAGAAGTGGCACAAGAGTAGAGAGAAGAGGAAAAGATGGTCTGAACAGCAGGTGCAGGGGAAGAAAAAGGATGGCCGCATGTGATTGCAACGAGATTACCTCCCTCCAAGGGGTTGCATGGTCGGATAGTTTCAGGGTCAAAGCTCGCCAGAGTCCGATGCGCCAGGAGCGACAGGCGAAATTTGCCAGCCCTTGAGCAAGACACCGCCAGCAAACACCTAGCAAATCTGAACACAACTGCCTTTGATTTGCTTTGAATTTGGTCTATCCCGGATAGATTGACTCGTGCGGCGCCCGTTTCAGCGTCCTAACCGCTCGGCCGCAACCTCGACCAAGAACAGAATCAACGGCTTCTCTTCGACATGCTGCAAATAGATTGTTGTGTGCATCTACAGCTGCCGACTGTCGCAACACAGAGGCCAGCCTTCCCCTGCTTCGCAAGCGCACATGATGCGCTTCCCAGCCCTCGAGCATGCCATGCGCAACCCAAAACTTCCATGTGCAGAGAGACGTCCAGGCCGGTGGTGTGTTCCCACCGTCTCATGACAAGGTCGAGTCAGATACACATACCGCCATTCAAGTCTTGACTGGTTCTGCCGATCACCACTGTACTTCCACTCTCCGTTTGACAAGGCGTTACGCCTTGCCGCAGAATCTCAAACAATAAACACATCACTATTTTTTTTCACTTAACTTTTTTCCCTGCAGCTGCAACACAGCCGTTGTGAAACACGATGCCTGACGAACTATGGAGACCGGAGCGCTTAACAGGAGCTTTTGGTGACCATAGTTTTCCTCCACTGTCTTTCTCGACAACACCAGATTCGATCTCCTCGACTCCATCTTTCTGATTGTTGTTTGGCCTAAACAGAAACACGTCATTTCCCTTGATGGCAGATCTTCAGACTCGTTTTCCCTCCCGCACACCAAAGCTCGAGATGCCCCACTTGGTGTCCGCAGCTGGTGTTACCCGCACGCAGGGTTCGAGCACAAGGCAGAGAGACCGAACCTCCCAACCTCCAGAAGCCAAGCCTCCTGGGTAGGATGCTTAATTTACCACCAAGTTCACCGAGCGGCGCATCCATGGCTCTACTCAAGAGGCTTGTCAACTGTTGATGCTCTGAACGCCGAGATCAGAGAAGAAGCATGCAAGAAGAACAGCGGTGACTGCACGACCAGAGTGTGAAGAAACGTCCTTGCTCGTAACCTTCTAGCCTACCGGATTTTTTCCAACATCACCACACACCATTACACCCTTTCTCACCGACACTTCACTACCTTTCCTAATTCTCCCGTTCTTTTCTACACACAACGCCAACGATGATCGGAGAGAAAAAAAATCAGAAGTGATCCTTCCCAAATCTTAAAGGAGATCACGAACTCGGTGGCTTTCAACTACTGAGACACAATTACGGGAAACAAGAAAAGCCTGGCTGCAGACAAGCTATTAGCCCCCTACCTTCAAGAGGGCTAAATTTACCTAACCACCAAACCTCGATGACTATCAAAACTTCCCATGAGTCCACGACAGAACGAGGGCTAGTTAGTTAGATTCACTACTAACCATTGGCTACTCCCAAGCCGTCCAGACTTTTTTGCAACACACAAGAACCGTCGATCTGCATGCGTGTCTGCCATGTCTTAATGTAATACCTGAAACATGACACCGCATCGCTGCTCAACGCTTGGGTGTACAGCTTACAAGAGAGCGATGAGCCGACCGACCAGTATCGAGTAGGATGCACACACGCCGAATAGCCGACAGCGGCGTGTCTTGTACTTCTTGAAGCACATTTTCGCTTGTCTTCTTGAATGCACAACAGCTATGTCGTGTCACCAACAGGATTTTCAAAGATGAAGGACTGTTGGATTGCGATCTCAGGTGTTGCGCTCTCATCCCAAAATTTTCAAGTCACTCATGTCAGCCGTCTGACCCTGGTCTTGTCTACAACCTTGAATATATTCACAAAATTCTTTACGTATACCTCTCAAACTAACCGAGTGAGTACGCTGGCACTAGAGGAATCCAAATGTCACAAGACAGAAGTATTTTACCCGAATTGGCTGTCTTGAGTATTGTTCCAGGAAGTCTTCGACATCGTGCTGGAAAGAACCAGAGCCCACAACATGGTCAATCACTGAAGTGTGACAACACATCAGAAGCACTCTACAATAATCACAGGTAAGCTCTTCTGAACATCTGTCATCGTCTATCTGTCGAAATCGCATGCAGTAACTTGTGAGCTGTGGAGATATTACGTGCTTTCGAGGTTTGCACACGGAACCAGCGGCCACAGAAGAAAATGCGACGCTTGACACGCTCTCTTGAACTAGCCCCATCAAAATTCAGATGCAAGGCCGCAAAGACAATGGCGGAGACCGACAAGGTGTTGGTAGTTTTCAAAAGCAGTGAACTAACTCACATACATCCAACGACTCGTACTCCGACAATGTCTGCTGGAAGTGGTGCTATACAGCTATGATCCTCACAGCAAAAACTCTTTACTACAAAGATTTATATACATAAGAAAAAGTATAGGGTAAGAGAAAAGTAAAAACGCCACGCTTGCGCAGATCAAATAGAGAGAGACAAACAATTGATCAAAGAAAAGGGTCGCCCTCATTTCCTCTATGCTCAACTCCGAGAATATCGTGACTAGAATGATTTTGCATTTTGCCGCATGGTGAAAAGAGATACTTGGTCATCGCTTGACCATCCATTCACCTAGTGAAATGCCGCATCATACCAAATACACATACAAAGAAAGATATCCACCGATGCCATCTCCCCGATAGACTGCATGCAAATGATAGGAATACTCCAGAGGTAAAAGATCGCCAGCTCAAGGATGTGGGTAGCGATTAACTGGCGGTGATGAGAACGTATCTGCAGATGCAATGTTAGTGACATGATTTTCCTCCAGCAAGCAAGAGCAAAAAACTTACGAAGTAATAGCATTCATCCTCTCCGCACTCAACTTCATACCCACCTTCAACATCTCCTTGGCGACCTCTGGCTCCTTGTCTTGCATCCTCTCCCAAGCCTCCAGAGTCAACAACCAAGCCACACAATCCATCTCCGCCATGACTGTGCTCGTTCTTGCTGTTTCGGAGAAAAATGGCAATTCTCCACAGGTGGTGCCGCTGACAATGCTTTCGTGGTAACTTCCTTGGTCTAGATCATATTCTGCGCGAAGGATACCACTCTGAAGCAGGTAAAAGCCATCAGGTTTGTCACCGCGTGTGTAAAGAATTTTGCCTGCCGGGTAGCTGCGAGGTTCAAAGTATGTAACGGCACGGAACCAGAAATCTTCATTCTTGGTGGTGAGGCCTTGGAAAGATTGAAGGATCAATGGCAGAGGTTGCTTGAAGTGTTTCCAGCGGTTGCTGTCGCCGTTGGGTCCGCGGTTGGATTCCAGAGTTGTGGTGGCGGCTTGGTGGAGGAAGTTTCGTCGTGGCGATCCTACATTCATGTCGGCTGATGCGGGTGTTTGGATGGTTAGAGATGAGGGAATGTCGATGTTTTCGGCAGAAGCTTCTTTCTGCTGATTGAGTGATTCGATGCGTTGCTTGTCGGACAGAATGACAAGCATCTCATTCTCACAGGCCTCGAGTGCGCCGTTGAGATCTTCAAAGACCTTTGGTGGTGGGATAGTAGAGTCCTCTACCGGGTCTTCGAAGAGACCGACCATCTGAAGACTCTTACCAATCTCACCTTCAAGACTGACAGCAGCAAGAGCGAGTGTCACATCGCGACGGTGTAGGATGCGGTTCATACGGTTAAAGGCTTCGGCTGCTGAGAAGTCGATGCCAGCCACGTGTGAGAAGTCCAAGATGAGGTAGCGGATTGGTTCGGCGGCGAAAGCTTCTGCTTCTATCAGAGCTCTGACCTTCTTCTCAACCTTGACGATACTGCCAAAGAAGAGATAGCCACCCAATTTTACCACTCGGATCTGGGGACCAACCTTGTGAAGATATTCACGCTGACGAGGATGGCGACGCACAGTGGATTCAGCTACGGCACCAGAAAACTCGGCGCGGATCACGGTCTTGCGCGAAGTCTGCACAACGTACACTAGACAAGCAAGGCCAATGCCGACAGCAATACCGACAACGAAGTCGTATGCACCCATGACCAAGGAGATGATGACAATGGTGGCATACTCCAGGCGATGCAGTCTTCCATAAGTGGCCCAGATGGCTTCTTGTGCGAGATCAATACCAAGCATGTAGATCAAAGTGCCGACGACCATGACCGGCACATAACCGATGACGACTGGTCCGGCGACGAGGAGACCAAAGGTGGCGAGAGTCAGCATGTAGCCAGCGAGACGGCTGTTGCCTCCAGTTTCAATGAAGAGCACGCTGTTGACGAAAGCCAAGTAGTTCTGGATACTACCGACACAACCAGAAAGTGTGTTGGAGATACCGTGCATGATGAGTTCTCTGTTAACGCTGACATTGTCTTCTTGGACAACGATGGCCAAGTTGGGCACGTTGATGGGTACGTGCAAGATACCAAAGAAGGTGAGGGCAAATTGGGTAGGCACAGTCATCCAGATAGCACTCCAGTCCACGAGATGGAATTTATAGTGACTGTAGAAGTTGTAGAATGGCAGACCGGCCTGTGGAGCATCGAAGACCCATCCTTTGTGGCGCAGAGTTTCCATTCCAAGGTTGGGGACTGCAGCGACAACAATGTAAAAGATAGCGGTGATAGCAATGTAGTATGCAGGGACAAGCCATGGTCGGTCGTAGTAATGCTTGACTGTCAGCAACAGAATGGCCAAGAAGAGAGGAGGCAGCCAAAGCACGATGGTGTCTGCTTGGAAGAGCTTGTGGAGAACAGCTCCGGTGAACTCGAGATTTCCATCCAATCTTGCCGATACCTCGATACCGGTGACGAACAGGAAGATGCCAACACCGCCGATGCAGCCGGTGAGAATGCTGTGGGGGAAGAAGTTGACAAGCGTGCCCAATTTGGCAGCGCCCAGACCGAGGAATACCAGACCAGTCAAGATTGAGCTCATGGCGTAAGAAGTAATGACGGTGGCTCTCAAAGCATCAGGATTGCCAGTGCCCATACGCGACATGATCATGTAGGTCATCTTGTGGAAGAAGGGCACGACTTCGATCATCTCGGAGCCGACACCTCCACTGAAGATGCTGCCGCTGGAGTATGTCAGCTGTGCAGTAATGCAACTGACGTAGAACATTGAGACACCATCAGCTCCCATGCTTGAGAAGACTTCCTCGCCGAGAGGGAAAAGAATAATACCGTAGGACAGAGCGTCGAGGAGGTTCAAGAGAACACCGAGGAAAACCGAGGGCATGACCAAGGCCGGTTTAACAACGACCGTCTTGAAGACTTGCTGCATGTCCCACTCTTTGGGGTGCGTCGCGACATGATAGCCGTCAACCGCCACCTTCCGTAGAGAAGGATAAGCGTGCTGTAGCGTTTGCCAGGACTTGACGCGCGGCAGTCGTTGGCCCTCGACATCCTCATCGTCTTCGTCATCTTGAGCACCGTCCAGAGTCTTGTAAGCCGAGGCTCGTCTCGAAGCTCTTCTTCCAAACAGGGGTGTTTCCTCGGTCGCATCTTCTTCACCAGCCTCACTGATGACCAGGCTCGGCACATCGCTATAAGGACGAGGACGAGGGCGGAGTTGGCCGCTCTGACGGTCACCATCTTGCCATAGCATCTCGGGAAGGTTGGAAGAGGAGACTTCGGGCGAAACGGGCTCAGATTGTTCTTGGATTACCTCTGGCCGTGTTTGTCCCTTCTGCAGTCTTTCATCGTCACCCAAAGATCTTTCCGAATCAACGCTCTTTCTTTGATGAGCCAGCTCCAGAGATTGTCTCGGAGATGAAGCAGAGTCGAAGCTTCTACGGTTGGCTGAGTCCTGCGAGAAGCGATTCGGTTGCTGAGAGGGTCGCTGAGTGTCTGAGTCGCCTAGGAAAGATGAAGAGAGCTCGGCAGTCTGCTCGCGCACGCCCGACGAAGAATAGTGGAGAGGCTCTGGTAATTGGCGCATTAGTCGAGGCTTGACGGGCTTGCGAGTAGATAGAGTTTACCTTGGAAGCCGTGGGCAGCATGATGAATGTAGGACCTGCTGGGCGTCTTGTACGAGGATGAGAGACCCGAGGCCGAAGTAATAGAGCGGGCCCTCGACGTGTGGCCAGTGGAGCGCGGAGGGGTATCCTGCGCTTCCGTGTCGTCCTGCTGGAGCTCGTCATTGGAAAAAGGGAGACGCTGCTGATGCGACGAGGCATCCGACGGCGTCCGACCGCGCTTGAACAATCGCGACATGGTGCGACCGAAAGACCAGGACTTTCTTGTTGACGGGATTCGCGGCTATTCGAGGGATTCGCGATTGGCAATGCTCAATCGAATTGGACCAAGGGACGTGGGCTGACAAGACAAGACGGAGGCTGACCCTGAAAGCCAACTTTCCACTATTTCAAGTCTGCATGAAGAGGAGGCCAGTGGGGATGCAAAAACGCAGTGACTTCGCTGCTATTAAAAAGTGACAGGAATCAATTAGTTGAGGACTTGGTCGAGATAACACCAGCTGGGAGGCCGCATCCACATCACAAGCAAAAAACGTCTGGCCCCCGTCAAAACCCTGCTCCACTTTTGCCCAAACATTAAATCCGATTCTCAATAAACCCTGTGTCAATCGACATTACTCTAGACCGTTTCTTCTTGCAAACATGCCTCCATGTCGTCTGTCTCTATATCAATTGATCTCAATCCTCTATTGAAACGCTGCTGGACAAATTCCTGTCGGTAGGCTTCAAGGATCGACGTCATATTGCGCTTGTCAGCCCTCATCGCGGATTTACGAACCGCATGAGCCGGGGGATGCAATATCAGGCGCATGGCCTTTTCTTATAGAGCGCATGTCGCTATCCTCAAGCACTATTAGATGCTCTAGCAATTCCGGCCATGAAAATGCATGAAAGCCTTGCGATGCCAAGTATTTCCCAGCGGGAAAGGATCGAATTTGGTTTCTCACTGGGCCCTTCAGTATCCAAAGTCTTCTTGTAAATTTCACAGCCGAGTTTCCACTGACATCGGCTGTTGGAGAGGTAAGCATCGTGCATGCCGCTCCATAAAAATCATCATGTGCTAGGTGCCATCTCCCATGAGTCGGCCGCAAACCTCCCCACACATCCTGAATCGTGGTAGCCGTCCATCCGCTTGATTCTTGACCTGTCCAGCTGTCGTGCAGGTAATTCAACTTGGAGAGCACGATTTGGCCTGACCGGTCTGATGCCATCCTCTTGTGCAATCTCATCATGGCGCTTGCTTTCTTGACTGTATCCCCAATGTCTGCAAACTCTGCAAGACATCAGAGCCTGCACCTTATAGCACCTGGTAGGTGCATGCTCTCTCAGGCGAAATTGATTGGTTGGTGGGGTACTCGTCCTTTTGGTGAGGTCGCTTTTGTGACCGCCTGTGAGTAAGACACGCGTATCAGTCATCTAGGGCTCATAGATGGAGCCGAATCAATCAACTGCCATGTGCCATGTAACTGGCACTGGTCGTCAAGTCGCGACATGTTAGAAGATTGGGTAGCATGACTGTACAGCATGGTTGCAACGAGGCATATCCTTGGTGGTACGATGTCTGGCCCTGACATGGTTCAGGGGACTGAACAGGTCGGCCGTGCAAGGCAGCAAGGCTCAACTGAGCTTCTGCAGATAGCCCTGCTGGATCAAACGCTCCACGTCTCCTTGACGGACGTAGAACTGACTGTTCTTGGTCAAGTTGATAGCGCTGGTAAAGTGTGAGCAGACGGCAAGTTCTAGATGGGCAAGTCGACTCACCCGTATTCTGTCTGAATCTCGCCGGCGTCCTTCAGAACGCGGACATCGATGAAGAGGTCGGTCGGCGGCTCCAAGCTCCCAGTCAGATCAATGTCGGTCCACTGGCCCTTGTACGCAGCCAAGAGGTCGCTGTAAAGACGGACGTATTCCTCCTCTTCTGGACTAAGACTGCTCTTGCTGTCCTCCGCATTCATGGCTTGCGGCTCTCCTGTTGTCTGGTCATTCCCAAGGATATCAACGCCTCTCCAGCACATGTCTTCTAGCTTGTCTGTCCGCACTCGGTGGTAGGCCAAGAGGCAGCGCTTATTGCGACGCATGCTGAGGTGATTGACGAGGAGAGCGCATGCCGTGGCAGGTTCCTGAGAAGGATTGAAGGAACCGCTGAAGGGTTCAAGGAGGGAGTTGACTTCGCGGTTGAGCTCACGGACTTCGCGTACTACGGTGCGAACAAGTTCGGTCTGGTAGGCAGGGAGCTGGGGCAGTGCCTGTGTTCGCTTCGCATGTTGCACCTAGATTTGAATATTAGTCAATTGGAAGGGAACCATCATCATGATAGCATACCAGCTTGTTGCCGACATCCCCGTACATTGTTGCGTTGAGACAGGAATTTGTTTGGTCAAGCTTTCGAGAGACGCGACGAAGCGTGTTGATGACCACTTGAGTTCGCGAACCCGAGGCCAAGTCCCACCGCGTCGAACTGGAAAGTCCAACGAATACTTCTTTTTCATAACCAAATGACTATCACCAAATCGCCAATTCAAATCAAACAATTCATCGAGAACGGACAAGACAAAAGAGCTTTCGGACTGTCAACGTTGCATTTTATTGACGCTATGTTCTTTCCAAAATATGGACTTCATTATGTCGAACCACATCAACTCTCCCTTCTGTACTCTGCAGAACCATATCAAAACTGAAACCTCAGAAAGCCTTCCATGCAAGGCCGCGAGACCATATTCTCTATCGCATCCGGGTCCGATCCTTCTTCCTGAACACCCCTGATGATGGGCCAATACGTCTTGATGGTTTCTTCGTCCGATGCCTGATCTATCGCTCAAGGAACTGCTCATACGGTGAATTTTCTAGCATCCCTCCCAATTGCGGGTCTACAAGAAATGCATCACTTACTGTGCCCTCAGCCGTTCCTTGACCACCACTCATATCAAAGCCGCCATTCATGGCCTCATGGAAGTTGGTGTCGAGGCCTGAAAGCTCGTTGCCAAGGTTGTAGTTCGTGTGGTCAGGATGCAGCAATAAGCCGTTGTGGTCGACGTAATTGCCTCCATGCTGGGGTTGTTGGTACGACGAAACTGGTGTTGGTCCCCTGGACTGCAACAACTCATGATGCTGGCCACCAGGCATCGACACCAGGGCGCCATTCGATCCCATCGATGCCGGCGTTGCGTTCATTGCCATCCGATGGTCGTGCATCTGTTGGCTTCCGTTTCCTTGTTGGTACAATTGATATTGCCCGTGGCCATTGGCGACTGCGTGTGAGTATGGGTCGGTGTGGTACATCTGTGCCTGACTGACGGCATATGGCATTGCCTGTTGATACTGACCATAGCCTCTTCCAGGATCCGGGAGCTGGTACTTTGGATCCGCGTATGAATAGTTGTCTGCATAAGGATGCGTCATTCTCGGAGGCTGCTTCACTTGTCTGACTCGCCTTCCTGGGTTGTACTCGCCGTCTGGATCGCCTTCCGAATCGCTGAGGTTGTGATATGCGCTCTCAGGGTAATCCAGGATACGTTTGGGGTTCTTCTTCTTGGGCATGGCCTTTGCTGGAGAGAACTTGTATTCTGGGAAGGCTCTTTGGTGGTTCTCTCTTTCTATCGTCGCCAACTTGTCATAGTAGTCCTTGACTTCTTTGGGCTCTAGCTGTTTCCAGCTTTGGCCAGTGACTTTCGACACGATCTGGTGGTTGTTCTGGTCGCACCATTTCTTGGTACGCTCAGCATATGCGGATCGATACAGCATGAACCTGTTCATAGGTCTTGCGATCTTGTTCGCCTTTACCACTTCCGCGCGCCTATCTTCAATCGATCGGTTGGCCCATGCTTCCATATCTCTCAACGGTGTCTCTGAGTCCTTCGTCAGGATGCTGAGCGGTGCCTGGAGTATGACTTCTGCCCCTTGAGCCTTCTTGGTTCGGTTCTTTCGGACTCCGGCAATGTGAGGACTGCTGGCTGCAGGCGTAGACCGCGTTGAGCTCATTGGCGAGTCCATGGGCTTTGTCGTTCGCCCACTGCGCGTCTTTCTGCTGCCATCGCTTCCAGTATTGGGGTGAGAGAGTGGAGTGCCGACACCGACGTCTTGGTAACCGTGGTTGGCGTTGTCGTATGGACCTAGACCGCTACCGTCTGGCCATGTTGAATTGTCCTTGTCAGGGTCAGCATCTGCTTGCAATATCTCTCCAAAGAACACGTACGAATGAGAAGTTATCATAGGCCTGTCCGTCATTGTAGTTCTCAATGTAGGACAGCTCGTGCTGGTTGTCGGAGGGTGGGCCGTATTGACCTGACTGGGTAATCCGGTTGGATGACATTGCGACTTTCACTATCGCTATCGGATTGAAGCAGGAACTGGAGTTGCTTTTGCTGTTTCAGACGTTTGCTCAATCTCTTTGATCGCACTGAATGTCGGCTTTGTCCAGCGTATTGAGACGGCTGCTCTGTGGCGACGAATAAAGCAGAAGACAGCAGAGAGATTGTGTCGCCTCTGGGAGTTGCTGGATATGATCTTGGACGGCTACAGGCTAAGTCACCAGCCTCGTACCAATCGGTCTCGGATAAAGGTCGAAAGGCCTCCGAGTCAGTGTCACTTTGGGGCACAAAAAGCAAGATAGTATGCGTCTTCGTTGGCCAAACACTCGCAAGCTATGACATGGTAAGCAAAGCTCTCGTGCCGTCAGAAGAATAGGCAGGGGCTGTTTTTGCCAGCATACACCACGTGCGTGAATCAAGGGCAGATGCAACTAACCTTGTCTCTTCCTGCAAACTTGCTTCTCGGATTGCGATGTTTTGACCAAACACTGTGATTGTGGCTGTTGTTGAATGACAAGCTAGGCTTTGAACTATTGCTTTGCTTGTGTTTCTATGCAGGTGATCTTTGACGTTTGTTGTGTTAGACAAAGTGATTTACAACCGGGGATGGACTTCCACAAGTCGGAATATTTGCCAAAGGAATAACGAAACAAGCAGAAAGACGAGGGTTTCCCAGGTTCTTTGTCGGTATCGTCAAAGGTATTTGTACAGACTTTGCTCCTGGATATGAACAAGTGCCGATTGCGAACTTGTCGTTCTGCAAATGGGTGAACTACTGAAGCCGGACAGGCATCACCGCATCCGTATAGGGAGCTGAAGCCTGGACTCTCTGACGCTCTTCGATCTGCCCGTTCTGGGCCAAGCTCTTCTCACTGGACACTGATTGCTGTTTTCGAAAGTCTACTCGGCTACTGTATTCTTCCTGGGCTCTCGAGGCTACGACAGCGGGAAAAAGCTCGTCGATTGTGTCTTCTACAAATCTGAGAGACTGCTCGGGCGAACCCTCGTTTCAGTCGGTCCCAACTTTGATTGCATCTGGCGGCGCCACTACCTTAACTGTGGGATTGGCTGCCTTCCCGAGAACTAACCCGCCCACCGGTCCAGTCGGCGAGCCCCAGATCTGCAGGACCCACTGGTTTGCAGAAAGACAAGATGACCTGCATCATAAAACAAGAGGGATCGTAGCGTGCTAACCTCACTCACCCCACGAGCGAATCGCTGTCATCCTGCATGTGCTGTTTACGCTCGGTACCTGCTGCTGAATCGCTGTCCAATCATTACATTGCTCAGCGGAGGCCGCCGGACCCGGCCAACACCTTCAACATTCTTCAAGTATCGGTTATGCAACTTCAGCCGAAAGGGGGCTCTTCGATGAGCATGAGATCAGAAGCCCAAGCACCACCCAAAGCTGAGATTTGAAGCGAGGTTAGAATGTCTCCCGCTTGTTCGCTTTCTTATTCAAATAGGCATCGCGACGCCGCATGGTCAGGATGAACACCACATGTGGTCCTGGTAGATGTGGTCACCCGCTCGGCGGCAGGGCGGTCCGCACACGCATAGGGCTATGGAGAGACACATCGTTTGGTCCTGATTCTCGTGACTGTGGAGATTTAGGTAGGCATGCAGCTATGCGCGTCCCAGCACACACAGGCATCCGATCCACCACCGCGGTTGTTGGGCATTCGTTGGTCATTTCTACTAGGAGCAGCAGTGGCAGCAGCAACGAGCACACGACCCATCGTCCTCCGGCCGTAATGCATTACAAGATTCGGTCAGAAAAACTACACTTTCTTTACACTAACAAAATCAGGCAATTTCTCACTACTGCAAACGGTAAATTGCTGGACTTGGATCTCTGATGCGTCGAAACAGAACAGCAGTGCGGGAAAGGCTCATGTTGGTGGGTGGCTTCTATTGTCTCAGCAGGAATGCACGCTAGACTGGCTTCGTGGAGGTGAGTTGTTTGTGTAACCACACCTTTTACCGATTCCCTGATCTGGGGTTGGCTGCAGCTACCCGAGTGGGAGCACGAGCGCAAGGTTTTTGCGTTTGTGCAAGGCACCATGCCGCCGCGCGCGCCGTCTCCACGATCCGTTCCTTCTGGGTTTCCGCCGTCACAATTGTCCATCGCACGTTGATGTTGCTAAAAGTGATGGGCACGAGGTTTGTTTCATCAAGCGCTGGTCTGGGGATTTGAGTTGAGTTTCTGAACGGTGACTGGGTTTGCCTCGAACCTTGATCCTCGGCACCTCCGCTGCGTTGGGTCATCACCTTCAGAGACATGTGTGAATCTTGTGTTGACCTCTGCCCGACTGCAGGTAGGATATGCAGAGCTGTCTGTCAATCTGTTGATGGTTGATGATCTCGCTGATCAATTTGCATGAGACACCGAGTTCAGCAGGATTGAAGGCGACTATAGAGATATGATCTGGACGATGCGATATTGATGCAGCTGTTGGTTTGTTATGATTCAGAAACCCGCCAGGTGTTTTGGTATCTATAGCAACTCAACGGACCAATGAGTAAATGCTCGGGGCTGGCGGAAGGCCAAGAAGCAATATGCTTGTTGCATACGGGTATCATGTAATTAGCTATGTAGCGAGTTAAGAAATATAGCACGGCCCCGTCCTGGAGGAGGCGACATGTATTGGCTCAGTAGCAAAAGAAGGGGTCATCCGAAGCGTTCACATGCTCTGTCTGTTGAGCATCTTGTTGGGCAACAGCGCAGTCGTAACAACGCAACCCAGAGTAATACCACCAGCAAGATACAAGACCTTGGCGTAGTCGTCGGCCGTCGGTTTTGAAGTCGAGGGTAGGAGGTGCTGAGCAATTTGCGGAGCAACAATACCAAAAAGACGGCCCCAGAATGCAGCGATGCCGCAAGCAGTCCCACGAATTGCGGTAGGAAACTGGTTTGAGAAAGAAACGACATCAGCACACTTCTTGAAAGCTTCAAAACTCAAATGTGTCTCTGGTGTTCATGCACTCGCAAACGTACCTGCTCGGGAGTCCAGCCATAGAGAATAGCATTGAACATGCTTTGGAAGAAATATTCCATAACTGTGAAGCTGTCAGCAAAAAGGGTTTCAAAACATCGTTAGCAGGGAACAAACCGTTGAGTCCGATGTTGGAGGCGTTGCTGTTGGCGGCGCTGAAGAGGAAGATGCTGATGCCCATAAGTGCAGACGATATGACCATCGACCATTTACGACCAATGGCAGGAACTTTGTACATGGCACCGCCTAAGAGGACACCGACAATGCCGGGAAGATAGATGTAGACATACGAGCGGTATGTGTGCTTCAAGTCTCGGTTGATCACAACGTTCTTTGCGGCGATGATACTGGGAAGGTAGCCTCCGGCTAGAGTGAAGCCCCAAAAATCCATGATGTCTGTCAATCGTTAGTGTGAAGCTGATCATACAACAAGAAAGCGACTTACAAGTCAACCAGACGAGAATGGTCAGGTAGGTTGCCGATTTGGAAGAGAAGAGCATGCCATAGCGGGAGAACTCGAGTTTGAATTTGCCCCAGAACGACAAAGTTTCCTGCTCGTCTCCAGCACCAAGCAATCCAGCAGCACTGTGATCGGCAGAGTCGACGCGCAACGAACTGAAGTCCTCGATTGTGAGTGAGGATTGGCGCTTGTTGAACTTGGCAATTTTTTGCAGCACTTCGATCGCCTTCTGATCTTTGCCTCTGTAGACCAAGAACTTGGGGGACTCCTGGAAGTTGAAAACAACGAAGCGCAGGAAGAAGATGGAAAGCGTTATGGCGCCCAGTGTGAACATCAGGTAGCGCCATCCCATGTTACTTGCCCTCGTACAACAGGGTGTTCCGGTTGGGACATCTCTGCACGATGGTGCAGGATTTGGTTCGACGAAGTTGGGCGAGCAGCTGTAGGGAGGGATGAAGCCGTATGCGATGACGCTGCAGATAACCACGCCGATGGGCTGGAACAAGGAGAGTAAGACCAGCAGGAAGCGGCGATTTTGTGGGAGGAACTCGAGGCATATGGTTGTGTCGATTGGAATGTTGCCTCCAATACCAAACCCACAGAAGGCGGTGACGACAAGGAAAGATGTGTACGAATCACATGCACCAAGGCCGAGTCCAAAGGCGGCTGAGATCAAGCAGGTCAAGTTGAACGCCCACCGGCGGCCTACATGTGTGTTAGTATGTACCGTCTCCAGATCAAGAGACTAGGCACGATTTCATGGCCAGAGCACCAACCAATTATGTCGACAAGCACACCCCAGGTAAAGGCGCCAGCGGTAAGTCCTGCGGAAAAGGCGGTTGAGATGTTTCCAGACTGATTAGCTATTCAGAAATGTTTAGTGCTCAAGACCCCAATATTCAACAACTTGGAACACGCACCAGGGATTCCCAGCTCTTGCTGCAATGGGCGCAGCACAAGGCCAAATGCTTGCGCCCAGAGTAGATCGATGAAGTAGCCAAAGCCGCAAAGAAGCCAGATGCTCCATTGATAGCGACCCATGCCATTTGAGTCCATTTCTCTGTTGATGAGAACGCATTTTTGTTCGTATAATGAGAGTCCTTGAAGCTCATCGTCGGTGACCGAGGGCGATATCGATGGGATCAGAACGGGCTCATCGAGCGAGTCCTTGATTGTTGCCATTGTGTGCTCAGGTGCGGTAAAGTTGTGTCGCGGGGATGAGCAAGTCGCGGAGATGTTTGAACAACGACGAAGACGAAAGCGCCAGAATAAGAAGGCGCGACTGCCGGTTATCTTTTGACTTGTCGACCGAACGAAAAATTCACCCGCCTGTTCAAGATTGCTTGCTGGCCATACGTCCCCTATCTATGTCAATTCACTTTCCAGCTGCGGATAGTTGAAGCTTTTATTGCTTTCTAGAAGGCAGTGAGAACATGTCTTGTACTGTCGTCGTCGTTGCGACCATCATATGAACTCTTCGCATACCTACTCGTACACCAAGCGTGTTAACCACGCCCTTCCGTCTTTCTACTGCTCATTGACTTGGCACGCGGCAATGCATATCGTTTACTTGGAACTTCACAAGAATGGAAGCAGAGAACGAGGACTGACGACATCATTGAACGGATCGTCATCCAAATGGTTTGGCAAGAATCCCCACAAATCCATCTCGATTGTGATTGGCTTTTGCAGACGTAGCTTTATCTATCGTGCGAGGGGTGTAGATCTCTGATTCCATCCTCGATCATGGCAACATTGACTGGCCTCGTAAGCGGAAGACGAATCAGATAATCATGTAGTATCATCGGCGGTAACCGAGCACGGAGGCACAAAAGCATCAATACATCAACGAGCCATATCAACAGCGACGATAGACACCAAATGTGTAGACACGAAAACAGCATATCATATTCCCATCCTCCTGGGCCTTTGCCCATTGACTCCAATACGCCTGTATATGCCGAGCTGCCCATCGCTTTTGACACCTTATAGTCTTGCTTGCCAGACCGAACACAAAGCAGGCGATAGAAAAGGCAAAGAAGATAAAATAGGGATCGCTCAGATCTCCATGGCAGAAGAGGCCGCAGTATCACTAGCGCCGTCCAGGACACCCAGAAGGCGAGCATATGGAACAGTGATGCGTTGCAGATCGCGATGCTTGCCTATGATGTTTGTTAGTCACAATTGATCTGAACCAAGAAGTGTGAGAGCAACTTACCCAGAATGAGAACGACCTCCTTGAGCAGCTCCTCTCGAGGCCAGCCAACGAGGTCTCCTTCCTCAGCCATCCAGCCTTGTCCTTTCTCCTCATCAGGTTTCTCATCTTCGTCCTCGAAGACGCTGCCCATAAGTGAGCGCAAGAGCTCCTCAACCTTGGCTTTTGAGCCTTCGGCACCAATGCGCTTGGCATACATGAGAAGGTACAGGTGGAACTCCTCACGCGCACCCAAGGTCATGGCTGCTGCGACACGATTTTCAAGATGTGCTACGCTCACGGCACTCTCAAACCCTTCGTACCCTTCGGCGACAAGTAGTGTCTTGACAAGTCTCTGCAGGAAGTAGGCTCGGCCTCGTAACAAAGACTGAGTGGTGGTGTTACGCTCTAGTAGGGGGATAATGCCAGCGGACAAGTTCTCGGGCTTGAGATCATCGTCAGCGGTGGAGGTACCATTCGTGCCCTTAGACGTAGGCTGTACTGTTGAGATGGAAGTATCTGCGGTATTCCAGTACTGGCTGCCGACCGCCCACCAAGGCTCCGATAGGCGCTGCCAGATGTACATGGCCTGTGAGTAGCTATAACCATCTCCATTAGACAGACCTACTACGATGCGTCCTTGTGAGTTGAGACGAGCAAACATGACAGCCGGTCCATTGGTGGTATGGCCTTGCTGGGCTGTCGCAGCAATATCGAGAACGGGTGCAAGAGACACGGGTGGATGCGGCGACGACAATGTCTTGATGTTCCAAACGTAGCACATTCCCACAGCATTTACGCACAATAACCACCATCCTCGGCAGTCCATAATGACAGGTTGTGCGTCAAGAATGAGAGCGTTGACCAGTCTGCGGCCTGCTGGTGTCCATACGTAGACTGATCCATCTTCACAGGCAGCTGCCCAGAAGTTATGATTTCCTGTGACCAGCAGGACGGCTCGGGGGAGGTAGTCTTGCCATATTGATTGGCCTCGTCGAGAGACTGTGAGACGTGTAGGGTCACGATCCTGAACTCTGCCTGTGCGTGCTGGACCGGAAGCATTACGAGCTTCGAAAACAACCGAAGACTCGTCGCCCGTATCCATCTGCTGTCCGTCGGCCTCCTGGGCGCTGTTCGTATCCAATGGGCGAACTATTGTTGTTCTGACCAGAGGTACTGCTAGTCTTACCTGGCTTGTAGTTAAGCTGGGGTTGACGATAGCCGGTCTTAGAGGTTCAGCAGTCTCGGTCGTGCTTTTTCCAACTGAGCTCGGTGGTACGAGTCCGGCAGCAGTGTTAATGACTACAGGTGTCGCGCCACTCTGTTGGACAGAGGCAATGCGCTTCTCGGCACGATGGTCGTCGTCTCCTTCAATCTCAGCAAACTTCCTCTTGTTACCGAGAAGCAACGAAGCAAGACCGCCTCTTGGTAAACCATCGAACGGTTTTGAGAGATCCAGAGTGGTCTGAGGTGCATCGTTACGGCTGGCTTGGGATACACTGGACATGAGCTGTGGCTTTGGTAGTGAAGACTCACCCACGCCAGCAGATGACGAGACGAGCAGGGGAGCGATGCGTTTCTTGCCGTCTTTTGTGATGGTGACACGCTGCTTCAGCTTGTCAATTTTGGCGACCTGCGGATCCGGAGGCGGCATTGGCTCCTTGGGTTCGGCAGTTTCTGTGCTACCATTTGTTGTGGCCTTTTCCGATGCCCCGTTAGTAGAAGGAGCAGCAGATTTCTCAGAAGAACCGTTCAAAGAAGGCACAGCAACAGTGCCATCGCCCATCAGTTCTCCCATGCGACCTTGGACACCCTTAAGCTCTCCAGCCTTACTGTTTTCCTCTAGTCTCAAGGCATCTGGACCTTCGACAACACCTACTCTTCTGCCAGCACCGAATCGCGCCAAGGCCTTGTCATTGTTGTTGACGGGGGCAGGATATCCGAGCTCCCCAGCAGCAAAGACGCAACAAGCAATGGTGCCGTCGAGACTGGTAAAGTAGACAGTTTCACCATCAGGTGACCAGGCGAGATCAGAGATGGGCTTAGCAGCAAGTTCTTGAGTGACGACAAAGGGACGAGGGGAGTTTGTGTTCCAAACACTGAGCGTCTTATCCTGACCGGCGCATGCAACAACGGTGACAGCTCCAGCAGCAAAGTTCTCCTGGGCGACAGTGTCGCTAGCGGGCGGTGGCGGTGTAGGGCAGAACAGACGTGGTGAAAAGGCGCACACTTCGACGGGGCCCTCGTGGCCAATTAGATTGACCTCACTTTCCCAGCTACCACGCGTGACTATTGCAACGGAGCTCACAGGACCGTTGACAGCGTTGGCAGCAGCGATGTGAGCACCATCAGGAGACCAAGAACATCTGCGGAAGTACGTAGTCAGAGGAGAGGTGGTGAAGGGAACTGAAACTGTGGCTTCGAGGACGAAATTGTTGACCTGGTCGTAGGTGGTAGCGTTCGGAGGGGGAGAAGTAAAACGGAAGATGCGAATGGTACGGTCGTCGCTGGCGGTAGCGAAGTATTTGTTTGCGGGATCGAAGGTGATGCCCTTGACGTGGCTCTGGTGTTGCGACAAAGTCTTGAGCTTTTCGAAAGTATGACCCGACCAGACGACGACCTTGGAGTCGAGGCCGACGGATACGAGGATGGAAGAATCGGCGGACCATCCCAGGTCCTGGACGTCGTTGTCGTGGCCGATCAGACGGCGGAAGATGCGCCAGTTCTCGACGGGGGGAGTCTCGTTTGAACCGAAAGTGGTATGGGTCGGAGGGTTGGGATCGAGGTTGTAGATGCACACAATCTTGTCGTCGGCGCCCGAGGCCAGGTATTTGCCGTTTCCAGAGAAGCGCACAGAGTGGATGGTGCCCGAGTGGTAGCTCATAGCGGCCAGCTGTTTGGGCTTATTGTACTCTGCGTTTGCGCCATTGCGAATCGCGTCCGTCGACCAAATGCGCACATGTCCATCTGTAGGGTGTTCTGTCTTAGCATGTCTGCTTCTCTTTCAACTGTCCAAGGGTCTAGCAAAGCGCACCTCCTCCTGCCGTGACCAAGCGGCTTCCGTCTGGCGAAACGTGACAGCTGTAAACCTCGAAATCCTTCTTGTCGCCTAGAGGGCCAGTCGTCAGTCGTCTTCATAGAGAGGTGATTGTGCAACAGCTGTGACGCACCTCCATGGGTTAACCAGATTGGTTTGGTGAAGCGCATTGCGACTGTTTATCGAAGTTGCATGCTCCAGCTTTCAAGGGCCGCGGGAAATAACTTCTGAACAGCTGCGCTCATGCGACGCGACTCGATTCGACCTTTGGAGTCCAAGCTAGAGAAAGTCTTGTTGCTTGGTGTTTCGAGGAAAGACAAGGTCCAATAATTCACATGCTCCGTCAACGTCTATCTGGTGCTTGGCGCATCGACAACTCGTGAGAGTGACCCTGTCCCCGGACGAGCTATATGCGGATCTCCAAATATGATGCAATTGCTGCGTCCAAGCATTGCTTTTGTTCTCGACCACTGACCTGACTTTGATACACCATCTTCTCCAATTTAACTCCAACTACAGATGCGAAGATTCAGTTCAATTGCTCGCACAATGTCTCAACGTGTAGGTCCTCTTTATTGCCCGTGTTCCACGGACTCAATACTGACCGACATACGTCACAGATCAGCTTTAAGGTCGAGGGAGAAGGTACACATATTTGAATTGTTTCGAAAATGACCGTCCATGTATTGACAATGTACAGTCCAGGGTGTCAACTTCAGAAGCTTCACCGTCAAGCAAGCAAAGTCTTTGGGCATCACCGGCTACGTCCAAAATGAATCTAATGGTAGCGTACGTGATGCTTGTGCAATGTCCCAGCATGACGATAACGCTGACTTCTATCAATAGGTCACTGGTGAGGCTCAGGGTGACAGCAGCGCTCTCAAAGAATTCCAACAACATCTGAACAAGGGTCCTTCTGCTGCTAGTGTTTCGAAGCTCGATGTCAACGACATCAAGACCAAGGAAGGCGAGAGCGACTTCACCCAATGATTATAACGACACTCAAACTGAAGACGCTTGTAACGAAGAGGAAATCGAAGACAGACTCGACCCCGAAGGCAGAACCCGAGATAAATCCAGAAAGCATTTACCTGATTTGCCAGTGTTCTCTACTGGCAAAGCACATTGTGTGTTGGCAACGTGGATTGTGTGGCAGCGTTCTCAGAAATTAATGCTATAACGATACATTCTGAGCGAAAGGGAGCATGAGGGGGCGAGCGGATTTGAGAATAGATATTCATGATGGATGAAGGATCACTTCGGTCTGTAACTTCTATTGGATATGAATCCTTCAAGCCTCGCATCAGCCGCCAGCCGTACCTAGGCATGTAGCAGCTTGTGGACTTCCCGTTGCCAACGTCGAATACCGACGCCTCACGTTCGCCGAACCTTCTCCATTCTCTACTCGAGTACGGAGTACAGCGAATATCGCCGTCATTGTGAAAACTCATCTTGAATACGACCGAGTGAAAGCCGCAGTGTATGACTGTTATTTGTTGACGAAGTGGTCATCTGCCATAAGAAACTGTCTGTCTTCCCGGGTGCTTCTCGTGCATCCCAAATCCCGACGGGTATTTTACGGCCTGGATCCTTTGTCGTGTTGCAAACACCGACTTGTTGTCGTCAGCTAGCCTCGACATGGTAATCGCTGCAATCCTAATCACTTGCTTTGCCGGTCAGAGTCGGGGTGCCTAACGGTGGCTCGGAGGGATGTTTAGGAGCTGAGCAAATATTCCCCCGACGGCGTTGGCCTGTCCAAATGCAGATAGACAGTGCTTACCATTTGTTTGCGACATATATATAAACCAGCGACATAGCTTGCCACCATAGACATTCAAATCGCATACAGATAAACGAACAATTACACAGATCGTACATCTTTTTTCAACACAACAACACAGGCTTGGACCTTGATACAAATCACAATGTACCGAACAAGGACCTTGACGACACCCAGGGGCGTCTGCACCTGCGCCAGAGCAGTGGTGAATGCTGGAGATTCAAAGGCCACGGTCTTCGTCATGGGCTACACACAACCGAGGAAGTTCAGCACGACAACTTCTCGAGCCTTGAAGCAATTCTTCCCGGCACCGGACGCTCCTAGCATCAGAACAACAGAAGCAGCATGGCCACACCCAATGTGAGCATTCGACCAATCGCAGTCAAAAGACGAGAACCAGGACTGACAACCACCACAGTTACACCAAAGAACAAATGGAATCGGTCGTAATCGCACACCGACAAGCCAAAACATGGTCGGACTGGACAGCACTCGCCGCAATCCGCACAATGCGATGGGGGTTGGATCTCGCGACCGGCTACAAGCATGACAAAGCCGTAGCCAGTGGAAAGAAGAGTGCCAAAAACGCCACCCAGAAACATGTCATGACGGCGAGAAAGTACATGATTCGTAATGTCTTCCTCGAGTCGGTGGCTGGTGTTCCTGGCATGGTTGCTGGCATGCTACGACACCTGCATTCGATGCGTCGTATGAAGAGAGACAATGGCTGGATTGAGACGTTGCTCGAGGAATCATACAACGAGAGAATGCATCTGCTTACCTTCCTCAAAATGGCAGAACCAGGACCATTCATGAAGTTCATGGTACTTGCAGCTCAGGGCGTCTTCTTCAACGCTATGTTCGTGGCCTACCTGGTTTCACCTCGCACGGCACATCGATTCGTCGGGTACCTGGAGGAAGAAGCAGTACTTACATACACACGTGAGATTGCAGACCTGGACGCTGGAAGACTGCCTGAGTGGGAGAACCTGGTGGCACCTGATATCGCCATCAAGTACTGGCACATGCCTGAAGGACACAGGACGATGCGCGACTTGTTGATGTACATGTAAGTTTGACCAGAAGACAGCTCAGACGCCGCAGAAAGCTGACAGGAAATCGTAGTCGCGCAGACGAGTCGAAGCACCGCGAGGTAAACCACACGTTGGGCAATCTTGACCAGAAGGAAGATCCAAACCCATTCGTGTCCGAGTACAAGGACAAGACAGTCCCACACCCCGGAAAGGGGCTTCAGCATCCCAAGCCGACAGGATGGGAGAGGGCCGAAGTCATGTAAAAAGGAGGAAAGAAGCAACAAACGACATCTCTGCTCTCGTGTGAATTTTAGATGAAGAAAGTCAGGCTTGACAGGCGTTCGGGATTGAGACAAGACAGGTGGGGGCGTTTCTGGCGATCCGGGTAGGCCATTTTTAGCGCGATTGACGAGCTCCACAGATTGGCGCATCTGTGTTGTATGTGATACAATGGCGACTTTGTTTTGTTAATGCCATGACGCAAAATTGAACACTCCTTTTGTATACCATTGGCGCCTGCAGTGAAGGAGATCTTGACGAATAGACAAGCACATCAAAGACGGCATCTGGTCTGGAGTTTGCTGGACAGCGGCAGTTGGATGATGAGGCAGCAGTAGCGACAGGAGCGCCCCCTAGACCTTGTACAGCTACCTAGGTACACGTACTCTACAACAATCAGCCGTCAAGATGAGCGAGTATTCGTCCGTCTTCAGCGTCAATGACAGGCTGGCCCTGATCGACACCGACACAGACGGCGAAAGCTTCGTGAGCGACCATTTCGACTCGCACAAGTACATCATGCCCGACCACTACTCGTACAGCCCAAACCACAGCTCCCAATCTACCCTCACCCCGCCCGATTCCTCCGACAGGAAGCCGGAGTATGATGCCTTCAGCGGTGCGAACGACTCCGAAGCTTACAACAGCGACACCGACTACACTTCACACCTCTCACGCACCGGCTCCGTCTCAAGCAGATACTCGATCTATTCCCTGTCGCGCGTTAGTTTCGCGAGTCAACTCGCCCAGCTCAGCTCCATCCAACTCCCCGATGCTACCTCTTTGTCCGCGCGCATATCATGCATGCCCACATCAGCCAGCGCCGCGAACGCTTTGAAAGACTCCTCGGAGCAGATAAGACGCTGGATCCGCAACGCCCACACTGTACTGCAAGGCTTGGACGCCGAAGATGATGTCGAGTGGGCCGCTGCTGGCGGTAGGGAAGGCTTGGATCATGTCGATCGTGCAATTGGCCGTTTCGACAAGGTCGTGAAGCTCTACGTACTCTCGGTTGAAGAGCTGCACCTACGACACGATATTGAGACACTGCCAAAAGACCAAGTTCAGGCAAATTCAGACGATATGGAAGTCGTTATCAAGGAATGGCAAAAGATCAAGGATTCACTGGCTGGCGTGAAAGAGCAGGTCGAAATTGCTATGGAATGGGAAGAATTGTCCAACTCGGTTGGTACTGGAATTGCTCACGAACTCGACGACCTGGCAGGCCTGGTGTTTGAGATGGAAGAGCAAAGGCATCAATCTGTTGCATCAAACGCCGACGCCGATCAGCACGTCGACATTGACGAGCTGAAACACATCGTCGACGAAAAGGCTGGCAATGGTAAAGCTGCTCCTAATCCTCGCCTGAGTTTACCGCCTCCTTTCTCGCCCACGTCAGCCCTACAGACCACTCCGACGATAGGCAACATGGAGGATAACCTGCTGGCCTTGTTCGCTCGTATGCAACCTCTCAGGGCCTCTTTGGACTTCTTGCCGATGCGCTTATCCGTGTTTCACTGCAGAGGTAATCCCGTATTTCCTACCGCTTGCCTCAACCTGGAGGCCAGGAGAGACTCCCTAGAGGCTCAATGGAAGAAGCTCGAGGCTGATGCAGAAGCCCTGCGTCGTGAACTGGGCGAGGATCGTTGGCTTTTGGTTTTCCGCAATGCTGGAAGACAGGCCCTCAAGATGTGTCAATCTGTTTCACGAAGCGTACAGAAGTTGGCGACAGCTCTCGATCGTGACGAGCAGCATACAGATACTGCTGCATTGGCAAAGAAGGTTGAGAGTTACGAAGCCAAGAAGAACCATTACGGCACCGCCATTGAGAGAGTACTCGCCATCATAGATCGAGGAGTGCTAGATCGACTGACCGTCAACGGCGAGATCCTGGGTCTTCAGTCTGACATGAAACGAAAATGGGCAGGTATCCAAGCAGAGATGCGTGAGCTGGACTCGCGTTTGCTAGGTGTAAATCTCGATATGAGGAATCAGCAATTGCGAGATTCTGTCAGTACTATCGTCTCGTCCGAGCATTCCATGACCAGTAGCTTCATGGACACACCTAGGAGTTCCTCGGCTTCGTCAGTCAGTCGACCCGACATGACACCCAGACGTTCTTCTCGCTTCACTCGTTTCGTCAGCGCAATTCCACGCATAACTCCACAATCGAAACCGAAGTCATCTTCGAGCCACAAAGCTTCACAGGGCATTGCAAGACCCGGCGGAGCAACATATATTCCATACACTCCCCCGCCTGCAACAGATCCTCTAATCCGTCAATTCAAGGCCCCGGAAAACAAGCCCAGATGGAACATTGCAACCAACACAAGAAGCACATCTCTCAATTCTCTTCATCCACCCACCTCAGAACCTGCCACGAATCGACGAGTCACTCTTCCCCACCGGCCAACGACACCACACTCCACAGGTTCCAAGATCCCTACCCCAAGCTCTTTCAGCCGCAGCACAAATTCCCCAGGCCCTTACTCACCAGCCACACCCTCAAAACGTCACGCGTCGAATCCAGCAAGCTCGCCCTTGACACCACGGGCCCAGAGCTCACTAGCATATCGCTCTTTCTCCAGTAACGCAAAGCCACGATCTGTTTCTTCGTCATTGCTACCAGGCGTGCACCCACCACGAGCACCTTCATCACTTCGCAAGACCAGCTATCTCTCGCCTACACTTGACGACCATGATGAAAACGACGATTACGCGAATGCAGATCGTTTAGCACCAAGACGGCAGGTCAGAGCTGCCAGTGCACTGAGTAACAGTGGGCCAGCAAGAAAGAGCAGTAGTCTTTTTGGCTTCTCAAGGAACAATGAGAGAAGAAGTGGCAGCAGACTTGACACTGTCGCTTCCGGAGGAGCCCTTCGAGAGTGATCGAGAAGCTGAGCTATTGTTTGATAACGAGTATGACAGAATCAGGCGTACAAGGGATGGGGATATCGTGGCAGTAGGGCGGGAAACATTGGGGCGCTGGTAGTTTGGAGTTTTGGCATATTTCTTTCCAAACGGCCATGTAGTGTATTTTTCAGCGAGCAAATCACAGTCATCATTTGCAAGTTTTGCAACCACAACAGAGTCGTGTTGCCATAGAGTCGTCAACATGTTTGAATGTGACGATGATCGATGAGGCATCCTTACTGGAAAATCGAAGTGACCTTCTCGAGCGCAAAGATGCTTGTTCGTTGTTCTCGCTCTCTTGCAGAGGTGGCTCGTCTCCAAGCAGCTAGTGTGTCTTTTTCGCATCATGTGACATGGTCCGTTGAATTTTGATCAATTTTTCTTTCTTTTTCTTCTTTTTCTACTCCTTCTCTTATTGCTGCGAGATGTCTATTTTCTATCGAGATAGGGAACAATAGCCACATTTTTCAGTTGGACCACACAAGAAGATGTTAAATTTTGGAGAATCTTGGAGCAAAAAGATTAAAGATCGTGTACGAACGTTCGGGTATGGAGAATTATTTCTCTGCCTGCAATACTTTAACGAATGCGATCTATGGCCTGCTTAACTAAGGGGCTCAAGAGGGTTCCGCTCTGTAAGATTGCGTAGATAGGGAAAAATGGACACTTCTTTTTCGGTTCTTTGGCCAGGCGGACGGCTCAAAATCAAGCTTGATACAGGCTTGGATGACACGGGGAAGCCAGGGTGACACCATGACTCCGCCGCGGGAGTCATTTCAGAAAAGCATGGTCGCGGCGAGTCGTTCTCTCAATCTCGTTTTTCTTTCACTTTGAACAGTCGAGTCGAGACAAAAACTTAAAGGATCCTAAGACTTTTGCGAGCATCGTTGACTTTTATCGAACCCGACTTGTCTCGAAACGTGTAGAAAGCACAGGATTGTTTGCGCATTCCAAAGACCTCTGGACGGCTTTGGAAGCTTTGAGCGTTGTCAAGGGCCCGGAGAGGTTGCGGTGTTCTGCCGTCCGCGTTAGAGCCCGCCATCAACAACATCTGGCTCGGAAAACTCTGATAACAATAAAACCAACAACAATTTTCGAGACCGATAATTGTTCTATCAACATCACAATGGACGCCTCAGCACTGCAAAACTCGCGCCGTCGCGCCAACCCTTCCAAAAAGCCCAGAGGAAACCCTAACAAGCGTCCTAAGACCAACGAGCCCAGAACAAACGAGCCCAAGACCAATGAGCCCAGGGCCAACGACCCCAGAGAGCAACAGAACCGCGGTCAAAGAAATGCTGCTGTCCCTCTTGCGCCTGTGGCTCCGCTCTCCATTCCGGTCCCCTCTGATTCGATGAGATTTACGGACCTGAAGAATCTGCTGGATCCGCTTCTTCTTCAGACCATCACTGATGACCTGAAATTTGATCATATGATGCCCGTGCAAGAGGCCACTCTCCATGAACTGTTGGAGAAGCGCATCGACTGCCTTGCTCAAGCCAAGACCGGAACTGGAAAGACTGTTGCTTTCCTTTTGCCTGCCATTCAAACTCTGATCAACAAGAACAAGCCTCGCGGATCTGGCATCTCTCTGTTGGTTATCTCGCCCACTCGTGAACTGGCCATGCAAATTGCCAAGGAAGCATCGAACCTACTCCAGCGTCTCCCTCAATTCAAGGTCTGCTGCGCCATCGGTGGTACCAACAAGGACAAGGAGGAGCGCGACATCCTTAGAGGAGATGGCTGCGACATCCTCATCGCCACCCCCGGTCGTCTTTACGATCACCTTGGAAACAGACAAATCACAGACGCCTTCCGCAATCTCGACACACTGGTTCTGGACGAGGCCGATAGATTGCTTGACATGGGTTTCATGGAGGACCTCAAGAAGATCATCAGATGTCTGCCCGACAAGGAGATGTCGAAGCGCCAGGGAATGCTCTTCTCCGCAACCATCGCACCCCATGTTCAGCAATTCGCTCATCTTGTCCTCGCATCTGGCTACAAGTTCATCTCCACTATTCCTGCGGGCGAGGCTCAAATCCACCAACGTGTACCTCAACTTCTTGTTACGGTCGAGTCTTGGGGTCAGGTCGTCCCCGCCATGGTAGCATCCATCCAGTCTGAGTGCAAGCTCATTGGCATTGCTGAGTTCAAGGCCATTGTCTTTGCGCCCACTGCAGCTCTTGCCGATTTCTACAACGACGTCCTCTCAAACATCACCGGCCTGCCCCGCGCAAATGTCCTACACGCCAGAGTCAGCCAGTCGCGCCGTACAAAAGTCACAAACGACTTCCGCGAGGCCAGCAGCGCCATCCTGGTTGCCACTGACGTTGTTGCTCGTGGTCTCGATTTCCCTGGCGTTTCTAACGTCTTCCAAATTGGTCTTCCCGCAGACAAGGAATCTTACATCCACCGTCTGGGACGTACCGCACGTGCAGGCAAGGAGGGCAGATCCATCTTCATCGTCACTGAGCCAGAATCCTTCTTCCCTCGCTACATCCTCAAGGCCATCACTTTCGAGACCGCCAACCCTGACTTCACCTCCGTGGCTCCTCAAGTTGAGGCTATCGTCAACAAGTACGAAGCCAAGGGCAAGACTTACCAGGCATGGTTGGGCTTCTACAAGGCTCACGCCAGAGCCATGAAGTGGAGTGACGATCAACTTGTCGCTGAGGCCAACAAGTTCGCCATTGAAGCACTGAACTGTGGCGAGATTCCGGGTCTGGAGAGAAAGACCGTTGGCAAGATGGGCTTGAAGGGCGCAAGAGGTCTGAACATTGTTGCCAACCTGCCTCAAAAGTCAAACGGTGGTCGTGGTGGCGGCGGTGGTGGTAGACCTAAGGGCAACGCTGCCAGATAAATGGATTTACACGGTCGAAGGTCCGAAGATGCCTTTGTCGGTCGTTGGGCGGAAACAAAAGACTGCATAGGAAGCAGACACAGGGCGGTTTGACGGCGAATATGGCGTAAGCTTGATTTCAAAATAGATGATACCCCAAAAGCAATAGAAAGGAGGTCTAGACAGATTCAATCGATTACCAAGATTACTCACTCTTCATATACTGTACAAGTCAGGCTGGCATATCAGTCTACAAAGATAGAAGACATGTACACTGAGTAAATACGCGACCAAATCTAGGCCTTTCTGTGTCCTTTGCAAAGTAGGATGGGCGACGGAAGAGCCAGTAATCAACACACCCAGCATTTCTCAGACGTTCGCTTGTAGACACAATGGATACTGCCAGACCTTGTTGAGTCAACAGATGAAAGTATTCAACAGGGAAAGTAGCCATGAAGATCACGTTCGGCAGGTAATAAGCCCGGCGAGCCGCCCAGCACCAAGCAAATCCCGAGGCTGCTCCCGCAGACCCCGACAGAGTGACAGCGGCAGGTATGATGCAGGGACCAACGAGGCAAGTAAGACATGTCAATCTCGAGATGGAACTCAGTTCTGGAAAAGGGGGAGTATGGATGGGGTAAAGTCGAGACCACTGACGGAATTAAAATGTGTGGGTTGTAAGGGACAATGCATGCTCATAGTATTCGGCAAAGAGATAGACAGCTCGCTACGAACCGGAGACAAGAAGACAGACACGAGGTACGGCAAGGAGTTATTGAGATCGTCTGGATGCAAAAGTTTCGGGTAATTGTTGCGAGCGGTACGGAGGCCAAGCAAGGAATGGTTTGCGAAGAAGGGTACTGGTAGCGACATGGTCATGCTGAACTTTCGCACAGGTGTTGACGAAAACGAGACTTGAGCAGATGATCGAGAAAAGCATCGTTGATGTTGGGATGCAGGAGGGAGACTTCGGTTCAGCGGTCCGTTCATGCCAGACGTGAGGCACCGGCCTACTGGGTCACGGCCGTAGAGAAGACGATCAAAGGAGTGAGATGACACAAGAATATTGAGAACAAGGAAACTCGTGTTGATCAAACGATATGAGATTCTGATAATGAAAAGATCAGTGATGAAAATACTCGATAAGAATTAACGCCGTGGTATCAGTGATCCAATCCTCGGCGTGCATACGCAAGCCCAACCCCGACAGGTAAGAACGCCTAACAGACCCGAAATGCAATGAGGGCGCAAAGGATTACGAACCAGCGTCGATCAATTGTTGGACGACACCGCAGCCCTCGCAGTTGACTAGTCGTCGCAATGCCTCGACAGTCATGCGGAGTTCAGCGTTGCGCCTTTCAACCTCGTCGTTCTGGGTGGAGAGCTGGCGCATGTACTCGGCCGCATGGGCGATGACACCAGCTTTGCTGAGAGGTCTGATACCACTGTTGTTGGCAGCGGCATTGTTTTGCGACGCACTAGCAGATGCATATGTGGGACCGATATCCTCCATATCAAGATTCAGACAAGGCGATGTGGTTGAAGGGACAGCTGCTCGCAGTTGTTCAATCTGGGTGTTTAGATTTTCACGATAACGTCGCTCAATTACGTGGTGCGGCAATCTCTTTTCTTTCGGCGCAGGCTTGACAGGCGGAGGCTCATCAGCTGTGTCGTAGGCCGTGTCGGTACGCGCACGCTTCAGACTGGGACGGGCATCGAAAGGCGGCGAGTCGGCGGGGATACTGATCTCGGTGGTCGGCGTGTCGTTGGGTGAAGTTGTGGTTGCATCCGTCGTTGTCTGGCAGGCCGAGGTGTTGTTGCTTAGGCTTGTGGAGGGGTTGCACACAGTTTGACCGGCGGACCGCGCCGAACCGTTCTGCGGCATGTTGCGAGGGCACAGTGGTGAGTTCCAACAGTCAAATGGCAGTCCTGCTGGACGCTCTGCGGCTCGCTGCCTTCCAGTTTCGCAAATGCTCAGCCCTTCTTCGCTTGGCTGCTGTTGCCATGATGATGTCCTGGATGTGGTAAAGTCGGATTCTGTGCTTTGGTGATCGTGTCGAGATGTCATGGCGACACTATCGAAGCGCTTGCGGTTCAGGACCTGCGCGTCTTGTTGCTCGAGATACTGGGCACACATGTCTCCTTGTGCGGGACGAGGGAGATGTCTGAAAGGATTGACTCGAATCCGTGCACCGACTGTCTGGTACTGAAGGGAACCACAAACACGACAGCTGGGATTGCAAAGTAACGATCAAGTCCCAACGGATGCTTTGCGTACGAAAGGAAGGCTCGATACGGTTGATGAGATTGAAGAGAAATCCACCTACCTTGGCCAGCGGGCTCGTGGGCGGTATATACGCGTGCTTGATCCATTACTGCTGTCAACGCTTCCGGGATGAATTCTGGGCAGACCCATGGCGATGGAAGGCTACGACATCTTGTTTGTAGGAACGGGCAGCGTGCAAGGTCCAATATCAGGTGATGGCCTGGACCAACAATCCAAACATCACGCCACTGCTCCCGCAAAGGGTACCCAAGTACCCGCGCTAAGGCCTTCTGCTGCTGTTCGGTTGCCTCCGATTCCGAATCCCTCCCTGTCGGCCAATCACGGGGTGCTATCATTCTGCCTCAATACGCGACCAAGAGGAAAATTGCGACAGAAAAAACAACTCACTAGGGCTCGGGCTAAACAGCCACCCAGCCTTACGAGAAAGGACCGACGGCGTGCAATCGTCGTCTTTACTCGAGTCGTAGCACGGTGCATCCCAAATCCGCAAATCCTGCCCTGTTGCGGCTTCGACTGCCGTTGCTCGAAGCTCTCAAAACTCGCTCCCCCACCCGCCTCGACTTAGATAACTATATACAACTACACTGTGCTGCTGCAGACTGCCGGCTTGGTTATCTGTACTCCAATCCCTTTCTTTCTCCGTGCTGCAACTCGGTCCGTACGTCGGTGTTTTGTGCGTTAGAACGTGTGCCTGGACCTCTTCGTTTCGTCCCCCTCCATCACCTGTTCTGCCCCTCCTCCTATCACCAGATCAATCACCAGACCTCAAGATAACTATGCCCTGGCGAAACGCGGACGCATACGGCTCCCAGCAATATGCCGCCTTCGCTGACCCGAGCGGCTTCAATTTTGCCTACGATGTGGGCTCGGACAACTTCATGAGCCCGTATGCATTTCCTCATATGTCGCCTGAAGCCGCATGTTAGTATACACCCCTCTCTTTACTGTTTCCCACCATCGTCACCCACCATCGTCGTCATGGATCTCCTGTTATCGTCTCCAAGCACACCGTCATACTCATACAGTCTTCCAGGGACGCCAGCATCTCAACAATTCACTACGTCAAATCAGTCAGACTCATTATCACCTCTCGAGATCAGCAATTTCACATCGCCTTCTCAGGATCAAGACCTGCAGTATGCGCCATCTGGAAATGCTTCCGTCCATTCTGATGAGAATTCGGTCGCTGCTTTCGCTGCTGCTCGCCAGTCTTATCTAGATCAGCAGAAGCCTGCGATGCAGATGCCTGATTCTGCCGACTTCTCTCACGGCCAGAAACGCGATGCGTCTTTCTTGGACACTGCACCCTCTCAAAACGATACCGACCGAACAGGTCATAAGCAGCAGGCTACAGCTGCTCCATCCACCTCTCCTTCGGCTGTGCCAATCAAGTCGCGGCAAAGTTCTACCGACGGTAGTCTTGACGAAACTTCTGCCGCTGCTCGTGTTCGCACGACCGACTCCGCTAAAGTACGACACAACATCGTAGAACGACGATACCGCGAGAACATCAACGCACAAGTCGATGTGCTACGTGAGAGCATTGTCGCCACCGTTCACTCGAAGGAAGAACAACAGGGCGGTTCTGCTTCGCGCCTGGGTGCCGATGAGCTCAAAAGACTCACCAAAGCTGCGGTCATCGCAGCGGCCACAAAACAAATCAGACGCGCTAGAACGGAGAACGAACGCTTGCTCGATGAGCACCGCTCGCTGCAGGCTCAGATCCGAGAACTCGAGAGTCTGGTGAAGTGTGGTGACTGCCCGCTCATGAAGCTGACGGTCGATCTCAGCTTGGAGAGTCCTACGCAGCCACCCTGAGCTCTTTTCAGAGTGCAGCTTGTCCACTGATTGGAGTTTTACCCGCCATACCCGCATGCGTCTTCGCTTCGCCAATTGGCATGCATACAAGGGAGGTGCAATCATCTCGTATGATGGGATCGATCTCGAAGTCTTCCACGACCGAGCCCTGGCGGTACTGATTTAGTGTCGATTGGTTGGCAATACCATGAGCTCTGCAATCCTTCCAGAAGCTTCTATGTTTCTCGGTGAACCTTTGATCGCATGGAGCATCCGAGGTCGAGTGGCCTTCAGTCCGTCAGTGCAGAAATGACTAGAATCGAAAACTCGTCAAGACTGGAGAAGGACATAACGTGTAACGACATGAATTCAAGGAGATATCGGCAAATCGCTGCTCTTATGTGTAGACAAAATGAAAACGATTGGGTCGGATTAGAGTCATGACTCTGTGCGGTCGTAAGTGAAGAACGAAACTTCCCCGATGGGCACATGCATCTATATATGCTTCGAGGGAGGAATACCACCACCGTGCAATCAATCACCTTTCTCTCGTTTCCCCCTCGACTATCAGCTAGATGCAACACACGTGCCCTTGCGCCCGCTCCAGATGACGTTTGCATCACCTGTCATCACCCCACGATATGCGTTCGGACCCTATGCGATGAGATCTATCGTTCGGTCTGGCCAACCATGTTGCAGGAATAGGAACCACAGACCCTGATCTCGTCTGTTTTATGAGATGTACTGTGGTACACGCGTGGTTTTTGTCTCATTTGAACCTGCAACTCACCGCTATCGCGCGGTCGACAGGCAGCCACTGACAACCGGATCCGGCTCCCGTATTCATTGACAGCTTCTCACCTCCAGGCATCTGCTGTGAAGTTCCCGGAGATGTTGGCTTCCTTCTAGGCAATTGTGATCATCGTGACCTGATATCACCTTAGTTGTCTTGCATGTTCTTGCGGTCGAAGTGCTTGGAGTTGTGGTGAATGCACTACTGAATGCGAGCAATATCCTGTCGGCCAGCGGGACAAGCTTCTCGAGCACAGACACCTCGAGTGGTGGAGATGGGAGGTGAGTGATTGCGGGCAGACCTGCCCCGGCATATATATATCTTGACCGGTCCCTGACCACTTGACAGCCAAGTGCTTCAAATCGTACGATGTACGCAGGAAGTCAAGGTCGGATGAACGTTTCACATACATGTATCGTTCATATCTAGTGAATGCTGCAGCTCCAGTTCTTTTGTTAAAAATTGCTGGCGATGATCTCGAGTAATCCAGGCCTTCAGGCTTCAACTCAATCCTTAATACTTCAAGACTCGCTCTGTCTGTCGGATCGCGCTTGAGATGCTGGCAATGCGTTGCCTAGGCCGTGGTATTGACCGGTGCTGACCGGTCCCACAATTCTGTGCCTAGTCATGTGAGTCCAGCTTCTGGAATGGAAGCACATTGCTGTTGTGCTTGTCAGAGTCACATCCGATAGGTCTTACCTTTGTTACTTGTCGGCAACTCTCATCCGTTGTCTCGCAAATAGAGGATACTAACAAGTTGTCAATCCCAACAACCAGATCAGTTGAAGGTTTTGTACCTCTTGTCTCGTGGCAGTGCCCCAAGATAGCCGTTGTCATCACGGTATGTTCCTCTGCTATGCGCGGATGACAGGGCCGTGCATGGTTCTTGATTGATCCGACAAAAGCTAGCCATGCCGTTGATCGTCCGAGCGGTGACAGTTCTGGGAGTTGGAGGATGAAAAGGTACGCGCGCGGTAGACTCCGATACATGGAGAGTTCGAATGCTTCGCGGAGACCAAATCCGAGGAACGTGTCGATGCAACAACGAACGTTCGGGTGTGATTCAAATCCAAGTAGTGCAGTGCTCGAACGACACCCCCAGGGATGGCAACCCATGTCCACTGCAGGCTTGGTTTCGCTTGCGAACTCGTGCCATCGTCGTTTCAGAAACCAAGTCCTTATCTGTAATAGTGTCATAACATTCTTTGTCTCTCTAAATTTGGCTGCACTCCATATGGTCGGATGGAAAATGCCGCCCTTGCTTGGGGGAGTACTTGGAGATACCGACAGTCTCAGAAGGTCAAGTATTTCGTAACAGTTTCGATCTCGATGCAGAGCGTCAGCCAACACCTGTGATCCCAACAGTCTACCAGATGCTCGTTGCAGCCACGGGCTCTTTCTCTCTTGCTTGATGGAAAATGGCAGAACGTGCGCACCCTGAATTGGCTGTACGAAAGGTCGATAGCATGCGATGCTGCATGGATCTACTGCTATCAGCCCTACCACTGTATGTAAACTATACATCCTCTGACATGCAGGTCAATTGTTGACCGTAATCGTCATTTGGTCCAAGTGAAATAGAGTAGCGTCAGCCCTATGGGCAGGGGAGAGTGTTGGCATGAAGGATGCGTGAGTCTACACACGGGCATCTGTAAACAGCGATTGGTCAGCTCGTACCTGCCAGAAAGCATGAGACTTTGCTTCGTTCCCGTGATTCCGGTGCGCAGCGCAGCGATTGAGAGTTCGGTGGCCGAAAGGTCTGCTCGAACGCGACGGGAAGAGGACAAGGGTCGGCTGTTAAACGATCTACACCGGATTGGGCAATTGGTCGATGGCGTTGGTGAGGGACGCATCACTTGGTCTCACAAAGGTCAAGCAAGAAGCTGTGAGCAAGCGTCCGCGCCCCGCGCCAGCCAGCCTCCTCCGGATCCTTCCCATCCTTCCCCTCCTTTCTGCCAATTCATTTCTAATCCGGCTCTCGTTCTGCCAGCGGTGAGCTTTGTAGCCAATCCTTGCCGCAGCATTGCCCGAAGGCGCAAGATGCGCAGGAGAGGTCGCATCACCTCGCGTTTGGCTCTCTTTCTGGAGCAACGTAAACACTGTCCGAGACGGCCATATCGGCCATAACGGCATGTGAGTTCTCAGGCCCAAGGTTTGGCCTTGTTGCATGACCCTACGTGGCACGCTGTATCAGAATCGACGCACGCTCAGGGTACGGAGCGAATCCTGAAATGTTGGCCGTCTGGTAACCTCACCGCACTCTCGTCCCTTCAGCCCTACGGCTTTGTGTGGTGGAAGCCGCTGGTTGCTGCTAATAATGGGCGGAGTTGGCGACTTGGCTCGGTGTCACTGTCGACCCGCCTGCATGGCTCCTGATGTTCCATTTGCGGAGCGCCTTGGAATGCCGCTGCAGCTTTCACATGGCACTTGCGCTAGACTGTCCAGGGTGTTCATCCTCTTGAGCTTGTCTGTATCCAGGCAGAGAGTTGTGACCACAACAGGCCTACTATATCAGAGCCACATCCCTCAAGGCTGAAGTATGTAGATCCTCAAATCCAACTCGACTATACAAAGTCCGCTCTTCCAACTCTCACCACTCGACTTTTTCTTTCCATCACACTCCATCCTATCCATCACCTTGATACAGACAACATGAACAGACGCTCGGGCTATTCATGCTCATGCTCCCCACCTTCCTCGCACAAGCACCATGCCTCATCGCATCCCACCAGCAGTGCATTCAGTGCCAGTGCAAATCCGGATGAGGACTGGACCAAGATCACAGATCTTGCTGAGCGAAGGAGAATTCAGAACCGCATTGCTCAAAGAAACTACAGTATGCTCATTCTGGCCCGTCTACTTTGGTGCATGTCACTGACAAGCTTCTAGGGAAGAAGCTGAAGAAGCGCCTCGAGGATCTGGAGCGTCGGGCTGCGTCTAGCTCGACCTCGCCCTCACCTGAAGTCAAATACGTCGATCTGGATCTCACAAATCTATCTGGCTTCAAAGGTTCTCCGCACATGTCCCATATACATGAAGGTAGTGGTGTCGAGAGCCGCAGCTATACTTCGAATGGATATGACTACCCTTATTCGCAAGCGCCGGATGACAAGAGAATGTTCTCGTATCAACACACACGCCAACTCTCAACGTCACCGCCGCCATTGTTCAGCTATCAAGCCTACCCGTCTATCGAACAAGGCCAATTCGCAGCCTCAATGTCGAACTACCTATCTTATCCTCTGCCCGTCTCTTCATCATGTATGGTGCCTTCCTCGACCATGACCTACCAAACAAGTATGCCCGCTACGGTGAAGCCGGAAGTTTACGAGGAAGACGACATGAACCCGTTCAGCTTGAGCTATGCATCCATGGCTGGCGTGGATGTGAACAACCAATTCAGCTACCATACACCTGCCATTCACGTAAGCATCTACCACGCTTGTCTTCACGAACTCAACTGACGTCTTCAGCCAGACTCCAGCGCTGTCAGATAGCTTCGAGCATTCAACGACTAGCTCTCCACCTTACGACTACATGAACTTTCCACGCACCCCCCCTTCCACAACCTTTGACGCCACCTCTTCGGGTACGTGAAGGTCACAAAGAAAGGCATTGATACCATTAATGATACGACGAAACGAGAATAAGACAAAACGACACAGTTTACTCGGGATATTGCAGACATCTTGCGAGGGCGCAGAGCGATGCGAACTATTAGGGGATACCATACTGTCGCTTGCTAGTGTTGGCGTTAGGGCGCTAGAACGGATGGATCACGGCGCATTTACTTGGTTCAAATCCAGCTTTGTCTTAGTTGTTCCTCAAGAAAGGAAACATCACCACTACCAAATGTACAATTCTTCCCAATCAATTCACTGCAACGGGCATATCATCTCAAAGGCTCGGTACGCTGGCGTGGCTGCAGCTTTCCCCACCTCGAACCCGTCTTTGACCGTTCGGCCAGGCTAGCGGGAGGATGCGTGGGATGCGTGACCGGTTCGGTGTTACCAGAAAGGATACCGAGCACCAAAGAACTCGAAGGTACATATAGAGCTACAACAGGCTGAGCAGGCAGCAAGTCGAAGGTAAAGTGGAGTGTGCGCAAGCCACAAGGGGAGGAGCTCGAGTCTGAATTGCCAAGCAGAGCTCGAAACAACCAACCACAGCTCGCGCAACCAACGCCAGAACATCTACCTTCTATTTGCCCGATACAAACCACCCAACTTCAGCTAAAAATACCGCAATGAACAAAGAAAAGAACCAGACCTTGTTCGGAGGCAGTCGGTTAGTAATGTTGCATGCCTTTGGCCCTGCGGGAAGCTGAAAAGTCTACGCCCTACAGGTCTTGGAAAGCCGAAGACTGGACCGCAAGCGACGATCGTGTACGTGGTGGGAAATCACAGGTAGGAAGACTAGCCGCATGTGTGTTTTTGAGCTTCCAGACATGCTAAAACAGTGCTGCGCAGTCTTTCCTCGAATGTCACAACAGCACAGGGCGATTCCATGGCAATCTCGACATTCAAACTCTTGGTGGCGCGGGATTTGCAAGCCAGCGGACTACGGGCGAGGACAGAAGCTGGGATCTGTCTGCCTATGCAGGAATCGTGCTCGACATTGCAGAAGCGGACGGTAAGTTTCCTATCTTCCCGAATCATGCCACTCGATTATGAGTACAGGAACCCAAGCTCTAAATCTGAAAACTCGCAGACAAAAGATACACCTTCATCCTCAAGGACGAACTGCTTCCCCGCAATCCAGACACTGGACGTGAACAAGCCACTATCTCGTGGGAGTACGATTTCAAGCCTTGTTTCGGGGAAAGCAGTCTCGAGAAAGGTGGCCTTGTATTCGTTCCATGGTCTGGTTTGAAACCAACCTATCGCGGTAAAGAAAAGGAGCATGCGGATCCCATCAACCTCAAGACGATTAAGCGGATGAGTATCATGATGAGGAGGTAAGTCTATTGGACCCGCGTTCGTGATTCTTGATTATTCATATCGCGTTGCAGCTTCTTTGGCGACCAGGAGGGTCCGTTCTCTCTAACCTTGCGTTCCATCTCTGCGGCCACGAGCTCACCGGTCGAGCCCGGCAGACTCGAACAGGGTGCCGCAACGTCTGCAGCAAGTAACACCAATCGATGGACTTGGTATCGCCAATCGTTTACTGTAAGTGGATTTGAACAACTCAACTTGATCGAGCGGTGATTAACCCTCGTGCAGGTTGCATTATCGCCGTGGCGCATCTGCGGGCTCGCTTTGCTTGCGACTGCACTATTCTGCGTACATCGCAGCAGTTCGCGAGCAGCCTGATTTCAAGTCCGAGCGAAGAACTAAAGGGTCGCACTGAATGATGAATGGTCTTGCTTCCAAACCCAAGTCGTACAGTTGGGTGCGCGTGGCCTACTCGTACAGAGCCACCTTGTTTAATGTAGAAAAAATGGAGTGTAGTGCAAGATAGACCTGTATCTGTTTTACCAACCCCGTGGGTCAGTACGAACCAAGGCGACACGTGGTTTGTATAACAACCTCTCGGAATGCTGCCGCTTTGGGATCATGCATAGCATACGCTCTTTGACTGCTCGACGATAACAAGCCGCGCGCAATAAGGTCGCTCCACCTTAACGACGTGTTCAAGCCTTGTGACTCGGCGACGCCGAAACAGAGCAAGATACAAGGCACACCGGTCGGCCTTTGCCTGTCACAATATGGCATGATAGCGATTATAACAATTGTCATAAAGCATGTCGTGGACTCGAGGGCATAGAAACAACCAAGAGTTGCACAACACTTTGCCCTCGTTTCGGCAAGCCATCGCCCCGGTTCTCAGGGTCATCGGCGGTCGGCGCACGTTGAGGGCCGGCACGCATCTGCGGCGACTAAAGGCCCGATCAGATAGGCGAAGACCGCGAGTCAATTGGAAAGCAAATCTACCAGTTGTTGTGAAAGGAGCGAAAGTCTCATGAATCGTGAGTCGATACGAATAACCTCTTTACAATTTAAGATTAAGGAGGCGTGTTGATGGAAGCCTTGTAGAATGTGTTGATTGATGGCAAGCAGCGATTACAGCACTCAGCGGCAGTGATGCTGTTCATGGTGCAAAGAGTCACAAGAGCCAGCTAGGAGTATCACTTGATTTATAATCTCGATACGAAGGTACTGCGCGAAGCATCTGACCCCTCAGCGAAGATCAAAGGTTGCTGTATTCATCCCGAGCCCCGTGCTAAGGTTTGTTGCGCAGTTGTAGAGATGCACACTCTACAAGGTGGTGTCGCGTCCAGTGTGAGCGCATTGAGGGAGCTGCTCTCCATGGAAGCTACAGGCAATTCGGAACATCTGTGCAATTCAGCAGTACAACGTGGTTCATCACGATTGCAGAAAGCAGATTGAGAGTGACAAACTTCAGCACATGGGCTCGTTCCGCCAACGACGTTTGAGAAGTGCTTGTCCAAAAAGCAGATGCGCTCGGATCCCTCGGCAGCTTCTATCAGATGAGGCGTTCTGGGCACTACGCCTCCCGGACGCCAAAGAAGCGAGAGCTTGCATAAAGATTGCATCTGGCCACTCACGACCAATGAGATCGCAGGAGCCGTGCTGCCCATCAGCATAATTCGTTCATACCGAGCAATCGGGACCTCGGTTCTCCGTTTTGACGCCTCGTGAAATAATGAAGCCTATCCGTCAACCGAACAGCGTTTGCCATGTTGTCATCGCAACACCTGAAGGCCTTTTCTTCATATTAAAGACATTCCCCCTCTGTGCCACCACTCGTAGCTCCAGAATTTCTCGAACATCTTCACGACTCGTACACTGGCCTCTGGGTCATTGTCCCGCTAAACGGACTCCTGGCTTACCCCGGATAAACAAACCACTTTTGATCTCGTCACATATACACCAGTCCAACAATGGAGAAGTCGAAGGACGTTGAGGCCGGCAAGGGCCCATCATCAATCCCTCACTGGCGCTTGGTATTTGATCAAGGCCTTGTAACTGATGAGGTTATGAATTGGAAATATGCTGGTTCTGGAACGGACGAGGACCCGTACGTGGTCAATTGGATCGACAACGATCCCCGCAACCCGATGCTGTTTTCGAAAGTCAAGAAGTGGTTCCTTACAGCCCTGGTCGCCATCGCAACACTTGCGGTCGCCTTTGTGTCTTCCGCATACTCTGGAGGTATCAGAGAGATCCTGGCAGAGTTCGGTGCTTCGCAGGAAGTTGGCATTTTGGGTGTCTCCCTCTTCGTTTTAGGATTTGCCGTTGGCCCGTGAGTATTCTGACCTCCCATAAAAACTGAAGTAGGGCTAATAGAGACATGAACAGTCTATTGTGGGCACCGCTTTCTGAAATCTTTGGTCGTCAAGTCCTTTTTGTCACCACTTACGGTGGCTTGACAGCTTTCAACGCTGGTGCAGTTGGCTCCAACTCCATGGCAACTCTGATCGTTCTCCGATTCTTTGCTGGTGCAATTGGCTCGTCTCCTCTTACCAATGCTGGTGGTGTCATCGCCGACATGTTCTCGGCTCAAGAGAGAGGTTTGGCTATGACTCTTTTCGCCGCAGCTCCTTTCATGGGACCCGTTCTTGGACCTATCGTCGGAGGGTTTGTTGGCCAGACCGTTGGCTGGAGATGGGTAGAGGGTGTTATGGCAATCTTGTAAGTCTTGCTTGCTTCGAAGTTTTGGCATCGTGTCTAAGCACGGCCATGTTGTGGATGTGCCCTTGCTGACTGTTCTTAGTACTGGTGTCCTCTGGATCATCGGCTCGCTTCTCATTCCCGAGACCTACCCTCCCGTCCTTCTCCGCAAGCGCGCTGCAAAGATGTCCAAGATGACCGGCAAAGTCTACCGCAGCAAGGGCGACGTCGACCAAGGTCCCACTACTTTCGGCAAAGTCTTCTCGACCTCGCTTCTCCGTCCCTGGGTTCTACTCTTCCGCGAGCCCATCGTCTTTCTTCTTTCCATCTACATGGCCATTATCTACGGTACTCTGTACATGCTGTTTGCCGCCTTCCCTATCGTCTACCAGCAAGGTCGTGGCTGGAGCCAGGGTATCGGTGGTCTCGCTTTCCTTGGTGTCGCTGTGGGTATGCTCATGGCTGTCGCATACTCTGTCTGGGACAACAAGCGTTACGTCAAGGTTTCTACTGAGAACCAAGGCTTCGCTCCCCCTGAGGCTCGTCTTCCTCCCTGCATCCTCGGTGGTATCTGCTTGCCTATCGGACTTTTCTGGTTCGCCTGGACCAATTCGCCCTCGATCCACTTCATGGCCTCGATCGCTGCTGGTGTACCTTTCGGTTTCGGCATGGTTCTCGTCTTCTTGGGCATTATGAATTATCTCATCGATGCCTACACGATCTTCGCTGCCTCGGTCCTTGCAGCAAACTCGGTCTTGCGTTCGCTCTTCGGTGCCGCCTTCCCCCTGTTCACGTCACGTAAGTTTGCATGAGTATTCCGTTCCAACGTAGCACAAGCTGACAGACTCAGAAATGTATGACAACCTTGGAATTCACTGGGCATCGACTATTCCTGCTTTCCTGGCTCTTCTCTGTGTTCCCATGCCTTTCCTCTTCTATAAGTTCGGACCCAAAATTCGCGAGAACTGCAAATACGCCAAACAGTCGATGGAATTCATGCGCAACATGCAGAAGCAGATGGCAGGAGGCGAAAGCAAGGAAGATGAGGAGAAGGAAGAGCAAGAGGCCTTTGACTACTCATACGAATCTGAGTCTCACGGTGACGCCGAGACCCCCAAATTCGAGGAGATCAAAACTGGCAACGACAGCCAAGGACTTGGGGGTGCCAGATTGTCTCGCACTTCGACCTACGAGCACTCGCCCTACGACATTGACCGCGTCAACACGAGAGAGTCGTTCACCAAGCCTCGTTCCAGAGCATCCAGTCTTCGTCGCGGTGCTTAGTCACATCACACATTGCAAGAGCACTTACTTCACATTGCATCACTTTTGTATTAGCGCGGAGTTCTGGGATACCAAAAGTTTGATGCTACTTGAAAGCATTATTTGATTAGGAGACGGTTCATGATATCCCCACTAGACTTTTAAAATACTTTAATACCTACTTTCTACTTTCTACTTCAAAACTGCATTGACCACAATATGGATGTGATAGCTCTCGTTTACATAGAACCTACAATAGGCACTACCTCATGTATCCTTCTACTAGTCTGCAACGATGTTGTGCCCAGTGCCAATATACGAGTGCTTGCTCTGTAAGGAAGCGCGTGTGCTCTAAGTTATGACTTCAAGAGTGCCGAGAAATTTGTGTATTACACAGCTAGATTCTGCTGACGCTCCGGTCCCATTCGCAAGATAGGCTAGATAGGCCAAAGCAGGAGTAGAATCTCTCAATCTGAAAATCGGCGACTGAGCAAGCTCTCTACAAGAAAAGGCCATGACTCGTCATTCTGAGCGGCTGCCGACGGCAACAAAGTTGTGATAGCGTTTCGGGATTAAACTCTTGGTGATCGGATAGATGACGGCGCTAGAGATAGGGCCGGTGTAACAGAATTGGCCTCAACACTTTTCAACAAAGACTGATAAGTATTTGTGCGGAGGTGAAGAGGAAGCTGTCAAAGCAGCAGAAGTTGTTCAAAGCAATGAACGTCAAGTGGTCCAAACAGAGTGGGTTAGAAGCTGGAGATTCAGAGAATCATGGGTGGCCACTGGCCATCAATGTTCTCGGGCGCAAAGAAGAATGAAGCAAAAGTCAAAACATGACCGGAGCCAAGACGCGGTGAGGACCCTGAATGACGCTGAGGCGCGCCGGCAAGGGATGGGATTTTCATGACGACAAGTCAACAAAAAAATGTTGCCCCAGGGAGAAGAATCGGATCAAGATGAGGTGATTTAGCAAATTGCCGGCCAGGGTTCCGACGCAGTTTCATGTGAACAAAACCCCAGTCTCTTCCCCATTGTCTCTTCTCCAGATACTAGAGTCGCCCAGAAAGAGAAGAAGAGACACAAGCATGGCCTTGACACTACCATTGGAACTGCAGCAGCAGATATTCCAGTACCTCGATCCATGGTCGTTCTACGCGTCGCGTAACGTGTGTCGCTACTGGAAGTACGCCTCCAGAGATGCCGTCACGCTGGCCAACCAACTAGGACAATTGCCCATCGAGCCAACGACATGGGCAAAGAAGGCAGACTCAAAACGAAGAGAGTCCGTGTATGATGAGGCGGCAAGGGCGCTGATGCTGGGCATGCGTGTCAAGGCTTCAGCATCGTCCGAGAACAGCCTCTCGACCAGACTCGACAAGAGCAAGCTCGCTCTCTCCAAGGACGGCAAGCGAGCTGTTTCATTGCACGAACGCACCATAACACACTACGACCTGAGCACGCCCGAGCCCACGGTCATCTCCACACGCCCAATCAACGACCTCCGCACCGCCATCGGAGGAGGCCCATGGTTCAAGTGCGCACCAACAGCCATGTACGAGCTGGCTCTCTCTTCCGACGGACGTATGCTGGCCATCGCTCTGGAACGCACTGTCCAAATTTACGACTTGTCGGCGCCCGCAGACTCTTGGCCTGTGTCTTCGTACATCACCTCGGCCACCGGCCACTACATTGCCGCTCTGGACTTCGAACACAACGACAGCCTGCTACGAGTGCAGCTGAGCAACAAGGGTGTTGTCGTCTATCTCGGCTCGCCTCAAGAGGGCAATCCTGGCTTAGAGCATTGGCAAGACAAGGGTGGCTTGAAGCACGCCTTCCTCGACGCCAGCAAGCTTGCTCTGCCATCAACAGAAGCTGTCGAGGGCGCTCCTGCCGTATCACAACGCTTGGCTGGCCTCCAGCTCTTGCGCCCGTTCGCAAATGGCTGGCTTGTCGCTGCTCAGAAGCATGCCACCAATGTCCCGTCGGGGTCATACTGCCTGGCCTACGTTCCTTTCAGCCAAGTCCACGGACATGTCCTCACCGCTGAGCGCGCTGTCACCATTCTCGAAGACCTCCCCGTCCATTTGTCCGAGCATATCCAGCACCTGTGGCACGACCTGCCCTCTGCTCACATCAACCATCCCCACTTCGCCCTGTCACCTAACCACTCTCTGCTGGCCATGTCCGAGAACGACTCTACCGCTACAACATCGCCTTCTTCGAACCGTGTCTTCCTCTACCGCCTGCCCTCGGCCCAGAAGCTCATGGAGACACTCAAGCCTCAACATCCCCTGCTTCAAAAACTTGAGCCGGAAGAAGAGTTCAAATACCAAATCAAGCGTCTGCCTACTAGCCTTGGCTCTATCTCTGGCAAGGTTCTCGACTTTACCTTCGAGTCAGTTGGTCGCGATACCGAATCTTCGCTGGCTGTTACAGCTGTTACCGAAACCGGTGCTATGACCTGGACATTGCTGGACAATTGATCAAGTCATAGTTCACCAATACTTTCCCCTCATGTTTCTTCTTTCCACCAACTTCACCACCTCAACTCATCTTTCGACCATTAGAGCTTTTTTCCTTTTATCTTGTTACAACATTAGACGCATTATAGACGGAGTTATAGACGGCATAGAAGGAACTCATAGATACCCCAACATACACTGTATACATACACGACAGACTATACATCATCTCCCAAAATGCTCTTTTTGACTTGCACATTCAATCTCACTCCTGCTGATATGATCATGGCGTCGATGCACGCAGCCAGCCAGGCGAGTGAGCGTTCCAATGGGAGATTTGATTATCATACATGGATTAGCAAAAGTTCCTCAACGGCCGGCCTATATCTTCGAGAGCAAAAGGTTTGTGCACCTCGCCACAGTCTACTCCAGCAAAAGGAACAGCTCCTCTCACAAGGAGCAAAAGAGGAAGCTCTCCATCGGGGAATCGAACCCCGGTCTCCCGCGCTTGACGAGATTTTACTCTTGACAAGCGGAAATCATGACCACTAGACCAATGAAGATGAGCCAGCTGAGCTGGTATTGGTTGATGAAGCAATCTCTGAGTTCCTGATATATGATCTACCGTGTGCCACGAGCTTGCGTTCACTACACCCGTCGCGTGTCGTGGCGAAACGCGAGTGAAGCATGGAAGGCATGCTGCACGAGGAACGAGTAGCCTTTGCAAGTGGAAGTGATGTCTCACCAATGCAACAAGTCGTGAATGGTTTTGAAGAGCGTTGGTAAGTCCCAAACCAATATCGAGGACTCGTCATCCTCTTCTTCATCTGTCTCTGACATCTGGTTTAAGTTTGACAAGACGGCAGGCTTCAACGGGAGAAGGGGGAATTTATTTGGGAGGCGTTCCCATGTTTCTTGAAACAACGTTCTCGGCCTTACCTTTTCTTAACGAGACCACCACGACTCACGAACACGAATTCGTCGCTCTTCCGATTTGATCCCGCCAAGCCTGGTTGCCTGTCACTAAAGTCGCATACCGACATCTCTTGTCTTCTCGACTCGGCCGAGCGCTTCAATAATCAACCCCATAACTCGCCCACGTGCCGACTCGGTCTTAATTAATAGCCACTTCAAACTGGTGCAGGTTCACAGGATCTACAAATTGTCAGGCTCGGCTTACGTGGGGAAACGACTCCGTCTACACTCAACGCGCGCGAGCGCCGCGACCGCTTTGCTCACAGCCACTGATGCGCCGCTCACTGTCGCCATTGCTGGTGTTGCCGGGGTTTCTCGGCTTCACTGTAGCTATCCCGTCGTATCAGTCAGCAAATGCGACAGAGAGGGATGACAATGGTACGAACGCGGACGTTGGGGCAAACAGCAAGTCTGCGTCTCTTGAGAGTTTCTGCGCTGCGCAATTGAGCAGTTTCACGGTGACATATCAGAGTACGGAGATTGCGACTAGCAGATGGACTTGGTATGAAGGATTTGGGCCGACGGACTCTGCTGGGGATTTGACTGGATCTGTCACTTCGCAGACTTACTGGACCAGCACCTTCTTGTGTAAGTATTGTGAAATGCAGGACATCCTCTTCGTCATCCGCCTGTTTTTACTGTTTTCGGTGTTTTCTTTGCTCGGCTTTCCGATTCTCATTATTGTTCTTGTTCTCTGCTCTTTTGCTTTATCGCCAGTCTTATCTGCCGTTTCTCTCACGTGCTTGCGACTTCCGTTCCAATTGCGTTCAGCACTGCTTTTATCACTGCTCTTCTATCAATGGGAACCCTCAGCATATACTGTTCTCTTCCTTCCACTTACATGGTGCGGCGCTGATTTTCGTCAGATACCCAATATGCCTTTCGTGCATACACGCCTGTACCACCATGCTGTGGTTCATGCTATATGACGGCAGGCACGATCGACTTCTACTTCTGGCCTGATCAAGCAACACCTACGGCGCCAGCTCCGGGTCAACCCAGTACCAGTGTCAACGCAGACGGCTTCACGTTCACATCACCCAGCGTGTATATGGCTTTCAGCTCTCTCGCTGCAAGTGACAAATGCGGACAAGTAGGCGATATTTGGACTAGCACCACAATCGCTTTCGACCCCACAGAGATCACCACTGCACAACCGATCACTACCCTGACACAATACGAATCCGACTACGTTTCTGACGATGGCTCGACTTACAGAAGTATGGGTGATGCAGTCACAACAGAGCCACCGCCGAAGTTGGTGAATTACGATGAAGTAGGACAGAACTGCTCTACAATCCCTGGATACGTCTACTGGCCTGACAACCCGATCAATGCGGCAAATGCATTGTACCACCCGGACCCTTGCCATCCTGTCATTCTCCTGCCGCCCAGACTCATTAGCATGCAACAACCTTGGGTCAACGCAAACTGTGGACCTTCACCGGGAATGAGTGGAGCCTACGACCCGCCAAGGGTGTTGACACCAATGCTTACTGGCACCGAACTCGCCACACCGACGCCGCACTGGGGAGGTCGTGTCAGTGGAGATGGAGATGCCAGTCCTGCGTCGAGTGCAGAGGCTGTTGCACCTAGCACTACCACAAGACCCGTCTCCACCGGCGTGACTGCCGAATACGCCTCTGCAGATCCTTCGTCTTCTGCAGCAGAAAGCGTTGCTACCGTGACTTTGACCGCAGATGCTGTAACGACTGCTATTGTGGTTTCTGGCAAGCATGTCGGCACCGACTCTGTCACTGGTGTGGCAGCAGCTATCCTCAGCGGTCTCGGTGGTACTGGCACTGGATCTGGATCTGATTCAGAAGCTACATCTCAGGCTGTGTCGCAAGCTGCATCTGGACATGCGTCTCAAGTTGGAGAAAGTCCTTCCAAGTGGAATCCCACACAAGCTATTGCTGCGACCGTTGTCACAGCTTCTTCTGCTATTGCTCCGTCTAGCAGTGGGAGTGGCAAGAAGGTGTCGAGCAGCAGCAGTTCCATCAGTAGATCTCTTTCGTCTGCTGCATCCGCCAACACTGCCTCGACTACAGCGGCAGCGGCTGCTACATCCAGCGGTGCTGCCGCATCTGGCACTATCGCTGACTCGGCGATCTGGTCACTTCTCGCACCACTTCTTCTCTTTTGGATATGAGATTAATGACCGAAGGTTGATATTATCGCATTCCGATGTCCTCTGATATATTGTTAATAACTTTGTTCCTTTTTCCTTTGTCTCCTAATACAGGTTGGTTCTCGTTTTTAGATATCCACAGTTTGGTTGGCCTTTTGGTGTTTTATGGCAAAAGCTAGTATGAGTGTATGTAGTTGTATGAATGTCTCTTTTTCTGAAAAGGTTCTGTACTGCCTCCTGTGCGTTGGAGGCATGGAACCAATGGTACCCCAGCGGGAGATGGTCACATCACCATACGATATAGCACTGCGTTGTCTGGAGAAACTCCAACGTGAATCAGGAAGACGATATTGACCCATCAAGCACTTATCAAGCCGTAACAAGTCACCACTAAGTACACTCAGCCATCATACGGTCAACTCCGATGCGATATCAGACGGACCAAGGACACGTCGTCGCTGGCTGTGTCATTTGGTTCTTGCCAGGGTCACCCCCTGAACGACACGTTTGCTCTCCAGACAAACACAATGACAGCGTCATGGAGATGACTCCGTGACGCGCCCCAAATGGCCGTTCGCGTCTTCCTTTCACGCGCCCAATTCCTCTCTCAAACATCCCCACACTACCACATCTCCATCCTCTCACCCTCTGACAGCTTGCCGACTAAACGCACACCAGTTCCAATGGCTCAACAAACACAAATTTCCATCTCCGCGCCCACACTCGAAAACGCAATGCCGCATTCACCTACCCTCGCCGCGAAACGATCACACGAGCAGATTGAGCCCGTTACAGAAGCGGCACCGGTGTTGAAGAAAGTCAAGACGAATGATGACGACACGCATGAGGTTGTCGATACAAAGATGGAGGATGTCGGAGCAGTAAAAGGACAAGAGGAGGTTCAAGAGATGGAACACAGTGCTGCATTGGCTGTGTTGGATGATGGGGTCAAGGAGAGTGATGCTGCCAGTGGGAGGAGTGCTTGGTGTATGGAGCTGGGAGAGTATTGAGACCGACGAGTGCGGCTTTTTGCTGAACGAGCAGGAAAGGAAAGGCAGAGGAAGCATTGACGAAGCAACAGAACTTGAAGCAGCAACAACCTCGAGCAGCGAGACCACGCGACCACCATAAGCACATGCAACAGTGCGTCCGCAAGTAATGTCTGCACATCTACTACATCTAGGCGAAGATGGCTGCCAGATACACAAGCATTTGAAGCCACGGGCTGTTCACCATACACCGGCGATGGTTGAGCGCAATTGGCCCCTCATGGCTTGGAAGGTCATCCACCAGACCTGAAGACCACCCGAGACATTGGTCAGAATCAAATATGTGGATTACAAAGGGCTGCGCAGAACAGAAGGCTCAACTATCATGCTGCCACTCTCGTCAAATCACATAAGACTCTCCATGTTGGCTTATAAGCATTAACAAACAAAACTATGAACCAAACAATGGTCTGATCCCGTACAACCTCTTCAAACTCAGTCTACAGTGATATATGTACGTTCAGGAAGTCTATACTTGGGGTACTGAAGCGAGGCCGATTTGTGATGGTCTGGAACGCTGATCATCATGGCCCCACCAGTTTCCAGCAGCGATCGTCACCAAAACGTCACTCGCGACTTCCATAAACAGAGAAATAAATAGGTACTCTCTTCCACCTCGCTTCTCTACTGAAGAGCAACAAAACTTCCTGATTGTAATCAAAATGTCGAACTCCAACTTCCAGCTCAGCAATGTTTTCGACGTCAAGGGCAAGGTTGCCCTCGTCACCGGTGGTGGCTCGGGTATTGGCTTGATGGTAATCAGAATCACCATGTTTTCTACGAGTGTACATTGTACTAATGTTTCCAGGCCACCCAAGCTCTCGCTACCAACGGATCCAAGGTCTACATCGTTGGCCGCACCGAAGAGAAGCTCAAGACTGTCCAGCAGACCTACGGCAAGGACATCTCCGGCGAAATCATCCCTATCGTTGGCGACGTTACCAAGAAGAGCGAGATTGAGAAGCTCGTTAAGGAAATCGAGTCAAAGGAAGGCTTCCTTGACATACTTGTCAACAGTATACATTCCCCTTCCTACTTGCACGGATCACTGCTGACATTTTCTAGACGCTGGCATTGACGCCGGTAAGCTGACCCCTGACGGCAAGGACGCTGAGGAGATGAAGAAGAACCTCTTCGACGAAGACAGGTATGAATCTTGTCTCTCCTGCCTTTGTACAGTACTGATTGTTTCGTCAGCTTCGAGGACTGGAGCGATCTCTACACAACCAATGTCATTGCCCCCTTCTTCTTGAGCACCGCCTTCCTGCCCCTATTGCAGAAGGCTACTGAGCGCACACACGGCTGGTCTGCTACTATCATCAACATCTCATCCATCTCTGGTCTCGTCCGTATCTCTCAGGGCCACTTCAACTACAATGCCTCCAAGGGTGCCGTGGTTCACCTCAACAAGATGCTCTCGGCTGAAGTCCAGAGCAGCGGCCTGAAGATCCGCATCAACGCTATCGCTCCTGGTGTCTTCCCCTCGGAAATGACTACTGGTGAGAGCAAGGATGATCAGAAGAGCGAACTGCCCAAGGAGCACAAGGGAGATCTGCCTTCGCAGAGACCTGGAAAGGAGTCTGACATGGCCGCCGCAGTACTGTTCTGTGCAGCCTGCCAGTACCTGAACGGGCAAAATGTCCCTGTAGATGGAGGATACCTCATCCAGACTGGTACCTAGGCGCACAGTAACAGGCTACGAACCATCACGAAGAACTCATGACAGAAAACAGCATGTAATTAATGAGCACCATTATGAGAGACCAAAAAGTGTTTTCCCTCCACCATCATTTGATAATTTCATGCCCTCCTTCGTGATCTTAATACTAGGCTTTCATTGTTTCTATGATCACAAAGCTAAACAACATGTTACAGGACAAATGGTTGACCGAGTCATATGAATATGTTTTGTGAAGCAATTGTGCACACTATTATGCAGCCTGATCAAATTACTCGCGCCGCAATGCGCCTCGGCTTGGCGCTTGTGATCGTCGGAGACAACACATATCCATAGCCACTCAAGATATCTCGAAGCTTTCTGAACTTTCAAGTACAACAACGGAATAGTCTTGATTATTCAGATAAACTGAGGCAATCATGTCGACCGCACAAGCTTCACAGAGCTCGAATCCCAACCCAAATGCAAGTGCTCTACTATGGGGTAAGGTCAGCTACCAACTGTGCTATGACCAGACTGATGAATGAACAGACGACAGAAGCCGTCAATGGTTGTTAGCCGAGTCGCGGCCTATTCGAGATCTGTTGGAGGTATGTTGCCACTTCACGTCTCACATTGATTCTTGACTAAGTCCTGCAAGCAATCTACAAGAGTAAAAGGATGTATCATGTAGGTCACCAAGACTCAGACACCAGAACCACTTCTACGTGCTGCAGAAGACACATTCAGGATACTGACAAGTGCTTCTGTCATGAAGTTTCACAGAAATCGAGCACTTCCAAGGCCAAGGACGCAATGCTTTGCGAGACACTATCATGATGCGCTTTCCCAACACACCACAAATGTTCTGGTCAAGGACATGTGCACTTCACAATGGTTTCTTTGGTTGCGATCATTCTCTTCCTTCAGCCACAACACAATACTCGACCTACTTCCGTTTGGCTGTCAAGACCCCGCAGAACCAAGGACTGCCGGATTATGATTCGCCATACGGCAGTTTGTCCTACGAATGGTCGGAGATGGGATTTTTATCTGCTTCTTCCACGACTTGGAATGTTATGATATGCTTCAATGTGCCTCAGAGCATTATCACTGGGTTGCAACCGACATTACCGACGCTGTTGGGAGATATTCTGGGACCGTATGCGTTGCATATACCTTTGTTGGAACAGTTGGTTGAGCTATACGACATGAGTGTCTCGTACACGGGTGGTACAGTTGACATACTCGAGAAGGTAACAACACATTGATGCTACTGAACCCATGGTAAGAAAGCAGACGAGCTAATTGCGGTGCGCAATCTAGGAACTTACAAAACCTGGATATCAAGAAACCGAAACCACAGCTCCTGGAGCCCCCTCAGCCTCGGACAAACAGCGCAGAACTCAGCTTGCAGCCATGTTTGAGATTTCGAATCACATCACCCACTTGATCGAAACAACACAAATTGCCGCAGAGACAGTCGATCGCATGAGATCAGAATGCGAGGGCTACGCTGCTGTGCAAAAACCTGTCAACTTGTCACTGGCGCCGAGAGCGCGCAAACTCGCTTTCCTACACAGTATGCTGAGAGGAATTTCTGCACGTACTAGGTCTAACGAGAAGGAGTTAGCTGGAGCGCAGAGTTTGGTATGTTGATGCTATCCTTATGCAGCTGATGTCAGTCCACGAGGAGAGAATACTAATGAATTTGGTGCCGCAGTTGACGAATATGATTGCTCAGGACAATCATGAGGTCTTACAGCGATTAGCTGCTTCGAATAGCGACTAAGCGTAAACCGCGATGGCAAAATTCTTTTCATGATTTCGCTACCCCTCCCTCTAGAAGAATCTCGCAAGAGTTATAGGAAGCTGATTAGCAGCGCCGGAGAAAAGTGATATGGTGGCTCCTCAAGGCTCAAAGGATTCGAAGTTTCAGCCACGCCTGCGGGGGCGGCTAACTTGCATATACTAGGGCTCAGCCTTCATGCACCTATATCATGCAAGCAGGCGGTCTGAGAGCTGAACCCCAACATAAGATGACTTCAGCTTCCTCCTAATCTTGCGCTTTGTCAGACACTCTTGTTGCAATATCATTGATGTGACCGACGTTGCTTTGGAAAATATGTCTATTCCTCCATCGTCTCAGTCAGGCTCTTCTATAAAACCAGTCTCATTCCCTGATCCGAAGGCACTCGTGTATGGTAGGTGTTGGATCTCCCAGAGCGGGGTGAACATCGCTGACATTCGGAAAGACAGAGGAGTCTGTAAATGGAATATAGTGGGCGACTCTCCTTTGGATGTACTCAAGGTACGATGGTACAATTCTTGCGTGTGAACACTATGTTAACTGATATCTGCTCCAGTCCAAGAATGAAGCATGCATAATGTACGAATTTGTGTTCTTTATACCGAGATATGTTCCATGCATCAGTTCGTAGAGATCATGAAATATCGATACTGACGGATCACCTACTCGAGTAGTTTCACCCAGATTGGAAGGTTTACCAAAGATGCCAACCAACAGAAGGAGCTGTCAAAATGGTTCCCACCTATACCAGATATGTTTTGGTCGGAAACTGGTGTGAAACACAATGGGTTCTTTGGTTGTCATACTTCCACCATACCTGCCCCAAAGTTGCCGATCCACACTGCGGACGCTGCCACTACAAGACAAGAAACACCAAACCCAATTGATGCTTCTGGCCAAAAGAGCACTTGGACGTCAAGTACGACCTTGACATCTGATAACGAGGCCACTTCTCCCGACCCAACCCTAGGCTTCGATATCCAAACCACCTGGACGTATTTCCGTCTCATCGTCAAGATTTTATTGACGGAACCACTCGCAGATGGCACTCTTCCAGAGGGCGAGATAAAGTATGGCTGGGCTGAGATGGCATTCCTCAGTTTTTCAAACGCACGCAGAACCGTGATGATTTGCTTCGACATGCCGGACGATGTTCCTGGAACCTTGCTGAAAACTCTCCCTGAGGGTCTCCATGACTTCGATGGACCATTCGGGTTGCACATACCAGTGCTAGAGCGACTGGTCAAGCTTTACGACAAGAGTATCTGGGGTATGGCGAAGACAGTCAGAGCATTTGAGAAAGTAAGCCAAGCCTACAAGGACGAGTCTGGTATCGGTACTAACACGTTGCCAGCAACGGGAAAAAGACTCGAAACCAAAAGAATCGAAACCGGGTGCCTCTAGCCCGCAAGACTCTACTAAGCCTGACACACCGTCTGTTACCTCCGGTGCTCCTGGCCCAGTGATTCCCGATCCCTCCGACCCTCAAGAAGCAAGAGCTCAATTCCAGCGTCTTTTCGCCATATCTCGTCACATAACTCATTCTGTCGAGACCGTTCAAGTCGCTGCCGAGGTCCTGGAGCAAATGAAGTTGGAATGCAAGCTACTCCTGGAAGTCGATCTACAAGGGAGACTGCAAAAATTGAAATGGTTGCAGAGTATGCTAAAAGGCCTGTCGGCACGCTCGATATCGAATGAGAAGAGATTGGCGAGCGAGCAAACATTGGTAAGTCAACCATATATCCATCCTCCCAGCCCAATCGTGTAGTGATGTACTGAAGCAAGGCAATAGCTCTCAAACATGATATCTCAACGCGACAGCGAGGAAACGAAAAAGCTTTCCATCTCTAGCGGGGAGATCGCAGTGGCTACGGCTGTGGACAGTGAGGCTATGAAGTCCATCGCGTTGGTTACGATGACGTTCTTGCCTGCGACGTTTGTTACTGTGAGTCTTCCCTTCCTTCCTAGTTGAGTGCTTCCTTATCCAGCAATCGATTATACTAATCAACAATCCATCAGGCGTTTCTCGGCATGAACTTCTTCACCGTCAACTCAGAGAAGCCAGAAGGACACCTGAAGTCGTCAAAGGACGTGTGGATCTTCTTCGCCGTTGCTGTACCACTGACTATCGTGGTGTTATTACTGTATCGGTGGTGGCAGATCAGGAGAGCGAATCGTAAAGGCGATATTGAGAAAGGTGGAAAGGAACTCTGATAAACATAAAACATGTCTGGAATGTGAACATGGATTGGGGTTTCCTCGGACGAGGAAGATGTTACTGTATCTTAGACTGGAAGGATGTTGGGCTAGTACGAGGAAGGAGTTAAAGCCTTTTTTGAATTTCCTACCACGTCTACTCCCAACGTCTCATATTTGTAGCGGACTTCAATTTTAACACCACCTTCGACGTCCATTATGATCGAAGACCAGAGGCAAGCGATGATGGATACGGCCGTATTCTATACCATCGGTGGAGACAAGCTTCGCCACACGAATCCTTCGACATCGAACCACTAAAGAATAGCGTCATACCATAATATAGTGTTATATAATCTCGCCAGTCACCCAAATTTTCATCCTCGATTTAAAGAGTTCAAACTGTACTCCCGACCGTACCATGACTTCTCTACAACCACAACGAATCTCAACACTTCAACAACTGTACCCCAGCGTCTCTGTAGAGATACTGGAGACTGTTCCGACCATCGAAGATTGGGAAGCCACAAAGATCTGGGGAAGGCAGAATCCAGAAACCTGTATGTATGCGCTGGACAAGGGATTTGCAATGTACATTGCTGGCACCGAGAAATTGTTGGCTGTGCTTGGGCCAACAGCTCTTGAAGAAATTAGACCATTGGTCGAGGACGCAGAAAGGGAAACCGCTGGCAAGGAATGGGATGAAGAGCAAAAGCGCTGGATTTGATACGGGTAATACTTCTTCCAAGGCAAAGCTACAGCTGCAAAAGGCGATCCAGGTTCACTGACCCGTGTCCTTTAGCAGCCGCAACTCAAAGCCAAGCAGATTGAGATTGTCTGCCTATGGCTTTTGGAGCACGGAAAACGCATGCTCCATAGCATTAGCATCTTCCAACCGCGAACTTGCCATCCATTTCTTCCTATACTGCTGCCACACCCACCAAATCGCGAACAATATCAATGTCAAGACAATCGAGATGACAAAGTACATCCACAGATCATGAGAATAGGTTATGTGGCCGCCATGCGCGTCGGGATCGTACGCGAAGAAGTTCATGCCTAGCAAAGCCTATGTTGATTGTTCAGTATGTTTAGATGTGAGGATTTGAAGAAATTACTTACGGAGACGAATGTTGCTGGCAGAAATGTCATGGTCACGATTGCGATTGTCTTCATTGCCACTCCATCATCTTTGGTAGCCATGGCTATATCCACATTCGTTTTGGCGTCAAGTTGTGACATCAGATTGGAAGTCTGCAAATACGTGTCATCAGCATCTCTAATACTCAAGAATGAAGAAGCTGGAGAACCTGACTTACCAAGTTCTGCTCATTTCCCATGCGTCTGTCATTTGATACTGCTCGAGCTAGAAAGCCTCGCATCATGGAATGCTGAAATTTGAACATTTCAGATCTTGCGGAGAGAAGCTCCCGATGTGTGGTAGGTTGGCAAGTGAGAGATGCACATTGGCTAGCAATGCATTCGAAAACCTTTGTCGCCTCCTGCGTTGCTTCAATCGAGTGTACCGTGTGTCGCGAATCTTCGTATAATTTGATGAAGTAGTGAAGATCCGTATTGCCCATGGGCTGTGTGGATGGCATTGTTAGTCGGCGATTCAAGAGAGCGGATAAAGACAGGATTTACATACTCCTTTACTCTTCTCGTTGTTGCGCATGATAAATGCGATATCCCAGACGCTTTCATCGTATAATACCATGAGTTGCTCAAGTAGGACTTGATGGAAGCCATAAGGTCCAGTGATGATATCTTTGTTTTCTTCTTCCGAGACTATATCCAGTAAGGTGTAGACCAGAGACCGAGGTGTGTCAAGACACAATAGCAAGTTGCGATCCTCACTAAACGCAGAGACGAATGACATCTCGTACCATTGATATTGCGTAAAGTCGATATTTTTGGGCGTTGGCTTGATGGATTTGACGATCATGCGAAACCAAGTCTGTACGCTCAAGGGCGATATACCGTTTGGAGAAGTGGTACCAGATGTGCTGGAGGCAATCGAAGTCTTTGCTCCGAAGAACCCATTGTGTTGAACGCATGTCTTTGACCAGAACATTCTCGGTATATTCGGGAAGTGCTTGCATAGCTCTTGTCGTAATACAGGATCATTCAGGAAATGCTGTATACTTGAGAATCTGATGATCCCGTCAAAATGGTGTCTTTGTGTCTCCGGGTGGAAAGTTTACATTATACATGTCGATACTTGATGGTCCTGCTAGTGGTCAGCTTGCTGATCGTGATCTCAGGAGATCGAGTTACCCTTAGCAGGTCAAGTAGAGGTATTTCCACAATTTTCCATGTTCTATTCGATGGCTCTTGAGTTTCGAGAACATTAGTCTAGCCTCTCGCCAAAGGAAGGGTCTATATCACACGATACCATAGAGAAGAGCTTCGATGTTCGGATTCGATGACTTCGGACCTGCTTGATTGTGTGTGGTCGACATTTGGGACTTATGGATGTTTGCGACAAGATTTGGATCGATGGATACAGGCGCTATATGTTTGTTGGTGCCCGACGATCAATATATGCATGTCAGCCAGAGTGGCTGGGGCTTGATATGGCGCCCCTCAATAGCCCGGCCTTCTGCATGAGGCCGCAAGGCGGTGTATACCAAAGCGACCCTTCTTGATTGAGTGATACAGTGGTAAATCCCGAGAGCTGCTCATACGAGAGGCTTCAGAATTTGTGAGCATTGTCCAGGCAGAAGATACCTAGAATGCCATCGCATGTCGCAAGACCACCGACAGCGTCGGGCAATTGTAGCTGCACTTGTCGACGTCTATGACAGCTGACCTCGGATCCCGCGACACAACACTTGATTCAGGACTCTTCGGGTGATCGTTTCACGTTGCAGATTGACGAGACTCGATGAGAACCGAGATGGCAGCAGACAAAGGAAAGGAAGGGCATCGATGAACACTTGGTCTGTGCGAGACCGCTCAAAATCACACGTTCTTGACCCGAACCATTTACGTTCTTGCACAACAACACCAAAATTCATCGTTGATTGATGCAACATTGAGACAGTAGCTTGATATACTTAGCTGTCAACGGTATTTGTTTTGTAGGATGCTAACGAGAATGACACGCGACCCCGCCGTCTTTCTCGTGAATAATGCCTATCAACACCACGATCATAATCATACTCTTTTTGCTTCGTCTTCCTTGACCCTCTCTCTCGCTCTCATCAAACACTTACCTAGCAGATTCGAACCCCATTCGTCCCTTTTTGACAATGCCGACTTTGCGTTGAACCCAACACCCCAAACTCGATCACTCGCACTCGCCTCCACCAGCTCTCTTTCTCCTGTCATCAACAACCTCTCCTTCAAGTCTTTGTTCTGGGAAAATTTGAGATAGCTTCCGTCCTCGACGACCTTCTCCTTGACTGCATCCCAAGCTTCATCGTCCCAATTTGCCACGCAACGACCAAGCGCTTTTTGGTCTTTCGGGTATGGTGTTGCGAGAATAGAGGCTGCGGTTGTGAGATCATCGCGAAAGAGGGCTTTGTGGTGCATCATGTATTGCTCTGCACAGTTGTAGGTTTGATTCGTTGTCGGGTCTGTGAAGGACGAGAGATACCATTGGCTGAGATAGCCGTGTGGTTCTTCGTGTTCGCGATGCAAGAGTACTGGAGGGCGAATGCTCTTTTTATTGTGCTTTTCCCGTGGCGCAGAAGAGAAAGCATCGGAGGCCGGACCTTGTGGCGGTAACCTTACGATCAAGGAATTGGGTAGGTCTTCCATTTCGCGTTCTTGGGCATTTTCAAAGTCTTCTGTGAAGTTCTTGACTTGCGTCTTCTTGGACGATTTATTCTTCTTGGTCATGCTTATGCGGTATGTCGAGCCTGGGGGACTTTGCTGTCTTGCAGGGCAAGTGAAATACGCTATGGATGGCTATTTGGTTGCTTGTTCTGCGAAAATTATGTTGCGATGTCATGGTAAGGCAGTACATGTCGAGGGTCTATCGAGGTTACCTCACCGCGAAGTTCAATTTCGGACACCGGTCTACAGCACGTGGCAAAGTTAAGTCATACCATCGCACCTTCCAATAACATCTTTCACGTCTCTCCCATTCCTCAAATCAGACTGTTTGTATCTCTTCTCATCAAATACACATTCACAACCATGAAGATCCAAAGAGCCACATCACCACCTCCCGACATCATCCTCGGCCCTGCCAACACAAATATGAAAAACGCACCAATCCTCCCTATCGAAGAAGAAGCACCATGGCCAGACATCTCAGCCTGTCCGACCTCTCTAAACTCCCTGTTCGCCCTCACTCAAGCCGGCCTCTCTACGACTACCGCGTCTGCCATCCACACCGCCTACAATACAATTCCTCATCCATGCCTTTGCCTCAAAATCTACGCTATCAATTACCTCGCTCCGTTGGCAACACGGATAGATGTGTACGAGGAAGGTCAGGATTGGATAGGTGCGTTGATGGAGATGGGAGCCAACGATCAGTTGATACACGCGATTGTGCAGCCGGGGATGGAGGATGTGATGGTAATGAACACTGCTTGGGGATGGATGAAGGAGGCAATGGATAACAGATGGGAGTTTTACGAGTGGATGATTGAGTTGGGGAAGGTTAGGGAAGTTGACCAGAGAGGACCTAGGGTCTAGGCACATCAGCCGTTAAAGCTATGTTTCGAGTCCGAACCAAGTGGTTCGAAAGATCGAGACTCTGTGGTGTTACTCATACCTCCAAAAAGTATGAACATATATAGCAAAGTTTCAAACGGCGAGGCATTGTCGTATACGAGATACTGTTGCCTACAATGACAAAATATCTCGTATCCTACCACGCTCAAGCTCACTCGCCAGTCATAAATACCAGAGCCAACACGCACTTTTCTCTCAAGAGCAAACGTCAACACTCTACAGTCCCTCCTATATCATTACCCAAGACCATAAACCTTCGACAAAAACATACCTTCTAGTCACCTAAGACCACGACCACAACAACAGCTACAACTACAACTCAAACCTGCAACTAAAACCTCACCATAAACTCCACCACCCACCAACCATCACAAAAAGATGTCACTAGCCCCAGCCTCCTGCTTCGCCACACCAACCCACCTCTACCCAAGCATAAACCTCGACAACTACCCCATCCTCGAATACTACACCGAAGTAAAAGAGTTCATGGACAACCAAAATCCACCCAAAGACTGCCACATCTTGGCTTTAGATGACGGATTTGGAATTTACTGTTCGGATCATGTGTTGATGGGAGTATGTGGGTATTCCGCCATCGAGGAGATTATAAAGAGAGAGGAGGGGAAAGAGGGGTATATGTGAGAGGACATGAGATGAGAGGGAAAAAGAGAGAAGAGATGTGCAGAACGAGTAAAGTAAATGCAATATGGGGGGATATACAACAGATATATCTAATGACAAGAACAAAGACATCTTAGTCGTGCCAAAAACTCCATGTTCCCAAGAAACGCCCGTGTAACCAAATGGGTGACTTCTAGTTCTGCCCTTGGGGTTTGGAAACCTTTTTTACAGGATGCAACAGCATACCGGGTAAACACATCTTGCCTTGCCCACCTACCATGCCAATACCCCTGATATCCTTACCCTCATTCTCATCTTGTTTGCCTCCCCAAGATCCCAGACCGTCATCTTCTGCTTCCCAGCCGAGCCAGCGCCAGAACAACGTCTTAGGGAAGTCGGTAGCATAATACCACGACCATGTTTTGAAGTTGACTTCGCGATCGTGGGCATATGCAGAATCGAACTGTTGAGACCAACGAGCAGGGATTCCGGCGTCGGCGTTGAAGATCGCGTCAGCGTACCAAGCGGGCCAGTGGTGAGAGGACCAGATGGGGTGGGGTGCATAGACGGCCTTGAGACCGTGTTGGAGAGCCACAGTCGCAGGCCACATTTCCGCTTGCATAGACCTGCCATTCAAGTTCTCCACGTGCATGGCGTGAAGCATGCGCTTGGAGAAACGGGCGAGCGTGTTGATGAAGACGCGACGGGGAATAGTCTCGAAACCTTCGTGGTAGAACCCTTCAGCTGCTCCGTTTTCGGCTGTAAAGATTGGTCGGACGCCGGGGATGAAGTTCCAGATCTTGTGGCGGTAGGACCATTGTGTGTCGTTAGGATCCCAGATTGGTTGGAGAGTAATAAGATCAGCCTCCTCACCTACACCCCACGAGAAATCGTCGTCTTCTTGTCTGGTCGGAGGTTTCGGGCCGATGGGAATTTGGGTCGAGGCGTAAGGAAGGGCACCCCATACAGGAGTCATATTGCCTTGCTTTGTCGCATTTGCGATAGCTCCGTCAGTATCTGCGAGGTAAGATTGGAAATCTCCATGGGCCTCGGGGAGATAGAAGCGTGCGTTTCTCTCCCAAAGATGCTTTCTCGGCATCTTTTGAGCGAAGAAGCTAACCTGTTCGAGGAAGTGGTAGGGGTTTCCGGTGTATCTAGCATCGGTCTCCCAGTTCCAGACGTAGTCGAATTCGGGGTGAGTCTTTGAGAACCATTGCAGAGGCATGAACTGCATCCAGTAGACTTGCCAGTCGCCAACCTTGGGGTACCACTCTTCACAGACCTTTTCAGTCCAGAGGACGGAAATATCACGGAGCTCTTCAGGAACGACGGCATGGAGGACGCTGTTGTATGTCTCCTCATTGTCATAGATATCGGCGTCGCGTTGCTTGACGTTGACGAAAAGGTAGACTTGGTACTCGCCTCCACTGAGGAGGGAAGTTTCGGTGACAAGAGAGCGAATGGCTTGAAGGTCGTTCTCGGTGTATACGTAGCCTTCCCAGGTGCGGATCAGGATAGCGGTACGGTGATGAGGCTTAGCAGCGTTTGTGGATTCGGCATGCTGTGTCGACTCATCCTCTTTAGGCATGGTTCGGCTGGGTCTGAGCTGCATCGACTTGCGCTGGTGTTCGCCGTAGCGCTCCTTGTTCTTGCTCAGACAGTCGTTCTGCAACTCGCCCCAGCGCACGCTTCCCCAATCGGGTGCATTCTTGGCTGTGCTGTCGTATGGAGTGTAGCGTGATTCGCGGTCGAAGCATGAGTTCAAGTCGATGCCCAGATCCGAACCAACACTGATGTTGGGGAAGTTCTGGGGCAATTGTGGCCAGGCGTGAACCAGGTCTTCCGGACTCTTGTCTAGTGTCTGACCGCGAGGGCCCTTGCAGGAAACATATTCCCCAGTCCAATGCTTCTTGTATTCGGTGGATTGGTAATCGGGGTATGGCAGGTAGGGAGTGGCGTTCAAGCCCATCTTCTCGAGCTGGTTGATGCCGTTGGATGCGTAGTAGTCGACGTTCCTGTATGTGTCAGTCGAGTCTTGGTTTGGCAATGTTGCAGCAACATACATGGGCAGACCCTCCCATCGATTCGGATCATAATCCTTGTCGACATAGTCGCCGTAGCCAGGCCAATGGCCGCCCTTGTTTGGACGATCCCATTGGATAAACTCCTTGATCTTTGCCTGCAACTCCTTGTACGAAGCATGTACAAAAGGTGTGATTTTGGCAGTAGTGCCTGTCTTTGTGGCAGATGTGCTCACTGAATCCGAGGACGATGCGACGGACGTTGAGATTGACGAGGACGAAGACGAATGCGAGGTGGTGACGATGGTGGTGTGTACGGGCTTCTCCTCGTACTCTTCCTCCTTTAGCGGCGGAGGTGGCGCTGCGTGAATCTTGTCCTGGTCAGGCTTGTACTCCTGCCATAGCTCGCTCTTTCCCGAGTCTTCCTTGAAGCTGCTGCTGCCGGTTGTCGTGTCCTCGGGCACTCTGCCGTTGGTAAATTTGGGAAGGTCGTACTTGGGAAGGTATTCGGAATAAGTCGAGTTGCGTACCAGGACGACGATTGCCAGGAAGACAAGTATCGTCACAACTGCCAGTCGTCGTGGCGACCCGAATGGCGAAAGCAGCATGGCTGCTGTATAATTGAGCAGAGGGGGCTGCTCTACCGTGTTGTAGTTGGAGCACGCTCAGTCGCTGACGAGCTGTTGATTATTAGAGTCTATGCTAGAGTCGCTTTTTCGTAAATTCATAAAGGAAAAGTGTCAGGGCTGCTGAAACACGAGGATCAACCAACGATTGATCATGGACGAGTCTCCCCCTTATCACACACCTGCCGTTTGCCATTCCCTCTTCTCCTTTCTCCTTTTCGGAGCGGCTGTCTTCAACGTTTCCAATGGCCCGCCAAGTCTGCAGACATGCCTCCCGCCCGGCCTTTTTTGTATACACCTAACCCACGAACGCCTCGGCCAAGCCATTTGCATCTTTCTGGTCATCATTCCATTCGCTATCGGAGGATTTTGCTCTTCTCCTTGCTCGTTTCTTACTTTCCATCGCTGTTCGATATCATCTTCCAATGCCCTTTTGACGAGTAATACGCGATACGCGACCAGGTTGCTCGCCGCTGCTGTTTCAGAAATCGCTCATCACGAACATCCTCTTTTCCCCTCTCGAGGCTGTGCATTTCTCGTGCCCTTGTCTTCGTCTCTGACGACGAAGAATACAAAATCCTCTGTTTCTTGATAACACGTCCGAAGCTGTCTTGTCAATCACCAAAATGATTTATCCGGTTACTCCAACTAAGTACTCCAACTGCTCCATGTTTTGACAGCTCTCCATGACACTTTTTCCCCACTTCCGCCCTCGGATCCGACCCTTGGCCGACGCCGGAATGATGTACCTATCGATAGGATCAAGATAGGAAGACCACCATACATAACATTGGGGTACCCAGTCTCGAATACAAGTCCATAATATCTTCTCTCTCTAGCAAGTTGTCTTTTCTCTCTTTCGTGCTGTCAAACATGCTTTCAACTCTCTTCCCCGGCGTCGCTCTCATCACCGGTGCATCCTCAGGTAAGCTTCAACACATCCGCGATTTTATACACAACTCTATCTCACAAAACTGTACCAGGTATCGGTAAAGCAACAGCAACATCCTTCGCCCAAGAAGGTTGCACCCGTATCATCCTCGCCGACATCTCCGAAGCTTCCCTCACCACAACCCAAGAATCCCTCACCAAATCCTACCCCAACACCCAATTCCTCGCCATCCCCACCGACATCTCCTCCCCCGAAGCAGTACGAAACCTCTTCCGCAAAGCCGTCGAAAAGTTCGGCAGAATCGACTATGCAGTAAATTGCGCCGGTGTTTTGGGGGCAGCAAAGAAATCCCATGAGATGACTTTGGAGGAATTCGATCACATTGTTAATGTAGATTATCGTGGATCGTGGCTGTGTTCGAGGGAGGAGTTGAAGGTGATGGTTAATCAGGAGCCACTGGAGACTCACGATGGGAGAAAAGGGAGTAGAGGTGCCATCGTGAATGTGGCTAGTCAGTTGGGTATTGTGGCCAGACCTCAAGCACGTAAGTTTGCGAACCCTACCCTCGCAGTTGATATATATGATACTGATATGATTTACAGCGGCATACTGTTCAGCAAAAGCTGCTATCATTGGCTTGACGAAGTCAGACGCTTTGGATTATTCGGAGCACAACATCAGGGTCAATTGTGTCTGCCCTGGTGTGGTCGAAACACCACTCATCAACGATGAAGTGAGAAAGGCCATCTCCATCGCTCCTATGAACAGGTATGTCCGCTTTCCTCTAATTGTTACGTCCAAGCTTCCGCTTGTCATCCAAAATTGGATCAATATTTGCGTCTTGTGTCTTGAAGCCTCAAATCACATTCATCGCGGTGTTCTGGAGACGACAGCGGAGAAGACTACCGAGACATTCTCTTGACATTGGAAAATTTGTCGTCTGGCCAAAAGTGCTGATTTGGGTACTACAGAGCAGGTACACCGACCGAGATCGCCGACTGCATCCTTTTCCTCTGCTCACCAAAGTCATCGTTTGTCCAAGGAGCCGCATTGGTAGCAGACGGCGGATACACTATCAACTAGACCACAACAAATTGAAATCACTACCCACACAGACCAATCGACAAATTTGGGCTTCTTCTTCGCCCGCTGCAGTTGCTCAAGCATAAATCTGACCTGACTGTCAACCCTGTTATCATCTGCTCAATTCTAGCACGATCTGGCAATAGCAATACCCTGACCAAGAAAGTACCGCAGGATTCACAAGCTCCGCCAGGTAGCCCGATGAACAGAACCGAACGGTACTGTGGCTTCTTCATACACAAGCTATGTTGAATCAGAATTCTCACCACCAGGAATGACTGTTTTTTGCAACCTACTTTTATATTCTCTCTAATGCTGCTCGTCATCCAATCGCAAATAGAGTCTGAAACCATGCAGCAACCTCACCAGCATCATGAAAGAAGCCATGCCATGACATGCTGCCCTCCAAAGGCTCAGTTGTCTTCTACTTCTGTTGAAGCAACAGTGATATAGGTTCAATCTGTCACAAGATCTCTACAGTGATCGTTACTAGCGGTGAAGTCAATCGGCGATTGTCGATTTTGCTTGTTATATGCCACGCATGCCTGATACTTGGATTCGAGAACACAAAAGAACGAATGCATGTCTCTGTTGAGATGTTTTGGAGACTTGTTATATAACAGCATGTTCGGAACGCGTTACAGAGCTCTCGTGACACAACCTTATGCACTAGTAAACGTGCTGTGACCATCCGTATACAGCATCTTGATGACATTATCTCACTCCCATGGTCCTATACAGCGACAAAAACACCTGTCGCAATGCAAAATACTTTTGGTTTCTGTACATTTGTCCAAGGAGATGGAGAAATTTTCACGCTTTCACTGGACATACGTGGTGATTTGAAAAGCATTGTGCATTTCGACTGATGCTAATTCCCGGTGTTGGGACTATGAGATGCTCATGAATGCTACTAATATTACACCAAAGCCGTAGCCACTCCAGGCTTTTTGAAAGGTCATGCTCCATGGGTCTAAGTCCACTTCTGAACCACGACGCCGCCACGCTTGAGTTCGGCCAAGTCCTCCAACTTAGCGTCCATATCGGTCAGGGCCTTGTTGGGGAAGGTAGTCATGAGCTCGAATTCTCTGCTCTGACTAGCAACGCTGCTGGCAGTGACGAAATCGTAGACTTCACCGACGGTATGGCTAGTGTTAAAGCGCGATACCAAACGGGTGCCATCGCCAAGGCGAATCTGCAGCTGAACCGTAGGCTGTGACTCGTCAACATCAACCTTGGGTGCTGAAGATGCTGCGGGTGCAGCTGTCGATGTGGAAGGGGCAGCAGCAGGTGCGGGTGTGGTGCCAGAGGGGCCAGGGGTAGGCGAACCCAGGCGCTGACCAGCACCGCCAAAGGGCTTGTACTGCCTCTTGGGTGGCGTGTACTTCTCGTCCTTGTGTGGGTCCAGCTGGAGGTCAACTTCTTGGCCTGGCTGAACGCCGAGAAGTGCGAGAGGGGCACGTCCTTGATTGATAAGCGCGAGTACGGGAGCGTTTGCTGGGTCGTCGAAGCGATGGAGGGGCCCATCGTCAATACTGAAGCCGTCCTGCCACAAGTGCAGCGTGCGGCTCACACGAGGCGGGGCAGAGCGGGCGTTTGTGGGTGCAGCAGAGGCATGGGGGTCTTCGATGACACGCGAGGGAGCATCGTCGCCGCCGAGGGTTTGTGCGCGGCCTGAGAAGGCACCGCTGGCTTGGGCGGGTGCCGCTTCGTCTTCATCTTCATCGCCGGGACGAGCGCGATTTCTGGTGATGAATTAGCTGATTGAACAAACAAGTGAAGACGTAGTAGGCATACTCTCTGGCTTGCTGCATAATGTTACGGAAGTGATCCTGAGGGCGTCTGTTGGGGTCCTGAACGGCGAGACCAGACTTCTCGCCTCCAGCGAAGAAGTCCTGCTGAGGGTCTTGATCGCCATGGTCGTCGTCGCCATGGTCATCGTCGTTCTGAAGATCACGGAAAGTGCGAACCATGTTGGATGGATTTGTGGGTGGAGGACGGTTGGTTGATGATGATGATGAGGTGTTGGCGGCGGGAGTTGTTGATGGTAGGGATGGAACGGCTTGCTCTTCTACGTCTTCGTCGGAGCTGGCTTCGGCGGGATCGTCTTGAGAGGCGAAGTAGAGTGTAACGGCTTGTTCGAGGTTCCAGTCGGATGAGGCGAGAGCAGTTTGTGCCTGTGTTGATGATAAGTCAGATGGTGATACGAAGGCGCGAGGAAAGGTATCGAAGCCAAAGAAAGTCGGTCGTGACGCATGTGCATGTGGGGAAGGGTTCAATTCAAACTTACATTTGCAGGTGAAGCACCCGTAATACCACTGAACTGAGCGATAAGATCTTCGTGACTTGGATCCATATTGATTTGTGATGTGTTGATGTCTGCTTGAAGGCTGTGTTCAGACGTATGCGATTTGGATATGGCTGTCTACAAACAAACGCAGGCACGTCATGGGTGCCTTCTCCTTCTCGAAACGGATCCCCTCAAGCATGTGCTTGCCTGGTCATAGCTTCTGCGCGTTTGCCATGATGGGAACGTCTATCCAACAACTTGTACCTCCTACCTATCGAATCATCTGTATTTATTAGGTCAGTCAATTTGCTGTTAATTCTCCACATCTCTCCCACAGTCCAGTCTGGCTTGTCAAGATGCATAATGTTTTCGAGTTTGGTGAAGAAGCCCAGAGAGAGAAGTTACTCAGCGCCCTCTCACTGGACTCGACTTTATTACGGAAAGCATCATGCATTTCTACAGCTTGAGGTGTGACAGACAGAACGTTGTAATGGACGTCTAGATCATATGTGTAACCATGAGTCTTCTCTGGATTGCATGGCGATGTTCGATTTACTTCATGGTAGCTACGCGTTCTATGAGCAGACCGTTGATGATTTACCTATTGCCTGACTCCTTCTCAAAACAACTCCTTCCTTACCTCTTCACCTCGCTCTCACAGACTAGTCCGACCGAATGAATGTCTAGTCTAACGACGTGTTTCCAGTCAAATCGAAGCCATGTCCTTCGTCCGTACAAAGACAGCAGAGTCAGATCACCTGGTCAGCTGCGACGGCGCCAGAACGACAAAATGGCAGACCCCTCAAACCGGTAACAGCGTCCTGGAAATCCAGACATATCCCGACTCCTCCGCCATCACCAAGTCCCAACGCGAGCAACTTGTTCCTCCTTACCACTGGCACTGGTACCAGGAAGAGCACTTCACAGTGACCCAAGGGTATGCTGACTGTCTCCCTTCTCCAGTAACAATGCTGACCAGAAACAGCACTTTCGTTTTCACGCTTAACGGCAAAGACACCAAGATCTCTGCTACAGACCCGAACCCACGCATCAACATCACACCAGGTGCTCCCCACACCTTCGCTCCAGACCCATCGTACAAAGGTCCATGTGTGATTGAAATCTCAGCCGAGACATCACCCCTCTCATCAGAGACTACGTCCACCGATCTTGGTGTCAGCGAGCGCTTCTTCCGAAACCTGTACTCTTATCTCGAAGACTGCAGTCGTCAAAACACCTCTCCCAGTCTTCCTCAACTGTTGCTGTTCTTGGACTCGGCTGAGGTGAGTTTGGCTTGGGATGTTGGTCCGAGATGGCTGATGCAGTATGTGACTTATGGTCTGGGTGTCGTGATCGGCAGATGGATCGGTGGAGGTCTGTTGGGATACAAGGGATCGTATCTTGAATACTATAACCCTGAGCTCAATGAGACCAAGAAGGGCAAATGAGGTTGCAGACAGCTTGTGTGAGGGTACCACAGGCCCTCCTCTGTAACTTGTCGCATAGACTGCTTGTACATGATTTTATGCGATAGTGTGTGTTCCTTTCGATTTACCGACTTCCATTTTGGCTGTACGAGCGCCGAATTGAATCTGTAGAAGTTGTCAGTGAATCGATAGAAGTAGTGTACAACCAAACTTACTGCACGCTTCTTCTCTGCCGCAACATTCTTCATGCCAAGTTTCCATGCCAGACAACGGAGCACCTTTTTCGCAGGCTCCAGCGTACCAGTCTCGCTGTCGAGAGTAGTCTGGTCCTCTCCGAACCCGCACCTTTCCCAAACAGGAGCATTGACTGCCCACGAAACAAGGTCTTCGTCCAGAAAGGGAAATCGGGTCTCCCTTGCCCAATTGGAAAGAACGCGATCATCGCGACCAAGATTACGCTTTCCCAATCTCTCAACATCCAGATTAAGCTCTTCCAGGAGTCCAGTAAATCCATGACGGCGGAAAGCGGTATCATGTCGGGTGTAGCCACCGAAAAGCTCATCGGCACCTAAGCCAGAGAGCAGCACACGTGCTTCAGAAGTGTACGAGGTTGCTTCCTGGCTTTCCGAGAGAACTACCCCTTGTCCTCTGGAAGCAAAGTATAAAGCAGAAGCAATGCTCAGATCCATCTCGGTATTGTGAGGATATATCAAGCTGATGACTTCGGTTCTGTGAGTGAGGAACTCTTGGTATGGGACATTGATGGCGACGAATCTCCAAGTTCGGCTTGGACATGTCGTTTGAAGCTCGGCGAAGGAAGCTCTTCCAGTAATGCGGTCAGGGCAAAGCTCGAAGGGCGACCAAGGCTCGTCAGAGTCTGCATTCGCTGGTCGACGATGTACTCGCGGATTCTCAAAGGCGACGTTCAACAGGTCGATCGGCTGTGAAGGATCCAACGTGTCATGAGATAGTCGGGCCAGGAGGGTGCAGTCAAGACCACCTGAAAATAGCACAGCGAGACTGGCTGGTATCTGCGATGAGACGGCCTGCGAATGAGAAGGGATGTTCGAGATGCGCAAATCCAAAGATCTACGCAGCAAGTCTTCTATCTTGAGAACAGAAGGAGATGAAGTACTGAGATGAGATGCTGATGTATCATGGGTTGACGCTGAGGATACAACAGTATTGGGAGAGTGGAGATAGGGAATGCATGTTGGCTTGGAAGACTCCTTCTGTTGCATAGACTCATGGAAAGACCTGAGATTCAACGAATATATGCCATCAGCTTCGACTTCCTCCCATCCCTTTTCTGTTGAATCAGAGATGGTAGACAGGGTGAAGCTGCCGTTCTCGTCGACGCGGTACATCAAAGAACGACGGCCAAGAGGATCCCTACCAAAGAACAGAGTGTCCGACTTTGAGTCAAAGTATGCAAAAGCATAGGGACCAGTGATGTGACTCAGAGCATCCTGCATAATACTGCTCGGAGAAGATGAGACTGCACAGTTGGCAAACAAACGAGATACCGAAGCAAAGACGATTTCTGAATCATTGCCAAAGATAGGAGTACTATCGTACTTCCAAGCTTCGCCATTCCAACAGAGGAAAGAGTCAGGATAGTCCGAATGCTGTACAGGTTGGATAACAGTATGGTCACCTCTGAGAGCGAGGACTGTGCTGAAACAAGTCAGGTAGACATTTCCAGATTGCTGTTTCAACTCCTTGAACGAGTCAGGGCCTCGTCTTTGTAGAAGGTCGCGATGCCTTGCTGAAGGTACTATATGTCCTGCAGCACTGACAGAACAAAAGATACCGCACATGATTTCGAGAAAGGTGAGACAAGAAAGATAAATAAATTTTGGAACAAGCTTGGGAGATGGAAAGCGCCAAGACTCGCGTCATGGGCGGAAGTGGCAGCGCTTGTGGTGGCAGATGCCCCTCGCCGCCAGTGTCAAGGAGCTGATCAGACTCGATGGTTTGACCTGCAAGGAACATACCTAATATCTAATATTCTTCTCTCATACTTGTCGCATTCTCGTCCACCCAGCATATTTTGAATGGGCAAAGCTTGACTAGAGTTGGGCAAAACTGGGAAATTGTTGAACTCGTAAGCTCGGGATTTGATTGAGTCGACGGCCGTCAGCACTGGAATGCAACAAGGCGACTTTTAGTAACAACCACAACATGGACCCCGAAAAGGAGCAGAATGTCCTGATAGACCTGGGCATCCCTTTGGAGAATTCTCAGCCTGCACAACCTCCGCCATCAACAACGAGAACGGCAGCAAGCGATGAGTTGGCACAGAAGACGCAAGAGTTAGAGCTGAATGAGAAGCAACCGCTTGAGGACGAGGCACAACCACAGGTCAACAAGGAGAAAGAGAAGGAAAGAGTGCGGTCGCCCACACCTCCACCACCGCCCCCAAAGGACGACAAGTTCTTGCGACGACAGTATGCCCAAGACGACGAGCTCGCCAACATCATGGACGAGATGGACGACGACGTGGCGGACCCAGCTCTGCAGAAGATCATGTCTCCTCGACTTGACATGTCTTCACTGCCCATGCGCACCTCGAGTCTAGATCCCTCACCTTCACCAAGCACAATGACGTCCCCAAAACTGCAGCGTCAACAATCGCGCGACAGCTACATGTTCAGTCCTGCTGCTGTTCGTCCCGGCTCCATCTCAGGTGTCAGCATCCAGCAACCCGAACGGACCGATTCTCCTCGTCCTGCCTCGTCCATCTTTCAACCTCCGCCGCCTTCCCCCGACCCGGAACCCGTCCTTCCTTTCGACTTCCACCGTTTTCTCGAACAACTCCGCCATCGCACTGCCGACCCAGTCGCACGCTTTCTTCGCTCCTTCCTCAACGAGTTTGGCAAGAAGCAATGGGCTGTTCATGAGCAGGTCAAGATCATCTCAGACTTCCTCGAGTTTATTTCGAAAAAGATGGCACAATGCGAGGTTTGGAGGACTGTCAGTGATGCTGAGTTCGATAATGCAAGAGAGGGCATGGAAAAGCTCGTCATGAACAGACTATACTCGCAGACCTTTTCGCCTGCCATACCCGCACAGGAGGTCAGCTCTCCAACCAAGAAGCGCTTCCGCCATCAAACCCATTCTCCTCACGGTCCAGGCAGGAGAGGCCAACACCAAGAAGACGTCGAACGTGATGAGGTGATTGCACAAAAGATACGAATCTACGGCTGGATCCGGGAAGAACATCTTGACATTGCACCCATTACCGATAAAGGCAGACGCTTCTTGGTCCTCGCACAGCAGGAACTGCTCAAGATTGGTTCATACCGTGCCCCTCGCGACAAGGTCATTTGCATCCTTAATACCTGCAAAGTCATCTTTGGCTACCTCAAGAACAACAAGAGCGACCAATCTGCAGACTCTTTCGTGCCGCTGCTGATCTATACTGTCCTCCGCGCCAACCCTGAGCATCTCGTCAGCAATGTGCAGTACATTCTACGCTTCAGAAATCAGGATAAACTGGGCGGAGAGGCTGGTTACTATATTTCCTCTCTGATGGGTGTTGTGACATTTATCGAAAACCTTGACCGCACAAACTTGACCATCACAGATGAAGAGTTTGAGAAGAACGTCGAGGCCGCCGTTAGCCAGATCGCCGAGGGTCACAAGGCAGACGAGTACGAGGCGTCAACACACGACAAAGCTGCCTCTAGCTCATCACACTCTACACATCCTCAATTCAACGAGAAGAGCACTTTGAGCAGACCAGAAGTAAACACTAGAAACAGCACCGAAGGCGAGCGAACACCATTGAATCGAGGGAATAGCACACGTTCGAAGAACTCTGCCGGCGAACCTGAGGACGACAACGCAGCAGTCACCGGTCTCCTTCGCACTATTCAAAAACCACTGTCCACCATCGGCCGCATGTTCAGCGACGAAGGCCAGTCCTCGTCTTCCTCTCCCCAGCAACTTGCTACACCTCAACCTATCTCAACGCCCAGATTATCACCTGGTCTGCCAGCACTACCGCAACAGCGCAAGAGTGCCGAAGACACTCGTCGTCTACGTAGTCCTGAGCGAAGAGAAGTCGACCGAGCGAGGAGTTTTGAATCTAGTCGTGGTCGTAGCTCTCAGGACTCGGCGGCACGACAGGCGAGCAATGACATGGCTGAAGCCCAAAGAATACAAGCCCAGGAGCATCAGGTCGTGGTTGAGTAAGTTTTGACTTCATCTTTCCGTACACAACATCGTACTAACCAAGATACTAGGACGTTACAAGGCATGTTCCCGGATTTGGATCGCGAGGTCATCAGCGATGTCGTGAGGATGAAGGAAGGACGTGTAGGGTCTGCTGTAGATGCTTGTCTTGCATTGAATAATTAGCTGCAATGCGAAACACGCTTTACATCCACCAGATGTGTATTCTCTGTGCCCGGAACAGATGCACTCAACCGTGATCATCGAACCATTGTGCGTACTGCGCTCAACGTTGACTGACAAGCTTGAGCCTCAGCTTGTCCCATCTTGTCCGATTCAGACGTTTCGCTTCTCGTCCAGCGTGTCATTATGATTACGCAGTTACGGACACAGCCTGAACATGATTGCCGGTACAACTTGAGAGATCAGGCAGACATAGAAGGAGGTTCTAAAAGGAAGACCAGGGTCACCCTCAAACCATCACGAAAATAGCCTACGTCATTTCCACACGCGTGCATCTATCTCAGTCCTCACATACCTACTCTCCTCGTCAACTCTCACGAACACCCAAAACCAAGTCATTCTCCCACATATCTCCCACTAAAATCTCCAAGATGCCAGAAGTACGAATTCTCTAGCCCTTTCCAATCAATCTTCGTACTAACAATGACCACTCACAGATCGGAGAAGTAGCACGCATAGTGCACTTCCTACGCAAACACTGCGCCAGCAAAGTGATCTCAGCAGTCCAAGTCCAAGAAGACAACATCATCTACGGCAAAGTCGGGACCTCCGCCTCGGCATTCCAGAAAGCCATGACCGGAAAACGCATCCTCGACGCAAAACAACAAGGCAAATACTTCTGGCTAGAAATGGATTCCGCACCTCATCCGGTCATGCATTTGGGAATGACGGGTTGGATAAAATTCAAAACCGACGATACAAGTCATTATTATAGAAAACCTGAAGATGAGGACAAACCGCAAGAATGGCCGCCGAGGTTTTGGAAGTTTATTTTGCAGTTGCAAGGAGAGGAGAATGAGATTGCTTTTGTGGATCCGAGAAGATTGGCTAGGATTAGATTGGTGGATGTTGCTGCGAAGGAGTTGCGCAACACGACACCGCTCAAGGAGAACGGACCTGATCCGGTCATCGACAAGGAGATTCTTACTGAGCAATGGTTGGAGGAGAAATTGAAGAGTAAGAAGGTGCCTATCAAGGCATTACTTCTGGATCAAGCGAATATTTCTGGAATCGGCAATTGGGTTGCGGATGAAGTGTTGTATCAAGCGAGGATTCATCCGGAGCAGTACAGTTATACCTTCTCATCCGCACAAATCGCCGCGCTACACAAGGCTATGATGGAAGTCTGCGGGCTTGCTGTTGAGGTGCTTTCAGACAGCAGTCAGTTCCCGGAAACCTGGTTGATGAAGTACCGTTGGGATAAAGGAAAGAAGGATAAGAATGTCTTGCCGAACGGAGACAAGATTGTGCATTTGAAGGTCGGAGGAAGGACTTCTGCCATTGTGCCGAGGTTGCAGAAGAAGACTGGAAAGGTTGCTGGGGATGTGGGTTCTGCGGATGAGATGGAAGAGGACACAGCAGAATCGCAAGAGGAGGCCGCACCCAAGAAGCCCAAGTCAAAGGCTAAGAAGGCGACCACAAAGGTCAAGGCTGAAGTTGACGAGGAAGAGACCAAGCCCAAACGTGCAAGAACGACAAAGCGCAAAGCAGAGACAGCAGACGAAGACGAGTCCGCGTCTGTCAAGTCAGAAGACGAAGACACCAAGCCTGTCAAAAAACGACAGACAAAGACAGCAACGAAAACAAACGGCACGAAAGCCACACAGGCCAAGCCCAAGAAGACGGACGTCAAGGTCGAGACACCTGCTGCCGAGGGACAGACAAGAAGACGATCAGGTCGACTCTCAGGCAAAGACATCTGAGGCGAAGTAACCACATAACCATGCTTTGAATCTATACATCCACCATACTCCAAAAACTCCCATGTTCTTCACCCATTCATACCTTCGCTTACACATCCTTCTCACTTTCATACCACCCATTTCCTTTCATAAACCAATCCATACCGCCCAAATCAGCTTCAAGCACCTTATCACAATATCCTGTCGTCTCATCTCTCGTCTTCTCGGCCATATACCTACACACGCACCACCAATCCTCACAATCACCAAATTCTCGAGTGTGCTTGCCGAAGATCTTATGTATGATCGAGTCGATAGTCCATGATTGGCATTTGCGCAGGCAGTGGCGCAAGGCATTAGCTTGATCGCGCTTTTCCCAGTCGACCATGAAAGATGTAAGTGAAGTTGAAGCTCGGGTTCTGAAGGTTGGGTTGCGAGTAAGATGGTTTGTCGAGTTTTTGGTGCTGGCAGAGGAGGAAGCGATACTCTCAGTGGCGGTGTCGCTGTCACTGGCGTCGTAGTTGATGGTAGCGAAGTAAGTAGACAAGACTGCGATGAGGACAGCAGCCAGGCTACAGACTATCATCCCCAGAAAGGTGGAAATGCTCCTTGTTCTCGCTTGTGACATCTTGGTTATTTCCTCGCAAAGTCAGAAGAAGAAGAAGCTTTAGCGCAGTACTGATATGAATCAAACAGTGATGGCGAAAGCTGGCAAAGTGTTACTCATAACGTAGAAAGCGCAAACGTACGCATTTTCACTCGTCTCGGGAAGACGTACAGTACGTGTTAGGCCATACTTTCTCTTCCTAAGCATACTCCCTGGCATCGTGAGATCAACTTACAGACACCTCCACATACGGTGCATCGCCTTATACTCCTATACTCCCCCTTAACGCCCCCCATCACACGTCCACCCCCCATCCCCCTTTATCCACCACCCTAACCCCCCCAAATCAGCCTTAACCACTCTACCACAATACGTCCTCTCTCCTCCCTCTCCCTCTCCTCCTCCTCCTAATTTCTCCCCCAAATACTCACAAACACACCAATCCTCACAATCCCCGAGTTTCTCTCGATTGTACTCTCCAGTGTACAAATGTGCAGTTGATATCAGTGGCCAGGATTCGCATTTGTAGAGGCAGTGTCGGAGGGAGTTGGCCTTTTTGCGTTTGGGACTGGTATCGAAGAAGTGGGATATTAGGGAGCGAACAGAGGGGTTGGTTGGAGTGGTGAGGGGAGGGTGGGTCAAGGAGTTGGTGGTTGTGTCTGTGGAAGAAATGTCGTTCGCGTCTTTACTCCAGATGTCGAGAGATATAATAGCGAGGAAGAGGGTAGCGAGCGCGCCGATTGAGATCCACGTAGAGGTGGAAATGTTCAAAACTCTTCCTGGCGGCATGCTGACTGATTGTCTTGGGCGAGTCGCTTGAATGAGAGGTGGAATGTTGACAAAGAGCACAACGTTGACCAGTCTTTCAGAGAGTCAAAGATTTGGCAAGCGTCATTCGTATCTCGAATGCAAAGTCATATTATTCTTCTGCAAGGTAGGTAAGAGCAACGGTGATTCTCAGATCAGGGATAAGTAACCTTTGCTAGCCATTTCTCCTCCGATAGGCTGCTTCAACATGCAGTATGCTGCTTCCGGCATCTGCTAAACCCCTTGCTTCGACTCTTTGTTCTTCCCTCTACGATTTAATCCGCCCAACTTCTGCTCCAAAGCCTCATAACAATACAACTTCAAACCTCCCATCTCACTGGCCGACGACCGACCAAAAAAAAACTTCCTACCATCATTCAAGTCCCAGCCCATGCCTCAGGAAACAGGTGTGAATGTCGCCATCTCGTACTCGAGTAAAGATGGCGTTTATGCAGATTGTGGCGAAGAATCTTGGATCTGTGTCTGTGCTTGAAGTTGCGGGTGGTTGACAACATCTCTGATGTAGGACTTGATGGATGGAGATAGGTTGGTCGGGTGTGGGGTGTTCGAGGCTGCGAGACTGGTGGTCTTGCGGGACACGCTCACGTGGCCCTTGAAGATATCGGTAGTTGGGGTTGCGAGGCCGATGGTCAAGGTGAAGGGCGAATCAGTTGGAGCGCCGGGCGGAAAGGTGAGGTCAGTCGTGACTTGGGTGCTGAAGGTCAAGGTAAAGATTGGAGTAGTGATGGGTTCTGATGGCAGGTGGATCTCTCCGATGAGGGTGGGTTCGAGAGTTGACAGGGTTGGAGGCATCGAGGCGAATCTGAAAGAGGTTGAGAAACTTGTGCCTTCAGGGATGGTGAAGGAGGGGCTGGTGGCTGATGGACCGCCAATGTCTGCGATGATGATGGAATCGAGAGTTGCAGACGGTGGATCTATAAAGGTGAAGGTGTGGGTGCGATGTCGGCGACTGCGGCGAGTGGGGGATGCCATGTCGATGTCTGCGGTTCCTGAGATGTGTCTTGTAATGTTGACATCGACAGAAGAGGCAGAGATGATTGTGGCAACAAGGCCGGCAATCAGCAGGAGAGAGGTGAAGATGTTCATCATGATGGCTTTGTAATATGTAGTCGATGGATGCTGTTTGATGGAATGATGATGATGAACAGAAGAAGATTGTTGTGGGAGAGTGGTGTTGATGTCTTTCGGAGAGAGGATGCTCATCGGCAGGAAGGCGAAGACACTAGGCGTTCGAGACTAGACTCATGGAAACTGCGATTTGTCTTGTCTTGCTCCTACCATTTGTGATATTGGAAGTCGACACAGCTGATCATCACAAGCTTGCACCTGATGAAGCTTCCGATCTGCCCCCAATAACACTTCTCTTTCAGCACTCTGACTTGTGATTCTCTCCCCCCCTCCTTCGTCCCTTCTGCATACGTGTGTCAGATTACGAAAGCTGCGATAGGCCTTTCCTCGCTCTTGCAATCGACACAGGGAAAGACATGACGACCGATCATCGCGAACTCCTCAGATTGACCCGTGCCTTCCCAATGGCTAAGTTCCGCTACTCTTCCATCACACCAATCAACCATTCCAACCCCTCCTTGCCCTCCTTGATCCCATAACACCATGCCAACACGAAACAGTGCATCAATCCCTCCCAGTGTAGCCACTTCCCGTCCACACCCGCCTCTTTGCATCTATCAGCAAAATGTTTCGCCGGTGGCGCTAAAACGTCCGCTCCAGCAGTGACACCATAGATAGCTATCCCTCTTTCTTCGAACACACCCACATCCGCCAGAACCGGCGAGATATATGGCGCCTCAGCATCAGCACCTCGACTCCAATTCTCGGCCGTACCGTTCGTGAATGGAATGCCTAGCAGAGGATCAAGCTTATCCGCTGCGACCAAGTCTTTTTCGAACGGCGACGAAGCCACAGGCTGAGGCCTCAAATCCACAGCTGGAGAAACCAAAACCAATTTCTGCGGTACCGGTGCCGAAGGAGTGGACGTAAGGACTTTGACCATCAAGCCCAGGACTACGTTGCCTCCTGCCGAGTCGCCTGCGAAGACAATTTCCGTACTCGCTTTGTCCGCTTCAGATATTGGGAAGAGGTAGGGATATAGCCTTTCCAGCGCTGGTATCGAGTCCTTCGCTGGTGAGTTTGGTGCCAAAGGGTAGGAAACTATCGTTACTGTGGTGTTTGCTAGACGATGGCATAGCTCGGCGCAGAGTTTCCAATGTTCAGGACTCGGAGGCATTTGCCAGCCTCCACCAGCAAAGTAATAAATGTGTCTCTTCCTCTCAATTTCTGTTGATTTCGACGATAGAGACGCAGTCTTGGGAGTCATCTCATATAGCCATATTCCTTCGACTTGTCGTTCGATGACATTGCAGCGTTTCTTTGCTGTTCTGTGGATATCGAGGTTTGGTGATCCGGCTGCGAACTCCTTGTTTGGTTTGATCAGATGCGGGCGAAACGGCTTAATCACAGTCTGGAGGAGAGCTATCGGTGTTGATTTGCCCGATCTTGTTGTTATCGTCATGGTGTTATGATTGTGTAGTGGTGTCGCTGCTGCCATGGCTATGATGTCTTGCGGGTCACAAAAGCTCTCCTTGCTGATTTGTTGGTGTGATTGGCTTAGAAGATCCGAAAATATTGCTGTTCCTCTTTACTAAGTATTCTTGGCTGTTGGAAATATGATAATTATGCGAGAAAGGAAATGATTGGGAGGGAATGTTTATACCATTGAAACGCTGGTGTCGATGACGTACTTGATTTCCTTTTTGGTCCTCATCTTCTTCTAGAGTAATTGATCGGAAACCACGCGACAGATAACGGTCAGCTTTTGCGCATTAACGCTGATTTGTATTTCATCGACTTCATCTCCTTCGCTCGGAGTGCACGCTGTCGTGATAATAATGCATACCTATTCGTCGGTGTCGTTCAAATGACGACGGTTTCGATGGCCTCTACAGCATCTTATCAATAGGCAGAGGAGAACCCTTCAGAGACATGTCAGCAGTATGTGTCGGTATTATACGATTAGTCCACAGCAGTTTCTGCGGCCTTCTCACGAGAGGTGTCCAGCTGGAACGGATCGAACATAATATTCTACCGGCGAAGTTTTGTCAAAAGAGAGCATCAAGTCGTGTTTCCCATATCAACGATGCGCACATGTGCCCGAGTAGCTATCTAGACATCCAAAACATTTGTCTTAAGGAACTTTCAAGCTTTTGAGTATAGAATTTGACCACATCACAGCTCATCCTTGACAGTCTTCTGCTTCGTCTGTGCCAACTCCATCAATCCTCTTCTGACCATGCTAGTGACAATCTCATAAACCACCTGCGCAGCCGCCAAAGCCGTAGTCTCGGCCTGAGAATCATACGCTGGTGAAACCTCCACAACGTCAGCTCCGACAACATTCAAGCCCTCAATACCTCTGAGAATGCGAATCAATTCTCTGGTAGTCCAACCACCGGGCTCGGGAGTACCAGTACCAGGGGCAAGACCAGGATCAATAACGTCGATATCGATGGAAAGGTAAACAGGATAATCCTGAGGCACCGTGGCCAAGATTTTGGAGATGACACCCTTAGTACCAATATCATCGATATCGTCAGCTGAGATACGGACGAACCCCTGCTCAGAATCATTGGTATAATCATCTTCGTCAGAAAGTCTCGTACGCAGACCAGCATGGATAGAAGAACCGTTCGCAATCAACCCCTCCGTAGCAGCCATCCAAAACATATTTCCATGAGTGAAGAAAGATTGCGTGCTAGGATCTTCCAGATCCAACCAGTAAGAAGGGTATTTTGAGGGATGCCAAGTATCCAGATGAGCGTCGAAATGCACCACAGCGACCGGTTTGCCATACTTCTTGTTCAGCGCTCTCAATGCGGGAAGAGCGATACTGTGATCACCGCCCAAAGTGACGATTTTGGCAGTTTGCAAATAAGTAGCTTCTGAAGCTACGTTGGCGGGAATGGCCACACGGGTAGAGAGCTCAATGTATCCCTCACTCATCTGACGCAGAGCCAATCCATTGTCGAAAGGAGTGATGGGGATGTCTCCGCAATCCACAACATTAGCCCATGAAGTGTATGGGTTCAAGCTAGCACGGGGGTTATATCCTCTCAATGCGGTTTGACGAGCAGAAGCAGCGCGAATAGCACGAGGGCCGAATCTCGCTCCAGGGCGATAAGAAACAGCCGTGTCGAAAGGAGCTCCGATAATGCCAATGTCAAATGGTGTTTGCGGGTTGGTCAGGCACTTGTGGTGAGGCAGGTGGGCAAAAGTGCTGATACCACCAAAGCCGAAATCTGTGCCCCATTTGTCCTGGAGTTCTTTGAGTTCGCTGGGTGTGAAATCGCGTTGTCCGTGGTTATGATGGTCACCGTGGCCGGAGACCAGTGGGCTTGACGCCGCTAGTAGAGAGGCGATGGCAGTAGAAGTGCGCATTGTGAGTATGAAGTGAGAACACAGGAGAGAAGAAAAGGACACCACGACAGAGCACGCCGTCGATATTTGTACTCGATATCGCCGGCGCTCGAGCAGGTTGGACTTGCTTCTTTTGGTTGATCTCCTATACCTACCCAATTGGGAAGGTGTGGAGCTGAGAGCTTGGTCGGAGCATAGTTATGCATAACTTATGATATTATGCAACGTCACTCTCATATCGTTCTGTTCTTCTCTGCATGCTGTTCATTTTGCATCATAATCTATCATCTCATCCAAGTCATAATGTTCATCAACCATGAAAAAGCCGAAAGTCTTTCTCCTCCTCTTTCTTACAGTCCAGCAACCTTCTTAAACCACCCCTGGGTTCTTCTAGCAATCTCCTCCTTGACACCTCCACCACCACCTCTTCCTTCACCAACAACTCTACCATCCCAAGTCTTTTGTGTCTCGAAACCCTCATACCCAGGACTGTTGAACGCCTTATTTCCTCTTCCACCTTGACGTTCGAGTTCTTCCTCACGTCTCCTTAACTCCTTGCGCTTGCGTCTTTTGCGGTCCTCTTCCGTCTCCACACCACGAGACTCACGTTCGCGGCGATGACGACGACGGAGCTCGCGAGCCGTGCTTTCGTCATCCGGGATTTCATCGTCTTGAGGTTCAGCAGGTGGGAAATCCAAGATGGTAGGCTGAAGAGGTGGTGGCAAGGGAGGTGAAGACGTCACACTGTTCACCCAATTAGATGTCTTGTCCTTTGGAGGACTTCTAAGATCGCGTCCATTGGCGTCACGATTGGGAGCACGAGCGTCGAAGTATGACTGTACGGGTGCTGTGGAAGAGCGATGCAGATGCGGTTTCCGGTCTGGATCTGCAGCAGAAGAGCGACGAGAGGCATGGCGGTCAGCTCGTCGTTGGCGTCGTTGTTCTTCTTCATCTTGCCTGGCGCGTTCGGCGTCTTCGCGTTCTCTGCGTCTGGCGGCCTTTTCGCGTGCTCGTAGGTCCTCTTCTGCTGCCTCTGCTGCTGCGCGTTTGACTCTTCTTTCTGCACGTCTGCGTTCACGTTCTTCGGATTCGATGTTTTCTGCTGCTGGGGTCGGTGGCAAATTATCAACGGGCGTAGATGGCATGTCTTCGTGTCGATGGACACGTCTGTGTTCGCGGCGAAGGTGGCGCTTGGAATCTTCCTCTTCGTCACGGTGAGGGGTGCGGTGTCTGCTGTGGCGTGCAGATCCATCTTCACTATCATAAGCACGATTGCTGCGATGGCGGCGCGAGAGCTCTTCCACTGGCTTCGGCTTGAGTGAATCCAGGATATTACTGAAAAGACCCCCTGCTGGTTTCCTCGCGCTGGTGGTTGCTGAGCGTTTCAATGCTGGTCGCGAAGGCGTGACAAAAGGTGTATCTTCTGGTGTCATGACGGGGTCCGCTTCATTGCCATTGCCGGGACCAAGACCGCCGGACATCATTGCCGAGTCGCGCTTGTCGTGCTTGTGCTCACTTCGACTGGACCTCTTTGTGCGATGGCTGCTGGACCTGTCAACAGAGGCGGAGTGCGTCGCGTCGTCAGGAGTGTTGTCAGGATCGATGGCGTACGGATCTGGCACAGTACGAGATTTGCGCTTCTCTCGTGTCGATTGACTGCGACTCAGAGTCGGTCGCGGTCCGACTCCCATCAATTTGGCGGCTTTACTAGCGATGTCGCCTGGCGGAGATAAAACGTCGAAAGAGCGTCGAGATTCACGTACTTGAGTTGGTCGTTGCGCAGAAGTTGACTGGCGCATTGATTTAGAACGCGTGGGCGTGGGACCGAATATGTTGAAACTCATGCCTTTGGATGGAGTAGGACGATCTTTACTCTCTCTTTTCGATGCTCTGTCGTCGCTGGAGGTTTTGTCAATTCTGTCCATGACGTCGCGTTCGGTTGCTTTGCGCGCCGATTTCGATCGAGAGAGTCCTGGAGCAGAAGTGCGCTTCAAAGTTGGAGTTGTTGTTGTTGTCGCGTCTTTGCTGGGCCGGCGTTCCTTTTTGACCCCTGGCTTTGGTGTTGTTCCCCAATTGCCCCAAGAACTACCAGTCGGGTCGCGAACAATCTTTGGTCGCTCCTTTTTAACAGACTTAATCTCAGCCGTGGGTGTGCTCGGCGCAGAAAGGTCGACTACTGTCGGGCGCGACGACTTAGTTGGCTTCTTGACTTCCTTTTTGACTGACGACTTCTTCTCTTTGGTGACCTTCTTGTCAGAAGCAGGTTTGGGCGTAGGTTCGTTCACTTCGACTGGAGGTGGCTCGATAGGTGCGGTAGCCGAGGCTTCAGGCACGAATGGTGGTACAGCAGGTACATCAGCCAGCACATCAACCACGTCATCTTCAGGAAAGCCACCCGGAATAGGGCTCAGAGAGGGAGGAAAGTCGACAACAGGCGGAGGAATCTCGATAGCAGCTGGTGGTGGAGGAGATGGCTCTTTGTCTTTACCTTTCTTTTTCTTCTTGTCCTTGGAAGATTTCTTGACAGTCTCTTCAATGACTGGTGGTTCAGGCACGATAACGACTTCAGATTCGGGCACAACGATGAGTTCGGGTTCGGGAAGTGGCTCAGGTTCGGGAGCAGGTGGTAGTACAATGACCGCTTCTTTCTTGGTAGCTTCACCTTGCAATCGCTTGATCCTGTCTTTGACAGACTCCTTGGCACCAGTGTCGACTTTCACCTTCGGAATGATAGGTTCCTCAACAGTGTTTTTGACTGTGGTAGGCTTCAGGAAAGTGCCCCAATAGCCCGTATTTGCGGGCTCGGCTTCAGGAAGCATGTCAATAGGCTCATCGGCGAGCGCTGCTGCGAATGCAGCCTCTTCGTCTGCTTTGCGTTGCTCTTCTGCTTCTCGCTCCAGACGCTCCTTTTCCTCTTTCTCTTTCTTCTCCCTCTCCTTCTCCTTCTCTTTGTCTTTAGAAGAGGAGGAAGATTTGGACTTGCTTGAGCTGCCCCAAAGACTGCTGCCCCAACCGGAAGAAGTCTTGACTTCCTTCTTCTTGGTCTCTTTCACGGACTCTTCAGCTGGAGATGATTCAATGATGACAACCGGTTCGGGCTTCGGCTCCGGCTCTTGCATATCAATCAGCTGTTCAGGCTCTGGTTCGGGAGCAGGAGGCGGTGCCTCGGCAATCGGCTTCGTCTCTTCAGCGCCTGAGCCCTTCTTCTTTTTGTCCTTCTTACTCTTCTTGGTGGAAAAGGAAGCCCAAGGATCATCAGCAGGTGGCTGCTCAACATGAGCTTCAGGTTCTGGCGGAGGTGGAGGCACTTCGATAATGGGCTCTGCCGACTCGACAGGCGGGGGCTCGATGGCGGCCAAAGGTGGAGGAGGAACAGTATCACCCTTCTTGCTCTTCTTCTTCTCCTTCTTACCAACACTCCAGCCACCCCAGGAGTCTTCTTCAACAGGTGCAGGATCAGGCTGTTGGACAGGGACATCATAGACAGGTTCCACAATCTCGACAGGTGCGTTTTTGCTTCCCTTCTTTTTTGACTTCTTGCCCGTAGCCCAGCCTGACCAATCATCTTCTTCTGCCTTGGGCTCGTCGATTGACTCAGGAATCATGACGACTGGATCGTCTTCGAGGACGAGCTCAGGCTCCGGGGCTGGTTCAGGGACAGGCTTGGGCTCTGGTGATTTGCTCTTCTTCATTTTATCCTTCTTCGAGGTTGAGCCCCAGCCGAATGACCATGAACTACTGCTTTCCTCGGCGACAGGTTCAGGAACGGGCGGCGGAGGTGGAGGCGCTTCTGGCAGGACTTCCTCAACGCCTTTCTTACCTTTCTTCTTAGTTGTTGTACCCCAGCCAAAACTCCATTCGTCTTGTGGTGGTTCCGGAATCACAAGAGCGGCCGAGTCATCAGCGGCCTCGGGAACAGGAGGGGCTTCTACAACTAATGGAGGCTCAGGAGCGGCAGGAGGATCAGGCTCAGACCAGTCGAAAGCGTTCTTTTTTGCTTTCTTCGCCTTCTTTTTGTCTTTTGCGCTCATTCCCCAAGAGAAATCATCGACAGGTTCTGGCTCAGCAGCAGGAGGAGGAGGAGGAGGTTCCTCAACGACTTCAACGACGGGGGGTTCGGGTTCGGGTTGGGGCTCTGGAGCGGGTGTAGGTTCAGGGTCGGGCTCAGCGATGAAGTCGAAAGCATTTCCTCCTTTCTTCGCAGCAGCCTTTTTTGCCTTCTTCTTGTCCTTAGCGCTCATGCCCCAACTGAAGTCTTCTACAGGAGCTGGTTCAGGTTCTGCGGGAGGAGCTTCAGGCTCAGGAGGCGATTCTTCGATGACAATGACAGGCTCAGGCTCAGCAAGTGCGGCAGCTTTGGCGGCTTTCTTTGCCTTCTTCTTATCCTTTGCGCTCATACCCCAACCAAAGTCGTCGGCAGGTTCGTCAGGGCTTTGAACATCGATGATTGGTTCAGGTTCAGGTTCCGGCTCGGGCTCGGGTTCAGGAGGTGGTTCTTCAACAGCACCACCCTTCTTCTTTTTCTTCTTGCCAGTGCTGAATGCAGCCCATGGGTTGTCGTCGGTCTTTGCTTCTTCCTCTGCTGGTGGTGGTTCGGATTCTCCAGGCATCTCCCCTTCACCAGCGGCATCCTCAAAGCCGAAGTCGAAGGCGTTTCCAGACTTTTTCTTCTTGTCCTTCTTACCGAAAGTGGCCCAGTTATCATCTTCTACTGCCTTTGCACCACTTCCCCAAGCGCCATTGGTGCCGAAACTGAAGCTGTTGCTGTTGCCGAAGTCCAGGTTGACTTTCGGGGGTTCGTCATCGAGTTTGACTTCATCAAGAGGAGGATCCGGGTCGGCGTTTTTGCCCTTCTTCTTCTTCTTCTTGCTGGCTGTGGTGAAGCCTGCCCAGTCGTCTTCTTCAGGTGGAGGTTCTTCGACAGGAGGAGGTGCTTCGTCTTGCTTGTCTTCCTCTTCCTTGTGTTCTTCGTCGTCTAGGGCGTCCCAGCTGAAGGCACTCTTCTTCTTGTCCTTTTTGCTCTTCTTCTTGCCATCGTCCCAATCGTCATCATCATTGCCTCCTCCATCCCCTCCTGCGCCATCTGCACCTCCACTGCCGCCTGTGTCGCCAGGTTGATCTTCTTTGTTGTCTTCTTCAGGCTTCTTCTCTTCCTCGTTGTCGCTGTCCCATTTGTTTTTGGCAGCAGCAGCGCCCTTTTTCTTCTTCTTGTGCTCGCGCAAGTTATCGCGATACTGAAAATCGACTTCTGGTTTCGTACTTCCAAAGAATTCATCCCTTCGTTTCCCAGGGGTTGTCAAGATCGGTGACGGTGCATACGCAGGAGGATCGCAATCCCACGTCGCAAGCGCATCGGTAGTCGTGTAGTCAGGTGGTGTGTCGTTCACGCAATCGTCATAACTTGGAGGGGTTGCTTGTTCGAGGTCAAAGAAGAGTAGACCCGGTAGTCGGAGTGTTTTCGTAATCGTTCCATCGTGATGGTCGTGGTGATATGCATTGCCAGCGCATTTCTGCAGCTCTGGTTGCTTGGAATCGCTGGTTGGTGCAAGCTTCAGCGGGAGACGCGCCGCCAACGCGCGCGCGACAGGAACCGCCATTTCGTTATCACCACTCTATTGCATTTGATGCTATTCTTCGAAAATGTCCAGAGGGTAAAGAGCGATTGTCGTAATTCGTAGAAGCAATATACACCAAGAGTACAGAAGGAAGGTGTAGAACCGCCTCTTCTCTCTCGGGACTAAATTGCGGCGGCTGGGAGACCAAAGCTGCTAATCAAAAGAGACAGACCAATCCAAAGCAGGGAACAAAGCTGGTCATTCGCTGCCGAGCGAGAAGTGGCATGTCACAAGACTAGCAGGAGATGTGATGTGATGCACACTTGTATCCCCTTTTCTCCTCTTGTACACCAATATACAAAGCAGAGTAGCAAGGGTTCTGTTGATTACTCCCCTTGCCGTCGCAGTCAAAAGCAGAAAAAAAAGGAGGGAAAAGACACCTTTTGCAAACAGAAGACCCTTTTGTGTACTTAACTTGATCAGTCACATATTTTGACCTTCGTATGTGATTTCGCATGCGTCCATTACTGCCGGTCGCCCCGCTGCATGAAGAGGGGCAAAAAGGCATGCAATCAAGCTGCTTTGTGAGTCGCAGAGCCGACGACTTCTTGACCGCAACTTCGGCGATGGGGTGGGAAAGGGTGTGGGGCTTCTTCCCGTCGAAAACACTCCCCAGAAGTGTCACTTGTAGCGCCCGTCCTTTGACGAACATTCCGATCAAACAAAAAGATAAACATGGTTTTGCTAAACCTTTTATCGAGTGAGATGTTTCTTCTGCAGTGTAAAGATTCATTTTGAGCCTCAAAAGTCAAACGGTTGAAGGAGTGCTGCAGGGTATTCGTGGGTATTCAGCAAGAGCACGCGCATGAGCGAAGACCCTGCATGCATCCACATATCGGCATTGAATGAAGCCTAGACGGTTACACAGGTAGCGGTGTGCAAACATGCAGAATGGGCAACATGTGCATTACCGTCTGCTTCGCTATCACGCATATACTGTTCATATGCTCGGCTGCCGACAGCAAGAGTGCATGTCAAGTCGGACCGTGTTGTCATTGTTGAGCTGTCTGGACACGATAATATGGGAGTATGTGATGATGATTCATTTGTTGTTATTCATTGTCTGGTTTCATGCTTATGTAGGTGTTTCCATGCCCATTGCTCGTATCCTGATGTTTCGTGGTCTTCATGATTGTCGGTCCTTCATAGTCGTAGCTGGTCGCTTAACCGTGGGTGACCTTGTGAACGGTGCCGTCATCGCCAACGTGGATGTTAAGGCTGTATTCGACCATCAGCTTGTGTCCTTGCACGTCGTTCTCCTCTCCTCTTGCTGCACTTACCGATCGGGGTTGTGGTCCATGGTCATCATCGAGTCGCCCTTGACGACACGGTGCTGCTGAGGAAGATCTTTCTTTGCGAATGTCTGTGATTGAGCTTGTCAGTGAATGGTTTAAAAGGCATGAAAGGCAGAGTGAGACATACCACGTTGTCGCTGTTGTCACCGAGCTTCTTGCCCATGAGCTGATCCATCCACTTGGAGGTCTTGTCGTCGCCACCGCTGGACTGCATTCCGGGGATTACGAGAGGCATGTTGGATTAGATGTGTGTATGAGAACTGTGTAGTGTTTGGAGAGTATGTCTTGATTGTTCAGATAGAAGTTGGAGGTCGTGAGATTTTATGAAGAGGGGCAGATGAAGCCACAAAGGTGGTTGCCTTGGATTCCTGCCACCACAAAACGGCCGATGACGTACATGGGGCTAAGCTTTCACCTTGACAACACAGAAGATTAAAGATAGGCTGAATGGAAAACTTGATCAAATGACTTCGCGTGCTGTTTGCTGTATCGTACGATCAGGATAATTCTGGTCTTCATTTGATGTGACAAGCTGATGCTGTAGCTGGTGACTGGGACTGGTTCCATGATCATTCTTCCAGTAGCTGCTTCCTTTCGATAGCTATCAACAGAAATATCACTTCTTGAGCAGATATTCCTTGCTGACCAATGTCTGCAAGACTCCATATACTCCAGAGACTGGCCATATACCCCAAGCCTTCTGAGTAGCCCACTCGGTCCATCCTGGTTGACCTGTTTGACTTGTGCCATTACCAATCGCACAAGCCTTATTGAAAGCACTCGGTAGATACTCAGCTCTATACTTTTTCCTCAAATCCAGATAAGACTTCTCGTCATAGATATCCCAGAACTCCGACTCAGTATAGAATGCTTGAGCATACAACCATTTCCTGCCACCATGCTGCTTGACGAGGCTTTCCAATTTGCGATTTCTCTCAATCCCTTCCTCAGGAGTGCTTGCACCGTTCGGACCCCAAACACCAACGTTAATGAGTAGATTGGTATCAATGCCATGTGGATGGAACGAAGACTGCTGTGTCCATGGCTTCATCGGACATAGCCATAACGGATAGAAGTCAAAGGTTTGGTCGACTGCATTGATGAAGTCTTTGACGTTAGCAGCAGGTATAGCCAGGTCTTGGATAATGTACTGTTGCATATGTCCACTGGCATGCAGAGCATGATACATGGTGCTGGTCTGCATGAAGTCGTCCAGAGCCCAACGTGTGATGCGGTTGAAAGGAACCATGAAATAGTTGAAAGCATATTTTCCCATCCAGAATGCACCGCGATCATAGCGAAAGAGGTAGTCTGCTAGAGGTACTGCTTCCGTGACCGGTCCTCGAGCTTTCCTTGTTGTTCTGTCCGCATGCATGTAGAACCAAGGATCCCGCGCGCCTTGGAAACGCTGGATGCGTGTCTCGTGCGAGACGGATGAAGTCAGGCGACCAGTGACCACAATGCCCCTGTTCAAAGACATAAGAAAACCGTCTACGTAATCGTTTTCTAAATCTGCACTAGCAGTCTTCACTTTCTCCAGTGTTTCTTCGAGAGATCCGCACGGAGTGTAGGTGGTTTCAACATATCTCTTCGCATCGACGAGCTGGACCTCCATCAGAGTGGTCACACCTAACGTACCCAACGAGCTGGTAGAGCCATAGAACAGATCCGGAAGCAACTTTGGCGAAGCCTTTGTGATTTCACCATCAGCCAATAAGATTTCAATCCAGTTCACTGTACAGTCGAAAGAGCCATGCTTGAAGCTAGAACTCTCGCCGCCGGTACCACTAAACCCGCCTCCAGCAGTGATTCCCTTGAATTCCATAACAACAGGCGGGACCAGACCGAAAGGTAACGTCGCTTCCACGAGCTTGTCCATAGGAACGTTTGGTTCCACCAGGGCCGTTTTCGACGACTTGTCCACACCGAGAACATGATTGAGAGAACTGGTATCAATCATCCGATTGCGATCAACAGAATAATTTCTGGTCGAATTGGTTGAGCCATGGAAGATTCTGAACGGTTCTTTGCGAGAATGCAAGTATTTCAGTCGAGCTGATATCTGTTTCACAACTTCATTGTGCTTGTCCATGGCGATGATTGGTCTGTGAATTGAATCAGACGAGTCGCGAATTCGATTGAAGGATATGTGCTTTCGGTTTGCGGGGTGAGTTTGGGATGTAATCCAGGCTTAATATGATTGAATGTCAATCTCTAGTATGCGCAATGATGGACCTACTTGGAGATGTGTTGGTCAAGATGGTTCTTGCCGCAAGCACCCGTCTCGCCAAGCCCTGCGGTCTCCACCGGATTCCGGGCAACCTTTTTCTCTCCATACCTGAACGTCTTGCATCAAACAGCAATTGCAAGCGTATCCAGAAAATCGCGCCTACATGGAGGCCGAGCAGGAACGGCCGGCCAAGCGGATTCGTACTGGAAAAGCCTGCAAATCGTGCCGCACGGCCAAAGCAAGATGTGAAGTGCAACAGGAGGCAGATATCTGTCACCGCTGCCAAGTACTTGAGTTCGTTATTGCTACGAAGGTATCACCATGACACGTCTCCTAACACTGATTGAAGTCTGGAGTGTGAACTACCGAAACGTAATACAGCTCGCATCCCAGCTCCAGCATCATCGAGCTCAGTCCCGGACAACAACAATGTTGAAGATCGGCTGAAACGGGTCGAGCAAATGATTGCGCGCTTATCTGAAGCAGTCTTTCCACAACCCGGCCCTGTCTTGAACGGCATTGGCGATGCTGTCGTCAGCCCTGATGCCACTCATCCGGGTGATGATAGCACAGAAACACATATCTCGCAAAACTACCCGAAACCGGTAGAAATTCTCCAAGACTTACAGTCTGAGCTATACGGCCAAGTCGCTACACCTTCTGAACAGACAAGTCGTCTAGATGTAGTCTCGATGGGAATACTGTCAAATGACACCGCCATCGAACTCTTGCGAACGTTAGCAACGATCCCGTTCTTGTACGACTTTCCTATGTTCTCGAGCTGACAAAATCTCAGATCCATCGATCGCTACAGCAAATGGATACCATTGGCCGAGGTCGTCAAGTTCGTCAGCAATGTGTCTCAAAGGTTTGTTCGCAATTCACCTCTTTTGATGAATGTGCTCTGCTTGCTGGCGACTCGCTACCATCCCGAGATAGCTTCCCAAACAGTGTCAGACATTTACAAGCACGTCAAACGGATGGTCGCAGATGCAGTAATCGATACACCTCCAGTCGCGAGTAGCGTTATCCAGGCTTTCACCTTACTTTGTCTATTCAGCCCTGCCGTTCAGACAGACAAGCCACTAGACAGTTGGCATCTGAGTGCTATTACTGCGAACCATGCAGTCATTGCTTTTGGCCCTAGCAACGTCCAGCAGCCAGGGGCCGCAGAAGAACGCACCATCGAGCAGTTGCGCGTGTGGGGCAGTCTTTGCCTTACCCATTTACAGTAAGTCACGGTCAGAAACATGGGTCCGGGATTCCTTGCTGACAATACAGATACTCCATTGGCAGTGGTCGACCACTCACAATCGCCATTCGACTGATGGATGGTTGTCGCCGCCTACTCGAACAACCTACAATCATGCCTTTCGACACACCTCTGATAGCAGAACTCCAGTTCTACATTTGTCTTCACACCGCTCTTGGAAATCCTGCCGCAACACCCGAATCTGCCTTTGCACCTTGGGACTTTGCTTGGAGCCGGTTCCTGACCAATTCTGGCCCGCCTAGGACTCTTGAATTGTCCCATTGGTTCGGTCACTTATTGCTCCACCGCCGCAATGCCTCTTCTCACCACGATCAATCGCCACAATCTGCTCACGAGAGAAATATACCGTCCTGGCGAGAAAGTGCAAACATCGTCTCACAATTCGTGCGCGATGCCTCGGATCGCGCTCCAGACCTGCCCGACTTTGCTTTCTTCATTGCGTCCTACGCTGCGCTGGTGCTTTGCGAGAGTGCCATTGATCATCACTTGGTCGACAACCTACGTGCATATCTGTTCAAGGTCGCATGCGGAGAGTCACATATTGCATTCAAGCACGCGTGTATTATACAACGTGCACTGGAACGATCAAGACATGCTGATGTAAGTGGTGAAGATAGTACGAATGGTGGTCCTGAGCTCTCTCCTAACACCGCCGGAACCCCTCTACCTTCACAGTCCATGAACTTGAACGAGTTCGATGCTTTGGCTGGGTTTGACATCTTCGGAGAGTACTTCACTGTCGGAAGTCTGTTATGATGGCCTTAGAAGGCTACGATGTCAATATTTCACGATTCAGACGCCGCCTGAACACACGTCTCTCAAAATGTGTGTGGCTCAGCGCTGGTTCGTCCTTCTCGCTTCTTCACGACAGCTGAGCCGGCAGTAAATCAGTAAGTGCTCCATTCTTCTTTTTCATCAATACAACCCAACAAGGCCATGAAGACAAAAAAGACAAAAACAGATACTTATGAATCCCATTCAAATCTCCTGTCCCAACCCTTTACTCTCTCGGAATTCATGGGTAAGGCGTGGTAGAGGGACATGATTGCAACAAAAGGCAAATCGGAGCCACAAAACACAGACATCCTTTGAAAATCACTCAGTACTCTTCTTTGATTGTATGCTAACTCGAAATCGCAACTTAGATGGCCGGACGAGACGAAAGTCAGAAAGAGCTCTGAGAATTCGGCCAGAAGAGCTTCCAGCCTCCACAGTGGAGTATAAAGGCTTCGAGCCGCCCGCTCGATATCCATTCCTCAAGTGGCTCCTGCAACACTCGGCATAGGTTGCGTTTCCCGACGGAAAAGGTGTTGTGTTGCCCGAAAACCGTCGGACACCGACGGAGACCGCTCAAATTCAATCGAACATTGTCTTAGGCAAATCATAATTGTTAACGAAGCCCGACGGTCTCCGGTGGACATGAGAACATATATTTAATGGTGCCTCGATAGTCACTGTGCTTTTGTATATACACAGAATCGAAACTGAGCCCACACCTGCCATCCGCCTCGTTGTCGCTGTCAAATATGCCACTCCGATTCAAATTTCCTGAGAGGGCTTCATCCAGAAGACCCACCTGGGTTCGCTCGACACCACTCGGTTCTCCGATCCCGGACGCCAATTACACCTCCCAACTCACCTTCCACAAAGCTCTTGTTGGATATGAGCCGACGTTTCTCCTATCTCTGGATGCTCTTGCCTCTGAGCTAGGTCTTGCAGCCGTATACATCAAAGACGAATCATCCCGATTTGGTCTACCTTCCTTCAAAGCTGTAGGAGCATCTTGGGGCTGCTTCCGTGCTCTTATATTTCATCTGGGCCTGAATCTCGATACTGCGACTTTGGAGTCAGTAGCTGCCGCTGCTGCAGACAAAGGCTGCAAATTGTTGGCTGCGACCGATGGCAATCACGGTAGAGCTATTGCTTGGATGGCACGTTCTCTCGGTATTGAATCTACCATCTACGTACCCCACGACCTACACCCAAACTTCCTGCGCTTGATCGCCGCTGAGGGTGCTGAAGTAGTCGTTGTACAAGGTGACTATGATTTCGCTGTTGAAACTGCTGCCTCGGCTGCCGCTGCGTCAAAGCACAATATCCTCGTCCAGGATACGGCGTTTGATGGCTACGAGGATACCCCAACCTGGATTATCGATGGATATGCAACCATCTTTGCAGAGATGGAGGAGCAATTGCAAGACCTTCCTATCCAACCGACTATAATCATCACCCCTGTGGGCGTGGGCTCTCTTGCTCAGGCTGTAATCACATACGCCAAGGCACAAAGGAATCTCACCACCATCGCCGTTGAGCCTGATACGGCAGCTTGCTTGCAGGCCTCGCTTGTTGCAGGCAAGCCCACTTCCATCACGACTTTCAACACCATCAACGCAGGTTGCAACTGTGGAACCCTGAGTTCGATATCCTGGCCCTATCTCCGCGACCGTGTCGACATCAGCACCACAATCTCCGACTACGAAACGCATGTTGCGGTCCAAGACCTGCATCGGCACAACGTAAACGCTGGCCCTTGTGGCGCGTCCGGGCTCGCAGCACTGCGCCGACTTCTCGCTGAGGGTAATGTTAAGAAAGGAGAGGCAGTGGTATTGATAAACACCGAAGCTGCTAGACCTTATGATATCCCTTTGGATGTCAGTAATGATAATGTTACCGACTTGACGCAACAACTTGTGCGAATCGACAGTTCTTCTCCGACACTGGATACTACTGGTGCGGCACCTGGAGAAGCGAAGATAGCGGCATTTATTGCACAGTGGCTTCATCATCGCGGGATCGAGACACACATTGTGGAAAGCACACCTGGTCGGCCATCCGTCGTTGGAGTAGTGAGGGGAACTGATCCTCACGCGAAGAAAGTAATGTTGAACGGTCATATCGACACAGTAGCCCTCTCAACCTACGGACCCTCTCCACTCAGCGGCGACCTGGTCGACGGCAAAATCTACGGCAGAGGCGTACTAGACATGGAAGCAGGAGTCGCAGCCGCCATGACCACTCTACTGCACTTTGATCAGCACGGCAGTAAGGGCGATATCATCCTCACCGCAGTCGCAGACGAAGAAGATCGCTCCCTCGGAACCTCCGCCATCTTGGCAGCCGGATGGACAGCAGACGCCGCAATCATCCCCGAGCCAACTTCCCTAACCCTGCATCACGCACACAAAGGTTTCGTGTGGGTGGAAGTCACAATCCTCGGTGTAGCTGCCCACGGCTCCGACGCCACCACCGGTGTCGACGCCATCATGCATACCTCTTCCTTCCTCTCCGCTATAAACTCCTACGCCACCACCCTGCCTGAAGACAATGTATTGGGGGAAAGCACAATGCACACCGGAACCATCAGAGGCGGGGAGGAAAATAGCAGTTATCCCGCCTCTTGCACTGTAACCCTTGAATTCAGGACTGTAAACAATATATCCCAATCTTCTGCTGTCATCCTCCACGATATCGCTGCTATTCTTGCGAATTTGCGGAAACAGGATGAGGTATTCCGCTATCAGTCGCCTACAGTGCTGTTTGAAAGAGCGCCATTATTGCCTTTATCGTCTTCTCATCCTTTTCTTCTCGCAGCAAAACAATCACTGGCGGAGATGCAGGGTAAGAAAGTGCAAGATGTCGAGGTTTCGGCGGCGAAATTCTGGACTGATGCGGGATTGTTGAGTGAAGCTGGGATCCCTTGTTTGGTATTCGGACCTGCAGGAAAAGGATTACATGGTAAAGATGAGTGGGTTGATGTGGAGAGTATCAAGATTGTCGAGGAGGTTATGAGGGAGACGGTTAGACGGTTTCAGGAGTGTTGAAGTGTCTTGAGGGGTGGATGGTTTGATAGAGTTGTATGTGAGGGTGTGATGGACAGATGAACTGAATGGTTTTAGGATTTTCTTAATGATACAAGATGGATTTGCTTGTCGATTGCAGTTGGATGATTTAATAGTGGGAGTGGAGAGTCTTGCGCATTCTCTTTGGGCATCACTCGCGTTGCTGAAACCATCATGCATCTCGACAGACTGGTTGACCAGGGGTATGGATGGGCCGAGAGAGGTGTGGTCATGGACTTTGAGTCCGAAGGCTTTGATATTGTTCTTTTTCCTCGAATACCTTGTCTTTCTGACCGATAGCACTGATTATCAAGTCTGGTGTAACACTGGTTCAACAGCAAGATGGATATAAAAAGATATACATGTGCTTGGAAGGAAGGGTATCATACTATGCACAATCAGAAAACCACAACCACTGACACACCAACACACCAACACATCAACGATCAAGCACTCGCGCATCCATGATCCCTGCCCCACCTCCACACCTTCCCCTCCAAAACCGGCGCGATGAACACCCAAGCAACCCCCATAACCCACCCGAACAAAACATCCACAATCCCCCATCCATTCCTCGGACTCCCTCCCAAAGCGCAAACCCTCATCGCATGAGCCAACCACTGCGTCGTTATCACATAATCACCCCTCCTCAATCCCTCCAACGCAGCTTCCGCGACCTGCTCTGAAGTTTGTTTAGGATCGTCTTCTTCCAACATCTTTGTGACGGCATGTTTGATTTCATTCTCGGCATCGTAGCCGGGGGATAGGATGGTCGCGGGGCAGACGAGGTGGATTTTGACCTCCGAGGTGGGGGAAGGGTGGGTGGATGATTGACGGGAGCCGCTGTAGAGGTTTAATTCCATACGTAGGGAATCGGCGAGGGATTTCAGAGCTGCTTTGGCGGGTGCGTAGGGGGTGTAGCCTGCTAGGCCTACGAAAGCGACGACACTGGATGTGATGATGAAGTGTCTTGGTTCCGCTGTCTTGGCTGCTTCCTTCTCTTTCTTGTCCTGAGGGGAGGAGGGGGAAAGCCAGAGTTTCAGGGAAGCGTGGGCGAGGTAGAAGGAGGACCAGTAGTTCATGTCCATTTGGGCTCTGTGTGTTTCTAGGGGGGTGTCGATGAAGAGGCCGGGGGAGGAGGAGCCGGCGTTTGCCCAGATGATGTCGGGAGGGGTGGAATTGTTCCATGTGGTTGTTTCGTCGAGGATGCGGGTGTTTTCTGTGGCCGAGGTGCAGTCGGCACTGATGGCTAGGAAGCGTTGGTTTGGAAATTTGGCATGAGACTGTTGTAGAGGTATCCACGTCAGTATTTGGTACAATTGAAGGAGGACAGAAAAAGAGAAAAAGTACCTTGATGTAGTCGATTGTTTCATCGAGCTTTTGTTGGTTTCTTGCGACAATGCAGACATTCGCGCCTTGTTCGGCTAGTTTCTTTGCTAGAGCTCTTCCCATACCACTGGAGCCTCCAGTCAGCAGGACCGTCTGTATTCATGTCAGCTTCTACTCGAGTCCAGTCGCAATTGCTCACTTACCCTGCCCTCGACGGGGAAATGCTGCTTGGATGAGAAGAAACCCATCATGCCGCTTGCAACAACGATAACAACAAGACCAACGACCACAGGATGAACCAACAAATCAAACACTGTCATCCTCGAAACACAAAACCAACAGCACTCGAATTGACGTAGAAGAATTGCTTACACCATCCCTCCACCAACCCCAAAGCTTCAAAAACAAACAAATCAAACAACCTCTCCCCTCCACCAAGGTAACTTTTCCCTCCCTCCCACCTTATCACATCCAAACAAATACACCTACTTCACATCCACATCTCGCACAATGTCCCTCGAAATCCTCCACGCATACCGCCACCTCCTCCGTACATCCCTCCACGCAATCCGCCACGCGAAACCCGCCCGCTACACCCTACTCACCCATCTCCGCCACTGTTTCCGCAGCACACCTCAATCCGCCTCTTCCTCCTACGACGCTCCCACCACGACACGCACATTAGAATTTCTCACAAACGCGGTAAAATACAAAGGCGTGGAGGAAAAAGTCGTCAGGAATCTGATCCACGTGTGGGGGTGTAGGGGTAGGGATGTTCCTTCTATACTGTAAGTGCAAAATGACAACAAAACCCTTAAACGCAGAGGTAAGTCAGATATAGGTGGGAAAAGGTAAAAGGTGTTGATTCGTGCGAATGTGCAGGAGAAAAGATGTCAAGGATATGAGGTTTAGGGATGAAGCGTATGAGAAATTCGACCAAGATGTTAGGATGTTGGAGAGGACGTTGGGGATTAGGTTGACGGGTGGAGAGGATATGGGCTATCAGATGGAGGTCAGGAAGAGGTATAGGAGGATATCCCAATCGGTGGCTGCTTCGAGGAAGAGATGAAAAGGTATATCTTCACGTAAGAAGAGAAGGCGGAGGGGAAGCTGCAGATTCAAGGCTTTTGTAATGACAATGTACATTTTTCTACACAAATTTGTTGAAATCGTCCTGTTTCTGCGTCCGCCTCACTCTCTGCTGCTCACCGCCGTCTGTCGAGCCATTCCTATGTTGAATCTCTTCCTCTCACTGACCGAGCCACTCAAGCAACCCGGAGAGCTCGCCCTCCCATCTCCCCAACTCCGTGTTCTTCGTTTCAGAGCCCTTGTCTTGCTTCCTCCAAATACCTCCTCCTCTTCAACGACTCTTCTTTCCCTCAACCTTCTCCTTTCTCTCCCTCTCAGCATAGATACCGCCCGTAAACGGATCCTCAAACCTCAACGCAATCTTGTAAACCACAAACACAACACCCGTCAACACAACACCAGCCGGCTTTCCAAACCATAGAGCACTTCCCAAGAAACTGAGCGTGGATCCATAGTACATGGGAGCAGAGCAAATGTTGAATGGGAAGCCCGTGACCATTTCATCCATCAGGATGCCAAAGTAGTCGCCGAGGTAGGTGCCCGTGATGCCGAGGGCGTACATGGAGGTGAGGACGAGGACGTTACCCGAGGTGAAAAGGGCGAGGGCTAGTGCGTTGGAGACGGGGCCGGTGAGGAGGGGGTGCGTTGGTTGGGTGCGGAGGGCGCGTTCGTAGCTTGAAAAGTCTAGGTCAGCAGTGCATCAATCGTAGGTTGGACTCTCTTCGAATCTCGTGTTGTCGCTATGGGTGGGTGGTGCTTGTGGTATCGGGTTTGGCGCGTAGTGGGTGGTTGCTTCTTGTAAAAAGGAGAGAGGTGATCTTTTGCGTACATGCTGTCTCTGATGATTCCGATGGTGAAGATTGTCACGGCGAGGGCATAGCAGCCATAGAGCGAGTTGCCGCCAAACAGCTTGGTAATGGTCTTGTTGTGGTATTCTGATCAAGTTGCAGACATGTGTCAATTGGGTTTCTTGCTTGTTTCTCAATGATATCTTCAAGTCTTTCTCTGCTTGTTTCTTGTTCTTGGAGAGAACTCTTACCTGATCTTGCTGCAGTGCTAGAGAGAGGTCAGTGTGTGACTTGTACAGAAGGTGGATACTTCATGTCTTGCTTACTTCCAAAAGGTTGGGTTGAAGACGATACTAGCCACAGACACTGTGTTGCATCTCTCGTCAGTATCAATGACCATCAAGCATGCCCTTGAAGCGGGGTCGCCGGTGCCTGCAAAAGACCTGCTACATCTTCACTCACACCAAAACATGGGTTGTCCGAGGTCGACGTAATCGGAAATAGAAGACATGATGGTTGAAAGCAAGCAGAACCTCAACAGTCGTGCAAGAAATGAGAAAATTCACTTGTCTTGTTGTCAAACGAAAACAAATCCAGGAGAGCTCTTTGACTTCGGAAGAACACATGGCAGAAGCTCTCACGGCTCAACGGACCCAAGACCTCCGTCATCACTCTTGGCAGTCACATGAAAACATGCGCAAATCAGCCTGATTGTCTTTCAACGAACATCTTGCTTGGGTTCAGGTGATGCAATGACCAGTCACCAGTGTAAAAAACTTGACCAGAGAATTGTTTGAGAATGACAAGTTCGTAATAAGAAGTTTCAATTAGAAATAACTATCCAATTTGATAAAGAATAAAAGATAAACATGACCCATTGCTCGTGAACATCAAGGCCGTTGTACCAGAAGGTTGTCCTTCTAACACTTGAACAATCTAGTTTCTTAAGATCTTTTTACAGACCATTGTCGGCACAAGAGAATGCCGTGCCATAAGTTGACGAGTTGTAGCCATCAACAATACTCTGAACAGAGGCATATGTACCTCCGCTGAGGAACAAAAGTCCAATACAGATGAGGATGATGTTGAAGACGAATCCAAGAGTTCCTCTGAGTCCTCTGTTCTTGTAGTAATCAGGTCCGTAGTCGGCTCTGCGCATACGAAGGTATGCCATACCCCAGAAGATGAACCCGAAGAAACTGTCAAAGAGCGAACTCATGAGTGACAGCAAGTCACTGAAGAAGGGAATGACTTCAGCAATGATGAATGCCAGAACCCAAGTGCAGGCCAAAAGGGCAGCCCAAGTTGCCCAACCAACAACAGTGTGCTCGCCCAAGTGTCTGGTTCCAGCGAAGATTCTGAAGAAGACGAAGCGGGCAGAAACCGAGGCGTACAAAACACCCAAGAAGATAATGGTTGGGATCATGAACGAGAAGCTGACCTTCTTGTACAATTCGTTGCTGAGGGATCCAAAGGCGGGTGCAGTGTAGTACTGGTTTCCAGTGTAGGCGTAGATGATGGCACCGACAAGCGAGAAGAGAATAACTTCAGCAATGGTGACGGCCCACAAAGCCTTGGGGAAGTCGCGAGGGTTCTTCATTTCAGCGATGAAAGAAGGCAGGGTGATCTGTCCGATGAATGTGTAACTGATGTTCATGAAAGCAGACATTCCAGCGACAAAGGTGGTGCCAGCCTCGGGGATTGCAAGTACGCGAGGCTCTCCAAGCTTGGGGTACCCAGCAGGGTGATCCTCGATACCGGAGAAGATGGTGGCCAAGATGACTGAGATGAAGGTGAAGAAAGCCGATGCGGTGCCCAAGATGGCGAGGGTGTTAAACGTGCGGGGAAGCGACGCGAAGAAGGACACGACAGCAACGATGGCGCTGAAGCCGATAGTGCAAAGGCCGTGGCCAGTCATGGTGTTAAGATACTTGGCACCAGTCAAGCAGTGCAGGCCTTGGATGAAAGTGTTGTTCAGGATGAACATGAAGGCAGTAGCCCACCACGCCCATCTTTGGCCCCAAAAGAGCATTTGACCAATGTCACAGACATCCTTGACTTCAGGGTGGCGCAGACAGAATTCCCTGTTTGAAATTTTAGAAGGGGTTTATGCAGTCGGGGTTCGAAAGTCACATACCAGAGAACCAGAGAGGTGTACAGAACCAGTCCTGCAACAACCACGGTCAAGATCAAGCCAGGCACAAGACCGAGAGTTGCGTAGGAGTACGGGAAGGACATGATAGCCAAGCAGATGTATTCAGAGAACAACAGTGCTGCAGTCTGGGAAATGGATTAGGTCGGTTCTTGCTACGCTCATCGCGAGAGCTGATTCTTTCGGTATTTTGCATGGAATAAAGGGTAGGGAAGGATCGGGTGCAAGGGCTTGTTGCGTTAGGAATGATGGAAAAGTATCTGGGTTTGTCGCATTGGGTAGAGAATCGGCTCATTCCCATGTCGAAGAAGGGATGCAAGGAAAACAAAACACGCGATAGATTCACACCTTTGGCCAGCTGCAAGTCCTGTACTTGATGGCATTTCCAGCTTCCAGCTCCATTTGCTTGCCGATAGACACGCCAGAACTGTCATCACTCAGGTTGCCTTGGCTAATGGACTTGGTGATAGGTCCGTCGATTCTCTTCATGCTCATGCCCTTGGGACCAGTTTTTTCCGGATCGTAGTCAGGGGGAAGACCGCCATAACCCTCGTTCCCTTGAACGGGCTTTTCGAGTTCGGGCGCATTTGGTAGAGGGGGTGCATCGGCGACAATGGTAGGCTTCTGCTTGAACAACTTATTGCCTAACGCCATTTTACCGAACGAATGCTCCGGACGAGCGTGAAATAGGTGAAAAGGTCGCGTCGGTTGAATTCAGGCAGCATTAACCACCAGAAATTGTTAAGCTTGATGGACAATCGAGTCGAGTTGGGGTGTACTGAGACGGGAAAGAAGAGTTGCGCGTAGCGGCAGACGACCAGTTTATAAATGACGAGACTTGGACCAAGAGGATCAGAGCTTAATTGCAAAGTTAAGACGGCACGGCGATCGAGTAAGCAACCGTGGCGGACGCGGCTAAGGCGAAGGATGTGGTCAGAGGAGTGAGTCGAAGCCTTGGTGTCGTACGCCGAGATGTGTGGCGTCTGGCTTGTTCTTACGGGAGCCGCCACACCTATCTTCTTCAACGCTTTCCAACTTTCGACTCCATCCAACTGCAATGAGTTCGTTTACCGCGGGAACGCTTTTATAATTAGGTAGTCAAAGGAACTTCCGGTGCGTGATTTGTTCATGCAGATTCAACCTTCTCGCCGCGAAAGCTTTCGGTTGCTTGACGGGATTCTGTCAAGTCACTAAACCCTTGCGCGGCCCCAAAAACAAAGGGTGCAGAGTGGAACCAGCCAATGAGCACGCAATCCACCAATCTACAATATTTCTATCAATTGGTTACGATTGAAGACGTTTCTACCGCTTCTCTCATGCCTTTGCCCTGCAGGCCGATCTTGCCGTAAAGATGCCTGGAACGTTTGGCCCAACTATCTTCCAGGAAATGGTTCGTGGAGGGAGAAGTGAACTTGCCGCGGATGCGCTTTGATGTCATCCCGCAAATTTAAGCAGGGAGAAATTCATCATCAACCAAGTACTTTCACTACGTCCATACCAAGACCGCAAAATACAAAGACCTCAAATGAGGACCTGAAAAACTCCGTTCGCCTCGCTACCGCTGTACCTTGACCTTGAATCTCGTGGTGCGTCCGTGACCACGTCAATGCCCTTGTTAACCCCGTTACCCGCAACCCCACTATTGATGATATGATCGGCCCTTCGGTCTGCTCCGACCTTTTGAACCCGGATATCAATCCTTTGATCAACGATCAGGCCAGAATTTCAGCCACCGGTGCGTCAACCCATTCCTGACCACTGTCTCGTCGCTTGTCGTTTTCGCTCTTGATTTCTTCACCTCCAACATACCATGCCGCAGCCCGTACAATCTCCAGGACTACCTTGAGCTCATCGTCGTCTCGAGGCGCGTAAATCATGGCGAATCCTCCTGGAACAAATCTTTCCATCCAACCACCTCTTGCAAGCGGGTGTCGTTCACCCCAACCTGCTTCGAGCATGATTTTGGCGTCGGCAAGATGTAGAGTCAAATGTAGGGAACCGTCGGATGGATGCGCGTGACAGATCTCTCCTCCGCAGGTTCGTCGCAGTGGACTGTCGGTGAAGATACCAGTGCCATGCTTCTCGAAGCACGATGTACCTTCGAGGAGGTGAAGGTTGTCATTCGCGATGGCGTGTAGCGCATCGGCCAGTTTTTCGTAGACCTCTTGCGATGGCTTCTGGTTCGTCTGGCGATGCGGCGCAATTCCGAGGGTTGACGGACGAGGACCTGAGCGTTGAGGAAGCTGCGGTAGACATCCCTCTCTCTTCGTCATGGACCACGGTATCTTTGGCGGCGCGTATGGATCCCTGAGCGCGAACATGGCCAATGCCTTCACTTTGCAATAGCCCAGGATTGTCTTCGGTGTGCCTCCCGGACCTAATGCGATGAAGCTTTGGTAGTCGAGGTAAAGATGTCGTAATGTCGGCAGAAGGATCGTGATGGCTGCGAGGTGGGTGTATGAAAAGGTCATACTGCTGAGTGCCGTCTTAGGACTGTGGTTGAAGATCTTGAGTGTATCCATACTGTCCAGATGTCGACGTCCAGGACGAGAAGCTCGATTGTGTTAGACGAATAGAAGAATTGGTGGTCTCAGGTCCACAAGGTTGCTAAACAATTGACTCTGATAGACTGCAAGTAGGTAGGTGGAAGGATTGAGGCTCTGGGAAGATCACCCATATATGGAAATTCAAAATCCGCACCCCCTCAAAGCAGTTTTCACTATCTGCGCAAACATGTGGAGTTCCTTCGTCAGGTTCACCGCATAGTTACCCTTGGCGCCTACCCTTTTCACCAGAATTGCGCTTTTTGTGAGCACACGTGCTGCAAGTGCGTAGGTATGATCTCACACTTTTCTGGCGGCTGACTTGCATCTGCGAGGGATGATAGGCAAACAACGCCTATCCCACATATATCCCATCAAAAGAAAAACCCCACAAGCTTGTTCTATCTTGTTTGCGAGCCTTTGCAATCGATTGGTGAAGTTGTGACACGGACGAACGCAAGACTTCTTGCTGTGACAGCTGCTTGATGTGTTGCCAAATGTGGAGCTGTGCGGAGACGCTCTGCGGGGAGAAGAAAACATCCATCTTTGCTCTTTGCACTTCCCATCTTCTTTCTGACACCTTTGACACACATGTCGCACAGCTTTCTTCAACATTCGGGTGACATCCGAACTTCCCAGCAAAAACTGACCTGGGATCAAAGAGCTTCGATGAGTCCGCTCGTGCAAGCCTGACACGATGTTGCTACGATGTCCGCGAGTCAACAGCCTTTGGCAATTTCGCCAAACGCGAACCGCTTAGCCGTTGTTTACCGGCACAAATTTGTCGTGAGCTCTGAACACATGGAGGAAAATGAGGGTCAACAAGGATTTGCTCAGGATCAGATCCGCCGTCGCGACGAGGCAAGCCCGTCCTCTGGCATTGTTCAACCTCGTAGGAACCCTATATCCGCAGAATGACATTCCCAAAGCTGGCAGGCTTTCCTTATGTCTCGAGTCAATCTACTCGTATCCTCTTGATACATGAGTCGGGTCCTCTCGTCTTTCTCTTGTCTCATTGCCAACAGGCCAGGTTCAGAGAGGCAGACTCAATACGGGATACGGTCATGTTATGCCTCAAAAATCGATAGCTGCATGGCCATTCCTGTACGTCATGCTCCATACTTACGGACGTATTTCTTTGAAGGATCAATTCGAAAAACGAAGAAATCAAACGGCGAACTTTTGGAAGTCTCAATTGCTTGTACTATGCCCTGCAAGGTCTCAGCCTTGTGGGCATGCAACATTGACTGTAAGGTAGCTGGTTTGCTATGCACAGTGCCAGGATAGTTATCTCGCCGGTCGTCCAGTAGCGAAGCTGCTGGGAACTAACACCGCTAATACTTGGGACGAACACGAAGTAAGTGCTTTTGATTGGCTACATCACAGTCCGGAGCAAACCCATCTCACGAGTCGTACTGGGACTTCGTACAAGTAAAATTTCCCGGACTCCTGAGTCACGGAGGGTCGTCGAAGCTATACCGAGTCTACATGTTCCAGCCACTGCTATGTTTTCCAGCTCGAATAAGCCACTTTCTGCGAACTAACCAATATGCAGCGAGTCAACAGAGTTTCAGAACATCTTCTTGGATGGGACTGGACACGGTTATTGGTTGCGGCTAATCCTGCTCGCTGTGGTGGAAGCCTTGCTAATGACCGTTACAAACTTCCAGACGCTTCGGGACCAACTACCGACAACTGAACCAGCAAACACATGGTGTTCGTACAACGCTGGACCGATCCCCATGGCATTGATATCAACCTGGCAGGTTGTGCTCCGCTGGCTTGTGTCTGTCCTTTGTCCTCGAGGGGCTGACATTCTCGTCAATGAAAGATCTCCATGAGTATAGCCAAAGTCCCGAGCCTGCCAGGCTCGAAAGGATTGACTATCTACAGTCAGGATGACTTGAAATTATCATCCAGCTCCGCGGCGGACTCTGCTGTATTGTCAAGCTCCACCTATACTTGTCTTTGGTCAGGCAAGTATACCCTGTAAACGGCCATCAACGCTCTTCACACAACGTCGAATAGCTGTAGCTAGGCTACCCGAAGAACAAGAGGACAAGCTTGCCCACCAACTCAACATCCCTTCATCTCGACTGTGGGTATATAATGTTGGATCGTATCTCACTGTATGAACTCTATCAATCTGCATCTTCCATCTCACCATTCAGTCCGATCTTCAACCTTGTACTCTAACTTAATCTCCAATCATGTCGATCCGACGAACCTCTGCCCTCAGCCTTGTGGCTATGGGTGCTGCCGGTGTATCTGCCTTCACTGCCTCCAACGCAGGCGTCAAGAATGGGTGTTTCTGGAATGTTGACGGACTTGGTTCCTTCAACACTCAGTGGTCGGTTGCAGAGTTCACAACCAGCACCCTGAGCAGTGTTCAAGACGAACTATCCGCCTCGTCATACACAGTCGAGGCTGGCAATTCACCACTAGCACGAAGATTTGATATCACCAACATTGGTATCTCCTCTGACAATGCCTTGACCTTGACCGTTCCCGGAGGACAGTCCACCGGTCCCATTTCATCCGCTCAGATCACCACTGCAGTAGGTTTCCATCCTCGCATCACCATTTACACGATACTGACCAATATCACAGTACAGTGACATCCTCTTCGGCAGTGTCCGGACAGTGGCAATGGTCAGCGGCGCGGCAGGAACGACCCACGGATTTACCTTTTACGCAAACGATAACCAAGAAGTCGACTTTGCCTTCCTCAGTTCCGACCCATCGGTCGTTCATCTCACAAACGAACAAGTCAACAGCACGTCACCTTTTTCGACGTACACTGTTTCAGCTCCTTCCGATGCAACAAGTGCTTACCACGAATACCGTCTTGACTGGACTGCCGATGCTACAAGATTCTATATCGACGGTACTTTGGTTCATACGATCACTGAAAATGTTCCCAGCCAGCAAGGCTTCTGGTTATGGTAGGTTATAAGATATGTTATTGAATGAGAAGAGCACATCTGATTGAAACGACAGGAACTCGTGGTCGAACGGCAACGCCTGGGCTCAAGGACCTCCCGCCACCAACTCTGTCCTCAAGATCAAAAGCATTGATGCATACTTCAACCGCACCTCCGTCATCCCCAGCGGATCCTGCCTCTCCTCCTCTTCCAACAATAACGCCGCTGCCGCCGCCGCTTCCTCCACATCAACAGCACCTTCCTACACTCCCGCCCCCACAGCCGCCAACGTCAAACTCTGCCCCAAATACGATGGCACAGTCTACACAGCCACCAACGGCGATCTCTTCCAAGTCGCCTGCGGCACAGACTTTGCAGGTGGCGACTTCAAAATGGTCTGGGTGAATTCCATGGGCGCTTGTATCGAAGCTTGCTCTTCTACTGAAGGATGTGTGGATGTGAGTATGAGTGGAACTGCTTGTTACATGAAGAACAAGTTGAAGAATGCGTTGAAGAATTCTGGTGTCAATGGTGCGAAGAAGATTTCAGCTTGATAGGTGGTGATTTAGCAAGATCTGAGAGTGTCTTTTGAGGACAAACAATTCGTCTGGCTTCCCGATACAGCGTTTCCTTCCTGCAGATAATTCCACGTTTATCCTGAGATTTGAATATGGAAACTCCCTACCATCACCTTTTGAAGAATGTTCTATGATCAGAAGCTCACCATCGGGAGAGTAGAAGATGCCGTCTAGAAGTTTTCCCCATCGCGACATATCAGCCACATTTCCTTCTTTTGCTCTTCTATCTTCTCCATTCGACCTTGCCAACTACCACACATTTCCCTCAAACCCATCAGTCGCGATTACAGTTTTACCACGATCGAAAACTATCCCCTGCCACACGAGCACAGAATGCCCTCTTCCTCTCCAAATAGCACCTCTATTTCTCCACCGCCTTCACATCCTCCAACCTTGAACAGCGGTCCCAAACAAAACTACCCCTCGATAAGAAGATACCCTGACCACCATCATTTCAAAGGAAGTCAACAGACTAATTCGATCCACCGCCCCGCCAGTCAAGTTCCGAGATCTTGCCTATGATCTCGTCAAAATTGACGAGGACTTCCACGAAGGAACTGAAGGGGTCAGCTCAGTACCGGATGAATGGATTGATCTATCCAACACGCTTGGCCCTTTTTGGAAAAATGCCTTACCTTGCCCGGTCAAGAACACTGGAGGAGCTCTTTCTATCAAATCCTAAAGGAGTGGGTATGAACCACATTGACGGGAAGCACAAGTCAAGATGACGGTAAAAGGGAAGGAAGAAGAGGACGATGCGTGTCCGAGAAATAGAGACCGAGGGAATGAGATGGAGATGGAAGATGAGAAAGAAAAGAGGTTAGATGTACACAACGATGGAGAGGTGAAGGGCACGTTGATGAACAAATTTCACAAAGCACACAGGCTCGTTGGAAACACGTTTGAAAACAAGTCAAGATTCGTGGAACGTGTAGTTTCATTATGCTTCATAACCGTGTCTTTACTGCTCAGGGGGAATCAAAAGAGTCTCTTCTTGTCCTTCGTGCTAATCGTAAGCTTCATAGTGTGTGCAAAAAAAGGAGGAAAAGAAAAAGGAAAACGTGTAATGGGGAATCTCCGCCTGCTGCTGTGTCTTAAATCCATCGCCATGCCATTGGTGCTTCGTACTGGTGCTTGTGCTCGCCGAGAAAGATAAAACAAATGCAACTGCCGTGTTGAGCTTCTTGAATCATGAAAGGTCGTGAAAAGCAAAAGGAGAGGGAAACCTCCAAGCAAAAACGTGATCGCGGGCCGAAAAGAAAAAGAAGCGCAGAGAGACGGTGGTCGAAAGTGCTTTTTCAAATGCTCCATGGTACCAGGTCAACGAAGTATAGTGATTTGTCGTTCCTCGGATGTGGGTTTAAGGATACCTCTCAAAGCGGGAGGTCGCTCCTAATACCTCGCCTGAGGGGGAGGTCCCGGTGGTGGAGGAGGAATGTTGCCAGGGTACATCATCTGATTTCCGGGTTGCATCATTTGAGGAGCTCCACCCTGCTGCTGTTGTTGGTTGAGTAATGGAAGCATTTGATAGAAGCGGTCTTCTTGTGCACGACGTGCATCTCTTTCGTGTTTCTCGTGGCGTTTCTGTTTGAGATTCTTTCTCTTTTCCAATTCGTGGATCTCGCGTCTGTCAAGGTATGTCAGTCTTGGTCAATCAAATCACGATCAGTGCAACATACCTGTGCTCGTTCATTTCCTTCCACTCGCTGAAAGCACCCTTGATACCCAAGGCAGCAATACCAACAGCAGCTGCGTCCTGGACCCAAGCCTTTGTCTGCTTCTTGCGAGCTTCGTTGGGGGACATTTCACCTTCTTGGACGAGTTTGTGGCGCCTCTCGTGAGCTTCCATACTGGAGTAAACACCATGAGCAGCGTGAATGGTGGCGACAGTGGCAAGGCCGGCGGTGAGTAGCTCCTTGCCTCGCATACGCTTACGACGGACGTCAACATCTGTGCTGCTGCTTGATGAACTCTGGCTGCGTTCACCGTTCTTGTTCTTTGAAGCAGCGAGGGCACCTGCACCTGCACCGGCACCAGCAGCAGGGGCAATGTTTCGATCACGACCGCGCTGGGCGACGGCGCGGCTTCCTGTATCTGATTGAGCAGGTGAGCGGAGCTCCTTGTTGCGACGTCGATTACGGGAAGGGACATACGAGTCTGCAGAGCTGGACGAAGGAGAGCGCCTACGACGTGACTTTGAACGAACACGATCGTAGATGGCCTTGCCAGCTGCTGCTAGAGCTCCTCCTGCTGCAAGCTCCTTGAGTCCGCCACCGCCGCCTTGACCATCACGGCCACGGGACTGACTTCTTCCACGGCTACCTCCGAAGATGGAACGAGAGCGACTGCGAGAGCGTCCGTACGGGTCATCCCTAGCGCCAGCAGGACCTCTACTTCTACTGCGAGGGCCATTGGCAAGACGGTTGGCAGCCAGTCCACCAATCACAGCTTCGGCCAGATGGCGCTTGGTCTTCTTGTCAGGGTTGCGGTCGACGAGACCATCGATACCACCGGCACCGATAGCGGCAGTGGCAATGCGACGGCCCTTCTCTCCAGTCCATGGTCCAGGGTCCTTGCGGGAGCGGAAGGCCTCGACAGCGCCGGCAACAAGGGCGGCTTGAGCAGCCTGAGCCCATTTGCGTTCGGTGCGTCCCTTGGATCTGCTGCGGCTGCGGCTGTCTTCGTCGGAATCGTAGCGGCCACCATGGCGTGATCTGGTTCTGCCATCTCTGTCTCTGTCGCGGCGAGAGTCACGATCTCTGGATCTGCTGCGACTGCGGGAGCGCCCGGTAATAGCGGCGGCGACACCTCCTAGTCCAAGGCCTTGCAAGATCTCACCGACACCAGACTTGCGGCGTTCTGTATGACGACGACGGGGAGGGGAGTACTCTTCGGAGTCGTAGTCGCGGTCATGGCGATCGCGGTGATGACGGCGGTCCTTTGCGCGTCCGGCAGCGTATCCAGCACCAGCAGCGGCTGCGGCAGCGACGGGAACATCGTAGTCGTCGTAGTCATCGTAGTCTCTGCGGCCAACTTGACTGCGGGCACGGCGGGGTGGAGGGTAATCGTCATATTCTCTTCTTCCTCCGCGGGCAGGAGCGTAACGATCGCTGGATGGTGGCGGAAAGTCTCTTGCAATGTCTTCTACGCTTTCATCGCGAGGGCGGTAGACCAGATCGCGAGGAGGAGGGCCCTTTCCGCGCTCGATGTAGGTTGTTTCCTGGACGAACTCGGGATCGCCGCGTTCGCGGGGTCGGGTGCGGGTTTCACGGTAGCGACGGCGGTCGTCGTGTGCGCCGTAGTCGGACATGGTCGTGTAGAGTGTCGAGGGTCGGTCGAGAAGGAAAGAGGGAGGCTTGTCGGACGGCCTTCACTGATGACAGGCGTGGCAGGCGTCACACGGTTGACAAGGGTGGCTGTCCGTGAGCCTTGGCTTGTCGATGGTGTGGTGGGGTTTGCGGTGTCAAGCGCCTTGACCGGGTGTTCCTTGGAGATGTGTTTATCGCGGAACTGAGGAAAAGAATAAAATAGGGTTCGCGTCGTGTTTCGAAATGATCAAGCTTCACAGGTTTGTCTGTCCTGATGCGCAGCACGAGAGGGAGTTATTCAGAGAGGCAAGTGAAGTGAATGCAAAAGGGAAAGAGCGGCGGCTGCAGGGCAAGACGACCAACCATTCTCACTGGGAAGTCGCAACTTCAGGTTTGCCAAAAAGACGTGGCAGGCCGACCGCCGTCTGGCAGCCACCATCCATGCACAAAGACGTCATTGGGAGTCGCCTTTTACCGCCCAACTTGTCTGTGATTTGATCAGGCATTCCAGCTGCCTCTCAGCGACTTTTTGTCCAAGCCTATCATCTTGACAGCAAGCAGAGTGAAGAATGGTATCCTCGTTGAAACCGTCTTACTTCGTTTTTTGGATGGAGACCCCGCCAAGCCGGCACCCGTTGCCAACCATTTGCACCTGCCAGGGTCAACCTTAACCATCTTGCATGAACCCTCTTGACATCCTCAAACTTCACGTGCTGGCATAACAATAGAATGTCGGGTGACACCAGACCGGAGTGGAAGCTTCCCGATCATCAGGAAGACCAGAAAATTGTCGGAACACCTAACACGTCTGACTATGTCGAAACTCCTGATGCCGATTACTATCTCAACGTGCCGTATGGGCCTTATCGCCTAGAGCAACTCGACATCTGTGTACCAAAGAGGCAACCGCGGGATCATGACAAGGCTGTCTGGCTTATGTAGGTGCTGTTCATTTTCTGCTTTGCTCACATGTCTTTTCTGGTCAGACGCCTCGCTCTTTCTTGAAACACAGAGATCCGCAGAAGGCCTGATTTTCTATGAGCAGCTCTTCGATCTCATCAATTGTACTGATCAGTGGCTGATGTTTGACCAGCTACATCCATGGAGGTGCCTGGAGAGACCCTATGATTGACCGTAAAAGCTTCAACACTACTCTCGACATGCTGCTGAAGGATGACCTGCCACACAACATTGCTGGCTTTGTATCTGTCGACTATCGTCTTTCCCCCTATCCCTCGCATCCAACCAACCCTTCAGATCCGGATGACAGCAATCGCAATGTGCAACATCCTGAACATGTCAAAGATGTCATGCACGCCCTGTTCTTCCTTCACAGGATCAAAGCAACATACACGACCAGCGATGGAAGACCGATTCAAATTCCTCATACCGATCTTATGAGGGAAGGCCGTTACGTGCTGTGCGGACACAGCTGTGGCGCAACACTGGCCCTCCAAGCCGCGACTATCATAGGGGTGAAGGACTACACGCCTCTCCCCAAGGCTATAATCGGCATCGAAGGCATCTACGACATTCCGGGATTACTAGCCAGAAACACGCATCCCGTCTATCGCGAAATCATCGTCGGAGCTTTCACCGAACATCCGGATGCATGGAGCACTGTCAGCCCAGTAGCACATGATTACCCGGGTTTCGACGGCAAAGTCTTGTTGATACATTCTGACAAGGACGAGCTGGTCGAGATGCAGCAGATGGACTCAATGGCGGACAGATTTGTCACGCTTGGTTTCACAAAGCCATCGTCTGCAAGCGAAGAGAATACCATCGAGCAGCGAATAATTCATTGCTCGCACGATGAAGTGTGGGAGAAGGGTACGGAGCTGGCAAAGGCCATCAGATGGGTCTCTCAACTCGACTGAGGAGTGGGTGCTCTCATCGATCCGATAAGGATGATGTTCCCGCAAGCTTGATACACATACAGGGAGGATCTAGCAGAATTGCATCGATTTGTTGACTGCAAAAGTCAATGAAATACCTTCTTCTGGATGGATCCGACTTAGTGACGAGATTACCATCAAAATAAGTACTTCCGCAGGTATAAAGCAAGCCAGCCCAGACGATGTCTCAGTGCAGTGGCAAGCAAGATACCAATACGCTCCCCAGTCTCACCCTCTTTGTACTCGTTTCGAGGGCGTGGGGTTGCCTCTTGCGGCTATATTGAGCCGCCCACCTCGGCAGGAACTCATTCGAGGCTGAACTTCCGCAATCTAAGCTTCATATCCCAGCTGGGTCTTTGGATTCTTTCAACACGTGGAGTCGATTGTCCGCTCATTTTTTCTATCTACGGCGAGCTGCCGCTCTGCATAATACCAAGCTCTTTGCGGGCTAAATTCCCTACACGTGATGATACAAGCCGCCTGAGGGGTACCCCAAGCCTCGCTAAACATGGTGCCATGCACAGCGGGCAATACCACCAGCTGACTAGAAGTTGAAAAAAAGCGGATCACCAACACTGAATATCAAAAGGATTTACTCTGAGGCCGGACTTCCACAATTTGATCCCTCAAGCCTTAGATATGTGCGCAATCGCGTGCCAGCTGGTTATGGAACACTTTGACTGGTGTGAAAGAGCGTAGTCTTGGATTCATTGGATTGCCCGCGGAACAGTCAGCTACTGTATTGCGATCCTTCATGACAATCGCATCTCTTTCTGACCTCCCGATACTCAAATACCTCCTCGCCCTCGACGAAAGTTTCCTCGCGGAAGTGGGTTCGCATCATTGTTTCTCAAGACATGTCCTACAATCTAGACGTCGAGACTCTGCGTGATTCAGAGTATGGTCATTTGAATGGTAGGCATTGACTAATCAGTTCCTGACGTGTGTTAATCTTGAACAGGCAAAACTTATCTGGACCATGGCGGAACAACGGTAAGCTGCATATGACTTCTCGCACATCTGCAAGATACGCCCTGATTTCTATGAGCGCATCGATGAAGGCATCTTTGGAGAATTGCCGTTCTGACAGTACAGTAGCTATACGCTAAATCTCTGGTACAAGAGTTTGCGCAGGATCTTCTCAGTAATCTCTACGGCAACCCACATTCTGCATCGACGCCTTCATCTATAGCAGGCCACAGAGTTGACGCCGTTCGAATAAAGGCCCTCCGATTTTTTGGCGCTGATCCAGAACATTATGATCTTATTTTCGTCTCGAATGCGACCGCTGCGATCAAGCTTGTCATGGAATGCGTAAAAGACTATGTCGCTCATGAGAACAAAAATGGGAAAAATGGGTTTTGGTATGGGTATCACAAGGACGCGCACAACAGCGTGGTGGGAGTGAGGGAACACGCGACAACATCAAGATGTTTCATCAATGATGATGAAGTGGAAGATTGGATAAGACTGGGTACAACAGTTCACTCACGCGATGAAGTGGGACTGTTTGCCTATCCAGGACAATCAAACATGACTGGTCGCCGACTTTCTCCTTCTTGGTAAGTCGAATCGTTCTCAGACCATTCGATTACTGATCTATATTGAGGTCTGCACGAATCAGGGAATCTAGTCATGGAAGGACATTCACTTTGCTCGATGCCGCTGCCCTTGCAACAACCTCTCCTCTCGACTTAAGTGATCCTGCCGCTAGCCCAGACTTTGTCAGCGTCTCCTTCTACAAGATTTTCGGGTTCCCTGATGTTGGCGCTTTGATCATACGTAAAGCAGCTGGTCACCTCTTACAACGTCGCCGCTACTTTGGCGGAGGCACGATTGACATGGTCATTGCAATTGGGGGTACCAGCCATGTCAAACGTGATTCCTCACTGCACGACCAACTTGAAGACGGCACGCTTCCTTTCCTCTCCATCTTCGCTCTCGATATTGCCATTGATGTTCATGCTCGCCTTTTCACGTCCATGGCACGTATTTCAAGTCACACGGCATTCCTGGCTTCATATCTATACGACAATCTTCAGCATCTCCATCACGAAAACGGCTCATCACTTCTCCGGATCTACACAGACGATGCTTCAAGCTATGGCAAGCCTACTCTGCAGGGTGCTACTATCGCTTTCAATGTGTACACTTCTGAAGGCAAGCTCATACCTTGCCAGTTTATTGAAAAGCTCGCAGACAACGAGGGTATCTATATCCGCAGTGGATCGCTGTGTAACCCGGTGGCATCGCGACATATCTCGGCTACACACCACAGGACCTGAAGCGAGCGTTTGCTCTCGGCAACCGTTGCAGCAAGCCTCTCTCGGACGTTGATGGGAATCCGACCGGAGTGGTAAGGGTGAGCCTGGGTGCGATGAGCACACGACAAGATGTTGATATATTGGTCTCGTTTTTGGTTGCCAAGGTATCGTCGATCAAGGGTCGAGACCTGGTTCGGAGTGATGATCTTATCTTGGAGAATTTGGTCGGATACGACACAGTCAGTTTGTTGGAGGCTGCCAAACTTCCAAGCCCTACAAAACATGTGGTGGTGGAAAGAGTAACAGTGGAAAGCCCGGCAAAGCTGTCTCCAAGTGGAAAGTCCAGACGGCTAGCAAGATTGTTCAAGATCGGTCGGTTTAAGCGTTGATCACATGCAGTTTACACAACCGGATAATATCAGTATACCACATAAAACAATGATAATGGTAATAAGAAGCCCGAAAAGATGCTCTGAGCCTGACTAGCATACTAAATTCAACCTGTCTGTATACATAATGTACAGAGGATGACCCTGGCAAGACAAGCAGCGGAGCTTCAAGAGCGCCAAGGACCGACCATGGCCGAAGATGGCCGGGGAAATTCTCGAACTCGAGATGCGACAGCAGCATGTGACAATTGAACAATCTTTCACTCGACATTCCATCGTCAACATGGCGGACAAAGTAGCTGGAGTGCCTCTGGCAAAGACGGTAGAACAGACCGTCAACAATGGCGCAAAGGCAGCGCCGAAAGCAGCAGAGGGCAACCCTGCCTTTCGCATGATGGGTATGCGCTATTTCAACCATCCTCTCCAGCAAGCAGAGAAAGCAGAAAACAGAAGCAAAAGGAGCAGAATGAAGATGAACAAGCGGCTAATGAGTGATTGTCAACAGGCCTCCCCAACATCAAAGCCAAACTCCCGTCCCGCAATTGGATGATCTTCCTCTCAATCACATCCTCCTTCGCTGCAGCGGTCTACTACGACAAACGCGAAACAGCACGTCTCCAAAAACAATACTGCGATCTGGTCGCGCCCCTCTCGGAAAAGATACTCCCTACAACCACAATGCCCAGAAAAATGACCATCTACCTACAAGCACCGCCGGCAGATGGCTTGCGCAGCGCAAGAGAGCATTTCTACGAATATGTCAAGCCGGTTTTGGTGGCAGGAGCTATGGACTGGGATGTCGTTGAGGGAAGAAGAGAGGGTGATTTGAGGTTTGGAGCCGCAGAGAAGATTAGAAGATACAGAAGGAAAGCAGAGGGAGCAGCAGCACAACAAGAAGATATCGAGCCGACGAAAGAAGAAATCGTAGCAGAGCAGAGAGAAAGAGTTGGATGCGTGGATGAAGCAGGTGTCAAGGGCGATTTGATCATCGGCAGACATGCTTGGAAGGAATATCTACGCGGCCTTCACGAGGGATGGCTGGGTCCGTTGAAAGAACCCGTGCAAGTCGAGGAAGTGACAGAGGTCAAACAACACATCGACGGTGCACCTTCATTGGGCGATGCCGCCGTCAAGGCTGCCGCAGACTTGAGCATCAAAGACACACCACCCACCGCCTCCACCGGCTCTTCCAGCACAACCGACTCCTCCTCCATCGTCTTCGACTCAAACGCCGCCGACACTTCAAACACATCCCCCGAAACCCTCCCCGAACCTCCAAAAGAAGAAGAACCCCCGAAACCCAAACTCACAAAACCCGACCCTTACATCTCCACCTCCGCTTACTCTACCGCAACTCTCCCCTCCTCAACGCCTTCCCAGCTCGGTCCCGCCATCGCCATCCCCTTCCCTCATCTCCTCGGTTTCTGGAACTTCCCCATCCGCATCCACCGTTTCCTCACTCGTCGCTACGTGGCCGAGGAAATCTTCTCGCGCACCGCAGCCGCCGTCTTGTCTTCCCACCGCGCCTACCAAACCACCGATACGCAATACCTGCAACACGAAGAAAAAGAATGGCACAAAAGCGTCAGAAAGCCCAAGGTGGAAGAAGCAGAAGAGGGTGCCTTGAGCACGGAGAAACAAGAGAGATTGTGGTTGGATGATGTGGTTGTGGACGATCGTATCACTTCGAAATTGAGGGTTTTCGAACTACCTGGTGAAGGACGAGTAGTAGATATTGGTGAACACACACAAGCACAACAACCTGAATGGACTTATCAGGGAGAAAAGAAGGAGTAGATAGGGATGATGATGATGAAGCGGAAAGGCGAAAGCGAAGGCTTTTGTATTGTATAGTTTAGTTGTACAGAATGGATGGAAATAATCACTGCTCATACCAATATTATCCTCGTATCTGGGGATTTCCATCGCTAATAAAATGTGTGCAAGAGGTATTCAATTGGAGGTGCTCCTTTCTTTTCCATAGTAGTTATCCCAATGTCGGAGTTTAGTATATGCACAGTTCTGCTCGTTTTATACTCCACTTTTCGTGCTATCAGGAAGTTTTTCTATGTCTCTATGCTTGTCTGTTCTTTCTTTCGCTACGCGGAGTAGATGATGATGTATTACATCAGGCACAAAGGTTCATACAAGATCGTACCTCTTCCAATTCAATCTATATGCCATAGACGCGGTAAAATAACGTGTGCATATTCGGTATAAGAAGAAGAAGTAAGACGTACAGCTTGCGTTTACTTTCTCACTTATAGAAGCTTTTCAACCACTGAGGTAAATGGGGTAGGGGTGAGAGATATGTGATGACATAGCAGGGTCAAGGGGAGTGGAGTCTGCTGTTTTTCTTGCAATGGGGTCTGTTGATTAAGCTTTGAGGCCATAGTGTGAGATAATGAAGAGATGAGGTGGTAGGAGATTTAATTGGAGAAGAAATGTCGGGCTGGCTTTGGTATGTTGCTTGCTATGGTATTCTAGAAAGATGCAGGGATAGCTAGAGGTTAGAGGTATGTGTGTGATCAAAGTCAGATAACGAAAATTAACAAAGATTACTCTTCTGAAGCGTTCCGTCGATAATGACGCCGCCTACGTCCTGATTCCGAGCCAGAACGTACAGATCCTTCTTCGTGATCGACCGGCTGGTTCTGATAGTCTATGGCCGCTTTCAGTTCTTGCTGTATCCTGCGATCATTCTCTTCATTATTGTGCTCGCCAGGCACACGCCTCACTATGCGATAGCTCTTACGGCCTTCTGACGAACTCGGGATTTCATCCTCATCTCCATAGACTGCTTTCCCTCTGCGCACAGCGACGTGGTTATTCGTGTAATTGTGTCTGTCATTCGAGCTACGTTCGGAAGTGATGCTGCTGCGGGTTTCGGAATTTGTGCTGCTCCAAGCTCCCGAACTAGTACTGCCGTAAATTCTTAAAGTAGTGCTACTACGAGTGTCTAAGGGGTAACGCGGTGGACTTATTAGGGAGAGAAGAAGAAGTAGATAGGAATGATAAAGGGAAAGGCGAGAGCGAAGGCTTTGTATCATATATTTTAGTTGTACAAAATGGATGGAATCACTGCTTATACCAATGTTGCTTCTCCTATTTTCTTTGCTAGAGATCAGTGTAAGATGTCGCATGTGCTCTTCCCATATAGCCACAGATTTACAAAGCATCTTTGGTTGAGCTGTGCGCCGAAAACTCTCTGCTCCTGGAAGGTGCCACCAAAGTTGCCGGTTCCTCTTCCTCCTCGCTGGTCTGACCTTGAAGCTCCAACGCCGCCCTCATGTTACTCACTCTACTGCGAAACTGTTTCTCTGCTTCCGCCATTTCCCAATACATGCCCGTCCACTGATTGCTGAGATCCACTTCTTGGTGCCGAATAGGTTGCTCGTTTGTGTAATTGTATCTCTCTGAAAGATTGCGTGGGAAAACAAGGCTGCTATAAGGTCTAGAAGAAGTGGTACCGCTTTCAGCGCTGGAGGTATTGCTGCTGTAAGTTCGTGAAGTATTGCTGCTGTAGCTTCGTGAAGTATTGCTGCTGTAAGTTCTGGAGGTGGTGCTGCTGCCAGCTCTGGAAGTATTACTGTTACGAGTTCCGGAAGTAGTGCTGCTGTGAGTTCTGAAAGACATGTCGTCTAAGCCATAATGCGGATTATAGGACTGCACGTCGAAACCCCAAGACCGCTGCTGGAGCGGAAAGGGGTCCCCCTCATTGATACCCGTGTATGCTTCATTCACAGCATCTGTATTTTTCAAGTTACGAATGGTCGCAGAGAAACCATCTAAAATCATGGCGATATGGTCCTGTCGAGACCCGGTTTCAATTCGATCCTTGCGATCGTCTTCTTCGGTCCACAAGGAAGCTGAGAGCGCAAGTTGTTCGAGGTGCGAGCAGACATGACGTTGGAATAGTTCAGGTGTGACGTGGACTTCCCCGTATTGGAAGGTACATATGTCGAGATCTCCCGAGGCTATGGCCCAGTCGCAAAATGGACACTCTGATGCTCTGATACTGTCGGCGCTGTGCTTTGACGAAGTTGTCAATTGTTCGAGTTGCTCTTCGCTGAATTCAGCCGGATGGCAAAAGCGTATATGAGATTGGAAATATTCTCCCGAGAAGAAAGGCGTTTCATCGCAGATTGGACAGTTCCAGACCACAAGATGCTCAGAGAGCTGATGGCTCATCCATGCTTCACTCGAAGTGAACATGTACAGCTCACAGTCCTCTGCTAGACAGACATATGCTTTGAGGTCGCTGAACATATGACTTCGCCACGCAGCCTCCGTCGTCATAGCCTGTTTGTCCTTGCAGTATGGGCAAACGAACACTTCTCCGTCTTGGCAAAGTTCCTTGAGAGTATGCACTGTCGGTATCTGGTTCAAGGAGATCTCCGGTATAGAATGATCTCGAGATGCTTGGGACATGTGGTCGTCCTCATCTTTCTCTTGCAGTGAACCCCACCCAGTAGTATTGACGTCAGCCATAGAGATTTGATCAGAGTGGTGTATCGACGGGATCTTGTCCTGGAAATGATCAGCAGCATTCAAACGCCATACTCCAGGCGGGGCGATAGGGTAGATTTATTGTGTACCTCCATCGACACCTCATTGTCATCCCCTTGTTTCAAGACGTGCTGAGACGAAACCAAAACCCGATCGTGATGAAATGCACGATATCTCAAGTATTTGCGTCGAGCGCTGTTGGCCTGTACAAGCCGCTGCAAAAGCCAAACCGATCCTTTCAATCGCGGAAAATGATCCTGTATGTCACGGACCTCGAGTTCCTTGTGGAGGATCTGCGTATCATGTATTGCAGCTCCGGCTATCGCGTAGTCGTCACGGTACGTTACTTTCTCTACCAACGACGAAAGTTTAAACAGTGACGAAATGTCTTCTTCAACGGCCTTGAGCAGTTCAAGAACCTCAATATGCGCATCCTGCGCCAATGCAAGCACCATACTTTCTTCTCGGCATGATGATGTATAAGTTACAACTGTATCGTCCACTGGGAATATGAGTTATTCAGGACCAGAATTCGAAAGCCGGTGCAGAACTCACAGTCTGTGAGATCTTCTTTCAGGCTTCGAAGACGTTGTCTGAACGATTTTTGCAAACTTGGCGCTTCACGTATTTGATGTTCGAGCGATACTTGACCATGTTGGAAGGCGTTAGTATTGCAGCCCCACAATTGAAAGCGCATGGAAGCATCGCTGATGGGTGTAGAAAACTCTGTTGCATGTTGTTCTGGACGTGAACACAGATCCTGGACTTGGTTAAGAATCTCAAGGCTGAGACTTGCGAGACTAGGTGCTTGCGGATCCATCAGGGAGCTGAGGTGAGCGAGAAGGCAGAAGCAGGTGGGTTGACGGGTGCGTCTTATCTTGAACCATCTGCTCTCAGATCATCACGATCTCATGCATGTGGCTTGTTCAGCCGTGCTGACAACCCCGCTCGGTGGCTGCGAGGAATATTTATGGCAAAACTCCCAAGCAGCCCAGGCCTCACTTTGTTGGAGACCTACATGTGTTACGGTAGCGATGACTGGTATCGAGGTTGCTGGTATAATCTTGGCAGCTCCACCGCTTCTTGTAAGCTGGCTTGAGCATTATCGACAAGTTTTCGATTATCTGAGGTGTTGGAAGAAGTTCCGCGTCGAATATCGCCAGTGTGAGACACAAGTTCAAAATCTGGAGCTCAGCTTGAACTTCACCCTGGAGAAACTGTACTTGCCTTTCGTGGAAAGCGTCGCTGAACTGGAACGCCTGAAGCAGACACCCGACGACAATGCTTGGATTGAAGTCGAGGCAAAACTTCGTCAGCGGTTGCTTCAAGAAGCACAATCAGGATACCTGAATGGTCTGCGAGATCTAGATAGCGCGATCGAAGAGTTGCGGCAAGAACTCGCGTACGACAACGACCATTTCCAAGCAGAGCTCAGTCAGGCAAGTCAAGCAAGCTGTCCGCTACCATTGACGTCCATTAATGGATTCCAGAGCCACGGACTTTCGAACAGTCCATTGAACTTCCTCGAGAAAACACAAACACGATTGATGTATGAGAAGGAGCGCTTGAGGTTTACGCGTCGAGCAACACCCAGGACCGCGGCTCTGCAGAAGGTGGACGCACAACTTGGAAGACTGAGAAGGCTCCTGGCACAGAATGACGAGATTGCGGAGCTTCGAGCCGCCAAGACAACGCGAACGCGAAGCAAAAACGTCGAGTTTCTCACAAACTTCTGGAGGCATGCTCAAGTGGCATATACGCTTATACACGATGCATGGTGTTGTAGATGCCGATCTGATCACCAGGGAGACCTTGGCCTATTGCGACGCTCTGCCACGTTGTTTCAGCTTGATATCGACTTTCTGTTCAGTCAGAATGCAAGTCCTGCAGGTGCACACCCATGGAGCCGGCTGACCACCCGCATATTGAAGGAGGACAGCAATCTTGTCATCCCTGCTCACCTTTTGGATAGTTCTATTGCCACAGTTTCTGCGGCCACAGGTCTACCTCCCGGACTGCCAAGAATCTCGGATATGTGTTATGCCATGTCGGCCCCAAGCACATATGATCGCTGTTTAGGTATGCTCGCAGATGCGCAAGGCGTCGAAAAATACCGTGTGTTCCTTGAGGGTAATGGAGCGCAGAAATCGGCCGATGGTCGATTCATGTCCCTTGGAGCTCTGCTTAACATCGGTCCAGGGAAACCTGGTCGTAAAGAACGATATGAGATTGCGCTTGTTCTAGCCTCTTCGCACTTACAGCTACACTCGAGCTCATGGTTAGAGGCAGGGTGGAGCAACGGCAGTGTGTTCTTCTTGGTAGAAAACGAGAAGCCGTGCTTTGACCGACCATACCTGAGAAGGAACTTTGCCTCCAATTCTACCCCAATTCCATATACTGGATTTGATTTGCCATTTGCGACACTCGGTATCATTCTGTTGGAGTTATGTTTTGGCTTGACACTCGACGACAGTCCATATCGCGCGAAACACCTCTCTCCCGACGGGTCTACCAATCCGGCTCAGGATCGTGAAGCAGCATGGGAATGGGCCAAAGATGTGGTTGGCGAGAGCGGTCAGGAGTATGCACGTGCAGTTCAATGGTGCTTGGAAAAGTGGAGAGTTAGAGAGGATGATCCTGGATGGCGTGCAGAGTTTCACAGCAATGTTGTCGAGGTCCTGGAAACGGCATACAAGAAGACTTGGCCCGAGTAAATCTTCGTCATGCGGTCAATCAAGGGCTTCTTCACAAGATCTATCTACTCTTCATCTGTCATAACGCCTTCCTCGCCAACTCTCCCAAAGAACATCACAGTACGTTTGCTTATTTCCCAAATTCCAGTTGCACCTGCCTCCGTCTCTACCGCATCTCCTTCTATGCACACAAGCTCATCCACATACTTTCCATATGCAGTAACTTGCTGGCCTTCCCATTTGCCTCTGCCCAGATGGACGCCTGTGAAATAGGTCGTTGCTTTTGCCGTTGGTGATGAGGAAGAAGGTGCGATGATGAGATGCTGAGTTGTCAAAGCGTGCTGGGTAGTCACCGGCTTCAATCTATCTTCTTGATTAGCTTTGTGGTCTCATGACACAACGTCCTCTTCTCGAAGATCACAAGAAGTCACAACTCACCGCTGCTGAATCCTTTTTGAAAGAGCATCGACTCCGAGAATGGGCTCATCGTTGAACGGGTATTGTGCAAACACATCCTTAGTGAACACCTTTTCGAGCAAAGGCCAGTCTTTTGTATCCAGCGCTATGCAATACAGACTGATTGCGTTTCTGATGGCGTTATAATCGTGAGGATTTGCCATTTTTATGTCCAACTTCTTGTTTGCACCAGTCAAAATTTGTTCACAGATCTGTTTCCTATCTCTGCAAAAGCCGATATATGACAGTTTCTTCTCTTTGGGGAATGTCGAGGGAAAATTAATTAGAAGAGTAGGTGTGTGTTGACATGAAGTCGTGGATTGATATGCTTCGGCATCCCCGCCCGGCTCCGCAACTTCGCACCTTCTCCATTTGAACCTCTTTTCGGCCTTTCAACCTTCCATCTCTCTTCAATTTTCCTTCATTCCACCCCAAGCCCTTCCCCTGATCTAGTTTTCTGAACATCGATAGTGATGCTGGCGTAGATTTATCGGAGAACGAGAGGCTGATTCAGCGCGGGGGCGTCTATACCGTGCCTCTGCTTCTTCCTCTATCCTTTCGACGCCTATATGCACAATGCTGGGGCGATTGATGGCGACGCGAATATATATGGCTTGTTCAAGACAAGGCGCTAACGACGGCGAGGTATACAGAGCCGACCATGTGAGAATCAACCCGGAGATGTGCCGGAGTATCAACTTGCAACATATCCTCAAAGCTCGATGAACTACCTTCCTCGACACCTCTGGAATCGATACACACTTCATCATGGTTCGCTCATCGGAACGGATGTTCCTATCAGCTGGTAGTGCAGCCAGTGTGGGAATGTAATGCTTGACCAAAGCTTGGCCTCTGGCTCATCTGTCTTCTTCCATAGCGATTTTCACATTCTTGGTCCTGGCTATACTTTACTTCTGCATTAGCATATACCTCATCATGCTAGTCAAAGGCGTTCCTGATCTGGACGCTTGATTTGCCAGCCAACCAACACAACATCACTTGCAAAAGCAGTACCGACCAGTATTCCCAAACGACCCTACACCTTACCTCCCCATGCCTGGCACTCGTTTAGCCAAAGCACGCAGGGGATGTTTTGCTCTATCTGCCTTCGTGGTATTGCATATCGTCATGTTCCTCCGTATCCGCAACCTGATATATTGGTCGCCCACACGGCCCACGCGGGTCTACTTAACGCTCCCTAACATCGTCACCGCTGTTGAGGTTGTTTATTTATGGTGGCATACGGCGTCTTTTGCCTGTTGTGTGAATCTAGTCGTGGAGGCCAGGGTCTGTGGTGAAGATATGACTAAGCGAGTTGACATGGATCTCATGGCCGTGCCTGTGTTGATCTTGTCGTGGGCCTTCTTCTTGTTGACCCTGCCGATATACATGGTTAGATGGTTTATGATGAGATTGGTACCGGAAGGTCGGTGATGAGGTGTCAAAGCAGGTTTATGGTCTACAATATTGCGCAATAATCTTTTCTGAATTTCTCACCAAGGCTATCAATAGTATTTGACTTTCGACCCATATCTGTTTATCCTGATGAGATTTTTCTTATTGGTAGACACTAACGAAAGCACTGTGAATCTAGAAAAGACGCTTTCCGATGTTCCATGCCTCCAGTCACTCTGAGAGAGGCACCTATTGTCAAGACGACACAATAATCGATACCAAATCCCCCAAGGCCAAACACTCTGCAAAAACAAAAACAGATTCTTTAGCTATATCCAAAGGTGAATCCCTATTTCTTAATAGGACACCGTCACAAGAACGTGACACGGAACTACAAATTTTGATGGTACGCAAAAATGGCACTGAGTTCGTGGAAGATCGGAAAGTAGCGTCGAGATGAGTTACGTACAGAAGTGCGTCGATCTGAACATGTGCATGTACAGATATAGTAGTCAAGTGACAACTAGACCTGCATACATACCGCCAAACATCATATTCCACAAACCAGCCGATATCCTAAATTGACCCCATCATCCTTTCCCCCGAACAATACCTCACACCCCTATTAAAACCGCAATGCAACACAGGTGTAAAATAGATTCGGAAAATGGTCAATGGCAGGTAAAATGTCAAACCATGTCGTCAGATGATCCATACCAAGATGTTTATCCTGATGTTTGTCCGCAGGTATATCCGGGGGTATTTCCTTGCCGTGATGATCTTTAAGCCACGTGAAGTCAACCACTGACGATATACATATGACTACGGCTGATACATGATAGCCCTACGTGGAGCCGACAATATATCCTCGGGAACACGTAATCCGAGATGAAGTGTCACCAAAAGTTGTGCATAAAGTAGTGATCTGGCGGGGCGTTTCCTTCCATTTTGGTATTTTCCAGCCGCAGCTTTGAGATGATCTGACCACGGGTTGTGGTGAAGCTTCTGCTAGCCCTGGGGATGTAACGATGATCTGACAATCTTTGTCGCGGGGTATGGGGTTTAGTCTATGCTTATATACGCATGTGGAATGAGGGAAAGGTATATAATCCTGGATGCCAGCGCTGAGACAGAAGTAGAACAGACCAGAGCATTGTCCAGAAACCAACAGCCTGGCCATCTATTCTCTTCTTTCGTCGCCCCATGCATACTCTTCTTTCATCATTCAAGATGAAGTCCTTCACTGCCATCGCGGCATGTGCATTTTTCTTGTTTCAACTCAGCACTTCCAGCGCCATCCCAACCCTTCACAAACGGGTGATCTCTCCACCTCTGCCCCAAGATGACCCTTTCCACATCACTCCTTCTGGCTACGAGGCCTCAGCACCGGGAACAATTCTTCGCTCCAGAACCTTGGACGACTTTTCCTTTTCTGGCAGCATTCCTCTTCAGGTTCAAGCAGCATACCAGCTCCTGTTCAGAACAACCGACAGCACCGGTAACCCCCAAGCCGCAATCTCGACGATCATAGTGCCGGAGAATGCGAATATGAGCAGATTGCTCTCGTACCAAACCGCTGAAGATGCAGCTTGGGATGGTTGTGCACCTTCGTACACTCTTCGCCTGCACTCTGATCCAGACAATGGTGGGTCTTTGGCTGGAGAATTGCTTCTGATCATTGCTGCTTTGAACGAGGGATACGTGGTCAGTATTCCTGATTATGAGGGTCCTGAATCGGCATACAGTTCGGGCATCCAGGCAGGTCAGGCGACACTTGATTCCGTTCGTGCTGCTCTTGCGTCCGGCTCCATCACCAATGTCTCCTCTGCAGCTGAGTATCAGATGTGGGGATACTCGGGCGGTTCACTGGCATCCGAGTGGGCGGCAGAGCTCCAACCTACCTATGCTCCCGAACTACACTTCATCGGCACCGTACTCGGCGGCTTAATCCCGAATGTGCAAAACGTTCTCAACACAATCAACAAAGGTCTCTTTGCCGGTCTGGCCGCCACAGGAATCAACGGCCTCGCAAACGGATATCCAGAATTACAGACCTACCTCGATCAACACTTGATTCCCAGCACGTCAGCAGCGTTTAAGAAACCGCTTACTCAATGCCTCGGCGATGATACGAGTCAATTCGTCTTCAAGGACATCTACAAATTCTTCGACAATGGCAAAGATTTCGTCAATGCTCCCGTCGTGCAGACTGTGCTGAACGAAACTGGTATCATGGGACGACACGGTACGCCTCAAATGCCGCTGTTTATTTACAAAGCCGTTGCCGATGAGGTTTCTCCTGTAGCCGACACAGATGCACTGGTTAAGCAACTCTGCTCCCAAGGCGCTCGTATCCAGTACACCAGAGACTTGATCGGAGAGCATGTGACGGAGGCCATCACTGGCTCTGGAGATGCATTGAACTTCATCAAAGCCAGATTCAATGGTGTGCCTGCTCCTAACGGTTGCAAGACAAACACAGTTATAACCGATCTTGCCGATGTCGGAGCAGCTGCTGGATTGGGAAGTGCGTTGGCCGGTGCCTTACTCGCTTTGCTGCAAATACCCATTGGAGCTTCCAAGCTTCCTTCAGTGATTGGATCATTCTTTTTGTAGTGTAGAGTCTGAGGTATTTTGTGCAGTCATAAGACTGTAAGCGGCCAGAAATTCGGCAGTATATGGCAATCTTACTTTCGCATGTGGAGCAAGACGAGAGAGTACTTCCCCAGCATCTGGGCCCTGGTAGTCTATCAATGAAATCCGAGGATCGTCTGCAAGCCCCCTCACTTTCCAATCCAGACCTGATTGACATTGCTCTGGGACATCAGCCTTGCTGAAGCCTATAAAGTCGATTGGGAGTTTGCGAGATCCTTCGTGCCACAAAAATTTGATGTGGAACGATGTGAGATGCTTGAAGGTTCGGAAGCTGGATAGAAGGTCCCGCCAATCAGATCCTTCTTTGAGTGTGACCTGCTCAAAGGAGATTGAACGTAGGGTGTGGACGGAACCAGACAAAACTGCATGTAGAGTATCTGCATGGATGGTTGAACTGCCGATGCTGAGCTGCTTGAGTTGGAGTGGTACCGGACGAGAAGAAAGCAGGTCGTCCCAAGAAGCGCGAGGTGATATAGTGAGGTTCTCAAGCAACGGGGCGTGATACAACATCTTCTCAACCCAGTATGGAGCAGCCAATATTTCTGCCGAGCGCAGCATTGGAAAATGTCCGGTATGGCATCCTCGAAACTCTGTTGAAAAGCAAATCGTTACTTCAATCACCAACGATGAGCCTAAAGACATGCCAGTAGGGGCGTCCGGATTTTTGAAATACGAGAGTTCCCGCAGGTTTTCAGTTGATTGCCGCAGCATCTTGACATCGATTACACCATGTCCCAGACCTTGAATGATATCCCTTGCAAACAAAGCGACTGCCGTGGCGTCTTGTCCATAACCAGCAGTTCGGTAGGCTTTACGATTGTGATCCTCCGGGCAGTAGTAAAGATTTGAGGGACTGATGCGATAATCGCGGATCCTGATGATTTCCGGGCACAGTCTTCTGTCCAAGAGCATGGCTCTGAGGTTTTGTACGCCAATCTGCTCAGACAGTATGTTGCCGTCCTCATCTCCAGGCCATATGACGTCGCTCTGGAAAGGGTACACACAATTCCAAGGGTCGTTCTTCTCACAGTCATCTTGAATGACGATTGTCTTGACCAGACTCCGCAAATCGGTATCCCGAGAGAGTTTCTCCAGCCGGTCGAGGTCGGCGCCCATTAGGCTCGTTGTCCACGTAGAGAAGTATCGCTCTCGAATCTGATAACAAAAGTTGAGTGTCAGCTATAATGACACAAAGAAATGCCCTGGTTTCGATTGCACTCACGAGGGAGAACGCTTGGGAATCGGCAAGCTCACTCTCCTTGCGGAAAGACAAACTCTCGGAAGCACCCAAGTATGCCGCCGCCTCTTCGATCATAGCGACAGATACTGGGAGAGGTTCAACCTTCTCCATGGCGCCGCTGCACGTTGGATGTTGGTGAGCAGGTAGCCGTCAAGCAGAGCAAGCTCTGTGGACGATTGACCCTTCGCGGGCCGAGTGTGATTCTCAATCACTCTCTAGAGAAGAGCTCGCCACCAGAACAATAGGTGTGAAAAGCGACTTGTGTCGTCGTCGACTAGGCCGGCACACCCAGGGTCGGCAGCTCACACCTTTCAATCAATGTCCGCGGCCACAATTCAAGGCCAAGAAACCATCAAGGTGAGCATTCCAATCAATGACGGCGCCAAAACTCTCCACCTTCGTCTCCAAGCGGAAGCAAGACCGCAGCAGTCCTTCCGCGAGTGGACTGCGTCGACAGAAAAGCACCGCCAAGGACGACGAATGAAGGAATTGGGCGCAGCAGAGTCACACGTCAGAGTAGATCTTTCTTGGGATGCCAGAAAAACTCTCCGCTAGCAGTGTTCGGATAACTCTCCGCACGAAGTAAGAGCCGCCCACGACATTATTCGTGGTATTGGCGTGGATACTGGTGTCGAAAAGGAAAGCTTGGGGGGACGATTTGAAATCCCCCATCATGAGGCGCACGCTTTCGATGGTTCCAACCGTCGCCAAGCCGAACGCCTTCCTCCGCCTTGGGAGACCCTTCTTCTCTTTCCCTCCTCCACTCCACCACTTTCCGGGGAAATCTGGTGTCAAAGACGGTGGTCAAGGTTTGGCTCCACCGCTTGGGAGATCAAGATGTGGTGGTTTGGTGCTTGGCTGTCAAGACGTGATCGCCTGCCCAGTGCTTGAGTGTCTCACTCTTGTCGAGGCTTTTCGCTGTCGATCATTGACTTTCCACCCACGACATTGGGGAAAGCCTTGCTTGGTATGGAAGAGGACAGAAATAGCATTCTGGGCATTGAGTGTCGTTTGTATCATCTGCCAAGAGGTATACTTGAACAATGTATGAACGTTTGCAGATGAAAGACGGGCAGCATTAATTCGACCAGTAATTTCCGCGATGCAGGAAACATGCGCTTTCTTGGTGGATTGAGATGGCAGTTCGAGCAGCGAGATAGCAAGTGCGACAGCAGAGTAGCAACTGAATTGGTTGCCCGAGACCATCGTGCGAGGGATCAAAACACACTGACTCGAGCACGGAATGCAATCATCCCAACTGCCTGGAAAATCAATCCAATGCCGAGCATACCTCTCCTCCACAGACAAGCAGAGCCACAGACCTTGGCAACCTTTGATCCAGATGGCCCAAAGACGTACGCTAGCTTAGGAAAGCCATACCCCAAGAACCTTCATCCTCTACAGTAGATTCACATCTCTTGGCGACTAAACATCTCTGGGCAAAAATCCAATTTCTGACGTGTGCCTGGGAATGTCTTGGACAAACAGTTCCTTGGGAGAAGGAGGCGCATCCACCACCGGTGTGCCTTGGAGGCTTGGTAGTAAACAAATGTTGTGCTATGCTATGATGGAACAAGGCAAGAATGGTGTTGCTTTGAGAAGATGGTCAATGGTATAAGTATGTGTATCTGCCCCTGCGATTAAAAAGCTCATCATCACATCAACTCGACAACAATCCAATACGACCAGCGACCAACACACGACAACAACAACAACCACCAACAAACGTCTACTTTATACCAACACATTCACAATGAAGTTCACCGCCGCTACCATCGCTACCCTGGCAGCTGTTGCCTCTGCTCTCCCCACAGACATCAAGTACGATGCTCCTGCTGGTAAGTCATAGCTTGATCTGATGCTCTCGCAATCCATACTGACAACTCTCAGGCGGTTGGGACTCCATCACCTACCCCAAGGGCACTGGTGAGAACCTCCACGAGTACCCTCCCCCTCCCGGCGGCTGGGAGTCAGTCGACTACTCCAAGACCGGTGCCGGTGCAGCCCCCGCAAAGTGCCCCGAGGCACCCAAGATGGCCGGTTCCCCCTTCACCTTCACCAGCTACTACGAAGTCAAGGCTGTCCCCGGAGAGGTCGTCAACGGCACCACCCCCACTGGCGGTCTTGCCGGTGCATCCGGTCTCTACAAGATCGGCATCAACTCCGACCTCAACCTGATCTGCTACAACATCGAGCTCTACGGCTTCCGTGGCGAGTACAGCTCACCCGCCGCCACTGCCACCCACATCCACGAGGCCGCAAAGGGTGCTTCGGGTCCTCCTAGAATCGCCTTCCCCAACCCCGTTGATGTTGGCAATGGTGTTAGACGCACTGTCGGCTGCCAGTCCGGTCCTTTCAAGACCGGTCTGTTGGCTAACGGCAAGGACACTGCCGATGGCTTCCACATCAGCCAGATCGAGAAGAACCCTGCTGGCTTCTTCGCCGACACCCACTCCAGCTTGGCTGTTCCCGGTGCCGTCCGTGGCCAGCTTGCTTAGATGATTTGACGAGTTTCTCGATGATAGGCGGAGGATGTTGATGTAACACTAGTACTCTTTTTGTACCTATTTCGTATGTCATGACCAGCAATCTAATTCATAATTTTTCATCATGATTCGTTCTTTTCAAGATTCTCGAGTGCTTTTGAAGGAGTTCTGATTGTGTTCAAAAATGAATGGTCTCGGTCCATTGGAACTTGCCTTCCAAAAGGCCATAGGGCCATGTTCTAATTGTGGCTTGACAGGTTCCTCGTGAGCCTTCTGAGATTTCTCTGATATCCATGTCGTGTACTCGGAAGCGTTCATCTGGAGGCGTCACGATCGTTCTGACTTGTCCATCTGCGATCATCCGCATAAGTGGTCCTGGTTCCATATACACGAATTTGGCGCCTTCGGACATCAGTAAATTGGTTTCCTCGATTTCGACCAGTCGCCTCGCAACTTTGGCGTGTAAACGTGCGTCCCAGAGTCCTTCACGACCGTTTGTCTCTTCCAGAATTGAGATTGCTTCTCGTCTGGTGATTGGGTCGCGGCACTTGATTGCCACAAGATAGAGTGGAGGAACATAAGCCATGTTGAGTGAAAACTTTGCAGCACCATCTATTGAAAGCGAAGCTAGTCTGGTGTGCAAACAAGGGTCTTTCGTCTCGGTTGATGGCATCATCAAAGATCGCGACCACTTGACTATCGATGCGAATTCTGGGAGAAAAGCATCGAATCCAGCCTCTCCCAACTCTGTACATCGTGACAACCAGATGAACGAGGCTGTGTGTTGTACTCGAAGTGACTTCTCCAGTTTGTTGTCCTCGTCTGTGGATGGGTGTCGCGCTTTGACAAAATCCGCCATACTATTGTTCCAGATAGTAAATTCGCTCAGTAGATGTACCTGTAATGTGCGAGCTGATAGAGACACTGAACCGCTCTCGGCGTGTTTCCCATCATGTATATCTCGAATGAAGCCCAAGCTTGATGCAACAAGCAGATCAAGTGATGTCTTTGCATGCTCAAAGTCCTTGAAAGATCTCGGGGTGTGAAGAGAAAGCAATTTGTCCATGTGGTTGAAAAGACTTGAGGCCGGATATCCCATGAGTGTTGTTTGAGAATCCAGGCGATGGAAAAGTGGCCGAACCTCCTGCTTGATAGACTTTGAGTTCGCATTCGATGATGATGGGTTCTCCAATTCCTTCAACTGTGATGATCTGAGAATGTTCAACCCATTCTTGAGGTGATCCATGACCAGGATTCGGTTACCATGAAGACACTCCAGGGAGACGAACAAGAGGCAGCACAGTAGGGCAACGTCAGAAGCCTCTAGATCTCCTTCTAGACGTGCTTGCAGGTGTTTGATAGCTTCTGTGTAATGCCACAATACAAAGTTGGGGCGAACTGCAGCTTTGAGGACCTGATTGTTCGTTGCGTCTGCTTCATACCTAGCATGTGCTGAGCCAAGTGCAATGAGGGCATGCCGAATGGCCGGCTCCGAAACACTCAGCTGAGGCAGCGTGGATGACCAAAAAGAGTGGCTGAAGACGCTCGAAAGTGCAGGCCCGGTCCGCATACTGAAGAACTCTACCCAAGGACTATCCTCGCCTGACAATGCAGGTGACAGAAAATTGGCATCAACAATAAGCGTTGCTGGTGCAAGTCTCCGAACAGCTCGACTCTGGATTGGCGTCGGAGGTGATGGTCTTCTTTGCACTACTGTTACCACAGACCGATCAGTAGTTGTGAATTTAGCCGGCTTCCTCTCTGGCAGCGCTGCATAGCCGTCGCATTTGCGACCGGTGTCGCTGCATCGCTTGCAAGAAGGCTTCGCTTCATCACACTTCACTTTTCGGATCTATCGGATCTCATCAGTTATAGCTCCATTGAGGACAGCTCAATTGCATACTTTGCAGGTAATGCAGCCAGTACGGACTTTGAGCTTGCGGCTTGAACGACTGCCGTCAGGCGGGGATGCAGACATGGCTTCACGCGGACGATCGTGGAACGACACACTGATAGCACTTTCGACATGGAGATGTCATCACGAAAGCAGATGCGATGTCAATTGAATGGATGCAGAAGTACACACGTCAGGCCAGGAACCGGTGAGAATACACATCTGCCTAGAGTGATTGATCCTACAGGGCTGGGTTTCGTGTAGAAACACGCTGATGCCAAGTCTTCAAAAGTGGGCAGTTTCAACCGACCGCAAGAGTTTCCCGCTTTGACTTGCCGCTGCGAGCTCGGTGCCCGCGGGAGCCTTGCACGCATATCTTGATCGATGCTTCAATAATAGCTTCTGTAGATGTTTCAAGTGCTTCCATTAGAGCTTCTTCAAAGGCTTCGGCAGATGCTTCGGGCCAGATCTGGTGGCTCCTCGCACGTTGTGATAGTCAAGATTCTAGCGTGCATGATTCCACGAGTGTGGAAATAAAGAAAATAAAGATGGCCATGTCATTGACTATCTCGGAGATGTGTTAGATCATCCTACTCTCTCTTCCTCCTATCATCACAGTCATTACTCTCATCCCTATTCTCTCTCTCCGGCCCCGTCCAACCCCTCGATCTAGACTCTGTGCTTTGACAACTCATCCTCACTCTCCAGAACCGATGGCGGAGCAGTTTCTCTGCTCTCCATTCTGATGTGGTTACTGCCGCTTTCGCTCTTGTTGCCCTTCTTCCATGTCCAATTTGCAGCTTTCCATGCCGAGGCGCTACCGAAAGCGATTCCGGGATGACAGATTGTCAAGACGACTACTGCGATGATGATCATGGGACCCTCGAAAGCCATGAACATGCCTTCATTGTTGGCCAATTCTCCGCCAAATCCATCCTGAAGCTCAGCGACACGGAAGACGCAACGTATGTAGATTGTGATGGTGGCAATGGCGATGGCGTATGGCAGAAGGCGGAACATGGTGCGCTTTCTGAGGTTGAAGAACTCAAAGTTTAAATCGCTCTCTCTGGCCTTGCGAGCTCTCCAGGCGAACTCCAAGCTGAGAGCGATGAAGATTGTCAAAGAGACAACCTGGAAGGCCAGACCAGCTATCATGATGTTCACACCAGTGTCGGAAGGGTTCGTATCGTCTTGTGTGGCAGCCAAGGCTCCTCCGACGGCTTGCAGCAACAGACTAAGGAAGTCGCAAGTCATGAACGTGATGGTGTAGAACTTGGGAGAGAATCGAGAGATGCCTTCGCCAAAGACGATGACGAGGCGACCGAGGCATAGGTAGATTGAGGCTGTGAGAAAAGCCGGTCCGATGGTGAGGCATACAAGGTACCTAGATACGTTAGACTAGGTTTCGACTCATTCATGCCGTGATACTTACAAGACAAATTGGTCAAAGTTGAAGGGGTTACCGTTGAGGGTGACGCGACCAGCATACCCAAGGACTTCGAGAAGAAGACCACAGAACATACCGACCCAGAACCCCCATGTACGGTATTTCCAGACAAGACCGCATTGAGCTACCAGGAGGACAGCGAAAACAATGAGGTACGCCAAATTACCTCCATATGTTGGGACGTATTCGATTTGCGCATAGTCGAGAGAGCAGACGTTCAGTGCGCAATCGTCCTTGGGGATGAGTGTGCCATTCAATGCTGGTATCCAAAGAGTTCCATTGATGATTTCGGCCATTTTGAAGTTGTGAAGATTTGCGACAAGATTCGATCGAGTAGTGCTGGATTGCAAAGAGCTTGAAAGGGTAGATAGGCTCGGGGATGACGTGCGATGGTGTGGGAAGTGAAGGTTGTTTGTGGGTGACGATAGAGAAACCACAGGAGGTTGAACTCTTGCTTATATCCCTAAGTACCTACTGCTATGGAGGAAGGTTGAAAGGATTACGCATACGAAGCTGTTGCGACTCAGCCCCCCAGATGTCTTGTCAGATTGTTGATAAACTGCAGGGCGGGTCATCGCAAGGACTTCCTATTCGGTATGGACGCTGGAGAGCCGCATGAAACATCCCTCAGGCTCCAACATGAAGCTTCGGGCTTTGACATGATTGGTTGGCTCGCAACAAAATGCAAGGTGGGAGCTGTCAAGGAGGATAAAACAACATGACTGCGGTCCGAAAAAGAAGGAAGCTCGGACGAACCGGGAGTGAACATTTCTTTTTTGGCAACGCTCCGCAGCTCGCATCGCCCTTTGATTGGTCCGCTCGCACTTCGCTGTTTGGTAGGTGAGCAGCGTCAGCGACATGCTTATTATCTCCTACGCTCTCCTGATGTTCGTTGGGTATAATTCTAGGACGAAGGTCTGATTGACAGGGAAAATAGCTTCCATCAAGACCCGCTCGGGAAAATGATGTTATGAAATGGCTCGATTGACACGAGTTGTGTTGAAAAACATCGAACTTCGGACACTTTTCAAAATCCGCGCTTCGAGTTCACGATATCGGCAACAACATGCGCAACACGTGTCGAAGACGGCTACAATCTCGTCCAGTGAACGTTTTGAGTGTCTCTAACGATATGATCCATCTGAAAACCTCCTCAATCATAGCTGGATGCCTGCTTGGCGCGTTTTCGTAGAAACACATCTTGTCCGGGGAGAAACCCTGTCCAGTCAGCCGAGCGCTCATCGCGAACAGCAACACGACGTTATCAAAGTTTCCAACCAAGAAAGCATAATTCATATACAACATGACCCTAGATACAATATTTACAGATGATTTCATGTCCAACGGACTCGCGATTCCCACATACGGTCCCCAAGACTTTCAGCTCCTTTCAATCTCACCCTAGGCCTTGACTGCATGGATACTGGTTACATCGCCTGAAGCCTGGGCCATGACTTCTTCGTCGTTGTGTACGAAGGCCTTGTCGCCGAATGCGACAGCAATCTCCTCCAGACTGTGTCCAGCAGTCTCAACGTAGTAGAAGTACGCCAAACCGGCAGAGAAGAGACAGAACCCTCCAATAACGACATAAAAGTACCCATGGATACCATCAAAGGCATCAGGAGACACCATTCCGATGATGAAGTTGAAAATCCAATTGCTGAACGTGGCCAGAGCCATACCCTTGGATCTGGAGCGGAGAGGGAAGATTTCTGCAGGGAGCAACCAAGGCATGGGACCCCAGGTGAAGCCGTATACGATGTTGTAGAGCATGACGAATGCGTACTGACCGTTGGCACGAGTCTGGACCCCAAGGTCTGCTTCGGTGAAAGCGCAGACAATACCGAGAAGGACTGCCATCAAGATGCCACCAAGAATAAGAAGAGGGCGTCTACCCCAGTGATCGGCAAGGTACCAGGTTGCAATGGTAGCGGCTGTGTATGGGATGGCGTTTGCGCCTGTGTAGAGAAGAGACTTGCGTTCGCCGAAGCCTGCATCAGAAAGGGTCGAGGGCAGGTAGAACGAGATGATATTGATTCCGTTCAATTGAGCAAAGGCTTGGGCCGTGATTCCTACGATCGTGCGCTTTCTGTAGGTGATGAACATCTCCTATAACACTGGTCAGAAAAAGGGGTGGACAAAGAAAGGAGAAAAAGGAAAACTTACGCCCCAGCCTGCGGATCCGAGACTTGCTTCGTAACGGACGGCCTCCTGGATCTCGAGGAACACGTGCTGGACATGCTCTGCCTCAATGTCGCCGTTGCTGTGAAGATCGGCGACAGTCTGCAGACTCTCCTTCATGAATCCATTCTTGGCGAGCCATCTGGGCGTCTCGGGCAGGAAGAAGGACATTGCGAAAAGTACGAATGACAGGACAATCTGGATGATGAACGGGCCTTGCCAACTCATGTCGCTCGGCAGCAAGAAGTTGAAGCCGTAGTCAACCCAGCAAGAGAGCATGTAACCGGCGATGAGGAAGGTATACTCAATACCGACCATAAGTCCACGGGCATGGGGCGCCGCAATTTCGGTCTGGATGATAGGCACTGTCATCGATAGGAAGCCTACGCCTAGGCCTTGTATGGTCCTGCCTGCGACAAATGTGGAAAAGTCCCCTGCAAACATCTGGATGAAGGCGGTGAAAAAGTAGATGAAGGCTCCAATTCGAACACACTTCTTGCGGCCGATCATGTCTCCGAGTCTTCCAGCAATGAGCGCGCCCAATGCTGCGGTGAGCTGCAGACAAGAGACTGAGATACCAGTAATGGTAGGGTTGATGTTGGCAGTGGTACCATCAGCACCACCGTAGTCTCTGTAGAAGCGAGCGATGAAGACGGGATTGACGAGCAGACCGGACATGATACCTGTTCTTGATGTCAGTTTAATCACCTCCAAGACAGTGCATATGACTCACCAGAGTTGTAACCAAACAAAGCATCTCCAAGACTGCCGAATCCGCAAGTGGCGTACAACAAGGCAGCTCCCTTGATAGGATATCTCGCGGTGACCGTCTTGGGCTTGATCTTGCTCTCAAGCCAGCCCATCTTCTCTGTAGGAACACCCTCCTGGAGGACGATCGCATTGTGATCGGTTGATGGCTTGTTCACCATTGTGGCCGATGTCGATGTACTGTCGGTAGTGATTGGAGTCTCCGTCTGGGGAATGTTGGAGAAGATGGGGTTGAGATGGAGGCGATGATGGTTCTATTTGAAGGACAGGCCAACGTCTTCGATGGCAGGAGGTATATCACCAACTCCTATATTGACCCCGATCATCCTCCACGCATCCCCGCTTTTCTGCACTTGTCACGTTGTGAGTGTCTGCAAACCATGCATCCGGTATATGTGCCGTCGGGTCGGATGGCCCAAGCGTCGATCGTTTCCTCTGTCATCGGTTCCGGCGGTTAGAGCCTCATCTCCGAGAAGCAACAGTGGACAGCGTCTATTTTCACGAGAACAGGTGTTGCCAGTGTCGAGCCTCTCATCTTGTCGAATGAGTTTCGACATGAAAAATCACGAGATCCCCGTACTTACTCCTGTTCTGATGGCGGCGACCGGCGAGGAGTATCTGCAGCTCTGCATTTGCGTACTCAGTGTCTCTCGCCACGTCAGAGCAGCCACACAGCGAACCCTGTCGAATGGACTAATCTCAAAGTCGATGACCCACCTGGATATACTCAAATATCATGCGTACAAAGGACGACCTAGTAGTCACCGTGTCTCAAAACACGACGCGTCCGACACAATGACGCGTTCGATACCCATCGCTCAATATCCATGGGCGCAAAATCACTGGGGCGACTGCTGCGAACAACTCAGCATGTTTCGTGCTCATTGGAGCAAGACTGGAGTAGTTGGTGGTGTCGTCGAGGAAGAATACAAAAGTCGCTGCGCGTCATCATCCTTCAAATTTTGCCAAGCATGATACCTATTCAACTCGGAAGCCCTACCGTATTCGGATTAGAGCCGACGAGAGCTATACGATACCATGCAAAGAAAGAAGACAAAGCCACTCAAGACAGAGAAGTTTTTTCTTGACTGAGCCAACTTCGTCTCGTATGCCCTACCGGCCTGACCGTCAGCTCAGAAGCAATCTGTGTTATGTGATGCCCTGCGCTCAGCAACTCGGATTATGGCGTCTATCGGTCAACAAACATATGGAAGGCCTCGAACTTGACTGCTGGCCATCGCACACTGCGCTGAGATGAGAGATGTCCGAGAAGGGAGTAAGGGATGTGGAAGATGGAATGCTCGGAGAAACCAGTGTCCATGAGTTGAGCTCTAGCATAGCACATGCAACATCGCTCATCTTCTACTTGATCCACCCTCATAGTGATTTGATCTACAGTACAGCACTTTGACTTACCAAAAGGATAGTCGAAAAATTCTTGGACAAACGGATTTGAGAGTCCTACCGTCCTATGTGCTAAACTTCGTCATTGTTGGCCATCTCTTGCGGTCACAACTGGAGTCATCCACGTCGCAGGACTGCACGGTGTTCTTGAGACTAGTGCAGCTCTCCATAGAGAAGTGCTGACTTTCACTCTCTCGGTGGAGGCTTACTCTAACCGAGCAACACTCGTGCATTTCTACAAGGCTCAGCACACGAGGAGGCATCAACAGCTAAGTGCTCCAGATCCCCAGGGCTTTGGCACCATCAGGTCCCTTTCTCCGAAGATTAGGGTTCTTCTGAGATTTCCTTCGGATTGGCCTCAGAGATTATCCTGCAGACGCCGTTTGCCGAAGGTGGTCAAAGCGCCGGTTCCGAAGGGGGGACGGTTCCGGCGGAAAGGCGCCTAGACGGAAGGCATCCGATCATCTCCTTCCACGGCAATCGTGTACGGTACGATGAAGTGAGAGTACGCACACTCTGACCATCGAAGGGTCTGTTATTGCCGCAGATGTGGAGACGGTCGACACGGGGTATCAGGAGGCCTGTTTTTCCCTCGCCGGGGAGAATAGCGGTGAAGATACACAAAAGCAATAGTCCGGTCGTCGAAAGGAGAGGATACACCCCGTCCTCTTTCCGCCATCATCACCAGTATCAGCATCATGCCCTCTCAAATCGCCAATGAGCCCGTAGCTCTGAATGGAGGCAAGTTGTGCTTGTGCTCGAGAGACGTTGAACAATAACTGACTTGTCTTTGCAAGCAGTAACGAACGGCGCGAAGAAAGTCGCTCAGCCCGAGAGCAACAAAGTGTTCGTTCTCGAAGAGCAGGGCAGATTCGTATACAGCTCGCGACCAAAGCCAACAGTCGATTCAAGATATGTCCTGGTTAAGGTCCTGGTGACTGGCCTCTGCGGATCAGATGTAAGCAGGCGCCGTCGAACGACTCCAGAAAACAAGCTGATTGAGCTCCTTCCAGATCCATTATTGGAAACACGGGCGCATCGGCAACTACGTTGTGGAGAAACCCATCGTGCTCGGTCACGAGTCTGCCGGTATTGTCGTCGAAGTTGGCCCAGACGTCAAGGACCTGAGGGTCGGTGATCGAGTAGCGCTGGAGCCTGGTGTTTCTTGCAACAACTGCCGCACCTGCAGAAGTGGTCGCTACAATCTGTGCTCGGGCATGCGCTTCGCCGCGACACCACCATACGATGGTACATTGGCGACATATTACCCCCTGCCAGAAGAATGCTGCGTCAAGCTCCCGGCACACGTTTCGCTGCGCGAGGGCGCTCTGGTCGAGCCCTTAAGTGTGGCGGTCCATGTCATGAGACTTGCCGGAGACGTTCAAGGCAAGGAAATTGTCATCTTTGGCGCTGGTCCCATCGGTCTCCTCTGCAGCGCCGTCGCCAAAGCCTTTGGCGCAAAGAGTGTCGTCGTCGTTGACATTGTCGAGAGCAGATTGGAATTCGCAAGAGAGTTCAGCGGCGCAAAGTCTTTCCAGATGACCAGTCAAGCTCCAGAGGCGAACGCAGAGAGCTTGTGCAACACCTTTGGCTTCGCAGAAGGCGCAGATGTTGTCGTTGATGCGACAGGTGCGGAGCCGTGTATCGAGACTGGTGTTCACACCCTGAAAAGAGGAGGCATATTTATACAAGCTGGTCTGGGTTCACCGAGAGTGAACTTCCCAATCGGTCAAATTTGTGACAAGGAAGCAACTTTGAAGGGCTCCTTCCGTTATGGACCAGGAGATTACCAATTGGCTGTCGGCCTCCTCGACTCAGGTCGTGTGAGCTTGAAGAGCTTGGTCACGCACGAGTTCAGCTTCGAAGAAGCGGAGAAGGCATTCATCAACGTTGCCGAACGAAAGGGTATCAAGACCCTCATCCTGGGACCAAACGTAGACGCTGGTTTTGAAGATTAGACAAATACAATAACAAACTCATTCAAGAGCTCCACCATCCCACATTGTATCCCAGAACCAATATACACCATTACTATCTGCGAGAGTTGACGGTCCGCTCAATGTATCAAGAGGATCTGAGAGATTCTGTGTTGTGCTTACCGTCGACCAATACTCAGCTGAGTTGTGATCACTCCCCTGAGTTGGCATGGGATAGTCCATGAGTTGCTGTGTACCATGAGATACTGCTGGCGTGCCTGATGAACTGCTTGAGAAGACTGCAAACCTATCAGTAATCACTTGGCAAGAATTGTTGCCTTAAATCATACCTTTCTGCACGGATGCGAGACTCTGGTTGAACGATGGCTCTGTTAAGATATTGCTGACATTGTTCTCCAGTTGCGGAAAGTCGAAGTCCTGAGGAAGGCCGAGTGGTAGATTGAGCGTTTCTCGCACAGATAGAAGGCCAGTAGTAGAAGACGGAGTGGTCTCTGTGACTTCCTCTGTCCTCTTGCTTGCGGGCACAGGTGCGAATATTGCCTCATTTTCGCGGCGCAGAAGCAACTGTACGACATTTTTAAGGATAGTACTGCTCTGCATAGACAGTTTTGATCGCCTTCCAAACAGATCTTGGAGCCGAAAGATGCGAGTGGTGATGCGTTTTACTTCTTGCGCTTTATCAGAGAGTGGATCCGAAAGCGCCATCACGACCATAGCGATTGCGCTGTTGAAGAGGTTGATGGCAAGAAATGCGACCAAGTGGCTATCCGTTGCTATTTGGGCCAGCTGAGGTAATTCGGTAATTCTTGAAGTGCGTAATGCGGCATCCCACCACTCTTGTGGACTTGAAGCTTGCGCATTATGCGTGAACTCATGCGGTGATATGTCCGAGCCTCTCCGTACTGTCAGTGAATCAATGTGCCAAGCGAGGAAGGGCCGATGAAGGATTATCAGCAGATTGTCGAATGTGAGTTGGAGAGCCAAGGCCTGGAGGCAATGTGCTTTTGCAGTGGCACTCATCTCGGCAGGGCAATCATTGTCCAGATCTATAAGGAGGTGCTGGGGTAATGCGCTTCTCCAACCCCATAGCCTTGTTGTAACATCCTTGACGAGTTGCAGATATGGCGCATTATCGGCGTGTGAGCCTCCTCGTCTTAGTCTGGTGCCATATACCTTCTTGATGACTGGTGATGCGATCATGTATAATTTGTTGAGCTCAGTCTGGTATCGAGAGTACAAAATCAAGTGTCGATCCTGAGGGCGAGCAAGGTTTCTGTACTGAATGTTCTCCGAGAAGTCTGATGGCATCGTAACTGTACAATCTTCGTTGTGGATGCCCAAAGGTCGTCCATATGTGACAGCCGCAAACCTTGTCGGTCAGTAGGAGGCGAGATGAAGAAGAAACAATGAACTCACATGTCCCAAGTGTAAATGGTCCACCAAACTCTCTTCCTCTCTTCGCAGTCATGAAACGAGATGCGAGAAGGCTCGCGATGTAGACCCAAAGCTTGAGCAGTCCTTAGACTTGCACCCAGCATGGAAAAGGACAAGTTTGGCCGACCGTGGTAACAATAAAATGAACCCAACAAGATCAAAGTCTGGATAGCAGAGATTGAGTTCTGATCCATGATGTTGATGAGATCGTTATCCGCATTCTTGAAGAGATCAGAGCTGAGCTTTTTCCATTGTCGGCTGGGTCTGCCTGTCTCTGATTCGGGTCTCTGTGATCGATACCAGGAGGCCATGCCCAACATTGTTGAAAGCAAGATCAAAAAAGACTTTTGACTTGGTTCAGCAAGGCCGTCTTGAATAGACGTGAACATTTCTCTGAACTTTGGTTCATAGATAACCAGGGAAAACCAATGTACGGACGCAAAGTACTCGTCCAGTAATTCAATGACCACATCAGACGGTGGGAAAGGATGCGTCAAGTATGCATTTGTCGGATACTTTTCGACAGCGGGAGACGGAGCAGCAGGCGTGGGGTTCCCGATTTCTGCTCCTGGTATGGCGTTCACTGCAAACTCATCAAGGTGTTGCTGGTCCAGGCTGTAAATCTTCCGTGCCATGCTCATGGTGGATTCGGCTTCCCCATCATCTCCAGCATCGCTGCGAGTATCGCCACGATGATTGTCGAAGTTTTCAGGATTCGGACGGTCGCTGATATCCTCGAATGAATGCAGCCGACTCGTGGATCTCAATCGCCGTTCATCACCGCTTTGCGAATCATTGTTCCGCCTGCGCTTGACGGCTGTCGGACGCGATACTGAAGCCTCTGTGTTCGTGCTGTCTTGTCTCGAGAGCCCGGTCTTAGTGCTCGTGCTTGTACATTCTGCATTTGCTCGTAGGCACAGCGAGCAAGGGCGGTACGAATCACATCTTGATTTGTTGCGCTTGCACCGATCGCATGCCTTGGAGACACGCGTGGGTAGAGGCGTCGATTGACGAGGATCTTGGTTGGCCTGGTTCATGTCATGTTTGAGAGGAAGAAGGAGCGATCCGAGTGCGGGGGGTTTGACGCCGACGCAACGCCATCGATGCCGGCGTTTTCTCTCGGCACTCGACCGGTCGCTGCTCGTCCTAAGGTTCTGGACCACGGTGTCGCTGCAGCCGAATGAGAAGAATATCATCCATGTGCTACAGATACTTGTTGAATCAAGGTAGGCCGGGAGGGGAGGTAAGGAGTTTGCGCGTCTGGAAGGGATGGGAACTTGCTCGTTGTGTTGAGAACAAGCGTGCTTATCGGAGCCTCGAGGCGAGGTTCGCCAAGGACGACTTCGGCCGAGTTGTGCACCGAATCTTGGTTTGCACGCCAAAAGTTTCTGCACTTTTGTGGGAATCAGCCTCGCCCTTGCATCACAATGTCCGAGAGCAACGCTTCACCACGAGACGAGTCGCAACAAGCGCCGGCGCTTTCAAGACGTCGAAAACCCCGTCCGTCTCGAGGCAAAGGTCTTCGTGTAACTACAGGATGGTGAGCCGCATGCTGTGATCCGATCAAGAAGCTCTGCTGATACGGCACTTCGCAGTATCGTGTGCCGAACCCGTCACATGAAATGTGACGAGAAGCGACCGACATGTTCGGCTTGTGTCAAGAGCAAGCGCGAATGTATCTATGGCACGACTCGCGTAAGTTCTGATTTATACTGTCCACTGATAACTATTCTCCTCCAAAGTGTTATCTGCTATTCGCATGCCTTCCCAGAGCCGTGACTTTCGCGACAAAATGTGAACATGAGGCTAAAGTCGCGTTAGGAACCTCAGCGTAGAACAGACTCACCCGCGATAAATTCAGCCGCCGTCAATTCGCCTCCAGTAACACAAGAACCACGACATGGCATTCAACTTCCAGAAATCAACAACTCAAATTTGCAGCCAAACCTGGGTGCAGATCAACCTCGACCAGGCGAAGTCGGCAGAGCACTTCATTTAATGCAACCGGGCATCAACACTACAGGTTTTGGAACACAATTTGACGGACCACAAACATCAAGTCCTCAATCTAGCCTCAGTGGAGGTGCCGCTTATCCTGCCGATGTTGCACCTCTTCGCTGGTTTGGTCTTCTAGCAGGAGATGCGACAGATGCAGATTTGAGCTTTAACCCAGTTTCACCAAATATTCCAACACCGCAAGCTATCACATCCAGTAGTACTGCTCCATTCACTGCTCCGTACACCAGCGGAAACTTTGTACGCCAGCCAAGTCTGGTTCAGGGATCCTATGTTGCCTCCATCATACCAAATGAAGTGGTGACCTTGTCGGAGGTCGAAGTTCTCTTATTCCGATACTTCGTCACAACCTTGAGCCGATGGATCGATTTGACTGACCCTCATCGTCATTTTTCGGTCATGGTACCACACCTCGCTCTGCGTAATCAAGGCCTAATGAAAGCTATACTTGCGCTTTGCGCACGGCATCTGTCGATCAAACCGCTGCCTGATCTCGCTCCGGATCGTACACTGGCAGTACAGTATTACTTTGAGACATTACAGTACCTTCAACAAGCCATGAGAAGCGAAGCCTATCTTCGGAGTGAGGAGCTTCTCGTGACTACCGTCATCATCTCTACCTACGAAATGATAGACGGAGAGGCCAAAGGATGGGAACGACATCTTGTCGGCGGCTTCTGGATACTGCGTTCCCGAGAGATCAATGGTGAGTCCGGCGGCCTCAACCAAGCGCTCTGGTGGGCATGGCTTCGACAGGACACATACGCCGCTTTTCGTGAAGGTCGCAAAGTCTTGAGTTTCTTCAAACCCACAAAGCCGTATTATGCCATGGATCACTGGGATATCGCTGCTAGATGCGTTTACTTACTAGCCCAATGCGTCAACTACAGCTCGGAAGAGGAGATCGAAGCCGGCAAGTCTGATTTGATAATGCGACTGGCAAAATCAGAAGAGCTATCCACAAAGCTGGAAGATTGGTATCAACATCTGACCAGCCACTTCAATCCATTGCCTTGCATCAATACCTCCCAAGGTCCTTTCAAACCAATCTGGATACATCCTCCCGTCTTTGGGGCTGGACTTCAACAATATCATTTTGCGAAGATTCTCCTCCAGATCTGCACTCCTGCTGCTGGTGGCTTGAAGGAGTATGTCGCGCGAGAGCGCGCGTTGAACGAGTCCATTGATGTGATCTGCGGCATCGCCATGGCAACAGAAGACGACGCGGCTATTGTCATATCCACGCAGTGTATCTTTGCGGCTGGTTTACATACTCAAGATCCGGCCAAGAGGACTGCCGTGATGGATCTGATTTCGAAACACCAAGCTCGCACTGGTTGGCCTGTCCACGACCTTCGTATGGACTTACAGGCGGAGTGGAGCAAGACTGATAATCCATCATGAACCTAGCCTTCTGCGACACCTTTCATGCCTCTTTGATAAGCCAAGTATCGCATCTTGCTCTGAAAACTGTGGAGACACGCAGGAAACCGAGACATCCTGCGCCAGCTCTCCGATGCCGCTGATAAACTGCTACAACAACCTGAGATGATGCCAACACTGGTTTCGAAAAATTGAGTACAAAGATATGTGATACAGTTCAAACCTGATAAATCGCACCATTTTCATGCTTCATCATGTCTTGGTTGGAATACGCTCTTAGGCGATACGGTAGCCATTTTCGGCCGAAGCCTGGACTTCCTCGAAGAGACGAACTTTTCGGCCGATGGCCAAGCACTTCCAAGCGATGATGTTTTTGTGATACAACATGGATTCACCAGTCTACTGACGTATGCTTCTTGCATCATCAACTTAGCCTGTGATTGCAGATAATGGCTGCGTGGCTGACGCGGATATAAAAGGAGCACCCCTCGTCGAGCCTGTAGACGAGCAGACCTTTCTTCTCCATCTTCATTAGTCTTCATTAGTCGAACGAGTCCAATCAATTACAATGGCTGGGCTCATGCGTGCTGTAGCTCAACTTGGGCAAGCTTACAATGTTTCTGTCATCGACGTTCCAATCCCTACAATCCTCAACGCGACCGACGTCATTGTCAAGATCAATGCGACTGCCATCTGTGGTTCGGACCTTCACACTTATCATGTTGTTTCTGGGTCTGAGGATACGCCACTCCTCTACGGTCATGAAGCTGTTGGATACATTACCGAGATAGGTGATGCCGTGCAGTTTCTCAACGTGGGCGACTACGTGATCATCCCCGACAACCTCGATAATGGTCACTACACCGTTGAGCCTGACCATTACACCGTGCCCATTGGATTCGGCGGTGTCCAAGACGGCACTCCCGAAGCTCCGTTGCCCGGGCTTCAGAGTAAGAAAGCTCCACTACAACAACCAAGCACATCAGCTGACTACCATTTTCCAGCCGAATACGCCAGAATCCCCTTCGCCGACAACTCCCTCATCACCATCCCAATCAACTCCACGACAAACGAAACAACCCTCTTCAACTACCTCTTCATCACCGACATCTTTTCCACAGCCTGGTCCGGCGTCACTTGGTCAGGCTTCCAACCCGGCGACTCAATCGCAGTCTTCGGCGCCTGTCCCGTCGGTCTTCTTGCAGCCTACTCTGCCATCCTCCGCGGTGCCTCTCGCGTCTACATCGTCGATGATGTACAACAGCGTCTCGATCTTGCAGCCTCCATTGGCGCCATCCCAATCAATTTCAACACTTCCGATCCAGTAGGGCAGATTCTCGCACACGAGCCCATGGGAGTAAGAAGAGGTGTTGAAGCTGTGGGATATGAAGCCCGTCTCCCCAATGGCACGATGGATGAATCCATCACTTTACGTCAGTTGGTCAATGTGACCGCTAATCAAGGTGGTATAGGCGTCGTGGGCTTGCACAACAACGGCACCTACAATTTTGACATCGGCACTGTGTTCAACAAGGCTTTGACCATTCAAGGCGGTATCGTGCTGCCTTTGCAACAAGTTGCTGCTGAGTTGGTTCCACTAGTGACTTCTGGAAGGGCAAACCCGAGTTTTATCGTCAGCAGTGTTATTGGTATCGAACAGGCGCCGGAATACTATGCACGCTTCTCCAGACATGAGGAAAGTAAAGTTGTCATTAGGTTTTGATAAAGAAGAGGGATGCGTAAAGAGTAGAGGGATGGATCAGCACCCCCCTTTTTACACCCGAGAGACATTCAGTTCTTTTCTCTCATCGTGATTGTTTTTATCTTTGCAAATATCTTCGGATGATATCATGTCCTGGCTGTCACATGCTTACACGTGCAGAAAACCGTGTTGCTACCTACATCCTCGATGCAGAGAGGGAATAAACTCCATTAGAGTTCTCGCAACAGACTTGGTGATGGGAAGTGGAAGAGCAGATAAGGACTGGTATCTCGGTCGCTGCGGTGAGGGCTGTTCATCGAGGTATAGGCGTGCGAGAATCAGATACCGAACGTGAAGAGGCCGAGAGGGTATTGCGGAGGGGAGCCAGGGTTTGGCAAGAAACAGAGAGTGGGAAGGAGGAGGAAATCTAATCACGAGGTCTACGGATTCAAATCTCGGGTATAGAGCATGTATCTTATAGAAGCAATCCCGCGTCGCCGATACTCGTCCGAGTACGCTTTACAGAGGACAGGTAGTATATACACGCAGAAGGAAAAGTGAAGGGAAGACACAGGTACTAGATGGTATTTTGCAACCCTTGTTCATGCGTTTCGACAAGCATCTACTCGCACGACCATGTCTCCGCAGCATTAACATCACCCTGTCCACTCCACTTTTGCTTCTTCGGCCACATGCACAAAGGTCTCTGTCTCATGACTTTATCCTGCAGAGTATCATTAACCCACTTTGTAGCGATGATCTCGGCAGGAGCGGTTCCGTTCTCCACCCAAGCCATCATGGCAAGCAGAATATCATGTTTGGCATCTCTGAAACCAGGTACGCCCGAGACAGAAGATGATAGAGTAGCGGCTTGATTGGCGCCGGCGAAATACCAAGGCGCGTTTACAGTGGTTGCAGTGTTGGTGCAATGTTGCATACCGGGGACGAGGAAGAAACGGTAGAAGGAGTCGAGATCCACATCTTTGGGGGCGAGAGTGCGGAAGATTTGCGAGTGTAAGTAGACAGAGCTGCCGGTTGGGATCAAGCCATCGCCCATACCGTGGTAGTGGAGAAGTTTGCCACCTCTTTCCATGAAAGGCGAAAGATCAAAGTCATCAGCAGTGGCGTTTCCAGGATCTTGAGCGTCGGCTTGTTGGATAACGCCGTAGTCGAAATCTTGCCATTGCCATTCGGGGCCGCGTTGGAGGAAGTATTGAACATAGTGGGGACCGAGATTGTTGGGTGCGTTCAATCCGAGCAGAGGTACCCATTGAGCTTCACTGCCCATCCAAAGGTGAGGGAAGACAAAAGTCTGGTTGGTGTCGACGTAGTCGCTGTAGATTTGATGCAGAGTGTTGAGTTGAGGTACTGTCAGGCATGAGGTGTTCTTGCTCGGTGTACAAAGAAGGAGATCGGGGTTGAAGTCGCATGCTTCTGGATCGGAGATGATGGTGTCGACTACACCGTCTGCGCCGTCGCATTGGCGCATCACCTCAGCTCCAATCGCTGGGAAGAGAGTAGGAGGAATGTGATGAGCGGAAGTGTTGGGCAGGTTATAGCTTCCGACTTTGGCTGTCCAGGGTTGAAGGTGATTAGTCCACCAAGCAGGTGCACCGGCAACTACACCATCAAAGTCATCAGGGAAGAGTTGAAGGTTACGAAGGCCTTGTCCTAGAAACACAATTGATGAGCGGGAGAATCTTTTGATGTATATAGGAAAACTTACTGCCGCCAGTCGAACATCCGCTGTAGTAACTGTAGAGGATGTCGTTTGAGTAGTATGCAGTGGTCAATTGCTTGCCCAGTACTGTGGAGCCGTGCATAGCGCGATAACCCCAGTCCAAGATCGCGCCTTCGTTGTGATAAGCCCAGCTGCCATTGTTGTTGACGCTGTTGTGACCAGTATCCGTAGACATGACAGCGAATCCGTAACCCAAGCCGGCGCCCTTCGAGGATGTTAGTCAGGGTCAATGCACCTGTCGATTCGGACAGACTTACCATGTCCAGCCAATTAATTCCACCAGCAAAGCCACCATTGCCGACAGCACTATTAAATCAATCAACTTGTGCGAGTCGAATCACATCAAGCAATACTCACAGGAAACGACCATTCCAATCATCAGGCAAGAAGAGTCCGAAGCCGTAATTGGAGGTACCATTCTTGACCGAAACCTGAACAGCGCATGCTGCTCTCAACTGGGTCGGTGCAGTCGGATAGGCTATATCAGCCTTAGGAATGTTGAATGTGCTATTGGCAGGCATCCATGTTGCAAAGTCAACAGTAGCAATTGACGAGAAGGCAGATTGCAATGAATCTTTGTCGCAGGTGATAGCTACTGCTCCGGATGTCAAAGCCGCAACGGCTGCAAGACGGGTTTGCGTTGTCTTCATTGTGATGTAGGTCTGGGACGGTGCAACGAAGAGCTTATTTTGACGGGAAGGCGGCAGTACTTATACTGTGTCCGGCAGCTCTAGAAGACCGAGTTGCCGGATATCTTTTCTAATCATGCCGTTCAAAGTGATCTGCAGATTGGTCGTCAATTTCGCTGCGTCAAGGGCTTGAAAAGTGGAGCTTGATGGAGTGCATGTGTGGGGATTGTGGAGAGGATCAGGGTTTGAGCATCAAGTAGTGACCTCCAAGCTTGTTCTTTGCTCTCCAGGTCCTGTGTTGAGACTCGACCATTTAGTTGAAGGTGTTGATGTCAATCGTGTCCGATGCTGATGGGATCCGGGTCATATTCCGACATTTCTACAGCTGGCAGGATAGCATCAATTTGTGAGACTTTTGGCCAGTCGAGGATCTTGACCTGGAAGAGGTCGTGGGTTAGGGCAGTAGCGCGGGTACGGCCGAGTAACCTAGTTGCGGGGTAGTTCTTGCCGACCAGACACGCAAAAGTGCAATTGAGGACATCGGGAAGATGTTCGGCAATTGCAATACGCACCTTACTTCTAGAAACGACTGCAACTGATATCCTCGACGCCCGCAGAGCAGCACTCGACGACACTATGAAAGCGCGCAATCATATTACACACCGTATTCTGCTCTTGGAAGAGGTCACAACGCAGGGAGCGACACTGACCTAGTCTTGCCCGTTGCCTCCGGCATCAACCAGCATCAAAGTCAGAAGCCGTAGGAGGCCGATCGAAGCACTCGCTGAAGTCTTGAGAATCGGTTTCGAACTCGTCGTAGATGCCTGGAAGAACAACGGACGAGGCGAGATGGGCGAATATACAGTGCCACGAAGAGAGACTTTGGATCCAGAGTGAGAGTGGTGATGTTGTGTTTGTGAGAGCACATGAAGGAAGATGAGCTTGTGAAACTTCGCTCCAGGTGTTCTCGAACAAATAAGGTTTCTCTGTCAATCCACCCAGAGGACATCGGAGATGCATGTGGTACATCTTTCGTGACCGCATTTTCGAAGAGTGCCCAGAGCTATCTTTCCTATCTCCTCAGACGTTGAGAATTGAGATGTTGCAGGCGCTGCTCGAATGCCGGACGCCGCGCGGTGCTTGTTCATCCCGATGCGAGCAAGCAAAAGGATGCAATTCCAGGCTTTCCAGAAAAGCAGTTGCGATTGGTTCAAGTAAAACTTACTGCTGTTATTCTCAACGCTCGACAACTGGATGAAGGGGCATGGTCTAGGCCGAGAAGAGTGAAGTGCGCATTTGCCAGGCCTGAGAGATGGAAAATAATGGAGCTTGATCTCTTTCTATCGCCTCTCGTCGGAAAGAGTGCCAATCTGAAGTTTCTTTTTGGCCCAGTGGTAATTTTGTCTTGTTGCTCAGCTACGGCGAAAGAAAGCTGCGATACAGGTCCGCATCAAGGAAGTAATGATTCGCTAAACTTGTTAGAAAACGAAGAAACTGCCCATGTTGAGAAAACAAGAAAGGGCATAGAAAGAGAGAATGAGGAAAATTTCTTGTATTGGTTGGGTATCATCAAAATGTGTTTATTTTGAGGCGCAGTGCTCCTTCTGCCGCCTCGTTCCAAGAAGGAAAATGCCAAAAGTCGGTCCAAATGCCGCCGTCAAGGAGAGTGCATGTCCGTTGCTGCTGACGCGCGGTCCCCTGGTGGTTTGTCCGTTGCTCTTTCTCTGCTGTTCAATCCCAGGCCTCCGAGATGGGTCGTTTGTGGTAGGCGCTTATTCGGGAGAGCGATGCGGTTGTGTCATGTCGATGAGGTGAAGTGAAGCGTTTACTTGAACTCGTTGGGCCAGCACTTTTCCTTGGTCCAGGCTGGAGTCTGTCAGATTCGTCCTTTGTAGTCTGGGCGGAGGTGGCTTACCATCGGGGTGAGTACCGGCGTGCTGCTCGAGGATAGCGAGGTTTGAGCTGGTCTGCGCAAGCGTGTCAGCGGAATGCCTGCTGTGTCGGGGACTTGATGGGTCTGTGACTTACCAGCTCCTTTTTGCAAAAGACACAGATGGAGGTGGCCTTGGGGACCTTCTTGGGGGTGCCGTTGGGGTTGACGGGGATGCGAGTGCCGGCGGCCTCGGCCTTCTTGTGCTCGCGGTGGATACGGTCCTTCTTGGAAATAGGCATCTTGACTGGATGTGATGTCGTGTGGTGGTCGAAGTCGAGGCGGAAAAAGCGAGGGATAAGAGTGAAAGAGTGAAAGATTGTTGATTTTTGCTTGGCGGACCCTGTTTTCATGTGACGCTTTTCCTTATCTTATCGCTGCCAAGTCGTAATTACCCGCCGACTTCTTCTCCGCACCACACAACACTCGACATCTCTTTACTATCACACAAACGTGCGTCGACTACTCGAGTATAGTCCCATCAAGACTGGCACAGCCGACAAGTGACGAGCAATTTTGAGCCTCCAGTCGGAACGTTCGGGACCATGTCGACGTTCACTGCACCGGACACTTTGCGTAGCGCCCTTTCATAACTGCAGCTCCTTGTCCTACATGACTTCCTGATAGCCAAGTCTTGTTAACTATCTTCTGGAGAGTCGAAGCTGCTTCGGAATATCTCAAATCGATTCTGGCAGCTTTGAGACAACTACATACTCACACCCCAGGATGCCAAGCCATACAGCCACGCGTCGAATGAAAGATGCTTTTGGACACATCACAGTCGAAACAAGACAGTGAATGTCTTTTGCATTGAAAACTTTCACTTGATCGATGATGCTCATCTGCCTTGTTCCGAACATGATGCTGCCATTATAAAGCAAACTTCCGATTCTGCCACAAAGACCGACTCTCACTCATCGTGGAACTTTCTCCTCTGTCAAGAGTCATTGAAGCCATGTCGACCTCTGCCAAGTATCGCAAGCATTAGTGCCGTCGTCATTAGTATACGTCGCAGTGTGTTTCATGCCGTCTACTGGTCCATGGCATGTGTCGATCACTCAACCACTAACACCATGTTTGCAAATCAAAGTCTTGCTATTGGCCCAACTGCGGTCATCCTCTTGCTACTGAAGCTCCGTCAAGCATCATTTGTCTAGAGCCAAGTCTACACTCAAATGTAGGTGCAGAGAGAAACAAGACGACGACAGATATTACACGTAGCTTTGCCCTGGGTGTACTCTACTCGAAGCTGCTCTCTACGGCCGGTCGTGAGTTCATGCCCTTATCCCCCTACAGCATGTCGTCAGTAGACTGTGCACAGCCTTCGTCCGACATGGGACATCTGAGTATATATAAGGTCGGTCTTGAGCCTACATTTTTCTTCCCTTCTCATTCTCAACTACACAATCTCAATCTTCGTTCTTTTCTGATCACAGTCTGTTCGTTATGGTACACTTTTCCAAGCTCGTCAGCACAGTGGCTGCTGCTACCTTTGTTGCGCCCTCTTTGGCTCACCCAGGAGAGCATCACGACCACCATGCGGTCAAGCGTCAGTCGATGCACGCGAAAGACTTGCAAACAGAGTCAGACGCTCCGTTTATGCTTGCAGTGAGAGCAACGAACATGCTCAAGTTTCTGCTCGCTCTGCAGCTCGTCGCTCCAAGGTTGTTCGGGAACTTCGCGAGAGACGCCGTGTCACCTCTGCTCCTCAGAAGTTCAAGCGCGACCTCGCCACTCTCGAAAAGTTCGACGCCCTCGATCACAACCGTACCGATGTGCTTCATTACGACATGAACACTCCCGAACACATCATCTTCGGCGCCAATACCAGCTGTGTCTTGAGCCCCGAAGTTACTGACGGTCCTTACTATGTCACTGGAGAGCAAATTCGCAGCAATGTGAAAGAGGAGCTCTACTGTGATGGCGTTGATCTTTTCCTCGAAGTTCAATACATTGACATCAACACTTGTCAGCCTGTCCCAGATGTTTGGGTTGATATCTGGAATGCCAACGCAACTGGTGTCTATTCTGGTATCTCGACAAGCGGCAACTATGCATCGGGCGGTTACAACTCGACTTATCTTCGGTATCTGGCTTTGTCTCTTGAAATTGTGCCGAGAAAGTTCTAATCTATTCCTCCATAGTGGTATTCAGCCGACTGATGGTGACGGTGTTGCTCACTTCGAGACCATCTTCCCTGGTCATTACGATGGTAAGTCATACTACAGCATCATCCCTCTGCTTCTGACTGACTAATCTTCGCAGGTCGCGCAACCCATACCCACCTACTCTCTCACATGAACGTCACTCGTTTCCGCAACAACACCATCTCTGCCACAAACAACATCACCCACATCGGTCAACTCTTCTGGAACTCTGAGCTTCGCGAGGCTGTTGAAGAAGTCTACCCCTACAACACAAATACTCAAGCTGTCACCAGCAACGCGGATGACATGTGGGACATTGTCGCTGCAGGCACAACCTTTGATCCCTTCCCGCAATATGTTTACCTGGGTGATGATCTCTCGGATGGTCTCTTTGCTTGGATTCAGATTGGTATCGACCCTACTGCAAACTACATTGACGACGAGTACTACTCCGTCGCTGCTTACCTGGACGCCGATGGTGGTCATGCTTCTTCGAGCTCCTTTGTCGGCGGCGGCGGTGGCGAAGGCATGGGCAATGGTACTGCTCCTGGAAACGGCACCGCTCCATCGAACTCCACCTCTGCTTGATCTTGTCCGTGCCAACTGCTTTACATATTCCAAACAACTAGGTAGAAAGCTGACTGACTGGAAAATGGTAGAGTGACAAGGCGAATACAATGGCTTCTGGGTCGGCAGACGCAGAAACTACTCCTTGAATCTAATCACTTTCTATCCTAGTGCTTTATCCCAGCATTGAGTGCGAAAGAAATCATCCAATGTACCATGTCTTGATGATCCATATGGATTCACGAACGGAGATGTATGCCTAAAATCGGACACAATTCAGGCTCAATCAGGTAGATGTCGCCGACAATCACCAGCCAACTGACTGTCTGAACAAAAGTCAGATCATAAACCAGCGGTCGGCCTCGATTTACAGATGATGAGGCATTTTCTACCAACGGTACAATCCATAAGCCTGGCTGTGTAGTACTCCGGATGAACGAAGTCGCTGTCTATTGACGGTGATCAGGTCTCTAAGGATTAAGCTCGTTTGTTCCAAGTCCGAGATCGAATTGATATAATTGATGGTACGAGGTACGAGTCGAGTCAATGCGTGGGGGAAGTTTCAACCGATGGGCCGGACGATCGTTCTGTGGTGCTTGTGGGTATGGGGATGCTCGTGGATCTTTGCAGCGTGTCTTTCGAGTGTAAGCATTGGGTATTTCGTCTAAGTGAAAGGATGAAGACCTAAATATCCGCCACACCAGAGAGATGTATCCGCTGCTAAGGCATGATGTCAGTCTTTTGTGCTTCATTGACCTCCAAGGCCTTAAATTGGTAGGCAAGGACAGCCGCAACACAATCCTTTGGAGCTCCGGACTCGGCGGCAGATACTCTGCACCCTTCTACGCACTCCGGCAATATCGGTCGGGTTTAACAGATGCAAGACGCTTTGATATCGAAAGTTATTCCAAGCATCTATACCGATCCAGAGCAAGCATGCTTGTCGAGCGCTTGAAGGCGGATTTTGTGAATTGAAGTCCGCAATCCGAAGCTCAGAACCCGAAGCCGAACACCTCGAGAAAACCATGCAGAACTCACTATCCGATGGGTCCGCCCAAGCAATTGCGCAGGCAAGTCAATCGCTTGAGTTTTCCAGTTCAACTCGTACATCGTACATCGTAAGTCGTCAGCGAGCTCGAGATACTCATTGTTCATGGGTAAATCGAGAGAATGTCGTGTTTCTTTTTCGCAAAGCCACTCTCCGCGCAATCTCCGCCTGAGCCACCGCCATGTTTTCTTGGACACGAAAGGTTAATTGATTGTTGAAGCCATCACATCATGGGGCTCTACAAGCACTTGCAGGCCGACAATATCAGACACATTTTTGAGCTTTCAAGACTGGGACGAAATGCTGGTACACAATCTGGGAAACGGCGACAAATCAATCATCATCGACTTGTTGTTTTGTATCGAGCTGAGATGATCTAGACTTGATGACAGAAGCACAGACACATTCCCCAGATTCATCCAGCGGTACTAAAAAGAAGCTTAAACGGCATGTTCTTTGACAACGTTGATTGGTTCATCTCTGATCGGCAACCGTTTCCGACCGTCTATAGAGTTCATTGCCAGCCGGTTCAACTGTCAGCCAAAAAGCATCAGCTTAGCAGATGAGCTGTTTCCGACCAATCAAGGAAGATGATTACGGCGATTCTCATCAACAAACAGGCCACTATTGTTGGATCTTCAAATCACCGACCTTTCGTGGATATTCAGGGATCACTGTTTCACAACGTGCGACTCTCATGAACGCGTAGGCTTTCGCATGGCGAAGCTTATGGATGAGATGGAGGTGAAAATGATAAGAACACCACCCGTCCCGCTTTGGTTTTCGTTCATCGACGCTCATCATCTTTTTCAGCTCTTGTGAGGCGTTTACTCCGTGACTTGTCCCACTCTGACGCGCGTGTCTTACATTGGCAAAGCCTTGTCCGAAAACGACTTAAAGACAAAGAACCACCAACATTTCTCGACCTCCGCTTTGGATCAGATCTGGATTACAACACTACAACGCACTCAATTAAACAATCGAAGTTCTTCTTGGTCTAGATTGGCAATACATAATTGACATGATGATGTTCAGCGTTTTGTATCGTAAGTATATTCAAATTTATCCCTGACTAAGCGCATCATGCAGGTACAGTCACTGACGATCTTTTAGAAACGCTGCTGTTCGCATTCTTCTCTGTCGCATTTGCGGCTAATGGGTCCTCCACATACACATACCAGAACCAAGGATCGCAGGCATTTTCTCTGGCTCTCGGACTCAACACAACCGGCAATGACCTTCATTTTAACATGACGGCTCCGTCGACTTACTCATGGTTCGCCTTCGGAGTTGGTAGTCAAATGAAAAACTCTATGATGTTTATTGGATACCCCAGCTCGAACGGCACAGGTACGACTTTTCTTGATAACTCGCTCGAAGCTGTAACTGACATGTCTTCCAGGTGTGACACTAAGCCCACGTCTAGCTACTGGACACCAACAACCACAATATTCCTCCGCTCTGGATGTCGAAGTCGTCAGCAGTTCCATCACCAACGGCGCATATCAGCTCATGGCTATCTGCAAGAATTGCACAACCTGGCCGCTCGGAACCATGGATACTACATCAACGACCCAGCCTTTCATCTTTGCTCTTGGTCCAACAGGCTCGGCCATCTCTAGCGACTCTACATCCGAGAGTATTCGTCAGCACTCCATGTACAATTCTTTCACACTGGATATGCAACAAGCTTCTTTCTCTGGCTCAGACACGCCCGTTCTGAGTCCAAGCAGTGGCGCCGCATCTAGTGGTAGTGGCGGTGGAAGCTCTTCCTCATCTCCCGGTACCGCCATGTCTTCTGATGGCAGCAACACCTATAACATGGTGCACGGTATATTCATGTCCATCGCCTTTGTGATCCTCTTCCCTCTCGGCGTACTCGTTCTCCGTCTAGGTCACAGCGTCATCGGTCACGGTATCATTCAAGCTCTGGCATACTGCTTCGTCATCGTGGGTCTAGGTACAGGAATATATCTCTCTCGACAAGATCCTTCGGTAAGTTGGTCATGAGTAACTCTGGTCCAGTTTTCGTTCATTTCCACTGACAATGATGGTTCTTCCCAGACACGCAATTATAACTCAGCTCATCAGATCATCGGGCTTGTCCTCTTTTCTCTTCTCGCCGTCCAAGCACTAGGTGGTCTACTTCACCATCTTCTCTTCCGTCGCGGAAAGAACTCCATCATTGGAAAGGTCCACATGGTTCTCGGCATAGGTCTCTTGATCCTCGGTATCGTCAATGCACCTCTCGGCCTCAACCTCGCAGGCGACAGCAAGTACAACAAATACTACATCATCGTCGTCGCTATCCTTGGAGCACTCTTCTTGGCATTGAGGGCGTGGGCTGTCGTCAGAAACAGAAAGATCTCGAAGAGAGAGGGCAGTGAGAAGGGAGTGCTTAGACGTGGTTCTAGCAGTGAGGAGGGTGTTGTGAATATGTAGGGTGGATCGTAAGCTGTGATGTCTACGTGTAGTTCGACATACAAGGCGATTCTAATGACGTAAATGAATATTGGATATGGAGTTTTTCTTCTTCTCTATCTTTGAATAATATGAAATTTATAACCTTTCCCCTTACTCTCAAAGTCCAAACTTCCTTAACTTGATTGTTTGGCAGAGTGTTCCCTTTTTAGTTTAGTTCTTCAATGTTTTTGTTCTCCGTGTATTATTCGCGGCATCCTAGGATGCACTTAACCCCACCAAAATGCATCAGATTCTGCGGAGACCCATTGCGGCTCGTTCGAACAAAGTCACGGGATATGTACCCTAGCTTCACATAGAGAAAGAGTAAAGACACGGAGGCCGCGTGGACATGCTAACCTTATTTTCTTTCTTTCAATGGACCTTCCTAACGCGACACCATCCAACATCATGACTTTTTTAAGATCATCATTATTACTACATCTCGAATTCGCATTAAGCGGGAATAAGAATATCGGTGATGCGTGTCTAGGTAAGATTTCTTACCTTCTTGTTTAGGAAGATAAGGTTAAGGGCTTAGGAGGTAGATGTGTTATGTTGTAGCTTCTAGGATGCGAGCATTAGGTTTTTATGATGGCTTGTACAATTTTAAACCTCCCGAGTTCAGATCCCGAAGATGGCGTTAAAGAAGAGGATAAGGAAGAGGTTTAGTGCATTTGAAGTGTTAGAATTAGAGGTGTAGATAAAGCGAGTAGATGTTTAGAAAATTCAGAAATGTTGCCGGTTCTTTGAGATGGGAGGTTTGTGGGTAGCGATGCAGTAATTGATTTTTGAAAAGCTAGGGAGAAGTATGAGATTAAGACATTTGGATGTAGCCATTGATTAGATAGCGATGTTAAGCTGACTGGTGCGATAACATCAATGTGGACTGACAGGGTCATCCTTTTAGCATGGATATTACGCACAGTCTCTTTCTTGAACTCCATGCCAAAAGGATGGGGCAACTTTAGGTCAGAACTCCTAGTACTCTTGACTTCACTACCGTGTCGTACGTGACTCTCCCAATCTACGTTCGAGACTCCCGTAATGGGCTGAGTCGAGAATTTCCAATTTCCGAAGAAGATGCAACTGGTCGTTGTATACTTAGCTTTTCCAATTCTCAATCACCCGTACGTCGTTTTCTCGCTTCTCGTTAACCATGATGGGCGAATCCGACGCAGGATGGATAGTGCGGCCCTCGAAGATTGTATCAATCTGCTCAAGTGTGAGATTTTTTGTTTCAACGTACTGCAGGCCATTCGTCAGCTCAAAGTTCAAAAGTGGCACGATGTTTGTAGCTTACGAATATCTTTACGATAGGGGCGAAGGCGAAATTGAGAGCCGCATATATGATATAGTATCGCCATTTGATGTTTTGCACAGCGACAGGTGTCACTAGAACGACGGCATAGTTGCAGATCCAATTAGTCGCTGTTGCTATGCCGGCTCCGGTGATTCTCATGCGTTGAGTATTCACTTCGGCTGGGTACATCCATGGGACCGCGATCCAGGTCGTTCCAAAGGCTGTAAAGTAGAAGAAGACGCCGGCGACGGCTACAGCACTCCATTCATAGCTTCCTTGCGATAGTCCGGCTGCGACGAATATGAAACAGACGCCTTGGGCCAGAGCTCCCCAGAACATTAGTGGAACGCGACCGTATCTATCGATGAAAACAGCACCGAGAGCTGATGACAACATGAGATTGATGACGTTGCAGCCGGACAAGATCAGCGCAATGCGTCTCGAAAGACCCAGTGTTCCAAAGACAACGGGCAAATAGTAGTTGATGATGTTGATACCACCCCACTGTTGCATGAATTGAGTACCTGCACCGAGAATCACTCTTCTTCTGGAGTGGAGCGCGTCTTTGGAGATGAGATCTTTCCAGGACCCCTTGGTATTCTCAGCCTCATGCTGGAGACCCAGTGTGATACTTTCTATAAAGCTCTGCACTTCAGGATCTTCTGGCGATCGTGAGAAGAGTCGGGAGATGACCATCTGGGCCTCATCAGTTCGTCCTCTCGATATCAGCCATCGAGGCGACTCAACAAGGAAAGGAAGCATGGCAACAGTGGCGAGAGCGTAGAAGCATTGGAAGGCTAGTGGAAACCGCCAGGAGACGCCATGAGTCGGTATATAACCAAGACCGAAGTTGAGCCATTGTGCTGTGACGTTGCCAACTTGATTTAGTACCAGTGCGAGAGTGACGAGACGGCCTCGTATTTCGGGCTTGCACGTCTCTGAGAGCCAGACCGGGACAATCGATGTGTTGATACCATTGCCGACTCCAGCTATGAAGCGGCCGATGATCTGAGCAAGGCATTGTCAGTGGAAGAGTGTGGATTGTACAGTCTGGAAACACTGACCATTTGTGCAACATGGTAGGAGGAAGCTTGTAAGATTCCGCCTACGGTCAAGACCAGGCATCCCAACCAAAGACCACGTACACGGCCAAGCCTTCCACCTAGTGCCATTGCTGTGATGGCGCCGAAGAAGCAACCGAGATCATAGGTCGCAGTGATCTGTCCCTGGAGAAGGGCATCTGGATTGTTGAAGGTAGCGATAAAGTTGTCGTTGCCTAATAAGCCGCCAAAGATTCCCTGATCGTAGCCAAAACTATGTGAAACAGTCAGTCGCAGTCTCGTAAATATCGTCAAGTGGTTTAGATTTGAGTGTGTAACGAACAGCATAAAAGCACAGCCAGCACAAGTCGCTATGCCGACAGACAAGGGGGTGCCCTGAAGCGATTGAGTAGAAAAACTCATGATAGAAGATAGTTTGTTAGATGATAGGTATTGCTCTGAAGACTGGAATTGAACAACAGACGAGTGTGCTCTCAATTTATGTCTCAATCATTCCAACGAGATATCCATTACCCCGCTCGCTGGCATGCGAATATCTCCGGGTGCTCCCCCGCGAGATAGTAGACAAAGCATCTCAGACAGTCCCTAACGTCTGGATCGTGGTAGCAGGTAGCGGTGGACCGTCATCGGAGCTGAGAAGTCTGTCGGGGGACGATTCCGAGCACACTCGGACCATTGATTTCCGTATCCCCAAGGCCTCGACAAGGGTAAAAGGTGCTAATGACCTCGTCAGGTGACGCCTGACATTCCTTCCGCGACCAGCCTGTCCTAGATCCTTGTCAACCCTCTGGAGATCAGTCATCCAAACCACCTGGGCCGCGATGACTCAGAGGCCGTTGAGAAGTATGCCCGAGCCCGGATCTCCCAGGAATCATGCTCCACCGCTGTCGCATATACGCTATGGAGTTGAACAATCATTAGATCTTTGTACAATATACAGACGCATAAACGTTGAGGTTGGTCCGTAACCATTGCCTCAGTTCGTCATTCTCACCATCTACTTGATCTCTGGAACATTGGTCACTCTAGACTGTTGTATGTAGTAGCTAAAAACATCTACTTATCAAGGTTTCCAGTCGTGATACTCTTGATGACCTGATATTCGGACAAGCCATAGAGACTACCTTCCCGACCGTAACCACTTTCTTTGACTCCACCGAAGGGCGCTTCTGCTGCAGAGATCTTGCCAGTGTTGATTCCCACCATGCCAACCTGCAACTTTCTGCTCACACGAGTGCAGCGGCCAACATCACGGCTGAAGAAGTATCCAGCCAACCCATAAGGAGTGCTGTTAGACAACTCGATGACCTCTTCCTCGGTATCAAATTCGAAAACGGCAGCCAGAGGACCAAATGTTTCCTCTTGTGACACATTCATATCGCTGCGAACACTGGTGAGAATGGTTGGCTCACAGAAGAAACCAGGGCCTGATGGACGTTTGCCTCCATACTCGACTTTGGCGCCCTTTGACACAGCGTCTTCGATGTGTTCAAGGACCTTTGTGACTGCAGCTTCGTTGACCAATGGTCCTTGAGTCGTAGCAGGGTCCAAACCTGATCCCATCTTCAGGTCTGAGACGGCATCTTTCAACTTGCGTGTGAAGGCCGCAACCACACCTTTTTGTACGAAGATCCGGTTGGCACATACACAAGTCTGACCAGAGCAGCGAAACTTGCAGATCATGGCACCTTCCACAGCTAGATCGAGGTCTGCATCGTCGAAAACAATGAACGGTGCGTTGCCACCGAGTTCTAGACTGACCTTCTTCAACGTACCCGCCGCCAGCTTAGCAAGCATCTTTCCGACGCCTGTCGAGCCTGTGAAGCTGATTTTGTTGACGAGTGGTGAAGTGGCCAATTCGGTTGCCGCACTACGATCTTTGGTAGGAAGAACATGTAAGATGCCAGGGAATATGCCGGCCTTCTCCGCCAATTTGCTCAATGCCAACGCGGTAAAGGGAGTCTCACTTGGAGGCTTGATGACTACTGCACAGCCAGCTGCAAATGCCGGGGCAATTTTGCGGGTGATCATCGCGGCCGGAAAGTTCCAAGGAGTGATGATGCCGCAAACCCCGACTGGCTCTTTGACTGAGATGAGCGTGGTGTGAGGCATGGACGAAGGAATAGTGTGTCCGTAAGATCGAGTGGCCTCTTCGGCAAACCAGGATACAAAATTCGCCGCATAGATGACTTCGCCTCTTGCTTCGGCAAGTGTCTTGCCATTTTCGAGCGAAAGGATTATGCTCACTGGGAATGTTAGCAGTGAACACGTCAAACCGAAGCCCAAGTGAAAACTTACAGTCGTTGACGTTCGCAATGATATGCTCATACCAGGATCGAAGGAAAGCTCCACGATCGGTGGCCGTGGTTTGTTCGTAGAACTTGAGCTGGGCTGAAGAAGCGACACTGATAGCACGCTGGAAGTCTTCGAGCGTGCAGTCGCTCACACGACCTAGAGTAGTTCCTGAAGAGGGCTCTTGGAGATGTTAGTTGATGACAATGGTTGGAATAGTGATGTCGCTGACCGCAAACGGCGAAAGTCTTTCCTGTCTTAATCCATTCATCCGCAATATAGGCCTTATCGGTGAACAGGGCACTGTCTTGTAACTGTATGAAGTAAATACGAGTCTTGTCTCGGACTTTTAGTGCTGACCTTGCTGAGAACATCGATGCTCGTCGAATCTGATGGAGTTTGGTCGCTCGTAGTGGAAGCCATTTTGGATCATTAACTTGCTGATAGACCGTGGGTGAGCGAGAGAGTTGTACACTGCATCATCGCTGCATCGTACTAAGCTGTGTATAAAGTAATTCATACGCTTGATTTGGCTAGGCGGTCGTCGGAAACACATCGGAGTGTCAGGGACTGACATATCGGATTCCAAATCCCGAGCCCCATGGCTTGAAGCTTGCTCCTCACAATCGATTTCAGTGTATGATCATCTGATCAGTTGTGTGACCGAACTCGAAGAAGGATCCACCAATGAACAACAGTAACATGCCACTGATTGTTTCCAATCCTTGAGGTAGCATGTACAGACAAATAGGAGGATCGGGTTATGCTCCGATCTTACCCGAGCCCGTAATTGTTTCGCACTCTAAGTCGCACCGACTGGCCGAACCCTCCAGCACATTGAGAAAGGATTCTGGTGCGAGCTAGACTAGGTGATGTGGCAAGATAGATGTGCTTTACCTGGTGACAGCCATCGACTACTGTTATTCGGGTGCCATCACCAAAGAAGTCGGCCAGACTAAAGTTTGACGAACGAACGGCTCACTCACTCGCAATGTATTGCGAGATATGTTGGAAGAAAAGCAAACCATCTCCGGGCTGGCAATATGTATGAGATTCACTGTACATTACACTATACTGTTGCAGAATATCTATGTACAAGCTCAGTCCTCAAAGCTGTCTCCATCCATTCTGTCGAGCACTACGTCCACCCAGATCTCGGAGATACATTTGAACCCTGGCATGTATGCCTTTGCCATCAAGTCCAAGGCGGTCATAATTGCTGGGACCCGAAGCAGAGTACCCATACGATGTCATGCTCACACTTGCAGTGACATATCGAGCCCATGTAGTAGCCACAAACTCCTCAACGCTCACGATTGGGTGCCCATCTACAGGGAAGACAGTGCTCTTGTATGACTGGGACTGCTCTTCGAAGATGTCCAAGCTTGGGGCACTGACGACTCTCACGCGTATGCCATCAGCTCTCAAGAGCTCCGCTGCAGTCACTGCATGTTGTAGAGCTGTACCGCAACTTGCTAGGGTGAGCTGTGCTGAATCCGTTTCGTGTATAACGTAGGCGCCCTTCAGGGCCAGTTTTCTGTCAGTGTTTGGAATTGGAGAAACAGGATCTCTTCCCAGAGAAATCATGGTCGGGCGCGTTCGTGTGGTCAAAGCATACTGCCATGCAGCAACAACTTCCTCAGCATCACTAGGACGGAAGTAAGTCAAGTTGGGCATGGCACGATATAGCGAATCGACCTCAACGGGCTGATGAGTCGGTCCATTTTGCCCTTCTGCGAAAGAGTCATGCGTTGCCAGATGTATCGTCTGGAGATGACTCAAAGCGCCCATACGTACTCCGGGAGCGGCCTTGATTGGGTCAGCTATGGAAAATGAAGGAATCCAGACAACTCACATATAGATAGAACATCAAAAACGTGGCAGTCACCGGTATGAAAGCACCAGGGGCATAGGCGGCTATTCCGTTTGAGACACTTGCCATAGCGTGTTCGCGGATGCCATATCGAATGTAGCGCCCGGCGTAGTTTCCTGGTAGCAAGACATCGGTGACCGACTGGTAGATTTTGTTCGAATTGGCAAGATCGGCACCACCGCCACACAAAGCCTCGCATGCCTCCCAGAGCTTCTCCATAATCAGGCCGTTTGACTCTCGAGTAGCCAAAGACAACATGTCTCTTGTATCTGTAGAGTCCAGGACTTTGAAGATACCGTCGTCTAGCTTGCCTTGCTGGCGCTTTTGCAGTGACTGGTATAATTCTGGATGGGTTGTGTGGTAACGTTGGAGAAGTCCATGCCATTCTGTATTCAAACCTTGTCCGCTCGTCTTGCATTCACGAAAGAATTCCAGAGCTCTGTCGGTGACTTGATGGGTCTTGGACGGATCCTGACCAGCGCTGACCTTCGAATCGGCCACGTAACTTGCGTCGAAAGATCCATGGTGCGCCTTGGCCGTACCAGCAGTTGGAGTGCCTACACCGATGACTGTACGGATGTTGATAAAAACCGGTTGATCCCGAACATTTTTGGAATGCTCAAGTGCGCAGACGATTGATTGCACGTCGTACGAGCCGTTGTGAACGTCCAGGACGTACCATCCACAAGCTCTCATCTTGCTGTTGACATCTTCAGTGTTGATCCAGTCTAGCGGGCCATCGCAGGTGACCTGATTGTTATCGTAAACCAAAACAAGGTTGTCAAGCTTCAGATGTCCAGCTAGTGCGATTGACTCAAGGGCAACTCCCTCCATAAGACATCCATCTCCGGTCATACAATAGATACGAGATTTGATGACGTGAAAGCCAGGCTGGTTGAACCGCGCCGCAAGATTTTTCGAAGCGATGGCCAGACCAACAGCATTGGCCACGCCTTGTCCCAAAGGACCAGTCGTGACTTCAATCCCAGGAACCTCAATCTCTGGATGTCCATGGCAGATTGTGCTGTAGCCATCGGTCTTCGCACTTCCGTAGCCTTTCAATTCGTCCATGGTCCAGAGGTCGTAACCAACCAGATGGTTCAGTGCGTACAGAAACATCGCAGCATGTCCTGAATAGTGTCAGAGCAAGATCGATGAGAGCAATTGGATGGTTCACTCACCATTCGAGAGAACAAAGCGATCTCTGTCAAACCACTCGGGATTGGATGGGTTGTACCTCATAACATATTTGTACAGCGCAACGCCTATCGCAGCCATACCAACAGCAGAACCTCCATGCCCGCCTCCGTTCTGATTACAGATATCAAACAAGAGGTTTCGAAGAACCAACACGGCGTGATCATCATCGGTCATACTGGCATCGGTCATACTGGTCTGAACGATGTCTCCGTTGTGTACGAAATCAGGATGTGGGGTCTCCTGAGGCTTCATGGTACTCAAAGATAAGAATCCGGTTTCGTGTGTGCGATGCTTATGCTGCCCGTATTTTTCAGATTATATCGAGGTTATGACTTGTAGACAGTGAGAATCGTCTGAAGATAAGTCTACTGCCATCGCACCACTCCACGTGACTCCATAGCATCTCGGAATCCGAAACCCGATGGCCCCATGGTCTGGCTTGGCAGGGGATGGAAAACCCAAACTCTTACCTGAGACACACAATGTATAGGTATGTCACTAGATGGAAGTCGCCTTGTAGTCGATTCCGTCCACGGATGTGATGCTCCGAATGGGTAATCCAGATCAGGTCTGTGCCCAATGTTATACTCGATATGACCCCTGCCGAAATACGCAAGAGCTTCGCAACATCTTCTTTCAATCAACGTTACCATGACGGACTCCGGAAATGAAACCTCTGTTGGCCAATATCTTACCGAGGCGCAACATCTGTCGGTGGTCTCTCAACTGGTGCCTGCCTTGAACCCTGGCGAGGTCCTCATCGCACCACGATCTGTGACACTTTGCGGCTCCGACATGCACTATTTCCAAAAAGGCTGTAATGGTTCAATCAAGATCCTACAGCCCTTATGTCTCGGCCACGAGTTCTCTGGCAACATCGTAGAGCTTGGCCCAGGGGTCACTGATCGGCAACAGGGGGATCTCGTTGCCATCGAGCCTGGCGTAGCATGTGGAAAGTGTGAGCTTTGTCTCGATGGTCGTTACAACATCTGTCCTGAGCTACGTTTTCGTGGCAGCGGATCTGCATGGCCCCATTTCCAAGGCGGACTACAAACGCGGGTGGTTCACCCAGCGGCATGGACACATAAGTTCGTAAGCCCATAATATTTTTGCGAACAACAATCTAATCGCCGTCCAGACTTCCCCCAGGGATGACGAGTGAAGAGGGGGCCTTACTGGAGCCTCTTGCTGTTGCCGTACATGCCTGCCGCCGTGCTGGTATCAAGCCAGGAAGCAGCTGCACTGTCATTGGCGCTGGTGCTGTAGGACTTCTCTGTGCAGTGGCGGCTCGTCTTTCGGGATGCTCCCGAATCGTCATCGCGGACATTGTCCGATCTCGGGTCGAGTTTGCTCTACACTATCGATTTGCCGATGCGGGATTCGTCGTGCCCGCCAAACGAGGCGCGACTGCAGAAGAAGAGCTTGAGATTGCCACGGAAATGGCAAAATCCCTTGCAGAGGTCAGATCCCCTGATGGTACTCCAGTGGGACGGTCAAACTACACATTCGAGTGTACTGGAGTCCAGTCTTGCGTGCAAGCAAGTATCCTTGTATCTACCACCATTTTTACTTTGCGGGATGTGCGAGATCTGACGCGTCACAGACTACAAAGGCAGGAGGCAAAGCGGTGCTGGTCGGCATGGGTACTCCCAATCATTTGCTTCCAATCTCGGATGCAAGTGCTCGTGAAGTGGATATCATTGCAGTCTGGCGTTACGCAAACTGCTACCCCGAAGCAATCGACATCATGGAAAAGAGCAAGTCTGATCCGATGATGCCTGACATAGGGCAGATGATCACACATCGCTTCCACGGCCTTGAAAATGTCCATCAGGCGCTAACGTGTGCAAGCAAGAGCAGAGACGAGGATGGGAACATGGTGATCAAGGTGGTCGTCAACGTTAACGAAGAAGAGCTCGATGTGTAAAGATTCTGGGTCAGGAGACACTTCGGATTGCTTGAAACAACGATTCAAATTCAAGAAGACACCAGTGTACATATTTCCATAATAATCAATTGGGGACACATATCTTGATGCGTCTAGAACTTTTCTTGATTTAAAGGTATCAAAAAGTCCAGAAGCAGATTTGGAAACACTCTAGGGTCGACCCGCCGTGTCTTGTACAAGGTGCTTTATGGTCCAACGTATCATGATATGGACCAGAGATGATCGCAGTCCAACAAGCCTTTATGATAGAATCATACGGATCTTAATCAAAGAAGTTCGATGAGCACGTAGTGCCTGACAGCGATCGAGGTGCTTTGAGTTTACAGTGTCTCCAAGTCGACCTCGGCTAATCGACGAATGTTGCAACATGGCAGATTTCCTCCACTTATCTCTCAGCTTGACGATGGATTCTTAGCGCGTGACATCAAGTTACGAATGACTGATAATCCGGGGAGGTACCTTCAGTGCGGAGAAACTGTTGGATCTGATCCACGTCCCGAAACTCTACTCACATCGGAATCCGAAACCCGAGGTTGGTCAGCGTCCAAGCAACCACTCGAACTTTGGTTCCTGGCTAATCGCATGAGAACAATCGGACTCTAGGATCCGTAATCCTCTCAAGGAATATCCGAGAGGTCTTGTGTAACTGGGTTGTGCTCATAAAATCCCCAACTGCGACCGAAGAGCTGCAAATATCGCTTGCTGTTCAAATCTTTCCAAGAACATCATCCTGCGACGCAAAAAGCTCGAGCCAAAGATTCGAAAACGAAATGGCCGCGATTAACGCCATCATTATTGGTGCAGGCCCATCGGGCATTGCAATGGGACACAAAATGAAGCATGAGTTGGGCTTCGAAGATTTCACAATCTACGAGAAACTCGACGGTGTTGGCGGGACGTGGCGAACCAACACTTATCCTGGATGGTGAGCCAAATACTCTTCCGACGTGTTGAAACCTCTCTGACATCTTTGCAGTGGCTGCGACGTCCATTCACATTTGTACTCATTCAGCTTCAACCTCAATCCAAACTGGTCCAAGCAACTCGCAGAGCAAGCCGAGATATTGCAGTATATCGAAGATACGGTCGACAAGTTTGACCTACGAAAGCATGTTCACGCTTCCGTCGAGTGTCTGGGTGCAAAGTGGGATGTGCAGAACAAGCACTGGGCGGTGACATTTAGAGACCTCACCACCGACATCGTCTTTACCCGCAACGCCACCATGCTGATCTCCGCTGTTGGGGGTATATCTGCGCCGCGAGATGTATGTCACTTTTGATCGTCTTCTACCGAGAAAATGAGCTGAGCTTATGATGACAGGTCACATTTCCGGGTATGGAAACTTTCAATGGGCCAATTTTCCATACTGCTCGCTGGGATCACTCCGTTTCTTACAAAGACAAGAACATTGTGAGTTATACCGAAGCTCCAATGTCACAACTCAACGCGTTTACTGACATCGAAATTGTCATAGGCCGTCATTGGTAATGGTTGCAGCGCCGTTCAAGTCATACCGGCAATCGCCAAAGATGCCAAATCTGTCAAGCAGTATGCACGAAGCCCCCAATGGTATCACGAGCGTCCGAACCGCCACTTCAGCAACTTTGAGAAGTGGTCCTTCCGTTGGGTACCATTCTTGATGCGTTTGCACAGATGGAACATCTTCTGGTCTATTGATAAGCAGTCATACAGCTATCGTGGCACCGACGCTGGGGTGAAACAGCGTCTGAAGGAAGAGGAGGAAGCGCGTCAATACATCTACACAAAAGCGCCAGAGAAGTACCACAATCTCCTGGTTCCGGACTTCGAGCTTGGCTGCAAGAGAAAGATCGCAGATCCGGAATATCTGGACTCATTGAACAGAGACAATGTGGAACTTATTCCTGAGGGCTTGCAGCGCATTACTGAAGATGGCATCATCAGCACTTCCGGAAGAGATGATAGGTTTGACATCATCGTCACAGCCACTGGCTTCAAAGTGTCACAATTCCTGACACCCATGGATGTCATTGGCGCAAACGGATCCACTCTAGAGCAACAATGGAAAGAGAACCGCGGCGCACAAGCATACTTGGGAACATTCGTTCACAACTTCCCGAATATGGCCATCTTGTAAGTACCAAGAAGGAGGTAGCAGAGACGAGTGATCCCAGCTGACAAAAAGACAGGTTCGGACCAAACACCTTCCCTGCAAATAACTCTGCGCTGTACGCATGCGAAGTTCAAGTCGACTACACTGCTCGAGCTCTCGTCAAGCCGCTTCTCAGATCTCGAGCCGAAACAATCGAGGTAAAAGAGTCGGTTGAAAATCGCACTACCAATGATATCCAGTTGCGTCTTCGAAACAGCGTCTTTTCAGGTCGTTGCACCAACTGGTACATTGGCGAGTTTGGACGCAATGCGGCTTCGTGGCCAGGGTTGGCAATCGAGTTCTGGATTGCCACTCTTACGCCTGATCGAGATGCTTTTATCATGAAGGGAGGTAGTAAGTTGTGGCGTCTCAAGAGCCTTTGGAAGACTTTTGGCGGGTCTTGGGGCATCTTGGGTATGGCTTGTGTCGCGGCGGCTATCTACGCACGGAATACTCGAGACTTCTCCGCTATGCTGAGTTCAAAGCTTTGGTGAAGGTGAAAGTATGTAGCCAATTGATAGAACATTCTATTATCTCTGATCCGTTCAAGGTTGGATGAGCGTAATCGGACGAATTTGATGCATTTTTCCCGTCAGTCAGAGCGTCATTGAATGTAGCAGCAGTGAGTGATTGCCTTGATACTCAAAGCTATATCTCGTTCACGAACTGATGATGTTCCAGAAGGTAAGACGTTCTACCTGCTTATCTAGACCTTTCTCAACATGCGAGCCTGCCATGACCGTTTAGCAGCAAGCAAAACATCAAGAGCTCTGTTGGCGTTCGGAAACGCTTCTCCTAACTCCGAAAGAGCTTCACAAGTTGTATCGAGATGTGACTCCAAGCTTTCACGGAATTGACTAGCGATGCCAATACCGGAGACCACAGCATAAACAAGTATAAGTGCCGCCGTGAAGGTGATATGTACGACTTGATTGCTAATCCTTCGCAATGTGTACTGGCGTTTGTAGCAGACAAGTAGCTTTGCTATGTCGACGGCTGATTGTATACACATTTCACGGGCGTGCTGAGGACCTCGGCCGACTAGAGGCCGGGGCTGGACGTAATACCTTGAGCAGAATGGACGATGCAAGATTATGACCAGGAGGGCGTAATGCATGCTGTGACTCGTCAGTCTTGCGAAAACAATTCGTTCGGATCGACTCACTGTAACACAAGAATGTGTGGCAATATTTTCGTAGTCTCCAAAATAGTCACGTCAAGATCTAGTTCTGTCGGTAGGTTCTCTCGCCAGTCTCGGAGCTGCGCGAAAGTGTCGTGAGCGAGTCTTTGAAGTTCCAGGTTGGTAGTATTCTCGCTTGCATATCTGTACGAGTCAGTATTGTCCAACATTGTTTTGATGCCGTTCAACAATCACTTACAGCTGATGACCAAGCGAAGACATGATCAAGTGTAGCGCTATCGACTTCTCCATGAGTGGGTTCTGAGCGTTCAAGAGAGGCTGAACAATCTCTGGCGCGTTATCGCCCGACATAACAGCCGTCCACATCGAGGTACTTTCGTGCGTGTTATTTACGATTGGTAAGTCGCTCGCTAGATCCTTGATGTTGCTGTGGAAGGGTCGACCAAGATACAGCCCGCAATCACTGCAGAAAATCCGAATCAGTAATCAAGTGACATATCTTGAAATAGGTGACCGACCGATCATTCATGAAACAGCCCCAGACCGCTATGTTCCGTGCGTTGCTTTCTTCGTGGCTCATGGAGCCTTCGTCGACATATTTTTGTGTACTAATGTGTAGGCCGAGGTCGAAAGCCAGCCTGACAGCCATTCCTGATACCAAATGTCAGTAAGGTTTACCAGAAGCCTCAGCATTGCTTCGAGGAAAGTCGTTGTTGTACCACTATAAAGCCATGCTCTGGTATCTTGCATGGAGCTGACTTCATGACAGCTCATAATGGCAAGACCTTGAACGGTTGCTACTTTGGGCTCGTCCAATTCAAGCTCAAGAAGCGCCTTTGCTCTCTTTGAGAAGAAATCTGGCAGGGGTACAGGGAGCGCTGGATGTCGATCGCTCTCGAGAGCTGCGCCAACGGCACATCTGTTGTTGCATCAGTCAATGAACACCTCGAAGTGTTTTCAACGATTCTATCCTACATGGCATTTACCAAGAATTCAGAGTAGAATTCGCTGTCTCGGTGATCATCTGTGTACAAACTCCTACCGCGCTCGAAACACTCTTTGTCGACAACATGCATGCTTGAGTTGTGCCATGCGAAGAACAGGTCAATCAGTCGCTGTTCCAGTACAGGCTCGACGGGAATATCCAGACCGAGAAGCTTCAATCGCGACGAGTTGAGGGTTACCTGTTGTAGACACTTCGTGGGTACTGATGATGGAGTCGAACGCAATCTTGCGAGATGGAGGTTGGACGTCGCCCCATAGAACCGCCATTTACCTCCCTTGCTGGCCAGAAGGCCACCCATACGTTCCGAGATCTGACTGGTAACCTCGGTGTGGTCTTCCTCTTCGACCTGAGAGTCAGTCTCAGGGTCCCAACCTGCCAGTGCATCCGATATCTCTGGTATTGGGCGACCAGAAGCACTAGCATAAAGATCCATCAGCGCTGATGCTGTCGGTCCATCAGGGTTGCTGTCAGCAAATGGAACGTCGAACCCTGGCGCGTTCCATACCCAATCCGCGCCTGTGGTGGGGAGGGCGTCAAAAGCAACGTCATTGGACCAATCAAACTGTGTGGATACGTCGTTAGGAATGGTTGATGCCGAAACAGGATATGAATTATCCATCCCGAGCATCGTGACATCCGTATGAGTCGATGGATTATTCAACTGTACGGTTTCGGAACCTCGAAGTGAGTTCATTGATGGTTCCATCAGCAGGCCGGAATCCATGGGGTCGTCAGGCTGGCCTTCTGAAGGCGACGAGGGATATGTTTCCATTAAATTATCCAATGTACTTGCGTTTTGACGACCAGGCGGTGGAGGAACCGGAAGGCCATGCGAAACGATAAAGTCTTGTAATTGCTTGACTCTAGCCGAGAATAGCTTGACGCTTTTCCGCGTCGAAATTCTGCGGTCCTGAGTCAGCTGCTGTCCTTGTTAATGATGATGGTCTCTAACAGACTTTCTTTTGTCAGAACGGCTCTCAAATACGCATTCGCGGTTTCTTGAGAGACAATGCCCGCAGGTTGGCATATTCCCGTCGCACTACAGCCCGTCAGTAGAGGCGTGCTGGGGCGCAAAATGGTACAGCCACCTTGATTTTGCTTCTGCGACATGCCGCACAAGCTGTAGTGACGTGCGAACGTGCGCTTACGCCGACATTCGACGAACTCCGAGGCATGAGCGTGTCATACAGTCATCAGGCGCCTGTTCTTCCACCTGATATAGCAGTCGAAGTCGCCCTCAGAGAAGATGAAGAGCTACGCGTATAGGACGCGGGGAACGTCGCTGACTTCGGTTTAGTTTCGCCGAGGTTGAGGCGATAACGAGACCTGTCATTGCAATGTGCTGAGAGTGTTCGATAAATTACTGAAGACACTTTTGAACATGAGCGGCGTACAGTTTAGTGCCGTAACGGAGAGATGAGATGCCTGAATACTCGTACTTTCTAGAGATGGTTGGAAAGAAGACCTTCTCATGTCAGTAAATTGTTCTTGGCAAAGCACCAAATAAGGTTTGAACATGTCGGTTTCACAACATGAGTCACGTCCATGGTTTCACGCCCTATGCTCGACGAGCCCCGGTGAGATGATAAAAGCTACAGGAAACAGTCTTGATCTTTTTCTGAACATAGAAGCGCCATTCAGATCTTCCAATTTGCCACCGAAGACCTCGGTGTATCATTGCATCTCTGGATTGGACACACGACATCCCGCATCCTCCTTGAAAACATCGCAAACCATGGGCATCTCAGAAATGCAACCCATCAGCATTCGCAAAGCAGCACTCTCCGACGCAAAAGCGATATCAGAGCTAGGCACCCATGTCTGGACCCAAACTTTCGGCCACACTGTCTCTCCCGAAGACCTGAAAACATACCTCACTACCTCATACAGCCCCTCGGCTATCGAAACCGATATCAACAACCCTTCCAAGGACCTTATCCTCGCAACAACACCTAGCAACGAGATTATCGGCTTCACACTTATGACGAAAGGAAGCAGCGAAAATTGTCTAGCTTCCTTCACCAACTACGTCGAGTTGCAGAGAATTTATGTGCATCCTGATCATCATGGTTGTGGGGTCGGAAAAATGCTAGCAAAGGCCGTGGAGGATCTGGCGAGGCAGCAAGGGTTTGAGAATTTGTGGTTGGGAGTTTGGGAAGAAAACGCAAAAGCTTTGAGGTTGTATGAAAAGCTTGGGTTCAAGGCCATCGGGACGAAGGAATTCTTGGTGGGTGGACAGATTGATACTGATTTGGTCATGGTGAAAAGGTTGTAGAGCCTGTCAAATTCACTCTCCGGATTAATGCATAGGGGGGCCGGTTCCGCGCCGGTTCAGGCCGCAGACTAACTCCGTTACCTCCGAGATCTGCAAGATGCTATCTCCGTCGGTGAGCAGGATATAAGAACGACATAATGCCGCTCTTGTCGATAATGTATCGCTTTTACATTTAGTCAACTATACCTTTTTTCAAAGTGCGAGACAACAAAGATGGCTTCCACCAGATCAGACCCCGTTTTAGCCGATCCCGCAGACCCAGGCTTCTACCCACCATCGCAGACTGCTCTCCTTCTCTTAGACTTCCACGAGATGTTTCTTCAACATGCTGGGCCCTCTGCCGTCACTGCCGTCGCTACGGCCGCGAGGATGAGGAGATGGGCCACACAGCGTGGTATTCTTGTCATTCACGCTCTCATCGATACCTCAAAGTTAGCTTTCCCCAGCTGTAAAGACGCGAACAGATACAAAACTATTGTGGCTGCGATGGTCTCTTCCGGGACTAGCGCTGAGCCTACGAGCTTGACTGACGGCGCAGATGCTGAGGAATTGATATTTACGAGAAGACCTGGTCATATTTCTGCGCTCAAGTCGTCTGGCTTGATGGACTTCCTGCAAGAGAGGGGTATCGCTTCATTGATCTTGACTGGATTGAGTACTTCAGGTTGCGTGTTAAGAACAGCTGTGCAAGCCACTGATGCGGAGTTCGTCGTCACGGTTGTCAGGGATGGATGTGCGGATGCGGATGAAGAATTGCACAAGATTTTGATGGAGAAGGTGTTGACTTCGAGGGGGTACGTTATGAATGCTGCAGAGATCCAGGAAATGTATGAATAGAACAGCAGAAATCAGTTTCCATACGAGAGTTATGCGACAGCACCCGAAAGAAGAGCCTGGGCGGGCAAGAGAGAGGCGAGCAAACAGCACAACAGCACAGAGACAGGCTCAAGGAAATGATCAGGTAAAGACCGGGAAGAGGCTATGGAGGAAAGTTATCAGACATGCCCTGCTGATATCAAACGCCCCATCCCTCTAGATTACAGTCGAGCAGGTCTTCTCGAGCTCGCTCCGTGGTCGTCGTGAAAAATGCTAGATATTGACCACGAAAGGACAATTAAACTACATCGAAATCACAACCATGTTGTCCCGGGTCCACCAGATATGGACTGTGATGACAAGCTGCAGGGCCGAAGGGATCGCTCGTATTGCAAATTAGAAAAATTGCCGGCACAGCCGTTCCCGACTTGAAATCTAGATATGCTGTAGATTGCGAATGTTGCTGATTTCCAGGCCAACAAGAGGGTGGATAGTGATGATCTTGCCAAATCGTCGCTGCTACGCTTCCAGGAGTTGGTAGATTGTTTGGAAGTGATCCTGCCATCTTGGACGGTGGCCTCGATAGAAAATCCGATCGTGCTGTTCGAAGTTCGAAAGAGCCTGGCAAAGGGTTGTACTGCAACGGCTAGGGATTACATGGCCCAATTGCACGATCGAGGTTGCTTTCATCTTCGGGAAACTGAGAAAGCGAGGACTGCTCCAATTGAAGCCGAGAGCGTGGAGACTACTCGGCATGTACAGCAGGTGGTATCGGTGAAGCTTGTACTGCATCATGATCATGCTTAGGATGTTTCATCGGAAGAACTTCCTCAGCGCTTGAGTGTTGTGTATTGGTTTCGTGATCGTGGAAATCGATGTCGATATCCTGGCCGTCTTTGTGCTCTAGCAGACCAAGCCTGTCCAGGACGTCATGAACAAGAGGATTGCCCTTATGCTCAGGAAGTTGAGTGCCTGGCCACGCTTTGGCAGCCAGCAGCATGAAATACATGGTCTGAAGTCCAGCGGCCAGCTTGAACTGCTGCATCTCTAGCGTTCTTACGTAGCTAGACGACATCGGATTGTGACAAGACGCAGAGGTTTAAGACTTACTGCTCGGGGAAGACTTTTCGCTTCGGCTTCTTTGCAAAACCAAAGATACACACGGTATCAGACGACTTGCATCTCGAGCATGGATAACCACCAGAACATCTTGCCTTTTCAGCACGACAGCGGTTACAGGCCTTGCTAGCTCGCTGTTTTGCGCAATCATCTTCTTGCGAGAAAGTCGCGTATCCAGGGCTAGTCATCTTCCAGATAGGTAGAGAGGTTTGATCCTCGAATGGCGACACTTTAGATCTTCTACATGGGCGCAGAAAGCAGGACTATATAAGTCAATTTGCCCGAAAGTAAAATGGACTCCATCAGTGGAGGATCAAGTATTCCCGGTTGTTGACTTGCTTGACGTCGGCTCGAGTCCGATGCGGTATTAGCCCGCCGCAGGATGTCAACTTCATACCCTTTTTCCGTGACAGCTTCCCCTATAAGTCGACACTTGCTCTAGACTGTGGCGTTATTCACGCCAATTGGGCATTGAGAAAAACGGCGTCAAAGCCAATTTGACACTTGCAAATACCCAACGACGTCTGGCAGATTTCGCTCTATCTTGAGCTACCATGAGACCACAGTAGCCTGAGTGGAGATTATGATGAGGAGTTCGATGATGATGATGATGATGATGATGATGATAATGGGGAGACGCGGTCCACTGCCAATTCAAACGCTACCATGGCGAATCAGGCAGTAGCAGGAATGGTAGTACCCCAGCAAGCACAGGTGTTCGATTCGAATGATGATTTCGAGTGGGATGTGATCAAGGTTGTTGACGTTTGGAAGCACGAGCACAGCAGGCTGTTTGTAAAAGCCAAAGTTCGCACGGCACGAGGCACGATGGTGATTCCGAATGTCGCTTTGGAAAAATTGAGTCTAGATATGCATGGGTATGCAGTCGCAGATTGGGCGCATAGTCACACAGGACAAGCTCATATACTTCCGTCTACATGGAGACCCGCCGATGACTGGCAACACCAGCAATGATGTGGTATCGCAGAGCCGAGGGTCTCATTAGTAGGATACATAGAATTCTAAACATGTGATCGGAGTCATCATATAGACTCTAGGACCTTTTGCTGCTAGGCGTAATATCTCCCAGAGTATGAAGTCTCAATATCGCTTGTACCAGCCGTCAGTTTGCGCCAGATTTGAGCCCGCATCCTGATTTGCAGCTGGAAAACACAGCAGCGTCGTGGACCCCTGACCAATCGGCGCCACAATGGTCGGCCTCAGCGCTACAACCGTCCTCGTATCCTGCTGTCGTGGTATCGAAGTGTGCATAAGCTCTGCTTGTTGTACAGTCTGGGCTGCTGGAGCTGACACACTTTTTCCCCTTCCTGTGAGGTTGTCAGTTGTTGTAGGTATGGATGTCGGGTGAGAATTCATCATGTTTACCCTTTATACTGATGTTTCATCTCGACACTAACGGAATTTAGCTCTTGGTACTGATCGATCTTGAAAGAAAAGGTGGGTGAGTCGCAATTGAACTTTGGAAGAGATAAAGTCAGTGGAAGTTCTGCTTAGACGAATATCACTACCAGCATCGAGACGTACCCAATTTGAGGGCGCTGACCCTTCTGTCCAGCTTGCTCTACAATTCGTTTGATTGCCAGTAGCCGGATCTTTGACCGTTATCGACACTGAAGCGCGATAACTCCCATGTTGGTCTGCATATACGGCAAGGCCTGTGTATGAGGTTTGAAATGAAGCCGCTGTCACTAAGGATAGCGGAAGGCAGAACAGGGTTGCAGCGTAGTAGGCGAGCATGATGTGAGATGCAAGTTGTCAAATAGTATGAAAGCTTGGATTGTGACCGGGTGTTGGGCAGTATATGTATCCGCCTTCTCGCTTCTATTGAAGATCTTAAACCGTTCAAAATATCGTTTGAGGTTTATTGAATAGGTCCAAAGCTAACAATTCTGCGTGGTCGGAATGCTTCCAGTTGAATTGAGCCGTTTGATCAGTGCTACCGGGCCGGAGAACGGCATAACGATTTTAGTTGGTCTAGACTCGCAGAATGGGCACACAGTCATATAATACAGGCCACATACTTCCATCCGCATCTCCAGAGACGTATCGATAACAGGCAATACCAGCAGTGATGTCGTATCGCAGAGCCGAGAAGCGCTGGAGATGGCGCAGCGAGATCGAGAGGTCACGGGAGGCATCATACGTATTCGGATAGCTTACTGAGAAAGATCATATGTTCCTTCCGCCTGGAGTCAGTCGGGTTGCTCTTGACTTGTGAGAGTGGTGTTCCTAGATGCTGCTTGTTGCGAGAATGGAAGGGTGAATTTTGACGTCTTTCAGCCAATCAGAGCAAGAGCCGGCCGCCCCCACACTTCAACGTTCCGTCGCCTCGACTTCCGAGGGTCCATCCAAGTCCTCCACCGGCGGACAACCCAATTGCTCTGTCGCATTGGGCTCGACACTTTCATCTTGATCTCCCCGTCAAGGCGCATTCGTCGGCTTATTCAGAACTGCTCTTCAAGCCCTGGTCTCTTGTCGGGTCGGCACCTTCACCAAGGCCTTTTGCGACATGAAGAGGTAAGGATCGTCGTTATGTGGAGATTAATCCGAAAATTATCCTGCGGGCGAAGCTGCTGCCTAGCTCACTTCGCTTCTTACAGTAATACTCACCATCTCTGGATTATTGCATTGCACTATAAAGTCACATCCCTCCCGGTCATGATTATCTCGACCGAGTCAACAGCTCGATCATTTTCCCAATGGCTTCCTCAGCACCTCAGGAAATACTGTCCATCATCGCACACCACCTGGCACAATTGGACAAGAAACTATCACCTTACGCGCTGGTCAACAAGTCTTGGCAGGCCGCTTTCGAGAGACAGATCTATTCATCAATCGTCGTGCGTAGTCCATCCGATGTGACGACCGTCAAAGTCAAGGAACACTCATGGACTGCACCCGGCGGGCCACACCCCAAACATGGCCTCCCACTGGATACGTTCATCAATATCACCAGCGGGCCGGAGAATTGGCAGCGAGCTCGGCGTTTATATGTGCGTCAAATTCTCTACAGAGTCGCAGTTCCGTACTGGTTGGACGAAGACCGTGGAAAAGGTGACGACTACACTTATGATAATGCTTACCGGCGTGAGAACAATCGAGCATTCTCGAAAGGGGTTTGTCAATTATTCGAACATCTTTCGACTTGGACCAATCAGGCAATTTCCCTTCAGATAGCCTTACAGGCAGAAGATGCATCCACTGACGAAGAATGTGGTGAGCCAGGGTCGATACCCTGGCGCGGCACTAGAGATGAGATTGCTCCGTATTGTGCAGAGTTTGTGCCCGGATATTCTTTGCCGCGTGCGTCCTGCATCACATCACTAGACTTTCCTAAGCTCTTGAGTCCTGAAACGATATGGGTCGAGACTTCGGCGTTGGACATGCCTTGTGATGAGAATGAGATTTCCCTGCCTGCCCGCCTGAGCATTGCATCAGCATGCAGCGCTCTGGAGAATATTCGATTGGACCTCGTAGACGAAATCCCCTCGAGCGAGCCCAATATGCGTTCCACCTGGCGAACCGCGGCTGGCCAAGGATTTTCGCAACTTCCACGAACCATCAAAGACATGACCTTGTACCGGAACAACTCCGGACGACTGGATGAAAGCGCTAAGCAGCTCCAAATGTTCTCCATGCAGCTACGACACCTGCGTATAGAAAGTCTGGAGATTTTTCGAGGGCTCTTTTGCCCCGATGGATTGGGATTACCTATCGAAGCACACTGGCCATACCTTGAGACGCTTCATCTGAAGGACCAATACTACGTGACCCCGCCTTTCCACGGCGAGCTACAACCTGCCTATGATCTGATCAGAGAGCGATATCTCAACAATCTCTACACGAGTCTTGGCCACGCCGCGCAGAAGATGCCGTGCTTGAAGAGTGTTATCCTCACCTTTAGGAACCTTGACCACGAGCTCGAGCTGTCAATCAAGAACCAGCGCTACAATCTGACGCTTTGTGTGATGAACAACTATCAGCCATCTCTTGAATTCCTCGAAGCTTGGAAAGTGCCCGGAGGAAGCTTACAGCCTTGTATAAACAAATTCTGGCGTGAAATCACCTATCCATCGTGGCCGCCTTCCTGATTGGTCAAATCATGGAAGACAGCGCGCATGTGTTTGTACACGATCATCGCCTGGCACTTCTAGACGACTGAAAGCTTGCTTCTGTTCCTGTCTTTGCGGGTGTAGGATCTGATGATTGTGGAAAGCGTGTACGACGTGAAAAAAGATCCAAAAAAAAAGATAAGTGTGGTTTACAAAGAAAAAGAGAGGAAGTGTATATCGGAAAAAAAGAAGAAAAGGGTTGCAGCAAATACAAAGAAGTGTCTGGAAGGACAGCGGTAGGTACAAGGATCAGTCGAGCTTGGAAACAAGAGATGCAGCCTTTGCACTTATCAATGTAAGTTCGAGAATGTCTACTCGTACTCGAGTATTTGCTTGTTGCGACGCTGTGAATGGTGAAGTTTTGGACGCTCTGTCAAACCTCGGCAAAGCTCCGAAATGCGGAGTCGGGACGGTCCAGAGGATGTCGATCATCACCAGTAGCGCCCCTAATGGTCGACGACACTGTTCAAGAGCGCTCTAAATTGCCTTTTTCGTCGAGGACAAGCCACGATGCGTTCATGGCTTGGTTTGCGTTCACGGCTTGGTGTAAGTCGACACTTGTCTCATTCGCTTTGCTGTTCCTCCTTCACGTTCAATCACAAGTAGCAGCAACTCAAACACCTCACAGAGTCATGGAGATCTACGACCACACCGGACAGCCTGTAATTCACGGACGCGCTCGTGTCAATGGCATCCGAATGCACTATGTTCACGCTGGCCAAGGACCTGAATCTCTCCTCCTCCTCCATGGAACACCAAAGACGAGTTATTACTGGTACAAACTGTTCCCACTCTTGACACAGCATTTCCACGTCATCGCACCAGACTTGCGTGGATTCGGCGATACCGACAAACCTCCAACAACTGACGGTTACGATTCTGCAACAAACAGCCAAGACGTCTCCGAATTGATGACCCTTCTCAACATTGACAAGTTCCACGTTCATGGAGAAGATCGTGGTGCAGACTTTGCGTATGCTCTCGCCGCCACCTGTCGAGATCGTGTCAAGAGTCTATCATTCTGCGAAATGGCCGTGTCTGGCTTCGGGCTAGAAGAAACATCTTACTGGACTGAAGAAAATCTCACCGCCCAATACCGTCAAAAAGGTATCTGGTGCTGGCATCTAGGCTTCTTCTCGATCCCGCACATTCCTGAAATGCTCATCCAAGGCCATGAACGCGAGTTTTGGGAAATGTTTATGAAGCAAGAATGCTACAATCCTAATGCGATTGAACATGCAGCTTTGGATCATTGGGTGGCTTGTTCCATGCAACCTGGAGGTTTACGAGGTATCCTGGAAACATATCGTGCTGGTTTCAAGAATGCGGCCAATCATCGCGCACTACTGGAAGCAGGAGGAAAACTTACGGTGAGAACAATGACAATTGAAGCTCCTGAATTCTTTGGCCCAATCGTGGAACAGAGTATTTCGCGTGTTGTAGAGCGAGTAGAAAGGTCTGAGATATTCGAGGAATGTGGGCATAGTCTCGCGCTTGAGAAACCAGAAAGACTTGCAAAATGCTTGAGGGAGTTTATGTTGGGGGTTGATTAAGGGTATGGTGAGTGTGAATGAGACAGGTACAGGCAGGTTATGGTGTATGAATTGATCGGGTTTGCACATCAATCCTATTCGACTGTTTACCTCGTATGATAGCAGCCTTATTTGCAGGACGAGCAAGCTTCATGTCCATAATCGACGAACCGATGGTGACCGCGGTGGGCAACAGTGACGGATATGTTAAAGGACAAGCTGAAGGAGGGTGTGCCTCGGGGCGCTGGAAGTATGCGATGTTGCCGATCGGCGTCGTGGAAGGAATCACTGTTTCTTGGTTATCTGCAGAAACAGTTGTGCTCATTTGCGAACCGTCCAGCTGCTTCGTCCTGAATCGCGCAAGGGGGCCCATCGTTGAAGAGCTGCCCTTAGCCATGCTGCCAGCAAGCGATTTTAGTTTTGAGTTCCGGAGGCGAGGCATCTGCAAGCGTGCGGAGAATGGTGCGGAAGCAACATCCATGAGGTATCGTAGGAGATATTGGCGGGAAGACGGCTGAAAGGCCCAAGGGTGATTGTTGTAGTATAGGACCATTTAGGCGAGAAAGAGGAAGAAGCGCCATACAAAGTGAAGATTGGCAAAGTATTCGAGTTGTCGGCAGTGGCGGATCATTCTCTGAGAGGCATGGGGACCGAGATGCAAGAACAAAAAAGAAGAAAATGCCTTGATAGTCGAGACAAGTTGGTCGAGTAATCTGCCAGGTGTATGTTGGGCTTCATCTGACCCCTAGTCAGCAGTCCCAAATTGCCATTCTTCAGCTAGCAGACCAAAGATCAAGGAATCTCGAAGCCCGATATGCGTTTCCCATTCAGCGCGTAGGTGTCCCTCTAACTTGAAGCCAAGAGCTCTGAGCAGCGCAATGGATTGCTCATTATCAGGATCAACGTCAGCGACGACGCGTCGTTGTCCTTGAGCGAATAATGTTCCAATCAGCAGACGTATGGCTTCACGGCCGTAGCCATGTCCTAGAGCTTCACGAGCAACAAGGTAACCAATCTCAGACACGCCTTTGCGTTTCGTAGAGGCAGCAACAAAACCAATGGCTTGATCCTCGCCGACCTTGACAATGGCCCAGGTTTTCCAGCCTGACGTGTCTTCAGGCGCAAAGTAGTTGCGCAATTCGTCGACTTGGATAAAAGGGCCACGAGACCAGTATCGCATCGAGTCTGAATGCGACATTGTTGGGAAAAGGGCGTCGGCGTCGGACTGTCTGCGTGGTCGCAGTTCCACACGCTTTTGCTTGGATGCGACAATCATGTTTTTCAGTTCAAGAGGAGCTGGACTTCCGGTCGTCTGTATGTTCTTGAACAAGTTTCTACATTAACAAGATGCATGTCAGCGGTGTCAGCGGTGTCTACTCTAGAGGATCCACCATCACGGTGTTGACGCTAACGGGGTGCAGCCAATGGGAGATGGAGCCGGCCGCAAAATGACGCAAGTGAGTCGGCGCGACGAAAAAAAACGTAAATGCGCGAAAAGAAGCCGCCGCTGTTTTTTCACATGCCACAACGCGCGCCTGCCATGGGTTGATCCATCTCTGCAAAGGAAGCCGCAAGCTTCCCGATTGATTCCACTCTCACAGCAACACGTCCACATCTCGATCACGCCATGAAGTCGCCCATCCCCGACTACCTCCACCACGTCCTCGAGACGGCGCGCCCGAATGAAGGAGGCGCCGCAGCCGACTACATCGAAACCCTCGCCAACGCCGACACTTCCAAGATGGCCATCTGCCTGTCCATGGTCGACGGCAACGTCTACTCGGCAGGCGACGACAAGATCGAGTTCTCCATCCAGTCCATCTCCAAGGCCTTCGTCTACGCCATCGCCATCGAAGACGCCGGCCTCGATCAAGTCCTGTCCAAGATTGGTGTCGAACCTTCGGGCGACCGCTTCAACCAGCTCTCCCTCGAGCGCAACACGAACCGCCCCATGAACCCCATGATCAACGCCGGCGCAATCACCGCCCACTCGCTCGTCGTCTCTCCCACCGCCACCCTCGACCAACGGACCGAGCGCATCCTCAATGCCTTGTCACGACTTGCAGGCCGCCAACTCCACGTCGATGAAGAAGTCTACCAAGCTGAGTTGAAAGATGCGGATCGTAACATGGCTATCGGATACATGCTCAAGGCTGCTGGAATCATCACATGCGACCCACAAGAGGCGGTACGGGGTTACATCAGGCAATGCGCCATCAACGTCAATGTCCAAGACCTGGCCATGATGTCTGCTGTCCTTGCAAATGCCGGTGTGCATCCTGTGAGCAACGAGCAGATCATCCCACAAACGAGTGTGCGCCAGGTCTTGTCTGTCATGACTACCTGTGGCATGTACGATGCGGCCGGTGATTGGGTGTCAAGCGTTGGTTTCCCAGCCAAGTCCGGTGTCGCTGGAGCCATCATCGGTGCACTACCAGGTCAGGTCGGTATCGCCACCTTCTCTCCAAAGATTGATGAACGCGGCAACAGTGTGCGCGGTGTCGCAATGTGTCAACAACTCTCCCGCGAGATGGGTCTCCACATGATGGACGCCAGCCATGTCGCAAGATCCACCGTACAGACAAGCGTATCAACACTGGTCGAAGGCGAACACAAAACTCACAATGGAAGTTGCAAGCGTGAAGTCGTCGTCTTCAAGCTCAGAGGTGCCGTGAGATTCCCCGGTGCTGAGAGATTGACGAGAGCCTTGGCACGCGAACTTGGTCAACCAGACCCGTTGGATGAAGGTTCAGGAAGCCATGCAGATGCTTGTGGTATTGTCTTTTCCTTCCGCGACGTCTTTTCACTCAACTTCATCGCCCGACGACTGATTCACGAAAACATCGCACGACTGCTAAAGGAAGGAAAGGTTTTGGTGATTATCGATCCTTCAGAGGTACTGGAATGGGACAAGGCGAAAGCAAAGGACGGTCGTCATCCCAAGGTGGTGGACAACGAGACGGAAGCACGGGATTACATTGGTGGCACTGGATGTCAAGCTGTCTCACAAGATCCTGAGTGGTGACTGTGAAAGTATGTCTTTGCTATCAAAGGAAATCAAGTACAATAATACAAACAAGGCTCTGCGGACATGAGATGCTCCTACCGGAAAGGCTGAAGCTCGTATCAACAAACGACTCGGTGGTCTACCGTTCTCGTATCTCGAAGTTTACTCTCTTTTCGGCCGCTCCGTCCACAGCCCTAGATGGTCTCGAGCTGAAGTGGACTCTTCTCGATCAGTGTTTTCCAACGTGCGAGGTTGTCAGCTTCCACATGCTCAGCGATATCACTCGAAATACTCAAGTCGCTGTTTGGAAGACCCTGTCTCTGCCCACATCTTGCTACTGAAGGCGCCAGATGTGAAGGATGAGTAGAACCAGCGACTCAATCGTTTAAGACACACATCCGTAGATGGACAGTATTTAGAATAGAGCAGTTCAATGAATTGTTCACTCGCATTAGGCAAATGATAATTTTGGGTACCATGTTTGAGATGCGGTTCAAAGTGGCACCAACTCGCTGGGCAAATTCCAGCCCAAGACCCACGGACTTCATGAATCCTGGATATCTCGCCATGATTCACAGATCCTTTGATATTACCCTTTTCCAACCTTGGACCAGAACATCAACCTATCATGGCATATCCCTGAGCAGCATTCCGAATCCGCTTCTGCAATCCGCAGTCACGACTCCGGAGATAACAGCGTCGACGCGCGTTCGTGCACATTCTTATCGCCGGCAGAAGCAGCTCAACGGTCAAAAAAACGTCGGTCGGCTTCGAATTCTGTTCTTGGATTCTTCTACCACCAATCTCCTTTCCAGGCTGAAAATCTCTTGACACTGGACTGGGCGACGTGTTTGCGCCCTTGGCCAGATGTCTTTTTAGTACGGCACGTCACAATTGAGTTTGAAATGTACGAGCCCCTCGATTCAACACGAGGACCATGCGATGTGACAGCTTGGTTCGGGAGAAAACACAACATGTTCTCGGATATCATGCCTTGTTCATTGGGGTCTACATCTTAGCATCACCCAGATCGACATGATCGATATCCAACGAATGTCGAAACACCTCTTCTCTCGTATGCCCAATACCTCACCGAACATATCGAAAGAACGAGTGCCGTTGGTTGACCCGAAACTGCAAGGGGCTCGTATCTACCGACGATTAAGGTTTTTGAGGCTGATGGCGTTACGAGTGCCGGACGATCCTCCGCAGTCTACTCCATCCAGCTTGCACGACATGCCGTACATTGTCGCATGAGTTTACTTGTCATCCATCATCATGTCATGACATTGCTGACTTTACCAACCTTTGTACAATCTTCTCACAAGGTCTGCTGCGAAACATCTCGACTCTCTTCTAACAACAGATCCTCGCCATCACACTCCATCATCGAGAGATCGACCAATATTCTGTACGAACCACCGTTCCCTCAGCTACCCGTCGACAGCTACCGTCTTGAAAACGTTTGGGCCTCACTCACCATGTCCACCCTTTTCCTTCACGATTTTCCCCCCAGCTACAACCAACCTCCTGATATCCACTCTTGGTTTCATTTCCACCGACAAGATCAATATGATTATACCGTTCTCAATATCTCGTATAAGCAGTGTTTCACCATGTCCCTATTCAGTACATCAACACTGATTTTGATCTATATAATCTATCGCCTCTTTCCACCCAAAACATCTCACCAACCAGCGACCAACTCTTGGGCAACAACAGGGATACTCAGCTTCCCTTTACACACTCGTTTCATTCAGTCACTCGTTCGCCCGACATGAGTCTTTCACTTCTTGCTCTTGGTCTTCTTGGCCCTGCTGCTCTTGTCGCAGCTTCCCCCGCCAAGTTGGACCCAGTCCAGACCATCACCATCACCAGCACTTCGACCTCGACCATCACCAGCTGTCCCGTTGCGACTGTTTCTCTTTGCGCCGCATCTTGTGTCGCCACTCCTTACACTCTAGGTGTCAATGTCGCTTTCGCTACGGGTGGTAATGCCGTCAGCACCGCTACTGTCGTTCCCATGGCCAGTCAGAGCTCAGGCTCGGGCAATGGGTCCGGAAATGGTGCAAACAATAGCGGAAGCAACCAAGGCTCCGGAAATGGATCTGGAAATGGGTCTGGCAATGGTTCGGGCTCTGGCAACAATGGAAACAGCGGTGGTTCAGGCAATGTAAATGGTCAGACCGTCGTCACCACTGTCGTGAACGGCAAGACCACGACCCTTACAGTCTTCCAAGGCGCCACCACTACCCTCTCGAAGGGGTCAGTCTACACCACCGATGTCGTTTACCCTTCTTCCGTCACCTGCTCGGCAGGCGAGACTGTGGTAGTTGGTGGTAAGACCGTTGTTGTTGATGCTTCAACTGTCATCTACGACTGCCCATGCACAAAGGCAGCCACTTTGACCGTCGGTGGAAGCTACACCACCAACCTTGTCTATCCCAACTCTGTCTCTTGTGCGGGTGGAGAGACTATCATCATTTCTGGTACCACCACTATTGTCGCAGGACCCACTGTCATCACCGACTGCCCTTGCACCAAGCCTACTACAATCACCGTCGCAGGCCCGACTTCAACCCTTCCCGGTACGACCATCACAACCGGAACTGCTGCTGCATCCTCAGCATCCATCATCTCTGGCTCAGCTGCCTCAACCAGTGGAGCTTCTGCATCTAGCGCTGCTGCCTCAAACTCAGCTTCCACAGGTGTCGTCTCAGGCTCTTCATCCAGCGTTATTGTCTCCGGATCTTCAACTGCCATCATCAGCGGTACTGCAACTTCCGGAACCAACCCCTCAGGCACATCTACCGCGGGCGCTGCTTTCCAAACCAACGTTGATGGTATCAACTTCTTGGTCCAGCGTGGCATCAACTACAACGGTACACCTTTGACCATCAACGCCAAGAGACAGGCTGCCAACACCTTGAACACTTGTTTGAACACCTGTGCCGGCTCATCTGCTTGTGTCGCAACTTCATTCAACAACGGTACTTCATCTTGCTTGTACTTCAGCGCGATTGATCAAAGCAGCAAACGTGCTGACAGTGCCATCACTTTCGCCATTGCCACTTCTCGTATCGCTGTCCAGTCTTCCTCTGCCGTTCCTTCGGGAAGCAGTGCCTCGTCTGGTTCGGCTACCATCGCCTCTTCTACTTCGGGAGCTGGCAGCACCTCTTCTGGTGTATCCCAGTCAGGGTCAGTCGCTCCTACCAGCGCTAGTGCATCTCAGTCAGGCTCTGCAGCTCCTACCAGTGCCAGTGCATCTCAATCCGGTTCAGCTGCTCCTACCAGCGTCAGTGCATCTCAGTCAGGCTCTGCTGCTCCTACTAGTGCCTCAACCCAGTCTGGCTCTTCCGCATCTGAAAGTGCCTCATCTCAGTCTCAGTCTGGCTCTGCTACTTCAAGTGGCGCTTCGACCCAATCTGTTTCGGGCTCATTCACTCAATCTGCCTCAGGCTCATCCACTCAGTCAGCTTCAGGCTCTGCTACCCAGTCAGCCTCGGGCTCTGTCACTCAATCTGCTTCCGAATCTGCTACTCAGTCAGCTTCAGTTTCAGGCTCTGCCACCCAATCAGCCTCGGGTTCTTCCACCCAGTCAGCCTCTGCTTCGACTGGCGCTTCTCAATCCGCTAGCTCCGATGCCTCATCCAGCACTGTCAGCTCCTCTGGATCCATGACATCATCTACAAGCGCCAGTGTATCATCCTCCGGCACCGTCTCTGCATCGTCGGGTGCCAGCATCACTGAGGCTGCTCCGACCACCGCACCTACCTTGGCAGTTTCCAACGAGCCTCTTCCGTCTTGCGACTCTGCTTCCAACGGAACCTCCACCACTCAATGTGCTGATGAGTCAGGCACTGTCTACGCTGTCACCGGTGGTACAGCATATGTTGGTCAGACCATTGACACCTCTTCGATCACTCTCGACGACGATGGCAACGAGGTCAGCTCTGGTAACGGCACCGTAACCAAGCGTGCTTTGACTAGACGCGCTTTCGCACCTTCTCTTAGAGCTTGTCTTCGTTTCTGTGATCGCTTCCCTGGATGCAAGGGTGCCAACTACTTCACTGGTGGCCAATGCTCCCTCTTCAGCAGAATCACAGGAACAACCCCCAATCCCCGCGCATTCGCTGCCATCTTCGTTGCAACTGCCCAGCAGGCCGCCCAGTCTAGCGCTCAATACCAGGCCACTGCTACATTGACTTCATCTGCTGCTTCTTCCTCGACTGCATCTGCATCGGCATCAGCCAGCACGAGCTCCGCCGCTGGATCATCGTCAAGCGTCGCAATGTCTTCCTCAAGCAGCACCATGTCATCGACCTCTGACGTGTTGAGCTCGGCCTCGTCATCCAGCATGTCTAGCAGCACCATGGTCAGCAGTTCCACCAGCTCAATGCCGTTCAGCGCTGGTAACACTACTATCGCCGGCCCTACTGGTACTGCCGTATCAGGCTCTATCTCGTCCTCCGCTACTTTGAGCAGCTCTACCATGTCTGCACCTTTCAGTCCCGGAAACAGCACTTCCAATGTCGGACCTACTGCCACTGGAATGACTTCGAGCTCTACCATTTCTTCTTCCACCTCCGCAATCTTCCCCGTCGGAAACACTACGATGACTGTCGGTCCCACTGCTGTCTCCACCAGCTCCGTCATGTCTTCTTCAACCTCTGCAATGTTCCCCGCCGGTAACACCACCATGACTGCCGGCCCTACAGGTTCTTCCACCACAGCCTCGATTGAGACAAGCAGCAGCAGCAGCATTCCCTTCACCATGGGTAACACTACCACCTCCGCCTTGCCTATGGGTACAGGCTCTTCTTCTTCCATGACTTCTTCATCCATGTCTAGCTCCAGTATTCCCTTCACCATGGGTAACAGCACCACCATGTCGGCTGGACCTACCGGTACTGGATCTCCCATCATCCCTTCATCCTCTTCTTCCATGACCTCTTCTTCGGTTTCCAGCTCTAGCAGTATCCCCTTCACAATGGGCAACAGCACTACCTCTACCATGCCCATGGGCACTGGTACTGGCCTCGCTTCCTTCCCTACCATGTCGAGCTCCAGCATCTTCTCTAGCTCTAGCTCTAGCTCCTTCTCCATGAACAGCACCACCACCGCTCCCCCGGTCGGCACTGGCGGCATGGTTTTCCCCACCATTTCCAGCTCCAGCAGCGCTCCTTTCCCCATGACCAACACTACCGGCAGCGCACAACCTACCATTCAGCCTTCTGCTGGTCCCACTGCTCCTCTGAAGAGATCTAACCTAAGATACTTCTTTGGTCAGAACTAGGATGAATTGGATGATGTTACGATATGGTGTAAGGAGGTTCTTTCTTTTGTTCTTTCAATTCTGTAGTTGAGAATATATTTAATACCATTTTTTGATCTGACACTTAACTGCCTATATCTCTTTCATGCTTCAAAGCGGTGGCGACTCCTGCCGTGTAATCTGTCAGTGTCCGAATTCGTTCTTGTCGAGTGATCCTTCCGAGGAATTTGCCAAGCTTGAAGTTGCCACTTGTCAATCGCAGAGAACCTCTTGTTCTTGAAGATGATATCTTCTCGCACTGATATAAACATATATCTCGAAGACGTGACACCACCGAAACCCCGAGGCATTTGATGCTATGTTATGGCACAACGTATAGTAGCTCGCGACTATATCGATTCGACCATCCCGGTCTTTGCTGTCGCTCGAATAATCAAATAGGTAAGCTCTGCCTCCAACTCTCCCACCTTTTTGTAGCATCAAAAATAATCATTCCCATGTATAGACACTTGATGCTTTCTTCAAAAAAGCAAATGCAGCATTGTATCCGGTGCGAATACCTTGAGCCCTAAGTAACTTTTCTTGCATCACGCGACATATCTTAGGGTTAGCAAGAAAGCCAGAAACAAGATAGATAAGGCACTGACCGTGGGAATGAGGGCATAGAGATACAACAAGACTCGTAGCCGCATTCACTAGGACAGCGTAGAGATAGAGGTCAAGAATTGTGATTGCGGAAGGAGCGAAGGAGATGATTGCCTTTATCAACATCTTTACGGGCACTGAAACACAAGTCATCAGTCTTACCCGTGCTCACTTGAAATACTCGGGAGGTTGTGATCCAGGAATGATCGGGAAAGACGAACAGGAAAGAGTGCACTTTTGGCAATATAAGACAGAAGCTGAAGAATGAAGTTATAAAACGTTCTGAACTTTTTCAGGGAGTAAGCATTATATGAATGAGGGAGTATCAAACAATCTATTGCAACAAACAAATCAACAAGCCAATGTTTTCGTAAACCATATCCGTCCGAGGAGAAAGAGCTGAAAGACCAGCGATCGCACCACCTTAGAAACTGGGAGTATTGAGCGTCAAGGCCATGATACCACCACCGATCAATGCAGCGATGGGAATTGTGGCTACCCATGAGATGAACAGAAGACCCACACGTTGCCAGTTGACTGCCTTGAAGCTTCCGTTGCAAAGCCCGACTCCGACCGTAGCTCCAGTGATGCACATGGATGTCGAGACTGGTAGCTTGTACTGTGAGAAGATCAAGATGGTAATTGCGGCACCCATCTCCATGGAAGATCCACGAGAAGGTGAGTGGTAGGTAATCTTGTTTCCCATGACTATTGATTGTGTTAGTGAAGATGGAAGAGATTAGAGTAGACCCTGACTCACCCTTCATAATGTTGTAACCATAGGTGATGAAACCAATACAAATGGTCAGCGCAATGACAGCGATTTGCCAAAGAGGAACAGGCTATGACACAGTTAGTTGAGGTCGAGGTTTGGAAATAGAGAGACTCACCTCCTTGGCTTTGGCAGCGTTACCGGTGGACCAGGCAGCGTACATGGCAGCCCAAACACCGACAGCGTTACCGACATCGTTGGCACCATGAGCGAATGAAGCAGTGCAGGCAGTGATAACTTGAACGAAGGAGTAAAGGTACTCAACCTCGTTAGCGTAGCGGGGAGCGTGGGCGTACACACGAGCCATACGTCTTCCTTCAGGAGTTCCAAGAATACCGACTTGAGCCTTGTGGATATCGTAGTAGATACCGTACATCAATGCGACAACAATGCCAGCAGGGATACACTTGAGAACAGCCTTCATGTTGTGGATTTCGTAAATGGAACCGGCACCGAGCTGGTTCTCGTGGATGGTGCGCATAGCCCAACCGAGAGGACCGCGTTCTTGACGAAGGTCGGCATGGTGCTTTTCACGAGCTTCCTTGAGCATACGAGCATAGGCTTCTCTGGGATTCTCGTTGGTGATGCTGTTCCTGCGCTGAGGTGCGATTTCAGGTGATGATGCGGCGGTGCTGCCACCTTCCTCCGAAACATGGATAGATCTACGACGAAGCTCACCAGTGACGACCTCAGAGTCACCGCCCTTGCCGGTCATCTCAATACTGGGAGGAGCGGAGGACTTGGCCTTGACATCGGTGTGGTCATCGTGGTCCATGACAGCGTAGTTGGGGACATGAGCAAACTCGGCATCGGAAGGAGCTTGGCGGGAGAAGAGGAGAGGTCCGAGGAAAACGTGGTACCACTTCAAGGTATAGTCCTTGCGAATCACACGCTGGTTAACGTACGGGACGAAAAAGAGGGCTGCAAGAACAGCCAGAGCGACACCGGAACCAACGGTAACACCAGCAATCCAGTATCCAGGCTTCTTGGTCAAACCGAGCTTAGGCGAACCCTTGTAGACGATGGACAAGGTGCAGACAGTGCCGGCAATCAGGAAGAAGAAGGGAGAGGTGTAAACAGCCCAAGGTACAGGGTTGCTTCTCATGTGAACGGTACTCTTGACAAGCATGAAGATGGTGGCACCAAAGACGGCAGAGATGAAGGGGGCCATGACGAGACCGGCGAAGATGGCACCAAGACCGGAGCCGCCTGGAAAATATGTCAGCTTGAGCCAAGGTTGTCAAGGGAGTGTCCTTGTACATACCGTTCCATCCCCATTGAACACCCTTTACACCGACAGTAGCGACACCGACACCAGCGATGGATGACACGAGCGAGTATGTGGAAGAAACGTGGGCGTTGTGTCGCGTGCACCACATGACCCAGATAGCTGCACCAGCGGCGGCGCAAGTGAATGCGAGAAGTTGTACAGGGGCATTGCCATTGAAGGCGGAGATGGGAATGATACCGTTCTGAGATTCAACGTCAGTACGTGGTTGTCGAATGATTGAGACCAAGTTTGATCATCTCTCCGTTCTTAACACACCTTGATTGTGGAAGCAGTTCTGGCACCGACAGCCAGAGCACCGGTCATCTCGAATATCAGACAAAGTATCTATCGCATGGTCAGCATGAGTTCTGCAAGAATAGAGCAGCTTCAGGATCAAAATCCGTTCAAGAATTGATTTGCTTTCGTGAGGACATACCATAGCCTGACGGTAAGTGACTGAGCGAGAAGAAACACTGGTTGCCCAAGCGTTTGCGACATCGTTGGCACCATTGTTGTATGCTTCAAGCAGCGCGAAGAATGTGCCAATGGCAAAGATATAAGTATACTCGTGAAGAACCATCTTGACGGTATGTATGAAACCTGCAGGCGAAGAAAATGCCAAGCTGGGATTGATGGACTCAAGAAAGAACGCAAGATAATCAAAAATGAAGTTCGAGAAATACTTCTTGTCCTCGTTGCTTATGAACAAAGCCCAAGACTTACCACGCGTGACACTGCCACTGCAAAAATCAATTCGCAGCCCTCAAAACCATCACCTACCTCATACTGCAACGCTTCGCGAATGTCATCGCGGAATCTTGGCAAAGGTAGAAGGTCAGAACAATGAGGTTCAAGCATCGAAACACGTGTTGGACAAAAGGAACATGCTCCATGCTGGCCAAGAAGAAGAATGTCTTGACGTCGGGCTTCTCCATGGCTTGGCTCAGCCTGTTCGGTGGTCTTCAGCTGCCTGCCAAGCCTGGGCAAGCGCCTCTGCTCCGCCCCCTGCCGCCATGATTGCGCCAGACTGCCTTTTTGATTTCAGCAAGCCGAAGTCAACCAAAAGACGGCTGATATAAGGCCAGAAGGATGGGTGTTGGTGTTGCACGTGGGTGCAGGACTGCATGTGTGAAGCAGAGAGCAGAATTCTAGACTTCCGTCTTGTTGGAAGCCAGCCTCGGACCGTTAGGTTGGCGATACGCCTGATGAGTGGAAAGTGAGAATCTTTGATGGTGGAAAGTGATGCTCTAAACCATTTCATAGGTCAGCGAGAGGGCGATGGATTCTTCCGACAGGTCGTGTTCATTTCGCATAGAGTGAGAGCAGCTATTGATCAGGCGACATCCGACGCTCATTTATCAGTTGACTGCTCGACTCGGCACTAATCAAACCGATAGAGGTCCTGTCATGATTGAAGAAGTCCTTCAGATTTTGCGACGGTCGCCATCTATCAGCATGCTTTGATCGAGAACAAGACTGTCATGTTTCGCAAACCGTAAAGTTCAGTGATACTCGCGACATGTTTCTGTCAATCCTCGTATACTTTTCAACGAACGCCTTCAACGTTGTTTCGTGAATTGCTGCAACAACAAGACTGAACCATGGCCTTTGTCGCAGAATACCTTCTGCCGGTCCGAATGCACGATTATTGGAGGTTGGTGAGACACGTCCCTAATGGTCTTAACTAAGCATCAACGCATGATATGGAAGTTCTCCAGTAGAGTGGTGTTGAGACTTGTCGGTGTTGCTGAGGATCTCGAAATCCGACTCGGCGCGCGACAGAATGATGCGCCTGGTTGTAAGCACGTGTCTTTGAGAGAGTCAGTATGCAGGTATCCATACTGCAGTGGGCGCAGATCGAGCAATTGATGACCGAGGAGTTCGTGAACGCGTCTGGTCAAAACGATTTGGCGTCGCGAAAAAATTGCGACACAGGAGCCGGGCAAAAGCGTGCCAAGACAATTCCGCTCATGTTGTCAATAGAATGCATCTCCATCGATATCGAATCGCTAGTGTAATTCCGTGGTGAGTGAAATCGTAGCCCAAGCAATGCCATCTTTTCAGAGGTACGAGCAGATTGATCAATAGCATCTGTTCATGATGCGGTTTTGTGATCTTTCGATTGAAGAGCGAGGCAAGTGTGATGTTGAACGGGAGCTTTCTGAAAAATCGTACCTCTTGCAACATGGTAGCACTGATGAACTGTCCGCTCCATGAGATCAATAGAATGAGCTCTAAAATCGATACCTTGAATGATCTACCAATGCATCAACATCATGTCGGTCCAAAGGATAATATATACATCTCCATCCAGGAGCAGGGTGAGGCTTACGACGGAATCACTTGGCGTCCCGATATCGGAATTCTCAATGAACTTGCTCATTTGCCCTCGCAACTCAACTTGAACATTGTCCTCACCCCAAAGGACAAGAATGCTATCAAGAGCTTACCGTTCAATGACGAGGCCGCTGCCGTAACGGCGCAGAGCTTCGCCGTCCAAATTACTGGATGGCGGCTTGTCGATCATGCTGGTCGGCCTTCGTTTGCCGCGGTCAGAGATTCGATTCCTATCAAATTGCTTTGTCCCTCATCCTACACCCGTCAGACTCTCGAACGCGGATTGCCCGGGCAATTGAGGATCAAGACGACCAACCTAGCCGAGTTTCCATAACAGTGTCCCCAAAGACGCTATACCCGCAGAGGAAGGCTGCAAGCTGCACATGCAAGCCAAGACTCGCTCCAGCCTTTCGACGCACCATTTCTGCTAAGCTCCAGCCGTGCGTCCAATCGTGGTGGGCGTATTTGACACGAGCTTTCGATGCCTGAAGAACATCCATATCATCCTTACCACGATGACAAGGCATGCAGTAAACATCTCGCGTGCAATTGGGTATCTCTATCTCGACTGTCGATCAAGTGAGCCGCTGCTAGCAATGCTGCATGCCGAGCGAGGATGCTCAAACCATCAACACATCGACAATCCTGAGAACATAAAAGCTGTGTGTTCCTTCGTGGCAATGTGACTCAGGCTTCGACATACTCTACTGCGTCCTGCGGATCACTAGGATGCTTGCATCGATTCTTACTGTAGCCTGTTTGGCGGTTACGACCATTGCCTCGTGGGATGGCAACATCAACTTCAACAGCCCTTCGCTACAGCACCGAGATTTGGGTCTTGATGTGGCCAAGATTCAGAAGCGTACTGGTCTTGTCGCGAGACAGACGACCAACTTTACGGACAGCCAACTCAACTTCACTCACGGCGTAGCTTCTGGCGACCCATATCCAAATTCGGTGATTCTTTGGACAAGACTTGCTCCCAGCCTCGCGAGTGACCGGTCCAATGTCACTGTGTCTGGTACTGCTGCGTTCTACAACCATGAGACTGAGGAGTACATCAGAGCCTCGAAACACAAGGTTTGCACCCAGTGGCGCATTACCAGCGACGCGAATCTCACTCGAGTGGTCGACCATGGAACGGCTTACACCACATCCGATATTGACTTCACCATCAAAGTAGGAGGTTTTCCAAGACTGAGCTGAGATCCACTCTGACGATGTACCAGGTTGAGGCGAAGAAGCTGCGGCCGTTTACCACCTACTACTATCAATTCACCCAATGCGGTACAACAAATCGCTCCCCTGTCGGTCGCACCAAGACATCTCCCTCCGCAGACCAGAAGATCGACAAGATCGGACTTGCCGTCTACTCGTGCTCAAACTACCCGAACGGATACTTCAATGCTTATGGCAATGCCGCCCGTAAAGATCGTGTCGATTATGTCATTCACTTGGGAGACTACATCTACGAGTCCAGCGTCGGTGTGCAAGGCCGCGATGCCCGTGCGACCAACCCAAGCCGCGCTCTCCTCACACTGTACGACTACAGGACTAGAATCGCCCAGTACAGAACCGACGCCGACTTGCAGCTCTCACACCAGAAGTTTGCTTGGATTGCGACATGGGATGACCACGAAGTTGCTAACAATGGTTATCGCGATGGCTTCAGCGCGATGAACAACACTGAAGACTCATTCCTTCGCTTTGGTGGTGTCAGTGTCGATCAGCGTAAGATGAATGCCGTTCGTGCCTATTTCGAGTGGATGCCCATCCGTCAGGTCAACATGGACGACAACCTTCGAATTTGGCGAAACTTCCAGATGGGTACTCTTCTTGATCTGACTATGCTCGACACACGCAATTATGATCGCTCCATCACTGATCTTAGTAAGTCCATCATGCCTAGAGAAGAAGATGAAAAAAAGAAAAGTAAAATTGAGCAATCTGACACTTCCCAGATTACAATACCGACTACATCTACAAGATCCACGATGACGCAGGACGCTCCCTGATGGGCTCCCAGCAAGAGAACTGGTTCTACAAGACTCTCATCTCCAGCAAGAAACGTGGTGCGGCCTGGCGCATCATCGGCAACCAAATCGTTTTTAGCCGAATCAATATCACATCCTGGTTTGGCACCTTTGAGAACCCCTACAACGAGGATCAGTGGGATGGCTATGCTAAAAACAGAGCAAGAACCTTCCAAACACTATACGATCACGACATCGGAAACAATATCATGCTTGCCGGAGACTCTCACGCAAATTGGGTTTCTGATCTGGTCTGGTTGGAAGAGCACCCGTACGACTCTGCCACTGGCGAAGGTGCAGTGGGCGTGGAGTTTGCTGGTACCGCAGTAACATCTTCTGGATTCGGCGGCACCATCCAATCCGCCAACAACCAATCTTCCTCCCTCGTCCGCGACAATAGCGAGTTACAGTGGAATGAGGGTTACTACAGAGGCTACTATGAGCTCCAGATTGGCTACGATGCTGTCCACGCTTCATACTATGGTATGCCGACGGTAGCTACCCGGAACCCTTTGGAGATCAGCTTGGCCAATTTCACTGTTGTCAATGGCGGCAACAAGCTTCAACGTCCTGTTGCTGGGGGAAAGGTGGAGAGTGGATTCATCAAGACTGGGCAGGTGCAGATGACCAACCTGACCTACAATACGCAGAACCAGTCGTGGGCTGTCAGGAATGACTTCAACCAGATGTTCATCTCGTACCCCCGCACAACGTAGCGACATGATTCAAGGAGATGGAACTACAGTAGCCTCCGGACAGAGGCGCAGGGATGGATTGGAAACCTTTGTCTTTGCGAGCACCAAGGAATCTACAGCGCGTACCTGTAATCAGGATGGTAGTCTCCGTCCTTCCCAGCATTGATCTCGCGTTCACGCTCTTCCTCACTCATGGCTTCTCTCTTCTTGTCCTGCGACCTCATGTAGGCCCACAAAGCGATGTGACCAAGAAGCGCGAGCAAGACCGCGCCTAGTGATACACTCAAGCCAGTGACATACTTACCATTCACCTTCTTAGCAAAGATTTGGCCAACAACAACACCAGCACTGTTTCCAAAGGCTTGATTCGTTCCAACAGCGGTCGCGCGTTTGTGGTAGCCGGCATGACTGTTCAACAACCATGCTGCGTTCAGTCCGACGATGATGTAAATGCCAGGTGCGATGAGGAAGATGGAGAAGTATAGAGCTCCTCGTTGAGCTTGTGGAACACCAAGTTGAACTGCATATCCAACTGCTGTCAAGAAAGCCCCTGGAACCATGAAGTAGGCGCGTTTGGAAAACCTGTCGGACATCCAGGACACAATCATATATGCAATCGATGCCCAGATGTATACCGGTACGGTCAAAAGTTGCGTTTCCACCGTGCCGTAGCCGAATCCGCGGATGATGGTAGGCATGAAAGTACTCAAGCCAAATGAACAAATATCGGCCATAAATTGGCACCAGCAAGAAATGTAGAGCTTCGGATCGCGGAACGCCTTTCTGACTTCTTTCCAGTCGAATTCGGGAGCACCGTTGTATCTGGCGTTCATAGCCATGCGTGTTCGCATCAGTTCTTTGTCTTCTTGGGTCAAGAATCTGGCTGTCTCAAAGTCGTTGGGGAGGAGGAAGTACACGATGAAGGCGATCAGGATACTGAGACAGCCTTCAACAATGAACAGCCATCGCCATCCTTCAAGGCCTTGGACACCGTCCATCTTGAGCAATGCGAAAGCGAAGAGACCACCAAATGCTCCAGACAGTGCTGCACTGACGAAGAGATACGATATTCTCAATGCTTGCTCCTGAGGCATATAGAAAGTACTGAGATAGAGGGCGAGACAAGGGAACATGGCTGACTCGAAGAGGCCGAGTAGAAGTCGTGAAGCGTAGAGTTGCTGAGCATTGTGCATGAATCCGGTGCCAATAAGTACTACCGACCAGCAAAAGACCAAAGCGGGTATCATTCGATTAGGGCGCAATTTCTTCATGAGAATTGTTGATGGAATCTCGCCAGCAACGTAAAATACGTAGAACAACGTGACAGCATCTGCAAACCAAGTCAGTACAGTTGTCAAGGTGAGAACATGGCTATTGTCAATCTACTCACTGCCGTATTGATTGCCGACCAAGCCCAAGTCGTCACCCATACCAGCAGCTTGCGCATTTCCAATGTTTGAACGATCAAGGTATGCACAGAGGAAGATTAGCGTGATGATGGGTGCGAGATAGAGGTCGAGCTTGAGTAACAGCTTCTTCTGCGCTTTCAGGTCGATGTAGGCCGACTCGCCAAGAGTCTCGTCGATGCTTCCATCAGCAACAGAGACGTCTTGTAATGTCTTCTTTTGGTCGTCGACATTCATGTTGGAAGATGGTGATATGTGATGATGATGAGCGAGAAAGGTTCGAACAGGAGGGAGTGATCTCCATTATATGCTTTGTTCCTACATGAATGTCGATGGGTGTTGTTCTTTTCGCGAGTCAATGCTATCAAAGTCTTGAACATAGGTTGAGATCTTGCCAACGGTCGGCATAGATACCAACTTGCTTCCAATTGGGCTGACTGGCCGAGGGCGGCGGTAGCGTCGGCGGAGGACAAGAAAGCGGCCATGCCAAGCGCCGTAGCGTTGTACTCCCGGGCAAGCTTCGCCGATGCAGTTATCAGTCACTTGCAAATCGTCCCCAGAGTTGCATCGCAGACGATAGTGCGCATGAGTATGTAGGCCGCTTGGCCGAAGGTGCTTGAAGCACTGAGATCTTAAATGACCAGCTGGTCTAGTGCTGAGGATGCTCGAAAAGCTTATCGAACACTTCAAACACTTCGCGCAACTCCGAAATGCTTTCAAGAACTCCCATGGTAGATACATCAGAGCCTGTCTGGCATCGTTTTGTAAGATTCATCGCAGAAGATGGTCTACAGTACTGCGGGCAACCAGAGAATGATGATCTCGACGGTAAGTGTGACGAATAGCGCTTCCTCATGATGCCATCTGATGACGATTTCTAGTCGGACTCGCCATGTTGAACAAAGTGCCTGTCATGGTGAATGTTCTTGATGTGGAGTCTTCGCTCGACGGTGACGCCAGTTTCACTGGAGAGAAAAGGCAGATTTTGGAGGTAGCGGAGCTTCTGAGCCATCTCTGGATACCAGTATTGACAAGTCCCATAGTTGCTGTCACCCATCAGTACAGAAGAAGCTGGCGCAATCCAGTGTATTGGTCTGAATTACACTGACCACGCTGTAAGTTCTTTCGCCGCTGTGAAGAAGGCAACACTGAATCAGCGACATTAGGCGGAGATGAAGGTCGCGACACCAGATTACCCTGAAGTCTTCCTCAAACCAGCGACCACGATTTCCACTGCAACAGCACCGATTGTCATTCCCAAAACGTGTCAAAACCAAGTCGACGGAGAAGTCGAGCTCGCCATCGTCATTGGAAAAGACTGCAAAGACCTCACACTCGACAACGCGATGGAGAGTGTACTCGGATATACTGTCGCGAATGATGTGACAGCTCGCAAGTTCCAAGCAAGAGGCAGCCAATGGGGATTCAGCAAGGGCTTTGATACCTTTTGTCCCCTTGGTCCAGTACTTGTCAGCAAACAGTCGTTACCTGATCCGAGTGCGCTGGAGCTGAAGACAACGCTCAACGGCAAATTGATGCAGAACGGACTGGCCAAGAATATGATTTTCAGTATCGAGCAGATCTTGGTATACCTGTCGAGTGTGCGTATCGAGGATGCAGCGACATGGCGAAATTAACAGCTGACATGGACGGGTGGTAGGGACACACGTTGAAGAAAGGTACAGTCATCTTGACCGGTACGCCGAGCGGCATTGGTGCGAGTTATGATCCTCCGATATATCTCCAGAGGGGTGCAGACTTGAAGGTTTCCATCAGTCACGGCTTGGGAACATTGGTGAATCCTGTCATGTAGGTGTTCAGCAGGACAGAACTCCATTGCCTTCCAGAATCCAGAGCTAGATTTGGTACGGTGCCTTTGGACGACTCCAATCGAAATCAGGCACACAGGTCGGTCGTCGCGCCACGAGAAGACTGTTAGCCTAAAAGAACGATAGCAATAACGATTAGTGACTTGATTAGATGTAACATCTTAATTCGAAAGCTGCTGCAGTGTGGCCTTTAAGCTGCTAAAGACAATCTCTTTTCTGCGATCGTTCTGAGACTGCATAGCCACATACTCCTCAACCCCCTTCAAGCTAAAACTGGCTTTCCCTTTACTCCTGATTCTCATGACGGTAGCAAGTTCCAAGACCGCCTGAAAAACTCTGCCTTCCAGAACAGCCAGTCCTCCAGTATTAGGTACAGAACGCCTCCAGTAAATTCTTGAATCTGCCCAAGTGGTCACGATACTTGAAGCAGGTAAGTTGATGTTGAAGATGAAGTTCTGAACGGCTTCTGGGGGAAATTTGGACCAGACTAAGCGCCAGGTTTTGAACATCGGCGTCAAGCTGAGTACCCTTATGGCATCTCGCCTGGTAGTGCGGAGATCGTAAGCATGACAGGAGAAGCTTTCGGCGTCATTGAGACATCGTTCAACCTCATCCGATGTAGTAAGAGGCAAGAGCAGCTGCAATTCGACGGTTGTGATGGGAAGCTGAACCTGCTCCGAGGAGATCTCGCCAGCAAGCCTGGCCAAATCAGAGGGACAAGTGACGACGAACTGAGGAATCATTGTCAAATATAAGTGGAACAGCACCGAGTGGCGAAAATAAAAGTACTAGTCCTTCGTCGGTAGAGGGAAATGTAGTCAAGGCGTACTGTGAAAAGTTGTACTCGGGCTCTATATAGCTACGAAGCGCTCATGAGTCATGCCGCCCCGCATATCTTGCTGCCTACGTCATAATCCAAAGCCAGATAACCGAGGCAGCAGCAATCGTGCCGTTGCTCATCCTACGGCAATAAGCTCTGGTCTGTTGATCTGAATGTATACATGACCTAGAGAAGCTAGGCATACATATGCTCACCTGTCAGGTGATCGGATGATCTAACCACAGGCCGTTTAGTCCTCAATTGAAGCTTGTTGTAGAATAGAATGGGCACGCAGGTATGAGTGCAGTAGACACTTGGAGAAACAACAAGTCAAATGCTGGCAAGCAGAGATATAATAGTGACAATTTCGTTGATACACGCCACTCACCACCCAAATGCTCCTGCTGCGACTGCTGCTTGGATGTACAGTCCAACTGCCAAGCTTTGCCACTCTCGAGATGCAACGGGACTCATGACCGTGTCTGAGTGAGGAGTGATTGGTTCTTACACTCAGGATGCCGGGCATTGAGCTGGGAGACCTTGTCGTCTTCGGAGTGACGCGTCTTGTTCTTGCTCATCGTGGATGATGAGCGTTCGGGCAGCAGCCCTCCGCAACTCGTCCGCTGTCAGTGGGGCAACGATGTTCATGTCGAGATACTGCTTGAGATCTTCTGGGATCGCGTCAAACTTGATATCCTGCTGATTGATGAAGATGTCCCAGAAACGCTCTCTGATCTCACTCGGAACACCATGCTTCTCTCCGACTCTGAAATAGCGTTCATCGATTTGCAAGACATCCGGCTCCACGTAGGAGGTACAGCGCAAATCGCCTAGTGCGGCAAGGTCGTCGAGACTGCGCTTGGAAGCTCCTGTGATGTCCCATACAGATGCGCCTCTGAGTTGGAGGCCGCTGACCGCGTCACAATTCACTGACCGAAGTTAAGAACTGCAATTTGGAATTGGTGTGAACATGGTACTGAGGCTCAACTTACGGCAGACATTTCCACTGTTGTCCTCCGATGCAGCGTTTGCATTGCAGGAACATTGGCAAGGCGTATAAGTGGTGCCAGGCGAGGTTGAGAATCCCACACAATAGTCTGGGATGCTGCCTCGAGCAGTCGTGTACAATCCGGAACACAAGGCTGTTCGATAGATCGGGGCCGATCCTCGCTCACAACATGCCTGGTACTCTTGATCAATTAGCAAAGCCTTCTTTTCCAGAATTTGCAGACTTACGCAAATCAGTACATATCGCTGTACTTGTGCCAGTGCAGTCCCGATTGGGATCCCTGCTGATGAGTCGAATATCAACAGCATGGACAAGAAACGCACAGCTGATGTACAGTAAGCTATTGAGAAGTAACATGATGGAGGAGAGAGCACTGCGCTAGCGAGTTGTAGTCCGATACCACCACCTGATAAGCCTTCTATTTATGTTCGTTTCTCCGACGGAGTGCTTCGCCTGTATTCTCTTAGGATACCCTAGCAGCCGTCGATCGAATCTTTGCCTCGGAACACAAATTAGACTTTAATAGCTCTTTGGTATGTACTTGTAGTAAAGAGCGATTAGCTTAAAGTCGAAGTGTTAGACTTGTGCATGATCATCCCTTATCCTAGAGACCTAAAGTTAGCTCGATGCTAGCATCCCATTCGCTAGGTAGCTAGTAAGTAAGAGCAGAGGACGACTGCCGCGAGCATCGTACGTTATAGGAAGCAATATGTAGATGCTCTATCCCCGTAGAAAGTATAGAAACTAGTCGTTACTCCTTTAGATCGCTAGCAAGCATAGAAGACAATAATAATAGATCTATAAGGTAATAGGACATTACGCTCGGAAGCCTTAGAATTGTTGTGCAGGTATAGCATAGTGCCGGCCCTTAGTTAAGTTAAACCTAGTATGTACTATCTTAGACAATAAGGCTAATCTTTTAGGACTACTTCGAGCTTTAAGCTTTAGAAGCAGGTTTTAGAATCGAACCTCCGCGGTGTAGCTCTATATTATAAGTAAGCTAGGTATTCCTTTAAGAACTTTACTAAGCGATGATCGCTTAACACGTTAAGTCGGTTAATAGAAAAGACGATCTCTGCCTTTATTAGAACGAGATGGCTATAGATTGTGTTATTATAGGGGTTATAAAGGAACAAGCTAAATTATCTATACTAAATTACATCGCGTCTAATGCGATATCTAGTAAGCGATCTCCGCAGCTAATAGATATTAATGAATTAAAGCAATATCTTACTAGTATATAACTCCGCTTTTTACGTCCGTAAGATTAAGTAATAGTAGTGTAACACGCTACTAACAAGTCCTATCGTTATATATAACTATTACTATATATCTTAGAGCTACAACCTTTTATGTACGAGTAGCTAATGGTTTTAGAGTTTAATTAGACTATGCCGAGGAAGTTAGGAAGGTTAGTAGCCTATTCGCTAGACTCTCGACTTCTATCCTTAGACTTATCTAGTAGCGAGAACACTATCGAACGATGTATAACGATACTATAAAGTTCTAGTAGTCTCGTCGTTAGTGTTACTAACGACACGCTATTTACTAGAGTATTTTAGCTCTATAGAGACACTAGCTCGCTTCGCTCGGAAGGGCTCCGAGAGGACCGCTTTAAGCTGCCCTCTAAGTCGAAGGTAGTATATAAGGTTAGCTAGCTAAGCGAGCTATTACTTAAAGAGGAAGGTAGCGCTAATAATTAAGTTAGACGGTGTCGACGAGAGCTACTAAGTATCTGTCCTCGCTATCGACTAGAAGGGGTAAGGCGTACTATTATAGCGTACTTAGCATGTAGATCTAGAGTTAATGTTAACGTTAGCGGTAGTTAGGTTGTTCGTAGGTTGTTATACCTTTCTTATACCTTAGAACGCTTAAAACGCTACTAAAATGGCCTATCCTAGGTATAGAAGTCCCTATAGTTTCCCGACTAATCCTAGTACTAGATAGCCGCCTTAACCCTTAGTAGTAGAGGTGCCTTTAAGCTAGCTATATGTACCCTAATTGTCTTATAGCCCTATATATAGTCGCGTCGTTAATAATTAGTTTAACTACTCGGCGCATGCGACGGTCGACGACTACTTAGCTTACCTATATAGGCGCGGTTTCGCACCGTCTTAGTCGATGCTATAGAGCTAGTACCTACCGTCGATAACACTAACACTAATACTAGTAACACCGATACTAGTAAGTTAACCGTAACCGACTACGCTAGTCTATTAGATGCCTCCTCTATCGACACTAATCCGACTAAAACCTACGTAGGTCGAGCTACCTACCCTAATAAGTCTAGAAATTGTAGAAGTTAAGTAGAGCTACTTAGATAACGAGGACTACGGCGTAAGTAAGATAGTCTTTAGCCTTAGTCCTTAGGGAGGAAGAATAAAGAAGGAAGTTCGATATCGCTAGACTAAGGATAATTAGAGTAAGTTCCTAGAGTTTGTAAAGGGCTATAAGAAGAGCTTATAAGACATAACAACATAGGCGTAGTTTATAATGCTAGAGACTAACTTTAGCCGTATATATAACTTAAAGGTGTAGAAGACTAAACGCGCGTACCTAGGAGCAAAAAATGGACATAAGTCTAACGGTTCGTAGAAGACCCTTAAGGGCTAGATACTAATATATAAGGAAAGGAAGAAGGATCGTAAGGTTAGCACTAGCCGCGACCTTTTATAACTTAAGCGCTTATATAAGTAGTTAATTGCTAAGTTAGCAAAGAAGGAGGAAACTAATAAGGTAAAATAGCGTAAGGACGACCGTATTATCGCCGAGCGCCTTTAAAGGAATAGCTATAAGGAGAACTTGCTTAAGCGGTTAGCAAACGATAACAAGGATAGCTCTAATAATGAAGAAGTACCTAGAAGGAAGCGTAGAAGGCATAAAAAGTCGTCTTAGAGCTCTTAAAGTTAGTCGAATAGAGCTAACGTAGTAACTAAACTTAGTCGCCTTTTACTCGCTTAAGACGAGCGCTAGTATCGAGAGAAGATAGAGAGTAGAAGGAGGCCTACTTTAGAGGTAGAAACAGTAATTAAAACACTAGCAGAGCGTATAGACAGGCGTAAGGAAGAATAGAAGGCGACGAACGAGAAGATTAATCAAATTTTAGGGCTTTTAATAAGCTAGAGAGGAAGCTAGAGTTAAGCGTAGTAAACTAGTCTCTAAACTTAGCGTTTTTTAGTGTATATTTGCTATATTAAGAGTCGTCGTCGACTACTCTATCTCCTTCCTTACTCTCTGTCGAACTACTACTACTTTTGACCTCCTTATTATTAGGCATACCCCTAAATAGATACTTATTAAGTGTAGGAGGTACATAGTTAAATCGAGAGGCAATTAGATCTAGTTTCCCCTTCTCCTATCTTATATAACTAAGGTAGTTCATTAGTAATACCGACACTAAGAAGTATACGCTAATAGGCTAGAGACCTTACTTTAGCGCGTGCTCGAAGTAAGAGTAAGTAAACTATCCCTTATGCTTACTAAAACCCTGCTTAATAGTAATGCGCGCGCTCGAAAGATAATAATTTACTAACCTCTCGTCATCTCGTAGATACTAGTAGCCTACGCGGTCGTAGAAGGGAGCGATTACGCTATAGTACTCTTAAAACGTATTGTCACTATAGGTAAACAACATCGGCTAGTCTACGTAGACCTCTCGGACCTTCTTAGCTACACCTAACTACTTATATAATAAGAAGTTATTATCTAGTCTAAGGAAGGGTCTAGAAGTTGCTAATATTAACCTATTAGGTATAACGACCGAGAGGAACTTTAGGCCATTACTAGCATAGTATCCGTTATATGTTAACCTCTAAAAATGAGCATCTAATAGTCTTATAGTGCTTAAGAAGGTGCTATTAATAAACCCCTATATCCGAGTATATCCCTTGCTCTTACTTACGCGAGAGTATCGCTTAAGAGTCTTATAGCTATCTAGCTAAGGTCGCTAGTAGATAAGCTCCTTCTATTTATTGTATAGTCGTTCAACATAGTTATTAAAGACCTCTAAATACTACGCTGCGCTTCGCCTAATGTCCTTCGCGATATTATACTACCTTGCTAGGTAGGCTAGTCGCTTATATACGAGGTAGAGCGCCTTCTTAGCTAATGCGAAGTATCGTCGCTAACGGGTCCTAATAACGTTCTAACTAAAAAGTAGAGGCGCGAGCTGTCGTATCTTATCTCTTCGAAACTACGCGATGCGACGATAGTTCTTAGTAGGTTCGTCCTTAAGGTCCTACTCCTTCTAATAGACTAAATAGTTAAAAGATTTACGAGGTTTACGATAAACTAGGCGAGGCCGTAGACGGTAACCCTACTCTTTAAGACTGTCGAGTAGGAGGAGTAGCAATACCTTCTTCGAGGTCTTTATAGTCTATATAGTAATATCTACATTAGACTTCGATATTGCGGCCCTTAGCCTCTCGCTTAAGAACGACTTAGTAGCTCTACCTCCCCCTCTAGATCGACATAAGTAGCGGCGCCACTCGTACGAGCTATACCCTTCTAAGCGAGTGTCTAAGCGACTGTCTCTACGGAGCTAAAACACTCTACTATATCGTAACTCGATGGCATCCTTAGAAAAATATTGCTTCGTCTCGTCGGAGGTCTACTTCTTGGTCTGCAAAGATAAAAAGAGCACTTAAACCTTAGCCAGTTGCACCCGAATCCCCCACTACCAGATTTGAGCATTTTGCAAAACGTAACAGCTACATCGCTAGTAACGACAAATCCATAATCACAACTATGTACCCGCTTCAGTTTGTTTCGGGGTCGATCACTCTTCTACTTCTATTAACCAAAGTCTCTGCGTTCACTCTAGAAGGCTGGCTGGGCCAGCGATGCAGTGGAGAGGAAGTGTTCAGCCGGACTCTCGGGCTCCAAGACGGATGTGTCACCACGGGCATGGGACAGGCTGAAAGCGTCACTATACAGACCCAGGATACGGATCAACCAAACGATCGTAAGTTTCTCGAAGATGCCAGCAATTGAGATATCTTGTATACTAAACAGGGCTAGTTGTTGCGTTCTACAGAACAGATGACTGTAGCGTGACCGAGCTAATCACGACCTCTTCTGGTGGTGGATGCGCAAACATTGACGATACGGGAGATCTTGTTTATATGAGCTTCAGAGTCGTAAGGGCATGAACCTACGGTCCTAATCTTGGTCGCCCTAGAGCGAGCGAATGAGCGAATGAGCGAATGCGTCGATTGTGGGTACACAGGGCCCGGGAATGAGTACATGGCGGAGAAGTTTGAAGGCGCCTACGATCGACGTCGTATTGCCTTTGAAATGTTGCGGATTAGACGGATATTTCAGGTACCTTCATACCATCATGCACGTGGAAGATTTTCTTGAGTTCCACTTTGGAGATCATCTACTGGCATCAGCATCAGCATCGTAATCGTCTTATCGCGGACACCGCGGTCGATTGAGACAAATCTTTTTTACTCTCTCGCGTCCTCTTCCAATCATGTATCATTTCGAAGATTGTTCTGATACCTGTGACCCAGCCGGTTTAGCGATCTCCACGCAGTTTCTCTCGGCAAAATCACAACCCTCTACAATTCTTCTGATTTGAATCAATTGATGACTCAAGTTGCTGTTCGTTGTTGGACCTGTCCATCCTTCCAGTTCAACCAAGATGGCTTGCGGCATATCTGGACAAGGATTTGACCGGCAGAAAAAGCCGTTGACTGCTCCTGAGCCGTTGTCGGAAATGTTGCCAGCGCCAGGAATGTGCAGGACAGGCCGATTCGCATCACGATGTTGGCGGTCATAATACTTTTTTACAGCGTTATTCGCAATACAGATACGAGTCCCCTCGTTGGACAAACCAATTTCAGCTTTGAGAGGGACAAAATTTCAGCAAATGGCAAGTCAATCATAGCCAGCCTGCGAAACATTCGCATCTCTAACCTCACTTGCAATAATGAGCATAAGTTCCCCGCTCTGATGAAGATGGCTGAGTCGAGTTCCCGAGGTATGTACGGTGTGGGCAACCGACGTGTATCCTGGAAGACAGGTCTAGACTTGTGTCTCCATCAATGGCAGCCACAAGATGACGGCCCGAAGTATAGGTTGCCATAATATGATAGTCCGTCTCTCATCTTGAATCTTCGGCCAGGTCATGGTGAACTTTCTAGATCCACGCTTAGAAGCATATATGGTACAGCCACAGGCTGAGATCCGCGCGAGAGGCCATTGACGTGGACGGCCGGAGTACCACGAGTTGATGATTAGTAAGATGTGTTGATCTACTGCGACATACAATGCCGCCTGAAGTCTACCGGCCAAACGCGGGAGTGTGAAATGCCTCGCCGTATACAGTTCGAACAAGGCTGCTGCTTGTTACACCTTTTGTTTCTGTCTATGGCACTCGAGACAAGCTCTTCGGGAGAGGACGTTCTGGGGCACAGCTTCCGGTGTCCGGAATGGCGCATCCTCCCTCTGCCTGTAGCTTGACGACTGCATTGCTTGATAAGTTGAAACCAGATCGGTGAGACTCGGTAGAAGCAATCTCGGTGGTTTATCATGCGGCGGCGGACAATGACTTCGGGCAACGAGAAGTCCTATCAGTGATAGCGGCCGAAGTCCGATCGCCCTATCTTGAACCTGACTCGACAGAAGGCCAAGCGCGGGGTCATGCAAAACGCGATCACCTCTTGACTCACGCTTCTGATGCTGCTAAATACGCTCGCAGTCGTGGGATGGGAGGCCTTCACACCCTCTGTCAGTCAAGGGCGGTGCGCTGTTGTCGAAGAGTCGCTTGCTGCACCAGAGAGCAGACGCGCTGTCTGCCGCCATACGTCGTCATCACCCTGCTTCGTAGCATGCTGCTGTATATGCGGATTTCAAGGTCGTTCTTGAGTCTACTCATCCATCGTCCGTCCTGAATCCTACCTGCGATGTTTTCTGTCCCGATTCTGGGGTGGTGAGACCAAATCTCCGCGACGCGTCCAGAACACGACTTTTCAATTGCCACATCGCTATTCGTTTCGCATCGCTCTGGCAGCGCAATGCGTTCAACATTAGAAGAGCAGAGAAGGAGTAGCGCGCAAGCACTTTAAGCAATATATGAAATGGGACTTTGCGTGTTCATGAGGTCGAAGAGCGGAAAGATTCTTTCGCAACGAGGCCGACCGAGATTTGGACAGCCCCACCGGACAATTGTGGTCGGCCCCACCGGGAAGGACCGCTCCGCCTACGGGCCTACGCCCGTAACACAAAACACGGACCCCTCGATGCCTGCCCGTTTTGACTTTTTGACACCGCTTCATCCTTCCTCGCTACATCGAACCTTAACAGAGTGCTCAGTCAATCCACATCACGATATGGATGGTGGGACTCTGAGATCAGGGCAAGAAGTGGTGCGGCTCTTCTTGCCTGACGAGGCCAGGCCAGCTGCCGAGACGGCTGAGCAAACAATTGTCTGGACAACGAGCAGGGGAAGATAAATAGATCCACGGAGGTCCATCGCATCATTTTCTTCTCTATTCTCAGCAAAAACATGTCGAAAACCACTCGTGTTGGCCAGATCTTGGCTGGTCTTGCCTCGCTTTCCGCGACTGCTTTGTGCGCAAACTCCACACTCTTCCAAGGTGGCACCATCATCACATTTGATGAAGCTTCTCAGCTGCCCAAGGCATTTCGTGACTCCTCGTTACTCGTGACTGGAGATACAATCACCAAGATCTTCGACAGCTCCGACAATGTCACCCTTCCTGCCGACACCGAGATCATCAATGTCCAAGGCAAAATCATCTCACCTGGCTTTATCGATACACATCGTCACAGTTGGCAGACGTAAGTAGTCGCAGGTTTTGATCGACATCATTCCACTAACATAATTCATAGCGCCTACAAGACTTTGGGGTCAAACACCAGTCTGGCAGAATACTTTGGTCGCTACGGCGAGTTCACTCAAGCTGGGACTGTTTTCGGACCAGACGACATTTACTACGGTACTCTTGCTGGACTCTACGAACCTTTGAATGCAGGTGTCACAACCATTCTTGAGCATGCTCATGGTACTTTCTCCAATGCAACATCGCGCGCATACCTCGATGCTGTGATGGATAGTGGTGTGAGGATGGCCTTCTGCTATGCTTTCCATGAATTGAGCAACGGCTTCTCATTCGAGGAGCAGCTTGCCAATTTCGCTGATCTTATGAAGAATGAGAGACTCAACTCGCAGGATCTGGTTCAAATTGGTATCGCATACGATGCTTTCATCCAAGACAACAACAATACCCAAGCTATTGTCGACCTGGTAAACAACAACAATGTCTCAGCACTCACCATGCACTTCCTCGGTGGTCCCTGGGGAAACACAAACTCTCCTAGCAAGCTGGATCAACTGGGTCTCATGAACTCCACTACCCCGATCGTTTTCTCGCACGCAAGTTATGTCACCACCGATGATGCTGAACTTCTTCGCAAGTACGACCAGTACATCAGCACAACGCCCGAATCAGAAATGCATTACGGCCATGGTCATCACTACAACCCTTTGATTCAAGACCAAAGTGCACTTGGTGTTGATACACACTTCACCTTTTCCACGGACATCATCACTCAGGCCCGCATCTGGCTGCAAAGCACCCGCCTTCGCTTCTTCTACCAGGCTCTTGACAATTGGAACATCCCTCGCAATAACCCTATGTCTGCCAACCAAGCTTTCACTCTCGCGACTCGCTCTGGTGCTCTGGCTCTTCGTCGTCCTGACCTAGGTGTCCTTGCAACCGGAAACAAAGCTGATGTAATCGTCTTCGATGGCGATTCACCCAACATGCTCGGCTGGTCCGACCCTGTTGCAGCCGTCATCTTACATTCAAATGTTGGTGATATTCGTCATGTCATGGTCGGTGGAGAATGGCGCAAGAGGGATGGTCAGCTTATCACCAAGCAGAATAGGACTGACGTCCAGACCAAGTTCCTTGAGTCGGCCAAGCGTATCCAGAAAATCTGGCTCGAGACTCCCCTGCCTGAGATGCAAGGCGAATTTGGCGGTCTGTCGCACGTTGAGTATGTTGACGCTTTCACTGTGGATGCTGTTCGAGGAAACGGTACAGGATATTGATTTAATGACTTGTCGAATTTCCAACTGCCGAGCTTGATACCAGAATTTGTCGACTTGCTGGAAAGGCCCGATGGTTTTGGCACTTTCTACAACAATTTTACGGCAGCGGTATGAAACTGCAGATTGGCTAGTTTAGCTCCCTCATTGAAGCATGTGCATGCATATTGCTCTCCTGCGGATGAAGAAGAAAATCACAATGAATATTGCCCTGTCGATATACGTCCGTCTTGAGATACATGGGTAGAGTGCGAATAGCAACGGTTTCACCCCGGGCAGGTAGCCCACAGCGACGTCAGATGTGATCGCAATCTGACCAATCAGCGCCCAGTCGCGGGCAAAAGCCGAGCAATTGTCAACCGTCAGAGCGTATCTCAGGTCACTTCTTCATTATTCTTTTCCTGTCATAATTTACAAACTCGTCGTTCTTCCATCTCCTTTGCGATAGCGTCATGAACGACGACTCATCGAATTCGAATCTCTCACGATATCTGGAATCACCGCAACGCTGGCTAGCCATAAGGAGTCGAGACCCGGCCGCCAACTCTGCTTTTTACTACGGCGTCACTTCAACATCGATCTTTTGTCGCCCGACATGTCCAGCTCGCGTCGCAAGACGGAACAACGTAATTTTCTTTGACGACCTTCCCTCGGCCCGGAAAGCAGGATACCGACCTTGCAAACGATGCGACCCTCAGAACGTATCATGGCATCGGAATATGCGAAGCAAAGCAGATTTTGACACCGCCAAAAGTCTGATCGAGGGGTCTGAGAAACAGGGAGAAATCTGGACCGTCGCTGGTGTTGCTGAGGAAGTTGGTGTCAGCATTGGACATCTCCACCGGCTTTTCAAAAAGTATGCAAACACGACACCGAAGGACTTTGTTCGCGCCAGCAAGATGCCATGTGTTAGACGAAAATCATCATCCGTATCTGACCGGATACCCGCGGTACCCATAATTGATGACAGCTCTGTTGAGCCTGGTCATCTGGCTCGAGTGCCTTCGCAACATCAAAACTACTCTTCACAAGACCACGAAGCATTCAGCCAGGCTCTACTCGCTGAAGATTTCTGGCTTGGTGCACAGGGATTCCACTCGTCGAATTTGAGCCTACCTATTACCAACGATCAAGTGAGAGTTTCAAGCAACACCGCTTCCGATGACTTTACCTGCCATGACCTTCTCGATAGCTCGACTGGTCTTGCACAGTTGGAAGACGCCCTCTCTTTGCTCGATTGGAATGCGCTCTATATGCCCACAGATGGTCTTTCGCCACCCGAAGGTATGAATTACATGGACTCTTTCCCAAGCATTCTGGGTGAGGAAGGCACTGAATTTTGACGCTGGCTCGGTTCCCAATCCAAAAACGAACACACCAGCACTCGACGCTTCCCCATTTGACCTCGTACCCAGATCCTCCTGTCTCGAACATCCCATCACGCTCAATCCTCGATGTTCCTGACCGCGCCGCGTTCATGCTCTGTTGCATGCACAATACCAAGTGACCTGAAGTCACTTTTTGTAGCACAGAGTTCCAGGATTGCCCGAGCTTGGGTTTGGAGCCTAAGAATTTTCTTGGAACACAATAACTCTCTCCATGATAGTTTGCTTTCCTGACCTCATACAGCGTTGTGGTGTTGGTGATAAGAGTGAAGAAGAGCTAATTCGGGAGCAATCTTGTACTGTGACTTGAGATTGTTTCAGTAAGACTGTACAGTAAGAGTCTATCAAATCTTTTCGTACCATATTACCCATACCACCTCTGCCGTATGGCACAAGTCGAATTTTACTGTCATCTTGGGAACGGTTTGGAATCTTGAAGGGCAGAAAGAGATGGCTCAAGACGCGTGAGACGAGTTTGGACATGACTTGAGAAATTGTATCAGTCTCGTGCTTGTCTGAACCTTGAAGACGGAAGCTGTTAATGATGGATAGAATTGAAAAATCGTGATTGGAGAGCCCAACTATATAACAAATCAGGACTCTAACATAATCGTAGAATGGCCACATGTAAGATTGTACCTCAGGGGCGAAAACGACTTCAAGCTCTTGGAGACCTTCGATTGAATCTTTTGATATCACTGTGATCACGAACTCTGAGCCGCTGTGTAGCCAAGCCCTCGAATGAGTAAGAGTGAACTGGCAGCCATGTTGTCGTCAAACTTTTGCCCTGTCCATTTGTCTGAGCTTTCCAATTTAGCAATTTAGCGCGATCATGATTGTCTTTCAAAGCAGATAGATTGTCTCTTGAGAGCATACACGATCTAGAATCTTTGCTCAACCGATGAACCAGTGGCGTGATTGGTCAATTCAAGATCAGTATCCCCACCGAGTGACGCCAAACTCTCGAATGGGACCATGACGAACTCCACAACATCGCAACAAACTTAAGGAGAACTCAGACCTCTATAAAGCGACCTCCTCCTCCAGATCCATGGGAAGATAACAATATCAAAACCCCTGATCAGCCGTGTCACATTCAAGTCTCCGATCATCGTCTGTCTGGATATCGAGATTATACATAGGATGGACAACCACGCAATCGCAACAGCGTTTGGGATCCTCGGGGCCGTGTTGTGGTCTCTCCAAGTAGGCCAATACTCTTACAATCGTGATCTTACAAGCACTGACACGAGAATTCGCAGTTGTTCCCCCAAATCTGGAAAAACTGGCGTCGTCACTCGAGTGAATCTCTGTCCCCGTTGTTCTTTCTGGCCTGGGCTATTGCTGGTATACCCTTGGGTGTCTACAACATTGTCGACGACTTGAACATCGCCCTTCAGATCCAACCCAACATCCTTCTTCTGCTCAGCTTGATCACCTGGTCGCAATGTAAACACTACGGTGATGGATGGAGTTGGACCAAAACATCAATTGTCAGTTTGCTCCTTGCCGTGATTTTCGGTGGTATCGAGACGGGCTTAGTCTTCGCACTTCGTCTTGGCCGTGACAGAGGTCATAAGTGGCCGTCTACACTTATGGCGATCGTCGCTGCTGTTCTTTTGGCAGGTGGTGTGTTGAGACATTATGTGGATATGATCAAGACGAGATCAGACGCTGGTATGTCTCTGAAGTTTGCACTGCTGGATGCTAGTGGAGATCTTGCGTCTTTGATTTCTGTCGTCTTCCAACCGCATCTCAAGATACTAGGTCTGGTCATCTACGGTTCTGAGTTGGCTATCTGGATTGGATTGATTTGTCTTGTTTGCTGTTTTCGAATCTCGCATCGCACGAAGTCGAAGGACCCCGGTCCGATCTTAGAGGACGTTTGAGAATGTGCATTAGAAAGGGAGGTTACGCGGACACAAGATCATAATGGCTCAGTATTGTATGATAATCGCATATCCACATATTCACACATCCACATATCCGCTCCTGTTCGTGCGCTGCTACAAAAGGTTACCGCCAGAGTTCCCGACGAATTCGATGCTGGAACTACAAAGTCGTGACATTGAGCACCTCCTAGACTTAGTAAAGCCAAGAAGATGTCTGGTTTGGCCCGCTCAAGTAGACGTTGATCTGCATAGCCTGGAGTTTTCCATCGTAGAATTGAAGTACCTCAAGAGTATCTCCTGTAGCTGGCATTGGTGCTGGAAGAGGAAACTCACCCTGGACCAGCTTTACCCAATCGTCCTGTGCGACTTGAGCGACAGACAAGGCATCGGGTATGAAGGCAGAGATGTTACCATAAGGTTCAACCATGCCAGGGATCATACCACTTTGCACCACAAAGCCTAGCTCCTCGTCGATGACTAGAGCTACACGAGCATTGTTGTCGTAAGGGTGAGCATCGGGCCAGATACAAGAGAGTGGAGTGGTTGAGCCGTTACCATTAGTGCCCGGATCGACGATGTTCCAGCCCATCTCTGTGAAAACGCAACTGTCACCAACTGATATGTTGTAGGTAGTCTTCTCGGAGAAGACGGTGTTGCTAACTTGCCACAACTGTGCTCTACTGGCCTTGGTACGGTTCGTGGGAGGGCTCATGAGGGGCGCATAATTGGCTGGCAACTCCTCGGATGAGAAGGAAAACCCATGATCTCCCCGGAAGCGATTGATGAATAACTCGATCTCGGTGATATGTTGGCTGACAACTGCGATACGACCACGCAGGATAGTTTGGACGGCATCATTACCTTCGCTCACGTCCAGTGCGAAGTATGCGGTCTGGTTTGTGGTGTCGATGGCGAGTAAACTAGGGGTTCCTGTCTTGGTGATGGTGTGCCAGGCAGTCATCATGCCGAGGGCGGCTGGGTGGGAGTTTTCCGTTGCTCTGTAGGTAGTGGCCAGAGGTAGGCTGTATGGGTCATGCGACTCCATAGAGAGCAAAAGCTGGGACACAATTCCAGTCATGCACTGACGATCGCAGGTGTCGGTCGAGCGAGTAGTAGGCAGAGCCGCTGCTGCTACGGCGAGCAATGGCATCACCAATAAGCTGAATAGCATGTTGAGTCTTATTGTACTTGAAGAGGCGGATTGAAGTCAAGAAAGAGAACTGGAAGTCCAGGAAAGATTGCGATGACAGCCTCAAGACTGGCGTACTAGTAAGCCCTTATATATGTTGTTCCTCTCTGATGTTCTGCCAGCTGTCGAACTCGATTTTGAGTAGCACGACAAGTCCGCCCCGAGTGTGGAGGCATGACCATTTCCTGATAGTGAAGCAACCCATACGATGCCTCCGGATGTGGAGGAAAGTTCAATGTGCCCACTCAATCATCGCATGGCACAAAGTCGCAGCCCGAAGTCAAACACCAGCCCACCTTCCGACCACGCTGACGTACGCTCAATGCCTGGGACTATACGACGCTGTCGAGATACATGCCCTACGTAACTTGCCGATGGTTGGGGTACTGTCTTCCCCCGCAAAGTCTCTCCCATGTTCCCCGCAGACACTTCTTCGGCCTAGGCAACAGAATTCTGGCAAAAGAACCCATGCCCTGTCGAGCTAGGATGAACTATTTGGTGAAGTCTCATGTGGACTCAAGCGCGTATGGCTATCTCAAGACTCGCTTGCAAAGGACAATTGTTGAGTCCTGATTGATTCAAGTTCTTATACAGGAACTAGGCATTTTCGTGACGAAGGATGGGCTTGTGAGGTCTGCTTATATGGAACCACGATTGGGGAAACAAATAGTCATATGGACGAAGAGCACTAAATTTATCTGATACCTGTCATCTCATCCGCATCTCGCATATTCTACTTGGGTGGGATGATGGGCAGAGTGATGAAGTTAGGGCGCTCAGAGCTGAAGTGGATGAAATTTCGGCCCATCAACTTTTCGGGTGATCTGTTGTACGGTCAGTGAAGCCCTCGCGATAGTCGGAACCCAAGAGACACGACGACTTGCCTATCTACGGGAGAGTTGTGCTGAAAGTTCTCACAGCCTTTCTGGGGTTAGCTTTGCAAACACAAGCCACTGGAGCTCAGAGATTTACCTTGAGTGTCGCCGGATGCAACGTCGAGAACAAGCCTCTCTCCCTTCTCCAAGATGACATTCGTAGGCCATACTTCGATATCAACAGGATAGATTTCGCCAGGGATGACCGGTAGAACGTCTGATGAGAAGTAGTCTCTGTAAGGCAGATAGGATCTGTGCCTAGCATGCTCACTGTTGATTTTACGGAAGGAAACTCTGAGCCAGCCCTTACACAGAGGTACATTGTCGCCTCCGGTGCCGGTGTAGAAAATTTCTTTGCCCTCGGCGGAGAAGTGCCTGAGAGTGAGGAAAAGGTCGATGTCAGTCGGTACTGTTTCGCCCTCTGGAGAGACCGATACGTTGAGATGTGCGGTAATATGTCCCGTGATCTCGGTTTCTTGCTCGAATGCTGCGGTCGAGAATTGGAGCATTTGAGGTTGATCCATGAATCCCAATGCCTTGTATCCGAGCTTAGACCTTATAACATCATCTGGTTGCAAAGTCGTGAGAGTCAGATCAGGCGTGAGATAGTATGGAGTATATTGAGTACGTGCGAGTGGCCACTCGCTCTCGACTCGGCGTGGAAATGTTTTCTCGCCTTCAGGATTGTTGAAGCCCACGTCACCCTTTCGGAGAACCAGATCCACCTTCGGGGCCGTACCATTGGACCATCCACCACGGTCTTCGCCCTTCAAGAACGCATCGAGGAAGCTGCGTTGAACCTCAACTTCCTCCTTGTAGTAGAAAGGCAAGTCGTGGCGGCCGGTAATGAAGCGCAGGTACTTCAGCTCCGAGCCTGCACCAGCCCAACCCTCGACGTTACCGCGTAGATGAAGGTGGATGCCGCCCCAATTAGCGACACTAAGAAGTGGTACATGGATGTCGGCCATGTTATACTCTTTCGAAGCATAATAGGGATCGTCGCGGAAGTGGTTGTTGGCATTGTCCTCATTCTGATCCTGACGATTTCCACGCAGTTCGTCCTCGCTCAAATTGCCTTCAATGGTATCAGGGCCCCATTTTCTAGCAGCCCTTCCACCTTTGCCGTATTGATTGCTTACAACTTGCCGATCCCACCAGAAGCGAATGAATTTGCTCGAGAGGATACCGCCGTGTCTGCAGCGATCACGATAATAGTCCGACATGCCTTCCCAAGGAATGATGCAGGCAAGACCTTTTGGTTGACGAGCAGCAACTCTCCACTGGCTGCCTCCGAAATAGCTGATGCCCAGGAGGCCAACCCTACCCGTGGACCAAGACTGCTCGGCAGCCCACTCAACGACATCGACGAATGCGTCGCTTGTGCCGCGAGACATTGTATCAAGCTTTCCAGGGGACTGTCCAAGACCGCGTTCATCTGCTCTTACGACAACATAGCCTTTGGAAGTCCAATATCCAGGGTCCGGCACTTCCCATGCTGAGTGGGCAGACTTATGCTCTGGATTAACCTCCGAGAAGGATCGTGGGTGGAAACTGAAGGCGCGAAATCAACCACATGTTCGCTGTACTTGAACACGCGACTTACTCTTGATATGGGATGTCTTTGCCATAGGGGCCATACGTCATCAAGACAGGCCATCTTTCGGCACCGTCTTTTGGCCTATACACATTGCAGCGTACAAGACCAGATGCATCTTTCAGTTGGATGGTTGCATTTTGCTCAAACACATAGGGGAATGAGGTCTCATCAATGGTTGTGATGTCCTGGCGAATTTCGTTCGGCATTCTGCAGATCGGAGTCGGAAGAGCGTTCAGGTGATGCTTAGAAGCGACAAGCGTGTAGCAAAGCAGAATATCTAACCGCGGAGCCAAGACGACCTTGTTCGTCCGGTGTAATTGAGGTCTAAGTTCTATGTCCCGGGACCTCATACAATCTTCCAATTAATTGTCCAGATGCGGGCGCGATGCGCAGCCGAAGTGGTCGCATCTTGACCTCGGGCGGAACATGTGGGGAACAGATTGGCTCGAGACCGCCCATCACAACAACACGGTACCAGGGGAGATGAGCTGGAACAACGAACAAGCACTTCGAGGTTTTTGTGAAAGCGGGATGGTGTGCCAGGCCACGAAAAAGTAGAATCTATATACAGAGTTTGCCTTACCTCTTCTCTTGGTTATTTGAATATCTTCCGTCAGCCTTCGAGAACGTCACCCCACTCAAAGACAGCACAACACACTCCCCAGATTTCCCGACATGCCTGTAGCTCTCGACTACTCTAATGGTTCAAGAGTCGAAACACCCTCCGGGGCTTCTTGTGGTCCTCTGAAGATCGTCATCATCGGCGGTGGTATCGGAGGTCTCACTGCGGCCTTAGCATTACGTCAGAACGGGCATGATGTTGTGGTTCTTGAGCAGTGGGATGGGAGTAACGAGACAGGTGCTGCAATCCATCTCGCGCCCAATTCCAACGGTGTCCTGCGGCGATTGGGGCTCTACGCAGAGACTATAGGAGCAAATCCCATGCTGCGCCACACTGAATACGCCACCGACGGTTCTCAAATTCGATCTCTCGACCTCACCGAGTCAAACAAACAATGGCAGCATCAATGGCTGCTCGCTCACCGCATTCATCTCCATGCTGAACTGCAAAGACTTGTGAAGAGCCGTGATGGACCTGGCAGACCAGTCGATCTTCGTTACTCATGCACTGTGAAGGACTTGAATTGCGATACTGCTACCGCCATCCTGAATAATGGCGAGAGTGTTGGAGGAGACGTCATCATCGGTGCCGATGGTGTCTTCTCTGCAGCTCGCACCAAGGTCAAGGGAGGCCATCTCCGACCTTTCTCATCCGGCAAAAGTGCTTTCCGTTTCCTCGTCAAAAAGCAGGATGCTTTGGACGACCCACTTACACGCAAATTTGCCGAGAGAGACGGCGAGCTTGTCATGTTTCTTGGACCAGACAGTAAAATTGTGGCATACCCTTGCAAGAACAATGAACTGCTGAACTTTGTCTGCATACATCCTTCGGAAAAGACGTCTGCACCTGCCGACGACTGGAACACAGGTGGAAGCAAGAAGGCGCTGCTTGATGTTTACGCCGATTTTGACGAATCAGCTCGAGCTTTGCTGAGCAAGTCGGACCCTGCTTCACTCAAGGTCTGGCAACTACTGGACATGGAAACCTTACCAACTTGGGTAAACAACAAGTTGGCCCTTCTTGGTGATGCTGCTCATCCCTTCCTCCCTCATCAAGGACAGGGAGGTGGTCAAGCTGTCGAGGATGCTGCAGCATTAGCAGTTGTTCTACCTCTAGGTACTCGAGCAGACGAAGTCGCCGAGCGCCTCAAGTTGTACGAAACCTGTCGTTACGAGCGAGCCCACCGTATCCAAGAGTATACTCGTCAGGCCGGAAGGTGTCTTGGAGAGGATGGCAAGATCGACAGTAAGTCTACTGAGCAGCGTCAAAAGATGGGAAATACTGATATCAATAGTGATGGAGTATGTGAACTACAATTTCGGCCACGATGAGTTCGACAGCGCCACCGGTATCTTCAATAAATGGTGTTGGGCCAAGAATCCGGACATCTATTGGCGCATGCCTGTCAGCTTTGGACCTTCGCCTGGTCCTCGCCAAGCTCTCTACACAAACGAACCACAGCCCGCTCGCCACTCTACGTTTACCACTGCGTCTATCAAATTCAAGACATCCCGGACATTCTTGCAGAATCTGTTCCCTACCGAGTCTTTCCAATTCAAGAACCCTGGTACTGTAGCGTACGCTAGTTTCTCGCAAACAACACTTGGAAAGATGGAGTGGCTAGGTGGATCTGGCTATCGTCACTTCGGTATGTACATCCACGGTGTTCGATATACAAAGCAGAACGGGGAGACAGTGGATGGTACATACATGCCTCTTCTCTTTGAGTCTCTTACCGACCCCATCGTCAGTGGCCGTGATGAGCTCGGCATGCCCAAAGTCTTCTGCGATGTGGACATCCGTCGCCGTGAGGACTCCTACCGTGTAAGGACCAGCTGGCAAGGATCCATGTTCGGCAAGTTCAACCTCGATGAACTGGAGGAAGCTGATCCTGCCGCCGAGGCAGGCACTATCGGCGGCGAAGCAGACTACGGCATTCTGACCTACAAGTACAGTCCGGCGGTTGGCGAGCGTGGCAAAGCAGATGCCGCGTACGCTGTCGTTGTTCCTCACGCTGAGGAGTCGAAGGTGGTACCGAGTAAGGTCACCGGCCTATGGAAATGCAAGAAACCCAACTTCGAGTTCGATGCTTTGACTCAGCAGGACTTGCCTACGCTGCACCATATTGTTTCCAAGCTTGCTCAGGCTCCAGTCTACGAGTTCATCTCCGGTAAAGTTGTTGAAGGCTATGGAGTCCCTGACGTTTCTGCTGCTCGTCGTATTGAGTGAAAGGTAATGGTTGTCGGTCCTTAAGCAGTTTCATATAGCATGTTTCTCATGTCAAATCTACGATCTTTATACAAGCCGATATGACTTTTTGCGACTATCAAACTAAATCTGGAACGACTCGTGGTTGCCACACGTTGATAAGCCCAGAAGCACGGTCGACGATTGTCAAAAGACTCTCGCTCTGAATTTGCCAGTGGATTGTACACATCTATGTCATAGTCCAGCACTTGTTGCACATCCTTGTCGGTAGTCACGGCTGAACAGTGGAACTGTCTGGCCCCTGCGTACCTTGTAGTCATGTCAATCACTGCTTTCGATATCCGCGCAGGGTCACCCTAGCAGCTTCATACAAGCTTTGACGGATATCGGACAGAAGCTCGGGATCTGACCATTCACTGGTTCGCCCACGGGAGGCGATAAACAGCTGCGACCGCGGGTTCCCCCACTTACCGTGAATTCGAGCTGAAGCATGCTCCCCGCACTCGATGCTCGGAATTTATTGACAAGACATAGCGCGCTTGATCAACGGACAGCGAAGTGAGTACGCCTTAATCTTTCACTCCACCACTTTGCGATACAAGCTGGCCACTGTCTCATAACCAATTATGCCATCCGAGCAGAGAGAAAACTTGGATAACAACCTCCCAAAGATCAACCGCCTCATAACCACCCACGACGACAAAGGCAAAGCAGTCTTCGCTTCCGATGTCAAAGATGAGCTACCTTTCGAGGAACTACCGGATGGAGCTCGTTTCTGCCTTGGCTACGCGACGAACTCAGTTCCCGCCGATCTCAATGACGATCAAGACGTCCGCACCTATGAGAAATACCTTGACAACAAGCCTGGAGTGATGATCCCTAATGGCACGGTTTGTCGCGTCGTGGACATGCGCCCTGGTGCTACAAGCCCCATGCACAGGACAGTGAGCTTGGACTATGGTGTTGTGCTGGAAGGCCAGGTTGTTCTGGTTCTGGATAGTGGTGAGGAGAGGCTTCTACAAAGAGGCGATATCGCGGTGCAAAGGGGAACGAACCATGCTTGGAGAAACAATAGCAGCAAGGATTGGGCAAGGATGCTTTATGTTCTGCACGAGGCCGAGCCTATTTGTATCGGGGGAAAGGAGTTGGATGAAGATTATGGAGGTATTCCTGGAGTCAAGCCATCAAAGGGAACACATGTACTTGGATTCGTAGCAGCAGCCTAGGGAAGGAGTGAGAATCAAGCTTGAATAGCAGTAAACAACATTCCACATTGATGTACTTGAGATTGCTATATCTAAGTTGGGATTTCCTGGTCACCATTCGCCACCAATCTCGTACCTGAAGACCGTCTTGTTGACCTTACCACCGCTAACCCTCCAAAGAGTATTCACGTTCTGTAAGATGTCAATATGCTTCTCTAAGACTTCTCAATGAACGGACTGACTGCATTAAGGCGCACACCATTGAGCAAAGTCGCAATGAAGATTTGTTCTGCGATGTTGGCACCTCCAGGTCGAGTCATCATGTCCAGATTGCGATTGATAGGTTTTCTCGATGGCACGTCTCGATATTGAGACGGCCAGGTGGCTGGGTTTGAAGAACCATCGACATATCGAATGTCAGAACGAGAATTAGGTGCCGGTGCTGGCTCATCGGTAGGTTCTTGATCCCGGCCATTGATAGAAAGAGTAATTGCCTGGGGCAGGAAAACGCGACTCGTTGTCGTTACAGACATGCTTGCTTGAGTCGTGATATTGAGCTCAGGGCAAGTGAGGATGTGTAGAATATTCTGTTCGATACATGCGCGGTCCAGAAAGAGTGAAGGAAGTGGAAATATCAAGCCACAAGACAGCCAGCGTCGCATGAAGAGATGTGGGCAATCCTAGTGATCCGGCTTCTCTCCCCACCCACATCCAATATGCGCCCGAAAACCCCCCACCAAGTGACCCGTAACTCCTGCCTGGATTGATCTTGGAGGGCTGTTGTACGTGTTGCGTGTCGCGTGTCGCGGTCAGTCCTTCGCTTGTGTGGTACTTCAGCTTGTATTAAAATCCCTGTCAAATTTGTACTCCAGATCTACAAGAAGCTCGACCACCCCGTTTGAAGCTGCTATATTGTCAATCATGCCGTCTACGTCCATCGAATCAGCAGCAGTTGATGGAAGGGCAAGAACACCCCGCTTCATCCAGCGGCAACTAGCCAATCTTCACAAAGCGATCACCACAAACGCGAAAATAATCCAAGATGCTATCGTAGCAGATACCGGTGCCAAATTACGTGAAGCTCAACTGGAGATACACCTTTCCATCTCCGTTGTCAAAGAACTTTACGATAACTTCTCCGTTGAAGAAGCTTTGTCACAAGAATATCGAGTTGCTAGAGGACAAGACTGGTGCGATAGAAATGATGCTGTCGGGACCATCTATCTGCGACCTCAGAGTCACAACCTTGTCTATTCCATAGTCTCACCCTTGGCAAATGCGATAGCAGCTGGGAATTGCGTTGTCATTGAGGTAAGAAAGCTTGAATCAGTGTCCCGGCAATGCTGACCATTCTCAGTCAAACAAACCTCACCAAGCTCTTTCGTCAAAGATAGCAGAGATTATACTTCAACATCTTGACCGAGACACCATTGCTTTCGTCGAAGATCTCCCGGAGCCGCCAAGCAAAGGCGTCCTTCTCATCGATCAAACAGGAGAAATTCCCAAGATGAACGCGTCCAGTATCCATACCCCCGGGTCATCGGCTCGAGTAGTGGCCTTGGTCGACCGTTCTAGCGACATAGTATCTGCTGCGAGTTCAATAGTGCAAGCTCGTACTGCGTTTGGAGGGAACTCGGTTTATGCTCCTGATATCGTCTTAGTCAATGAGTTCGCTATGAAGGAGTTCGTCCAAGCGGCAAAGATTGCTCTTTCTATATCTATCGAAGAGACAAAAGGGCAAGATATCACCGCTTCGCAGGCTACATGCAAAATTGCCGGAATCGGGCTGACCGAGAAAGAACTTCGCGGCTCGGGTGCTAATGTGGTCATGAGAGGGGATCTGGGGACCATTGCTATCGTCGAGGACAGGTACTGGGTATTTTGTGCACCTGAATTCTCTCACGGCTAACCAGTCACACAGGGGTTCGTCTCTGCTACAGAGGAAGATTTACGGCGCTTGTCTGATTTTGCACTCGGTTCGAAGTTTGGATGATGGCATAGACCTTGCAAATCTACAGTATGGCACCGTTGCACCCAGGTTTGTCTAAGATCTCGACTGACACGTGGTTCAGGAACAAAACTCTTCTCGCCTGCTACCATTTCGGTGCTCCCGAGGCTGCAAAGTATACCACTCAGTTCATCGACTCCTACGCGTCGTTTGTCAATCACGCCCCCATCGAGCTGACAGGTGAGGTCCAATACTTGCCGCGAAATTGATTTTTGAATTGACATTATTAGTCGGTCCCGCGGCCCCGATCGGCTTCCACCCGTCAGCGACTCATCGCTACCGACCGGCGATGTTCAGTGTGCCAAAAGCAGATTGTATTGCTGGAGATTCTGCATCAAGAAGCCTTGCGAGCATATTCAGAGCTGAGGCCAAAGCTTGGTCGGACGTCTACGAGAAACAGATCACCTCATCTCTAGCCCCCACAAGGCAAAAGGCGGGCAAGGTCGTTGGATTCTTCGACCAGGGCCTCATCACTGGTTTCGTTGTGTTCTGGGTCCCCGTCATCGCAAGTGCTGTGGTAGGATCTGGTTATGGAATTCGTGCTGGCATTCGAATGACGCGGTCGTGAAGACATGATTCTCGAGATCTCGTTTGGGGGTGGAACACGTCTGCAAAGTGAAAGTTGCAGCTTGATATATCCAGAACTATGCCAAAAAGTCTCTCAATTCGTTCATTCTACGCTTCAAGAATACGTTCAAACATCGACGACGAGAAATAATGAATGCGTTATCTTATCCATCCTAGTATAGAGACAAATGAGCTGGTGCGCGGACTTATCAAGTCGAGCTTATAGCTTGACGTCTGTCTGTCTCCCATGAACCAAAGGAGAACTGTGAGTTGCACATGTTGGTCTGTACATGGTCAGTCGTCGAGGTTGATATATAGCCCGGCTCTGTACTCACCAATTCCCAGTCCTCAGCCATAAGCTTTCCATGAAAACCAATATCTTCTTCATCCCCGACTGCACCGCTGACGAACATTGCACTCATAAAGTGGTCGTCTGTCGCATGCGCTTCTCTATAATGAGGGTGCTTCATCAATCTTGTCATTCCGCGACGCAATTTTGGTCCACTGTTGTTCGTAATCACGTCGGAGACAGCCTGTCTGAACTCTAGAGCCCATGTCTCGGGTGGTGTCTCCATGGCGAAATTATCTCGGTACTTGATCATCGGTGCCCATTTGTTGCGGTAAAGGTTGTGAACAGCGCCACCAGAACCGACGATAAGGTAACCCTCTTTTCGTAAGGGTCGCAAAGTAGCTCCAATTTTCATGTGGAAATGAGGATCAAATCGCGCATTCATGCTGATAATTGTCGTGGGCGGGCATCCGTTGGGAAACATTCTGATCAGAATCAAGAATGTATCATGAATCCAGTCGAAGGTGGGATCTTCTTTGACTTCGAATCCTTGTTCGCTGAGCATTCTGACACATCGTTTTGCGGTTGGGATATCCGGATTCAACTTGTAGTCCATATATTTGGCAGGGTCGACATACGAGACGGGCGATTTGCTAGGTGACGGATTCGAGGCGACCATGATTTTGTCGTTTAGACAATCCCAATGGGCACCCATGATGATGATGCCTTTGATGTTGTTTGCTAGTGCTTCGTCGCCGCAGGTTTTCCAGTGGTCTGCTGAAGGACACTCTTCTCCTAGCATCATGGTTGAACCATGGGAGAAAAAGTGCACCGGTGTCAGCTGCTCGGTGAATCCTGCCATGATGTTCGGTAGATCGTGGGATCAACAAACGCAATTGAAAGAGGCAGTGTAATCAGAAGGTCCAAAAGACCAGGAACGATTAAGTGAGGCAGGAAGTAGACTCCCACGGGATGAAGGCAGTGCCTTGGTGCAGAGTACAGTAGCTGGCGCTTAGGCGGCTGCTCCAATCACGTGGTGGCCGCGTCAACTGGGGAAGACTGTCGCAGCCTCGACTCCGCCACGTCCACTTCCCCGCACAACGGCCCCCAACTCTGCCCACATGTTATCCCGCGTGCGGCCACATCTGCTTTTCTCAACTCTCCGTTGCTGGACGTGTCGACGCATGCGCCTTTCGCCTACATGGACGTGCCAACTGATGCTGTGCAATCTGCCGCCAGCGCTCGGACGGCGACACACACCTCGGGTGCCGTTCCATCCCACCAGGAACAGTCTGACAACGAGGGACAAGATCAAGACTTTCGAAACGCGCCTTTTGCTTGTAACGTGTGCAAGCGTTCATACTCAAGAGTTGACCATCTAGCGCGTCATCATCGGTCACGTAGGTCGTATTCCCTCTCGCAATCGAATGCCTAACATGGGAATCCACTCCTAAACACGGCATGCCGCGCGAACCTCAGAGCGAGGCTGACTGATTGTAGATACGCAAGAGAAACCTTTCCCGTGTGAGGTCTGCGGCAAAACTTTCGCCAGAGCGTAAGCATGTTATGCTGTCTGACTCCTGGGTGAACAGTACACTGATCAATCAAAGCGACCTTGTGAAAAGACATGCGGCGTGTCATTCGGAAGGCACTAGCAAGAAAAGGAAGAGAAGATCATCGCTTAGTGGCAGGACCTCTGTTGCTTGCACTGCTTGCGCCGCCGCCAAGATCAAATGCGAGAACGACAAGCCTTGCCTTCGATGTCTCAAAAAGGGCACACCGTGTATCCCAGTGAACGATGAAATGCTTGCTCCGACAAGCAATCCCGACGTAGAAGGCGGTACGTGCCTGGATCCGATCGATATCTTGTATTGCTCAGCCACTAAGGAACTACAGACTTACCTGGTTATGTCTTTGAACAACATACGCCCCCGTTGTCATCTGTACGGACTGAGTCAGTCAAGCAATCTGGTCACGATGCCGAGGAAAGTGCTTTGCATCACAGTCATGTTCTACCACAATCTCCAAATCAAAACTCGCGCTCAGGTCTCTACTCTGACTTCGACAATCTCGGCACGCAAATCCATGATAATACACAGCATGTAATCGAAGACTTGCCCCAGGACGGCTTCATGGCAGGACTGCCTTCTGCTGATTTTCACCCGGACGACAGCTTCATGCCTGAAGGGTTACACTTAGGAGACTTCCTGGCGGATATCATGATGTCTGTTTCACCGAATCAACTAGAACTCGGCCTGGTTGGGAACAACACTACGGATATTCTGATGCGTGACGTGTTTGATTTTGGTATCGAGAAAGATCTCGACTTGAATGCCATCGATTTCCAGCTGCTCAGTCAACCCCTCATACCAGGCTCACCAACACATCAATTGACGGCTGCAGATGAGAGCCTCTGTCCGCCGTCTCGTGCAGAATACAACAATGGCTCTGGAGTTGATCCCGCATCTGTTGAGGCATTTCAAAAGTCTCTGTGGCGTTGGACGCCCGGTCAGACAGATCAAGGTCATTGCGAGCAGATCAACCTTTCATTACCCTACCATGTTGGTGCTCCAAGCTCATATCCTTCCAGGCCCTGTGCAGAAGCTCTCAACCAATTTGCACGTGACAGGATGCTGGCGATGGTACTTGATACCTGTGAGCGCGACGCTGTGCCACGCATAGTCACCTCATTTCCTTCTGCTGAGCTCTTGGATCATCTCATGCAGGAATATCTCTTCTTCCATGACCAAGAACCTGACCCATTTATACATGTTCCTACCTTTCAACCACAATCTATGCGCGCAGAGCTTGTGGCGTCGATTGTATTCTTTGGTGCAGTGCGCAGCCCTGTACCTTTGGTTCGTAAGCTGGGCTTTGCACTGCAAGAGTCTGTCCGTTTGGCTCTGCCGAAAGCAGTATGTGACTCGACATTCCATAGATCACAGTCGCTTACACTCGTAGTTTGAAAGAGACAACAGTATGACGCGAGACCTACAAGTTCTCCAAGCGAACATCTTGGAGCTAAAGTTGGGTCTCTGGAGCGGCAACAGAAGAAAAATGGAGATAGCAGAAAGTCATGGCCTACCTCTCATCACTGTAAGCAATGGATAAACTATAGAAACACGACGACTTACTACATGACAGATGCTTCGTAGGTCCGGCCGCTTCAAGCGCCGAAGACAACGTCCTGCAGCTCCGACGCCGGAAGACCCCCCGGATGTTCTCGACTCCAAATGGCGAGAGTGGGTTGAAGCGGAAAGTTTCAAGAGGTATGACTTCTCCCCTCAACTTGCTTCTGCCTCACTAATTTTACTCGATAGGCTAGTATTTTTCGTTGCGGTATATGACGCTCATCTATCAATGTCGTTTCACGTGCCGCCCCTGATGAAGTATGGAGAGATGTCCCTGGATCTACCAGCCTCAATCGCGTTATGGAAAGCAAAGACCGCAGCAGCATGGAGAGACGAGTACTTGACCCATGGACTTCCAGACATCTGCCAAGCTCCCGCTGTCATCGCTTGCGTACATACAGCTCATGACATGCTGGAAGCACAAGACCGTATCGACCTTGAGTTTTCAGTCAACATAGCTTTGAGCATGTTTTGGAAAGTAATTTGGGACGCAAGGCAGCTACAAGCAGCCACAAGACCTTATGCCGGGCGATCAGTAACTGCGTCTCTGACTTCTGGTCACTGGCAGCACGAGCTAAGCCAGACTCTGCGGAACTTCTGCATGATCGTCGGAGAAGCTCAAGCTCTGTCTCCTGGTGCAAATCTCTTGCATGAATATTTGCATCTGAACATATACGTATCTTTCGACGAGCTCTCTCTCTTCGCTGGCAAGGAGGGGCATCGAGAAGCTCGTCGAGTGTATGCCTCTCTCAAACAATGGGCAGACAGTCGAGATGCTCGGCAGGCACTTTGGCACGCCGGTCAGGTCGTGCGAGAAGCTACCACCTTCGCTCCTGGTACATTGTTCGGCTTCTATGCCGTCGCATTGTACCATGCTGGCCTGACTTTGTGGGCTTACGGCCTCCTCACCAATGGAGTTCGCCGGATGCACGGACAATCAGTCGGGCCTGGCTCAAGCTCAAATCATCAGATACCATCGGTCGACCCAAACGGCGTGGTGTTCCTCGACGGCATTGATTCAGGTGACACACAAAAGTTTGTAGCACTCAACCGAGCCACGCCAGTCATTCATCGTAGGGACACTGCATCGGGGAACGCCATCTCCGATACAGTAGTCTATCTCGATGACCCAAAAGTAGTGATGGCGACTATCACATCTATCCTTCGGGATCACTTCCACAACCTGAAGATACTGCCTACTCTCGTCGAGAATCTGATTCATCTGATGGACGATCTAGGCAAGGTGGCGACCACCAGAACTACAACGAAATCTTGAGCCTCGAGTAGTGGGTTCACTTCTAGATAGAAAATTTCCATTTTTCTGACATCCGAACAATTCTACTACACTTTCTGTCACTCAGATTATCGCTGCATCGCTCAGAGAGAGCAAATTGATGCTTGTTACAGTGAGACAGATTACACTATCTCCTTACACTGCATGTCCGTTGGACTGATAGTTGCCCTCCTTGATCCAGTCAAATTCGGTACCCAAGAATCGATGCGCTCTCAAATCACCAGACCTCGCGTGACCTTCAAAGTTCTCCACACGAGCTGCTCTTCCACACAAGAGTCCCAACTCTCCACTCGCTTTGTCATCCTCCACAATCTGGTAAGTGCAAGTGCGAAGGTACTTGCCGACCCAGAGTCCTCCTGTGTATCTAGCGGCTCCGCGGGTGGGAAGAACGTGGTTTGTGCCGATGCATTTATCACCATAGGAAACGCAAGTACGATCGCCGAGGAAAAGGGCGCCGTAGTTCTTCATCTTGACGAGGGCCTCGCGGGGGTTCTCGGTCAAGATCTGGACGTGTTCGCTTGCGTAGACGTCTGCAAGAGTGTAGGCCTTTTCGAGATCTTCGACCACGACGACCTCTCCAAACTTGCTCCATGAAGTCCCGGCGAGTTCGGCGGTGGGCAGAATCTTAAGCAACTCATCCACGTGCGCGATCGTTTTCTTGGCCACCTCTGTCGAAGTCGTGATAAGGATTGCAGGAGTGTCCGGTCCGTGCTCTGCTTGTGACAGAAGGTCCGTAGCGCAGGTGAACGGGTCGGCTTTGTGGTCTGCGACAATGAGAACTTCGGTAGGTCCAGCAAACAGGTCTATGCCGACTTCTCCAAAGAGCTGTCGCTTTGCTTCTGCGACGAAAGCATTGCCTGGACCTGCGATGAAGTCCACTTTTCGGATGGTATCGGTTCCGACAGCCATGGCGGCGACTGCTTGGACACCGCCGAGGATGAAGATCTCATCTGCGCCGGCAAGATACATTGCAGCGATTGTGGCATGAGGGATCCTGCCCATGATAGGAGGCGTACAAGCTATGACATTGGGAACTCCTGCCACCTTTGCGGTAACGATTGTCATGTGTGCAGAGGCAAGCAACGGGTATCTTCCACCGGGAATGTATCTGTCACCTTGATATCAGCCAAAAATTCCACAATTCTCAGAACCGTATAGTACTCACGCGCCAACATTCTGGATCGGAACATTTTTGTGTCCCAAGAATACACCAGGCTCGATCTCCAGCTCCAACTCGGACAAAGAATTCTTCTGCGCTTCTGCAAATTTGCGAACGTTGCTTTGCACCTTCTTGATGTCTTTGATCACCTGATCTGGTACCTTGGACATAATATCCTCGATGTCGGAATCCGAAAGCTTGAAAGATTGAGGAGACCACTTGTCGAACTTCTCGGAGTACTGGCGCACGGCTGAATCGCCATCTCGTCTGATATGATCGATGACACCCTTTACCGTCTGAGAGACTTGATCGCTGGCTTGGATGGAAGTAACGGCATCGTTGTCGACAGTCCTTTGCTTCAGATAGGTAGAAGCCATGTTGCGAGATGTGGATATCGTGGTCAGAGATGCTGGTATTGTTCGTAGGTACATATGAGCTAAGATGATCACTGTACACGACTATATCTAGTACAGTCTACTGCGCTCCCTCATTTCGTCGTGAAAGAAAAATAGGCAGTTGATAGTGTGAGCAATGTGGTCTACCGTGCGGCTCGGAAGGAGGGCTGCGTGGTACGGAGTGTGGGCGAAGTCTTCCACCGCTCCGATCCCGACTCAACCCGTGGTATCGTTTCCCGATGTGGGCGCCATATCATCCCCCGTTTTTACGTACTGCGAAGGAAAGTATGCCGTGATCTTCACCGAAATTGTTGCCATGTGATCAACAGGTAGTCAAGACTCGATGCGACGCACGGGCTTCTATACCTTCCACATCAGACTCGGTTCTAGACCTGGCTATGAGCATTGACTACTTTGTCAGTCGTGCGTGCATTTGTAAGAAACGAAGTTGATGGAAACTAAAATTGAATTTGGAAGTCGGATTGAAGCCACTGCGGCTGATTCTATAGGCGGACAATCTCTAATATCCATTGCACCATTCGTCATTGTTCAGTAGTCCGGCAACACCAGCCTGGTCTCCATGATCAAGGTAGCCACAGATTCTGCCAGCAGGATCCCATTTGTTCCTCAGTTTCATGAGTGTACGTGCCTTGTCATCAGTCCAGTACTTGGTCTGACGCACTTGGAAATCAGAGTCTCCAAGATATGCTCCCTCACATTGCGGCGCCACCTCCTTCATGATCTCTCGGACCCATGCCTGACATCTGTCATCATCTTTCTCGTCCTTCCAGATTGTGTAAAGTGCGAAGTAATGGTCGCTTTGCATGCTAAGAGCCATATCTGGAAGCTCCCTTCTGCTGCACGGTGCCATTGCATACCACAGCGCAAAAGCTTTCGAAGTTGGTAGCGTTGTGAATGCCTTTTTGAGGACTTCGGCCACGTCCACATCATTCTTGACATAACCGTTTTCGGCACAATAGCGATGACCATGGGGGTTTGCGTTTGCTTGATCTTTGTATTCCTTGGCAAGACTCGTCCTCTTGTTGACTTCTTCGATCAGGTAGCCTTCCGGCCGTGTGGAGTTTGCTTGCTGCAAAGCGACTCTGCATTCCTCGTCTGATTCTTGGAAGGTCACGAAAAGAGGTATGATACACAGTTGATCTATACCAGGCGGCGTAGCCGAGACTGCTACAATCTCCGTGGACGAATCGAATGAAGGCGTGATACTGATAATCCAGTTCATGACCTCGTCGTATCTTGCAATAGGATACAGGAAGGTCGATGACAGCATGGCTGGGATCTGCTTTCGGATCTTCAGATGGAAGCGAGTGATTACGGCAGGGAAACCTGGTCCAGCTCCCTTGGACGCCCACAGAAGATCGGAGTTCTCTTTAGCATCTACGTGGATGGCTTCACCGTTTGCTGTAACCACGTCTAGAGCCAAGATATTCTCGCAAGCCCATCCCCAGTTCTATAGAATTTGTCAGCGATCCGGAAAGTCATCGCTGGTCGCAACAATACTCACTCTACAATTCCAGCCCATGCCGCCTTGTAACAGAAAGCCGCCAAGTCCAACATCTGGACAATGCCCACCACAGAACATGAGACCTTCGGCGGACAAAGTGTCGTTGAGCATCTGACCAGTGGTGCTTGGAGACACGGATGCAATCATGGCTTCCTTGTCGACACTGATGTGCTTTAATTTGCCGAGTTCTATCAAGACTGCATTGTCTCTAACACTCCATGCGGCCCAGGAATGACCTCCTGATCTGACCGAAACTCTGCAGTCAAGCTTGTTGGCAAGTTGAACGGCTTGAAGGACGTGACTATCAGTCTCCGCCAAAACAACAGCGATCGGGAATCTCTGGGGTCGTCGTTGATTGAAGACACGGCCAACCCGAGCTTCTTCGTAATCTTTTGGATCTGCCGAGTCACGCCAGACTATTGGTAGCGAAGAGTCTACCTCGGTGTGCGCCATTGGATGAGTTGATTGATACGAAGTGGTGAATGAAAGGTGCGGAGTAGAGTTGCTGCAAGCTTGAGGGCTAGTCATGATGCGAATGAGACGAATATATTGATTGTACAGATGCCATTTGGAAAGACAACAAAGCGTTGTGGGGGCTGCATGTTGAGATCGGCGACTAGCTTCGCCCACACTCGCTTGCGCATTCGGCACATGTCGAACTCTCCTGTCGGGGCGAAGCACGTTGGTCGACCCGGGGTAAATTTCCTGGGGACCCCACGGAGTCGGAGCGACTGCGGGGTGATCACTGACCTTGCAAACCCAGCTGAACACCAAGGACATCGCTGCTATCATTGCAGGGGTATAAAGGTCTACTCTCTGGAAAGTCTTCCCCTCTGACCGTCTCGTCGTTGAACTCCAGTCATCACCCTGCTTCTGCCATACGCTTCCCTCCAGACAACAGCTACTTCTATCATGTCGCTGAACTTGACGAAGACTCGAGACGACGACGAAGTTGGCAAGACGACCACACTTGGCCATCTTCGTCTTCGACATGCCGAGACCAACGAGATCATCCTCATACCTACTCCATCGAACGATCCGAATGATCCTCTGAACTGGTAAGCCTAAGACGCTGACTTATCGTACTTCAAGAATCCCCTAACGCTGTTGTGCAGGAAGAAAAGCTTCCGGGTCTACCTTGCAATCCTCACTTGCCTCGCTATGTTCATGTGCAACTTCCTTGCCGCAGGCGCTACTGTCGCTATCGTGCAAATCACAATCGACTTCACAGGTATTCCTCCTACCCAGCCAGGTTTCCCTGCAGCTATCGCAAAGATCGCGTATTTCTTCACGACAACTGCTCTTCTACAGGGCACTGGTAATCTCTTCTGGATGCCTCTTATCCTGAAGTACGGTCGCCGTCCAATGTATCTCATCTCTTTTGTTGGATATTTCGCAACGATACTTTGGGCAGGTCTTACCAAGTCGTACGCTAGCGAGCTCGCTGCTCGTGTCATGATGGGATTCTTTGCTGGATCTGGTGAATGTATTGCTCCACTCACCATCTCGGACTTGTTCTTCCTACATGAACGTGGCTTCTATATGTCGTGAGTATAGCTGAGAGTCCATCAAACAAGGACTAAGCTGACCCAAGTCGATAGTATGTATACGGCAGCTCTTTCTAGCGGTGTGTCTGGAGGTGTCATCATCAGTGGTCTCATCACAATCAACCTGAGCTGGAGATATATCTATCATGTATCTGCCGCCATCGTGGGTGTCTTGATCATACTGGTGTTCCTGACGTTTCCCGAAACTGCATACAATCGCAGTCCCGTCGATGTGCCAGGAGCCAATCAGGCGCCATCTGAGCTTTACACCATGCCTGCGGCAACAAGCTCAGTCAATGACGTGGAAAAGGGTGGGAGGTCTGAACATGTGGAAACACCAGACCTTGAAAGTCACACAGTCGGTCCTGTTACCAACCACCGAGCTACAGCTATTCCTCGCAAGCGCAGTTTCGTCCAGAATCTTGCCATCTTCCACGGCAGGTTCGTCGACGAGACATTCTGGAAGATCTTCTATCGACCAGTCGTCTTGCTTTGCCTGCCAATCGTTCTCTGGGCCACTCTCGTCATGTCTGTGACCATTGGCTTTCTTGTTGCCATCTCTTCCAACTTCGCCAGCGCCTTCTCTACCACATACGGTTTCAGCTCATGGCAATCTGGGCTCTGCTTCATTTCTGGTCTTCTCTTCACCCTCGCCGGTATCTTCTTCGGTGGTACGGTTTCTGATTACGTTGCCGACTACTTCACAAAGAGAAATGGCGGTATCCGCGAGCCTGAAATGCGCCTTCCTGCAATGACCATCGGTCTGATCTGCTCGCCTCTTGGCCTGATCCTATACGGTGTCGGAATTGAGCAGAAGTTGCACTGGATCGTTCCTACGCTCGGGCTTGGCTTTTGTAAGTGTTGAACAGAGGCTCTCTATTGAGTACGGCATGCTGACTTGTCACACAGTGAGTATTGCGATCGCGCAGGCCACCAATGTCTCCTTGGTTTATGTCATTGACTCTTACCGTCCTATCGCCGGCGAAACCGTTGTGTCGCAGCTGGCCTTTAAGTGTAAGTTGGTTGTATTCTACCCTCAACATCCTCATCTGACACCCGACAGCTTGTTTCGGATTTTTGCTGTCGTTCTACACCAATCCCTGGATCGACAGCTCTGGCTACGCCAAGTCATTCGGTGCCATGGCAGGTATTAGTGCTGCAGTACTTTTGGGATGGATTCCATTCTACATCTGGGGTGGCCGCATTCGGGCCGCTACACACAAATGGAAGCTGCTGACCAAGACCATCGGTTGGAGCGAGGGTAGAGAGGTGGGCGAGTGATGTAGTCGGAGAGTAAGCCAATTCTGGGGTATTTTAGACCTAGAAGTAGTCGACAGTATCAGAACGCAGACCAATTTACTCCATGATCAAATCCGAGGACTTTGGCTCACAACATGGTCAAAAAGTGACGTATCATCGCCCACGGCCCAAGTGCTTAGAACAAAAGCTCGGCGATATCATCACGATAGCTTCCAGAAGAAGCTGTTGTGGTGATGATGGTCTGGACTCTGATAATCATTGTGTGGCGTATCGTGATATGATATCGAGAAAGGACAAAATATGATTGAAGTGGTATGTGGCGCGCCCACTTTCCGAGAAATTTGGTGGGGCCGGATGCGCTGAGCAACCAGTTCAGGCCAATGAGCCAAGCTTCATGGTCGCACACCTCGAAACATACAGAAAGACTTCAAGACCGCAGTTTCCCAGTCATACCAGCACAACCACTGAACACCCAATCTTGCTTCAAGCAGCATCCGAGCCACCTCGTCCGACCGATTCTTCAAACCAAATCCATCGCCATATTTAACAACCAATGACAATGGAGTCGCTCAAGGACAGCAACCTGGTAGCAGAGCGCGATCTCAAAGCTCAGCAGTCAAGTTCTAAGACTCTGCAAGGCAAAGTTGCAATCGTCAGCGGCTCGAGTTCTGGTATCGGCAAAGCCATAGCTACGGAACTGTCATATCGAGGCGCCTCGGTGGTGCTGAATTATCCCTTTTCACGACTCAAGGACGAAGGCGAAACCGTAGCATCCAATCTACCAGGTCAAGCCATAGCCGTCTGCGCAGACATGGGTAGCACAACTGGACCAGCCGCTCTTGTGGAAGCAGCCATTGCAACATACGGTCGCATCGATATTGTCGTCAATAATGCAGCTCTGGCAGTCAACAAGCCGTTCGAAGAGCAAACTCTAGAAGACTGGGATCTGCTGGTCAACATAAACGCTCGAGGCACTTTTCTCCTAACGCAAGCTGTGCTGCCACATTTGACTTCGCCCGGCGGTCGCATTGTGAACATCTGCAGTGCCTCATCACGTGCAGCACCGCCAATGCAGACCATTTACGCCGGCACCAAAGGAATGGTCGACAGCTTTACACGAGTCTGGGCTAAAGAGCTGCCTCCAAAGTATGGTTGTACTGTCAATTCAGTCAGCCCTGGACCCACGAGGACAGAAGGATTCGCGGCAGCGGGAGAAGATGTGATGAAGATCTTGCAACCGACTATTGACGCCATACCCGTTGCTGCCAGGATGGCAGAATCTTCGGAGATTGCTTATGCTGTTGCGTTCTTGTGTGAGGAGAGAGCGAGATGGATAAATGGTTTGCATATGCATGCGAATGGAGGTCTCTTTGTTGATTAATTCTATATGCTCCAATTTGGAAAATAATATCCAGCGACATCGGATATATACAAGCTTTGGTCGAAGGAACTTTGTCAACTATCCAAATCTACAAAGAAAATCCCGCATCAATTATTGCTACTTGGCCTGTCATGGATGAACTTTGCGCAAAAGTCAAGACTTGACGTGCCACATCCTGATGTGTTGTTAGAAGATCTCTCGGTGAACGGACGATATCATGAGCTCTTACCTCGACGGTCGCAAATCTTTTGAGTCGATTCTGCTCTTTGACAGCCTTCAACTTTTCTTCTGGGAAAGACAGGCCCCACTCCTGCGAACCTTTGTCAGAAGATCGTGGCTTTGCGAAGATATTTTCCTTGGGTACTCACGGTCAGAAGCACACCAGGTGCAACTGCATTCACTCGGATCTTTGGTGCAGCAATCACAGCCAACGACTTTACCAGATGGATCTGAGCTGCTTTCGTCACAGCATAAGGCTACCAATTGTCAGTATCAAATTGTACAACAACTCCTCTGCAGACTTACCAAAGAACTGCCACTAGGCTTGATCCCAGCCACAGATGCTGTAGTGACAAAAGCACCCTCAGTCTCGTGAAGATAGGGTCTGGCAGCATGAAATAGCCACAAATGACTTTTCACATTGATCTGAAAACAGCGATCCCAATCTTCTTCGTAAACACCGTCGTCGAGGTTGAGAAAATCTCTCATCTTTGTCCATCCTGCATTCGAAACTACCACATCGATGCGACCCATCTTCTGGTAGGTTTCCTCGACTAGTCGCTTGACGGAATCTCTATCGCCCATGTCTGCTTTGACGGCGATGAAGTAATCGCTGGTATTCGTTGCAGACTCTTTGACAGAATTTTGGAGCTCTGCGATCAGCGCGTCTGCACGTGAAGTGTTACTGCTGTAGTTGATGACAACTCGCATGCCATCCCGTACGAGTGCTTTAGCGATGCAGGCCCCAAGACCCGCTGATCCTGCAGTTACAAGGGCGACCTTCTGGTGAGCCATAATTAGAGATTGATCGTGTTGAGCCAGTAGATGGGAGAGTTGATCGGTTCGTGAATTTTCCGCTCCCAAAAGAAGACGATGATGGTAGATACTGGCGGCTCGTTCTTCGCCCACTTACCGGACCGGTTTAACATAGTCATTTTAGCCGAGCCAATCGGCATCTTGAGGTTCATGGTATTCCTCAGTAGATATAGGCAAAGTCCAACTGTTTTGTACGTGACCGTGCTTCCAGAACAGCTAGAACATCATGGTAAGAGCTTTCTAATCTCTAACGTTCTCATGATGCGAGAAATTTGGAGAGAAGGATATTAACCTCGTAACATGGACTGCTTAGATAATTAACGATGTCGATGTATCCTCGTAGAGTTCTTCATAAAGATGTAGCAAGAGAGTACTACTGCCGCTAGGATGCAGGAAACAAGTTAGGATTGTAGCGGACGCAGAAATAGATTAGGATGATGCTTATGATCCTACCGTCATAACACACCATGTAGCAACCTTGTAGCAAGAGCCTTCATTAGCTACACTGCTTCCGGTCGTTTGACACCTCGTCCTAGTATAGTCTTCGCAGGTCTAGTCTAATTGGACATCCATGAACTCCCTATCAAAGGTAGGCAGAATGTGAGCCCAGCATCGTAGGCTAAACGACACTGCACGTTTCCGGTCGCAATCGCGCCGTCTTTAGAGTGTATTCATTAACGAGCACCTTTCGTACCAAATCGAGGGGGAAGTCACTCCTCATAGTATCCACTCTTTCTATGGCTAGATCCTTATTGGTTCCGACAGCGAATCTGTACCGGTCTCTTGCAGTTTGGAAGCAGCGCGGTGGGCTCAATTCAACTGGGGGTCGAGTTGTCTATTCCAACGCAGATCTTGACAGTCAACGCGTCGTTTCCAGGCCTGTAGTGGAAAAGAGGATCCACAATCCATGTCCTGCTCGTCGAGTCTGAGGCCAAGAGTCGTCAGTCATTGTGAAACCGCAGTGGTATGTCGTACAGGTTTGTGGTGCGACTCTGATCTCGCTTCATCGCAAGCAGCCTGTGAATCAAGCCACAGGTGAGGTTTCGGCGAAGCTTGACGTGCATAAGAATGGCGGTATCATGGGCGACATTATGGGTGGCATGGTAGGCGATGTCGTAGGAGTGTCGTTGGATGCAGTTCAATTGAAGCTGCCCGTGTCGGTCCGTTGTGAATGGCGTTCTTCGTCGTGTGATACGAACAGGGTTCATCGATCTGCGAGGTCGAAGTCAGCGCGGAGACGATGATCGTGGGCAAGGGGATGTGAGATTCTCAGCTATTTCGCTCGAGACAGCACAAAATCTTTAGCCAGTGTCGCGTACAGGGCGTCTCCATCGCTGGTCAACCTGGCTTGCAATTTTTGAAAGAAGAAGCATGTAGCAGGACGGCTCAAAATCGAGTTGCAGCGACAGTTCGATCACCAAAAAGCCAAGCAATCTGCATCAGTCATCGCAAGCACGTTCTTCGAAGGCCTAGTGGAAATGGCGAGATCGGAGGACAATTTCGCACTAGCCGTTAATTATGCACATAGACCAAATATAGCTAACAGCGATGCATAGAGAAGATGGGGGAGGAATTGCCGAGCATCATTTTCTCTAACAAGACATTTATACTCGTATATACATCGCATTACGAGTTCGAGGTTTAAGGAAGATAGTATAACGAGATGATTACGTTAGGAGACGGTCTCTAGACTAGCGATCGCGATGTTAGCTACTAATTAGTTAGGAAGCATACGATCTCTTCGGACCATCCTAAACATGTTTATCTACAAAGGAGAAGAGAGCTAGTTTTATCTTCGTAGAAACCTATAGGCTAGTAATAGCGTCGGAGTAAAGTAGTAAGTAAGTTACCTACATCTTTAGCGTAAGGGAAGGAAAAGGAGGCTTATTTATAATACTCCTACCTATAGATAAAGGATCTACTATGCATGTATTATGCACGTAACAACAAGACTTAAAAGGCTAGCTAGCGCTTCTAGTATAAGGTTCGCATAAGAAGATCGAGGGCTACTTCCGAAAAATATGCTACTTAAAGTATAACATTCTTATTACGTTACGACTTTAGGCATATTCAAGATTTTCTACTAGCTAAAGCATAGAGGAACAGTAGGCTATACGAGTCATTAGCTTAATCTTACTCCCTAAGCATAGAACCTATCACTATGTATGTTAGTCTAAGTAGTGTAGCAAACTATAGTATAAGTACTAATAAGTATACTAGGAAGGTGCCGATGTACGTTGTCCCTAGTATGCGAACATGTAGAGTAGTAACTAAAGGTGTCTCGAAGCATATAAGTCTTCCTTCTAAGAGAATCTTATAGAGAATTTGCTTTAGAGTAGCGTCCGTTCGATCGAGTTACTAGTGCGTCGTTCGAATAAGTTTAGATAGTATTCTTAAAGTTAGTTACAGCTTTTGCTATACTAAGTTCTATAATAACGACGTCGTTCTCATTTAGTAAGGCCTCGGTGTTTTAGTAAATTAAGTTACTTCTCGACTTCTCTAAATAGTTCTCCTATCTACACGTAGTGGCCGCTACCTAAGAAGGTCCCTATTATTATAAATAGGCTACTAATCTAACTTAAGCTTAGGCTATATTAGAAGACGCTTCCCTATATATGTTGCTTAATACTTAGTAATAGGTATAGTCGTATTATCTACTCTAGAAACACGTTATTATATAGTCTATAGATAGCTAAGTGTTATCTATCTTACTATCTCGAAGTATTAGCTATTGTCTAATTTACTTAGAACGCCGGCTTACTTTCTATTACTCGAAGGAATTAGAGACAACTTCTAGTAGAGATAGATAGAAGTTTACTATAGCCTAACCGCTACTTCTATAAACGCCCCTATATTATATCCTAGACTTAAAACGGCTTATACGTTTATTAGACTTTATTCGTCTATAGCGTTTAATAGGTCTCTATAGGCGGGAACGTAACTTAGGTTACGTCTTATTCGAACATAGTAAGGACTTAGTCTACGGCTACTTACCCTATATGTGCGTAGATTAGCTTAAGTGTTTAGCAATGGTTAGGAGATGCAAATATAGCTTAAATTAACTTTATCGATCGACGTTAAATGCTTATATAGGACTAAACCTATAGTCTTACATTCCTAACCTCTTTAGGACATCGAGTAAGCTATCGTTAACTCTAGCATAAGATGTTATTTAAAGAATAGCATCTACTAAGTCCGATTTAGCGCCCTATATGTTCTACCGAACTTAGCAATATCTACTATCGAGTTAGAGTAATCCTTAGGCGTTCGACCTATAGACCTAGCATTTAAGTAAGGAATAGGAACTCCTAGGAGCCTATTAAATACCTTGTAAGAGGGCTCTACGATGTAGTACGATAGTATAGCTCTAAAGTGTAGAGATCTAATAGGTATAAGACGTAATCGAATAGGTTAGTCTCTATCGCTAAATTCGAATTTCGTTCTAGTAATTGCTTCTTTACTAAAGGTATTATCTTTAACAATGATCTCCTATACAGATTACTATTAGGTCTTATTAGTCGTTCTTCTATACCCTTAAACTAATTTATTAAGACGTGCGTCTAGAAGGATGTTTATCTCTTCGACTTACTTAAGTAGCTAAAGTGTAAAGGGCATAAAGTCCCTTACACCTTTAGCATTTAGAGGCGGTAGAATTCTTCCCTATCCTAATGCGGTAGAGATCGAAAGCTTTACTTATACGTTATCTGTTCGTAAGCTACATACTTAGATCGCCTCTATAAGAGCGTTACTTCTTAATAATCTTAGGGTTTACGCGATCTCTAGATCCCATTTATAGACTATAGTGTAGTCTCCTAAACCCTAACCTAATGCACTACGTAGATAGAGTAGTCTACGCTATAGGCGAATGCTGTCCATAGAGTCATATATACTAGTTTAGAAGTCGCATAGAACTAGTGTATATATTCCTTAAGATTAAGCTAAACACCGACATTTAATACTGTTAGTCCTAACTAATTGTGTTCTCGGCCGAAATGTAGGGTTTAGAAAGGGCAAGCTATCTAGACTTAGCGGTAATTCGTTAATGCTACTAAGTAGATTAATTACCTATTAGAGCGATTAAGGTGCTCTATCGGTTCTATCTATTAAACGGCCGCGGAGATAGACAAAAAGCTAAGTAGAAGGAACAAATATATCTATAGGAAGATTATAACGTAGGCTAAAGCTGTCCTCGAGGAGTAACGAGGTAGCGAAGCTAGGGTAACTACTATCGCAAAAGCTTAAAGTAGGACTTTAAATCCGCTTATAACCTCTAACGTGCTTCGTTTATATAGTTCCTATAAGGTACGAACCGTTAGAACGTGTCTAACTTGCCGAACCGTGCTACTACCCTAGCTTAGGGGAAGGGCTCCGCTACATAGCACCTCTAGGCTATAACTCTATTCCTAAAGCTATAAGCACGTCCTGCCGATCTAGGAACCGCCTAAGCCCTAGGTTACAGCTAACTCACTTTGCCTAATCGATAAGCCGTATGTAAATTAATCTAGCTATAGCCTTTATAGACTAGAGGATCATCTGTCTTAGACCTAGAGTAATGCACGTTATACGTACCTATACCCTTATCTAATAGTTTAAATTGCTTTGTAGGCGCGCATGCATAAGGCTTAGAGCTATAACAAGGGTTTCTAGGATCCTCTTAGTACCGACATGCATGCGATACGCTAAAGGATTTACCCTCTCTATAATAGCCGCTTATCATTATAAGCTCTAACTAGTAATGGTGCCTAATATAAACCTTGACAAAGTCTTAATGAATTAAGACAATTCTAACCCTATTATTAATATGTCGTTATACACTAGCTACCCTACGCTTAATACTATGCTTAAACCCGAGTCTAAGCGCTTTACTATAACTTTTTTAGGCTACGATGAATATATCTTAAACGCTTGTGTATTATACCCCTTTAATCTAATAGAGACATAGCAATATCTAGCACTTAAGGACATCCCTCTTAATTAGA